GGGGGGGGGGTTCCTTGTCGGGCAAGAAAAGGAAAATGATTAGGGGGGGGGGGGGCAGGGGGAAAGGAGCCACGATTTTTCTGGGGTGCAATTTTCATACATGCACTACAATGGTGGAGGAGAACGAACCGAACAAGAGGACACGTGGTTGGATGGTATTTCTTCTGTCTTCTTAGTAAAATTCTATCCTAATGCCTAAGACCTTTTGGATTTTTCTGGATTTTCAAAATTTTTTAAAAAATTCCAAAAAAATAAAAATGCCTAAAAATATTGTAGAGCAAGGGACTAGAGCATATCTCTGCCGTGTCATACATGTATCATTTTTGTTTATTGTCAGACATTGCATCTATTATCTTCAAACTACGCACCATCTGCCACTTTTAAAATTTTTAAAAAAGTTCGCCCGTGCAGAAAATCATGAAAGTAAATGGATTTGGAAGGTGTATTTGTGTGGATTCCTGCAATATATTGCGCATATTAGTTTTTATTTGATTTCCATGGATATAAATAGCGCAAATCATTTAAAATTACACACTTTCAATCTTTCAAAAAATTGAAAAATCTGGACATACCAAAAAGTGGCCACGTTTTGTATTGTATAAGTGACCAAATATAGTCAGGCAAGACCATGTGTACAGATATACCTATTACACAGGTGATATCCCGTCAAATTAAAGAAATTGCGGCACTTTTTCAGATTTTCAAAATTTTCACAACCTTGTAAAATCTGTAATATTAGTAGAATTTAAATCATATTCTGGCCGTGTTACATGTAATAGCAAATATATATTCCATTATTACGGGCGCACATGCATAAAAAATGCCATGATTTGCAGTATTTTTTGGATTTTCCGCGGTCTCCAAATATTCAGAATTTTTAAGATTTTTGAAAATGCATGATGTAAACACAACAAACTGGATGCAGAATCACAGCGGTCCTGTTTGTCCGTTGATTTTAGTGCATTTATGCAATCCGTTGCTCTTTTATGCGCGTTTTCCCTGTTTTTCTTGGCATATTGTAAAAGTCGGAAACTGCGTCACCTCAGTTGGAGCAAAGCCCAGCCCTTTTTTTCCATTCCTTTTCATTCTGCCAAGAGGCCATGGCTGTTATACATGCGGCCCCATTGATAGGAGCCTCCAAACAGCACGACCGTCCCTGCATAACCTAGGCTCCCAAGGGGCCGCATGTCCGCAGCGTTAGGGTCTGCACTGCGCCCAGCCTGCAGCTTTTTGAATCACCGTGGAAGCGTCGTTTTTGAGGGCAGTGGAATCGACCACCGCTCACGTTCGGGGACCGGCGAGCCGCGCTAGACCCATCACCATCACCCCCTACCCGCGGGCCTTTTCTCTTTCTCGTCAATAAAACGCGCGCGGGTACCGCAGGCGACGCACGACCAAGCGCCACGCCGTTCGCACTGTCCGCGCGTGTCTGCGGTCGCTTCCGGCGCGGCGCCAGTGCAGTAGCCCAGCGGGAAAGCAAAAGGCCCGCCGCCGGCACCGGGCCTGGCCGCGGGCCACCGCCCTGGGGCATCCGAGAATCCGCGACCGGCCCTCTTTCCTCGGGCGGAGCGTTCGGACGCGATCGCCGCGGCGCTGGTTGTGCCGCCATTGACAAGGGCCGGGCGTTCTCCGCCAGGCGCGCAGCGCCGCGCCCGCCCTGGAAAGGGGCCGGCGGCGCCGTGCGGGGGGCCGACCTTTGCACCGACACCCTCAGGGGCGGCGCTTTAGCGGTACGTCGCAAAGCCGCCGCATTGCGCATTCTGGTTATGTTGATAATGTCAGCTGCATACTGCTTAGGAATCTTCCATCCGAAGGTTGGGGGGCGCTTGTCGGTGCTCGTCGTCTCGCTCGAATTTCGCCGGGGGGGCACGCGGCGCTGGATTGTAGCGGAGAAAGGCTTTGCCCACTACTGCAGCAGCGCTTGCGGAGCGCATGCTTCTTGAGCTCCTTAGCCCCCGAGTCCGCGCATTCGCCGCCCGGCGGGTAATCGGTCCGATGGTCGGTGGCGCACCTGGCTATGCGCGAAAGTTTCGGCCTCTCGGCTGGCGCATTCGTCTCCCGCCGATCACGTCCGCCGATTATTGAAATTTGAGATCTCCCATTCCTTTTTGTAAAATTGAAAATCTGCCGGTAAATCATTGATCCCATAAATTCCGATGCTCGGCTAAAGATGTGAAATCGATCCGCGCCCAAAAAAGATGTACGTAAATTGCAGGCTCCGGCTGTCGATCTAAAAGATGCCGCGATGTTGCGCGCATGCACGCGCGCGATCGTCGTCCACGTTCATTCCAACTATGGCAAGGTCCACTCGACCGCAGGGCTGAATTCGCAATGAAATGCTTACAATCACCAAGATCAATCGCATCCAGATTTCTTTGCAACCGACACAAGAATCGATCAAGTTTTAGACTAGCTTTGAGGTTCTCGTGCTGCGCATTCCATACTGAACAAAAATAAAAGTCGTTTCATTTGCTTTCGACCTTCACACGAAAAACCAAACCAAAGAAAAACTTTCACCATGTCGTTCCGCCTGAGCCCGCTGTTCGCCCTAGTGCCGCCGCTCGGGCTAGCGTCTAATCCCGGCCTGCATGATCCGTGCCTGCCCGGCTTTTATCACGCGACGCTTTCCGCAACGCAGGTAGAGTACGCGAGCTTGGAGAACGAAGAGGGTTTGGTGAGCCGGTTCCTGCCTCCGCCGGAACTGCGACATACGAACCAGCGTTTCAGCGCGTCTAACACCGTGTTTGAAATCGCCTTTGAGAACTCCGCTGGCCGCCTTCCGCTGCACGGCCAACCCGAGGACGATGACGAGGTTGAAACGCTGGACCACGGACAGTTCCTTGTGAACGACTTCGGCAACGCGGCCCCGCGGGCCGCCTGGCCCGCGGGCGCGGGGCGCACGTGGAACCATAACCCGCGCGCGAACGTGACGCTGCCTTTCGTGGTCATGAAAATTTCGAGCCGTAAGTTCCGGGACGGAAAAGCTGTGCGAAGTTTGCAGAATGTGACCGCGCGGTGCGTGAACGGAAGTTTGCAGATCGGGTTCCACCAGGAGGCTTTCGCACCGGTCGCAGACTTGATTACGCCCAACGCGGACGCCGTCTACCTGCGCAAGGTGGCGGCGCGCTTGGAGGTGAACATCGGCGTGCCCACGCAGTACCCGCTCCACGGAGAGGTCGAGCAACGGTTTCGCCAGACAATCGCCTCCTACGCCGCCCGCCCGCCGAGCGACGGGCAGCTGCGGAACATGCTACGAGAGGCTTTCAATAGCATTGAGGCTGCAACGCCGGAGGACTCGTACAGTAATTCGGCTCCGCTGATGCAGCTGCTACCCGAGCCGGAAGATAATGAGACCACCAGACGCCCTATTCGTATTGCACCAACTTCTTCTTCGGATAATAATGAAGCTGCGACCGAGCAGTTTGAACAAACCATCCGGACGGCCGACTTTGGCTTTCGCACGGCACGGCTCGGACCGCCGAGCGAAGAGGACGTCGAGGGACTGACTCCGCGCAGCGCCTTCCTGGAGCGCACGAGCTTTCCGCCCGGAATGTTGCGCACCTTATCGGACGCGTCGCTCAGCAGCCAGCGCACTGCTCAAAGACCTCGTCGAGCGTCCTCGCCCGCAAGTATAACGACTGCTGCTCCGAGTCGTGCTGCTGCCGCCGCAACTAATCAACCGCGTGGTGGTCGGCCGGTCGCATCAAGGTCTGCTGCCGCCGCCGGCAGAACTGCTGCACCAGCCTTCGATACTTCTTCTAGCAGTGGCGCAGCTTTGTCACGGAGCAGCAGTGCGCCGGGCTTTCGCTCGAGCGCGCACGGGACAAATCAAACGGGAAGTGGCCGAACCGCCCCGCTTCCGCAGCAACCCACCCGTCGTCGACGCACGCAGAACGAGCGGCCTCTGTTTCCGGAGCAAACCTGGCGGGATTTGGAAAAAGTTGTTTCGGATCTGCACTTGGTTCCGCAGCGCGACCACGTGGTGCGCGTGTGGCGCAGCGATTTGCAGGGATCCCGGTACACGGACCAGTACCGCCCGGCGGAGCTAGCAGAAACCTTCGAAATCGTGCGGCCCGCGCACGCCCGGCAGCGGGTGTACCGGAATGCGGACGATGAATACGGGATCACCCTGGAGTTGAACAGTTCGTTGGAACTCGGGCAGCTCAGCGAGTTGCTGGAGCGCAACCTCGAAGCCCCGAGCCGATCGCACGACCGCCGCTTGACGCGTTCGTCGTCAGCATCGAACTTGTTAGGCGCGGCTCGGAGTACCGTCCGTCGTGATGCTGCTAGTGGTAGTAGCACTTCGAGTTCCACTGCGCCTCGATTCGCCCCGCCACGTCGCGCGCAGACCGGACCGTTGATGGGGCAGAGCTCGCTGATGAAAGTGCTGCGGAGCGGAAAATTTTTCCCCGTCGGAGTGCCGAAAAGCCTACAGGGGAACCTGTGGCCGCGGAACCGCCAAACCCCCGGCGACAGCGCCATCGTGTTCTACGCGTACGCTCCGAGTCAGGACGCCGTGCTGGGGCGCCTGGCTTCCAGTACGTCAAATGTGAATCGGAATCTCACGCACGGAGACCAGCCAGCCGGGCTCAACACAACTGTTTTGCATCTGGTTTTGCAAAGATACGGTGGAGCTAGTAATTTGTGAACGCTAATTTTGAAAAGTAGAACTAAAGTCCGTTTGTTTTTTATCCATTTAGGGATGCAATTTTATCCATTTAGTTGCATGACGAACAGATGCGAACAATTTGAAAAGTAATTAATAGCGGCTTCAATGCCAGCTGTTTGTGTTTTGCCTTTGCGTGCATACTAATTCAAAAACTTCGTCTTTGCCTCTGTTACTGTTTCTGTTTCGACACTGACACTTTGGGAAGCAATACCTTATTCCAATGTCGCTTCTGAACTCTTTGAATTTGGCTCCTGATTGCACAAAGTTTGAAAACTTGCACAGCGATATCCTGCATAGACTTTTTCAAGCTCGCCTGACAAATATTTTTTTGTCTAAGAAGCTTGCACTACATTGTCTTTCCGGCATAGAGAGTCGCAATACCATTTGCTTTTTTGCACTTGTATACACACTGTGTTGATAAGTATCCGGTCGCTCAGTCCTCGAAAAGTACTACATTGCAGATCCATATAAGACAACGATCTCAGTCACGGGTTAGACGGTCAGAACAACGTGAATACTGTACGATCTTGAACGATGAAAGAAAGGAAGAAGCTTTGCTGAAGGATTTTCAAAAAACCACTGCAAATTTTGACGCAGGCTCCTTTGCTTTGTTGGTTTTGTTCTTTCTGGAGCTAATTTTCGCTTCGCATGTGGTGAAAAAAGGAGAAACACGATGACATAATTTGTCTTGCTTTTAAACTCTACAAGACAGTAGCACGTCACTTCTCTCGTTCGCAAAGCAGAGACAAAATGGCAAAGGTCCGGGCGGAGGTGGCCCGCGTCTTCAACAAGCGGCGCGGGGACTTCAAAACCGACGTGGCTGCGGAGGACTACTTTGAGTTGAAGGAAAAATACGTGACTTGGCTTGAAGACTCCCCCGTAATCGACGTGACGATCGCGAAAAAAACCGACCCGCTCCCGGAGTGGACCGTCGTCACAACCGAGGACCACTCTTACAGACTTTTCTTGCAGGCGTTTCACGGATCGAGAGGAAGTAATTCTGCCACGAAAAACACTCCCGGCGCAGCAGCAGGACCTTCGAGAAGCAGTAGCAGTAGCAGCAGTAATGGGACGATGACCACTTTTCACAGTCGGCGCTTCGACGCAGGCTTTGTGCAGGACACTCTTGGAGCGGGAGAAGCGTCGCAGCTCAGTGAAAACGAAAGGAAGCTTGCGGTCAAACTTTTCCCGCCACTGATGACAGCACCCGCTGCTTCGAGTAGCCCGAATGTGGTCTTATCGGTGATAATAACGCACGTGCCCCCGAACTCCTTATGCGACTTCTGCCAAGTGCGGGAAGGCTTCTACCTCGAATCGGTGCACCTCAATTCCCAAACGAACCCGACTCCTGCGAAAATCATCGCGGAGAAAAAATTGGCGGCCGCCCGGGCGGCGCAAGCGCCCAACGCGTTCCCGATGCGGTTGCGCTTCCGGGTCAACCAGCTTTTGCTGCGGGAGGAGCTGCGGCGCATGGCCCAGCCGAATTGGAGACTTGTCGAGGAGGAAGAGCTGCGGAAGCGCGCGATCGGCCGTGGAGAAGTCGTCGTAGAGAACGAGGAGGAGCAAAACATAACCAACCGCGAAGGTGTTCTTGCCGTCTCAGGTGAAGCTGCAAAGACTAGCACCAGAAAACGTTCCAGTACCGCGGTCCTGGAAGATGAAAACAAGTATGACAACGACAACCAAGATTTACCTTCGATCAAAGAACTGTCCTTCGCCGAACGGGACCTTCGCGCGGAGCAACGGAAAGTACTCCAGGTTAGGCAGGCCATCTACGAGGGGGAGCGCATGCACCAGCTGTTCTCCGCTGATTGGAACGAGCGCCGCGACCGGAACATGGACCTGCAAAACTACCATCCGTTCCGGACGGAGTACCGGGATTTGCTCCTGAAATACGACCACTGGTCAGACATTGCACTCGCGGGCAGTGAGCGGGAGCTGCTGCGCAGCGAGGTGGTTCGGGAGCCGTTTTGCCTGGTCTCCGCCATGCACGCGGGCGGCTATGATTCCGAGGCTTGGCGGACAAGAGCGCAAAGAATGTTGTTTGACTTGTGAATGAAGCGACATAGTGATGAAGCTGTACTAGTAGGTTTTCTAATTTGGCGACACACATGGTAAAGTGAAAGTGGAGTAAAACTACGCAGCTGCATAACCTTAGTGTATACGCGACATATTGTACGCGAGCGCGCACGAAGTAATGAAAGCACTCAGAAGCGGGGTACATTGCTCTGTCAATTCTCTTGGTCGAGAATTTGGCGATGTTCGTTGCGTACGCAGATCACAGCCCTTTCCTCACTGGTGTCGGATATCAAGTCAAATCAAAGTGCTCTGCGCTCTTTCCAAAGAAAAAAAACCGTCGTCTGAATCGTCTACTACGGAAAAGAAATCGTTACTACTTGCCTAGTCTGCGAAAATGTCGTTTCTACGGAGTAGAAAGAAGGATCAACTACATCGCGCAATTGTATCGAGTACCTCGTGTAGACCACTTCTTCTTCTGCAATTATTTGCTTTCGCAAGTTTATTGCTCGCTCCTGTAGCTGAGACGAAAGAACAAAATGACCTCGTGCACCTCGTCACGTTCGGCACGCATGGCGTGTTTCGGAAAACGCAGGATTTGTTGGACAAAACATTTTTCTATGCCGGCTTCAAATCTCATAACCGCTGGCTTTTGCCGAGCCAGCCGGGTGTGTGGGAAGTTCCAGAGGAACCACATGCGGACAAGGATCTTGAAGTTGCCTTCGGTAAAGGACATCAAGAAAGCGCTGTGCAGCGACGGGAGTCGCAACCTCACGGCACGCAGGGCGATAGGCAAAGAGAGGGCCGGTCTCCTTGCTTTTCGGGTAGATCGGAAGAACGTGACAAGCTCTATTCGGCGAAACAAGATGTTGACAAAAATATCACCACCGCACGACCGTGGGAAACTGATCTAGTTCCGCTGCATGAGCAGGCGCTGCCGTCGAACCTGGTGGGAAAAACCAATCTCGTGTACGTGCGCATGTCCCCGCGAGGAACGAGGAGGCGGGGTGCGGTCGACTACAGCTGTTTGCAAGATGAGAAAAAACCCGAGCGTGCAGCTACTAGTACCGATGGTGCGTCTGATGTTTCTTCAGCTGTATCTTCCGTGCTGTCACACGCGCATGAACTCGCAGTTTCCGCGGCAACTGGGATGAACGGAGACCATGCACAACATGCGACTACTTATTTTCAAATCCGGCGGCTGAATCTCGCGGCGACCAGCTGGTGGCAGAGCCACAAGCTCGCTTTCCAGCAACTACAAGCCGACTACAAGAAGCTTAACAGCTATTACCTCCACCCCGTCTACCTAGGCGTCCGACCGCTGATCATCAAGGAAACTTTGGAGAAATTCATCCCGAAGAACCAATTTCTCCTTCTCCAAGACCCCAACAAGTACGCCGGCATCGACTTCGACAGCGGAAGTCCAATTTTCAACAGCTCCTTCTTTCACAGCTTGAACAGCGACGATCTTGACACCATGCGGAAGGTCACGGAGCAGGAGGGCGGCGTTCTTGCCGGAATTTTTGGCGCCCGAATTCCGCTGTCGATTCGCCGGGAGTTCATGAGCGGTTGGTTTCGGTCGGCTTTCCGCGTGATGTACGAGGAGTTCTTCCAAAGTGCGTTCTCAGGTGCTGTTGGGGATCAGGAAGGAGAGCAAAGTTTCTCAGCAGCGAGCAGTACTTTCAGCAGAAACAATATGAACAAGCCAAGCAACTTCACGAAGCACATCTCGACCTTGCGACACGTCGCGTTCAATCCAGAGCAAGCGTTCTCACCTGTTGCCGAAAACCCGGGTTCGAATCATCTAGACATAAATGGTGCAGCAAGTAGAACAAGTGCGCTAACGGAGGGCGATTTCGATCTAGACCTACACACCATCCACGACCGCGCGGAGACCGGGTTGAGAAACAATGTAAAACCGTTCTCGCTGCTCGACATGGATTGGCTGCTCAAGTACCATAGTGTGTTGCACAAGCTTCACAGTTTGAACTTTTTTCCCGACCGCGAGCAGATGCATATGGACTTCTACACCATGCTGCGAAATTTACTGCGCAGACGGGCGCAGTGGTGCGAGATTGAGAAAATTTCGCAGGAGCAGCAAGCCGGCGAACGGCACGACGAAACGGTGAAGCTATCGCCGATAGTTCTGAGTGACGAGCAAGTGCGGATAGAACCGGAAGACGCCTTCCGCGCTGTTTGCGTCGACGCGGAAGTACAAGCAGCGCCGTTGCGCAGGGCGATGCAGGAGAAGAGGATAGCAGAATTGCTTAGCGCTTCTGGTGGGATGGATTCGTCTAGCAGCCAAGATGCCGACTGGTCTTCGGAACAGCAAAATCATTTCGATCAGCACCTTGCAACCGACACGGAGCTGGTCCGCGCTTTCCGGCGGTGCAGTGAGTATTGGAGGGAAGAAGCGCCAATGATTCAGGACACGTGGTTGCTGGTGCAGAACAACGAGCTGACCGTCCGGTTTCTGAATCTCTGGGTTAATTTGCTATCCCCCGTACACAATCGGCACTTGCTGCTCCAAATGCCTTTCACAGATCAGACCGCACTCGGGCTTCTCACGCGGGCGCTGGACCTAAAGTCGGCGACTTTTCCGGGCCTGTATGAGCGGTTGGAGCCGAACTATTTGAGCTATGGAACCTGCCGAACTGGCAGAGTGGAAGCGAATGGTGCCCCCGCGAAAGCCACCCGAAAGGAAGTTTGGAAGCGCGTGCCAGGGCTGAGTGCTGCGCAGTCTACTGTAACAAAGGATACGTCGGTCATGCAGGAAAGAGCGCACTTCAAGCTAGTTTTCGAACAAGAGCAAGTAGAAGAAAAAACAGCAGTCACACCAGGGGCAGAACTCGCAGCCCTCCCTCCTTCCTGTCCAGTCCCGCATTGGGTGGTGAGTCGCCGCGAAGAGGGATTGCACGGGTTGGGCAACAGGCTGAAAACGCTTGGCAAACTGGTGCACGAAATTCGGCGAACTAGAACACGGCTGCAAAAACGGGAAGAGGCGCTGGGAAAGACGAATAGGCATTTGACAATCGTAGACAAACCCGCAGAAGATGTGAAGGATGGCGGTATGTCCTTGCTCTCTTGGAGAGATACCAGCGCGCAGGACCTGAATTCCAAAACTGCCGGTAGATGGTGGATGTTTGATTGATCAGAATTTTGTACTGAAGCACATTAGGCCATCCACATGCGAACTGTTTTTTTTATCTACACCAGCAAAAAAAGCCATTTGCATGCAAAAAGGCCATTTGCATGCTTCAAAAACTTCAATTTTATCTACACCAGCAAAATCTTGTTCTTGCCTACGAGTCTGGCGATCGTTCACAAATATGACGCAAAACCTTGAGGCTTGTGCAACGCCACGCGATCAAGTTCGTAAGTCTCAGCTGGGATCGGGATCTGAAATCATACTTTTTAAGTCAGCTCTCTAGTGCGCACACGCAACGAATGCAGAGATCATCTTCTTCGGCTCAGATAGAAATGAGAACACAACACATGATTTTATGCGATGCCGAGGTCTAACTGTTGGCAGCTCAAATAGGCTGCAAGAATCGTTTGGAAACCTTCGATAGTTTCGAAATCAGCAACAGCAATAGAACTAGAAGTTCGTGCGTAACGCGGAACTTTTTTTGAAGGAAATTGTAAAAATTAAGTAGTATTCATTGATTTACGCTTAGCGTTAGCGACTCGCTTTACGTTTCGAAGTACCCTTTCGTAATCATCTCGAAAGTAGAAACAAACACCTCTTTTGCTTTTCACTCCCCGGTCCAAAGAGCTTGCATTTTCGTGCTGGTGCATTAAGTAAGTTCAAGAAGATATACGCTTTGTTTCTTTGCCCATTTTTATCATTCCATCCCCCAGTTAACAGAATATAAATATATCGATCGAGCAAAACGAACAAGAGCAAGACACCATGTTTCGAGTTGCTTTCCTGTGGTCCGCGCTGTTGACCTTGACAGTGGTTGCCATGGGAAAGTCGGGGCGTGGTTCTCAAAGTCTCCTTCGCAACAGGGCTGGCCGACCTCTTGAAGGAGGTGGCCGACCTCTTGAAGCAGGGGGAGGACCTGTACTCGCTGCTTTGCTTGGGCGAGGGCTCGTACCTACTGAAGCCGCACTTAGAGAACCGGTGCCTGAACATCAACCTGCCAACGGCCGCAACAGAGAACCGGCGCCTGAACATCAACCTGCCAACGGCAACGTGGACACGCCGTCGGTTGATGAAGATCTGTTGGACTTGAATAGCGGCTTCTTACTACCTCTGGCTGCAGAAGAGCAAGATGCAAATGAGCGGCCGGTCCAGAGGGTTTCCTGAAGTTCGGAGAAAAGTACAAGGAAATTTAATCAAAGAAGCTCAAGGTGAAGATAAGCTCAACCAAGAAAAAGAATTAAAGGGTAGCGCGAACCGCAGGCATCTGAATGTAGCGCCCCAAACTTCCTGCCGAAAGTATCTATAAGTAAGTACGATGTGTGTGAACACCCTTTCAGTAAGTGTCAAGATTAAACACGTGAAGTTGCATGAAACAGTATTTCATGAAACGAAGTGGTTCAGAGTCCGAAGTACAGCCTACCAATTAGAGTCGACGTATATCCGCGTATGAGTCAACGTTTCTAAAATGATCTCCGAACGGGAATTCCTCAACTGAAATGAATGCATCCGCTGTCATGGAAAGATAAAAACTATAGTACCTCCGTTGTCGTCAAAAGTTCGCTAATCGGACGTGCGATGCAAGTACTTTTTCACTATCAGCGGTTGTTCGACCTCCACGAGCACAGGCGCTCTGAGAGTTGTCACTTTTGCCGAGACACCTAGGTTTGCAGATACAGTCTTCTGTCGTTTCACACAAAGAAATTGGCGCGGTATTTCGTTGCATCGGGCAAGATTCATCCACGTTTGCGTTCATCCACTTCCCTTGCTTCGACCTTTCTTATCGGAAGTTCTCTTCAGAATTTTGTCAACAGGACGCAATGGTGAACCCGACTTGAATGCAGCTATCATTGTCAAGAATTACTTTGCAACGCGTTGACTTTTTGCGCTTTCTCAGTTTCATGGATTTACTTACAATGGGTTTTGGTAGCATTTTCCACACACGACAGCAAAATCAAAGGATGACAGTTTTGACCATGGCGCTGCTTTTTCTCTCAGCGCTACACATTTGGCCCGTGCTCGGTGCCATGCCAAATGGACGGATTGCGAAGCTGGTGAATATGAAAGTCCACCTTTCAACAGACGAGATTGCCGGGGAAACAGTCGCAAGTGTGCTGCCGTTGAGTAGAAAAAAGCAAGCCGCTGCCGAGGGAGACAGTGCTGACGAAGAGCAAGGAACTTTTACAACCGACAGGGGAGGTGCCCACGGCGAAACCGCAGAAACACTCCACTCGCTTCCGCGCGCAACCGATGAGGGCGAGAGTAGCAGTGGTGCGAACCGGCGGTCCGCGTCGCAGGACAGTAGGGGAAGTAATTGCAGTGTGCGAACGGCAGACTTCTTAGAAGACCGTATGGCGAAATATGAAAACAGTTGTGGTGTGCAGCAGTCATATTCGGGTAGTGGTGCGCCGGCTTCGTGGGTTGCAGCGGTTTCGCCGGTGAATTCCGAACTACAACAGCAGCCGCAGCAATTCTTTTGCGGTGTGCCGCAGCAAACTGTGAGCCCCGCTTTCCATCCGTGCCACTATAGTCTCATGCCGCACGACGGAACATGTTGCAGTACCCCCACCAGCTGTCCAACCGCTGGCGAGCGAATGCTTTCCCATCAAGTCGAGCAACAGCCACCTCCCGCCACAGCTGCCTCGTCTCTTCTGGCGCTGCACAGCTCAACCTACCATCACTACGAGTGGTGCGATGCGCCGGGCCTAAACACCTTGCAGCAGCAGGCCCGCGAGTTGATGACAGCGCAGTCGCTCGAGGAGGTGAAGGAAAGAATGCGCAAGTTTCCGCGGGGCGCCTGCGAGCAGACACTGTCCTTAGAATCGTTATTGAACAATGAGGTGGCGCATCAGCAGTACTGGAACGAGTGCCAGTACCGGGTGCAGCAGGCAAACCCGCAAGCTCGTGGGCAGGTGGTGGCGGTGGTTTCTGTTCCTGCAGAAGGTGCTGGGAGCGACGTTGTGCAAACGCAGCAGGAGCAGATGACAACTACGCCCGGAAGTCGTTCGCAGGTTGTGTTTGAAGAGCATCGGCAGCAGGAGCTAGACCCTCAAGGGAGCACTCGTGTTCGGCCTCCGATCGCAAGCGCCGCATATAATGATCCACGTTCGCATTCCTCCAGTTGTCGTTATGCGGGTGAACATCTTTCCTCTCCGGAACAAGTTTCTGCCGGCGCACAGCAGCAGGAGCAGTCGTCCCCACATTCTGCGGCCTCCAGTTCGACAACCGGTGTGATACCAACCTGGCGGTCGTCGCAAAAGCCACACAGCAGCAGTCGTGCCGCAGACGAAGACAGGTATTGTGATCCTTCCTACGCAGCCTATATGCAACACAACACTGCCCTGCGGTTGTTTCCCAAAGGGGGGGATTTAAAGCTGGAGAAAAGTGCCGAGCTCTTGATAGAGGAAAGCAGGCTACAACATGCAAAAGAGTACATCGACCCGCTCTTGTTTGCGGGACGGCAGCACGTGGAGGCGCTGGAATTTATCGAGGAGCACCAGCTCCACTTCGAAAGTGTTTGGGAGTCGCCTCATCTGGCGCACGCCGCGGCAATCGAGGCGGCCGCACAAAAGTACAAGCGGGGCCAGAATCACGTCGTACCCGACGTGAGAAATTTGAACCGGCATCAAGCTCTTTACTTTCTGCAACAACTGCGGATGGGACAGCGGGAGGCCTTGGCCCAGCGCAATTTGCAATTGCAGAAAAATGAATCTCAGGGTTCTACTTCAGTGTCGCCGAAGAATGATAGACACAAAAATGGTTTCGGGCGAAGAAGCTGAAAAAGGATGGTGCTGGGACCCGATTACTAGTTGACGCGGATTCGTTGTGCAGAATATCTGCAGTGGGCATCGGCGTCCCGTGCATTTTTTTTGAAATTTATGACCGCGCAAGCGCGTCTCGGCGTTCGCGTTTGTTTCGGCAGATTATCGTGCGGTGACGAGTACTAGCGCGTCTCTGAAATTTTTGCCTGCTTAATAGAACTAGCTGTTCTGCAATTTTTATTTCCCGGTTTTGAACAGAAATTGGTATCAAATTGCTAGCTTTGGCCATCAGCTACTTTCGTTGCAAACCTACAGACACGGCAGACGCACGAGGTGTGAAGAGCCCGACACAATTTTATGACTGCAACACAAAATCGAGAATCACAACAAGGACACCTGCACCAATTGTAACATGGAGCCGGTCGAAACCATGATGACGAAGCCTGCGATCAAAAGCTTGATGTAGATATAGCAGTGCCGCATGAGCTGCGAGTTCGCTACTCTGATGATCGCTTGGGCTTGCTTGTGCTACTAGCATTAAAACTAACTGTCGAATTACCGTTCTAAACCGCGATCAGAAAAGAATCAGATCAATACACGGTTCAGGCAGAGGAAAAAATGAACGAAAAACACAAGACAGACCGAGGAAATAGAGATCCGCTGAGTGAGGTTCTCATCTCCGATCAGGACAATATTGATCATGATCTTGTGCTGAACAAAGAAAAGAGTTCTGTAGCTTATATGAATGTGATTCTGTAGCTTATATGAATATACCTGCAAAATGGCTCATGAACTGATTCCTATACGACAGGAAGAAAGGGAAAAATTTTTGTAGAGTCGTGACTGTGTTTAGCGATTCCACAGATTAGTCCATTATTTCCTCGTTCATCACGGTTTATTTCCAAGCGGTGGTTTTATCCCTTCCTTTTCACTTTTCCATTCCTTCGGACTAAGGCACGAAAAATTTTTCGAACATGGGAATCGTGAAGAAAGGGCTGACTGTCGCCGTGCGCAAGCCCGCCGAGACGACAAAGCCTGCCGCAAAGCCAGCTGTCAGTAGCGACAAAAGTAGTCCTGCCTCGGGAACATCGAAAGCGGGTGGAAAACCATCCAAAGGCGCGGGAAAAGGCAGCGGCAAAAAAGGAGGTGATAGGCCAAACACGAAGTCCGCAGCAAAAGGGAAAGGCAAATCTTCCGGAGGAAAAAGCAGCACCAAGGGCAGTGGCAAGTCGGACGGAAAGGGAAAGGGAAAAGGTAAAGGCGGAAAAGGAAAAAAAGGGTCGCGCGGTAAAGGTGACACCAGAAATGCCTCGGACAGCGACAGTGACGACGAGGATGAGAGCAAACAGGAAAAGACGGTAAAGATAAAAACGCCAGCGCTCCCTGCCGACGACGAAAGTGCAACAAAAAAGAAAAAAATTAAACCAGGGTCTTTCGAAAGTTTCGGGCTGCACCCAATCTTGAACCGCGCGATTATGAAGCTCGGGTACAAGATGCCGACGCCCATTCAGCGCAAGTGCATCCCCCTTGTCATGGGAGGCCGCGACGTCATCGGCATGGCACGGACCGGGTCGGGAAAGGTAAAAATAATTCGACTGTTCTTCCTTTTGGCCCTAATTCATAACTCCAAGACATTCATCACCTCTGCCTTTCATTCCGACGGATGAGCTCCTGATTCAAAAAATCAATCAAACGAAATATAAAAACAGACTGCCGCTTTTCTTCTGCCAACCCTTCACAAGCTCGAGCTGACGCACAGCACCACTGTTGGTGTCCGCGCCCTGGTGCTTTCCCCCACCCGTGAACTTGCGATGCAGAGTAGCAAGGCCTGCAAGCAGTTGAACGCCAACGGCGGGGACTTGCGGATTTGCCTCCTCGTGGGTGGTCAGGCCATGGAAGCGCAGTTCGACAGGCTGGCGCAGAACCCGGACGTCGTCTTCGCCACGCCCGGACGACTGGTGCATCACATGGTGGAAGCCGAGCTCTCCCTCGCCCGCGTGGAAACGCTCATCTTCGACGAGGCAGACCGCTTGTTCGAACTTGGTTTCGCGGAACAGATTCACAAGATCATGGAAGCCTGCCCGCAGAGCCGCCAGTGTTTGCTGTTTTCCGCGACTTTGCCATCGCAGGTGTTCCAATTTTCCAGGTTAGGAATGCGCGACCCGGAGGTGGTGCGGTTGGATGTGGAAACGAGCTTGTCCGAGAATTTGGAACTGGAGTTCCTCTACGTCCGCAAGGAGGAGAAAATCGCAGCTGCTTTGCACTTGCTCCGCCGGCACTTGACCGCCGACTTTCGGGCAGACGCAAGGTCGTCGTCGTCGAGGACACCTGCGATTAAGAACGGCGGTGCTGCGAACGACTTAGAGCTGGAGCAACTCCGGGCGGGGAGCAAAGGAACAATTGCGGGGAAAAAAGGGAAGGGAAAGGGGAAGAAAGGAAGTAACACTCTTGCAGGCAGTACAGCCCAATCGTCTTCCTCCAAGGAGCGCGGCGTCGTATTTTTCGTCGCGACCAGGCATCACGTCGAGTTCTTCGCCAGCTTGTTTAAGCGCGCCGGCGGCGGCATCAAGAACGTGTGCGTGGTGTACGGAAACATGGACCAGGCGGCGAGAAATGAGCAGGTATCGAAATTTCACAAACACCGGGGCGTTCTGATCACAACGGACGTCGCCGCCCGTGGTATCGACATCCCGTTGCTCGATTCCGTGATCAACTACGACTTTCCGGCCTCCGCGAAACTTTTTGTCCACCGCGCCGGGCGTACGGCCCGCGCGGGCGAACAGGGGTTGTGCTCGAGTTTGGTCGGGAAAGACGACTTACCGTACTGCATGGAACTCCTGCTTTTCTTGGGCAGGAAGGTCAAGCTCCCGACGGACCAAGTACTCAGTCCCGAGCAGGCGGAGGAGGCTAAGGGGCAAGAGGGAGATGAGAGCAAAGTGCAGGAACAAGCGTGCGGGAACGACGCCGCAAAGGAACAAAGTACAACGGTCTCGAGCAACGATGGCATGTTGGGTGCTGTGCCAGACTTGACCCTGGAAGTAGAGGAGCTGGCGAGGCTATTTGCCGCGAATGATCCCGGAAACGATTTGGTAACCTTATCCAAGTCGATGACTGCGAGTTACATCCAGTACTTCAAGACGCGCCCACCCGCGTCAAAGCAGTCCGTAAGACGCGCCAAGGAGCTGCTCGCCGACATCGGCGGCCCGCAGAAGATGCAGTGCTTGATCCACCCAAGTTACGACCAAACAGCGAAAGAGAATGGGAAAAGTAATGCGTCTGCTTCACAGAGTGGTCCGAATGCTGAAGCATCGAAAAATAGTAACCAGCCGGCCGAGGTTGGTGATTTGGTTCGGAGCTTTTTGAAGCACGCAGTAGGCCAGAGCGGGAAAAAGAAGGAAAAGCAGGCTGAGGAAAAGGATGGAATAGACACTCCTGCGGCAGAGAACAAGCAACCTCAAGCTCCGATCACAGCCACCAGCTCCTACGTCCAGAACCTTCGTGCCGGAATCCGCGAGTACAGGCCAAGTCAAGTGTGCGCGAAGAAACAGGCCGCTTACAGCGCGATTTCAACTGACGCCATCGCGAACATGAAGAACGTATCAAATGCAAAAATGTCTGGGTCTGGAAATTTGTGATGCTGGGTGGCGTATCACGATGAGGCCACAAGTGCTGGCCCAGCATGACAAGTTTCGGAGCCTCTAGGTGTTGCCTATTCTGCATGACAAACTGCGTTTCTGCATGACAGAAAAATGGGGCTCTTGGGCAACGTGCATGACAGATTTAAGAGTCATGCCAGACAAGCATGACAGACATGCATTCTTCCAGACCCAGACATTTTTACATTTGATAGAACGTTCTAGAGGAGAAGCGCGCTTTCCAGGAGGGCTGCGTCAAAGTCAGACAGTCCATGCTGCAGAAAAACATGGAGGACGACCAGGAAGAAAAAACCGCCTTGAAAAGGAACAGCAACAAGAGAAGTAAAAATGACGGAGATGGCACAACAGCGTCAGATGCCGGGGAAGAAGCGAACGGGATTAAAAAGCTGTCGAAAGCAGAGAGGAAACAGCTGAAGAGGCAGCGAACAGAAAGTGCGGCACCAAGGAAACAGCAAAATTCGAAGCCAAGTAGTACTGCTGCTGCTGCGGAGGAGGATGCAAAGCAAATAGCTTCGACCTACATGGACGACGACGATTCCGACGCGGACGACTGGAATATTGAGGTTGCTGAGTATAATCAAAGCGAACATCAAATTCCAGCAACCAAATCTACTTCCAGTTCTTCAACATCAGCAAGATCAAAAAACACCACGAGCCATCAAATCGCTACTTCTAGCAAGATACATGCACAAACGCCAAAAATCCCCCGAGCCCTTCCTACCGCTACCAACAAGGCCGCGGATGTGGGCGAGGACATCTTCTCCCGCGCGGAGCAGGGCTTTCGGGATGAGCAATTTTTTCTGTCCACCGATCGAACGATCGAGGAGGACGCGAAGGACCGCGGGTTGGACCTCGACCGTTACGAGCTCAACATCATGGGGGATGACGGCAAGGAGTTGCAGAAGCAACAGTTTGTGAGAAGGTGGGACGCCAAGAAAAAGAAGTACCTGCAAGTGAAGATCGGCGCCGATGGCAAGGCGATTCGGGAGAAGAACCGAACGAACGAGGCCGGGAAGAAGGTACGAATGCTGGATGTTTTTATAGTTTCCTTACGTGCTACTTCAACTGCTTCAGGTTGTAAGCGATTCGCTTAAAAAGTGTTGCGCTCCTCAAGCGTTTCGCTCCTTAAGTGTTTCGCTGAAGTGTTTCACTTCAGTGCTTCGCTTATGTGTTTCGCTTATGTGTTTCGCTTATGTGTTTCGCTTAAGTATTTCAGTTAAGTGTTTCGCTTAAGTGTTGCGCCTTAGTGTTTCGCTTACAGTTCGCTTAAGTGTTTCGCTTATGTGTTTCGCTTAAGTCTTTCGCTTAAGTGCTTCGCATAAGTAGTGCTTTCCTTAAGTAGTGCGTCGCTTAAGTAGTGCAGCGCTTCAGTAGTGCCTTGCTTAAGTAGTACTTCCTTCGCTTAAGTAGTGCTCCTCTTAAGTAGTGCTCCTCTAAAGTAGTGTGTCGCTTAAGTAGTGCGTCGCTTAAGTAGTTTCGCTTAAGTAGTACGTCGCTTGAGTAGTGCTTCGCTTGAGTTCTTCGCTTAAGTTTCCACTCTTCACCACACAGCATTGAGACAGTCGAAATTTTTAACATAATTAACAGGTCAGCGGCGACGCAAAGCGCACTGACGCCTACGCCAAATGGTCGAAGACGCAGAAGCAGCGCATCCAGCAGGTCGGCGAACTCGAAAACAGCAACGCCGCGCTCAGCTTCCTCGCGAGCAAGAAAAACGGTATAAGAGCTTGATAATTTTTTTTCTCGGCTCGTCGTTCTCCTTACTCAGTCGCACCAACTGTCTTTATTGATACTATCGTAAGCTGGGAAATGATCCTTTTCCGTGCCTTTTCTCAATTGCTCCATTCCACTCTCAACAGGTACCGCCACCGACACCGTAGACGATGATGCAGGAGATGCCTCCGGCGCGGTCGAGTTCGACGAGGATGGCAAAGCGGTAACGAAGAAGCCTATTGTCCCCTTCTTCGGCGAGGTCGACTCCAAGTACCTAACAAACAAGCAGAAGCGACGGCTGGCCAAGCAGGAGAAGCAGTCCGCAAACCCGGTCTCGCACGGCAAAGCAGGAGGGCCGATCACGCGAACGGCCGCGGACATCAAAAAGCTGAGGAAACGGCAGGACGACATGAAGATGAAGCAGGACAAGAGCTACCGACAGAAGAGGTTAGCGACGATCAAGGCCGCCTACTGGGAGCGACAAGAGGAAAAGATCCGGTCGAAGCAGGCCCGGCCGAGGTCGTTCGCGATCTGGAGTGGGGGGAAGAAGGACATGACGAAGAAGCAAGAGAAGAAAAAACAGGGCAAGAGACGAGGACCAGTGCCACTGTGAGCAGACGCACTGCGTCAAACGTTGTAACTGGTTTGTTTTCTCGGATGAACACGCGACTAGTTGATGGTGCATTCTTTGCAGGCATGATAAGAGTAAAAGAAAGTACTAGTTACACACTACATCATGGTCTATTCCACAAGACAGTTGCACTTCGACATTGGATTAAGACGTGCCTGCGGATGTGTTCTCAATGAGGCCATACAGTTTTTGCAGTCGGCACTCTAGCTTTACAACTTTAGTCGTGCGAACAACAAAATAATCAGATCGGTCGTACACGAACTTGTAGAGTTTGATTCTCGGTTTCACTTTCCAAACACGCCCTGGTCGGACTTCGAAATCGGTGACCGTGCAAGATGCTCTCGCAAATGCTATACGTGCAGAAATAAACTTGCGTCGTCGTTCCATTGTGTAACTCGTTTTCGTTTTGCTTCTTCCTTTCGTTTTACTCTTATCAATCTCAACTTTCAAATCGTGACAGGTACACCAATCGAGCTCTACTCAATCCCCCTCCTGCTCTTGTCCGTATCCCGGACTACGATGCACCAATGCTGAGTCCTTCACTCTTGGAGTAGACATTTAGTACTTCTAGAAAATCACTTCCACAAACAGCAAGTCATCACCTCGCATTCCGAATAAGCCATTGAAAATTCAACAATCACCTGTTCCTGTGGTAACATCATACCTCTTTCATCTTAGAACAACCTCAAGCACTATCCAAAATGGCGCCGGGCACGCAGTTGATTCTGGGCCGCTACGAGATGGTCACGGGGAAAGCGGGTTTCCTGGGCGAGGGGAGTTTCTCCTTTGTCCAGAAGGGGACCGATATTCAAACAGGGATGGTTGTCGCGGTGAAAACGTTTAAGATGGACGTTTGGGCCAAGAATCCGTCCATGAATCTGGAGAAGTTTCAAAAGCAAATCGACATTTTGAACCTTTTAATGGAGCCAGTAGATCCGAACAAGATCAAGTACGACTATTTGAAGCACCCGCTCTTCTGGCAAGTGAACCCGAAGAAGGCTTTTTTAGAGATGTGCGCGTATTCCGTTCAAGCAGACGGGAGGCCTGGTATAGACGCCAAGGACGGGGTGGTCTACTTGATCACAGAGAAAGCGGACTACAGCATGAAGGACTTCATCGAGGAAAGAGCGAAATCCGGGCAGCCGCTGGACAAGGCAACGGTGGCACAGTTAACCAAGGCGTTTCTGATTGCCATGGGGATTTTGCACGCGAAGAACTTGACGCATTTGGATGTGAAGCCCGAGAACATCATGGCTTCCAACGGCACGTGGAAGATCATCGACGTCGACGGTTGTACGGACATCGACTACAAACTCTACCCGGGCGACGCCTCGGTCGCGTTTTCGCCGATCTACTGTGCGCCGGAGTGGGCGAACTTTTTGGTGGACCCGCCGGGGGAATACTTGCCAATTGTGGATAAGTTGGACGTCTGGTCGACCGGGATCTCCATCGCGGAGCTGGTGACCTTGGACGTGGTGTTAAAAAACGTGTTCAAGGAAATCATGCGTGCGTGCGGCGACCCAAATCAGTGCACGTTTCAATTTCTCGCCTGGCTCGCGAACCCAGCGAACGCGGTTCCTTTCGTCCCGGAGGTGCAGAATTTCGACCCCCAGTTCGTCGATTTGGTCTGCGTGAAAATGCTGACCAAAAGGCCGGCGGAGCGGTGGTCGCTCGCCCAGTGCATGGCACACCCCTTCGTTGCCAACGTCGAGGTCCCCGGGTTAGACGTGCCCACCGCCGAGGGCGCGGGAACCCCGGCGCACTTGGGCGGCGCCATGGCGGATAACATCAAGAAGAAGCGGAACCAGCGGCTGCAGGATTCCGCCACGGACAAACCGCCGATGATGAAGGGCATGATGTTCAAACTGAATTCCGACGGCGACAAGAAAAACAAGGATCACTGGTTGAAGCGAGACATGTGGCTTTCCAGCAAGGGCGACTTGTGCTACTTCTCGCAGAAACAGGCGAAGCGGCTGATCCTGATGGACCGCGCGCACTTGTCCACCGCGAACGTGATTCGGCTGGAGAACGGCGACTGCGCGCTGCCGTTCGCTTTCATGCTGGATTCGGTTACCAACGGCACCGACCACGAGTCCCACTGGTTCGCGTGCGAAACGGCGGAGTCGCTGCAGCAGTGGGGGGCGGTGCTGGAGCACGTGATCCATAACCCCGACGCCGTGGGCGCGCTCGACGCGGCGTTCAAGGCGCAGCTCGGGATCCACCAGGACTTCCGGGAGTTTCGCATGATGATCCGGAACCGGCGGGACAAAACCAGCAACAAAGACGACTTCAAGCCGGTGTACGAGGCGCAACTGTGGAAGCTGAACCACGACGGCGATCCGCACAACCCGAGCGACTGGCTGCAGAGGCGCATGTGGCTCGCGAAGAACGGGAGTCTGTGCTACCATTCCGCGAAAGAGAACATATCAAATGCAAATATGTCTGGGTCTGGAAGATTCCGAGATTTGTCATGCAGTTTTTCCAAGCTCCGCCACGTCTGCAATGCAGGGCATAGCATCACAGGTTCTGCAGCCTCTTGGTGATGCCTATTCTGCATGAGAAATGCCCTCTCAGCATGGCCAGAAATGGACAGCTTTTGCAAGTCATGCAATACAGGTTCTTGTATGATTCGCAACATACATGATCACAAGTTCGCATCCTTTTAGACCCAGACTACATATTTGCATTTGATAGACCAAGGATTTGATGTACTACCGCCCGGAAGACATCCGGTACATCCAGTTCCGAAAATTGTACGATAACGAGTCTTGTCGACCGTTCAGTTTCGAGATGACACCCCGGGCGCTCGAGGGGGTAGAGTACTCCCCCGGTATCTTCGCGGCGGAGGAAGAGCAAGTGCAGACGATTATTATGGGCTGCATCGAGAGGTACCAGAAAATCAAAGAGGAGAAGGAGAAGAACAAACGACGGGGCAGGTGATAGGAACAGATTCTTTTATCAGGCTTTGTCGAAATGTGATTTTAGATAGTAGAACTCTTCTTATAATTCCCTTGACCCGTTTCGCTTTACAATACGAACTTACCAGAAAGTTGTAACATGATCCCCGTTTCATGTCTCATTGAAGGTTGCTTTCTCATGATAACGACCTCGGTATGATGAAGAGAGTACACTTTTCTGCGGTGCAAAATGGATTCTTACCCGAACAACATTTCCTTAACATATGTAGCAAGTATTTCGAAGGGCAAAACGAGGACGAAGAGCAACGCACGGCTCAAGGGTAGTTGCTAGATGTCTCTGAAGTAGGGGCCGGGAACGTCCTCAACGTCGCTAAACAGCAAAATTGCCTTTTGAGTGAGAGCGAAGCAGTTTGTTTGACGAGGGATAATGAGAGTCGATCAAAAGGCAAAACCGCAGACCTGCAACAAATTTCATCATTTGAACGGACCTTTACCAAGAGACACACCGTCACGTCAGCCCACAGTTGAGTGTCACGAGTTTTTTTTTCGACTGTCGTGAGCGACACGTGTGCTCATCTGTCCTTTTCGCACAACGTCTTTTCGTCACGTTTTTTCCATGGTGGCTGTGGTGAAAAAGGGTAACAGCAAGCCTCGAAACAAAATGGCATCCTCGTCCGCCTCGGCGCCGTCGAAGGGGGAGCAACTGCCGTCGCACGCAAAGAAGGTCAAATTCATGTACCAGGGCGGCAATTACTCCTTTGACCTTATCATTGGCGAGGACACGACTGGGGGCGGAAAAGCGCCGGTTTCCGGGCTCTGCAAGGTCGGCGCTTTGCAAACCGCGTTGGAGGGCTGGATGTCCCCGGTACAGCTGAAGTACACACTGTTTGAGTTTACACCGCAGTACGAAGCTGGCGGGGCAAATACCAGTAAAATTGGTCAGCACACGACATCTTCACATCCGTCCAGCCTGCCGATGAAGGCGATCAAGGGTCCCCCGATGTTTACCGTGGATCTGAGGCGCCACAGCGAGCACGTGTTTACCGGGGACTGGGTGCACGAGCGGGGGAACACCCTGAGTAAGTACCAGTGCGCGCTGGTGTTTGAGCGTGTTCCGGGGAGTTACTTCAATCTGTTCGACAAGGGGGAGCGCGTCGTGCTGACCTCCGGAAGCACGCCGTACAACCAGGGCAAGATAACCCGGGTTTTCTACCACAGCATCCCGGACTACTTTTACGAGGTCGAGCGGGAAGCAGATGGGTCGTTTCTGGAAGTCGGGGAGGGAAAGCTGGAGTTTCCGAAGCTGCAAGAAGATGCTTTTCGTGGAGGGATAAGATGAATATTCAGCTACTTGTTTTTTTTGTCGTCATGAATGCACGTGCAAGTGGTGGTGACCATGTATGAAGTTACCAGGTTTCATCTAGTTTGTTTGACATCGAGTGGCGGTTTTTGGGGACAAAAATGCACATTGTCTTTTTTGCGATGAACAAAGCAAAACAAGTGGAATTCGAATTTTCCTGTTCAATGATTGAGAGCGTGAAAACCCTCCTCCAACTGGGACGCGACGGCCGGTCGTCCCGGAACCCGCCTTTCGTTGTTCGCCGCTTTGCCGGTCCCAAAGTTCACAACGTCTCTGAAAAACATCAACATTGATCTAAAGGCTTCGGATCCCAGCGTTCTCAATTTTTTTTTCGATCTGTCTTCCCTGTGTGTCACAAGATTTGCTACTGCGACAGGCTTTTGCAACTTTCCTGCTTCTCTCAGCGATGCCGTTTCTTTTTTGACTGAGCCGGCCTAAGTTTAAGTGCGCACCTAGAGCTCCTATGTTTACTTCTCTTTTTACGTACCTAAAGCAAACCCGGGACACGAACTATGGACGTGGAGGCACTTCATTGGGATGGGGGAGCATCAGCGTGGCCAAAAGGACGACTGGTGCCTTACACGAGCAAGCTCTGCTACTTCGATTTTGATTCCTTCCCTGACCGGGGACAGGGGCGCAAGTCCAAGCTATGCATCCTCCTTCCCGGCTTGGGCGACGGATTCTGTACGGTTCCATGGTTGTCCTGTTTGGGAGAAAAGTTGGTAGAGCAGGGCGATTGGTTGGTAGTGCAGCCGGTTCTGAGGTCAAGCTACTCACAATTTGGGTTTCACACACTCGCGGACGATGTACAAGACATTGAGGAGTTGCTGGCGGCGGTGAAAGGCCGTGTGGTAACAGGCATGGCACCAATTCAGGACCTCTTGCTGGTCGGACATAGCACAGGCTGCCAGATTTTTTTACGTTGGCTTGTGCATTATTGCGAAAAGCTGAACGCAGTAAATGCCAGCTCCGATCGTATCTTGGACAGTATGCCAGAGTACGGAAAAATCCAGATTATTCTGCAGGGCGCAGTTTCGGATCGAGAAGCTACCAACCAGATTCTTTCCAATGATCCAGACGCGGTGAAACTGCTGCAGCAGGAGCTGGAAAGAAACGAAAATAGTGACAGCAAGGAGCATTTGCTAGAGTCGGCCACGCTCGCTCATAAGGCCTTTGACACGCCGGCGATCACCAAGTATCGTGCTGCCTCCTTGTACGGGAAACTCACCGAAGACGATTTATTTTCTACGGATTTGACTGACGAGAACCTTGCCCATATTTTCGAACCAGTGAAACAATTTTTAGCCAGAGAACCCAGCGTGAGGTTGCAGATCCACTTTTTGTTGAGCCCAGAAGACGAATTCGCGACCCTGAAAACGCGCGACGAGTACAAGAAGTTCTTGCAACGGTACTGCGGGGTGTTAAACGACATTGGTGATCGGGATCACCTAGCCTCGTACAGCTTGTACAGCGGAAGCCACAATGGGGAGGACGTGTCTGAAGCCCTTGCTGCAGCAAGTCTTGCGTTTGCCATCTCTGCCCCGACACTTCGGACCAATTTTGTCGCAGACGCAGTAGATTTCTTCGAGAAAGTACCCGGCAGGAATCAGGGTCATCATCACTTCATTGACCATGTTCGCATCATCGGACTGGTTGGTGTCCCGGGCTCGGGAAAGAGCACGGCGAGCGATCTTTTACGCCGAGTCTACCCGGGCCTGGAAATTCTGCCGGTTGATGGTTTTCACATACCCTTGGAGAGGTTGAGAGAGGAGCAAGGGGACGCGGGTGTGTATTGGCGTGGAGCGCCGGAGACGTTCGATCACGATGCTCTAGTTGCAAAATTGTCGGAAATACGCCAAATTTTACACAAGGACGCGGACAACGTGCAGAAGGGATATGGGAATAAAGATGTTCTTCCCACGGTGGACTGGCCCGCGTTTGACCACGCGAGGGGCGATCCGGTTTATGAGGAAGGTGTCGGTGTATGTCTGAAGCTCAGTGGGAAGTTCAAGGCGCAAAGTTTCAAGGCAGCAAGGACGAGGATCTTGTTGCTCGAGGGCTTGTATCCTTTGTACTGGCCTGAGGTGCGGAGATATTTGGATGGCGCAATCGTGCTGGACACGGTCACGGTCGATGAGGCAGTGGAGCGGTTAAAAATCCGGAATCAGTGCATTCCGGGTTACACGAAGGAAGAAATATTCGCCCGCTGCGAGGAAGTAGATCGGAGCAACGCAAATCTTGTCGCCAAGTCCATGCACGCAGTGGTGGAGAACTTTGAACGCGCCCCGTCGTTTTTTTCTGGATTTCCTGTTTTACGCATTACAGACTAGCGATCGACTGATATTTCAAAGCAGCACATTGCTGAGGTTTGGATAGAGCGCGATCATGCTCTCGATGCCTGTTAGTGACTACTTGAAGAATTGTTCGACTTAGTCTCAGTTTTGGCTGAAGCTGCATGGATTCGTGTGGCTTCAGCTTTGTCGTTTGACGTAGCTAGTCGTTATACAGCGGCCGCGCTAAGTTTCAGCTCTCGGATTCATCTTCCAATAGCACGTTGTTTTTGCAGGTGGCACTGATTACTTAATTGCGTTCGTGTTTCTGATGCTGATGCCGGGTCATCGTCCGATGGTGTCTCTCCCGTTTTCCATTGCCACGGGGACGAGTGTCTCTAGTACTGGGCCATGGACGAAAGTTCGGGGCACAACCACCCGAAGCCTCTCGAACCCGCCGGCGGTGGTATCTAACCCATTTGGAACAAAGACAGCGCTGCCCCCCGTCAAGCACTTTTCCTCCCAACGCTACTGCGTACACGACGGCGACCGGCTACAGGCGGCACTCGTGTTGGAGCGCCTGCCCACCGAGTTTGTCGAGCCGCCCTGGGCGAGACGGTGGCGTTTGTTTCAAGCGGATTGGAAACAGCGCACGGGGAACGACTTGGACCTTGCGGACGAATTAGCTTACATGCATTTCCCGACCCAGTTTCTAGACAAGTGCGACGAGGAGCAGTGGCTGAACCGGCAGAAGGAAGGGAACAAAGAGAGCACTACTGACACTAGAACAAGCGGTACATCAAACGGCGGGGCTGCTAGCAGAGAAGACGAGCCCCAGATCAGCGAACTGGAGCAACTCCTTGCGCCAACAGACCCGTTTGGCAGCGGCCTTGCCGTCGCTGGAGGGGATGGTGGTATGACGATCAAGGGCATGGGAAGGGGGAAAAAGGTAAATATAATTTGACACGAATAAACAAAAGTTCGTGTTTTTCTGCCCGAATGTAGACTGCGTTTAGTTTGCATTGTCACTGAAGATTGATTGTAGTTTTCGCTCAGTACCTGTACCTGATGAAACGCTCTACATACTTAAACCTATGGTCAGGCGCGTTCCAAATCCGCGAGTAGAGCGGCCGACGGCGGGATCGACTCCGGCCAGGAAGGCAGCCTGCGTTCTCTCACGAAGGCGCCAAGGACCGTGCTGTACTTACTCGTGAAGTACCGAGGTACCGACCGATGGACCTTTCCGCGTGCGAATGTACTAGCCGACACCGGAATGCGGCACACCTTGGAGCTGCTGGCTCACGAGCAGCTTGGCATGAACGACCTGACTTTTGTTGGAAAGGCGCCGGCGTCTTTTGAACGGTTTGTCTCGAGAAGGAAGGTAAGGTTTGTGAGTTATACCATTATTTGCTGCTAAAGCTGCATCTAGCTTCATCTTTGTGGCATAATGCGGTTTCCATGTTGAATGTGCGTGATCAAAAATCATACGAGGTCTTCTACTACCGTGGGCGCGTAACGCCGCAACGGGTCGGCACAATGACGGTCCCGGAAGAGTCTCCTGTGGAGGATTACGCCTGGGTGGAGCGAGCGAAGCTTTCAGCGTTTGTGTGTAAGAGGATTATCAGAACATGCTGGCCGATGTTGCTCGAAACGCCGTTGTACGGCAGTGATGCAAGCGCAAGAACGCAAGGCTAGTCTTAAGCAGGAGTTGACACAGATTGAATTTTTTGCAAAATGCGAAAAACAAAAAGTGGGTGGATAGGCTGGTTCACACTGCTGCCTCGTGCAGTCAAGTATTCACGTTACTTAACTAGTCGCCTGTCGTGATCGTCGTGATGTCGCAGTCGTTGATAAAAAATCGCATGTCGTCTCCTCTCCACCGCTGATCGTTTTACATTCCTTCGCACTGTCCCGACCGTGGCTGTCGATTCGTGCTTGATTTTTATCGATCATGAAAAATTCTCCGGCAAAGGCCGCTTTACGTAGTTCTTTCGATGTTTTGAAATAGTCTTCGTCGGTTGAGGAGGACCTATTGCCAGCCGTAAGGATTTCGAAGAAACGAAAAAAACAAAATGGCGACTGGGAAGCACGTAACAGACGCGTACGCGGAACGGAACCCGTTTTGGCACACCGCCGAGGACGTGACCAAACAGCACGAGAAACTCAACGACTGGTCATGTGTGGCCGGCAAGCCGATGCGGGGCTTCCCCGACCTGATCGGGGCAAGTTTACCCGGTTACCGGTACGGGATGACCACCGCCGTCCGGCCGTTGATGATTATCAAGCCCTGTGCCTGTCCGGGCGGGATTCTGCAACCGCCGGAAGAGTTCAAGTACGGGGTGCGCGACACGGATGGGCTGTGGCATGTGCCGGCGGACAAGAAGTTTGCGGGGTTCTACTCGAGCGATCAGCTGGTCGACGGAAACTCTAGCAGCTCGTGTGGATCATCGTCTCGACGTGTTGGGAGCAAGAAAATCAAAAGCGGAGCGCGAATCCTTCTGCCGATGAAAGGGAAATCACACCTAGTGCAGGCGTGGCAAGTTCGGCCGGGCTTAACTGTGATAGGGCAGCCGGCACCTCCAGAGGCGGACAACTTTTGCTATTCTGACGACGTAACAAGGACATCAGTCGCAGCGGGAAAGGAAAAAACCACCCAAGTAGAAGAACAAGAATCGGCGTGGTTTGGGCAAAGGTGGCTCTCGAATCTAATATGGCAGCTGCGTAGTGGTTCTTCACGTAGCACGCAGCCAACATCAACTTCAATCGCAGTTGCAGCAACGCAAGACGCTACTGACACCGGTCCTTCATCGAAGCCTATAACTGCTTGCAAAAAAAGCAACTTCTTCTCCGCTTCCCTCGGAACCGAGCCGTACGCAGCGGACTTTGGCTGCGTCGACGGCCCCAGCACGCGCGGGGACGACCCGGGCAAACGACAGGGCCAGTTTTGGACCACGGTCGTCCAGGAGACGGACTGCCCGTGCGACACGGAGTTTTCCATGATCGTCAACAACGTGAAACGGCCGCAGGTCGACGTGGTGTTGAACCCGACGACCATGCAAACGGTGCGGCAGATTCTCAAACTCGACTACCCGCTGGAAGAAATTCCGGAGAATTACCTCGCGGTGCATCAATTTCTCGACACCAAACGCAGACTGGGAACCCTGCAACCTTACTTTCAGCCGCAGGGCCACACGTGGGTGTTTCACGGCTGGGGCGGGGCGGGGGACATGAGCGGGGACCCGATGACGATGAATTTCGGCTACGCGGGAAGTACGGACCTGAACGATGGCCGGCCCCTGTCGCAAACGCGCATGGACATCGCCAGCGGAGCGGTGAATTTTTCCAGCGGCTTTTACTAGTGGACACAAAAAGAATTTTCTTCCTTGTATGATCGATGGCTGAAGACAGTACTCCTTGTTGTAATCTTCTGAGGGAGGTTTTTTCAAATTCAAATGAACGTAGCTAACTTAGAAGATAGAAGCACCAGACTCGCAGCTCCCAGTCGGAACGCATAATAAGGCAAGACATTATTGACCTGCGTTTTTGCACGCATATCTTAGTTGGGAATGCCCTTTGTCATGTTTGCGCTGTCGTGCTGTCATGACAGCCTGCTGAGAGAAATTAAAGAAGAAAGTCTTGCGATCGAGATGTGGCAGAGCGAAGTTGCTTCATCGAGAAGTTGTGCGTATGTTGAGCGAAATTTTTCTGCTTCGATGTGCGTGAACGTTTTTTTCGTTTCGTTCGTCTGTGTAAAGAGAGCTTTTGTCGTGTGTGTGGACCTGTGTTAGTCCGTGCGTGCTTTCACTGTCGTTTTTTTCCTAAGCATCTTCGCCTGTGCCTTCTTTTCTTGATGTGACACAAAGATGTAGTCAGTGAGGCGTCGATTTTCATTGGTTTGCGAACAGAATATGGGTTTTTTGAAAAGAAGATAGAAAAACCGTCAGCACAGTTCTTCATTACCAAAGGCCCCGCTTTCATGGCGTGCGAGTGCTGCCGCTCAGCATAAGACGAAAACGCTATCCACCTGAATCGACAGCAAAGTGCTCCAGGGTCGCTCTAGCGCGCATGAGGTCGCTCTTCCGGCGGACGTCCTTTGGCGGTAAGAGGACCGAGCCGTACAAGAACGTCGGTGAGCAAGGGGCTGTTTCGTTGGAAGATGCTCAGTTCGAGTTCCTGCCGGGTAAGTCAGACTCATTTTTGTACGCGTGAATTTCATTCGAATCTTTTCCCTTGGATGTTAAGTAGCGACCAAAGTTTTTGTTGTGAAAGTTGTTATTCATGCGGTATGCGAACGATTCATTCCGTTTCCGCTCCACATTTAATATTTGAATTCAGGCATCACCCCGCGGTCCCCCGACGAATGTCTTGCACCAGCGCCCGGGCAGCCGGGGGCGTTGGACTCAGCGGTCGCGCCTCCACCCCGACCGCTGGAAAATCCGCCGTTGACCTTCTTGAATAGCAATGCGCGAAGAAAGCAGAACAAGGACTTCTCCAACATTAACGCCTCCCCGCGCGTCCCCTCATTATCCATGAAAATGCAGCGCAGCAGGCGAGACTCCGGTGATTCCGTGTTTTCCTTCAACGGTGATTCGAAAGACACCGCTCCGGGAGGTGGCGGGGACGGGGAAACGTTGAAGCACGAGGATGAGCTGATTTCGCGGTCCCGCGAGCAGGTAGCGGCTGCGAATAGCAAAACCCGCGAGCAGTCCGTCAGCAAGCGCGGGCGCGGCCGGGAGAACTCCAAGGAGCGGGGCGGCGGCGGGCGGGAAGACAGTGTCATGAGTCGGCGAGACGACTCGGTGAGCCGGAGACCCGGGCTGATGCGAAGATTGTTCTCGGCGAAGGGGAGGAGAAAAGACGACGAGGTCGTGAAGGTGGTGACCGACACAAACGCGGGAGGGGCCAACACAAGCACGACGGACGGGGCGCAGAGCTCCGCCAGGTCACACGAGATGAGCGCAAGGAGTGCCAGGTCGAATTTGACCGATCCGGAGTCCGAAGATCCCGAGGCATTTTTGCAGTACGCGCAGTATTTGTTGTCCAGCGGAGAGAGTTCGGATCCGAGTAAATTATGTTCGAAGGAGCACGTCCAACAGGAGCTGAAACGGGTGCCGGAGGTAGTTGCGATGTCTGCTTGCGTTTTTGTCGCTTTCTGTTCTTTGAGTCGCGGAAATGATTTTCTTGCACAGGGTAACGGTAAGCATAAGCCTAGGCATGACAGAAAACTACAAAGGCCAAGCAAACTACTCACTGACAGATTTCCTGGCTCGTGAAGTGCGCAATGCAAGCACCACTACCTGCGTTTTGGACCCTACACACACCAAAGGGGAAGGAGAACGCGACACCGTAAGTTATTTTTTTCTGTAGTTCGGGAGCGTGGTTTCTTTTTTAAAGTCTTGTCTGCATGAAGAATTTTCTCATCGTCACACTGTGCACCAAAGGGAAATGTCTTCTTGCACCAACTCCCTGCACAGGTATTACGCGAACTCGCAAACAATGGAATCCTGCTGGACCCATCCAAGTGACGCAACGTTCAAGTCGATGATTCTCATTCTGCAGCGTGGCATGGACATTCGCGGACAGCTGAGAAGTACAACAACACATAATTCTTTTGAGACACTGAAAAACCGGGCCTTCTTTCATTGCATATCTAGCGCAGAAGCTTGTTTCGGCAGTCACTGTGTCGTGGTACACTTGCAAATATTAATTCAGGACTACTTCCATTAATCAGATATGTACTCCGGCGTCCTCCAACAAGCGGAGAAGCTTTCAACGCAGTGGCAAGGTCCGTACTACGAAAACGAAAAGGCTTACTACCACCACCTCTCCACCGGCCGGTCCGTGTGGGGTGACCCATTCGCGAATAGCCACTACATCGCAGAAATTTGTGTCAAACTCCTCGGTTTCTTCGGTTCCCGCGCCGACGTCCTCGAAGCCGCCGGGGGATTTTCGAAGAGAAAGGAGGCCTTGAGGCAAGCGAGGAGCCGACTCGAGCAGGAGGTCGGGCCACTGGATAGTCAGGAGCTGGCCTATCTGTATCAGGGGAACCTCCCCGGTGCGGTCCTCGACCCCAGTCCGAGCGTGCAAGGTGGCAGTGGACAACATGCACAGAATCCACATGTTGGCGCATCACACCCGATGCAACTTCCGGGACACCACCAGCAGCCCGGTGCCATGGTGCAACCAGGAGCTGCAGGCCAGATGCACTTGATGCCACACATGATGCAGAACCCCATGATGGCGGGCGCCAATCCGATGATGGCAGCTGCGAATCCCATGCTGGCCGCCGCCAATCCGCTCTACAATCCCGCTGCAGCGGGCCAGTTTCCCCAGTTCGCGTACGGGGCGCCGGGTGCTGCGCCGGGCGTACCGGGGATGGTGTATCCAAATCCGCAAATGGCGATGCAGTACTCGCAAGGGTACAATCCAGCCCTGCAGCCACCGCAACCAGGACAGATGCAACCGGCGCCGAATATGTACACTGGGGGCAGTGCAGGTGGCCACCAGCAGCAAGCGGGGAGTAGTAGCTCGAGCTACAATACTTACCAACATCAGCAACAGCACGCTCCGGATTACTACAGCAACGCCTCCGCCGCACAGTACGGCGACCCAAGGGTGCACCCAGGAGGGGGTAGTGCTGCTGCGTCGGTCAACCCGGCCGATGAGCACAGGCCAAACACTGCGGAGCAGAAAGGCAGCGAGTGGTTCAACAACGATCGAAATTTAGTGCGGTGTAACAGTCGCGGCAAGCGGCGCGACCGGTCACGAAGTAAGTCGAAAGAGCCGGACGGGTCTCTGCGGAAACTGGTCCGGGTGAATTCACGAGATAGCTTACCCAAGGACATGCGGCTGCCGAGTCCGTTCTCCCATGGGTACAAGGGACCCGCGCAGCCAGTATCCTGATCAAAAACGTCCCCACACCAGAGTCAAGATGGGGATTTCGCAACACAAACCTAGGAGTTTTGGCAGTCACGCATGACAAGTTTCAGTCGGTAAGGTAGTGCAAGTTAGCAAGGAAAGCCGCATCACAAATCGATCTGCTGATCCTGTTCACAGCATCACAAATTCCAAAACACGATTGGAAATGGCTCTCATGGGGATGCGCGTTACAAGTCTTCCTGTCTTTGCAAATCTGCATTACAACTCTGGCGTGGGTACGTTTTTACTCAGGATAGCCAGAGCAAGAGCACTACGTGCGGACAAACACGTCGTTGACAGGGTCGCGGAATCCAAGCCCCGCACCGCAGCCCAGTATCGCAAGAAAAAACTGTTTCACTGTGAGCTTGTGATGCAGAAAATGGAACACAGAACTATTTGTCTTGCTACACCTGCAACACATTGGATTTTCAAGCGTGTTTTCCCTTGGGAAGCGCGCATGACAGACTTTCAGTGTTGTGTGTAGCAAACTTGTGATGCAGATCTAGCAAAATCATCACAGTGAAACAGTTTTTTCGTGGGATACCCAGAGTAGAAGATCTAATGCGACAAAGTCGGGACTACGCGGATCGGCAGCTGAAGAAAGCGCCGACGCCCGGAAGCGACGGCAAAACGCTGGTACAATAGAAGGTAGATAAACGAAGTGCTTGATCAACATCTGTTGGATGCTACTTTCGAGCGTGCCTGATGTGGTTTTCTGTTTGATGTCTATACCACCTTTTTCTAAAAGTCACGTCACAACTTGCCCAAAATCACAGACGTACAGTGACGACAGTGACCAAGAAGTTCTGAAGTAGCGGCCTGGGCAGTCGTGCGGTCTCCAATGGTGCCTGGGGTCCAAACGGAGACGGACGTGCTGGGGGAAGATCACAGATTTTTTGGGTAAAGCGCAGTACTACACTATGTAAACCAACCATTTGATTGACACTTCAACTTTATGCAGAACTTCCTTTCTCTTGTTTTTGGTCATTTTTGACGGGCCAATGCGACTGACTGTAGCAGATTTTGACCGATATTGACATCGTGTAGAAAAAGACCAACAGACGACTTGAACCTTGTGTAGGGATTACGGAGCCCTGTGCTGCGGTACTTGTATCGCGAGCCTGGTCCGAAATTGCATGCGAAGAAAGTAGAAATTCGAGATATGTGCCGATTGTTTTGAAAGAGGTCGCAATTATAAAGGCCGAAAAAGTCCAGCTGTTCACGTTCTGACTTTCTTATTCTTTCGTGATTTCGTTTCTCTTCGTCTTCGTACTTCTATGTATTCCACATTAGGTTCGCAAAGATATCGGTAGAAGGTTCTCTTCTCATGTACATCGGTCTGATATTCGCCCTGTCGTCGTGCTGGTGCTGCTATCGTGCAAAAAAACGCTTTCTGTTTTTCCTCCTTCGTTCACCTTCACTCTAATCGTTAATCTGAGTCTTTCTTCTGTGTTGTCGTGGTAAGCAAGTAAACCTGTTGTAGCTAAATTCAGCCTCAACATCGTGAAGATCAAGATTTCCTTTTTTCTCTCTCACAGGCGGTATCCCCATTGTACGCTATGCAAAGGCTCGCTAGTGGTACTATTATTCCTTTATCGTGTAACCCACGAAACAAATAAAAGCACAACTCACACGTAAAGCATGCTACATGCATCTTTCTATCTTGCGCTGATAGGCAGAACTGAACGAAAAGCGACTTCGGCGTGAACTCAGCGGAAAAATGCAGGCCGCCGGCAAGCGGTTGGTCAATGCCTGGTATACGCCGAGCCGGAGCGCGTCTCCGGTGCGGGCCCAGGCGAGTCGGAGTGCCTCTCCCACACGAGCGCACGACGTTGTCACTACAATCAACGGTCCCAGGCGCGGCGAAGCCGGTAGCAATCCAATGCGACAACCGTGGCAGCGGTCGGTTTCTCCCCTGCCACCGCATCTGGCGTCGCAATTGCAACGGTCTTTGTCTCCCATGGTCCCCTTCGCAACAGATGTTGCGCGGACCCCGATGCAGACAGATGACGAAAGAGGCCGGTCACTTTCGAGGGATGTCGGTAAAAATGCATGCGGAGCAAAGAATTCGTACCAGGAGCGCCCGGTCGTGAATTTGCCCCAAAGCAGCGGCTGCAACACAACTTCTTCTCGTCCTGCTGCCGGCCGGCGCTCCCGGAGCCCGGACATTCTGTTCTACCAAGAGGAGGCGGCGAAGAAAGCCTTGCCGCCGTGGATGCGGGGCGTGCAAGTTGCTCCGAAGATGGATGAAATCATGAAGCCGAAAAACCGAACTACACTGGACATCCAGGGTGGTCAGCAGCCGGATCTGCACTTCGCCGGCAAGCCCGACCTGCTCCCGGACGCGAACCCCATCAGACCGCCGGGGGATAAAAAGCTGCTGCCAAAAAAATCCGCGGAGTTTTTCACGACCTCCACAGTCGCGGAGGACAACGGCCTGCAGGTCACCAAAGCCGGGAAAACGCCGAAGGAGGAAAGAAGTAACCGGCAAAAGACCCACGAACTCATTGACCACCCAGAGGAAGACCGCGAATTGGAGAGGCAGGAAGCGGAACACCGATTCCGGTCTTCCTACACGCACCAACACGCCTGGGACCACAAGTCGGAAACGGCCGATCGCTCCCCCTCGCAATTGAAGGCCCAGAAGGAGCAGCGCCGGAAGGTCCCGCAGCTCAAAATCGGGCAGAACAAGGACCAAAATTTGACTGGCTCGACGTCCGAGGGTGCAGCACTGTTCGAGCGCCGCTTTCCAGGCGACACAACGAATGTAGCGGGGAGTGGCAATATCAAAACTGGAAATCTTCGGGATGACCCGGAAAGAAAGCTAAGCAAGAAAGTGTACCAGCCACCAGTGCCGGAGAATAAGGAGGTTGACGCCCGGCTGCGTGACAAGAAACTCGGGTTTCACCACCCGGCGGATCTGGAAGACTTCCGAATTCGGGCAAAGTCGAGGCAGGACCACATCTCGCCCGACAACGGCATGTCGCACATGTCGCCAATCCGCCACTCCAAAGGCACAGTGCAGGAGAGACGTATATTAAGTTTTTTTTGGCTCGTCTACTTGCTGGCATGAATGCTGATGATTTGATTTGTTGGGATTGGCTTTACAATACCAAACTGAAATTTAGTGCGACCACGACTTTTCGCCAATGTAGTACCGTATCAAAAAATGAAAACAGGGTCTCCGTCCCCCGGCGAGAATTACAAGGGTCGTAACCCGCAATTGGAGAGTGATCACCACACGCAGATGCACGACGTATCAACTGCAAAAATGTCTGGGTCTGGAAGATTCCGGGATTTGTGATGCATATTTTGTATGATCCATGATGCATGTAATGCATGATCTAACATCACTGATTTTTAGACGGCTTTCTGATGCCCATTCTGCATGAGAAATGCCCTCTCCGCGTAACACAAACTGGACTCCTGTTGCTGGTCACGCAATACAGATTTTTTTGGAATCCAAAGACAGCATGACAAGTTGCAATCTTCCAGACCCAGACATTTTTACATTTGATACGACGACGACGGAACCCATCTGCCACCGAAGCAGCGGACCACCTGGGCCGAGCTGAACAACGAGCAAAACGAAAAAAGGCAAAGTCTTGCGCACGCGTACAAACACGAGAACCATCGGCCGGAGCGCTGCGCACTGGAGCGAAATCGGGGAAGCATTGGGGACGGTGTCCACGGATACACGTCTGACATGCGCGACGGCAGGAACCACTGGGAACACCACCCGCACGCGTTTGATCGCAAAAAAATCGCGCGGGAGACGAGCTTGTTCAACCTGCGGCAGGCGAAGATTGATAAAGAGTTGAATGACGCTCGGAAGTACGGCGTGGTGAACATCAAGCCCTACGGGGTGTACGAGCCGCAAGCGTGGCGGCGCTCGAGATTGTCCCCCCGGGACCGCGTCGACTACCCCACCCAGTTTGCCGCTTTCGGAGGCCAGAGAGCATTGGAAGGCACTGTCAAACCGCGCTACGACCACGCCATTCCGCGCGGAAGAGCGGTATCGCTCGACCGCAAAGAGGCGCAACATCATGCCAGCAATAGTAATAAAGCGCTGTCTTTGTGGCAACAGCTGCGCGCGAAACGCGAGTCCGTCTCTCTGAAGGTGACGGACCCGCACGAAAGCGAGCAGCGCCGCAACAACGGTCGGTTTGCGCACAAGCGGGCGAAGAGCGCGGTGGTGGAGCGGCGCAGCGAGCAATTACTAGAGAAAACGTATCAGAAGCAGAAGAAGCCCGCGGAGGCTGCAGATTGGCATGAGGCGTACCGTGCGCGCTCGATGCAGCCGGAGCTGCGCAGGGTGAAGCCGCAGTCAGACTTGAAAAATCACGAGGGCATACGGTACGACCTGGAAAGGAAGCTGGGAAGTCAGCACAGCGGTATCACAAACGTGCACCTCACCAGCTCCGATGCCTACATGTCCATTGGCGCCGTGAAGCACGACTCCCCGCACCGCCGGTCCCGTACACCAAGGACTCCGCGGAGCAACACCAGTAGGAGCCCGGCGTCCACTCGCCCAGATATGCTGAACCGAACAGCTGAGAGCAACGCCACCGCGGGTGATGATTTGGACCAGAGCGAAAACAAAACCCCGCAAAACTACTACACTGGAAATGATGAGCTTGAAGGCGCCACGATTGCCGGCGCGCAAATCAACCAGGAAATAACACCTAGAATGATCGACGGGGACGAACATCTTCCCCGAGGTGTCGATGCACATCCACACCACCGTGGTCCGACTGACGACGACATTACAATGGCGAAGAAACTCTCCAAGGACATCGAGGTGCACGAAGAGATGAACCAGCGGCACAGACACCCCTCGAAGGGCAAGAAGCGCAACTTTGACGATTTGGTGATCACGCACGCGGGGCAGCGAGGCGGCAGTCCCGTGCAGAAGAAAGCGGTTCCGGATGTGAAGCATTTTTTACTGGAGAGCGACCACGCCGGTGCAAAGTCGGAGAGGCTCACGCCCTCGCCGCCACGGATGTCGGAGAAGCCTCTGAATCCGAGGAGCCCGTATTTGACCAGTGTGGAAAAAGCGCCCTCCCGATCTCCGCCACGGCACACGCGCGGTGACTCGCTAACGCGGGAAGTGGAACTGATTTTGGAAACCGGGACGGGAAATTTGCTGGTCGGAAATTACGGTACGGACGCAGTATCAACAGCCGCCGACTACGATAAGACGATCCACACAGCGAAGAACCCGCTTAGCAGTACTCTATCTAATGTTGAAGCGCTCTTTCAATCATGATTTTTGGTGTGATTCTGTGTGCTGTAGTTCCTTTGTGCTTGTTTCAAGAACGCTTCTGACTGTAATTTGGATGTCCGCTTGCTACCCTGATGAAGACTCGACCAAACAATGACAAACTCTTTCAAAACTACAGGCGCTGCTTTCGGAGGCCAGTACAAAATTAGCCGTGACATTTCGCCGGTGCTCCGCGCTCGCGACCGGAATCTGGTGGGCAAGCCCGTGAGGCAGGTGATGCAGCACACTGTCCTAGACCACCCGTTGGACTTTAACAGTCGCGCGGGGGTTTTGAGCTCCCACCTGCAGGATCACCACATGGTGACTCTGATGTTCGATGGCGAAGACGCGGAACGGGAGCAGCGCAAATTGCGCGCCCTGGCCAACCGGCAACGAGTCCTAGTGCACGCGCCGCCGCCAGCCAGGCACCGAAGCAGCCGCGAGGAGCTGCGGGCCATCCGGATGCAAGCAGAAGATGCCAAGTTAGCGTTACTACACGAAGAAGCGAGGTCACTGCGCGCCGCGGGCACGGTAAGTGATTTGCACGCGCCCGGCGCCGCGCCCCTCAACATGAGGAGGTTGCGGGAAGAAGGCATTCGACCCACTACGGGCAAGTCTTAGGCAGTAGAAAGCTTGAGTCTACAGAAAATCGAACATCTTGGCAACATAGGTTGTCTTTCCACGATCCGATCTTTTTTTCACTCTTTTGAATATACAATCAAATATATAATACTTGGTTTGAGTTTCCTTACTTATTCAGAACACAATAGTGCCTAGAAACTAGCCCCCTGCAATATTCAGAAGTGCCACAATTCGTGATAACCAAAAAACTCTCAAGTATCACGGCGTGTAGAAAAAAACCAACCCCTTTGAGGAATGCAACTGCATTTGCGCAACAGAAACACCCCCTTAGACCACAATACTTTTACATCGAATTTCAGTGCCATGAAGGAAGAGCAGCGTTTGTAAAGACGAGCCCACCGTGGTTTTTTTCACGTCAGGAAAGCACCATCGTTTGTCTCCGATGTTCGAACGCCTAGCATAGGTTCAGGATCTCTCTGCAGAAGTTATTTGTTTTTTCTCCGCTGCGGCTGCGTACTTTGATGCGATCCATTGTTTTGATGATGATCAACTGCGTAAAGTAATTATCGGTGCGGATGCGAATCCCATCACCTGCAGGCCAAGATCGCGAAGACATAATCTTTTTGTTTATAGCCAGATCAATAACCCGGTGCCAGACGAAGTAGTGCTAGCGTGAGGACGATAATATTTTCTTCTTCGACACTAGCGGAAAGCCCTTCAAGTAGTCCTTTACGTAGAAACAAGTTTCTTGTGCTGTTAGAAAAGGAAAAGCGAAGAAATCATGGGAGCACAATTTGGGAAGTTGTGGGAGGACTTGAACACTCCGGAGGTCAAGGAGGGAGCAGCAAATGGTAAGTTTTCATGTGGTGTGCATGTTGAAGTTTCTGCTGCCGTATCTGTATCATCAACATAGTACTTTTTATGCATGTACTCTGGCACTGGAAGGGCTACTTCTTTCATGAAGATTTTCATTTTGCGATCGCAGTACAATTTGTTATGCAAAACGGCACTCTACAGTCTTGAACAAGTTGCGGCGAGTAGTCCGAACAGCGTACTGGATTGGGGGGCAGACGTGCTGGATACTTTCAACGGGAATGATCGTTCTCATCGCCCCCGCGTTGGCGGAATTCGACCGGGAGTGTGCGCACTTTGAGCTGACGGCCGCATTGCAAGCTGCACAGATCCAGCAGCAACAGCAGGGCATGGCGGGGGCACCGATGTAGGGCGTCAGACACCCGACGTCACGTGTGTCGTGCCCCAAAAATTCGTAAAACTTGAGACTACAAACCTTTTCTTCACCGGCGACATCTCGGCATTTCTTCTTGCTGCGTTCTTCGTAAGCAGCTCTTAAGTGAACACTAGTGAGAAGTAAACGACAACGCAGGACAAGACTTTGCCTCCAGCAAGTGAATAAACTGCGGCAACTGGCTGCTGCGGATACTTGCGATGTTCGGAAAATAGATCAAATTAACACGATGATATCGGAGAGGGACGCATAGCACAGGGGTGCGCTTGCAGATGTTTTCACTTCTGTGATGAAGTTAGTCACACAGCCTCAGACTACCAATCTGACTGGATCGCATCTTGTTGCCTCAGTCCGTTGCTGGTTCTATATTTTCTTGGTACCTAATTCGCCACGGAGACCACTTTTTACTTGGCTTGCAGTAAGTTGTAGGATTCATAAATATTTTTAGTTTCTGGTATTGCTGTCCTTTATTCATTTTCCAAGCATCACTTTCACTACTTGAAAAAGAACTCTCAATATCTTTACGCTGACAGTCAGCCCAAAGTCTTCGCGCAAATTCTTCACACAAAATGGCTGCTTCTTCGAGCACAATAAAGGTTCCGATGCCGGCGAAGCCGCAGTTCGAGTATGCGTTGGAGGCGAAAAAGTACAAAAATCCCGAATTCGGCGAAATGGGGACGCAGTACTGCCACTTGTACCACGTGCGGCTGCACGAATTGAAGCCGCATTTGCTCAAATCCATCAGCGAGAAGTGGGGGACGGACGCCCCCGTCTTGGAGAAGATTGCCTTGGTGAACCTTGCGGATTGCGAAGTGGGGCAAACGTACGTCATCATCGGCACGTTGATGAAGAAGTTCGCGAAAAGACAGGGCGTTTTTGCGAAGGGAAAGCTCCGGGACAACGTGAATGAAATCACGGATCGAACGGAAAAGTGGGCAAGTGACACGGATACACTGGTACAATCGAAATTTTTGAGAATGTACTAGCCCTGTCTGGCACTTACTGGTTTTTGTTCTTCAGCGCTGCTACAAGAAGCTTGTTGGTGCCAACATGAACGCTTGCATCTCGTCTCTTTTTAATATCGTCATTCAGAAATAGAATAAATCCCATTACAACACTCACACCAGAGCGCCCACGACGATTCGTCGCACATCCAGCTCTCGGGCGCAGTCAATGTCGGCAGCCTGGTTACGGGCATGGTCGTGGGGTTGAAGGGAAAGAAAACGTCGAAGACGTCGCCCTTCGTAGTGGAGGACGTTTGCTTGCCGGGCGCCCCGCCGACGTACTCCTACGGGAATTCCAGTTCCTCCACTGCTCCTATGGACATTGACGGGCAAGCGGTGAACACGAGCCTAAACCTCTTGAGACCCATGCAGAAGGACGGGGTTTACTGCGGGTTCGTGTCTGGCCCGTTGCTGGCACGGAAGGAAGGGCTCGCAACGCTCACGGACCGAGTTGCGTCGGACCCCAGGATAGCGCACCTCGTGCTGGCTGGGAATACGGTATAGAAGATACTTGCGTAGTTAGTACGTTAGGAGTAGCAATTTCGCGGAGGAGGTGAAGCTATACGTGCATTTCGTTGTACCACTTGCAACAACTTGAAATTACTGCAAAATTAGAAATCATAAACCACACTACAGTACTCGAACACGTTGTCGAAGATTAAAAAAGCGGACAGCGCGTTCGCCACCCTGGGTAAATTCGTCAGCGTCGACATCCTACCGGGGTTTCGGGATACGCACGTGGTCTCTTTTCCGCTCGAAAGACCTGCGCCCATGCTGTTTCCCGAGAGCGCGGAGTGTCCGAACGTGCAGGGTGTACCGTCCCCGTTTGACGCCCGAATAGGAAACTTGCGCGTTCTAGGCCATGCGGGCGAGCCCACGGACGACATTATGAGGTACAACTTAAGTCAGTGGGGCGATACTATGTTGCTTTCATCCATCAACATGGACTTTTACTATCACCGCTATGATTTTTGGGCGTGATTATGAAAATTGTTGTGAACAAGAACATTCTTTTATTGATGGTCCTCGTTCGGCGGCTTCAGGTGCAGCACCGTCGAAGACACGTTGAGCGCCCTGCAGCTTTCCCTGGAAGCCCGCCATGTGGCTCCGACCTGCCCCGACACCCTGAATTGTGCGAGTTTTAAGGATGTGGATCCGTTGCTGCTCACCGAAAGTCCGACCTTGTACTTTGCGGGGAACCAGGCGGAGGCCAAGGCCGCACGCTTTCACAATACGACACTGCTTTGCGTGCCAGATTTGAGAAAACAGGCGGCGTTAGTGCTGGTCAACATGTACGACCCAACAGACGTCTGCATGGAACTGCTGGAGTGGAATTGACAGTAAGCCGAGGCCTGGTGCCTCGGTTTTGGCGGACAGAGTGGACAGATCTGGCGGTCGAAAAGAACAACGGTGTTGAACTTAAAGCTGACCACCTCCCACGATCCGGCGGCATCGGCATGTTCATTAGCAAAACATTCAAGCGCAAAGATTGATGATGAGACGCCGCGGCCCTCTGCAAGAACAAAGCTATTGCACGGACAGCCCGATGAAGATCTTCGTCTTCCTGACTGCCAGTCTGCCTGTTCCTATGATCAGAGTGCACCGTGTCAGACTGGAGGGAACAAGAGCGACGGGTTTATTTTCTATGAAGGCTCAACATTTGATCTTGATGCCCAGAAGAAGTAGCACAACCGTGTATGTAATAATCAGCAGTGAGCACAACTCGTTGTGAAGCTTTCCATTCCGAAATCATCTAGCAGTATGCAAGCGGGGTCTTGCAGCCAGAAGAAAAAGATGGTTCGGCGCCGAGCCCCTCGCGCCTCTGCCTGAGCAAGCAGATGCGCAGGGGCAGGGCTGTGGTACGGCTGCCGGGGCTGCGTAGCAACCCGTGCTGGGTACTGCGACGTTTTTGATCACCCCTACAGGAAATAAGGCATTCCCAGTAGAGAGAATGCAGCGTCTTCTTCGCCTAGCATGTCCGGTGCTCTGCTTCCTGCTGCGGGAATGCGGTGGGATCGGGTTTCAAAACCTTGCGCCCCCAAGCTACAAGTATCGCGAGGCGAAAGAGGCGGCGATGCGAGAGGCGGCGCTCCGGAACGCTGGGACGGCCAGAAATGCTTTGAGTGAGATCCTCACCGCGCTTTTTGAGGTGAAGGAAGCGAGCTTCAACCAGCATGAAAAGGAGAAGAAAGCGTTCGAGAGGAAACAACGAGGATGTGGGAGCAAGTTGCCGCAGTTGCAGTCCGGCCTGCTGAAAGGCGACCAGGCCGTGGTTGCGGCGAAAAAGGTGTTGAAGGACGTGAAGAAGGGACTGGAGAAGTGGACGGGGTTTTTGGAGAAAGTCAACGGGAAGATCCAGGGTCAGGAGCGGGACTTGGAGCAAAAAAAGCGGGACCTGGCGGCGGCGATTCGCAGCGTTGAGGGGGAGGAGCGGGAGAAGAAGCATGTTTTAGCGGAGCTTTTACGCGCCGCAGAAATGCAGCGATCGCCGTCCTCGACGGCGCAGGACAAGATCCGAGAAATTTTGCAAGCTTTGAAGCTTCCGACGGACAATCTGGGCAAAGTTGAGGAATTTGCGGAAGACGCGGGAACGGAGCTCGATGAGGTCCGGAAGAGAAAAAAAGACGCAAAGAAGGACCAGGAGGTGTTGCATCAAGCACTCTTTGTTTTGTCGCATCATTTTGTGAAAAATGTATAATGTGTCTTGCTCGAACTCGAACAAACCTCCATCTTGGTATGAGAAGAAACAATCTGGATGATCATGATGCCTAGATAAGACGCTCCTTCACAAATACTAAATCGATAAATGCACAAACCCCACCAGCTGGCCCTCCATCAAGCGAAGCAAACCGCTGAGAAGCTGCAGGAGAGGAAGGAAGAAGCTCTGGCACAGATCAATCAGCTCGAGGAGCGGGCAGCGGGCGGCAAAGACGACCTGCGCATGGCGGAGAAGCAGTTGGACCAACTGAGCAAGTCGGCGGAGGATCAGGAGGTGCTTTGCGGCGTTGCCAAATACGAGTGGGACCAGTCGACGAAGCAGTTCGCACAGCAGATGAAGGACTTCTTTTTCGCGGAGAAGATGCTCGGGAAGACGGAGGAAAGCGTCAATTCATTTTTGTCCCTGGAACAGCACGACAACGAACAGATGAAGCTGATGCGGGAGAACGCTGAGGAAACGACGAGCAGCACGAGTAAGCTAGACGGAGCGGAAACAAGCACTGTTGCTGCAGCGGCCGCGTCATCTTCTTCTTCAACAAAACAGCAGAAGTCCAATTCTCTTCTTCCCTGGAGGAAAAGCGAGACCAACGACTATTTCAGCACTCACGACGTGATGCCGTGGCTGCTGCACGGCGACCACAAAGTAGAAGATCATTCGAAAGACAACGCAAAGCGGGAAACGAAACTCGACGAAAGCAAAACAAGAGCGCAGTCGCCCCCTCCAGCATCGATTAGCACCAGCCCAAGCGCTGACATTGACCGGTTGCAGAAGCAGAAGTTTCTGTTGACGGATTCGGCGCTTTTGGACAAGGCGTTTGATATTGTCGATAATGTTGTGAATGGACCGCTAGAGAAGCCGGTGATGACTTCCGACACGATTCCGTTTACAACTGTGAAGCTTGGAAACAGTGACAGTCAAGAATCAGAAAAAAAAACACCACCTGCTGCTCCGACGTTCTTTCTGCAACTTGGGTCGAAAACGGCGACTGCCGCTGGTGCAACAGCTGAAGGAGCAAAAAAGCATGAACATCACGGGAGGAAGGCTGAGAACTTGCGCAACATGGCAAACGCGGCTCTGGATGCGTTGAGTCGACAAAGTCTTCCTTCTAACGAAGCTGCAACGACACAGTCGTTGATCACAACTTCCGTAGAAGATGACCTCGTCTCCCCCGCACAAGAAGAGGAGCAGCTGCAGAAGCAAATCGATGAGACGACAGGAGACACCAGCACAACGAAGTCTGTCGCACTCCTGCAGGCAGGCGCAGATGGAAGGAATAGGAAAACGAATGACCAACAAGCTGGTGAACAAGACAGCATTACATCCCTGCAGTCGGATGAACAAGAATCCTTTAACTACACAGCTGAACGCGGCCGCGTCGATCCCTCTTTCGACCGATTGCAAGCCGCTGCTAAACCACTCGACCTGCTGCAAGCGGCGTTATTGTCCCAGACCACCGCGGCCGGCCCGTTCGACAAGGTGAGGCGCATGATTACGGATATGATCGGCAAGGTGAGGACGGAGATGGCTGCGGCGCAGGACAAGAAGGCGATGTGTGAATCCGAGGCGGAGAAAAACCGCAAGCAGCGGTCAAAACTCCGCAAGGCGCTGACGGGCATCGACCAACAGATGAGTGTGGTAGACAAGACGCTGCGGGAGAACGGCCTGGCGCAAGACGACAACCGAAATCAGATGGCGAAGTACGACGTGGCCGTGCAGGACGCGAGCAACCTCCGGGCGGATGACAAGCAAATCTCCGACGGGTTGCTGCACGCGGGGAAAACGCAGTTGCAGAAATTGGATAGGGTCGTGCAGAAGCTGCGGGAGCTCTACGAGGACACTTTGGAGGACATCCATTTTGCGAAAGAGGCGAGGGTATCAAATGTAAAAATGTCTGGGTCTGGAAGAATGCAACTTGTCATGCTAAATCTGAAGCATGTAAAAATCTGTGTTGCATGATTACCAAAAGTCGTCCAGTTTTGACCAAGTCGGGAGGGAGTTTCTCATGCAGGATAGGCATGAGAGAGATCGCGCAGAATCTGCCATGCTAGGTTCTGCATTCCAGACCTCATGGGTCATGGAAAAGCTGCATGACAAATCGCGCACTCTTCCAGATCCAGACACTTTTGCATTTGATAGAGGGAAAATGACGAATTCGACTCGGAGGACTTCGTGCGCGGAAGGAGTGCGGACGTCGGCTTCTCCTTGGAAGACGTCAAAGCTGCGGAGGGCAACGGAGAGGAAGTAACATCAAATCCGCATGATCTCCTGCCGACCTTTGCTGCGCCGGTTGAAGCAGTGGGGGGCGGCGTGTCAAATAAATCAGAGGGGCGTGTGCAGGTCGTGCCTACGACTGCGGCTGGTGTAGTATCCGCTCCAGCGATCGCGCAAAGCGCTGGCCTAGCAGCCGAGAATGTGCAAGCGGAGCGTGGTCGCAGTTTGCCGCCTGTTTCGTCGGTTGTACTCCCGGTACAGCCGTTGACCGCTGCTGTTGTTGGGCAGCAGGCAGCGCCATTACCACAGCAAATCCTGTCCCCAGTGCCGCAGCCGCAGACAGAAGTTTTTACACCAGTAGTAGATCCTCGTGCCACCTCTCCGTCGTTTGAACTTGTCCCCCTCGCTCAGCTCCCGATGCTGAACACCATCGCTGCGCCGCCAGACTTGTCGCACGATCTCGAGAGAATGCTCGAGTCGTCCAATAGGCTGGTGCAGTTCGGAAACAACGCGGCGAAGAGCATTATCACGAACCAACGTTCATCTGTACGAGGAGCAACAATGCAAAACACACTGACATCCTCTTTCACGAGCTTTCTCCAACAAGCGCAGCAATCAACCACGTCAACATCTTTCGCCGCAGCGACGGCACTGTCGCGAAAAGCGGTCAATGAGAAAATTGAAGACGAGGTTCGGGAAGAAGAACAGAACCTCGAGCGGGAGGAGGAAAACCAAGAATCCGACCAGTCGATTGGTCTGCGCATCAGCCCGGTCACCGTCGACAGCTGGCGGCGGGCGCTGGCGCTGGTGGAGAAAGTCGCCGAGAACCAGATGCTGAAGCTGTTCGTGGTCCGTGGGGCAGATTTGCGCGACCGGGCTCTGTTTGACCAGTTTGTCGCCACGCAGAAGCTTGCGAAGGCGGAGCTGGAGAAAAGCAACCTGTTTTTGCAACGACGCATGGAGAAACAAAAAACCTTGTTGAATAACCTCAACACCGACCGGGAGGAGAAGCTGAAAGAGCTGAGCTACGTGGAAAACTACTCGCTGGAACTGAAGCAGACCTGCGCTGGACCCAGTGCGGAGGAGGCGAAAAAACGCAGGGAGCAAGAGATCGATGGTCTCAAAGACGCGCTCAGCATTCTCAGTGGCGAAGAGGCGGCGTGATTTTGCATTTGCTGAGCTGCTCTGTTTTCTTTTCCCAACTTGAACTTTTGCACATCGAGATCGATATACGTAAAACTTCGCGAAAAAAATAAAAAAATATATGCAACTTGCACAGTTTTGTTTGCTGTTCAAAATAAAGAAGCTCCGCAGCTGCTTCTACGTTGCTGAGATTACCCATTTCTTTGTTCCATGGCTCGATGTAGAAAAAAGATCTAAAAGTGCGACAGCTTTTTCAACGAATCCCAAATATTCACCTATGCGGGACGAAGATCTCACCAGTTTTACTTTCTTGTGGACATTGCGATCAACTTTCCGGCTGCAGACGCGTGAGGCAGCTCCCTTTTTCTGCGCGAATGTAAATCAGATCTGTAGTTTGAGTTTTTTTCTCTACCAGCACAACGATCCCCAGATGTTCCGTTTTAGCACTTGAATTCGCATCTGATCTTGCATTCGCAATCCAGGCTCTGTATTTTTACGCACTGGCTGGTTGTTCTAGTTTCACAAAATTAGAGTATTAGTCCAATTTATTCCTACAACTTCGCTAGATTTCCTCCTCCTTCGCACTTACCTTTTTACTGCATAGACACCGTTTATTTCATCTGGCAAACACAGTTTTCCGAAAATGGTGGTTCTTCCGGGCGCTGACGAGATTCCGGATGAGGAGCGGAATATGTTCAAGCGGAACAAAGAACCCAGGTTCTACGAAAATGACGTGCCGAATGTAAACGAGCTGGTGATGGTGAAAGTGCTTCGCGTCGCAGAAACGTCCGCCTACGTGCAGTGTCTGGAATACTCAGGTCCGCGGTTTTTTTCCGACATTGGATCGGCATGATTGGACAGTGAAATAATGCACATATAATCTTCTTGCTATCGGAAATTTCTGCGGACATTTGTTGAAAAAGTTTTCTTCTATTACCATCAACAACAGGTCTGGAGGGTATGATCCTGTTTTCCGAAGTCAGCACAAGGCGAATTCGATCCATGTTGAAGGAGATTCGGGTCGGACAATTTTGCGTCTGCTTGGTGCTCCGTGTGGACAAGGAAAGAGGTATTAGGTTGAATATTTTAATATTTCACGACGTTATGAGAAGTACTAACTCACCTCCTAGGAAGCTGAATGCACAACTTCCTTTGTCTAACAGCCGCGTTTTTTTGCATGGAGTATTTCAAACAAATTCTACAAATTTACTCAGGTCACTTGGATATGAGCCGAAGACGTGTGAATGCCGACGACCGAGCAACTTTCTTGCAGAGATACACCAAGTCAAAGTTGGTCCACTCCACGATGCGACAACTTTCTGCCGTGCACCAGATTCCGTGCGAGGAGCTGTGCCAGAAAATCGCATGGCCGCTGTACAAGAAGTACCCGCACGCTGTGGACGCGTTCAAACAGTACTTCTGATGATTTTTGTTGGCAGATGATGTTGATGGCTGCAACTTGCAAGTGATTCACCAGGAAGACGTTTTGCGCGGTGCAAAATAATAAATTTCTTCGCATTCTCTTCGCGACAGATGGGTACAACTATCGGCAAGGTGTCGTGCGGATTTTTCTACACGATGTCATGAAGATTCACAAATAAATTCAACAGCTACATCAACTCCAGAGATGAAGGCATTTTTGGGGACATGGATGTCCCAGAAAAGGTTTTCAAGAACATGCTGCAGATCATCGAGAAGAAGCTGACCCCGCAGGCCATCAAGCTCAAAGCAAAGATCGAGGTAATAGAATAGTGAATAGAGCTACAACTTGTTGTAGTTTCAGCAACGATTTTTTTTGTTTTTGCGGTAGATGATCAACATCCTAGTATGGGGATTGGGGTAGAAGTAGTAGAATCGTTTTTATAAAGTTATCCAATTTCAGGTCTACTGCTACGAAATCGAGGGCATTTATGGAAGCGTCAGGTTTGAAATCGTCAAAGTTGAAATAATTTGTGATGCGTAAAACGGGCACCAGTTGGCGCCTAGTTTTCAAGTGGCGCATGACAAATTGTCCGAGCACCGGAATCCAATTTGTCATGCTGTTTGGGCACAGAAGACTGCCTTTGTCATGCAACTTCAGCAGCTCAGTTTCTACACCTCAACAGGCTTACAATCTGCCTCACTTGCCTACTCTGCAAGACAGGAAATTTGTGGGCTACATTTTATGCATCACAAACTCTTTCAACTTTGTCGATTTCAACTCTGACACATCCATAGCATTGATGCCGTAAAGGAAGCCCTTCTCGCGGGACTGGATCAGTATCAAATGCAAAAATGTCTGGGTCTGGAAGAATCCGAAATTTGTTATGCTGTTTTTGCATGACACAGAATGTCTGTCATGGCAGCCCTACCATCACAGATTTTCAGAGGCCTTCCTGATGCCTATTCCGCATGACAAATGCCTTCCAGCACGCGTAGCACAAACCGGACTCCCCTTGCTGGTCATGCAATACAAAATTTTTTAGAGTCCAAAGTTAGCATCACAAGTTCCAACCTTCCAGACCCAGACACTTTTGCAATCCATAATCAGGGCGAGGCAGCGAAAGTAGAGGGGTCAACCATGGGGCAGATTGCCATCAAAGTGGTCGCTCCACCACACTACGACGTCACCACGCAATCGGTGGGAAAGGAGGCCGGCATGCAAGAAATCGATGCTGCGCTGGACCGTATCAAATCAACCATCGAAAAGAAGGGAGGTATACATACGGTTAATTTATTGTTTTCCACCACGGGGCCAAGTTCATGCATTTGCATTCATTTTTTCATCGCACCCCCGAGATGAAGTGCCAGAGTAGCTTGGTTTGTTCCACCCAAAGGCGCGTCATGAATTTTATCTGTAAAAACCTCCACATAAGTAAAAATGTTGTTGTCTTCATCACCAAACACAGGCGTTTTTGTCCTGAAGAGCAAACCCGAGGTGCAGGAAGGCGGTGACGACGAAATTCTGGAACGCGACGTTGCCTCCGACGCCGAAATATGGATTGCAAAAATGTCTGGGTCTGGAAGAGTGTAAACTTGTCATGCAGGTTTTCCATGACCCATGAGGTCTGGCATGCGGGACCTAGCATGACAGAGTCTGTGAGGTCTCTGCCATGCCTATCCTGCATGAGAAACTCCCTCCCAACTTGGTCGAAAGTGGACAGCTTTTGGCAGTCGTGCAACACAGATTTTTGCATGATTCGGCTTTAGCATGACAAGTTGCAATCTTCCAGACCCAGACATTTTTGCAATCCATACGAAAGGGATGACGACGAGGAAGACTCAGACGAGGAACAGGACGAGACCATGGGTAACGTGGACTTGTCTGCTTTCGCAGATAAAAAACCGTGAAGGCCGCACGACATGGAAGAGAGTATGTTGTCTCACCCCAAGACAGTTCGTCGTGGGCACAGTGAAAGAACCTGCGGACTGTCGCAAAAATTCTTGTTTCCAAACAAGAACCATACGTAATACTTATCCAACTACGCAGCGCGCTAGCTTCATTTTTCATTTTCAGAGTCGACGACCGAAGGGTGTTTGCAATCGATGAAAAAATGTGAGGAAATGACATGAAAGTTCTAGTCCTGCGGCGGGAGGCAGTTCCTGGTGATGAGCAGTGGTGTTCGAAACGTGGATGAATTCTTCGCGTTGCATTGATTTAAATCTAGTATATGTGTGGTCCTGAGCACGCGAAGGAGAAGGCGCAGGCTTGAGAACAGCGCAGCAGTAAAAACATCGATCCTGCTCGAATGAAATACCAAACCAAGGATCACCAGATGAAAAATGGATCAAGATCCCCAACTGAGTGAATTTTTTAGCAACACTTGTCTGTGAGTGAGATCCTTTTCGAAGTCAACGAAATTTGCAACTTTTTCCAGTGACGTTTTGTGACATTATTTCGTTAGACTTATTCTTGTTGATTTTATTTATTTTGTTGATGATAAGATACATTAGTTTTAGTAGCGAAAGTTGATAGATTTAGATCGCATAAGATCACAGCACATGTATCAACGCCGATCATTGTTTTTCGCGGAACATGTTTTGCTTTTGAGATTGAGTGGTTTATAGGACAACTGCGCGGGCGACAAAAAAGAACAACTAGACCTTTGTATAAAAGTGTAATTTTTGGTCAGTAAACCTCCACACCTACTTATTTGAAAGCGACGCACGACTTGTATAAAAAAATGAAAAGAAAGTAATTGTTTGTACCGTTTCCCTCAAGTTTTGGGATCTTCATGAATTTGCTTCATGCCAATTGTTTTAATGCGAATGATTGGCCCCATGCTTCACTCACACTCTGTGCAAGAACGCCAACTGCTTCCGCAATGGTGATCTGAAGTGCTGCCAGTGCGGGCGTCTTATCCAAAATGCACGTTTTGACACCGTATTAACCGGAAAACGCAATCCCGGAGATGTCTTCCATATCCGGAGTCCAAGCGGGGATGCCGCAGCAGCAGCTGCAGCCCAACCCGCAGCAACCACAGATGCAGCCCAACCCACAACAGGGGCCGCCACAGATGCAGCAGGGCTTTGCTGGTGGTGCGCAGCAACCACTGGAGGCTTGTCTCGCTCAGCTGCCCGCATACACCAATTTGCCACGGCTCACAGCCGACGTCACGTTTCTCCTGAACCAGATTCGCACGCTAAAGCCCCACGTCAAGCATTTTGGCTCCCCCAACGGCGCGACGGTGCAGCTGTTCGTGCTCGGGGGGACGTTTCCCATTCAGTACAAGGGGGGACGGTACAACATCCCGCTCACGATGTACTTTGACCCGCCCTACCCTTCCAAACCTCCAAGGTGTTTTATCACGCCCAGCGATGGGATGCGGATCAAAGACCGGCATAATCACGTAGACCGAACTGGAATGGTGTATTTGCCCTATCTGAACCAGTGGCAGATGGCATGCACTTGCGGGGAACTGATCGCTTGCATGCAACAGGTAAGTACTTCCTACTCAAAGTTGTACTTGAGAGAGAGACAACGTTCGTAAAGAATGCTTTTAGTTTGAAATTTGTTCAATCAACAGGGTACCTCCTAGATAATCATAATTTCTGCTAAAATATCTTTAGGTGTTCGGGGAAGATCCTCCCGTGTTTGCTACCGCCAGTGCCTCGTCTCAACCGCGACCGGCGCAGCAATATGGTGGGAATCCGAACCAGAGCACGTCCGGCAGTGGGATCGTGGCCAATGCGCCCCCCATGTCCAACATGTCCCTCAGCGGAGTCCGTCAGCCGAATTCCGGCCTGCCCTCAGCCGCGCAGCGAGCCGCGATTCCGCAGAGTTTATCCGTACCCAGCGGAGGAGGAGCCACGATGCCTGTCACGATGCCCTCACAGTCTATTTCGGGCGGAGCAGGAGGTACTACCGCTGGTGCCTCTTCCGCCAGCAATGCCGCGCAACACACAGTTTCGCAGCTTTCCGACCAGATTTCCATGATGCGGGCGGTTGGTGGAGCTGGTGGAGGTCCACCTGGAAACAATAGTATGAGTGGTGTTCCACCACCGCAGCAAGGACAGTTGTCCCAGAGTTTGTCCGGCTACAACAATCCGACAAATAACACAGGCTATTCTTACACCGGGGTGTCGCAGTCTGGTGCGGCGATCGGGGTAAATCCCGCGACCGGGCAACCGCTGTCGTACAGCTTTACGAACAGCCCTGTACCTAATCCCAACTTCCACCCGCTTGCCGTCGGCGGGCTTCCCGGGGGAGGAGGTGGGATGCACAGCAGCTACAGCGGGATTCAGCAGCACTCCGCCCAGGGAAGAAGTACGCCACCCAGCATGGGCGGAACTAGTAATATGATGCAGCAGCAACAGCCGATGATGAATCAGTTCCAGAATGTCATGCCGAACAGGCAAGGCAGCGCCAGCGGCGTTTCGCTGATGGGACCACCGGTCGGTGCATCTTCTGGCGGTAATACCAGTATGTCAGGGATACAACCGCAGCAACAGACAGGTGGTCTACCTATGGTGTATCCGCCAGACCAGATGATACAGTTGCAGCCCGGGCAGCAGTTTTCCGTAAACACCGCACAGCCACCGCAAATGCTGCCAGCATTGGGTGCGATGCAGCAACCACCACCAATGGGCACCCCGCCGATACTACAAAATGCACAGGTGCAGCAGCAGCAGCAGCTAATGAACGCGAGTGCTGCCGGTGTTTCCGGCGAGTTCTCGCGGCAACAGCAGCTGCAAGCCGCCGTCACAGCGCGTGTGCATCGCGATCTCCCAGTGGTGCTCAGGCCGGTATGAAAATTCGACGACGTTCTTTTTTTCTGGTGATGTTACTGCTTCAACTGTCATGCACGTTTATTTCTATGTGTATGTTGTACCGACGTGGTTACCGACTAGGTGGACCGAACAACATTTTCTACACCGTCTAGAATAGAAGTGCGTAGAATTATAAGAATACGCAATATTTTTCAGGTCGTCGCATCCATTCAGGAACAGCTTGACGTTGGCGAAAAATTGCAGCAACATGGCAACCAGCTGCGCAACACGGTGCAGGATCTAGAAGCGGAAGCCAAGAAGCAGGACCAAATAATCGAAGAACTCGAGCAGACAAAGCTCGCGTTGCAGGCGGTAGAGATTTACTTATTCTTCATCGTCTTTTAGGATTTTTGGGTTTGCTGTTACTACTTGATTTGAATTCAGCGAGTCAAAGGAAGAAGTTTTGAAGATGGATATGAATCACAAAAAGAAAAAACCAAAAACAGGCTATCAAGAGAGCGGAGGACGAGAAGGACGTGAACATTGACGAATTTCTCGAGCCACGCGACGTTTTGAGCAGGCAACTTGTGGACCTTATTGCCGAGGACTGCGCATTGGAAGACAGTCTGAGTCAGTTGGACGAAAGCCTGAAGGAAAAGACCCTCACCGTGGACGCGTGGTTGCTGGAGGTGCGTGACTGCGTAAAGCGGCAATTTTACGCACGGGAGCTCAAGAAGAAGGTAATGCGGGCTATCAAACTGCGAAAAATGAATAACCCGAACAATGTCTCGGGCGGCTCGCTCGGAAGCGTACCTGGATAGCAATGTGGCAGGTTCCCCTCAGCTCCGGCCGCGATGTGCAGCTGCTGCGCAAACACAAACATGCATAGCCATTTTACTTCCTTATTCTTACATTCAAAACTAACTACTTCGAAGTTAAGCAGGCGACTCAGCTGGTCTGACCGTTCAGACAACAATATTGTAGCCGTACCCCGCCCGTCTCTTTACTGCCTAAGTCCCTACATTTTTTACTATTTTTCGGCACGTGCCGCAATTTTGTAATCTGATCTTCCACGATGTGCGCTCTTCCTGAAGAAAGTTTGGGTTTTTTCCAACGATTTGTGGAAAGTTGAAAAAAGCGCGCCCCAACGTGCCTCTCCGGGAAATTATGTTCTGCACCATCTGCATGAACTACGTGTTGTTAGTTCTGTTTTGATAGTACCACTTTTGTGGATTTGAGATCGAAGGTTTGAAGGTTTCTAAAACCTTCCGCCCTCGAGCTTAAGTCCGGAACCATTTTTTCCCCGCTCTACCCCAAGAAAAGACGCCTTATCCGTATTCGAATCTTGTTTTCACTACAACCCCCATACATACAACATCAACAACCCTGATGTGGGTAAAATCACCTACGCGGCTTAACAATCGTACAACGTGATAAAAATGAATGTCCTGCCGGCAGCACCAACAAGCGGCAGCGGGACGCTCGACACATGACATCGCAATGTGTAAGTGGTGTGAGACTGAGATGCGACTGCGACGCCAACGAAGAATAAAGGCAAGACGAGAAAGGTTTTGCTCATGTTTTTTTTTGTGTGGGAATGAATTCAGTGTTCCATTTCCTGGCACTTCGAGCTAGATCTGTGCGATAAAATGGAGTCGTCATCAGCATCGAAGGTGGTTCGCTCTTTGCCTCGTGTCCCTTGTGGCACAGCTGCAGTCGCGTAGAGGTCACGAACCTACCAAGTGCTGGGAGAAAATGAGGATTTTTTTTCGTTATTTGTGGCCGCCAGAAGCAGGATAGTTTTTCATTTTCTTGATTGTGCTTTGGCTACCCAAAAGCTACGCAGGACGAAGTAGTTTGAAGTAAAAAAGCTTTTTTTTGAAAACTTGACGGATGTCGGCCTTTTCTCACTTAGCCGCGTCCGATATTATCGTCCAGTCTCGTTTTTCTTTTTTTTTCCTGAGTAACTGCATAAGTCCTAAATCAAAACCGACTGGAACCCGCTACATACGAATATTTTTTTTTCCACCGTGACGTTCCAACTAAGTACTAATGTGATGGCGATGTCTTCTGGTGACAGCCGGTCTTCGGTGAGTTCCGCGACTCTAGCAGTGTTGGCTACCATCGGGTGCGCCATTTTTGCAGTTGCGGTCTACATTGTGGCGACGGAGGAGGAGCCCGAGGCGAAGCGGCCAAACCCGGTGCCCGAACAGCAGCAAAAGTCGGTGCCCAAAAAGCGGCCATTCTATCCCTCATATGAGTGGAAAGTCGTCGCAGAGGACCAGATGGTGCCACCGGGTCTGGAAATTCGAATGAACCTCGAGACAGGCCAAAATGAGGCTAGATTGCCAACCCCGCCCGGTGTTTGATGAATCTTACCAAAGGCCCAGGCTCTCCTAACGCCAACATAATTGAGTAAGCACCTTTAACAGAAGCGACAAGAGTTCACAAAATCAAATGCGCAGTACGTAAAGTAGTCTGCTAGTCATCTGGAGGTCCTTATGGGGTTGATGTTAATGAACAGTTTATCATGAGTTCATGATGAGTAAATGACCAAGTAATTGACATGGTTGGAATTACCAGTACCTGAACTGGCACAGTCACTCCGGTAGTCGTTGTGCTCTCGATGGGAAAAATCTCTGCCGCAGCTGTTGCTGGTTATCCGAGTCGCTGCCCACAAAGCAGGGAGAAGCCCTCTTGTCATCAGATCCGTGAGCGAGTATGAGTAGCGAACAGCATTCGTTCCGATCTGATAGAAAATGACTAGGTGGAAGCGAAGATGAAATACTTAGATTGATCTCTTCCGGATTTCTTGACGATCTGAAATTCGCGATCATGCCCAATCTTGCCATTGACAAGAAAGATCATGATCAAAGAGTACCAATCATCATACGACGGCGAAACCAAGGCCCAGCTCGTTCTGGAAATATTGATCGCGTCATTTGCAAAATACGCCTTTCACGATTTCTAAACTTTTCAGGAATGAGGACAGAGTTTCGTATTTCAGCAATGTTTTGATGCTTAAGGCACAAGCGTTAGAGCTAGAATTAGAAGTGAATACTTTTCATCTGGGTAGTATCCACCTTCGAAGCAGTAGCAGATTTTATTGACAAAACCGAAACTTGCTAGAAGTTTCAGTGATTTCAAACCTGCTATTGAATCAAATCAGAGACGCCGAAAATGGCAAAAGAAACTGTTGCCGAGGACAGCCTGCAAGGGGCAGACCCGGTTGAGATAGAGACCAAGGATGCTACCACGAAGGACGACAGCACTGCAGTTGTGAAGAAGGCAAAAAAGAAAAAGAAGGCGAAAGCAACTACAGCAGTGGAAGGAGACGACGAACAGAGGCCAGGCAATCTCAGCCAAGCGAGGGCCGAGGAAAGTGCGAACAATGCTGCGGACGTGAAAATGGAACAAGGTGGCGACAGTTCCGGAGAACAGATAGAGAAGGACGCCGGGAATGCAGAAAATAGAGACCAGTCCGAAAACGCCGCCTCAGCAGCCACCTCTTCTTCGGGAAAGAAGAAAAAAGTGAAAAAGAGCAAGGCCGATGAAAAGAAGGGCCACGCGGAAAAGAACCAAAACAATGCCAATTCCACTTCGAAAAAGAAGAATCGGCAAACCAAGACGCACTGGGTGGGCGAGAAGGAGCTGACCCCGGACAGTTATACCTTTCGCGCGCTCCGCAAGTACGAAAACGCGGACGAGAAACAGAAAGAGAAAATCATCGAGGAGTACGAACAGAAGTACCGAATGATCCGGTTCCTGGAGCGGAAAAAATCGGAAAAGAACGCGGAGAAAGCCCGAAAAAAAGTGATGGCTGCGCTCGAGGAAAACGATTCAGAGAAGGAGGCGAGCGCGAGGACAGGTATACTGAAGATTGCAAGTGTGATTTCTTGCAGTATGAATAAGTCTTTTCGCGCGCGCATGAATTATTGTTCCTGCATGTAGCGCAGCGTTTAGAGTATGCATAGGTAGAATGAAAGATAATGATCGGGCACGACTTGTTTCTGGATCTGGTTCTCAATTACAATTTGTGAAAAAACAGCTCTCGCCGAAGCCGAGGCCGACACCCGCTACGTGAAGAAGTTTCCCCACTACGTCCCGTACTTGTCCTTGTTTCCGAAGCAGGACAGCCCCGAGTCCGCGGCCCGGCGGAAGTACATGCGCAAGTACATTGACGACAAAGTGAAGAAGAATCGCGACAAATTCGACAGTCTAGAAGCCGCCGCGGACAAAAAACAGATAAAGGGGAGTAAAGCCGGGATGGGAAAGGGAAAGGGTAAAAAGACCATTAAGGGCAACAGCAAGGGCGCTTCGAAGGGCAAAGGCAAAGGTGGGAAAGGCGACTCGGGAAAGGGCAAGGGCAAGGGCGCTGCCGGCAAGGGTGAACAAACGAAGAAGGAGACAAAAAACGAGGAAACAACTGAGCAAGCGACTAGAACCGAGGTAAATAGAAGCAGTTCTGTCGCGGAAACCACGGAACCTGCCCGGGACGAGAAGAAGGCGAAGCCAGTTGGTGAGAAAAAGGTGTCAGACAGCGGAGCTGCTCCGGAGCGAAAGTCAGTAGAGAAAAGCACTGCAGAGACTGAATTCAAACAGCCGAGCAAGAAGCGACCAGCGGAGAACAAGGTTGCAACTTCGGAAGACAAGCGCGCAGCCGCTGATGCGAAGAGACAGAAAGGAAACCACGAATCCTTTATGGCGTCGCAAGCTCCGCACAGACAGGGCGCGATTGTCAAGGCTGACAACAAAGCCATGTCGTTTGATTCGGATTCGGACTAAACCACGAAATAGAGATGGCGACGCATTGCACATAAACATCCTCTCATCTATGCAATACGCGCATACGCATCGTAGAGACGTACGCTTGACAACAGTGATTCGTACATCATTGTGACGCAGACTACTTGTGTTTGTGAAAGGAAAGACGATGACGCCGTAAGCTTGTCAACGTGTTAGCCGGACGTTTGTGCTTCTGCTACTTGCGTCTTACAATAAGTATGTATATGCTTTCGGTTTGTTGCGATGTCGTTTTTCGGTGCCGACACAGTTTGGCGGCGGTTTACTAGATAGATGCCTGTCGGTTCCGCAGCAGCTCCTTTGTGGAAAAACTTTTCGGTTTCGTGTCGTTCATTTTGTTTGTCTAGCGATATGTTCAAGCGTCATCGGTCGTAATTGTCGTACATTCACGTTCTGGATTTGGAAGCAGATTGCCGTAAGTACGCAAACAAGAAGTCGTGTATCCGTCACGTTGCTCCGCTTATATACAATCTTCACTTGCAGTTGCTTCCCAGTTTTGCTTTCCCCCCGAAGGTTCTTCTTTTCAGCAAAGATTGTACCCCAATCTGCAGAGATTTTTTGGAGTTTCCAGTTATTTTGTGTCTGATTCATCTCCAACATCACCTGTGTTAACCATTTTTTCAGATACTGACTTGAATCACGACGAATACGCTTCTATAAACGAATTTGTTCTAAAAACAAAAGCGACGGGGACGGCGGCAACAAATGGGCGGCGAAGAGTCAAAGGAAGAGGAGCCGCCGGCTCCGCCAGAGCCTGAGCCGCAGCGGCAATCACGGCGATCTGCGCGACAGTCCTCAGGAAAACAAGAGGACCGGCCGTCGGCGCAGGAACGGCTGTCCCAGGCATACCAGACGAAGCACTCGCGACTACAGTCGGCAAAGGAATCGGTTATAGAGCGGCAGTCGCAAAAAGCAGCGCAGGCGGAGAAAGCCAGAGCAACGGCAGAGAACAATTTTAGGGGGTCGAGAAGAAGGCCCAAACGGCCCAGTGAGGACGTTGACTACGAGCAACAAGAGCCGGGCAGTTACAATGCCAGCACGCCGAGTTCCCGCGGGCCCGGTAGTTCTGCGCGCGGAGTGGGTAGTGCGATGGGCTCCGCGCGTCAACAGATGGGGAGCGGCATGGGATCCGCGCGTCAAATGGGTAGTCAAATGGGTAGTGGTTCTGTGCGCGGCATGGGTAGCGGTATGGGATCCGGTATGAACAACAACCTCGGATCCGGCAGTAGTCCAGCAGGGGCTGCTGGCGCTTCTGTCCGGCTGAGCAATTCGCCGAATTCTTCAAGTAAGCAGGTCCGCGCAAGTTCCGGACCGGGCTCGAGTGCCGAGAAGGTGCGGCTGAGCGGTGAGAGGCAACGGCTCAGCAGCGAGAAGCCGCCCTTCCTGGCAGGACAAGGCGCGGCGCCTAGACTGTCTTCTGGCGGTGGGTTTGCATCGGGTGAGACCAAGAAGATCAACTCCGGTGCGATGATGGGATCGTTGCAGCCGCAGAGCTTGACCGAACTGCAGTCCGCCGAGGCGAAGCGGGTAAGTTTCGTGGAAGCGGTGCGTGCCTCCACGAAGGACGAATTGCGGTTAGGGTCCGGGATGGGTTCAGGAACAATGGACCAAGCGGCTGTAGAGGAGCGTCTGCCGAGCAGCCTACACGAGTTGCCGCAGCAGGCGCCGCCAAACGTCATGCACCTGGCGGCGGACAGTCAGGAGCAGCAGGTCCGGATGGGCACGCAGGACCCGAACATCACCTCCTTCGCGCCCACCTCCGCGGCCATGCACGCTCCGCCGATGCAATCTTTCGCGATGGGCGGGCCTCCGTCCATGGCGTCTAGTGTGCCGTCCATGATGCAACAGATGCAGTCTTTCCAGCTGGGATCCACGGCGCAAGTTGGCGGGGGCAGTGGCGACTTCGTTATGAGCAACATGGGCAGCTCCGGCGGTTCCGGCGGGGGTGTTGCGTCCGGCGGGGGTGTCGGGTCCGGCGGGGGTGTGCCCCTGATGGTGAACCATCGCGGAGATGTGTACGACGGTGGGAATAACAAGAAACTCACCATTACGAAGGATCGGCGAGGCGGTAACGTCGATCCTCGAGAGCTCAACTCTGACATGCCGGCAGCGGCGCCCGGGTCGGGGTTCGGAGACCCCATGCAGTCCACGGGGTCTGGTGGGAACGAGCCGGTCGCACCCGGCGAGTTGCCGACGCTGGACATCGAAGATGGCGACCAAGACGAACGGACCTTGATTACGGAAAAACCTCCTGTGATTGTGATGGTACAGTTAACATTTTCTGCAGAGTATGGTTGCTTTTTATTTTGATTTTTCAATTTGTAGGTTGAGGTTGTAGATTTCAGTGCGTGTTTGTCATGGCCCATCTTCTCAACCGGTATGAAAAATTGCACTATTCCCAGGTTCGTACGTGGCGTCCGGAAGGCGCGCACTTATATGAGGCGCAGCCCACGTGGATTTATGACGAGCCCAGCGGTAAGTGGGTTGCCGAGCTGCGGCACCGCATCGTCCCCGACTCGGGCAACTACGACGACCCGTACGCCGAACTCGGGACCCGGCGCGCCCGGCGGATCATCGAAAGTCCCTACGCCTACGGGGGCCGGGGCACGAGTCCGGGCCGCGTGGACACCGCGTACATGCATCACCTGTACAAACGGGAACCCTACCAGAAGCACCACACCATGATTGCGGACGACAAGGAACACAACAACTACTACTCCTACCACGACGATGCGGACGACGACATTCACTGGCGCACGGATTTGGATTTCCGCGAGGCGCTGTCCGGCCGCGCGGGCGACGATCCGCTGGCGATGGTGCCCGGGCTGCAGCTCGGTGGTTTGTCCGGTTTCAACTTTAACGCGATGGACAGGACAACTTCCGTCGGTAGCACGCCGAACGACGGAAGGCGGGCCACCAGTGCAGTCGACAAAGAGTCCTTGTTGAAACAGTACATGAAGACATATTACGACGACGACCGGGTCAGCGAATCCCCTTCCACAATGACCGAAGCGCGGCGGCAACAGCGGAAGGCCCGGCGGCAGGCTCGGAAGGAAAGGATCGCGCAGGACGGGGGCAGGAGCCGGTCTTACGGACGTATGGACCCGAACTTGCGGTCTGTCGACTACAGCCAGAGAAAGTCAGCGTACAAGTACAACACCGAAACGCAGAAGCTGAAAAGAATGCACCAGCACGACAGCAGGCGACACCAGCATGGGATGTTGAGCTTCGCGCCAGCATAAGATTATGTTGGGAACCGGGACAAGAAGCAGGTAGTGTAGAGGGTAAGTGTGGTCCGCCGCAGAGCTCATGTGTGTGACAAATGATGCCCAGCAGAGACTGAAGAAATCAAACGTGACGCATCGCGCTGGTAAAACTCAAGCTTTTACGAAGAAGTTTGTTTTCGCAGAATTCATCTTCATTTCCTTTTTGCTGGAAGGAAAAGGATCGAGCATGGGCCTCTTTCTCAACCGCCGCATGAGTTCGCAGCCCTGGTGCCGTTTTCATGTTGTCGAGTGTTTGGAATTTTCGAATTTATCGGTCCCCCAACGAAGGACGGATTGCTGAAAATTACGAGGAGAAGATCTAACGTGTACCAGAGCTGGTAACCGAAGCTGAGTTCGATTTTTTTGGTGAAGACCGAACGCAAAAGATCTTTATGTGTGAAAGAATTTTCCCATTCGACGAGAGCGAAATCCATTTTCTGTGTCACGCGCAGGGTCTTGCCGTGTTTGTCTGTGCTTTATCACTTCTGCTTCCGGTTCTAACTTTATTTCCTACTCATTCCTATTGCAGGACGTCACTTCGTTTCTAGAGCATTTTTTTATTGCAGTGCTTAGCTTTGTAGAAAAGTTTTCAGCTACAATAGACACCATGACAGGAAGAAGTTTTTCTTTATCATAGCAAAAGTAGAGCACCCAGCAACTACAAAATGTCTGGCGGCTCCGGCGGTGGGCGTTCCAAGAAGGTGAATGGAAAGGTAATAGTTGCTGGTGCCGCGAACACGGGGAAAACTTGCCTGATAGAACGGTTTGTCCGGAACGTATACATCGCTGACGATCCCTCTCACGGGCCGACACTGGGATGTGACTGCCTCCAGAAGAGCGTTTTTGTGGACGACACAGAGGTGTACCTGTTTCTCTATGACACAGCCGGACAGGAGCGATTCGCCGACATGGCAGCCTCTTACTACCGATGCGGCGACGTCTGCTTACTGGTTTTCGACCTCGCAAATCCGGCGAGCTTCGACCACATAAAATGGTGGCAGAAAAAGGTGAGGTTTTGAAGAGGGAAAAAAATGGCTGTCTTTTCCACCTTGATTTCTTGCATGTGCTTGTACTGTTTCTGTGAAATTTGAATCCATTGCTCCCGAAGTAGACCACGAGATAGCAAAAGCAAATCCATCGCCATCGCAGGTCTGGGAGTACAATCCCCGCTGCAGCTTCGTCCTAGTGGGCTGCAAGGAGGACCTGATACAAGAAGAAGGTGGCAACGAGCGCTTCGCCGTGATGAGTCGGTGGGCCGAGTCTGCGGGCATGCCATTTTTCACCACAAGCGCGAAAAAGGGCGGCTCCGCAATTCAGTTTCTCTTTTACTCGGTGGCGGAGAAATGTATACGACAAGCGAGGGAGAAGCAGCTACAGCAGGAAGAGAAAAACAAGGAAGCCGGCGAAAACAGCGGTCACATTCTCAGCTCTTTCGGCCCGTCGCAATTCGAATACGACGACTTTCGAGAAAGCTGCTCCAGCCGCTGCTACCCAGCGAATTGAGAAAAAAGCTTTTCATACATTCATGCGACATAGAATTCTTGGCGACATTTTCATTCCTTCCATGGACGCTTTCGCTTCATGACATGCTCATCGTCGTGGCTGCGGTCTTCATCTACAAGACACGTACTCAACATCAAGGCAGCTGCTGAGCAGGTTGATGCTGTAGGCTCGAATCAACCTTTGCTGATTACGGGAAACATTTGTTCGCATGGTTTTGTTGCGTGCTTCCGCTATTTTCTAGACATACTGGCGTACTACCATTCTTGGAGGGGAGGAGACTCACACAGTTCTCTTCGTGCGTCGAGACCGAGGAAATAAATTGCATTCGTTTATTTGAAGGTTTTCCACATCATTCTTCTTAACGACGTGTTAAAGTAAGTTTAGATGCGCACAGGAGAGGTGGCCTTGGCGGACGTATTCGCGTTGCAGGTATAATGTGACCACAAAACAAGATGGCGCGGGGGCCGCAGAGTTGTACGAGCAGCCTAACCACGGGGAGCAGATTTGGATTTTTTTGTTGAATCTCCAGTTCGTCCTCCGAAGATGTCGTCGTTTGACTGGAACGGGTGGGGATCCATCCGCGATGGGAAGACGGCAAGTTCGAAGGACTCTGGCATGGATCTGAAGGAACTTTTCTCTTCGGAACGATGGCGGATCTACAACAAGATTCGGGACGTGACGGACGGACTCAGCGGTGCGGAACAACCAATGGTCGACCAGACGCCCGTGAACGGACAACAACGAGTGCTCCAGAACCTGTCTCTCTCGGCCCGGAAACACCTGACGCGGTCCGCTGGGCCACCCAAAATCAACAACCATGCGGCGGGACTTCCGCCTTTTTCATCCGGAGGGGGGATGCATCTGGGGGACAGCTCTACTCTCCTCTACGATTCCGTCGGGGAGCTGAGTCACCGGTCGTGGCGCGGCGACCGGGAAAACGAAAAAGCAGTGCGCGAAGTCTACGGTTTCCCGACCGCGACCGGAAGAAGCGATCTTCGGGCGGCCGCGCCAGGAACCAGCAAGAAGTTGTTACCTCTCTCCTCTGCAAAGGAAGCCACAGGCAGTAACGCCGGCGTTGCGGATCGTTTTGAAGACGAAGTTTTTTCGAACAAGCCACCGCTTTTGCCGGGTTCGAAGCCGCCGCCGATAGCTGGGCGGCGCCTCAGAAGCCGGGGCGCGCGGTCCATGCCCGCGGGTTCCATATTCGGTGATACCGCCGAGGAGGAGAAAGGGTTACCAGAGCAGGAAAAAAAGAACGAGCTGGTCGCCTTTTTGACGAAAAAACCTCCGCTGCCAACGTTTGAAAGCAAAAGCGCACGCAGTCGGGCGGGGTTTACGCCGCGGTCTCGCGGTCGTGGCGGCACGCTAAAGTCGTTGCAGAGGGTCGCGTTGAAGGATAGTGCAAAGCAGGATGTGGAGCACGACGAGCAGCAATCCTCCAAAGACGGCACAGCAGCTCAGGATGTTGAAGCAACCTCGCGCAAGTGGGGTCGGTGTGTGCATCGCTTCACGAAGCTTCGGGGGAAGATTGTCGAGGCCTGGCGTTGGCACTCCGACATCAAGCAACAATTGTCATATTGTCGCGAAGAGCTCACCGAGTTTTACGGTACCGCGCAACAAGTGGAGCAAGGTAAGAGGACGCGTTGTAGTCGACGTTCACTTTTATTCTTTCTCATTCATTTTTGATCGAATCACTAGCTAAATTGACCTACGGGAGCAGAGCGGGACTTATTTAATTCTCTGAAGAAATGAAGCACCTGAATTTATTCCCTAACAGCGATGGGTACATCCTTGGGTGTAGTACCCAGCAGCTCCTCGGTGCGAAACGCGCAGCAAAAAACCGACAATCTTTTCCCGACGCCGGAGGACGCGCCAGGGCCAGCAAACGAGCAGTTTTGGGCCACGACTTTTGCTGTCGGGGTGACTGGTGTTGAGCACCAGCCGCCACAGAAACTTGTGCTGCGACAAGCCCCCTCGTCCATGCAGGCTTTTCCGAATCACCCACACAGCTCCTCCTCCCGGGCCTGGGCGGCTTCTTCGAAGACCGGGATTGATGGGTCCAGCTTGGACGTGTTCCAAGATAACTTCGGTCGTGGCGGCCAGCAGGGTGCGGGCAGCAAGGTCGCAGCAAGGGGAGGAGATCCACAGCGGGAAGCAGCACTGCCACATGCGCACACAGTGGGGCCTACGTACAACTACCCATTGAACTACACTCTGCCCGAGGTGGTGCAGGACCGCGAAGGGATTATCGTCGGCACCCGGCCCGCCACTTCGTCCACCAACATGAACATCTTTGGCGCACCAGCGGCAGCGGGCACCAGTACTATCCCGGAGCAAAGCGCGGTACTGCGACTAGACGAGGCGAAAGTCGAGCAGCTGCCGGTGGGGCCGCCGCCGAGCCTGTCCGCCGTGCTGATGCCGGAGCCGGCGTTTGTGCTCGAACAGTTTCGCGACATCATGCAGCCGCCGAGCCCGACTTCGGCCGGTCTGTCCGCAGACCGGATCGAAGATCGACCAAGAGCGGAATCGATTCTGGAAAAAGCAAAGAGGGTAAACGCGAACCCGGTGGTTTTCCCCATTCTGGAAAGCACGGATCTGAAGCAGGTCCGCAAGTTCTACAGCGATCAACAACAGCTGCTTTTAGAAGGAGAAAATAAATCATCTTCCGGAACTGTAGGCGAGAAGATCGACAGTGCCAGCCTTGCGCTGGTCAGCGAATGGCTCACCCACTTGGAACGGTTGCGCGACGTCCGGAGCGCGTTGACGAAGGGGCTCCGTACCCGCAACATCGGTCAGCTTCGGGACGGCCTGCAGCTTGCCGCCCAGCTGGAAGACGCGTCGTCGTTGCGCGAGGAGCTGGTAAAAGCGCGCGCGGCTCTCGGCACGGAAGAGATCAACCAGTCGGCCGTGGAGCAGCTGCGGAGTCTCATTGCCGAGGCCCGAAATCGGTTCGCGAACGACCCGAACCCGCTACCATTGGCGGAGCTGAAGCAGCTCGCGGAGAGACTCCGGGTCGGGGCCGACCTCGCCGTGATTCACATTGTCGAAGATACGGGACAGGATATCCCCACTGCCAGGGAGTTGCTTGGCCAAATGGAAACGACGCTACGACTGCGCACCGCGACGGAAAGGGTAAAGACGGCAGTGGAGCAGCAGCAGGTGGACAACAACAAGACTGGTTTTGCTACTGCGGCCGGAGGTGGTACGGCAGCTGGTGCTCCTTCCACCTCCACACGGGTCGTGGACCAAGCGCACTTGCACACGCCGACCCGACCGTTGGCAGGCGCAATGAGTTTTCGGCAGCAGCAAAAGTTGCAGTCACTCAGCCTCGAGACGCCACAGGATGAACAGGAGCAGTCCATGCGATACTTGTCGCATCTGGTGGAAATTTCGACGGGAAGGGTGCCCCAACACGAACTGCAAGCGGCGATATCGGTTTTGTCGAAAATCCGAGATGGCGCCAGGGACGACGCCAAAAGACTGCTGATGGCTGCCGGACGAAGTCCCACCAATCGCGACCGTCCGAGGCCCTTGGGAGAATTGCAAGGCTTGGGTGATTTGTGGCTGACGGGGGACGACTTGGCGGGAAAGCGGGACGAGCAGAGGTTCGTTTGTTGTTTTGCTTCATTCTGCATTTTGTGTTGATCATTTTGAATCTGTGGACAGTATTCTTCTCACTTTGCCTTTGATCCTGCAGGCCGCACGCACCCTCGTTTTCGCCGACGGCGGTTGGGGCCGCCTGGGTTCTGACGCCCGAGTTCGCGTACGCGCCCGCCGGACCGCTAGAGACAGACAACCAGGCTGTAGCAGGTGCCGATCCTCTTCTCCCACCGCTTTCGCTCGCAGCTGGCCGGATAACGCGCAGTGGCGCCCAGAAGCTGCGGGACACATACGAAAAACTGCAGACGGCGCCGTCTCCAGAGGATCGTCGTCTGGTGGGACAGATTGGGAAGACCCTGCAGCAGTTCGAGGCTTCGCAACAGCAGCACCGCGCAGAACTGCAGAACTTACTGTTCACGACAAGAGACGCGCGGCAGGAGGGTGCCCTGCGCATGCAGGCATTGCTAGAGCTGGACGAACTCGGGTCGAACGATTCGGTTGTGCTTCGTTGCAGGAAGTTTCTCTCCGGCGGCAGTGTGCTGTTCCCACCAAATAAACCCGCGTCCTCCACTGGCGGGGGGGCCTCTCTGCTAGCTCTGTTCGGCGATTTTGTGCTGCAGATGGCGAATACGATCGAGCGGTCGTGTCTGTACCTCGGAGAGGGCGCGGAGCATCTGTCTGACGACGAGGCGACGAGAACCTACTTCGATGAGCGCGCGCGGACCGCAGCTAATTTGGAGGCGCAAAAAGTTCTGGAAGCGGCGCTTGCCGAGGCGCCGCCGGGGAGTGCGATGGCGAGTTACGCTGGATTAGTACTGGATGAGGAGAGTGCGAAGACCGATGTCGTCGTCGCTGTGGTCGAGAAGCAGCGGGCAAAAACGACCGGAAGTGAGGCAGAGCATGGCCACGCAGCGGCATCACTGAGCGCCGTGATGATGCGGCTGCAAGAGGTTCGCAGTAGACGAATCGCGGTCAGTAAACCGGAGAAGCTTCCGTCCAGCGTCGCCCGTGCGCTCAAGGTGCTCGAGAACGATTCTACCGCTATTCTGCGGTACGTGCAGTCCCCGCAGGAGGCGAGACTCCGTTTACTCTTACCTGAGGGCGAGCAGGAAGAAATTCGCGCACCAGGAACTGCGTCCGCTGGAATCGAAAGTGGAACGGAAAGTGGCGTGGACGTTGTTGCGACATCGCGGCAGGCCGAGGACCCGAGTTTGATTTCGATCCGGCAGAGCTACGACTCGACGACCGGAGCCGCGGCAAACAAGGCGTTCTCGACGTCACTCACGCCGGCTGCGCGAAAGGACCAAGCGGAGCACTTTTTCCTGACCCCGAACATGACGGCCGGGCAGTCCCAACTCGATGACGCGTCGGTCGAACGGCAGTACGACAGCACGAGCAAGATGGATTTCGACCTGATGACTTACTCGCCCTCGCCTATGCGCCTTTCGGGTCTCCTCGAGGAGGCGGTGTCCCCGCGCGCCGGATACCCGCCGGGATTTGCCCAGCCCTCGGATTTGAACCTGTACCCAGTACGGGAAGAGATGAGTCCCGGGATCGCCGGAGGAGGAGTCTCGCAGCCAGACGGAACAAGAGGCGCAGGAACGAGTACTAGCAAAGTGCACCAGCTCGTTGTTCCCGCAGTCACTCCCCTGGACGGCTACGCTTTGTACAACCGGACGCAGCGCATCACTGGTGGCGCGTCGGAGAGTGTATCTGTCAGTCCCGACAAGCCAGATGAGGAACAGGGAGGAACATTAGGGGGCATGCAGAGAACCTTGAACAACATGACAACATCCGCAACGCCGGGCACCACAGCGCAAGGTCCGGCTTCCGGGACGGGGGATCTCCTCGTCGTGGAGAGCCAGTCTAGCGTCAAAGTAGAACAGGGATTTTCCGTTTCGAACGCTCCGGATGTCGGGTTGACGTTTTCCACGTTCGACGCTAGTCGACAAAAGAGTGATGATGTGCAGCTTGAGAACCAGCCGCAAAGGCGGGACGACCTCCCAGAAGAGGACACGGACCCGTGGAGCGCGGCGGTAGAAGAAAAAATTGCGGAAGAGCTGGATCGTGCGTCGCTGGTGGCGAAAAGTTTGACCGATCTGTCACTCCGGTTGGAGGAGGTGTTGCTAGAGATTGAGCAGGAAAGAAAGTTTTACACGGCTTCTAACCAAGAAACCGCTGGAAATACTTTCATTTCCGGTACGGTGGCGGGTTCGTCTGCGCAGACCTTGTACACCGAGCTGTCCGCGAAGCTGCGCGAGGCCAAGGACAGCGGCCACGCTCTGGATCCATCGGTGGTCGTCTTGTGGGCGAAAGCCGGAGAGCAGTACGACTTGCACTCGGAGGGAATCCTCTCGCCGGAGGATTTTGTAGGCAACAAGAATGTTCTTGATCCGGATCCGGACCAGGCGGAACTGGAATTTCTGGCGACGTATGCGCGGGAGCTGGACCAGGCTGCTGCGGCTCTGGACGTTCTCGAGCTAGAGCGCACCTTGACCGCCTACCGGGGCGTCAAGCGAATAAGCCAGAAGAACGAAACGCTCGTCGATCGCGATCCTGTTGTGATTCGCGGAAAACTGGCACTGCAAGAAGCCTGCACAGAGTACATGCGGACAGTCATGAACCTGCAGCTACCGGTCACTTCTTGGCCGGAGAGGCAGAAGCTAACCGATACGGTGCTCTCTTGGCCGTTGAATTTGAGCCGCAGTTTCGCTCTGGATGTGACGGCCACGCCCACGGATCCAGCGGACCATGTCTTTTTTGCGCAAATTATCCGGGAAGGGCCGGCAGCGAAACAAAAAGTTTTCGAGAAAAACGCGCTCTGCGCCGCACAGCAGGCAGAGTTTCACCGTTCAAATGCCTCATTGCGGAAACTGACTGCCGCGGGCGACCCGCGCGGCTTGCGGGATCTTCTAGTTACTTCCGCCGACCCGGTGGTGGTCGCGCGGCGCGGAGACGCGACGAAACAGGAGCGGCTGGCCGCCGCGGACCGGTTTAGCGTGGAGTACTTTGTGGCGATGGAGAATGTCCTCAGTGTCGCCGCTGGGGACAAGAGCGCAACGGTGTTCAGCAGTGAAGAACTCCGCGACTTTCTGCGCGTTGTGAGGAAAAAGGACGGGCTTGTCAGCCTAAGGGGGTCGGTACTGATGGAGAAAATCATCCTTCCGTCTTCATTGGAACCGCAAACAGCAGACGAGTCCTCTTCGTCGTTCCGCGTCACTGTCGACCCGACAAGCGCCAAGCACTGGCAGCTTCAGCTCTTACGGTTTCCGACGAGCAGCGGCAGCCGGGCGGCGGACGTGCACACTAGCCACACGCTGGGGACGCGGTTCGCGCAAAACTTGAAGATCGTGATGGATCGCTTGGACGAGGAGGAAACCGGACGCGGGGGCGAAATGCGCCGGCAGCGGGAGAGGCGGCGCAACTACGTGCGGCAAAGTCTCCAGAAATTTGTGCTGGACAACGCGAAGTTGACGACCGAAACGGTGCCTTCCTTCCTCTACTTCGACCGCAACACGATGCCGGTTTCGCCGCTGGCCGCGATGCCCATCACGGTGCCCCAGTTTCTGAAACTGCGCACGGAGTGCGTGCCGCAAACCGACGAAGATCGAGCGTTGTTGCAGTTAGCTTGTCGTGTCGCCGAGAAGCTCGCAGCGAAGGAGCGCATGCGGCGCTACGTGAGGAATGAGAAAGCGTTCATGGCGCCAGCTTCGGCGAGCGCAACAACGGTGATGTCACCTGATTCACCGGCGTCTCCGGCGGGGATGAACGGATCGTCGTCTTTCCCGATGTTGAACACCAGGCAACAAGAAAGCGACGCCATCGCTTTTCCGGACTTCGATGAAGTTTCGTCGGAAGAAGGAGACCGGTGGTTCGAAGCGGAAGTGAACAAACCGGTGGAAGTGCCGGCCGAGAAACTTGCCAAATTTGTTGAGGACGGCACGACGAACAACTACGTGGCGCAGGTGCGGCTAAAATTGGAGATGGCCGCCCGAATCCTGGCGCAAGAAATCGTCCTCCGCGGTGAGTATCCGCTTGTCATGGAACCGCTCGTGGAGGACTTGCGCCTGTTCGAGCACGTGGAACACCGCGTGGCTGAAATGGAAATGACCACCGTCCCTCTAGAGCGAGCGATTGCCGCGCAGTCACTGCCGGACTTGGAGAAGGCGATCGGCACGTTTCCGCCGCCCAAGAAAACACAGCTCCGCAGCTCCCTCCCCGCGGGGACACTGGAATTGCTGGCGAAGGCAGAATCTTTACGGAACTCCCTCGCTTTGAAGAGGAAGCTGCGCGGCCCGGCGGGGAAGACGCCGGAAGATGACAAAAAGAGTAAATCACCGGGGAAAATAAAAATAAACAAGCAGCAAGTGATCCAAGGCTCATCTTCGTCTCCTACGAAGTTGCCCCCCTCGTTCATTCCCGTATTTGCCGGTGCGGGGCCGGATCAGGCCTCGGGCTTGCAACCCTTTGAGGAGTTGGACAAGAAGTCGCTGCAGCAGCTGCGTAACGAGCACACCCGGTACCGGTCCAGCGAGTTCGACATCTCCTCCCGGGTCGAGAACAGCCGTGAACTAGCCGCGAGCGGCGTGCGCGACGCGCCGTTCGAGGAAAATGAGTTTTTGACCGAGCTGCAAAACGACGAGCTGCTACCGATTCTCGGTAGCAGCTCGCTAGCTGCCTCTCCGGTTAGCCCGAAGGTGGCGAAGGCCCGCATCGCAGACTTTTTTCACCAGCGTGACGCAGACGCACTGGAAGACCTGCGCAACAACAAAAACTTTTCCATCGAGTCGCGGGTTGAGGCGGAGCACCTGAGTGCCGTGTTGACAGCGACGAGCCGCGCGCTCAAAGTGAAGTATGTGAAGGACATCGCTTCGCAGGACGAAATACTTCTGGAGAAAACCAAGGCGGAGAAGAACGTGGCGCCGGAAGTCGTGGCGTTTTGTGACCGCGGACTGCGCCACATTTTTGCGATCAAAAAGCGGGAAGAGACCAGTCAGAAACTGAAGGACTTCGGCGCCGTGCGGAAGCTCTACCAGGCTCGTAGCCTGGAGCTTGCAGGCACAACGTCCAAGCTCGGGGCCGCAGGAATGAGCGCAAGTTCTTCTACTAGCAGAAGTAGGCCGCCAAACACGTCTAACGAACGAGCCGACGCGTTCACGAAGTTGGAAAACGAAAAGTTGCAGGATTTGCGCACGTACTTGCGCGACCTCCGACGGACACTCAACCGCAACTCCGCATCGGGGTCAAATCTCGCAGCTATGGGTGGTGGAACAACTTCTGCAGGATCACCAGCAGGGGGAACCCCCTTCAGCCCCATCGAGGGGACGGCAAGTTTGCAGCGCAGTGTTTCATCGTCCGCGGGATCGGAGAAGTCCTTGGAGGAAGAAAAAACTGTACGGCAAGCGGAGCAGGCTCTGTTGCAAAAGGTCATCGACACGGAGGCACAACTGGCTAGTTATGCCAAGCACACACTGAGCTTGACGGCGATCCTCCAAGACGTGCGGGACAAATCGAAAACGAACGACGCAAAAGAGTTGGAGAAGATTCTACACCGACTTGAGCGACAAGTGGTTTTGTGCAACGAGACAAGGTTCTTCCGCTCGGACAGCGAGAATTTTGACCTTCCGGAGGTGGCCGAAGGGCCAAAAGTCGCAACGCGGCCAGGGTTGAAGGGCAAAATGATGAATAAGGGTCCTCGTGATGTAGATGTCCCCTCGACAGGGGCGCTCGCTGGGCCAGGGGAATTGCAGATAGATGAGGACGAGAGGATGTTTTCTTTGGATCAGGAGAATGCAAGCGATGGGGAAAATGAGAACAGCAGCAAGGCGCCTTCTCCGGGGGAAGTCATGGACTTGATGAGCAGCATGAATTTGCTCGACACTGCGCGGTCTTCACCCATTGGTGCAGAGAGTAAGAAGTTGCAAGAAGGCCAGCACCAGGCAATGCTAGAAGAAGACTTGTTCCGGAGCGGGAGCAGTAACACTACGAGCAACTTCGAAAACCTGCACGGGCATCTGCTGTCACCGCAGTCAGAAGAAGCATGGGGTGTACTGGAGCAAACCGACCATCCGCTCCTGCTGGAAGCCAAAGACGCGGTCGTTTTACTCCGGCAGAAAATCAACTTTGTCTCTTTGATGCTGCGCGGAGACAGTGCGCGTGTACAGGCGCTGGTGGACCAGATAGAAGAGAATGCGAACAACGAGGCCAATCGTGATGCTGGCGCAAAGAAAACTTCTGTTGCTGCGTCCTCACCAGCAGACAAACATACGCTTTCTTCGCAAAGCAGTCTGGCCATCGGTCTTGCTGTTGAAGATATGGAGCGCGCGAAGAGCTTCCTGGAGAAGGAAAAGGTCGCTAAACAGACAAAAAATCTGGACCAGCAGGTAATGCGCAGGCTGGAAAACGCTATGGCGACACAGGATGCGTCGTTGGTCACAGCACTGATTGCAAGCCAGAAGTTGAAGCCGGTCGATTTACTTGTTGCGAATAATTTTCTTCGCAAACACGAGGAGTCCTGTGCGCACCTGCTCAGTTCCGTGGAAGCGACAAAGAGAGAACTAGACCTGCAGAATGGAAATATTGTGTCCCGAGAGGTTTTGCTGAAGCACGCAAGGGCGCTGGGAGAGTACCGGAAAATGGCGGCCCAGCTTGGGCTAGAAGACGGCGGTGCTCTTCATGCTGTAAACCACGAACACGGGAGCAGTCCAGAGAACAGCGAAGTGGATGCGCTTCTCGGTATACCGCCTTCGGATCAACGGGTTCCGGTTTTTGCCGAAGGAAAAGTGAAGCTGGCGACCCTGTTGGATGCCTGCGAACTTTCGATCGCGGAATTGGAGCAGGAACGACTGGAAGCAGCCGCGGCTGCCGAAGAGCAGCAGCGCTTTGCTGCGATGGCGAAATCCGACGAAGAGGACGCAGCGGTGCCACCCCCGGATGCTGTAGACGCAGGCGGACCGCCGGCCGCCCCGTCCGCGGCAGAACAGCTGCAGCACTCTAGTCGGGCTTCCGCTCCTGCGGTTGCGCCTTTTGAGAAGGCAGACGTTTCTGCAGACACAGAGGAGGAGCAGGCAAGATTGCAAGGGCCACCAATAGGCCCGTCAGGGTCCTCTCCTGGCATGGGTGGCAGTCTCGTTTCCGACGGAAGCCTCTTCGACCTTTCCCCCGTCGCGCAGGCATCCGCTCGAGCCGCACGCGCCGCATCGGTCGGAGCGAAGCAAGAAGTTCTGGTCGGGTCTACTAGCGCAACTACGCAGGACGTCGTCGACAAGCCCGAAATAGAAGTTGCTGTCAGCCCGCCCAAGCCAACGACGCCCGCTTCTGTGGGTCGGGACTTCATCGCCGCGGATAAGGATCTTCCGGGTGGTCCTCGTCCTCGGGACGTCATCGCGGATGACCTAGGACTCACCGACAGCCCCGATTCGCCTCCGCATGACCTCGAGGCCGTGCCCTACCAAGCGGTAGAAGACCAGGACCAAGAACCGCTTTCCTCCCCACGGTCTACCCTCGAGCAGGTGATTCTCTTTCTGGCCCAACGCGATCCCAATGACAGGGCGGGGCTGGAAGCCGCGACCCGGAAGTACGAGAGTCTTCCGCGGTCGATGCAAGTGCTGGACGCGGACCTGGAACGCATAAAGAAGGAGTCTATCTCTATCACCCCGAGGTGGAAAGTTGGTGGAAATAAAGGTCTTCTTGGTCCTCGTGGTGCAGCAATGACCGTCGGCGGCGCAAGAGGAGTTGTACCGTCAGCGGCCGTATCCTGTGCAAATGTGCCTAGGGGGTAGGAAAATCCAAAATTCTTAGGCTGATAAAAATACAGCTTTTTTTGCATTTCTGACATTTGTGTTGCGAAAAATAGTGCGCATTTGCGCACTCCGAATGTGTGCGTTATGTTGCACTTTTTGACACGACTTTCGCGACACTCGTGTCGCACTTTTTGACGTCGACGGTCACGCGGATGAAGACGATCACGCGGATGCATCAGGAGGTCGTGACTTCTGGTGCTGGTGCGAGGAGCCCACCTGCAATTGCTGCACAAAACGCTCGAACGCCCGGCCGCGACTAGCACGCGGAGGTCGCGAAGTTGACGCTGATCACGATCATGCTGACGGCCGCTGCAGCTGCTTTTTTTGATTAAAGTATAAGCCAACTACACCTGTAGGATAACGATAAACGACGATGATGCTAAATACAACACACTACCAGACCAAGAAGAGCAGTCACTTATTTATTTAAGCAGACCGACGGGCTGCTAGCTAGCCAACTAGCTAGGGAGCTAGCTATCGGACGAAGGCCTTTGTATGTAGCTACTACCTATTATATCGGTCCGCAAACTTATTGTCGGTGAGACTAGTAGCTACGTTCTTTATATTTAGTAGGTGCGTCAGCTGCTCCTATTGCTACAACTACACTTTCTGCTGGCGCGCACGATCTAGAATGAATAGAAGCGCAAGGGTCGTCAGTAGCATATAGGCAGAGATAGACTCCAGCCACCTGTGATCTAGCTCAATAAAATTCCGAATGCAGTTGTAGTGCAAAACAAGAAGTAGAAGAACAAGAAGACGCGCCATTATTTCGGGCATGAAGAAGAGATCATCCACACGCCCAGTTCTTCACTATCCTCGTTTCGGGCACCAGGTGGTGCCCGGAACGAAGATAGTGAAGCACTTGGCGCGTGGATGATCTCTTCTTTTGCTATTATTTGCAGCTGTAGCTGGCACTGCAGCAATGACATCCAGCAGCTATCAAGGAGGTCGGTTCTCAGATCTGTCATCGAAATAATGCTGGAAATGCTGCAGATAATTCTATTAGTAGATCGCGCTGACCTATCGCTACGTAAAAGAAATCGATAGTGACTATAGTAATTTAATTAGCTAGATCATCAGCATGCTATCTAGTCTTAATTATAAGGACCCTTGCGCTTCTTAGTAGACGTATAATAGCTTCGAGCAGGTAGATGAGGAGGAGTCTTGTTCTTACCTTCGGCACCAGCTTCGGCACCAGCTTCGGCACCAGCTTCGGCACCAGCTTCGGCACCAGCTTCGGCACCACCTTCGCCACCAACTTCACCACCAACATCAACACCGGCTTTTTTGCACCTTCTTCATAACATTTTTTTTGTTTACCCTACCCCCTAGGCACATTTGCACAGGATAGGCCGATGCACAGGAGATGCAGGTACAGGACGTGGTCCTAGGTGCAGGTGTGAAGAAACCTGAAGGTGGTCCATCTGCCGAAGTAGAAGCTGCAGACCAAGCTTCCTCTTCCTCATCGAGTGCCACCACTTCGGAGGAAGAGAATCAACAGCAGCAAAGCAGCCAATCGGATGAGGCCGGAGGAGGTCGTCCCTCAGGCGGCCAGCCGTCTGCTACTGCTGAACAAACATCGAGCTCCTCCGCTGCCGATGGGGAGAGCATCGCAGCTTCAGAGGTCTGGGCCAAGAACAACAGCAAGGCAAATGCGATCGAGAACAAAGTAGAAAAAGAAAATAACGGTATGAGCAAAATCAGCGCAGATGAAACGACTAGTCGGCAAGATATCAACACGCCGGGAGCTGCGTTCCCGTCGTCTCCAACGGAGCATGTTCCTCTGTTGCGTTCTCCGGGGGAACAAAACGCCGCTGCTCGAGAAGTACGAGTAGATGAGGAGGACAGCGCGAGCTTCAGCAGTCCGGACGCGTCGTCTCCTGGGCGAGATGATGCTGCTGCTGCTTCACCCGCCGGCGCTCCCAGAGGAGGTGTAGTCGAAGTTACAGCAGCGGAAGTGCTTCCAGCTTCCCAGGAGGAGATTGCAGCTGCAACTGAAAGAGATAAGCAAGCTGCGGTGGATGTGCTGCAGCAGTCTATTCCTTCCATGGGCGGGCGGTCCTTCAGTCACGCCTCGTCTGTAGTGCGTGCGGACGCTGAGGACGCCCGGATTCTGAACGGTGTGCAGGGGGAGGACAAACAAGCGGTGGGGTCCGTGCTGGCGTCTCTCCGGGATTCGTGCAAGCAGCAGGACCCGGACCAGCTCCGGAAGTCGCTGCAGACCATGCAATCGCTGCCGGAAGCCGTTCTCACGGAGATTCCGGAAGACCGGAAAACCAACTACAAGAAAAAGCTACGCCGGTTCGAGGCGGTAGAGTCCTTAAGATACAGCATGCAGCAGGAGAATGTGCACATTATCGCCTTGCAAACCGCGATCTTAATGGCGGAGCGCACCGCGGTAGAGAAAGAAGAGCTGGACAAGGCAAAGAAAGTGCTGGAACTTGCAAAAGCTGTGAAAGACGAAAACTCGGCGAACATCCGCAAATGTCTGGACAAAGGTAGTGAAAGAACTCCGTATAAGACTTTTACGTCTGGCGTCCTGATGTCTGATGTCTTATCCACCTCTCGTACGGTAGATCTACGCGTCAATTACATACAGTAGGTAAGGCTGCTCTTCGATCGCACCACGGATTAACAAGATGAGGTCACTCAAAGCAAACTATGTAGGAATTATAGTTCCACCAAGTCTCACACTCACTTCTCAGGGCCGTGCTCCAATCCGCACCTCATCGCGCAGGCGGAAGCGGTGCTTGCCAGAGTGCCAACACCGGCACCCTCGCCGCAAGGCACAGAGCAAGCGACCGCGCGGCCCGCGACCACCGCGGCAGAGGTTGCACCACCAACCGTCGATGCAGACCAGGAGGAGAATTTGGCGTCTGCTTCGGAGGATGCCGAACAAACAGAAACACTAGAAGACAACACGCCCATTTCGCAAGCAAATGAGGCAGGCGAGCATTTGGTATCGATGCAGTTTTTTGCTTTCTCCAAGGTTTTTGATTTTGTGTGACCAAACATGAACGAGATTAGAAATTAGCACATGCACCTCGACAACGCTCAAGAGAAATACAAAGTAGCCGGGGTTCTACTAGGCTGGATTACGATGGTTATCCTGAGGAGTAAATGGTCTGGAAAAAATACAAAAAAAAATGTTTTTTGCCGCAGTCGCGTTTTTAGCAGAGCAATTCTGACCACCCCTCCTTTCATTCGTTTGACAGATACAATGGGAGTTTTAGCGTTTATGTTCCTGGTGTCGACGTTCCCGCTTGGGCAACTCCACCAGTCGAACAGAGTAGGCCGGTAGGGTCACTGATGGTAAACGCATGATCGTAGGACGAAGTATCGATGACTCTGTAATCCCTATGGATGACATGTAGTCTAGAATCTGAATCTAAACGATCACTCTCCAAGGCTGCGGCGCCGGCGCCAACTATCGGGACCAGGATGCAGCTGCGATAGGCAACTATCAGACGCCACACTCCCAGTAGACTGCGAGTCTGCAACTTTTTCGTATTCTCATAAAACTAGTACAAGGGGGCGGGGGGATCGAGTAGTTTTATCCTACAAGTCAAACAACATGATTATCGCTAGGTATGGGAATGTCCCACGTGCAGCTTCCACAATCTGCACCTCCTCGCGACCTGTGACATGTGCGGGCAGCGTCGACCGTTCGGGACGGAGTTGCGCAGGGCAAACTTGGGCGTACTGACTGTGCTTTTCTATTTAAGGACTGACTTTTCTCGATGGAGATCATTTAGTTCTGTTGCTTGTTTCTTCATCCTGGCTCCCGGTTTTATATCAAAATGGGACGAAAAATGAAAATCAAAACCGTTTTACTAGCTTGCGGAAGAATGGAGCGGTGCTCAAGAGCAGGAACAGCAGCAGGATCACCGCGGAGCAGCGCGTGCGCGTTCCCCCGTACCACCTCCGCAGCACCTCATTTGCCCCATGTGCGGCACGCGCAATCCTCCCACGGTTGACAATTGCCAGGCCTGCACCTTTTCGCTGGCGGAGCAGCGAGCTGCTTTGCACGCACAGCAGGTGGCGAGTAGCAGGTATCTTACAGACGAGTTTTCTTTGTTGTGCGTCATAAATATCGTTGACACAGTCAGACTTGGAGATTATCTTCATGCAAGGTGTTTATTGTAATGTGCCCCATCGAATATCGAAAAATGATAAACACCAGCTCTGCCCGGCCGCCCCAACCACCGCAGCAAATCCGGGGCCCCGGCGGCGGCAGCTACCCCGTTATGGCGCGACCAGTTCCGGGACACGAACCGCCGCCGTTCCGTCCGCACCAAACCGTGGTGGCTAAAATGAAGATGAAGTGGAACAAGAGACTCACGCAAATGAACCCCAAGCAGACTGGGAGTGCCTTCAAAGTCGAGCGTGGCAACACGGGGATCGTCGTCAGTCTGCACCCGCTGCGAGTGAGATGGGAGCTGGGCGGGGGGAAAGTTTCTCCCCCCGGCTTGGTGTCGGTGGAGCAGGTAGAGGACGCGGCCACGTCGGAAATTACCCAGCTGATGTCAACTCCGGCACCGAAAAGAAAAAGCTTACTGGCGAAGCTTTTTGCATCCGCGAAGTAGGACAGAGATATGTTTATGTTGAGTAACGTCCGAGTTGTGTGTAGACGTACTAGGGTGGCAATGGGTGTTGAAAAGCAATCAAGGAGCAGCAAGAACTCTGTCACTCATTTTCCAACTGGATTCACCTTGAAAGAGAAAGCTCACTAGATATGCAGAAACAGAAATAGAAAGCAGGAGAAAGATTTGAGATTCATCAACTAGAGATTTCTAAGAGCAATAGAAAGCTCGCAACAACACAAAATTCCAATTCTAAATCTAAAAGCGACATAAAGAAGAGAAGAATGGTGAGGAAGAAGATTCGAGATTACTTTTCCAGTGTCACGATTGGGCCATCGAGCCGGGCAGCGCGCACCTTTACTTTCAAAAATGCACAACTTTTTTCGAACAAGAAATGCCTGTACGAATGAAAATTATTGATGAACCTTTACGCGCTTCCAGAATGAACCTTCTCTTGCATCCCATCTATGAAACGCTAGCATCCTTGCTGGTGGGTGCTTCTACCTTATGAAAACCAAACGTATACGTAGGTACATCAGAAGTTGTACGTTTCACTGCTTCGTGTGGAGTTTTACCCTCGACCGAATTTCATGCCTCGGAATCGTGTTTTGATACGTTCATAAACAGGCCTTCGTGCTTGGCGCGCGGTTCCATGTTTTGCACGAGGACGCATAAGATGACGATCGACGATGTCAGGTGATGATCGAGTTCTGTGCCCCCGATCCTGGTCGTTTCTATGTGAATATCATGATCAACATCAATATACCCAGAACAGGCCGCCGTAGGGATCTTTTGGTGTGGCAAGCTGAGAGTTCGGAAGTAAGTTTTTCTGGTGTGTATCAATCTGCGCATCGTGAGGAAAAAATCTAAATTTGATCGCGTCCTTCTAAGCATCTGAAAGGAATAAAAGCGTCGCGTTGTTTTTCAACTAAACTTGCCCATGAAGCATGCTTGCTCATTGACACACATCTTCAAGTACTTGCCCGCGACGCGGGCATTGTTTCAGGATGGCCGCAGGAACAAGCGCTGCGAGTAACAGCAAGCAGGTGGATGATTTCGAGGATTTTAGTTCTAGTGAGGAGGAACTCGATCTTGACGACGCCGAAGACGTGTTGCAGCCGAGTAAAAAATTGAGGTTGAACGTCGATGAGGAGGAGGAGTTTGCCGAATTTCTTGCCAGTGACGCCAATGCAGGAGAGATCGAAGACGAAAATGTTCTCGACCGATTTCTTACCGGCGCCGGCGCGTCGTCAGCGTCGTCTACAAGTCTGCTGAACAGAGACGCTGCCACAGGCGCAACACCAGCAGGGAGCGCAGCAACAGGCAGAACTGAAGGAGCTGCCGGCACGTCAACCGCAACCGCTCGCGTGGAAGCGTTTCTGAACAAGGGGAGCAAAGCAGTGAAGAAGCCGGTGAAGCGAAGGCAGGCGTTCCGTCTCGCCCAGCATGAGAAGCTACGGCTACTGCGGATCCAAGAAGGAATTATGGTATTCCTCGTGGGGCGCGCAAGGCAAATCTCCAATTTGGCAAACAACGAGACCGTCCGGGCCTTCGCGCTATCGCTCTTTGGCGGGAGAAAAGTCTTGCCGACAGAACCACAGGGTAGCGATTTCCACACGGGAATTTACTCCGGGACTTCCGCAGCGTCGTCCTCTTCTGTGGGGGCGATTGAAAGTGAAACGCCCATTAGAAGTGATGTTACGGTTGCTGCTGGTGGTGTTAAATCCAGCAGCAAGATTTCTGCTGCCGATGCGGGTGCAGCTGTTGTGATTGAACTAAGTGATTCTGAGTCCGAGCAGCATGCAGCGACATCGAAAAAAATGGCCAAGGGAAAGAGTAAGGCGAAACCAAAAGCAAAAACAAAAGCAGATGCAGTGCCGAAGAAGATGAAAATAAAGGCTGTTCCTACCGCCAGCTCTTCTGAGATGGTGGCGTCGAAAAATGCCGGTCGGGACGTCGAGGCAGCCGACAAGACGAGAAATGGCTTAGAGCAGCATTCGTCAGCACTCGAACGTGACGTGATCTTGCAGGATATCCGTGCGTTTTTCTCATCCTCGGAAGAGCGTGAGATGTTCGAGGGATGTGTGGCGGATATCGCCCCCTGTTCCTCCGTCTTTGAAGTGCTGCAGCTGAAAACCCCGACGTCGTTCTTCATTCTGCAACTTGCCTACCAGCGGTTCTATGCGAAGAAGGCCCCGATTCTCTGGGCGGCCTCCACAGTTCCCGGGTTCAAGGCATTGCAGGTTCGGATCCACCACGAGCAACTGTTCTCTGACGAGGCCATTGCGGAAGCGAAAGATGCAGAGAGGCAGGAGAAAACGGCCCGAAACGCACGGAAGGTTTTCGCCAGAAATCTAGTAGCAACTACGGGGAGCTGCACTAGTCTTCATTTGGGGAAGGTGAACAATTCCTCTGTGGCAAGCAAAATGAAGAGCAAGAAAGGTGTTATGCAGCACAGCTCCGCTAGTGGATATCATAACAGTTTCACGCCGGACCGCTTCCTTTTCTCACTCGGCACGGAAACAGAGCCCTGGGGGTATTTTTCGTCCTTTGTGGATATTGCGACGCAAGACACCGTGGGGGCGACCACAGGAGCTGCACAGGACGACCCGGTGACAAGCAACAGGCTTTTGGTTAGTACTAAAAATGGAACGAACAATACAAGTGTGAAACAGTACTGCTGCACCCCACACAATAGCGCCCTCGGCGTGCAAATAACGCTGGACCCAAACACCGCACCCTTCAAGAAGTTTACCTACACGATCGGCTGGGACAAGCGACACCAGTTTCACGATAAGATCAGGCTTTCCAACCTGCCCCTCGCGCTGAAACGGTGGTGGCTGGAGCTGCGGCGGACAAAGCTGAAGGTGAAGGATGCGTTTCCCCGCACCAAGGAGGAATTTAAGAACTCGCTGGTCTACTGCCTGAGCGCGGAATTTGCGCACAACAAGCAGCACAAGCTGCACCCGAGCGCGAAGATGCAAGGGTTGTTCAAGGGCAGAGAAAAGATCTACTCCCGCACCGACGTGTACCCCCTGCGCACCGCAGACGAGTGGCGCAAGCGGGGCCGTCGAGTCCTGATGGGCGAGAAGGGGGTGGAGCGGAAGACGCCCCTGGTCGGCGGCAGCGAGATTCTGTTCGCGGTTTGGCAAACGGAGGACCGCCCGGTGTACGACTTGCATGCGAACATGGTGGCTTTGACCAAGGAAATGCGGTACAACAACGCGGTCGACCGGAAGCTGGCCTCGACCGACTTGCTCTCAGTGCGGAACAAGTACGGACACTGGGACTGCGCGCTGGACAATTTTCTCGAGAAACACTCCTTGTCGAAAACACAGCAATTATACACATCCTCACAGGGCTTGTTGCGAGGGGCATCGGCTAGTAGCAGTTCTACTTCGAAAACGGCTTCTATACGACCAGATACGATCGACAGCGTGGTCATTTTTTCACTGCAGCAGGAGGAAAAAATCTGGGTACACGGAGACGTTGCGCAAGATGAACAAGACATCAATGGGAATTCCAAATCCGAGCTGCAGCAGGCCGCTCCCCAGACCGTGAAAAACTGTAGCAAAAGCCAGTTTGCAGCGTCGTTTGCAGCTCCGGCGGCCGCTGCGGGTTTCTCCTCCTCTTCCTCTTTGGGGTTCATTACAAGTTCGTCAAGCTCATTTGGCGGCGGCGGCTTTGGCACTGCGTCATTCGGAAAATTGTCGTCTTTCGGGTCGTCCTTTGGCGCTGCAACGCAGCAGCCACGGTTTTTGGACTCCGGGAAACCTATTCCCGTCGAGACGAAGTCGAACAGTACGACGAAGCCGGGAATAGAGGACCAACATGGTGTGCTGGGCAAGAGTAGCAGGAAATGCACTACTACTTCCAATGAACAGCCTTCAGGCGTCGACGTAAAGATTCTGTGGTCCAACGACATTGCGCGAAACTGTGCGTGGGTACCGCGGGCTTTGGCAAAGGAAGTGTGCCGCAAGCACGAATTTGATTACATCGAAGCGGCGTCCGGATGGACAAAAGACGCGAACACCAACAAGGCGCAGCGCCTCTTCACGGGTGTGCTGCTGTGCGCGAGGCACGCGATACAGGTCTGGAGGGAGGCAGAGGCGCTGGAGAAAACTCGGCAAGTATCAAATGGAAAAATGTCTGGGTCTGGAAGAATGCAACTTGTCATGCTAAATCTGCAGCATGCAAAAATCTGTGTTGCATGATTACCAAAAGTCGTCCAGTTTTGACCAAGTCGGGAGGTAGTTTCTCATGGAGGATAGGCATTGGAAAGGTCTCGCAGAATCTATCATGCTAGGTCCTGCATTCCAGACCTCATGGGTCATGGAAAAGCAGCATGAAAAATCGCGCATTCTTCCAGACCCAGACATTTTTACAGTTGATAGCAAGCCAGGAGGAACAAAAAAGAGGACGACGAACTACGGCTCGCATGGACGGTATGGATCTATCAGGATTGAAATCGTCAAAGTTGAAATGAAGACTTGTCATGCATAGAATGCAAGGCATGAAGTGCCTGTCTTGCCGGGGTGGCAAGTGAGGCAGATTGTGAGCCTATTTAGGGTTTGGGATAGAGCTGCTAAAGCTGCATGACAAAAGCAGTCCTCTGTGCCCAAACAGCATGACAAATTGGATTCCGGTGCTCCGAAAATTTGTCATGCGCCGCTTGGAATTTGGTCTGCCAACTGGTATCCATTTTATCCATGACAAATCATTTCAACTTTGTCGATTTCAAACCTGACGCTTCCATAGACGGAACTATGCAAGAAGATTCTCGTGGAACGCTACATGAGTCGGAAACGAAAAAGATAGTGCTGTGTTTTTTAGCGGACGAGTTTGTACGCAAAGCGAAAGCGACAATGTGAATGTAGTAAGTAAAAATATCCCGAGGGAGTACTTGTACTTCTTACCAGTGTAGTATCAAACGCGTACCTGATTTTGTTCTGTTTCGTCAGCTATATGGAATTTGATTCTACTGTCCAGGTTCTTGTCGCTAATCGGTAGTTCCTCACGAGGTTCGTTCTGGGGTTGAGGTTGATTTCGCGTCGGTAGAGGGTGTATGTCGGTCGAGTTCAAACGAGCCAAGGGTAGCTGTTTCATGCTCATTGTTTGCGCCGGGAAACAGTTCGTGTTTGGGGTGTATTTTGTCGGCGTAGATTCACGAAACTATTCTTGTTGGAAATTGACTAGTGTCTCACGGATTCTTGTACTGGTTTCATACTCTACAAAAGGGGATCGGAGCAGTATTTCGCTTCGAGGATGACATCTTAATATGGGGTCGCGGCCTGCTCTTGTTTGTCGTTTTGCGGATGGGAAGGGGTTCTCGGTCATTGTGCTCACGATTGATAGTCCGTAGAAAACCTCAGAACTCGTGTTGGTTGCGCGCGTTGGCATGGGGCAAAGCAGAAAGGATTGACTTTCAATCGGTCGCACACAAGGTGACTTTTAATCGTTCGCGTTTTGGATATTATTTACATTTTCTGGAAGATAGATTGGTTGCCGCTTTCACCAGCACACGATGACCTGGAACGCACATATTCCTCTAGGCGGTTTTTTTTGTTTCATATTACAAGGGTGTTTTCGTTAAATGTTAGTACTGAATTATTGAAGAGGACTACGAGCTGTGACTTCTTAACGACGGGGAACATAATCGCATTTTCAGGGACAATCTTCGAATCTTAAGCATTGCAAAATGGTATTGTTTGTGTTTGCGATATGTTTTGTTGACGTGATGTACTTGCATGTTCTGAATGGAGAACCTCCATCAAAAATTCCATCGGCTTTATCAAAAATCTCTGTACAACATCAATAACACAGGTAAACAACTACGCACAGAATATGCAGTCTGCGGGTCCGAATCACACACACCAACACCAGGGAGCGGGAAAGGGGGCCAGCAAGCCGGGTTACTACCACAACTACAATAATTGGTACAACAGCAAGGCGAATTGGTACGGCCACCACCAGCACCAGCACCACCACGGGCCGCACCAGCACGGCCGAAACACCGTAAGTACTAATGCCAGCAGCGGAGCGGGTACCACCGCCAGTGGCGGGGGCAACAACAATAGCCAACCGAGCGAACAACAGCAACCCGCCCCCGCACCACCGTCTAAGCCGCAGCAGCCCAAGTCGGTGTACAAGTACGTGCCCGGGGACTGGATTTGTCCCACCTGCGAAGACTTGCAATTCCGACGGAATCAGGCCTGCAGGATTTGTGGTACGATGAATCCCATGGTGCTCGCGCAGGAGTTGGCCATTGTGGCGGGGGTAGCGGTGTTTTTTATCGTCCTTGCTGCTTCTTTTTCACTGCTGCGTTGTTTTTTGTTTCGTAGGACGAGAAGGAGAATCCATGATGGTTGTTTTGTTCGTTTTGATGCTGATCGACCTCCAAGTTGCCAGAGACCGCTCGCACGTGGCAGAAATTTCAAGCTGCAATTTGGACCTTTCTATCAAACCACAGAAATCCCTGGGATCCTTTCATGCCTACAACGCGGCGAGTAAGGACACGACAGCTTCCAGTGACAACATGGTCCCACCGGCACCGCTGCCGCAGAAGGGAAAAGGAAAGCAAGCGGGGAATGGGAACATGATCCGTACTGGTCGATGATACTATACATAGTTGGAGGCGATTTGTTGCACCATCGGATTTCTTTACGTTTCATACTGTGTCCTGACGTTGAGAAAGTATTCTGGATGTTGTGCGAAAGATACTGATACGCTTCCTCTCTTTCTAATATAAAAACAGCTGCCGTCCCCGCGCCACCGCAGATTGCCGGGGTGCCCGCAATATGCGATGCAAATATGAGTTCTGGTTCTGGAGAATTGCAAAAAAATCTTTTTCTTGCCGTTCGGCAGACGTAGTTCGGATGTAAAAATTCGTACACACGATGTAGTTCGGATGTAAAAAATCGTACGAGCAGACGCATATTCAACACAAGAGTCAGACTTGGCAATTTTCCCACTCCAGACTCGAATATTTGCAATCGATAATTTCCCCCGCAGGCCCCGTTGTGGGACTACACGGGTATGCCACCGATGACCGGATTCGAGCTATTGTGAGGAAAAATCCCCCCTCCCCATACCAAACCGAGATACTTCTGAAAATTTGTGATGCTGATTTGAGACCACAAATCGTCTCTGTATTGCAAGAAGGCAAATCCAAAAACCTCGGCGCGTCCTGTAGGCAAAAATTTAATGCTGTAGGGCGTACGGAGGAGATGCCTGCCTTGCTAGGTGCCTACACCAAAACGCCCCTTTTCCGGCATTGTATCTACCTGCAGTCCTCTACTGCAAGACAGAGCCGCTTTGTGTACGGAAATCCCGCATCACAGATTTCCATTTCGATATGGGGAGGGGGGATTTTTCCTCTCAATACGAGCCGGCGGCAGCATTCGGCTTCGCGCATCCCAACATGTACGCCGTGGCACAGCAGGCGTTTCCGCAGAACTTAGGCATGTTTCTGCCGCACCAGCCATTGCCACGTATGGATTATGTTTTTTTCGATTTGTTCGCTTGCATTTGTTCTTGCACTTGAAAGTGTGAAAGAATAAGAAATGTTGCAAAAAAAAATGTTTCAATATGTTGAGTATCAGCGTATTTTTGTTGCCGGACGAGTATGACAATATTTATACATCGAAAATCCAGCGGCAGCAGCGGCTAACCTGTTGTTTCAGGCCTTTCCCCCGGGGTTTGTGGCGCCGCCAGCCGCAGCGGAAGGTCAGGACCCCTTCAGTAGTATTCCCTTCGTCTTGCCCCAGGACGACAGTTTCCTGCCCCGCCGGGCCACGGTACTAGCTAAGTTTTGAAATAGTCTTTGTTTTTACTCCATTGGTCAAAAAGAAAAATGAAAAGATGATCGAAGACGTATGAAAGATGTACTTAAACAAATTTGAAGAACATGAAGAGCTTAAACCGTAATATTTCTACAGGAGGACTCCATTAACACGACGGCAGCAGGGTCTACTTACACCTACAACTGAGACGAGAAAAAGAGACTTGGAGTACTTTCCCAGCGGCCAATTTTTCGTGAAGAAACTGCAAACGTAGTCCGTCAGATCAATAGAGGAGCACGGAACTCTCGTCGAAAAACCTCAGCGTGCGTTATCGTCCGCTTGTTTATTTGTCACGAAAAAGAAATGAAACTACCGCCACGGAAAATGCAAAACGGATGTAAATATCATAGTCATAGTGGTGATAAAGAAGATTCGTTTTTCTTTCAGCACGAAGGAATCTCATCCTCTGACACTGTTTTGTATGCATGTTGTGCTAGCTGTCAGGTCAAAACCCAAACATGTACGTAGTAAAAGTCTTCTGATTCTTGGTCTAGTGTTAGATTTGCGTTTCTCTTTCCTACGGAAATGCTAACATGCGGGATAATAATTTCATTTGGTACGCCTTCCACACAACTTTTGTGAGGAAGGGTACTCTGTTTCTACATCAACAAAGTGTACCCTATTTCGAAGCATTTTCACAATGTAACGCGCAATGACATGTACCTGTAACTACTATAATTCTAATTTTCTCAACACACGGAGACGGACGTCGTGGTCGTGCCTTAATATCTGATATAACATCCTATCAGTTTTTCCGTGTCAACCAACTGAAATGACACCGGATTACAGGCAAAAAGAATCCTGGAGGGCGGGGGGAGAATATTGATAGACCGAATGTGAGAATTGTAGAATGGAATATGACGGGAGTTAGTGGTTAGAGAATTTTTCTATATTACTGTACTTTTAGTAGGGAAAATTAATGGTGGAAAGGAAAGCACAGTACCTAGACGTACCAGTATGTGAGAATCCTGTTGTGGCTTCTAGCTGATGTAGCTGGATCTTCACCTTCGTAAGGAACTACAGGGGAGTTGTAGACAACCGTAGATTATATATGCGGGGAGCGAAAAATACTGGCGCAGAACTGGTGCTCAGCTATGATAGGTGGCGCCACTTCTTTCTTGGGTGAAATTCTATTGAAAATGAGAGGGCGGTCGTAGAAATGAAGATGTTTGGTGCATTTGTTTCTGTCCATCGGGTGCAGTAGCAAGTTATCTGAGACTTCTTTCTCTGTTGAACAAGCAGCTTCTACTTCAGACTATCTAAGGGCTCCATGGTCGACTGTGATGTGACGCGGAAAAAATAAATTTATCTCGGTTGTTTTCTGGGATGCTTGTGCTTGCGCAGCCCTGCGAACAGCATACTACCAATTTTGTGAATCTTGTACATGTTCTCGAATTTATGTTTGTAGCTAAGTCGCGATGGTACGACTTTTACAAGACACTGCAACAAATGCGCAAGTGAGAAGCTCTTGCTGTATGAAATGATTCGGTTGAGTTTGAGAATAATTCGCAGATGAGAAGCTCAATGAAATGAATCGGTCGAGTTCGAGAAGAAAAGAACTTCTAGTTACCACTGAATACAACGGCAAAAACTTTGTACTTCGGTCTGGTGCCAGCGCTGAAAATTGGATGTTGTGCCTCAAACAGCGTTCTGAAGTCGGTTTGCGATTCGGAAAAAATAAATTGTTCGAAGCTGTCATTTCGAAGATCACCCTGCATCCCTTTTTTTGCGACCAAAAAATTGACGATCAGCCTTAACTCCCTGACACGAAGAAGATCAGATAGTAGACCCAAGAAAGCCTTTTCTAAAAATTTTCTTATTGCGAGAAGTAAACCTTAACCTTGATGATCAACATCTACTTATATACCATCAGAGCCAGCACAAGATCGCTTTCTTTCTCATCTGAAGCGAAAGTAAACCAAGACCTGTTCTTTTACGCATAATTACAAAAGCACGAATAATGTTGAACTACGTACTCTAATTCCTGTTACGAAAGTTCCTGCAGTTCCGCTTCTGTAATTTGCCGAATTGAAGTACGCGCTTACATAGAGACTGAATGAGGTTACGTGACAACTAGTACACAACAACGCACCCGGAAGATCATGTATTGTGAGTTTTGCGCTCCCGCTCCCTCAACATGTTTTTCTCGACAAAAAACATGATCATGAAACAAGTGCAATAGCGACATAATCCTCGTTTTTTGTCCCCTTGTAAGACCTTATTGTTTCTTTGTTGGAAAACGACAAAACCAGTCTAGAACACTTACAATCCAACTTCAGGCGGATCTTTGGAGCACTTCGTTTTGGTTCTTTTTTTCTACCCTTATTTACATCTGACTGCTGATCACGACTTATTTATAAGTATTTTGATACCTAATAACAAACTACGCTTCACTTCTGACGCCCTTGCTTACATTTCGCCAAATTTGCACGATCTTCGATCAAAGCAACTCTGGTTTTTTGTAAAGGCACAAGAACTGTTGATCATCGGAAAAAGTGAAAGCACCAGATAAGTAGCTAACCTGTAGTGTATATCGACCTTGTAAAAACAAAGTACTTCTAGTAGTTCCCTTATCCACTCCAACCTCGGACATAAAAAGCAACCCGTCGTACCTACCTTCTTCACTAAAACAATTGATAGAGGAAAGAAAAGGCACCAGGGAAACAAATACATAGTGAAAAAGGCAACAAGAACAACGGCGACCACGTCGTGAATGAACTATAGCATCTACTAGCACGTTCTTGAAACCTCCTTCTCGTTCTGCGTGACATCGAGACTCAAGACCTGTGTGTGAAGACACCCTGAAAACTAAGTACGGAGAAACAGCACTGGAAGCGTGTTGGAGAGCATTTATTTTTGGGGCAACTTCTTAATCGGAGGCGGCAGCTGCAGGAGACCTAGAATTCAGCAGCACTGACGTCGATTTTCCTTGCCCTACGACAAGAACCCGGCTAATAGTCCTCTCCGCCGGTAGCTGACGAGAAGAATCAACACGAAAAGACGCGATTTGGTTGTACGCAGGAGCGTTAAGAATATCTCCCCCAAGAAAGTGAAGGTGAAACAAAAAGTTAACTTTTTTGCACGAAAGAAGAAAGAAGATTGTTATACCCAGCATCCTGCTCCCAGAAGACCTGGCCTATTGCAGAAGATCATAGTGAACGATACCGCCGGTGGTCTGCACATCGACAAAAAGGAGCAGCCCCAGAAGATAGAGCCCAGTTCCAGAAGATCCGTTTTGCGATCCCGTGTACGAAGAGGAGCACGCGAATAACCAGAAGTAGAAGACAAGAAACGTCAGAAGAAAAAAATTCCAAGTGTCGGAGTCGCGGCGAACTGTTGAAGACTTTCAGGAACACTGGAAGAAATGATGCCCCAAGGAGGTGGTGAGCACGCCCATTCAGGCGTCGACCTGCAACAGGAGCAGCTGCAGCAGCTGCGCAACCTAAGTCTTCAGCAGCAACAGCAACTGAACGCCTTCGCAATGCAGATGCAAGCGGGTACTGCTCCGCCTGCCCCTCCAGGGTACAATCCGCAGAATTTTCAGATGCACCACCAGCCTGGAGCGGCAGGTGCGGCTCCTGCGTTCGCTCCGCCTCATGGTCAACAACAAGCTCCGTTGATGTACCAGCACCATCCCGCGGGCCCCCAGTACCCGCCCGTTCCCGTGATAGGAGGCGCTGCGGCCATGCAGCAGCAGCAGCAGCAACTGGTCCAGCAGTATCTGCTGCAGCAGCAAATTCAGCAGAACTTGGAACTGCTTCAGCAGCAAAGCCAGCAGACTTTTCATAGCCCCCCGCCGGCAGCAGCCGAGTCGGATGAGGATGCTGACGACCATTACAATGAGGCGTCGCAGTATCATCAGCAGTTCGCTAGCCCCAACGCATCCCCTCGGCGATCGCTTGCCTTCCGAGGTCACCACGACGACCAAGTTTATAATTTCCCGGGTGATCATTACCAGCAGCAATTCGGTAAAAACAAGGGGGCGGCTCGAGGCGGGAAGAAGGGGAAGTACAAGGGCGGTAATAAAGGTTACAATCCTTTCGCAAACACGTATGGGGAAGATCATTTTCAACATGCGATGGGTGATCAGTCATTGTCGTCCTCTCCCGTCCAGACTTTTGACAAAGCCGGTGGAAAGATGAACAAAGGGGGCAAAGCAGGCGGAAAGATGAAGGGCGGGGGGAAACATCAGCACCAGCAGCCGTATAAAGGGACGACGAGTGCAGCTTCTAGTCATTATGCGGGCGGAAAAACTTCTTACGGGAGCAAGAAGGGTGGAGGGTTCTTTCCGCAAGAACAACATCAACATCACTCCTCCCCGCCCCTCGGGCTCGGAGCGGGTGGGCGGAATAAGGTGCAGACCGGCCACCCTCGCACAATGCGCGAGCGGGAGGAGTTTGTCACGGACGCGAAAAACGTCACTATGGCGCCCCAGTTCGAGCAGAACCGCTACCTGGTCTCGACCACCAAACTGCGGAAGGGTGCTGCGTCGGCCGGGAACGACGGTTCTGACGACGAGGACGAACAAAAAACAGGGGAAAATCATGATGACGCGGCGGCCAATGAGGTGTTCAAAGTCGAGCAGGATGATCCCTTCCTTTTGTTGGCGACGCAGTTTGTCCGGGATCAGGGGGTGGCTTTCGACCCCAACATCAAGCACGTGCTGCATTTGGAGCAGCTGCAGCACAGCGACAACCGCATGCCGCAACTTAGCCTCATGCTGGACCAGTACTTATCTATGTTTTTCTGACTCACAGGACTGGTGGCACTTTCTTATCTCATAGAAAAAACAAAATTAATCAGAACAAGAAGATCATGACCGAGCTTCGTCATTTTTGTCCGAGGTAGCGACCGGTTTTGCATTTGATGCGTAAGCGGCCAAGCGACGAAAATTATTGTACTCATTCACAAATTACACAGACTTAGCGGGAATTTCTCGTACTCCGACGAATTGTCGACCGCCGCAACTGGGAAAGACGTCGAGAAGAAAAAGCACCAGCAGGTGCATTGGGTGTCCAATTGGTGCGAGTCACCGGAGAAGGGTACATCTATCGATTTTTGTCATGCATGCATGCATGCATGCCGAAGATGCCGATAGTTCTAGTAGTACAGTTGAGCTTGATTGATGCGACCGAAATCTTCGCATCACAAAATCACTTTTTTTTGCTAGCACGACGAGACTGATAGATCATGCCGGGCGGATACTAGAAGTAGGTCACGCGAAGAAATGAAAGATCACTGTGTACTAGTGTGCAGCGTCTTCGCGACGGTCAATAGAATAATGCATGAAAATTGTACCACATTGTGAAATTGTAATTGATTCTAATCTAGCCTGACCTTCTATCTGAAACCACAGAGCTGCTGCGTGAAGAGCCAGGGAACTACAGTCCGTTGACGGAGGCCCAGGAGACGCCGGAGTCGCGCACGCATTTTGCCCGCAAGGCCTTTTATGCAAGAAAAAAACTGTGTAAGTGTAAGTCTGTGATGCAAAGCGTGCAACACTGTTACATTTGTCATGCTAGCCAACCATGAAGTCCTATTTCATTGTTGTTTTCACTTACTAGCTGCGCATGACAGGCTTTTTCTATCATGCAGAACACCTTTGTCATGCTGTCACCTCAAGACACCTACACTAACACACTTTTTTTCCTGGATACCTTTGCGCGGATCCGTAATGACCTGTTCAATTCCGCGCCGGCGCTGATGGTGAAGAACCTGCCGCACCGGTTGGACGTATCCTGAGTAAAAACGTACCCACACCAGAGTTGTAATGCAAATCTGCATGCTGAAAATGTTTCTCATGCGGAGCTCCATGAGAAGCATTTTCTAGTCGTGTTTTGCAATTTGTCATGCTCCAATCAGCATATTATGCTAGATCTGTGATGCTGCTGAGCTAGCTCAAACAGCACTATACTACGAATCCAAATCTGTCATGCAAAACAGCCAAAACTTGTGGATTTGTCTAGCCGATTCCCCATCTTGACTCTGGTGTGGGTACGTTTTTACTCAGGATAGGACGACCGGATGATTCACACGATTCTGCGACCGCTGCACGACCAGGTGCGCGCGGGCTGGGAGTTCATCCAGCCGAAACAGACGGCCCGGAACAAGAACCCGCGCAACCCGAAAACGGCACGGTACGCCATCATCATCTGCGAATCGCCGGAGATCCAGCGGAAAATTCTCAGTACCTACCAGGCCCTGCCCTCGCGGGAGCGGTGCATCCACCGCCGGTACCAGCTGCACTGCGGCTCACCACAGATCCTCCGGGCGGTGTTAAAAGCCTACTTCTCGCAGTCCACCGCCCCGCGAGGGATCAAGATGGCCAAGGGGCAGCTGTTGGGGCTCAGCGATAAGGATCATAACCACCTCGGGGGCGGGACCTCTGCGGAAAGCAGCGCCGCTACAACGCCGCGCTACAACAACTACGAAAATTATGATAATCACATGAGCCACCCGGAGGACCCAAGCCTGGAGCAAATTCTCGCCGGCCAAGAGGGAATGGACCCGAAAAATGTTGAACGAGAGCCGCTCTCAGAGGCAGTCCAGCTGCTTGCGCAGCAATTGCGGGAGGCACGCATCACGGGAACACTGTCGTACGACTTTGCTGCGGAGGAGATGCGGCTGACGGTGTCGCCTGAGGGCGACGGCCATGACGAATTCCAATTCCATAAATGGGGCGTGCGGGAGGTGTCGTACGAAACCAACTCCGTCTTGTTTTCGCACTCTATGACGTACTCCGTCGTCGAGAAAACCCCGCCCAAATCCGCCCCACAAGGGTTGTACAACAACCACGGTGGAGAACGAGAACAACATCAGGGAGGTCACCAGCAACATCTTCACGGTTCTCCATCTGCAGGGTTCAATCAGTCATACCAAAGTGCCGCTTCACCTGCTCCGTTCTATAAGGGCGCCGGGAAGGGGCGGATTCTGCACGAGGTGGAAGAAACAGACGAGGAAAATGCTTCCGACGAAGAGGTGGTGGAGAGTCCGCAGGTATAATAGAAGGATATAACGGATAGTATTGGTAAGGTTTGCAGGGACGATTATGTCCGTTTTAGTCCATTATAGTATGGTGTCACTGTCATTGTTGTTCTGGAGTTCTTTTTTGTGATGTGGTATCAGGGCACTTCTAGGTCTGACAGATGTCGCGACGAGTGTACGATTTAGCCTGAACACGAGTTTGGTGCGTAAGTTCATGTCGGTACTATAGTTATTTCGTGGTTAAAAAGAGTTGTACAACATCAATATGAAAAACTTCAACTTTTGACTTTCAGGTGGACCTGGCGTTTTCGCAGCTTTCTCCGCTCCCCCCTCCGCGACCACCCACGCTTGCAGATCGTGTCTCGTTGGCTCGCGGATCGCAGATCGGTGGCGGGGAAGCACCCCGACCACATGGTAATTATACCGCGGGCGGCGCGACCGCGACCGGCGCCTATCCCGTGGTGCTGCCCACCCACCCGCTGCAAAACCTGAATCCCTACAACCTGCCGCCGATCCACACGACGCCGGAATTCCTGCTTCCCGGCTCGGCGCTCTCTTCGGGGTCTGAGATATCGCCAATGAGTGTCGCCGCACCGCTGCCGGGGGACGCAGCTGCGGTTGCTAACCTCCGGTTAGAGGAAGACCAAGACATTTCCACTAGCACGACGAGCCACGGGCCGGTGATCCATGGGCTCCCGGAACGAACGCAGAGCACCGACGACCGGAAGCTGCGAACGACTTCGGCGCTGGCTTTGGCGCGGGACAAACATTTGGCCGCGTTGAACCGCAGCCTGACCTTCCACGGTCCCAGCTCGTCGCTGGGCTCCACTTTGTTGCTGGGAAGTGGGTACGGGAAAGTCTTCGGGGACGAGCAGGAGGTGAGCAACGATCCTATTGCTGCCTCAACAGCAGCAGTGTATGCAGAGCAGAGTTCAACCGCCGCCGGGCAGTACTTGCCGCGGTCCGTGTCCGCCGTACATACCTTCGAGAGTCCTCAGCTTGGCGCCGGAAGTCGGCCGTCGGGCCTCGAGGCGGACTTTTCCTTCACGCCGGTCCGTTCCGAGAGCTACACCAGTTCCTGGCCGGACGGAGCGGAGGAAGCGCGGAACTTCGGACAGTACAATCTGCCTCCGTATAACATGATGCCCAAAACGTCATCGAAAAACTCGCTGTCCCGGACCAACAGCCACAAGGCGGCCGCAATCCAAGCAGATATGTTTCGCTCCTACACGCATCACCACTACCCGGTGCAGGCGGCGCATTCGCAGCTGCAGTACGACCCGGACCTCTTTTTGAACCGCACAAAGTCCTCGCATCCACCCTCGAGCGCTGCAGGTTTTTGTTTTTTTTGATGCAACAGCACAAAGTTTTTGCTTTTTCTATACACAACTGCTGATCGACACTTGGTCATATTACTTAGGGGTAATCAATGAATGAACGATTTCAACATCCGATTGATGTAGCTTTCCGTCCGTAGAATTTTCGGCAGCTCAAGGATAGAGTAGCGAATAGATAACGGTAGATTTGAAAAATACACCACTAAGAAAGAAGTATCAACGATTTTTGGAAAAAAAAAAATTCAGAGCGGTATTATAACCGACCGTCCACATCTCACGTATCTGGGTATGATTCGCGGTCGATGCCGCGGCCGTCCCACCGTTCCGGTCGCAGCAGTGACGCGGACATTTCCTGGCATGGCCACAAGCTGCCGGAGCACGACTGGAGTGGTTTTGCAGCGGCATATCATCCTTACATGCCGTACGAGTACGACTACAATTACTACAAAATCAACGACTACTTGCACCAGCAAAGTCTTCCGGGAGGTACTATTTCAACTACCCCGGGTCAACAACATCTTGCGGAGAGCCCGCGAGTAAACCCCAGTAACGAGGACAGTCCGATCGGTCGGTTCGTTCGGAACTACGATGCCGAGATGCAGCGAGCGAAAGACGTCGCAGCAGCTGCTGCTACGTCCACCACGATTACCACATCGCCCGCGCCCGTGACGAGTTCCGACGACAACGAACTGCCGCTGCCTCCGCAGCAGCAGGCAGTTGCAGCATCCACCACTTCTACCAACCGCGGCGGGATGAAGTTTCCGCCGGGGCTGAGTCCTGTGCAGGAGGGGCACAGCAGCACCGGCTCATCGACCGAGGCGAGCCCCATGGCCCACGCGGAGCTCGTATCAGCCCCGGAAGCGGCGCTCTCGAAGCTTGCGGTAGGGTCTGCTGTATCGAGAGTAAAAATGTCTGGGTCTGGAAACTTGTGATGCTGGGTGGCGTCTCATGATGAGGCTACAGATGCTGGCTCAGCATGACAAGTTTCTGAGCTCCTAGGTGTTGCCTATTCTGCATGACAAACTGCGCTTCTGCATCACAGAAAAGCGGAGCTCTTGGGTAACGTGCATGACAGATTTAAGAGTCATGACAGACAAGCATGACACACATGGATTCTTCCAGACCCAGACATTTTTACAGTTGATATGCTGCTCTAGTCGCACGCAGTCCCAGTGAAGAAGTCATGGCCTTTTTTGACGACGGAAAATGATTTACTCGACGATCAGCCCGCAGCTCTGAAGCGGCGTACTCTGGAGGTTTTGTCTTATCTGTTCTTGATCTTGTATTAGTATTCTGTTTCTGATTTCTTTGTACTTTTTTTATTTGTCTGATTACAACACATATAAATGCGTCATCATGTGTAGCACGAGGACTCACTAACGTCTTCGTTTCTCGAGGTCCGTCGGATGCTATAGAAATTTGTTGCCTCTAACTAAATGTTCCCCGCCAATTTTCTCCCAAGTGGTCTCCCTGAGCAGAATTGAATTGATTACTTGCTAGTACTAGCGAAGATGATGTTAGCCCCCCATGGACAGTTGTGCTGTTTCCCCGGCGCACTGCTTATTTTCCTCAAATTTTCGATCGATCGCGCTATCTCTCAAAGCTGACGGGGGCTGTCTTGCTGTCGTCTAGCGCGAATTCGCATGTTTGTCCTGTGATACACAATGTGGTAGAAATAGAAGTTGCTTGCGAAAATGTATCTATTACTCGTGGAAGCTGCAGTAGCGGTGGCAGGCAGTTTTATTGTTGACCAAAACAATCTGCACTTTTGGTTTCTTCGTGCAGAAATTAAGTAAGTACTTGCCTTCGCAGCTCCACCTGTGGGAAAAAAAGATACAAGAGTGACAACTGTAAGTAGTGGTCGGTGAGTGGAATATTCATATTCCATTACCAACTGCACTACATGCTCGAGTTGCAGTAGCGTTAAAGATTCGAAGAGGACGAAATTTTGCAGAGTAGCCGAACCTATGCTGTTTCTAGTAACACAAAGTAACAATATACGAATATTTATTTTTGCAAGAACTGCGATGAAAGGATGCAATCAAGCCACCACTCGGGTTTGTTGCAATCATAGGCACCAGTTACTGCACAAGCGGATTGATTCTTGCCAAGAGCACCATCTATCTATGAGACCAACAGTCATGATATTACAGTAGAACGCATTGGCAGTTTGGTGTCGAGAGCATGGACATTATCACTTTGTTTCGAGAAGGAGGCATATTGTCTACTTCCCCTCACACGAGTCAGTAGAGCAGCCGCGTGTCTCCAGGATGGTCTGCGCCTTTCCGGCGATCATCGCTGCGCTCCGATTACCAATCTTAGCGCGACAAGATGAAACCATACCAGCGGAACTCATTGGTGCACATCCGGCACTGCGACAGTATTCTAGTACATTGCGTCGACAACAACGTTTAAGAGCACCAGTCCTTATCAAAAGACGATCGACGAGCATGACAATCTGCAGTGATATAAATCCCCGATCTCACTACCTGACTAGAGGTGTAAGTAAGTAATCTATGCGAACAAGTCGTATCAAATAGATCCCCCATCATCTGATTAGCGGTGCAATGAAGCAAAGCAGTACTGTAGTTGCTAACCCACCGTGAGACGTTGATCTAAAACTGCATTCCCTCGTTGCCATCTTTTTCTTGCAATAAACCTTCTATCAGTGGTCCTACTAGAACAGACTTAAGAACCTGTGAGGAATTACTACTTATTCGAAGGAGGTGGCGATGCTGGGGGTTTTAGCAGACTGCTGGTCAAGTTCTACAGGAAGGCAAAAGACTAAAACCTCTTGATGTAAAAATGCTTTTGCACCTGCGCACCCGAATCTGTGAAAATCGAAACCAAAAAGAAAGAACGGGGTCAATAATGATGCGTTTCCTGTTCGACTACTATCATTCTCAATGTTTCGTTGCACTTTGTTGTAAGTCTAGTCTCGCCCGAGATAGAGTGTTGCGTGGTTGTGCAATTGTAAATGCATGCGCGTTTGATTCAACATTTGTCGTCTGATGTCTGTTTGTGTGTGTTGTCGTGGTTTTTGCATTTGAGGGGTACGTAGTGAGAAGAAAGTGAGTGTGAGCAGCGAAATAGACGTACACAGCGAAAAAAGTGCTCCGTCTATCTTGAGAATTAAAACGCTTTGGAAAAAATTAAAGTACTAGATCAAAAATGAAGTGCTTGGCCGGCCACCCTCTGGTTCCCCAGGAGAGTTTGGCGGAGCTCTCAGCGCTCGCTGGTGGAACAAAATACATCCACGGGGTGCGGTGCGATCTCTGCGGCGTGTCTTCGCGTCACCGTGTGCCCGCCGTGCGTACGAACGAGGCGAGCGGCGAAACCGTTTTCTCCTATCACTGCCAGCCGTGCGGCTACGATCTCTGTGTGCGCTGCGCGAACGAATCTCTCGGACTGGACCGGGGCACGTTGGTCAGCCCTTCGTACTGGTGCTTGACGCAACCCGCACTCCAGGAGGGCCGCCCCATCACCGCGGCGCCAAACACGTTCGTGGTGGCAGAAGTGGTGAAAAGCGACGAAGAATATAATCAAGAGGGAAAAACAAAAACTCGATCTCATCTCGCAAAGGAAGTAGAAGAAACGGCTGATGATCTCGCCGAGAGAGGAACTACGTCAGCGGCGTCCTCTACTTCAAGTGTTATTTTTGCGAAAGAAGATCATGTTCTTAACAGAACCGGGACGGACGAGGAGAGCACAAACAGCCCGCGAGGGAAGATCAGGTCGTGCGCGAATAAAGCGTGTGGGGGCGTTACCCTGTTTATACCGCCCTTGGAAATTTCTCCGGGAAAGAAAAAAAGAGAACAGTACGTGCAGACGCAGACTGTGGAGGTGTCCTTCGAGGAGGATGTTGGTCCCAGTAATGGGCTGCTAAATTCTTCGTCCAGCCGGTCGGGGGAAGAAGTAGACAGCAGTAAAAGAAAAAACGGTCCCCACAGCACGTCGTCCGCCTCAAGCACGACTACTGTTACAGCGTCAACATCGGCACGAGCGGCTCCTCCCTCGGGCGCAGTTAAGAACCTCCGCGACAACAAGAAAAAGAAGGCAGACACGGCATCTTCCGTTCGGGAAAAAGTGGCGATCGTCGTGCCCAAGGCTCTCTTTCAGGAAGTAAAGTCGGAACAAGGACGAACGCTGCTGCCGGAAGATCAATATGCGGACGGCACAGCGAGTAAGAAGCACGGTCGTGGTGGCCCGGCGCGGTACAAAAGCCCCGACACGTCGAGTAGCGAGGAGGAGGATTTCTTTTCCCGCCGCCGCGCTAAGTTCTCCTTTCGCTGGAACCTGCGGGCCGCGTACAGAAAAAGCTGGTACCTGGAAAACGGTCGCTTCGTTCGGGAGCATGACCGGCACGTGTTTTTGGCGCAGGAAATGCAGGAACAGGGGAGTCTCTTTTCCCACACCGAAAAGGAGAAAAGCGATCTGATTCGGCAGCAATTGGGCGTAGGCGAGGAGGAAGAGCCTCACCCTGGCGGCCCGAGAAACGCATCCGCGCAGGTGGGTCCGTCACTGGTGTTGCTGCAACAAGACGAGTCTGCACTTATTTCTCGGGACGAACAGTCCGACAGGATTAGTGCGCCATCGGCACCACCAGAGCTTGTGTTTCACCCAAAAAAGAGGTCAACATCTTCCGACCTGAAGGACACCAAGCACGCTTTTCTCAGGAGGGAGACCACCACCATGGCCGCTTTCGTTTCGTCAAGCGCCTCCTCCGCGTCTTCCAAAGGAGAAGATGGAGAAGACTTTCGAGCAAGAGGTGGAGACAGAGTTCAAGAAGACAACAAGATCAAAGAGTCCGACAGCAACTTCAACCTCGCTCTTGCCTGCTTCGCGATTGACGGGGTGCGGGGCATCATTCTGTGGTTCGCAGCGGACTTCATTTTTCCCGTGCAGTTTTTGCTGCTCAATGCCTCTTTGTGGAGTAAGGAGTTCTCGAAGTGGATCGCAGAAGACTTGCTGATTTGGCAGCAGGCAGTGTTGCACCTGTTTCCCACTGTCAACCCGCATCTACGGCGGTTAGATTTGAAGTTTCTGCGACGCCGCTTGGAGGGCACGTGGCTGTTTCGCGACAACGCCATCACCACTTCTGGGCTCCATCGTACTACGGGAGGAGCAGCTGCTACTTCGGGCTCTGATAACTTCTTCAGTCAGAATTCCGCCGCTTCCACCACGGTGCGCCCCCGGACGCCGCATGCATCTCCGCGGTCGCCGCGAGGGGCAGGGCTAGGTCCGGCGGCGGTAAATTTGAATAGTCCGTCTAGCAATGCGAGTTTCTTGCAAGCAGCGCCGCGGCTGGGTTTGGCCGGGCACACTTCCTCTTGGAGCAAGACCACGGCCGGTCGCTCAAAGCAGTCTTCCTGCAGTGAGGTGTCGGGCACAGGAAATCATCAACCAGCACTTCTCACTTCCGAAGAGGAGGCGTCAAGAAATAACTTGGTGGTGGGCAACAGCAGTACTATCGCAGCTGGCGCTTTGTCCTCTTCTGCAGGTGTAGTAGACCCAAGCCACCAGCCGCATCCAAAGAGCGCGGTCGGCATCATCGTGCATCAATCGAAGAAGCCAAAATTTCCGGCCTCGCACGCCGTGGAGAATTGCGACCGGCCGGACTGTCCCATGACCTGGGAAAGTTTGCAGTACCAGTCGCGCGAGTCCGAGCACATCCGGGTCTGTCAACAGTGTCGCTGCGACGTGTTTTATGCGGAAGACATAGAGAACGCGGTACTGCACGCGAGGCGGGAGCACAAATTTGCTGTCGGGAACGCGCAGCACCGCTACCAGGACGGTATCAGCAAGTGCTGCAGGGCGCACTTGAGAAACAATGTCAGGTAACTGGTTTCGAGAGTGGTTGTTCCGAAATGAATATCATGTTTCATCGCTGAGAACGACAGACTGTTTCGATATACACATAGATATAGCCTGCCAGACGCTTATGTGTCGCTGTTTTTTACTACAGACGTTTCAAATTTGAAAATATAACGATGTCACCGCACTCGCAGCAGGTCGTGATAGATTGTATTTTGCTCTCGGTTTCCTGTCTCACTGTGCTCGATTGTGTTGACGCGGAGAACGAAAGATGATTGAAGAGGTCAAGCTGTGATATTGATTGACTGTGTTGCGAGTGATCTGTCAAGATATAGAGCGAGAGGAGGAACAACGTCCACGAGCGACGAGAGACTTTACCATGCACTTCTCAGCCAGGTGGCTCTTTTACGCAGCATTTCGAACATACTAAAATTTTATGCAGCTCCCACCTACCCGATTTTGATTTTTGCCTACCCGATTTTGATTTTGTGCACGTGCATGCTAGCTCTCGCCTGTGGTGTCGACGTACTTAACATGTCAGCATCTTACCTAGCTGTACCAGCACATTCATCCATGCCCCATTCCGATGCTTTCGCGTCTGACCGTTGCCTCTGTAGTTACAGGGCGGTGAAGCCGCGAGCTCTGGCGGCACCCATGTCAATATGACTGTTTTTTGATGATAATGCATGAGTCGATATTTTTCACAATGACTACGACAATTATTTTAGTTATGCTTAGGAATTATTGTTATTCGCACCTCATTAACTACGTTATCGTCGCACCACACTGTTGGTATGCATCACCCTGTTGCATTCGTTCAATAAACTTGTCTTCCCGATGTTGATCGTATGGAAACGGAAAGAAAGAACGGCCCTTCACTCCTAAGCAGTTTCTGGCTCGTGATTATGTAATCACCCACAGGCACAGGAGATGAACCTGTTCGAAAATAGCACTGAATTTCTTTCGCTGTGGCGAGATCCAGCGAGTATTGGAGAGATGTCTATCGAAAGTATGCTGATTCTGCTCTAGGCCTCAACTCAGTTGTTCAAAAATCATGAATGACGGAGAGGTTTTGTTTCCCGCCGTGCCTACGTCCGCCGCTACTGCATCTTCCAAAGGGAACATCAAGGGCCTGACTGCAACGTCCTCCGACCCGCTCGGGCCGCCGTTTGCAGCCGCTTCCTCCGGGGAAGAGGGGTCCTCGAAGACAACCGAAGTGCCCGGGTCGCCGTTGAGCAGCCCGGAGGCGGTCGCAAGTCTGGAGATACGCGACACCGCGAGCGGCAGCACAAGAAACAATTCCTCGGCAACATACTTTGCCACAGGGCCTGGTACGCGCATTTTGTCGGCTGGCGGTGGGGGACGAGATCAACATTCCGTCTCACCGAGCCCCAGCGCTAGTCCGAGTTCGTCGGAAAACAAAGCTTCGCCTGCGTCCTACGACGAACCACCTTCCGTCACGGACGACCGCGTGGTATTGCAAAAGGTGGATAACAACATCAGTCCGAAAGTGAACCAAGAACAAGCTAGCAGCACACTGTTTCCAGACACAGAACTGTCACTCCAAGATTTTGCGAATTTTCGTGGCGGGGACACCAGAAAAATGGCGACGTCCGGGCAAGAACCAGTCGGAGGTTCGGGCCTGTTCAACCAAGTCGTGGAAACAAAGCACAATCCCAACGACGAAGCACTGCCTGACCACAGGAAACAGCCACCAGCACCGGCGACGACTCAACTCAGGGAGAACGTCATCCCTGTTGCTGGAACAGCAGCTGCTCCTGTGCCTGGTTACAGCGGACCACCTGCGCCGCAACAAAACAACCACGGCAATACCCCCCACGCACCGACCATGAACACCGGCAATCTAGTGTTCCAGCAGCACCACCAGCAGCCCTACCCGTACCCAAAACAAACCAGCAAACCGGCGGGAGCGCCGGTTGGTCCAGTGCCGGGTGGTCAACCGCACACGCCGCACCAGGATTCCGCATATGCTGCGTCGAACGGCTTCAAAAATAATCCAGTCTCAGCCGCAGGAGGAGGCGTGGCCACACCGGACCTTCATCAGGCTTCCCAGATGCGGACGGGGCCGCCGTCCAGTCGCGGAATACCAGCGGACGTGCCGGCCCCCGTGCCCGGAGCAAACGGCGCGGGCGGCGACCACGGTGGCGGGGGACACCATCCGGCAGCCTACAATTACTACTACAACCACTTGCAACTGTACCAGGTGGGCAACGAGGTCGAGGAGCCGCTCCTCCAGGCACCGTCCTTGGCGCAAAACCGGGCCCGGCATCGCGAACGACGGCAGCACGCGGGCTTGTTTTCCTCCCACCTCTACGATGGAGAGGGCAACTACGTGGGTGTGCACTCCGATCCGAGCTTGCTACCCGCAGGCACCCCGGGGCTGATGCGGCCGCCAAGCGGTAGCCTCAGCGCGCGCAGCACGACCACCCTCAACTCCGCGCGTAACAACAAGAAGAGAAGGAAGAAAACCATGCTCGAGTATTTGTTGCGCAAGATGCAGAAACCCGAAGTAATTCTCCTGTCCGTGTGGTGGCTCATCATGTTCTCTCTGCTTCTTTTCCTGGCCGATCTCTGGTCACTACTGGTGCTCATCTGGAAGCCACTGCTCTTCCTCGTCGCAGTGCCGGTGACGTGCTTTATTGTAGTTCTTGTCGTTACACTGTAGCACCAGCTCGCCACAGCCAACGTTTTATCGATGAATTGCGCAAAACCAAAATATGAACTTTAGCACTTTTACTCGTGAACTAGTTATCTTGATGCATTTCGAAGATTCTTTCAGACGATATGGATGACAAAGAGCCTCCCGTCGTTGGAAGAGGTCGCGTAAATGCCGGATTTATTTTCTTCGAGGTGAACATTTCTTCTGAGGTCGATGCCGTAGACCGCTACGTAGAATCTCGAAACCGAAACCGAATTGTGCTGGCCATGAAACGCTTTTGCGCCAGGGTAAAAACAAAACAGTTTTTTTTTCTAGCGACGACGGTAAATTCTTGTCAGCTGCGCGGACGAGTTCGGGTCTCTTTTCTGGTCAATCTCTGATTTCTACATCTTCGGTTGCTAACGGTTCTTCATTCGCCTCTGCGCTCATGTGTCAGTGGCTCCCTCAGCGTCAGAGCTGCATGTATACCTGTCGATTCTGAAAATGTCGGTCGCTACGAGTGTGAAGCGCAGTCGGAAGCTTCTTGATATGCGGAACAGTCGGTGTGCTGCAATTCTGTGTCGGTGTGGTACTCCATCTTCTTTTGCCTCGGTAGGAAAATTTCCGTTGTAACACTTTCCTAGACCACATCGATTGTCGGTTTTTACTCATTCCCTTTCTGGTAGTCGGTCGAGGCTGTGTTGGTACAGGTACCACATCTAGTAAGTTCTCTTTTCACGACTACATCGCGTCACGACCTTGCGTTGATACATGAGACGTACTGTTTCACGGAAAAACTTCGAAATTCGTCTCAGTTTTCCCTTCATTCTGGCAAGATCATCTGACGAAGTTGCATAAGAATTCAAATTTTTTCATCGCATTCCTTTTTCCAATATGGTACATTTAGATTCACTCTTTTTGCAGCAATCAGCGCTTTTCTCTGTTGCTTTATTGCTCCTGCCAGGACATCACAACCAGCAAGTCGCTGGGATCACTTTCCTGAACACAGAACATGAAGCGCATGTTGTTGACACCGAAACCGCACCGGGAAGTGCGGGAGCAGCAGAGAATGTTTATTCCGCGGATGTCGACCTCGCCGGAAACAACAACTTTTTGGAACACGTCACCAAAAGAAAGATCGCGATTCCGATGGCGTCCGACACCTTTGCCGATGATGCGCCCCTAACGAATAACACCATTGGGGCGGATGACTCGAGCGCCTCTTGCGCAGACTGTTGCAACAATGAGGAGGTGGAAATCGGCAACGACGGAGACGGTAACCACGGCGAGTTTTTCGATGCCTTCGCGTTCGGGCGCGGTGGCCACGCCGTGTTTCTCGGGGCGGCGCAGGCCTTTCGGGGGCTCACCAACGCGATCGGGGGTGGGGATTTGGCCGTCGCTTCACTGGTGAAAAACACGTGCATCGGCAGTTCGGATGGCGGTTCCTGGTTCGTGCAGGCCTTGCTATTCGACCAGAGTCTGCATGACGTGCTCCGCACCACCTCCGCCGCGTTTCCGGCCGCCATGACGGGGTACCTCCAGGCGATCGGGGACCGGTATGAAAAGCTGGTTGCCGATGCAGTCGCTGCGTCGGGCGGCAACGTGACGGTCTGGGACGTCACCAAGTCCGAGCCGAACGCCTCCTACCTTCCCTGGAACGTCCAGCAATTTGTGCTTTCGAAGGCGCCGGCGGAAATTGCGTCCCTCCCGGTCGGCAACCCGGACGCGAAGCGCAACCTCGCGTGGCGCTACGTGTGCCGGGCGAACTTGGCGGCGCAGGAAACCTTGTCCCGCACGGTCGTGGACATGGGGCGGCTGCGGTGGGCGCAGCAAACCGCCCTGCCGCAGTTCGCCTACCTCGGTGCCGCGGCCGATCCGGACAAACACGCGCCGCCCAGCGCGAATTTTTCCAGCTTCACGGGTGCCAAGGTGATCCCGGTGTATTTTGACTTTACCAGTAACTACAGCGAGCGCAACGAGGGCCACAACACGGGCGCCAGCATTGACAACATGGACGTGAGCATCCCCGCCTGGCGCAAGAAAACCAGCGTGCGCATGGAGCTGGTGGACGCGCAGGGGGGGAAATGGAACTCGAAGACTTCCATCGGTCTGCTCAAACGCGCAATTCTTCGGGCGTACGCCGACAACGGAACCTTTCCGCACTTGCTCTCGTATCCGGGAACGCAGAAGTCTCTGGCATACGGAATGTTTGTGAATCAGACGGGGAGCATGAGGACCGAGAAAACCAGGGCGCCGTTCAATCAGTGGGAGCAGAAATTCTTCGCGGCTGACGTTCTGCAGTAATATTTGTTACTGTTTGGCTCATCCATTGATGTGGACGTGTATACTCTGACTTTGTTTTTTGATACGAAAATTTAAATTTTCTCGCGCCCGCCGATTCATGTGAGCTTTGAGCAAAAGCAAAACGGTGTCAGAGAGTGGGCACCAAATTCGTGTAGCTTTGATTTCGGTTATATTTTTGTGTGATTGCCGAAGATGCTGGGGTATCTATTTTTATTTGTTTCTCGTATCCCCATAATCCAGGGTTGGCGAGTACGACGGGGACGTCGATTTTTCCTCGGAGTCTTGCTGCGGGGGGGATCGTGGGGACGCCGGGCGGCCGCGGTTCGCTCTTGCCAGCGGTGAGACGGTGGAGGGGACGGGTCTGGGGGCAGCGATTCGCATGCTGCAGCGCAAGTACCCGGAGGACCAACAGGATCCGACCAAAATTCGCCGAATTTTCGCGTACCAGTGGAGTTTCGACCAGCTGTACGAGTCGATTGGTCGGGGCGGCTTGGATCCCGCGGACGCGGTGGATGTGAACCAAGGGTACGGCGCCAACAGTGAGCGGCTGTTTAGCAACCTCCGGTCCATCGACGTGATCCAGATCGACGACCTGGATCCGCGCGCGATCCACCTCACGGTGAAAACGCGGCGGGACGAGGTGCGGGGCATCGCCGAGGACTTCCACTACGAAATTTACGCGTTTACCAACGCCAATGATCTTGAGCCGCACCACGCCTGCAGTCAGCTTTTCGATGCGAACTCTTGGAACGCCTCCGCGACGGGCGGACTGGGGGCGAGTTGCCAGTTAGCTATGGGAAACCCAGCCGCCAATTGCGCCGGACTCTACAGGTATAAATAAAACTCATTTTTTATGCTTTCTTGCTACGTTCTTAGCATCCACCTGGTCTAGAAGGACATCGTCTAGATGATCAGATCTTGTTACGGCCACAGAATTTGTCTGCGCCGTTCGCAGTGAGAGTAAAGCCGCAATGATTGATGATATACTTCTCGATCGACTCGTCGTAAATGCAATGTAAATAAATGGTCCGAGTCGTGTGGACTATCAACACAAAATTACCAGGCAATGTCTTGACGTGGCGACGACTCCATTGCAGACGCTGATTGAGAGGGCGCGCGATGGTGTGAAGACGACGTGCAACGCTGCCATGAATACCGTCTGTGGGTCGCTGATGCGCATTCCCGATAGCGACAAAAAGTGCTGGATCGGATGGAATTTCGTCGAGCGGTCGGATACGACACCGCCCCAGCTACGCTGTAGTGTAGACTTGTGTTGCCCGGATGCCGCAGAACAAAAACAAAAGCACGAAAAGAAGGCGGCAGAAACCACACAAAGGGAGCGTCTGAACAGAACATGACCATGATCCAGTGAACTGCGATGAACACGAAGGACATGAATGCTTTTTCCAGATTTGTAGTTGATGCGAGACGTGTACGAGCTTCGATGTTGTAACTGCAGAGTACGAGACAAAGGTTGTTAATTCCAATGGATACTTCGCACACGTACAGGTATAAGTACAAGTAGTAGACGCACCACAGTAGTAGACGCTCAAGCCGGTACGGACCACACCACAATAATACAATAAATAAGACGCCTCTAATATTGCTGCGACTACACATGCAGCAACTTTATCACTGTTCCTTTTGTTTTCGTTCCAGCAATCATGCGAGTTCATCACTCTACTTACATTCGCTCTTCTCCACGCATGCAGATTATGCGTTTCGTCTTGTTGGTCGCATGAAGATAATTCATTTCATTTTCACTCATCGTGCACCGTGCTTTGAGAAAGGATCGTCAGTCGTTTCTTCAGTTCGTCGTTTCAGTTCTTGCTTATATCGTGTTTGCGTTCCGTATCCTCGTGCACAAGCGTGTTTGTCTTCGTGCATATTCAGTCCGTCCCACTTCTCGTGCAGCATATGCTGTGCCAAAAATTCAGAATTCACTTCGTTTTTCCCGATCATCGTCTCTCTTGTCTAGTACTCGAGTCAATATCATAATTTTTTCTTCCTCCCTGGACAGTGCATGTTGACGTACCATGCTGTACACTTTTGTGATTTGAATTTCGACTTTATCGTCTTCGTGAGCTTATTGACAGTAGCGTAGAAATGAATTATGCGTGATGTTTCTCGATCTTGATTTTCCTATTTGTCGTGGTTGTTACTTTCAGTGCGCAAGAAAACGATGCCAACATCGAGGCGTAATAGAAAAATAGTAGAAGTTCAGACTCTCTAAATGAGCAACCATGCCGAGACCCGTACCTTCTCCGATCATGATCATCCCTGGTAGAAGCAGCCCGACCATGCGCAAAGGATGAGCGCCCCAGGAGGCGGTAACTACAGCAGCTTCAGTCAGTCTAGTCCTCCGAACAATCGCAATCGCCGGATCTTCTCTGGGTTCCAGATCGCCGCGCCGCCACTAAGTTCCCCACTCGGAAATAACGAGCTCCTCGACAGTGTACGCAGTCCGACCAACCAGTTGCTGGACCGTATAGGCGTTGAGACCATGGAAGACCTGGAGCGATGGAGTGCTCGTGCTGACGGGGTAGAAGGGGACATCGTTGAAGCTGATCCCACAACTGCACCAGGGAGCAAAGGCGGTTTTCCTGTCGCGGGGGGCAGCAAGAACTCGCACACTAGCCAGACGGAAGTTGAGTCCGCCGTTCCATCCAAGCCCACGCTGACTCTCACGCACTTCTACAGCCTGGTGACGCCGCGGGACGAGTACGATCCGCAGGACTCTGCGCAGCGAGAATTTCTGAATCACGACGAGGATGGGAGTGCAGAGGTTTATGAGGATGCCGAGCAGTTTTTCGAGCTCGGAAGCAATCCAGGAGCAGGAATTATCGATCCTGAAAGGCGGACGGGCGATAAAGTCAAAGTGGAACTTGTTGTTGGAACAGAAAACAAGAAGAACAGCACCGGAAGTAGCGGAAGCTCAGTTGACGACGCGCGGCTGGTTTCGATGCTGAATCACTTAGTTGATCGCACGGATAGCCTACTTGCGAAAACGCCAATCGGTGACAGTGTACGGCTCCTTTCTGTTCCAACAACGCAACTGAGTGGGTCCCAGCTTGATTTGGATAGAACACGACCGGAGACGGCGAGCACAATATCCTCGCGCAGCGAGCACGATGTTAGCCAGCGCCCGAACGAGCTGAGCTACACGACCGTGATGGCGCGCTCGGAAGAAGTGCTGGCTCGAAATAGACAGCAACAGAAGAATCAAAGGGAATACTTTATTCCCGGAACCACGATGGTTGTCGAAGATGGAAGCACAGCTATGGGCCAGGAACTTGACCAATCGGCCACGGGTGGTGCTTTTTCGCAGATAAACTCATTTCCACCTAACATGAACAGCCAGGGCGCAGAGCTCAGTAGAGGCAGCCCGTCAAGTCAATCTGGTCCGGCGGGAAGTGAGAACCAAATGATCCGCATCATGCCGCTGACCTCAGTGGTGCGCAGGACGGACGATGACGAAGAGGTGATCGAGGCAGTCAGTGCCCGGAGCCAGGCCAGCGGGAAGGTTTTTGTGCAGCAGCTGACCACGGATTCGAGTGCGCGGCTAACTTCGCCCGTGCTTCTTGCGAGCGGAAATGCTGTACCCGATCGCGCGACAGCCGGCAGCGGAGTTGCTTTAGGAGACAGCCCGGGGAATCATCTTTCGGTTGATGATCATAGGAATTCGCCGAAAGCGCCCGAGGGATCCCCTCGCCTGGTCGGAGACGTGCTTCGCGTGAGCCGGCAGGACGACTCCGATCCGGAGAAATCCAACGACGAGGAGAGTAGCGTTCCGGTCGGCTTTCGTGGACAGTCGGAAGTTATGAAAAGCATTTTGGCTACTGGTGGTCCACCTGCAGCTAATGGACTGGAGGACGCGCGCGACAGCGCAGGGAGCATTGTCGCAGCTCTTCGAGAAGATAGGAACCATTCAACGAGCAATAGAACGAACAGTAGCAAGGGCGAAAGTATTTTTCTGGATGATGTTAGGAAAAGTCCACCGCCTTTATTGCCTGCAAGACTAGACTCCACGAAGTCGTCCCAGGTGGAGGACGATCTCGTCGGTGCTCGAGGACAATCCCTGGTAACAAAGAACCTCCTCGAAGAGGGCCCGCCTGCGGATAGTTTCGAGGAGGGTGCTGGCGATGATAATATCCTCCGGGACAGCGAGATAAGTGTTTTCGCTGACGTTGCTGTAGTTGACAGGGGAAATTCATCTTCCATCGGAACGATGCCCAGCCTGCGAGCCTCCGACTCGATAGCGTCTGTGCCAGAACTAGTGCCTGTTCGTGGTCAGTCCGCGATCGCGAGGAACCTTCTCGAGAACGGCCCGCCGGAAGAAGACTCGCAGGACAACTTGCGAGATAGCGGGCCGGCTTTTGGTCAGGCCGCCGGCATGGCGACGAGTTCCTCGAACGTTGTTGGGAGCCAACGCTCCTCTGGGCCGTCGTCGTCCGGGGAGTCGCATGTACGAGGAACTAGTTCGGCAGCTTCGGAGGTTGTGCAAGAGGACCTCCTCGAGCGCAGAACGACAGTATTGATGTCTGCCGCGGAGGCTGTCCTCTTTCCGGACGATTTTCTGGAAGTAGACGAGGAAGACGAAAAATCTGAGCCAAAAGCTCCAGTGAACAGAAACTCGAGCCGGACTTTCCCGGCGCGCGGGTCCTCGTCTGTTACACATGCAAGCGACTACGTGACCGTCCGCGACAGCAAGGAGAGTGGCCGCGGAGAAAACGCGTCGGTGCGCAGTGACTCGCCGGAGTCGTCTCTGCTGAGTGCGTCGTTCACGTTTGGCGCCGGGGTCAGTCTCGAGCAGCGCTTGGGTGCTGGCTCGTCTGCTGCGAAAAGCCGGGGAGGTGACCAGCAAGGGGAGCGGATGAGCGGAACAAACAAGGCATCGAGCAGTTTGGAAAGTCGCTCGCCTTCCACTGCCATAATTGACGAATTCCTGCAACCAAAACTGGGCGAGCCGCAGCGACTCAGCAGTCCGCTCCCGCAAAACCGTGTCGTGGCACCGACGGGTGTGGAGGGCGGAAAAAGTGATGTGATAAATCCAGTTTTTGGAACGACTGGAGCAGGCTCTGACGCGGCGGTTCCAACCACGTTTAAAAATGTTCCACCGGCCCCAGCACTTGTGATGGGCCAGAACAACTCCCAGACGCCGCAGCAACGGACCCCGCCACCAGTTCCCCAGCTGCAGGTCGGCGCTCTTGGCAGCGCAGGAAACATCAAACTTCCTTCGGACAAGAGAGGCTCACAGCCAGCAGACCCGCAGCGGTCTTCGCTTCCGCCCCAGGCGCTCTCTGGCCCGCCGTCAAGACCCGCAGAAGAATTTCGCCCTCAGCAGCAGTTCCAAAATCAGAAGCCTGGCGCGGCTAAAAGGCCCTCGCAACCCGGGGAACCAAGCAGGTCGTCCGTGCCACAGCCCGCTCTTAGAAGTGGCGTTGTTGGGTACGACCCCCAAGAATACTTAGTATCGGGAGCAGAATACGCACAGCAGCAAGAACAGCAGCAGTATGGTTTTTACGGCAATCAAGCAGCAGCGCCACAAGCGTCGTCTCCCTACTCGTCTCCGTATGCAGCGTACAACTTCGAGGCAGACCAGGAAGACCAGCCGCTACTCATTGGGGCGAGCCGAGCCCGGTTTTTGCGAAACCGCGGACAAGCCGCGCCGGGCCCGTTTTCGGCGCACTTGTACGACGCAGCGGGGAATTTCATCGGGGATCCGGCTCTCGCAGTGACTCCGAACACGCGCAGTGCGAATACGAGCAGGGGGGCGAACCAGCTCCAGAACAGATCACGAAGAAAAAAGACGTTTCTAGAGTATTTCTTACGGCAGGTGCGGAAGCCGGAAGTAATTTTGCTCGCGGTCTGGTGGGTCATCATGTTTTCTTTGCTCCTGGTCCTGGCTGATTTTTGGAGCTTGCTAGTGGAAATCTGGAAACCCCTTGCATTCTTAATCACTCTACCCGCTTGCTGTCTAGTCATACTGTTAGTTGTTACCCTGTAGCACTAGGTTGTTCATCCTGGGGGGTGTCAAGTAGTTACAACGATTTCACCGCATGGTAGTAGAGGAGGGAAGTGATGTTTTCGAATTTTGCTTCTTCTGGAGCAGGATTTTTCGATTACTCCTTTTCTCCTTATAGCTGTAACTTGCGCATGGACACATACGTTCTTTGCAATCGGGACGTCTTTTCTATTTCTTCGAAAGATTCTGAAAAAGTTGCTCAAACTTCTACTGCGCTCTTCGAGTGACACGAAATTGAGTCGTAAGGTGTTCCCATGCTGTACGAGATCAGTTGTCGGTGGTGATGTTTCTGTGTTTGTTTTGCGAAACAAGGAAATTGTGAAGCGGATATATGGAATTCATTTGGTGACGGCGGTCTAGAAGGTCAAGAAGGTGCTTGAACCTCGTCAAAATCTTTTGTCGCAGTACCCCATGAAAAAACAAAATCAATCGCAGTCTCTTTTGGCTATATCGCAAGAAAGGAAATAATGCGCCACTTAATATTCTAGCGTTTTACGTGCTTCATACTAGGCTCGTATCTAAGTATTTATTTTTTGTGAAACGACTTCTACTGTTTTCACTCATGGACTAACATGAACTAAGTTGGAATTACTTGTTCAGGGCATAGTATTAATTCAGTTCTTGCCGATCATTCGCCCGCGCGCTCATCCAATGTGTAACAAGTGATCCGTTTTCATATCCTTAAAATACCCACCTTACTTCCCGTTGTTACAAAAAATCAATCAGCCATGGCTCCTTTTTGTTCGCGCATTTTCGATGTGCTCTTCAAGACCGACGTCGCGCCGGTGATCTGGAAGAACTACAAGGAGGGCAGTCTCGACTTCCCCGATGTGAACCATCTTCTGGATGTAGACAGTGAAAAGCTTCTTCGGGAAACGCTACCGGTTCTGAAGGAATGCGGGGGAAACTTACCGAAGACGGTTTGGCGCATGACCCGCGGGCTGGTGATTCGCGGCCTATTCTGGGGCACGATGCAGGGATTGGTGATGGTGATCGCCCGACCAGAGGCCGTGCGATTTGTGTTGAAAGAGATGAATGCGGAGAGTCCGAGACTGGAACTGATACTACTCGCGATTGTCGGCCCCATCCTTTTTGAGGGATGCTGCTGGCTGCACGGAAACGATGTGCTGGTCGCGAAATTCTGGACGAAACTCCAGGGCATGCTTTCTGCGTTGATCGTGTGGAAGATGCAGCGCGTGCAGGATCATCATACTGGCAGTGCTCCCGCTGCTACAACTGCAACATCAGGTACCAAAAACGAAGGCAAAAATAAACCTGATCCACCCGCCGCAACGCCCGCGCCGAAAGCCGCGGATGCGCAGATGCTGATTTCTGTGGAAATTTTGGGCAAGGCAAATCTCGTCGGCTTTGTCTTCGGCTGGATCCCGAGCAGTTTCGTCTCCCTGACCGTCGGGTCAGCCTACCTGATGGTTCTCCTTGACATCGTCGGCGTGTGGACCGTCCTGTTCGTGCTTTGCGGCATCGGGGTGTCCTTCCATCGTTTGATCACCTCGCGAAAATACGAGGCGCAGGCCGTGGTGCACGCCGGCGGGAGACTGCAGTGCCTACGGGAGGTATGGAAGCGTCAGGATTGAAATCGTCAAAGTTGAAATAACTTGTAATGCATAAAATCGATACCAGTTAAAAGCCCCATTTCTCAGCGGTGCATGACAAATTTCGGCACCGTCTAAATCCTGTTTGTTATGCTGTTTAGGGACAGAAGGCGTCTTTTGTCATGCTACTTTAGCAGCTCTATCGCAGACCCCAAACAGGCTGGCAGTCGGCCTCGCTTGCCATGCCTGCAAGAGAGGCACTTCATGCCTTGCAATTTTTGCATGAGGAATTATTTCAACTTTGTCGATTTCAATCCTGACGCTTCCATAGGAGGCGCTGGCGAACATCCGGGGCGTGAAATACGCGTGCTGGGAGGGTTATGGATTGCAAAAATGTCTGGGTCTGGAAGAGTGGAACTTGTAATGCTGTCTGCGGATTCTAGAAATATCTGTGTTGCATGAGCAGCAAGAGGAGTCAGTTCTTGGCACGCGGAGAGGGCATCTCTCATGCGTAATCAGCATCAAGAAGCTCTCAAAAAATCTGTGATGCTAGCACCAGCATCACAGACCTCACGGGTCATGCAAAATGTGCATGACAAGTCCCGACTCTTCCAGACCCAGACATTTTTGCATTTGATAAGGGTAGGTATTTCCACAAATTGCAGGAGTTTCGGAACAAAGAAACGCGCGCCATCGAACTGTGGCAGCAGTACAAGGTGCTCGGGAGTAACTTAGGCCGGTGTCTGCCCGTCCTCGCGGCGGTGTTCGCCCTCACAACGTATCTCTACTGGCACGACGGAGCCGAGCCCTTGACCGTGGAGCTCGTGTTTCCGGTGCTCGCGGTGCTGCAGGGGATGCGGGGCGCCATGGTCCTGATTCCCATAAATGTCGTGAACATGGTGGTCTTTGTGCAAACGTTGCAGCGTTTGGAGAAGTATTTGAACCTGCCAGAGCGGGAGGAATACAGAAAATTAATGGACGAAGGAACAGCTACGACGGAGGCCTGCGCGATGACCGATGTGGAAGTGAAGTTGCAGCGGCAAAGCACAACAAAGTCCGGGGATTTAGCCGCGCAAAACAAAAATTCATCTGATGCAAAGAAAGAAACGATAACCTCATCGGCGGTTGCGAAAAAAGACGAAACACTGGTCAGCACATCAGGAGTGGAGACGACGATGGTTGTTGCGCTGACTGATGCTTCCGTCACCCTGCCGCCGCAATCCAAACTGATCGGCGTAGTCGGCGCTGTGGGTTCGGGAAAGACGGTTTTGCTGTTGACCTGGCTCGGCGAGCAGTGCCCAACCAGCGGAAAAATTAAGTTTTCGACGTGTAACGTCGGTTACTGTCCGCAGCGGGCTTTTGTCGTCACCGGAACGATCGAAGAGAATGTGCGGATGGGCCGAAAACACTTGTCATTGGCGCAAATCCAAGAGGCGTTGATCCGTGCAAGGCTGTTGACTTCTTTCGCAGATCAGGGCACGGAAGATACGAGAACTTCTACATCGATTGCCGCGCATCCAAGTGTATCGCCAATCACGAAGGATGACAGTGCTCATTCTCGCGAAACCAAGAACGAATCCGCCCAACCGCAGCAGGAGCTGACGCTCTACACGGAGATCGGCCAGGGCGGCGTAACGCTTTCGGGCGGGCAACAGGCTCGGCTGAATTTGGCGCGCGCGTGGGCCGGCGACCCGGACATTCTGGTCGCAGACGACCCGTTAGCGGCGGTCGACCACACGACTGGAGTTGCAATTTTTGACAATTTGCGCCATTACGCCAAGGACGGAAAGCTGGTGTTTCTCGCTTTCAACCAAGCCGCGCTGCTGTCCCAGACCGACTTTGTCTTGCAACTAGACAAAGGAGTTTTAAAAACTGCGCTGCCCGAATCATCGACAGCAACGGGCCCGACGGACATAGAATTGCAAGAAGAAGTAGACGTCGTGCCCGGTACTAACATACAACAACTTGAAGACGGCGCGGCACCAGATGTGACTAAAACGCTTGGACTCGCCAGAACGAAAAACAAGAATTCTCTGCCAGACTTGCTCGATCCGAGCTTGATCAGAGATACCAGTCGTGTGTCCAAGGAGAGCGACGAAACCGTCGGCACCGTAGTGTCACTGGACGGCGCAACATCGCTTAACAGTACAACCAGGGGAAGCAAAACAAGGACACAGGAGGTGGGCCAAGAGCAATCTTCTGTTCTTGAAAAAGACGAGTATTCGCGAAAATTCCTGAAAGAAGAACAGAAAAATACGGGCACCGGGCGCAAATACATTCGCGAGTACTTTCTCCTTTTCGGCACGACCAACTTGTTGCTGATGGTTTTTTCCTGGCTCACCACCTACGGCGTGCTGGCCTCAAGCGAACTGGCTCTCGCGGAGTGGCTCCGCAAGGGGAACGACCGAAACTTGGAGACATTTGAGAGCACGTGGTTTGTCCTGTACTTCGGCTGTGCGTTGGCGTTCGCGATTCTGTCCAGCTGCTTCGGCCTGCTGTACTACCACGGTGCTGCCCGAGCGGGGCGAGCTTTGCACGATCTCTCTGTGATCCGCGTTTTCGGCGCACCACTCCTCTTTTTTGACGAAGCGAGTAGTGGGAAGGTGTACGGCCCGCTATCCACCGACTTGAGCGGAGTAGATGTGCAATTTTCCACCATCACCGAAGTGTGGATGCAGTTTTGCGGACTGGGCGTGACGATCCTCGGACTGCAAATTTTTGTCGTCCCGTTTACCTCGATCGTGATTGTCATCGTCGCGCTGGTGTACTTGAAGCTCTGCCAGCTCGTGTTGTACGGAATTCGGGACACGAAGCGGCTGGCCTCCCTCGCGTTGTCCCCCGTGGTCGCCAACGTGAGTGAGGCCATCGACGGGGCGTCGCTCTCGCGGATTATGAAACTGGAAAAATACTTTCTGGACAAGCACTGCGACCGAATGAACACGTACCTGCGGTGCTGGTACGCCGCTCAGGAAATCACCATCTTCTCGAATCTGTGCTGCTACTTCCTGTCTGCCATCGTCGCCGCCTCGCTGGTTTTGTTCCTTTACAACGCCAGGGAATCGATCCCGCGCCCGATCATCGGGTTGATTGTGGGCTACTGCTTCATCATGCCCTTCATGTTCAATTTGATCGCGCAGTTCTACTTCATTCTCTCCCTGGGATTGATGCAGTGCGAGCGCGTTTTCCGCCTTCAAGAGACGCCGCAAGAAGAGCCCCTGGCCGAGTTTCGGAGACAGCACGAGAAATTCATGCTCACCTACGCGGCGAAGAATCATCTTCAAAAGGGAAATAACGTAGTTGCAAGAAGCAGCAGTACGACATCAACATCGAGTCTCACAGATTCGAAGCTGACAAGACGCCGATCTTACCAATTTTCCTACACCGAACAATCCGGTGGGCCACCCGTCGCAATCACGGCAGATTCTTTCGAACAACGCTCACCGAGTAAGGAGAGCACTATTAGCCAGACTGCAAAAAACGTGCTCAATGTTCCCTCGCTGTTGCCACGGTTGGATCATGTTGCGGAAGACACCGATGGCACTGCGGCTGCACACATCAAGCAAGGCAAGAAGATGAAATCTGCGAAAATCCGTTTCCAGAACTGCTCGTTGCGCTACTCGGAGAACTTTCCGCTCGCGATTTCAGATTTTAATCTCAAGATCACGCAGGGGGAACACATTGGGGTTTGCGGGCCAACCGGTGCCGGGAAGTCAAGTTTGTGTGCCATGCTGTTTCGCTTTGCCAACGTCGAAACGGGGACGATAAAGATCGGCGAGTATGACACAAAGCACCTCCCGCTGTACCACTTGAGGCGGAATCTTTTCATGGTGCCGCAAAAACCTTTCCTCATGGACGGTACGGTGCGGGAAAACCTCGATCCCTTCGACGAGTTTCTGCCCGAGGAGATTGAGACCGCCTTCTCTTTGGTGTTTGTCGACGTCGATTTGGAAGATGATGATGGACTACAGACTACAGCTACTGGAAATAGAACAGATGAAATGAATCTAAATCCTCCTGTATTTACTTCCACTTCGCAGTCTCCGACGAAAGCTGGTGCCAAAAAAGATTCCCACACGATCACGCTTGACACAAGAATCGAGGCCGGCGGCGCAAACTTATCGGCGGGAGAGGCACAACTGATCGCGTTCGCGCGGATGGTCTTGCGAAAAGACGAGGCACAGATCGTGTTACTGGACGAGCCGTCCTCAAACCTGGACGCGGCCACGGACCAGCGCATCACATCATTGCTGAGGACGACTTTGAGGAATCACACGGTGTTTCTCATTGCGCACCGACTGGCGACTTTGACACGATGTGACAAAGTCTTGGTCATGCAAAACGGGCGCGCGGCGGAGTTCGGAACGCCACAGGAGCTGCTCCGGTCTGGCGGATTCTTCGCACAGAACTTTCACGATGATACCACCGCAGGGTAAGCAGTTGATATACGTAAAGACTAAAGAAATATTTTTTTGCTCAAGTTGTTGTTACAGAGTGTATCAGATGAAACCGATTGTCATACGTAAAAAATGTTTGTGTAAACTACCGACTTGGAACTTGTGCAGAATGAGGCAACCACCAACTAGAGAATGAAGACATTGATTTCACAACTCGTCAACCACGGAAAGAAAAAAAGATGGTAGACTCTGGTGCTCTTGTTCATCTCTCGTACCGCATTCGATGAGAATTGTCGGTTCTGTTCATTCTTACCCGTTCATGCTTCTTGTCGTCCCTGGTTTTCGTTCAATTCGTTCTCCTCATCGTCCCTGTTTTCACTGGTTCGTGGATCGTTCTTCGATTCTGCTTTCGTTGTGCTCTAGTGCTAATAGCTCGTACAGAAAACACCAAATCTGAAGGAGTACTAACCTCGGTCCGTCCAGAAGCTGTCGTTGCGCGCAACATTCGTAATCAAGTAAGTTGCTTTCAAGACACCCCCACAGGATCTTCATCAAGACCCCCAGCTCATTTTTGACTCTTTCCATTGACTGTTTCTTTTTCTTGACGTTACTATTTTTCTTTCACTTACTCTTTCAACACTTTGTCTTGACTCCCCCATAAGTGTTACCGGACACAGCTCATCTCCTGTATCACACCCTCACAAAAATGGGTCGCGGACAACATGTCGAGTCCGGGCCGGAGGTCCAGCTGCGCGAAGGCCAAATGTTGGCTGGAAAGCAGTTCAAGAACTGGGAATTCCGGTGCGGCAAGTACCGTTCCATGTACGGCCAGCGTAGCGACCGATGGCTAAAAGAGCAGACCAACCAGTTTAAGAAACGCGGACAGCGGGACGTGGAAGCCTTCCTGCAACAGCGGGCCGAGAGGTTTGCAGTGCTAACCCGGGCGGACGATATTTGGGAAAAAAAGGGGAAGAAAGTCGAGCCCAAAGCCGAGGACGAGGACGACAGCAAGGACCAAGCAAAAGGTATTGATTAGCGTGTAGTAAAACTCCAACTTCTTGATCACTTCTGTCTTGTACTGCCATCCTATACCCAGCAAGGATGAATGTACTTACTTTTTTCCGAAAAAATAGTTTGTGAGTTTTGCTGATCATGATCCCATGAGTTGAAAAGTCGCTCTTAATTTTTACTTTCCAACATTTTCTCAGGTGCCGCCCCCTCCCCTACGTCCGCTAAAACCGCGACTACTGCGCCCTCCCCGATCGTTTCCCCTACCGCATCCTCGCAAATTGAGACCCCCACGAAGCGCCAGACGCCGTCCCCCTCTGGCGGCAGCGCGTCGAGCCTGGTGCTGGGATCTTCCGCTTCCTCCAGCGCGACCCCGGGGCTGGATCTCCCGTTCGACGTCCACGGCTTTCCCACCGACAGCTTTGTCTCGCAGCAGGAAGCGAACCGCACCTCAGGGCGGAAATGGAAGCAGACGGCGAAGTATCAAATGTAAAAATGTCTGGGTCTGGAAGAATCATGCTGCTTTTGCATGACACAGAAGGTCTGGCATGGAAGCTCTAGCATCACAGGTTTCGAGAAGCGTTCGCAATGCCGAATCTGCATGACAAATCCCTGACTTTGGTGACAGAAAATGGGCAACTTTTGCTGCCTATGCATGAGAGATTTTTCTGTGTTCTGAAATGCGCATCACACCTTCCAGACCCAGACATTTTTACACTTGATACGAAGGATAAGATCGGCGGGCCAATAAACCTAGCGGAGCGGACGCACCCGGAAAGGCAAGTGGCCATGAACCCCTATGGCCATTTTGAAACGAACGAGACGGTAGGCGTCATTGGCGGGGAGAAGGTACATCTACTTGTAGGTTTTTTTTTCTTTTTTACGAATAAATACCCTCAAAAAAAGATATGGTGCGCTTTTTTTGCCCGAATGCCGTTTTTAGCAGTAGCTATTCTGGCTACCCGGGTGAAGGCTTTTCCTTAGGTTGTATATCCGCTCAGGGCAGTGGTGAGCCGGGCTGGTGCTCGGACGCGGCTTCAACCCGCGGGGGGCGGTGACGCCCAGGGGTTCGATTCCTCCTCCGCTGCGTTTTTATTTCCAAAACGCCGCGGGGGAGGCAGCGAGCGTCCGCGTCCGCTGCCGCCCGCCGCCCTCATCCTTTGCGCCACCTTGTAGCAGGGTCGCGCGCCGCGCCTTTTCGTGTGTATTGTAAGCTTGGCCCCATCTTCTACATCTACTATTTCTCTCCTTCCCCTCTCAACAGGTGCCGCAGAGTCAGACCGCCGTCCTCCTTTCGAAGGATAGCAGTACAACGTACCGGCTGCAGAACCAGAAGATTCCGGAGGTGAAGGACCTAAACAAAACCGCGAAGTTCATGCGCGGGGCGGTAAAGCCCTTCCTGGCCATGGACGACCCACACGGACACGGATACCAGCCGTCGAAGCACCTGCAGCTGCTGTCCAAAACCCAACTGGCCGAAGCCAAAGATATCCTCGGGGACCGCTACAAGGTCCGAAAAACGTTTCTGCAGCCCTGGAAGTTCGGCCCACAGAGGATTTTCACGCACAAAATGGAAGACGTCAAGAAGGAGGAAAACATGATGGCCTTTTACGAGGCGGAAATTGAAAAGGCTGCGCAAGTGGCCCGGACTAGCAACAACTGGGCGCGGGAGCGGAGGCTCGGCGAAATGAGTAAGCTGAACACGCTATCAAGACTACTGCGCCGCACAGTGGCGTCGGGGCAGGCGTTCGCGCCGAACGTGTTGGAGTCAAGTACCTTCGGAGTCGCGAAAACGACGTCGTAAAGCGGGGAGGCTTTTCATATCAGGAAAAGATCCACCACATGTCTGTGAGGATCGAATGTAATAAACGCTTCGCAAGTTTTTGTAGTAAGGCCCACTGAATTTATTCACCCCATTCCCACTCGCAGCATAATCTTTCCCTTTCCTTACGTCATTGTCTTCGGGTGCAGGTAGGTACATGTCTTTACCCCTGTCTTGAAGAAATGACAAGTCCGCGCGATCGAGTCGCACTTTGGAACATAAAGATTGAGATTCTCTGGAATTTCTGCCGCATTTGAACCTTGTCTCTTTTGTCACACTAGCTGCACGCAGACGCAGACGTACTCTCACTCACAGCTTGCAGCTCGTTTCTTTGACCGCGGCTTTACCGGGTCTAAATGGTGCCGTGTTCTGTTGTGTTCAAATACCGGGCCAGATATACGGGTAAGTGAGTGATATTGAGAAACTCATCCGAAGACGAGAAGAGTGTACTCTGAGATCACACCGTAACAAACGCTTGCTTCTTTACGCATGAAGCAACACCGTGGCACCTCGCTCCTCCACAAGAGATCTAAAACGGAGTACAATTTGCCTACAGTTTCTTGTTCTTCAGCCACACACACACTCGTCACAATTTTCGCTGCGCTAAAAGCTTGACCTTTCAGAAGCAGCGAGCACCATCATGCCGCCCGCACGGAAGGGCGGGCTGCTGGCCTGGTGCTGCTCATGTCGGCCCATGACGCAGTTCTGCTGCGGCTGCCAGCTTTCCACCGGAGCCAAGCTGATTCTGTTTGGAAACTTGCTGATGAACGTCTTTTACATTGCCGCTGCGGTCTCTTCAATCATTCTAAAAATCCCCACTGTCGGGTTCGGCGACGACATCGGGCATCAAGTCTTCAACGCAGCGTATCATCATGTTTGCACAGAACCAAAAGCATAAAGAGGATATATATCCAGCTCGTGTCGCTTCATGCTATGATTAATGATTTCTCCAAATTGTTTGGCATACGGCAAGATCATCACCATTCCATTTTTCTTTCCAGGTACTGCCTTTTCGGGCTTCCCTTCATTTGCGCCGCACTGTATGGTGTGTATTACCGCCAGGAGCCGCACCTGCGACTCTACCTGTACTATGTGACCCTCTCGTTTCTGATGGATTTTGGGTACGTCATCTACTATCTCTTCATCAACGACGCCTGCAGCATGATGCCGGAATCGGTGAAGCAGCAGGGTGCAGCCTTCGCGTGCGGGGTGACGCGGAGCTTCGTGATTCTTTTTTCCTTCACACTGTTCATTTTCCAGCTCTACTGCATTCACGTGATCTGGAGCCAGTGTGAGGACATTCGGCAGGGAGGTGCGGGGACCGGCTTTCCGGAACTGCTCGCCGCGGGGAAGCCCGGGAAGAATCTGCTCGGAGATGGTAGGAATAGAAACATTGCTTTACATGATGCATACGAAGATGCAGCCATGTGTTGTACTCTGACGCCAAGTAATCTCTGAGCCGGCGTATTTATTGTGAGCTTCAAAATCAAAGGTAGTTGAAAAAAAAATACAAAAAACCTCCTTCGCTTGCAGCCGTCGCAGCTATTTCGGAAGGCAACACGGAGACGCAACCTATGAACTACGGAAGCCTAGCAACCCCAGGAATCGGCGGCGGGAGGAATTTGTTTGGGGGAGGTTCGCACGACGTCTCGTATCCGCCTGCGGCGGCATAGTGCAGCAGTAGTCGGACAACTAGGGGCCGAACCCGAAGCCAATGCCAAAAAAAAAAAAATCGCATTCGAAGAATGCGTCGTTTCACACTCATCTAAAAGTACAAGAGCCATTTTTTTCCAAACCTTTTTTATCCAGAACAAGCACAGTGAATGTACGTACGAAAAAACCTAAGAGGTACTACAGAAGCCACCTATAGTGCCGCTGCATCTGGGGTAGCTCATTTTATGGTATAGTGTTCGAGCTGTGAGGGCATAGCCATAGGAGCGGACGGGAAACTGGAACCTGTGAGTAGGTGCAAACTGATGAGGGCCCACGAGGGCGGAGAAGAAGATCTCCACGCCGATCTTCATTCGAGGAATTTTCTTCTACTCAAAAAAAACTTCTAGTTGTTTGATTACCCCTCGTTTTGAACGAGGTCTACCTTGCTTCCTTTCCATTCCGGTGTGAATCTGCGCCGTCTTCTAAAGCCTTTCGTCGAGACTTTGTTTCGTCCTCCCTTTTCTAAGTGACCCTACAAGAATGTCCTTCCTTACGAGATTTGCCACGCCAAGCCGGGTGGGATTGGCGGCCGGATGCGGTTTCGCTGGGTAAGTATCGATAGTAAGGATTTTGTCAACGTCACGCTCGCGCATTGAGTATGCCTTTGCATTGTCCTTTGCTCCCCATCCTTGCTATGTTGAATTTCGTTAGCAAACGACTTCCAAATCGCAGGTACACAGCGTCGCAGTCGAGCTACATCAGAAGAAGACAGACAGTATTTTGCGAGGACAAGTCCAGCTTCGATCTTGCGAAAATTCAGGACATGATCGGAAAACCAGATTGGATTACGCCAGACACCATGAAGCCACTGACGGGAGGTAGAAGAAATTGTGCTGCGCTAGTACAGATGAAGTTTCACTATCGCCATTATTTTGCTTGATCGTGTACAGCAGTCTACAAGCGAAAGAGCACTCCAGTATCTTTTTCCGTTTCTTGTACACGAAACATAGAATCACAGGTCTCACCTTCGGTGGCGCATCAGGACTCGCGGCAGGCTACGCGTGCAAAAAAATCGGAAAAGCGGTTGCGGTCGGTGTGGGCTCCCTTTACTGTCTATTCCAGGTCGCCGCGAGCTACGGCTACGTCACAATTAACTGGAAAAAGGTAGACAATGCGTGAGCCATTTTGTGGCGCTTCCTTCGCGTGTTCATGTATGATTAGCGTTACCTCCGAGGATTCTTGGGTCCACGCATGTTGCAACTACGCACAAAATTCTTTCAGGTAGAAAATGACGTGATGAAGGCCCTGGACACAAACGGCGACGGAAAGCTCGACGAGAAGGATGCTGGCGTCTGGCTTCAGAAGGTGTTAGATGTTCTTGCAAATGACGAGCTCGAAGGTATTGATTAATCTTTTTTTTGCGTATGTATGTAGACACAGCGACTGCAGCATGATTGAGCAGCCCATACCTATACTTGAATTCCAAGTGTTCTTGCCGGAAATTCTCAGTACAAAGACACTAGCGTCTGCTTTTACTACCATAGGTGCCGCCGCTAAGAATACCGCTACGGGAGCCTTTGCGGGCACTTTTTTGCTCGGTCTGCGCCGAGGATAAGTTGTTTCACTAATTACCAGAGCTGTCACACGCGTGACCAAATCTAAAGATTTTACATACTACATCTAGCGACGTTGGAGCTGCTATAAACGAGGAAATTTGAAACAAGTTGTGATAGACCAATTTCAACAAAACGAACTAGACCACACTGTATCAACAATTTAGAGTCGTAAGAACAATCGCTGCATTTTTCGTAGAGCCGTCGTGGATGCACCAATCTGATATGTAGGTAAGGCCGCGAAACAAGCAGCGAGTGGCTCATTTGGTGTCATGTTTCTTTACGGATTCCGGTTGGGATAGTGACAGCCTCAAAGAACTTGCGCAAAACTTGCGGCCTCCCTTTCCATCGTACAGATAGCTCCCCCATCCCCAACAAAAAAACCCGGAAAATTTGTGAAAGAAACACGACAACAAAATGCACAAAACAAAGTTCCGCGACCGGAAAAATCAATGGAAGCATTTATTCGACGCTTTGCTCCAAGCTGCGCTCAGGCTGAAGGCACAGTAGAGCAATCGAGGCCGTTCGTAAATCGATTTGAGTACTCAACTCTGGTCAACAAAAGTCGTTCACAAAAGCCTTTATCAGTCTGTACTTCTTTCGGTCTAGCATGATCTCATGTTTTGATTCAAGTGTGTCTACGTAAGTACGAAAAATCTGCTGCACAACAGAAAAGTCGGTAGCATTTTCTTGAGCAAGAAACTGCATCGTACACCAACAAAAAAACCTACTCGTCCACCTTTCGAAATTTCCAAGTCGGTACTAGCTCACGACGAGAGCCTAGAACTTTAGAGTATTTTGAGTTGGCTTCTGTCTCTGTCAAGATTACGGGCGGTTTTTTCTGGATTCAATCAACTTTCCTTATCACCTACCATCCAGTGTAAGTACGTCCCCCCCTGTGTACTACCTATCGATACCCTTTTTTTCCTAGTTTCAATTGCGAGAGGAGCAGGAGAAGCAGCTCTTCGACGGGAGTGCGATCTTTTCCGGTTCGATTGCACACTTACGACACAAAATATAACCTGAATAAAATACCTTGTTTTTCACTACTTTCTTCTCCCCACCAGCCTAGTTGTGTAGTTTCATCAGCACAACAATTGGAACAATATCACTGTTCGCTGGCGAACAACCACGATGATGCAAGCACTTCGGTTCCGAAACTCGGCCGCCGTGCGGTCGGCGTACCGGAAAAATGTTTCCCACCCCAGCACCTCGTCCTCCTCGCGACCCGGGTGGTTCGCATCTTCACCCGCTTGCAGTCCTGCAAACCAATTATACCAACCCCGAAGATGGACATCTTCCACATCGAAGCCCACTAGATTTTCCGAGTCGGGAGCCGCTGCACCGGCGCAGTCTTCCTCCTCAAGCGTCGCGCCCCCAAACCTTCCACCAGTGGCGCCTGATTTGCCGCCCGTCTCCGAGCCACTGCCGTCTTCCGGCTGTGCAGCAGGAGCCACGGCGTCAAGCTCGATAGAAGGAGAACAAGAAGAGGATGTGATACTTCCCACGCGCGGGAAGCCGCGACCGAAACTCCCGAATTGGTTTCGGATGCAAAACATTAACCGCACACCCGAAGCCCGGGAGAACTGGAAGGACACCAAGGAAACGCTGAAGGGCCTCGGGCTCGCGACGGTCTGCGTCGAGGCCAAGTGCCCGAACCTGAACGAGTGCTGGGGCGAGGGCACCGCAACAGTGATGATCCTCGGGGACACCTGCACGCGCGCCTGCCGGTTCTGCAGTGTGAAGACGGCGCGGAGGCCGGAGGGCATCGAGGAGGGCACCAAACTGTTCGACGAGCCCACCCGGGTCGCGAATGCGATCGCGCAGTGGGACCAGCTGAAGTACGTGGTGATCACATGCGTGGACCGGGACGATTTGATGGACTTCGGAGCGGTGCACATCAAGAAGGTGGTCGAAAATGTGAAGAAAATCCGGCGACCGGTGACCAACAGCCTGATGGAAGACGGCCACAGCACGGCCACAGGGGAGGTGCTGGTGGAAACCCTGCTGGGAGACTTTCGGGGCGATTTGAAACTGGTGGACATCACCCTCGAGGGGAACATGGACGTGTTCGCGCACAACATCGAGACGGTAGAACGACTTAACAGCACGGTCCGGGACCGCCGGGCGAACTACAAACAGAGCATGTCGGTGCTGGAGCACGTGAACAAGCAGAACGAAAAGCGAATCCAGCAGGGCAAAAACGGGATCATCACGAAGTCCTCCATCATCGTCGGCTTGGGGGAGACAGACGAAGAAATCTACCGGACCATGCGCGACCTGCACAGCGTCGGCGTGCGGGCAGTAACCCTGGGACAGTACCTGCAGCCCACGAAAAAGCACATGCGCGTGGATAGGTATTTTGTTTTATCGAACAACATATGAAATTGATGGGACACTGTTGTCAGATGCCGCTTGGAAGCAAGTTTTTGCTGAATTGAAATTCGCATGTCTTGTTTCTTGCTAGCCGAATGCACCCGACAGCACCGCATTGCGAGTGCGAATTCCTATGATCGAAGTGTAAAAACAATGACTTTATCGCGACCTTTTTCCGTATCTTCATACATCAGGTTCATCGAGCCCGAGGTTTTTGAAGCCTATGATCAGATGGCGCGGGAGATAGGATTTGACATGGTAGCCAGCGGCCCTATGGTGCGAAGCAGTTACCGAGCCGGCGAACTATTTCTGACTCGCATGGTCGAGAAAGACCGTGCGCAGCAGCGACGAGCGCTCGAGCTGAAGAGCGCAGCAGCAGCGGCGCAGTGAATGAAACAATGTCGCCGTTCCCACTCACTGCTGCGTCGACTATGAATTTTCCGCCCGCCGCAAGACTTACTTGTACGAACAACTGGGAGTTTTGTATCAGCCGTGTGAAGCTAGGGCTGCGTTTATGTTGACCTGGAAGAATGTACTCCTTGCTTTGTGTAAGTTTTGTTGTTTTGCAGCCAAGATGGTGCAAAGCTGAGATAAAACAGGACGAATGAGCTAGGCGACTGATTTGCAGTTGCGCTTTCTTACCGTGTTCCTGTTTGGACCGACCGTGGCTTTCCTGTCGGCCAAAATCGAAAGACGCACGAGCTAGTTCTGTGTTGAAAAACTCGTCAAAGGAGTAGCCAACCGGAACCGTGGCCCAGATGAATTTATATATGACTCGGTTTTTCTCGTTGGCAACATCTGATCGGTCTGATTTGCTTTTTGCTGAATTCGAACTCGGTCCTTTTCGAAAAACTTCGGGCAAGCAGAATGAGAGAGTTTTCGCTACCGACGTGATATTGCCAAACAAGCAGAAGTTGTGCGAGTCGGAGTTTCGTAATTGTCGCAACAAAACTGCATGCGAACAATCGTCGCTAAAGCAAATTGCTTCGGCATTTTTTCTTTATCATTTTTTTTGCATCAAAATAACAAAAACATTCCTCGATAATTTCCGTTTTCTTCTGCGATGCCGAATACAGGACTCAAGCCCCGTGTGAGACCCCCTTTCCCACATTTGCATATTATATTATTTGTAGAGCAAAACAGGTCCCGAGCCCGAGAGCCGGACTATTAAGGTAAGTGTAGAACTACGTTGCAAAGAGATTTTTCTATCCATAGAGCCGGAAGGAAGTATTCCGTGTGCCAGCTTTCCTGACTGTTCCTTCACGCAAACGTGTCTAGCGAGCTATCAAAAAACAGCTTAGTTTGTGTACCAATAAAAGTTTACTGCTTCAATCGCGATCCGCTTTTGTTTCAAGATAAAGACCCAGCTTGAAACTAGTAGTTGACATAATTCCGATCCTCCTAATTTGTTTCTCAGCCGGACTACATCCCTGTTTCGGTTTTCATTATCCCACACACACAAGAAAGATAGTTTGTGCAGAACCTATCTGATAGTGAAACTTTTGGAACGCTCTGGTAGCAGTTCTTTGAAGCTTGAAGCCGGATCTTGTATCGAAGTGTTGCGTGCAAGATCTAGTAAGTTCACTTAATTGCATATGCATCCCCCCCATACCTTTTCTACCCACAGACACAGCTTTTAGTGTGATTCGCGACGAAGTATAGGTCGTTCTCTGGTGCTGTGTATCCAGCAACCAACCCGCGTAAACAAAAAAGGTTCAAGAATCTTCTCCTAGTCGTTCTGCGTAGAACATCAAAGACGAAGCGGCGCGGCTCTAGCTCTCGACGGTTTTTTCCACCAAGACCGCACTAGAACGCGAGGATCTCAACAGCGCAGCAATTACTAAGGCAAAGCGAGAAGTAGTCTGTACACATCCAAGCTCGTTGTACTATTGCGTCACAGCAAAGCGAAGAGACGAGCGGCGACACAGCATCTTTTTTTCTGCGCATTTGTTTGAACACAGCACATATCAACACTCAACAGCGTTGTTGTGAAAAGAAATTCCGCTTCGAGAGAGTCCATCGATTCTCTAATAAGGTTTAGTAAAGTTAGTGTGAAAAAATAATCTTCTATCCGGAAACCGAATCTTTTTTCCAACTTCCAAAACCGTAGGACACCGCTCTGCCTCTCTTAATCTGTCACGGGTATTAAGCACATTATTGATACACAAAAATCGGAAGACCACCGAAGGAAAGCGCCGGTGTAGAAACCAACGAAACGCAAATTCCAAGGCCAGTCGGTTCGAGTTTGCTTGCGAAAGGATACGCGACTACCAGCATCTTTCTTTGCGGGCTCGGCGACTTTTGTAGAATAGTAGTTCTGTAGTGAAACAATTCGGGTTGTAGAGTTACGCAGCCTGCATAATTTTAGTATAGACCGACTACTTTGACAATCCACAAAAATTCCGAGGCGAAGGGTCTCGTGGTGATCAATAAGAAGCATACCGAAGAGATTATTTTTAGTAGAGCTCATCAACTTCATTCGAGTTGCCACTAGCTGCCATTTGAGCGAGTCCTGCAACAAGGTCCGATTTTTCCCAGCACCGGGAAACCTCCTTGGGCGCAGTTCTCGTTTATTTTACTTCGATACTGTTGTAACTGAAACTGTCCACACTCATCTTGTTTGAAATTTGGAAACCAAAAAGGGTAAGAATACTACTGACTGTAATATACGTCCGCGAAAATACTAAAACATTGGAAAAATTCCTCTTCCCAGAAATTCTTCAAAAAATTGTACATCTAGATAGAAGATTTTACTTTAGTGATTCCTTTTTTGCCACTCTTGATAACCCGGGACGTGTGTACATCAAGCATATCGAGTAAAAAACGGAACTTTTTGTATTCACTTCAACATTCACAAATTTTCGAATTCACGAGGCTGGTTCGCTTGTGCAGATACAACGAGCCTCGCGGATTCAATTTGTAATTCTACAACGATTTTAACTTTTTGAGAAACACCATTATCCCTGTTCTTTATCGAAGCAAATATACTTCAACTTTACTACGTACACTAGACGATAGGGAAAAATCCAATTGAAGAACACCTCCGAAAGCCGCAGAGCCAAGCGTCGTTGAAGGAGCAAGCTTTGCGGACACGCGACCTGTGGTGTGAGCAGGGAATTTTCTTCTCTAATTTCGGAGAAAATCATCTGACTTTCGCACAGCGACATTATGCAGCAACAGCGCGGCTACAACAACGGCGGTCCGGTCGTGGAGCAGCGCTCCATCCGTACCACGTTTGCGCCGGAGGGTCGCATCATGCGGGTCCCGCACCAGCGCTCGGGTGAGCGGAACGGCATCATGCGGAACGGAAACGGCAACAACGGTGGTCCACCGGGAAACGGCAACAACAATGGAGGTCCCCGTGACATCAACAATAACATGGTGCACAATAACTTCCAGGACCAGCAGTACAGTCTGTCTGACTACATGATGACCAAGCAGGACTACGGTAACGGGATGCCCCCGAATTACGGGAACAACAGTAATAATCTCGACTTGGGGAACAACGCCAACAACCTGATGCGGCAGCAGCTGGTCCGCGACCGCAGCAACTACAGCGACCAGCAGCGGCTGGTCGACGAGATGACGTTGCGCGCGCAGTGGGCGGTCGCGAACGGCGGTAACAACAACGGGCCGAACCCGAACAACCTGATGGGTGGTGGGGGTGGCGGACCGGGTGGAAATCGCAATAACATGATGAGCACCACGGTGAACCAGGGCTTTCGCAACCCGGCCTACGAAAACCAGATGAACCGCGAGACCGCGGCGGCCGCGGAGCAGGCATTGCAGCTGCTGGCCCACCAGCGCAACAACCAGCGCGGGTACAACAACGCGATGCGGTTGGATTCCGGCTACGAGTTCGGGAACCCGAGCCAGAACGGGTCCACGCCGCGCGGGTATCCGGGCAACTTCAACGCCTCGCCGGCGAACTACCGCGATCAGATGGACAACTACAACAACCGCCAGCTGGATCTCGCGTACTACGAGTCGCAGCTGCAGCAGCGGGGCAGTTTGTCCACCACCAACACCACCTCGGGCGGCATGACCAGTTACAACAGCAACAATTTCATGGACGGTGGCGACGGTGGTGGTCCGCGCGGGGGTCCGCAGAACGGTCGAGGGTTCACCGAGTACAGCCAGTTTTCGAAGGACAATGGGAATAACTACAACGACAATTACCACCCCAGCAAGCGGATCAGCAAGGGCAACAGCTCGGGCGGCAACAGCAAGGGCGCTGGAAAAGGTAAGGGGAAGGGCAAAAATCCCCGCATGTCGCCGCAGAGCGGGTACACCGACGGATCGTCCGGTGATCGCAAGTACAACTCCACGTCCAGCGACGGGAAGGGAAAGGGCAAAGGCAAGGGGAAGAACAGTATAGATACGAGAAGTTTTTTACTTCGCATAGACTGCATGATCGATAAGTTAGAGTTTGAGGTTGAGGTAGGAAAATCCCGCAGATAGCCATGATTTTTACGTGCGCGATTTTTCATTTGCATATACGCCGCGGATAAGTTGCACAGGAGCTGATAAAGCATCAGCGCCAGCAACCAGCGTTGTTCACCACAGATGTACGCAGCGCCTCCTCGTGAGGCAGTTCGTTTCCGTTGCGTCATGAAGAAAATTGGGCGAAACTTCTATTTTCACAGGTAATGCGGCCAAGAAAGGCAAGAGTACCATGATTGGCGGTCCTTCCAGACCGGGCAACAACAATTCCAAGCCAGAACCGGGCAAGCACCTGCAGAAGTTGGAAGAGGCCGAAGCGTCTCGCCGCCGAGGTCAGCCCGCTTCCAAGGTACAAAAGCCGTTCCTTTCGCAAGTAGACCCGAAGACAGTTTTTCGTCTTTCTTTCGTCGGAAAAATGAGGTGTACAAAATTGAATAAAGAGACTTTTTTCTGCCCTTGGAAAGGCAAGTAATTAAGATAGAATGAATGTGAGCTTGTCTGTGAACTCCTCTGCAGGAACTGGAAGAGTGGCGGGACAAGGGGACCTTCGATTTCTCGCACATTGTCCAGAAGGGCAGCGGCGAAGAGCTGATGGAATTCTCCAAGTGCCCGGACGCGCACGAGGCCGTGGTGCGTGCCATGGAAAACGATGACACCTCTGTGGAGTTGCGTCGTGCGGCGCTCGAGATTTTCGCGAACAACATCGTAAAATTTTTCCTATGTTGCAACTTTTTGCGTGGCGCACCTTCACCTCTCTTTCAAGCAAGCTGTAGTCGTTGAATTTGCTGATGATGCAAACAAGCTGCTTTTGATCGGAATGACTTGCGACTCAAGGTTGTCAAACGCATAACAACAGGTCTCCTTGTGCAACGACGTATTCGCGCATAACATCGTGCGGAGTTTGTTCGAGAGTTCCGCCAGCTGCGGTATGTCCCCCCTGGAACAGAAAACCATGTTGATTAACGCCATGAAGACAAAGGTATTATCCGTGATTTCGCCGCTTTTTGGTCATGCGAGAGCGAATGTCAACGGAAAAGTATTTGTTGGTTGTGTTACCGCTACCATTTACACTTCGACTTCCACCCTTTTCAAGAAAGTTTATTGTGCAAAAACCGATCCGGGTAGTTCTATTTCCATTAGTCTGTTCTCCGATTAAAACACAGGTCTTCGATATCGCTGTCCACGAGACGGGGTGCCGCACTCTGCAGCGCATTCTGGAGGTGTTAAACGTGGATTTGCAGCTGGAGCTCGCCAAGGATATGTCCGGCCAGGTGCTGGATGCCGTCGAGGACCAGAACGGAAATCACGTTCTGCAAAAATTCTTCGAGCGGATGCCCACCGGGAAGGTTTGTTCATGAATTCCCTTCATTCCTTTTTTTCAGCACCCCAATTAATACGAGTTGTATCCAGCCGATAAGTTGAGATGAAACATCGTGGCGTTAGAAAGGGATGACTCTGATGATCCCTCACATCAATACTCGATTACATGTACAACCACAGGTGCAATTCATCATTGACGCGTTCCGGGGCCACGTCCCGCGGATGGCGACGCACTGCTACGGCTCGCGCGTATTGCAGCGGATCATCGAGTATTGCGACCCGGAGCAGGTGGCAAAAATCTACGACGAGATTCACGCCAACAATCTGAGCGTATTCATCCACGACGCGTATGGCAATTATGTGATCCAGAATATGGTGGAGTACGGAAGGCAGGAGGACCGGGACCGCGTGTTCGCGATCGTGAACAAGAACATGGCGGCCATGAGTTGCCACAAGTTCGCATCCAACGTGGTGGAGAAGAGTATCCAACAGGCCAATCGAAAGGACCGACAGAATTTCGTCACAGTCTCGATCGGAAAGCCGGTATTGGTTTATTTGCGAGGAAGAACTGACAGAATCTTCTTGTTTTTTTGTGTATGACAGTTTTTCGCATTCAAACATCCTGTACGCGGCTCGTCGTTGCAGTTTTTATAACTGTGAAGGCTCAACTAGCAACTCCCTGTATAGTATGATCACTTTAATCCTGGCTAACTGGAGCAGTGAACACAGAGTGACAATAAACTCAACATAACCCTGAACAGCTGAAGGAAGACGGCGATGAAGATCCGACGACGCCGTTGATGCGCGCCAACGCGGTGCCACCAGCGGTGACGATGATGAAGGATAAGTATGGAAACTATGTGGTCCAGAAGTTGATGCAGGTCGCGGAGGGCCAGGTCCGCGACGAGATTGTGGAGCTGATGCGACAGTACATTGAAACGCTCGAGCGGTTACCATATGGACGGCACATTCTGTTTGCGCTGCGTGAGGGAGAGTTCGGCTTCGCCGATAACAACAAAAAGGCCAGCACCGTATCCAACGGCTCCGAGGGAACCGAGGCGGGCTAAAAGATCGCTTAAGCTTTTCGATAATTTGCTGCATGATGAAATGTTGACAATTCCAGTACTTCTGCTAGGTGAATGTTTCCGCAGAATCAGCGTCAGTACATCCGCGATGGCGTTGACCACTGCAGCAACAGCATGTTTGAAAGATTTTGACTCATTGGAATAAGGCGGCTCTAATTTAGAAATTTGAACATGGCTACAAGCACTACTTCCGTGCTCGGAATGGCAAATACGTAAATGACAAGTACCAGATTCGGCAGGTGTTTTTTTTTTGAATACTTCCCCCCCGGCTGGTAGAAGAGCTCATGCTGCCCTTTCCAAAAGTTATGCTCGTAACTTATGGCAAAGACAGCAATGTGGAGCAATAATGCAACTTCCTCTACCCGCAAATAAAAAGGACCTAGTTTTGTGCAAATGTGGGGCTTCGTCTCATCTATACCCACCCCGAAAGTCTTACCTTTCTTACCCCCGGCAAGTACCATCAGACAGCGCTCTGCCACCTCGGCCCCGTGTGCAGCGAGGTTTTGTTGCGTTTGATGGAGATACTCAAATGCTTTTCAAATGATTCCTACCTACATGTTGAAAATGGATCACACATTTTGTATCCAGAACGTACAAAGACTGAAATGTAAATCCTGTTTGCTTCTTCCACTCCTACTAATGCTCTAGAATGGAGAATCAAACTCAACACGAGCGAGAGGTACGTACATCATTTGACTTGTATCCGAAAAAATGCTCGATAGAAATTTCAAATTCTATCACAGAAACTGCTACTCTTGCATCTCTTTAAGTATTAATTTAGATCGCTGTTTCGCGAGCTAGATTCATTTGGACCCCTCTACTCCAGAAGAACATGACTGAGCACTTTTAAAGCGAAAGACGCACCACCCCTCTGCTGGACTTTGCCATACTGCCTGGCTGCATTCGAACTTTTGATACTATCCTAGAACCAATATTACTTCCAAGTGAACTGGCGAGTTGGCATGTCCCCCCCGTGTGCAGCTCATGTCAATTTGCCTTTTGTTTACTCAGTTCAGACACGCCCGTTGCGCTGTGAGTGCAATGATTAATTTGTAGCACGTCACGCAGCGGCGTGTCCGGGAACAGCCGGTGGAGTATTTAGACGGAACGACAACTACAAATACAACCGAAGCAGAGCCGAGAGGAGTGCTGTGGGTGGCTTGTCGCTTCGGGCTTGGCTGGCTATAGTTGTAGGCAGACAAGTCCTAAAGTTTAAAATATGAATACTAGAATGTCAACACTAGTCTTTTGCTGTGCGGGAAATATAGAGTACTGGGAAAAAGCTTTGGGTGCGAAGTTATGATGAATAGCAGCCCTAAAACTACTCTTGGTCGTGGACGAAAAAATAGAAGGGCGGGGTGATTGCAATTTAGACTTGTTGTGTGAAGTTCTTTCGATCTTTTGCTCCTGACTGTAATACAAGTCCATAATCTCTCGACCCAAGTCCATAATCTCGAAAAGCAGAATGCAGTTGTAACCAGATAGAACGTACACGAGTATGTGAGAGCGCAATGTCTATTTTGCAGCTTTCTTTGTAAACTGTAAATCGAACAATCTTGAAAATGCGGCTTGTTTTTGCGTACACTACGACCACTTCTTCTACTAGACTAAGATCGTCAAATGCATCGCACACAGCAAAAATTAAGGAAAATCGCACGCTAACACAGGAGAATTTAGCACAAAATTCTAAACCTAACCAGCTGAGCTTCGATATGTGCAGAGCCGCGACGGTGCAGTAGAGCGATTCTCCACAAAACGAGTTCCATGATGGACGAAGGACGGTAGAAAGATGTGATTAGTCAGTCGTACTTAGAAAGGCAAATCAAATGACACAAAGTAAAAACGCTAGCTAACCACAGACTTCGCTTAAGTATAGCCGGTGCGCGAAAACTGGTAAAACACAACTGAAGTAGTTCTGAACCAGGAGGAATATTTGATTTACTAGATGCTCTCAAGAAGGGTCTATTTTTGTTGTTGTAAATGGGCTTTTACTAATATTTTTCTATGATTTAGGTCTTTTTTCGTTTTTGAACAGGACTCATAAGCCCTGTGGTGTCGTTTGATATCCCGGTTTCGTATCTTTGAGCAAGACTTTATCCCAGTGCTTTGGGCAAATATATGATTTGACGTGAAAAATGCCGCCCTTTCAGCGGCTTCATCGCTGCGCGATTCAGCGCATCCCTTGAGGCAGGGGCGCACAGGATCCAATTTGTTCGTCCGGCACATTTTTCGTCGGTGGAAAAGGATGTATCTGCTAGTCGTGAAGGTTCGCGTCCCGTCGTCGGTTGGGATTGTGAACAAAAGGATAAGGTCATCAGAATGAAATTGGAGGAACTCTCTCGTGAACCGATCTCTTTGTCCGCACCGGCGACAAGCCAAATGTTCTAATTCGGTGACCGTCAAAGTCAATACGAATTGATACCTTATGGTGTCAATCAGGATAACCTTCCTCCGTGTCATCGTGAGTTCGTGAAAATGGATGATTGTGAGCGAATAAAATTGAAACTGTTGATCGTTCCGCCAGCACCACAAGATCACGAGAGTAGGTGAAGCGAAGATCCGTCCTATGCACGAGAAGAATTAGATTTGATCAAATCCAAATCGCGACAGGCAGCTCACTGAGCGATGCGACGCAAAGCGATCCAAATTCCAAATCCGCTAAGATCTAAATGTTCACTCTTGCGTCGGGTGCAAGACGACGCTCCGCTTCTATTAAATGGATCCTAAATTGCTACGATCTCGCGCAACTTTTCTGAAACGTTTCCGATCGCCTGATAATACACAAACCTAAAAAATTGCACCTTTTGTCAAAATGTATCTGTCACCGCCGAACGTATCGTCTTCCTACTCGCTTACACAGGGACATTTGTTAGTGGAGTTCTTTTGTACGAGAACTTTTGGGTCAACATTTGGTAGAAACAACACTCACAAAACAAGATGCCGTTCGTGAAGGTGCAGAAGAACAAGGCTTACTACAAGCGCTTGCAGACCAAGTACCGCCGCCGCCGCGAGGGTAAGACCGACTACCATGCCCGTCGCAAGATGGTCGCTCAGGACAAAAACAAGTACAACACCCCGAAGTACCGCTTGGTGTGCCGCATCACCAACAAGAAGATGATCTGCCAGATTGTCTACGCCACCATTCAGGGTGACAAGGTTTTGTGCCAGGCTATGTCTTCCGAACTCGGCAAGTACGGCGTCCCGTGCGGCCACACTAACTACGCCGCCGGCTACGCTACCGGTATACAACTTCGCTTGACATTTTTGTGTTTTTACCTAATCTAGGAAATTTAGAATCGGAAGCAGTTTAGGTAGTGGCTCTGTTGCATGGAAGAGAGTGAGTTCGGATACTGGCCAGAGCAGTGTGGCTCTTGTGAATTAGTTTCATGGTTACTTATGGGGTGCACTGAAGGTTCTTTCTGTGCTATCGTCGCGGCCGCAGATACCAATGCGGAACACATGATAGTCTGGTAAAAAAACACTAAAACCATATCAGGTCTGTTGATCGCTCGCCGTGCCCTGGATATCGTCGGACTGGCAGACTCCATTGAGGGTGTTGAAGAGTGCACCGCCGAGGAATTCCACGTCGAAGAGGAAGACAACGAGCGCCGCCCGTTCAAGTGCATCCTGGATGTCGGCCTCATCCGCACCATTCCGGGTACATATTTTTTTTTTCTTTACAGCGTAGGTGACGGCGTGGTGCATATTTGTATTTCTTGCACCAATCCGAATCCGCGGTTTAGGAAAAGAATATCGCTAGACTTGTCGGTAGTTTCGTTTAGGAATTGTTCCTGTTTCCTGCGTGCTGACGGTAGGACAAGAATTTATGTTCCTCAAAAAACCAATTCCAGGTTCCCGCGTGTTCGGTATGCTGAAGGGCGCCGTCGACGGTGGCCTGCACGTGCCCCACTCCGTTTCCAAGTTCCCGGGCTACAAGGAGCCGGAAGAGAAGGGTCAGGACTACGAGTACGATGCCCCGGCGCACTTGGAGCGCATCTTGGGCAACCACGTCTCCGAGTACATGGAGATGCTGTCCGAGGAGGATCCGGAACGTACTTGATTTTGCGATTAACTCTTCTCGATTTAATACTTCTTTTCGACATTTCACGTCAACAGATGTGTCTCGGTTTTTTTTTGCATGAGTTGTTTGGAAGAGAATGAGAACTTTTGCTATTGGAGATGAGAGAGTGCAAGAACATAAAGATAGTGTATACACACGGATTTTCCGACTCACCAGCGAAAACACGCCCTTTCCAAACACTAAAAACAGGTTACAAGGTCGCTTTTTCCGCGTTCATTGAGAACGACATTGAGGCGGACGGCCTGGAGGACTTGTACAAGGAGTGCCACACCAAGATTCGCGAGGACCCGAAGTTCGTGAAGAAGGAGAGCGCGGGTATCACCAACACGCGCAAGGGAAACACCATCGAAACCTCCAAGGGAACTAGCTACACCCGCTGCATCAAGCGGTCCAACGCCCAGCGCAAGGACCGCGTCAAGCAGAAGCTGGCCATATCGCGAGGAAAAATGCCCCCACCCCCGAAGTTCGGAGCATTTGTATTGCAAACCTTTCCAAATGAAACATTCGCCCTACTGCATCTATCAGCATCACAGATTTCCGATCGTGAATAGCAAAAATTTGTATTGCAAAAGATCCCAGCAAAAGCGGCGCTTGTCATGCAAGCGCTGCGACACACGCCTAGACCTTGCCTCAGAAAGGTTCATACTCCTTTCATGCATGACAAAAAGTTTTCATTTGGAAACTTTGCATCACAAATCCTTGCTACAATTTCAGGGGTGGGGGGCACTTTTCACTGTAATAGGCCACCGCTCGCACCAAGCTCATGGCCGAGATGGGTGACGCCGAAGAGGAGGAAGAGGAAGAATAAGCTTGTCTGATTCATCATCTGTCCTGATGAGAACCTTCGTGTTGTTTCGGAATGTTGTCCAATCTTCGGTAGTTATGCGTGTGGAATTTTAATACACAATACGAAGCCGACGAATTGTTCCTTTGTGGGATAAGAGTGATGTTACCGGGTTTGAAGGCAAGCCTTTCCGATTTGAAGGGAATCATGGATTCATACTGAACTTCTACCAAACCTGACCATGTTGACACAAAACCAGAGTGCTGCGTACTTAGACTCCAACTAAAAACAAAATGTGAGTGCTGCTGTTGGCGTGTTTTCATGCCCTGGGTGGCTCTGTCGATTCACTGAACTTGTGTTCGTATGGGATCTACTGGTACAGTGTATAATATTGGGGGTTTTGTCCATCGCAGAAATCTCTTGTCAATCGGAAGTCGGCTCAGAGTCGTGAAGCGGTAACTCCTGAAAAAACGCATCGCAGTTCCGAAATGGTCTTCCTCTCTGCTTCAAACCGATTCCAAAAATGCGGTCTGTCTGAAACTTGTGCAAATTGCTTTCGTAAGCGAGAAATCCTAGCCTTAGCACTAGCGGCGCGAGCTTGATATCCAGGTATACTGAAGCGGCAGTGGTTCTGCAACAAAAAAGATTATACCGAAAACAGGCACGGCCACGGTGTGTTACTCTGCGATATTGCACTGCAAATTTGTCTTCTGAATAAAGCAGTTATTTGAGCTTGTGGGACTCACTTCAGACAAAGCACACGACAACCGCGATGACACTGCTTGAATCCTAATAACGCTTTCACTCGGGCCTTAGGTGTTTTTGCACAGCATCTACGTGGCCGCCACACAATTTGAGCTTGCCTCTTCTCTCAATTCCGCAAAGGCGGCTATTCTGCTCGAACCATCATGCCAGGCTCGCGGAAAGGTACGCCACGGGGCGGGCAGGTTCCGAAGACGAAAGTAATAGTTTTTGACTTTGATCAGACCATTTCCCAGTGTCACGTCTTCAAGTGCCTCGCCGGTTTTGTCACGCTCGGACGGGGGAACTTTCTTGATGGGCCCTACGCGCTCTCAGAGAGAGGGCAGATCCAGAAGTGCTTCGAGGCGGACGAGGAAATGAAAGGTACCACTCGCCCGACCCTTGATCTTGTCGTTACCATTGGAGGTTTTCAAACTCGTACTAGCAATCCAAATTCCCTTTCTATGTTGTGCTAACTCCCTCCGACAGGCAAATTCTACGAGCATTGTCTCGGCGGGAAGGAACAGATTGCAGAGATGGAGAAGACCTTCAAGAAACTACGAACGAACGGGTGTTCCCTGGTCGTCTGTTCCAAGGGTTTAGTTGCGCCAATACGATTATCAAATGCAAATGCGTCTGGGTTTGAAGGAGTGCGGGTATCTGCCACGTGGCAGTTTATTTTTGCATCACCCAGATTGATGATTTAGATTTGCTCGACGCATTGGCATTCATCCAAACCCAGGCACAGTTGCTGTGGATAGTGACTGATTTTGGAGAAAACGAAGTTGTTGCCGCACTTTGACGATGTGTACGCCAGAATCGACGACTACACGAGCATGCAGGATGCCAGAGAATACGACCTCAATGCAATGCAGTAAGCACGATTTTATTGCGCTGATTTTTGTCTCTGCTAAACCTAAAGCTACCAGTAGTTAGTAGTAGTCTTCCTCTCAGTCGTGAATTTTTTTTGGTTGGACATGAGACCGAATTGTGCACGCTTAATTACTTTCTATCACCATATCAACCAAACAAGAAAAACTATTTGTCAGGACTAAGTTCGCACCAGAGGTGGAGACGCATATCGACCGGAAAGACTGCGCGAAGTGGAGTTCGAAAGCGGAAGTGTGTTTGAAACTGGCGAACGGGCGACCCTGCATGCTTGTCGAGGATGATCGCGACGAGATAAAGAAGGGTGAAAAAGCTGGGCTTGACACCTGCTTCGTCAAGGATCGTGCTGGCCTCACGGCGACAGAGATCGGTGAGCTGCTGGAATGGTCGGCCAAAAAAGTCGAGTCCTAGGGAGCAGTGTACACCATGTCCCGTTTGTCTGTTTTTCAGTCCCGGTCCGAAGATACACCACAGATACACCACAGTTTTTTACAATCGATTGCAAACAAGCGTGCGCTCGCTTTTATTTTTTACAGTAAGGCTAGAAGAAGTGAATTAATGAGTATGCAAGGCCCATAGAAGAAGTACTCCGGCTTACAATAGTGTGTTTTTTTAGCAAAGTGCGATCATGAGCCATGTCGTACTTCGCAAGTAAAGCCAGCGCGGGGGCCTCTGCGTTCGCATACCAGAGGAGACCGCGTGTGCAACGGAAGCTTCGGGCGACAGCCTTGCACGGGCTCCTGAATTTTTAAATCCTGTGTGAACTCTACTGAGGATTCTGTGCATTGAAAAGCGAGATGAAACATGTGTAGATGCCGTCACTAGGAAAGCAATAGGACGTTCGTGTTAGCTGAGTTTCCTTCTTGCAATCATGCACACTCTCCACGCTTCCCTTTATTGCTCACCTTCTCTGTGAGTCACTATTTTCTATGATTCGCTTCCAGTGATTTTTTTTGCCAGCACGATCGACGACTCACCCAACCGTCCGATTCTCCGGGACGCCTGAAAAATTTTGCTTCTGATGTTGACCTGACCAAGCCAGGCAAAAAACCGCGACTACGACACATTGCTGCGGCCGGACAGAGAAAGCCGATGAAATTTCAGATATTCTCTCGGCGCCCCTGTTCGTGGAATAGCGAGCCTTGATACAGACCCGATCTATCAGTCAACTGCGCGGGAATTAGGCTGAAATGGAAGTCTTTGTAGTAAAACTGTTCCATGCTTTATCGTGACTGCGCAGCCCGCGACTAATTGGTAATTTCCCGGTGCGACAGTGTTAGGTCGCGCAAGATCTGTTTTTTATTCAAGTGCCGTTCTTCATCTACTTGCTTTCGAAAACAAGATCAGAAACACTGGAGTATGAGGATCAAATCGCTGCTCTGGGACTGGAGCTCGTCGTTGGTTCGAAAACTGAAAGTGCGGAATGAGCAATGAAGTCAAGATCAGAAATAAGTTGAGAGCTGTGCTGCGCATGTTCTGAAAGAATATGAAACCCGATGGAAATATACAAGAAGATTTTTCTCATCGCCGCAAAATGACTACTCTACTCACGGCGCGCTATTGTGAGTTGAGTATCGAACAACATAAAGGAACCATCACCAAAACCCGGCGTGCTGTTTTGTCTGTGCCAGTCACATCCTCGCCTTCCTTTTTTTGATGAATCCAGGACCCACACGTAATTTTTTTTCTCGGAGCTGCAGGAAAAATAACAGAAGCAGTAGTAGCAGCACCCAACAGTGATTCTGATTTCGTTTCGTGCAGACGAAGACTGTCGACGCACCTTACAACACCTAGAACAAATTCTACTCACTGAACAAACCGGTGCGCGGACACGTACTTACTTACCTACGCGGGAAATAATAGTAGTTGCCGTCACTGCAACGGAGTAGAAAAAAGATGAGCAGTTATCGGCGCGGGCGCGACTACCGCGACGACGACTATTACGGACCGGAGTACAAGCGCCGGTCCCGTGGCCCTGAACCTCCGCGGGGCAAAGACGGGTACGGCAGCAACTACCGGGACGACCGTGACTACCCGCGGTCGCGCGGATCCAAAGGCGGTTACTACGATGCGCGAGGCGACGATTATGGGCGTGGCGGGTATAATAACAGTTTTCCTGCTCTTTCTCCGCATACGAATAGCTCGCTGCGAAGGTCGTGACATATCACAAAGAACAGTCTGGCCACTACTACAAGTACAACCTGGCTGATGATATTCCGGCAGTAGGGTTGGTAAAACAAAGAACCAAAAATCCACTAGTGCAGAGGAAGATCAGGAATGAAAAGAACAGGCATGTTGACAATGACTCCCTCAAGGCGGTGAATAATAACGAGCAGTAGAAGTAGTCTTGATGAGCAACTGAGAACAATCGCTCCTGAAGAGGCCGAAGTAGATAAAATCCCGTGGTCCACTCAGATATGGATCCGAAATTTGACATAAGAGCGTTTTCATCCTCTTTGATATTCTCGACGGTAAGAGATGAAAATTGGGGCATTAGCCTTTCTCTTGCGTTGTACACGCTTCCTCGTTCTGGTTTCATGCAAAAAATAAGAACCGCCGTGCAGTGGCAGTGCACAGGAACGTAAACAACGACACTTGTCGCCTAGACGAGGACGCTGGAGTGGGTGACGTGAGTCGATCAGGGCAAAGATTAAAACCCTTGTCGCCGGAAAATCAGATCCACAACTTCACTGAATAAGTCCCTCCCATGCGGCGTCGCTAGAAGCGACAGAAACCGCCCTGCGCCGCTAGTTGTACGTCATCCGCGAGAAAAAAAGTAGCACAGCAGCCAGCAGCTACTTCATCCATTCAAATGAAAAGAGTCCCCAAATAAAACCAAAATAACAAAAAGGCGAGATAAGGGCGACAGAGACCGTCCGCGCGCTTACAGCAGTTACCGTGAAGGGAAGGGCGGTCGCAGTGCTTACGATCCGCCGGCGGGCAGCAGAAACACGCACGGCGAAAATTTTGATCCGAGATATCCGCAGGGGCTTGTGAATAGTTTGCGTCTTCTGATCCCGGACCAGTATGTGCAGAGAGTCATTGGTAAGTACTTACAACTCGTCTTAGAAGCGACATGCTGAGTTGCGTTCTTGCAGCGGCTACTTTTTCTCGCCCTCTTGTAGCACATTTATATCTTCGCTGGAAATTTTTTTCTATTCCCATCCACAGGTGAGCGCGGCGACGTGGTGCGGAGAATCGGGCAGGAGTGCCACGTGTTCATCAAAATCTCCTCGCAGCCCTTCAAGACGAATGACCACTGCACCGACCGCGTGGTGTCGATCTGCCCCATGGACGCAGACGGCAAGAAAGGCGACAGCAAGTGGAAGAACGCCATCGAGCAGTGCACCCGGGCGCTGTGCCGGGTGATGCAGGAGGCATTTCCGCACGTCGAAAAGGAGAAGGACGGGGTGCACAAGTGTGTGGTGCTAGCGCCGGCCAACTGCGCCGGGCTGATCATCGGGCCCAAAGGCAGCCGCGTGGCGCAGGTGAAGAACAACCACGACGTGGACATCCAGCTGACCAAGCCGCCGCACGGCCAGTACGACGAGGAGGTGCTGTTCAAGGGAAGTCTGAAGAACATCGAGGCGGTGCTGAACCAGCTGAACGACGTGCTGAAAGTGTACTGGGCCAACATCGACCGCGAGGACCAGCGAGCCTCGCAAGTGCTGCAGGCTAACAAGCTCATCAAGGAAAACGCGAAAGGTATGTTTTCTTTTGGGTGTACCTGTACTTCATCTTCACTTTTGATATTGTCCTGGTGAGTCTATCGAAATCATCAGCTTGGAATACACAGAGCCATTGAATTTCATCTGCACGAAAAGAGGCGGACCGTGCGAAGATGAATAATTTTCGAAAAAATCACTTTCCTCACTGACTACAGGCGGCGACCTGATCCCGGGCGCGAAAACTTACGAGTTGGAAGAGAAAGAGGAGCAGTCCAAGGTGTCCGCTGCGCCCGTGTCAAAAAGAACCAGCAAGGCTGCGGGTGACGCGGATTTGGAGAGCAGCCAGGAGCAGAGCCAGGGCGGCGACCGCGAGAAGGAGGGGGACGAAGCAGGAGTAGATGCGGACAAAGCGTCGCAGCGGGGTAGCAAGGAGGTCGTCGAGGAGGAGGACTTCGGGGACGATCGGGAGGACAGCAAGAGCGAGAAGAGTAGTGCCCACGACGAGGAGTCGGATGTAGCGCCTGTGCATCACGAGAACAATCCGTTCCGCGACGATGACGCGGAGGTGTCGCAGCGCAAAAGCACGAAGAGAATCGCGTCGAAGCGCATCGCGGACCCCGGGAACGACGAGACCCGGAAGCCGCGAAGCTGGCCCAGCGAGCCGGGACTGGACAAGATGTGGTCCACGTGTCCCGACATCCCAGTGGAGCGACAGCGGCAACGCGCGTTCCAGCTGGCGCTGCCCAAGGGCATCACGAAACAGGACATCCTGGGCAAGGACGGGTGGCTCGTCCGGGTATTCTACTTCAGAATTTCGTTTTGATGCGTGTCATTCTGTGAGCCACACACATCCAAATATTTTTTTTCGCACAACACCACCCAGAGTCAGCATGTCGTGAATGGCTTACTTCTCATTGTTGTAAAATGAAATGGAAGTTGCATTTTGTACTTCTTCTGTAACAACAGGAAATCCGCGCGGAATGCGAAGAGACAGGGTTGGGAAGATTGAACCAAATTGTCGTGATGGAGAGCAACGAGGAAGTGCAAGTTCACTGCACCGACGGTGTCCTTCCCTACGTGGTCGGCCGCGTCAGCCGACAGTATGATTTTCTTCATCTTTTTGTGGTTTGTACGAAGATTTTTGTTTTTCATTCTCTCGAACTTAGTATCCAATTTTGTACTCCAATATTCGCATGCTCTTCGTGTTTGAGTTGCGGAATTTGATGACTGATGTTTTGAAGATCGATGAAAATAACGACGGATGAACACAGGTTTCGCATCGTGGAGGCCCGGTATTTGGAGAAGTTTCTCGGAAGGAAAAACGCGTCCTACAAGGAATTGCACCGACGTGCGCCGAAGGACTCCGAGGTGGAAATGTTCGCCCTCGTGGCGAAAGAACTGCCCCGCGAAGAGAACCGTGTTTTGGTGCACCGCAACACGCTCGATCGGGACGAGCCGGCTAAGTCCGCGAAGGTGTGGGTCGATCGCACGACTGGAGAGATCACGGAGCCGCAGCCTGGGGACGCGGACTACCACCTGCCAAAGTACCACGCGAACCGGGAGGCACGAAAGAGAAAAACCTCGGCGCCCCGCAACATGGCCGGCGCGGCCAAACCAAAGATCGCGGCGCGGCAACCCAGTCGCAGTGTCGAGGAGGAAGACGCCGGTGTGGCGGATTTCCCAGCGGCCGACTGAGTCTGCAGACCGGAGGAGGACGCCTGCCGAGTGCTGGGTGTAGTTGCAACCATCTTTCTCTGCAGAAACAATTCTGCGCAAAAGAAGTTGAGTACGGACACGGAGCGCATTCGATCTGGAAAGATGGAAGGCCTATTTTGACATAGTAGAGGAGCGCGGACTCTTCCAAACGCAAACGCATCACTACATAGTTCTTTTTCGACGCAACCAAATTTTCTTCATGGACAACGAATTTGAATTTGATGTTATGGCTCGATATTGTTTGAAAGACCTTGGTCTTGGATCACGGAAAAAGGAAAAACTGGGATTGATAATACAAGAAAAATAGTTGATAGATACGGCAGCTGCGCGCAAAAGAGATTTTACTTCGAGCTCACTTGACCTCATTCGGGGTTTCGCTTTCGTTATGCGAGATGACCAATCGCATACGGTTACGGTGGTGTCCCAGGTAAACACGTGGAAGTAGACGTGGTGTTCTTGGGGTCGCAGTTTGTTCCGTGAACTGTGCTAGATCTTCACTGCGGCTTCTGCAATTTCTACCACGTCTAGGTTTGTCCCACCAAACTAATTTTTTGATTTCGTCCGTTCCGACTCCGAGTGACAGTAGCACGCTTGCGTCCGATTTTCCTTGAAACCAAGTAAACTGCCAATCTTCATAAGATGCCGCACACCGGTGTCCCCAGCGGGATTTCCGCGTTTATCACGCGGACGTTCCGCACTGCGCCCCAGAAGAACAGCAAGACCGCCTTGCCACTCGATCACGTGGCGGGTCGCGGCGCAACGCCGTCGTTCGTGAAGAAAATATCGGAGCGTTTGGACGCCGCGAAATCGATGTGGCGGCTGCCGACGCGCCGTACGAATATGCCCGAGACGGACGGGAAGTGAAGCGAGGACGTATCGGGAAAGAACGGTGTCGGACGATAAGAAAGGGCAAGAGGTGAACTCTCGCATCCCGCAACCAAACCTACTTTGGACAAGCGGAAGACGGGGAAGTTTCACAGAGGAAACGCAGTCTGATCTTTGTCCTCCTTGTTGTGTAACAAAAACGTAAAATAAGAAAAATTTTCCCACTGCGCTTCAACAAGCTCTACCAAAAAGAAATAGTCACACCTTCTAAGAGAGTTCCGAAATTTGAATTTCTTTAGTGGACAAGGTGGCGCGGCTCGTCCTACCGCGGACTCTATTCACCATGACAGCAGCCAAGAGCTTCTGAAAACGCCTGTTCTTTTTCAAAACTTCTCAACGTGCAAGGAGAATGCAAGCACAAGCACGAATGAAAAATAAGCCCTTGAGCCTGCATGTAGAATCTGATTTACTATTGTGGTCAGTTGCATGCGCACGAATCATCCTGATCCACCGACTCATTCCTTGAACTTTGTTTCCAACTTCATCGTTTCTATTTTTTTAGCCCGCTCCGGCTACTACAGTCTCACTCTCACTTGTATTCTTTGAAGTTTACATTTGTTAAATGTTTTGTTCATTTTTTTACATCGTTTTGCATCATATTCACCATTCAGAATTTTACAGATTTAGCTAGCCAGGAACGCATGGCTTTTCGCGGTAAGAAAACTTTAGTCAGTGTATCGAAGCAAGGACGTTGTATAATTTAATGTTCTAAAGTCGAAATCTGCATCAGCACCTGCTACATTGATTTCGCAAATTTCAATTGAAGCTGTAACGCAGGCTACAGTTCCTACAGCAAGACCTAAGAAGCTCGAATAAAAAACGCAAGCAAGACGAGCACCTAGAAGCTCGAATAAAAAACGCAGGCTCTTGCAAGTGAAAGATATACATAGAAGTTCACTCAAAAGGTAAAATCATAAATTAGAATCACACTTCTAAAATCAGACAACAAAGAATTTACGAATTAACTAAAACCATGCTCCTGACCAATGTAGCAGCCTGCTTGGCGCTCCTGGCAGCGGGAATTGTGAAGGCCGGTGCGAAAAGTTTGCGAGAAGGGACTGACAATGACGATGGTGATCATGGGTCGACGTCGTGCTGGGGACGCTCCCTATCGGACGACGAACTCCCGCACACGGGGGGAGGCCCTCGTATCACACGAAAGTGGTCCATGTCGTCTACAAGGTGTCCCAGCAGTTCCAGTGTAGTGTGCTCGCCCGTCCATCCGTACAGGCAGTATACGGGCGGCTCAGATGAGCTTTCTGATTGGGACCTAGACGCCTCCTTCCGAGGCAGAAGTTTTACGGGAGCGGCACTTCTGGAGGAACAAGTGGAGCAAAACCGCGTAGGTCCTGTCGACGAGTTGGAGGCGATCAACAGAGCAGACGCGAGCAGTAGAATTTCCACTTCTCGTAAGGAAGTCTTCGAGACCGTGTTACCTCCGGAAGGTTCCAGCGCAGACAAACGGCTAAGCGACGCAAATCTTGACAACACTCGCACCGTTTGGACGCACGTCAACAGTTTTTTGAGCCCGAAACCGAAGCTCGAGCAGCAGCTAGTGGACAAATCTCCTGAGAAAATATTCAAGCGCCCAGGCTATTCGCAGCCCGTGTCCCGCGATTTCGCCGCCAGCACCAGCGTGCCGGTTCCAGAACACCACACGACGAGGTGGCTGCTGCGGCAACTGATGTCGATGAACACGCAGACAAAAGGATTCGGCAGCGACGTGCGGTCATGGGCGAACAGTAATGTGAAGGGCCTCTTGGACAAGTTCATGGCTGCGAAGTATCAAGAACCCGGAAGGGCACCAGAGGCCGAGGACGTGGTCGACTTCCATGCCATGCATTACACGCGCTCTACGCCAGAGTTTTGGACCACGTGCGAGCCGCTGCACCAGTACTTGACGCAGAACGGGCCGCGTTCCTTTGCAGAGCTGCAGAAGCAGTCTGTCTGGTACTGGGCGCTGACGTGCCACAACTACGGACGCAAGGGCAGCATGTCTTGCGCGCGCCACCAGTGGCGGACAATGGAGTTGGAGCTGAAACTCCGGCTCGCCGGTCTCCTTGGCCTGAAGGAGACGCTGGGGCTGACGGAAGAAGACGTGAAACCACGCGTCCTTCACGACGGTGCTGGAAGTCGTGCGGGGGAGGAAGAAGAGAGAAAGGCTTGGTGGCAGGTGAAAGAAAAGGTTCAGCAGCGTAAAGCGAGAGAACTCGCGCTGAGAAACGAGTGGTTTCAGTACAAGCAGAATCATCCGGCGCAACGGGAAGAGATCAACCACTTGGTGGCGTACCTGTACATGGCGGAATTGGCCGGCATGGCGTGGCGCATGGGGTTGCTCGTCGACCCAGACGGGAGCAACAAGGATGAACCACCGTCGGTTAATAGGATGAACTCCGCGGTGGCGAGTCGTGGAAGCTTGATGGTGCGGGAGGAGAAGAAATCGTTCCGGATTCCCGCTGACAGTGGGATATACAAGAACGTGACGACAAAAAAAACCGGGCCTTGGACACGGTTCTGCGAAGACCTTTTCGGTCTGGTGAGTACGAAGAAGTCGCTAAACGCGGTGAAAATGGATTTCCGCATGTTCATCGGCTTAAAAAAGGATATCAAGTTGGATTTGCGTCCAGTCGTCGGAAACTTGCCATGGGCAGTGGTTTCGCCCGAAACGTCCCTCAAGCTCTTGCGGGAAGCCGTGAAGATGCTTGAGATGCACAATCCCGGGGGTCGGGTTACAGAAGAGGCGGCAACCACCATGGTGGATCGCACCGACCCGACTGCGGAAGAAGAGGCTGATTTTGCCGCTGAAAAGCGAATCGCCCTGCCAGCGCAAGTAACGCTGCGTGAAGATGACATCGCGCCCTACCACCGAAACGAAAGTGAATCTGCGCCGTGGGGAATTTCTGCCTGGATAAGCAATCCGTTAGGTTTGTGGTAATGAGGCGATTTCCGCACGCATCGATTTGCGAACCTGAGCGAGCAGCTGGCGGTGCCACGAACCATAAATTCATATCGAAAATGATCTGAAAAAGACCGGACGAGAAACTAAAGGCGTGCATCCTAATATAGTGCGGTCAGCATCAAACATTGCTACACTAGCACAACTACGTACAAGAGTACGCTTAGAAATGCAAATAATTGAATGCTACCTGACTTGAGATTCAATTCGAACTACAGTATGTGCTTTCATTTGTGGCTTAGATTCATGTAAATGAGCTAGTGCGCAGTTTTACACGAGTTGCAGCTTGCACAACTAAGAGAGGCCTGATCATAATGTCGCGAGCAGAGGCGGCGCTTTTTATGGTTATCCTTTCTGAAAATTACAATAAAGCTAGTATCACGCGGCGTTGCCGCCACTAGTTGTTTGCACATCTCTTGAAATACACTAGCAGCTGCAAGTGCTTCGGCGCATGATTTTGCTAAAGCTCCTAGAGGCTTGTATGCAGCATCTGCGTACCAGAACAAAACCAAACTGATTTTAGTGGGTGTGCCGCTTTTTTTACAACCTATGGAGCCTTGTATAAAATTTATGACCGGGCAACAGCAGTCGCGCGAGCCTGTGAGTCGGGGCTGAGGTTGGTCGGTCGATATTTTATACGGCCCCAGCCTCGACCCGATATCTTACTCGGTAGCCAGATCCTAGATATGACAGTGACAGGGGCCAGGCCTCCGGGCTTGAAGTTTTTCCCCTCGTTTTTGTCATTCTGGGATCCAGGGAGTAACGCCCCTGCCGATGGTAGTCAGTTGTTTTCTGGCCGATGTTGACGGCCGTTTGGGTAGGGAGAGGAGCCTTTCCGCCCTCGATCTACAGTTGTTTCTCTCTCTGTGAAGTAGGCTGCCTTCTGCGTCTACTTTACGTCCTGGCGCGGTGTGTGAGGCCTTTTGCCCGCACTGCGAGTTGTTTGGTCTGCTGTCGTGATGACGGCGCTTTGATGCGCGTCTGTCCATCTGGCGCTGATCCTGGTCCGACTGACTGGCGTGACTTCGGCTCTGTGGCACTGGCGGTTTGAATCCGTTAAACCTAAGAGAGGAGAAACGTGAGGCGGTAGGCCCCGGGGTTTGTGGTTGGTATATGTCTACGCTGTGGAGCTGTGTCACGCGAGTCGCGGACTAGGGTCAGCGCGGTGGTGTATGTGTGTCCCGTTCATCTCTGGGTCGAAATATGACCGCACTCATGTTCTGCAAATGTGGCGCCATCTGGGCGGGTTCCTCTCTATTTCTCCGTGGTCGAAATCGAAAATGGGTGCTCTGGGTCTTCTGTGGTTCTGATCATATGTTGCTCGCTCTTAAATCGACACTCCCACGGGAAGAAATGTCCTGGCGTGTCTTCCAGATCTGTTAGTAGTTTCGCCTGGGGAGTTGAGGAGCGGCTCTTGCCCTTGTCCTCACTGTTTCCTCCTCCCATCCATCCGTCACAGGGACCTTGACACCTTTGGGTGAGTATTTTCGTGTACTTCGAGCAAAGCGCATCTTCTTTGGGTGCCATCCTTTTCGCTAAAATGTCTGATATTGAAGGGCAAAACCATGGGGGCCAGCAGCAGCAGCCCCAGCAGCAGCTGCAGAATGCGGAGCAGTTAGAGATGATGGGGAAGCTTTTCGCGAAGGGCTTCGAAACGATGGCGAAGGAAGAGAAGAAAGTTAGTGCCCTGGCGGCACAGATGGGGGTGTCTCCTGACATCATCTGCTCCGCTTCTTTGTTCTCCAAGCTGCACAAGGCCGTTCTCGACATGGACCTTGCGGGCTTGCCGCTGAAGACCGTTCGCTGTGTTTTCCAGATGCTCACCGTTGTCCTTTTTGTTGCGGAGCGCGACGTGCGGGCTGTCAATTCCTTCGGCCTGTCCTGGGTTTTCCGTTTTGGACTGAGCGCGCAGGCCTTCGAGATCTTTGCCAAGGTTTGGGCGCGGGGCGCCAAGACTTTGAGCGCCGCGGGCGACTATGAAGGGAGCGGCAACCCGAGCGAGGGCCCCAAGGCCTACGCGTTAAAGGTTTGGGAGTGGTTTCAGGGTGTTTGCTTTTCCCGCATGGATTCCGTAACCACCGAACAAGAGGACGGCGGCCGTTCGAAACGCCAGCGGGCGGGAGCGGATTCCGCTCCGGCCGGCCCCTGCGCGATCTTCTTGCAGCATGGAAATTGCTCGCGTCGTGGGTGTTCCTACTCCCATGCCGCCCCGGAGTCCTTGGAGCAGCTTCGGGAGGTTGTGCAGCGCTTTGGGTGGCGTTTCGATCCTGCCCGGGCGTGGGATGTTCATCAGGGGAAGACCGGCAGCAGCAGCAGCAGCGCCGGCGCGGGAGTCGATAAGAAGTAAGGGCGCCGCTCTCCGTTCCGGGTCTGTGTTCTGTGTAGATTTTTCGGGTGGGTTTCCCACGGCTCGCGCTGTGGCGCACATTACTTCTTTTACAACATTTGATGTTGATGTAGGCCTGCTCGGTACACGATTGCTTCTTCTTTTTCTGCTCGTTCCTTCGACATGTGTGTCGACGAGATCACGCTGGGACTCCGCACATGCTGTTCTTGCGTCTGTGCCAGACCCCGTCTGTGTTTGCGCTCGGTCACGCCCTTCTTGCCGTCTGCGTTTTGATATGATCAGCATCTGCTGGCGTATCGGTCTCTCGTGGTGCTGTCGTCACTTCCGCCTCCTCTTCGATGGGGCACTTGTTGTTACCCAAATTCATCTACGCGTGTGCACTTGCGGGTTCTTTGGGTTGCTTCGTCGCGTTGCGTCTCCGTCGGTGGGGCAGGTGCTCATCTCGTGGGCGCCCGCTCTACGGGGCGACGACGACTCCATGCGAGTCATTGATCATCCCATAGGATGATCTCCCCGCGGTAGATGTATAAAATAAACGCCAATAGCGACTCAACAAGTTTGTAGTTAGCACCCTCTACACTAGTTCTAATAGCTAAAGGCAAACAAAGATTGGTATCGTGCTTCCGCTTGGGTGGATCTCTTGCGATTTCGGCTGCAACAAAACAACAACATCTTTTTTTGTTTTCATGTCGCGAAGTTACCTCATATTTAGTACAGTTCGAGAATTCAGGACTTCACTTGAGACTTGTATATGTCCACCATGTCTGCTTGTTAATGTCAATATGCTCATTCGCTATCGCTTCATCATTCTCGCGCACAATCAACCGAACGGAAGGCGGAAGCAAATCGCCCCCGGGTATTGAAGCGCACACGCTTGGCCGTTTGTGTCTTTGTAGACGCGGCGACATCATTGTAAATAGCAGTTTGCAGCATCGTTGTGGTCTTAGTCTCGTTTGACACTTTTTTTGCCTGTTGAGTCGGAGTCTTAGAGAGGGCACAAAACGCACTGACAGCTATTTCAGATTGTCCTACTTTGAGAGGTGATGTACTACAGAGTTTTCGCACGGAGGAGCTACAACTAGTAAAGCAGCCGCAGCTGGTCGTTTGTTTGGTCTAACCAAAGTATGTCGGGCGTTTGTACTACTGCTCTGCGCTCGGCGCGTGGTTCTTCTTGTGGCGCCGATGCTTCCTGGTCTACTGCATGTTTGTATGCTGCGACGCGGCATGCACAGGCACAGAAACTCCTCATTGGAAGCGGCGCCAGTTCCAGTTCGACATCGTTAAAGCCAGTGTACCAAAAACGCCCACTGGCATCACTGGCGCTACGCTGTCGCAGCTATCCCGCCTACCATGTATCGTCCCTACGACCGGAAATTCTTCTGTCCGCCAGGTCGTGGAACCGTGCGATCCAAACCTATCGTGCAAGCAGTAGGCAGCGGCTTCTTTCTATTGGGATGACGAGGCCGCGCTACCTGAACACGGAGAACGTCGCCCCCGGGCTCGGCGCGGATTCCATTACGCCAAAGGGGCACACGCATCGCGAGAACCGCAACCGCCTCGTCGGCCCGGCGTATTTCACGTACCACGGTGCTGCCTTCACCCTGTTTTTCGGGTTCGGAATGTGGTGGTTCTTGGACTACTTGAGCAAAAACATGGCCAAGCGGCAGCGGGCGGCCATTGTCGAGCAGGAATCTATCGGGACGCCGAAACTCGGCGGACCTTGGACGTTGTACAATAGGCAGGGGAAGCTGGTACTCGTTCGCACTGCGGAGTGTAAGATGTTTCAGGACCACCACGGGCTGGGGCTAACAGCTCTCTTCGTGTCAAAAGTCGTGTAACCCTTACCGACATCATTCTTATGTCACTACTTTCCTCGCCTCCACAACAGGTGACAGACGCGGATTTTCGTGGCAAATACCAGCTGATATACTTCGGATTCACTTTCTGCCCGGACATCTGCCCAGAGGAAATGGAAAAGCAAGGAATGGTGATAGAAAAGCTGGATAAAATGTTTGGCGCGGAGCTCGTGGAACCGATCTTCATTTCAGTGGACCCCGGAAGGGACACTGTCGCACAGGTTTTTTTTGATAGTTGCTGTGTGCACAACTTTCTGGTCTTTTAGTTCTTTTTCGAAACAGAAAGAAACAGAGTGGATACTTATGCGCCAAGGATGTTGAGCACGATTAATTTATGGGGGATCATGTGCAGAGGTCGTTTCCACTCCAGGTCGACACCTACTGCTCGGAGTTCCACAAACGCCTGCAGGGCTTAACCGGCTCCCCGGAGCAGGTTAAAAAGGTCACGCGTGCCTTTAGAGTGTACTACAACGAGGGGATAAGGGCAGACGGAGAGGATTACCTGGTCGATCACAGCATCATCCAGTATCTGATGGACCGGAACGGAAAATTTGTCGACTTCTTCGGGAAAAATATGACAGTCGGGGAGATCGTGTCGAAAATCTCCGCCCAGATTCTGATCGACCAGGGGAAGTTTCAGGACAAAAAGTACGCTACGGGGAATGGGAACGCAGAGCCGGAAGGAGTTGTTGCGAAGGCGTGACGAAGGGCTCTTGGAGGAACGTGCCTCATACTTGGGCACGTAGACGACCGCAACTGCCCCACGGCCGCGGGGCTCAACGAGGAATAAGTAGCAGAGGAGCAAAGGATGAGTCAAATAGGTGAGACACACCGGCTCGCCACGGCAGAGGCATTCCAAAGAACAGATCAGAGATCGTGAGTTGCGAAGATCGAAGTGCGCACGTGTTGCGGTCTATGTGGAATTTTGATATGCATTTGAACATGTGGCAGGATTACCTACCAAACTACGACGTTGGTGTCGGCGCTTATTTGGATGGTTTAGTGATCATGCCCTTGGCACAAGCTCGTTCAGCTATTGCTTGACTTTTAGATCAGTGACCTAGGATCGTTGACTGCGAAAGCAGGCTCATCACGTTCATAAAAGGAGCCGGAGAGCCTATTGAGCGTATCGATCTCATTGGGATGAAAAATTTAAAGATCCTCGATACAACATAAATCCTGACGTAGATGATCGAAATGTCGGAGCTATTGCTCTTCATTTGCCACTGCATGTCCCCAAATCTGATCGTCTCGTGAAGTCGCTCTGACACAAGAGAAGTTCCTAAATTCCTGTCTTGTGATGGCAGTGGATCCGAACCAAGATCTCCGTGATCCTGTGAAATGTTGCGTTTGCAGCCCGCTGTAGAGTCGGCTCCTGACGGAGAATGATCTGAACGGAAATCCATAGGGAAGTCCTAAACTTTAATTTGGGCTAGAATCACATCGAGAAGACTGCGTACTAACGAAGATTGCTGCCTTATATTGCTACGATTTTCGACATTATTCTTACAGGGACCGGGGGTATTTAGGCTCTATCCTCACTCAGTATCCTTAATTGTACAAAAGATGGTGCGTGTGAACAAGATCAAGCTGAACCAGGTGGTCAGCAAGGCCAAGAGCGTGCGTAAGGCCGCCAAGAACAAGCCGCAGAAGCTCCGCAAGTCTCTGACTCCGGGCACCATCGCCATTGCCCTCACGGGGCAGTTCCGCGGCTCCCGCGTCGTCGTGCTGAAGCAGCTCGAGAAGAGCGGTACTTGTTGTTTGGTTTTTGTAGACACTGAAATGGCAGAGGCAGCAGACACGCATGAGCGATGTGGTATTGGTGCATGACATAGTGCCGTTTTTGTTTCTAAATCTAAATTTTCTAAATCCAAAATCTCAGGTTTGTTGTTGGTCACCGGACCTTTCAAGGTCAACGGAATTCCGCTCCGTCGCATGAACGCTCGGTATGTGATCGCCACCTCTACCAAGGTCGATGTCTCCGGCATTGACACCAAGAAGTTCGATGACGCTTACTTCAAGCGTGACGACAAGTCCGGCAAGAAGGGTAAGATTTTTTTGATTGATTTTGGTTCCGCTTTTCTTGGAATTTTGAAAATTGATCGAGCGTCGGTAATGCTGCATATCATAAGTGCAGCTGAAAACTAAACGCAATTTTCTCGCTTTTTCACATCACAGGTGCCGCCGCGTTCCTGGACAAGGGCAAGAAGTCCGAGTTGTCCGCCGCCAAGAAGGCCGACCAGGCTGCTGTCGACGCGAAGATCGTCGCCAAGTTGGACGCCACCATGAAGAAGTACATGAAGTCCAAGTTCGCTCTCTCCAGCGGACAGATGGCACACGAGCTCAAGTTCTAAATGTGGTCATTTAGAGGTGGTCACGACATTGTGTTGCGCAGAAGAAAGAGTGCGGAACTTTTATACTGAGCGCATCTTTTGATTGTTGGACATTGAGGATAATGATGAACTGAGCCCTAGCCAATACCGAAAAATTTTTTCTCGCTTCTTGCGCTCCTCTTCCGTGTCTGTCTCTGCACCGCACGGCATGATGCTGTTCTCTGTTTCGTGAATCTTTGAAGTGCAATTGAGAAATCCTTTCTTGAGGCGGACAGCCGGAGGGGTTTTTTCGAGAGTGTTTTTCGAGTGAAGATAGTGGTACCTCCCACCCTTCTTAGTAAGGGAGGAAAAAAGACTCCATTTTTCTTTACGTCTCAAATCACCGTTGCGGCCAAAGTTGTTTTCCACCGAGAATGTCATGAGCATTACGACCTCTGCTGCCGCGGCTTGACCGACGTGAAGCTTTGCAGCGTGGACTGGGTCAGTAGACCTCGTCCTTTTGCGTAGAGGATGTTGAGACGAACAGCGGCGCGGTTGCGCCACATGCACTACGAGACAATCAACCCCGCGAACGGATACGAGAGGGTCCCGAACAACATGTACCGTGTTTTAGCATTGCAGAAATGAAATGATTTCTTTCGGTGAATGTGGCAGCTGCAAGAAGACTTCAGTATTATTTTTCTTCCCCGAAAAATACCGCAGACACAACGGCGCCGTGGCAGCGCCCATGTGGCCAACCAAAGTTCTGGCGCACGAAATGGAAAAGGGAATGTATCTGAGGGGCAGTGGGATATGGGGGCCCGAGCACACCGCGGTTACCCGGCTCATTTTGTAATACTTTTGGATTTCCTTTCAGCCCTGCTTGATTTAAAAAAAAGAAAAATGTGTAAGTACTCAGAGGACTCATCTGCCCGTGTCCTACATGCAGTCATGCTCCCTCCCTCTCACCAGGTACAATCGTTTGAAGCATTGGCGACCGCAGCGTGAGATGCCAGCTTTAGAAGATGAACAGGACGAGTACGAGATGGATGTCGCCTGTATGTGGTTGACCAGCTTCGGCTGCGTTTTTGGCATGTTCATGTACATGCGCGGGTGGTGCGTCAAGTACAGTTTCGTTTGCTGTTTTTTTTCTTGTTTCATGGATTGGTGTGCGATATCATGTACATTCGTTTGCGTATCGAGACTCTTTCGACACTGGTTGCACATCAACAAATCAGATACCAGACCGTGCATGACGCCTACCCATGGAACACAGCGCGTATGGACGGCACAAGAGGTAGTGGTAACGTGCTCTGGATGCTTGAGTGAGGACATTCCGATTCCGTCTCGCGCAACCGTAGGATACTGCAAAACATAAATACTTGAAGTACCTGCTTACTGTACATACATCAGATTTTGTTTCCAACGAACGTTGCTCGCGCCTGCTTGAGTTTTTGACATCAGTAGAGTTCAGATGTCCCTGGCTTGCAAACCAAAAGTCGGTCCAGGAGCTTTTTCGAGCGACAATAATAACTAGAAAAAGTTTTCTCACGCGCTCATGTCCTACTTGGCGATCTTCGATCTAAAGATTTAGCTTAATATCCGGAACGCACAGGTCTCTTCGGAACATCGCCCATGAAAATGGGATCCCCTGATTTTGCTCGGTGTAGCTTTTCCCTTTAGAAATACAAATCTGAGTTGTTCCCTAAATTTTCACACCGACTACCTGTTTTCGTGCCTTTCGAAAGTTCATTGTCAAGGTTTGCCTTAGCCCACCCGTAGCGATTTCAAAACACCATGTCTGGATCTTCCTCGCAGCTGGTCCGCAGCTGGAACTCGCTGGCGCGAATTGTCGCGAGCGCGTACCAGGTACCAGATGGCGTGAACGGGACTACCAATGCCCACGCGACGGCGCGCTTGTTCGGGCAGAAGCAGCCACGGGTGGTGCTGTTTCGCGACAACCACGCCTGGTGTCCCTACTGCCAAAAGGTGTGGCTGTGGCTCGAGGAGAAGCGAGTGCCCTACGAAGTGCGAAAAGTTACCATGTTCTGCTACGGTGCGAAAGAGCCGTGGTATAAAAAAATCGTTCCTTCTGGGATGCTTCCGGCCCTCGCGTTTGTCGACGTTTCTGACGCGAAGAAGATCACGCATCTTGTCACTGACTCGGATGACGTGCTACAGGAACTGGAAGAGGAATTCGGGGCGCTGAATAATGCGAGCCTCACTAGTCCGGCAATTATCGCCTGTCGGAAGCTCGAGCGTATGCTGTTTCGCGCCTGGTGCGACTGGCTGTGTAATCCGTACGCCCCGGATCGGGAAGCGAGGCAGAACTTTCAAGGTGTTTGTGGAAAGGTCGAAGCGCACATGGCAAAGAGCAACGGTCCCTACTTCGCAGGCGATAGCTTCACCGTCGCGGACTGTGTGATCGCACCATTTTTGGAGCGGATGTGCGCGAGCCTGTATTACTACAAGGGCTTTCAGCTGCGGAAAGAGCATCCGATTTTGGACAAGTGGTGCTCTGCGATGGAGACGCGAGAGGTGTACCGCGGAACGAAATCGGATTTCCACACGCACGTCCACGATCTGCCGCCGCAATTAGGGGGTTGTCATCCGAACGCAAATGCGAAAATCCACCCGGTGAATGGTGCCGCGAGCGACGCGGACGCTATCCCGGAGGGCGTTGAGGTGAGGTCGGACTGCTTCCCCGAGCCTGCTGACGTGCGACTGGAAATTCTGTACCGCGTCCTGCGGCACCGAGAAAAGGTAGCTGGTGCGAATCCTTATGGAAAGTCGGAAGCGTTTGATCTTGCCATGCGGGCCGTCTTGTCCAGGCTGGTAGAAGAGCACGCAGCGCGGGAACCGTGCCAACAGGTACAAAGAGTTGTGATTGGTCTTCCGTTTTTATTGTCCCAAGTTTAAATTCACGAACTGTAGCATGATGAGTCCCTTTTGTTACAAGTCTTCGAAGTTCGCTGATCAACTTTGATGACTAACACAAAGAAATTGCGCATGGGTTCTGACACATCAAAAGTGTCGTTTTTCCTGATCTCAGTACAAATTATACGCCAGCGCTTGAAAGGATGAGACAAATTGTTTCTGGTCTTCAAAGTTCACTGACTTCTGATGACCAAAACATACAAACCTTCCCTCTGAAAGAGCTGGCAAATGTCGATGACACTCTCAGCAGTGTAAACTAGGTTTCCGCACTGCCCTCCTCTGATGAAAATAGTTGTTTTTGGTCTTCAAAGTTCTCTGATGTTTCTCTGATGACCAAAACACATAAACCTTCCCTCTGATGACTTTGAATGACGGTCCGACAAGCTGATGTGCTAGAATCTGGTTCAAGAACGAAATGCAAATGTTTTAGGAAGAGACCTCAACTTCAAAAATCACAGATCGTGGACCTGATCAGGGAGCGAGATCCTGAAGCGGTCCAAATTGATCGTCTTCCTCCGAACAGCGCACGGGCCTTGCGCTACGTGCGGGATCGCGTCTCCATCCCCCGCGACATGTCTTTCTGGGCCGGACGCAAGTTTCGGCACGCGCTGGAACAAGTGGCAAGGGATCTAGGAAACCCGGAAGAAACTTGTGAACACCCGATTCCGGTCGAGCACCGCCGGGATACGGACCCGAAACGATTCCGCGTCTCCGTAAGTGTGATGTGACTGGCGGAGTAGTTGCAATTTCCAGGTAAGAGTAATAGCCTTGCAAATCGGAGCTTCTGAACTGCTGGAAAAGCGAAAAAACCAAGATTTGTGTGCAGAAAAAGTGAAGTTTACTACCAAGTAACGTGTACACCTCAAATGGGTGGCATCAAATGAATCGAACAGCCATGATTCGCTGTGCGATAGTTCACATGCGAAATACATGTTAAAACAGAAAGGTTTTTGACTTCTCGAGCATCGACTACATATCGCGCTCTTTGTACTAATCTTATGAATGTGTGTGTGTCTGTGTGTTCCGGTTTGGCTCGTCTGCACAGCAGAAAGAATCTGGATCAGCGCGTCGTGGCGTGTACGCTTTCGAATCGTTCGCAGCATCTTCGCCAACCGAAATAAAGCCGACGTCGTTTTGGTCGCTTGGAATGCACTCTTCGTCGTCGTGGTTGTTTCATAAGGGAGGCACTACTTTTTCATTTCGTAGGGTCGTCCTCGCCACATTGAAACTCCTTTCAGAAGTCGGCTTCGTAATCGTATTCGTGTAAGGACGAGGTGTAGGTTGTCGCTTCCGCAGTATCGAACTCGCACAGTATGGTAGATCGCATTTCTGTTCGCAAAAAATAGGAGGACACACTAGCATTTCCTGTTTTCTGTTTACCACACCTGAGTCGGGCATCAGCATCAAAAGGATGTGGTAGAAGTTGCGAATTTGCTTCAGTTCCCTATATCAACAGTACAACAAACTCAAGCAACATAAAACGATTCGCAGCTTGATTATCATGTCGCTGGTTGCAAAATCCGTCCTCGTGCTTCAGGTTGCGCTCTACTGGAGCCATGCAACTCCCGACGGCACCACCTCCAAAAGGAGGAAAGCGGGGACGTCGCGCAGACCTCTCACGGCCGAGAAGGAGGTTCTGAGGTCGCAGTGGAAGTTGTACTCCGAGGTGGTCGAGCCGGCCCTGAAACTATCCATCGGAGGCGGAATGCGAAAGCGCGCCGAAGTGGAGCCCGACCGACCGATGTTCGGGATTGCGTCCGAGGCCCACCCGGAGGTCGGTGTGAAGTGGTACCGAGCCGGGCAGGTGATTGCAGCAGCCGACGCTGTGCTGAACACGCTATTGGATGACGAGTTTTTCCACATGGAAGCGTTGCAGGCGGTCGAAAAGAACAACCATCTTCACGAAACTACATCTATCCCGATTCAACCCGCTTACAAGGCAACGAACCGCAGCGAAGAGACGTTGCTGATGTCGTTTGGGACTCTGAAGGACTTGCGAAACATGGCCGTTTTTTACGCCGCGGAGCTCGGTGATTTGAGCCAGTGGTTCGTGTTGAATTACATGAACCTGTGCGACGCCGTGTGGCGCACCGGAGTGGAGCTTCACAACTTTCGGCAAATCGTCTTATTCCTACCAACAGTTCGAGAGGCAGAAGAAGTGCAGCAGTGTGCGGAAATTTTTTATCATGCGGATCCAAGGAAAAATAAGCCGCAGATCAACTTGTTTATCGTGATCATGCGAGACCACGAAGAAGAGAAACAGGGACAGGACAACAAGCGGCTCTCTCGACCACCATCCAATGTGCGTCTGCACGTGACGCTCTGGAGAAACCTTTTCGCAGAGGTTGATGCCGCGTGGCAAAAGCAACACCCCACAACTCTGCTCCCTACGTGGCTCCACGCGCACCCCCCCTGCACAAACGACTTCGCTAACGACACTGCCACGGCGTGCAAGTCCATCATCCTGAACCCGCGACTGGGCGCCAACAACCTCGCCGCCGGGATCCTGACCGAACGGCAGAAAGACAACCAGCAGTGGATCGACACGACGATGGCGACCTTCACCGACGCAGCAATGTACCACCGAAATTGGCTGCCGGTTTGGTGGCTGCCCTTCCCACTCTCCTCGGGCGACACGAACGCCGTTCTGTCGACCAATTTCGCGATCGGCAAGCCGGCGGTGTTCTTCACCTCCAGCTTCTATCGCTTGTCGGTGATTGATGTCAATTACCGCTGGGATTACGAAAACGCAGGGAGAATTCGGGGCTTTCTGATGCCCGAGCCGGCCGCTGTGCATGAAACGTCTGGCACCAGCCCCGTGCTGAAGAAGATGAAGTCGATCTTGACAAATTACAAAAAGCAGGACTCGTTACTTAGTTTCACCCCGTACGAGGACGCCCTGATGGACATTTACTCCATTGGCCGACGGCAAGCAACGCCCTCACGGCGGCCGGGCAGCCCGCGGCGGCATTTGCCACAGTACATGGCGTTGGGGGATTTCGCGCAAGCAAGAATTTTGTCGGCGTCAGCCGTCCAGATCGACACACTGCAGCACGACTACCTGCTGGAAAAGGCCCACGCGGAGTTTCTAGACCGAGAGGACGACGAGCGGAGAAAGCTCAGTAGTGGTGGAACATCAAGTGCTACTGGAACAAATGTCACTTCTGAACAACAAGCGAGTGAAGACGAACTGATCGATGGGAAGAATTTCCACGAGGCGACGCAATTGTTCACTGCTAAGTGGCAGTATCATTGGCACCTTTGCGCGCTCGGCGGAGGCATGCCGCAACTTGTGCACCACGTCTGGCTTGTGGCGAAGAACGTGTGTCAGCTGATCCTGCACAGCTGGGGTTCCTACGAGCAGCAGCGGATTGGGAACGCCGCAACACCCCGCATCCACCGCATGGCGCCGAACGTGAAGCGCGTGGCGATCGAGCCCTGGCGGGGGTACGGAGGTTGGGAACAGGGAGATAAAAATGACACATCAACATCAAGTCAAGACGACAAGATCATCGGCCGCTTGCTCCTTGATACGGGGATTGCGGGGGGAAATCCGGACAACCTCGTGCGGGACTTGCGGAACGTGTCGTGGATGATACCGAGAACGGGCTTTCAACAGGAGGAGGGCGCACTTGATAAAAATCATGCTCAGGAAGAACAGTCCCAAGAAAACACTACAAGCAAAAATGAAACCACGACGCTTTTCCGGACCAACAACGTTGTTGAGATCTTGCCCAGAGAGAGGCTTCCGGCCGCCTTGCGGTCGGACATTGCCGCAGTGCCAGTTCCCGGGCAAGCAGACTGGCGGGACCACTTTTACGTGAAACTGATCGACAAAGCAAGCGGACAATTTCAGATCAGGAACGACACGCTCTGGGTGCGGGCGGGCTTAATTGAGGACCGCATCTCGAGCTTCAACCTCGCTGGGAATGAAGACGAAGTAGAAGAAATGCTGGCAGCGGAAAAAGAGCGTGAAGACCACCCGCAGTCTGATCTCGCAAGTGACCAGACCGACAACCAAGATCAGGCCAAAAATGGTGTAGTTGCAAAAGATGTTGAAGAAGTAGAAAGCGACCAGCTCGAGAAATCAGCTATGTCCAAGTTCCTGATCGAGAACGCAGTTGTTTTCGGCTCGGGTAACACGAATGGAATCGTTGCTGTCATCTGGCCATCGATCCAGGGCTGGGAGGTGCACGCGAAACTTCTCGAGAACAAATGTGTCGATCGCGAGAAGTTCTGGCTTAAATACGTGCAGACCGCGGTGGCCCGGGGTGACAAAAGTTTTCCTTCGCACGAGATCCCCATCGCGGTGGCGATTTCTTCGGAGCCTTGGGAGTACCGCCCGCGGACGAAGCTGCGAGAGGCGCTGCGCATGGCATTTTTTGGCATCGCGAACAAGGCGCTGCCAGAAAGCGTCGACTACTCGGAGTTGCCGTTGAAGAAGGCGAAAAGCATTTCAAGCGCTACTGAAGGCGCGACTTCATCATCATTCTGGCCAGTTTCGGCACTGGACGACGAAGGCACAAAGTCGCACACACCAGAACTACAGATGGGCCTCGTGGGACAGCCGATCTTCCAGGACCGCTTCGGATCCTTCGACCGGTTTTTTGCGTATCCGATCGCGCGCTTGCAGAACACCGACGCAGCGGCACTGGCCTACAGGTCCTGGTTCGATCTGGTTTCGGTTCGGGCGACCCTCCGAAAGGAGGTGGCGGAGTTTTGGAACGATGCGAAGCAATTCCATTTTGTGCAGGAACGAATCGGCACCGTGTGCAACGTCTACCACGAAGAGCACGCGATGCTGTGCACGAAGCACACCTCTGCGCTGAACAAGGAGAAGAACGCTGAGGCTAAAGACCAGGGTTCTTTCGATGAGGACCCGGCGCCTTTTACCGAAGTAGCTGCCCGCACCTTTGTCGTCGACGCGTTGCTGGGCTGCGTTCCAGCAGGAGCAGAAAGAAAGTTCTCTTTTAGCTCTTGCCTTTTGCGAGACTCCAGCGAAATTGGGCTATTGCGGGAGCCGCACCGGACGGGCAAGCCCGTGACGGCGGAGACCACTACTGCAGACCGACTCGAGCGGCTCGACGAGGTACCATTTCACTTCTGGGATCTGTTGGGAGGCGGAGACAGCAAGATTGAAAATCGGAACAAGGGAGCACTCGCAAATTCGTTTTCGTACCTGCAGAAGGTGCAGACGTTAGACGCTGCTGGTCGGCTCCTCTTCTTGACTGCGGTCCAGGACGAAATCGAGTTTCTGTACGAGACGAAGGACGTCTGGTTGGAGGTTATTCCGCTGAAGATTCCGAGCCTCGGCCGCCTTTACCGCCTCGGCGAGGCGGTGCGCATCCGTCTGGAAAACGCGCGCCGACTCTTTGCAGCTGGTAGTGTAATTGGGGCCGCGAAGACCACAAGTGAGTCGACCAGGATTTTGGGACAGACGAAGCAATTTCTGTTGAGCAGTTTACTCGAGGATGATCATGGTCATCCACGAGGCCAGCATGAGGACCAAGAAAACAAAAGAGCGGCTCAAGTAGGGCTGTACAAGAAAATCATGAAACTCTGTTACCCTGAATGGCATCCACGCACGGAGAAAATTATCGCCAAATCTTCGGGTACAGTCCGTGGTCAGAGATCAGGTGTAGAGAAAGTGAACAGCACGACCGGCAAAAACAACATGACAAATAGCACTTCTGCAGCCACTTCGCGTGAGGACCAACAGCTGCAGCGGGTTTTCCAGCTGCGCTACGAAAGTTTCGATGTGGAGAACGGAGAGTACCGGAAGCAAACGGCGCGCATAGTCGACGAACATCCTTTTGGCAGCACGGAACCCGGAGCCACGATTGGCGTCCTTCCCCTGCAAAAGGGCATCGTGTTCGATCGAAGACTGACGAAAAGTAGCAAGGCGGCAGCGGGAAGCAGCGGTCGTTCTAGTGAAGCAGATTCAGAAGCGACCGAAATAGCAAACCAGGCGCGGGATGAATGCACTGCGGCGGGAACGGACGACACGCGATGCGCGGGAGAAGCGAAGAATGCAGACACCATGCACACTGATCACGATGTGCTCGCGGAATTGTGAATGGTTGCTCACAAGAATGCATCATCTCATCGAAAAAGTTTTTAAAAGGAAATCCATCTGCGTTCCATTTATGATGGAGTCACCAAGTGTAAAATGTACCGACTTTCAACTTTCTTGTTGAACTTGAATTGTACGAAGAAATTTTTGTAGATCTTCTCTGCCTGTGTAAGATGCAAAAGATGACAACCAAAAGTAGAGGAAAGAAGAACAGTGATGATCCTGTGCTGAGGCCACTTACGCAATTGATCCCAGGCAAGTCCTCTTGTGAATGAAGAAATCCACCTGCTGCTGCCGCTGGCATTGAAAAAAGATTGTTCAGCCAGAGGACCTCTAAGGACTTTGTAACTGTGATCTTCATCGGATCGTGAAACAAAGCTCCTCCTGGTTCGTTGCCGATCTTGTTTTGGTGGATCCATGCTAGTTCAACGCAAAACCGGAGCAAGCAACGCGAAAATTGCTGCAGGTCTGCGGCTACGAAAATTGGCGCGCACTCTAATTTCTATATGCTCATCGTTTTTTTCATAGCGGCCAATCTGTTTCTCATATTCGTGTGTCTTTTGAAATTGCCTCCCGAGTAGTAAGGTTAGTTTAATACAGAAGATGGGTGGTGTTCCTCGACGCTAACGGTGAAAGATTTTCGAACCTCAGCAACATCACCACCGTGAAGCAAATTTCATTTCATAATCAATCTTGCTCGACTGCGTTTGGGAAATACGAAGAAAAGTACATGACTTTACTGAGCAACAGCTTCCGGGCAATTCGTCATTTTGGAAAACAGCAGTCCGAGTGAAACAAAAGGGCGGCTGCCGGGGCCAGCGAAACAACAAAGAAGCAATCACAATCGACACGGCAAGAAGCTCCGCATCCGCATGCAGTAAGTAAAGACACAGAGGCTGCCAAGAATGCGGGCTTTATTCTACTGGAACGTACTGCGGAGCCTGGTGTGGCCGATACTGTTCGCCGTCCTGTGGTCTGCCACGATATCCGGAACGCGGAACACACTAGTAGCATGCCTCTGCCTCATATGGGTGCTTTTTGCACGGGCTGCACTGGTATAAAGATGTGCTGTTGTGTTGAGGGTCGTGGCAATGAATGTTCACGTTAGTGGCTATGCATGGCTGGAACAAATTCAAATTGACCTGAATCGATAGTGACGTGCCCTGAATCGATTGCGACGTGCATTGCCGTACTTGAAATCAAAAGTTATTGCATACGAATACTGTACAGGTGCGCTCTAAGAAGAGCTACTCTCCTTCCTCCGCTCCCTGGGCCGTGCTGTATCGATGGTGGTGCGACCAGAAGCGACACTGGGCTTTTGTCGGCGTCTTTTCCGTGCTGGTGATGCTGTGCGTCGACGACGAGCTGAGCACTTATGATTTCTTTTCATCACATCCTACCAGTCAGCAAAACCAAGAAGTAAGTTGGAAAATACCGTCCACGCTGCTCGACCCAGCCTCGAATTTCGCGTATTTCACTCTGTGGCCGACAACCGTGACTCCAGGCTCTGTTGGAACCGACGGCACCGCTGCAGCACCGCATTATCGGGTCTTCCCGGAGGATGGAATAAAGAGGAGAAAGGCCACAACCCCCAGCGACGAGGAGGATGATGACGCCGTTCTCGCCCGGCTCTGGAAGGACGATCCGCGGCTGGCCGCGATCGCAACCGGGAATCGAAAGAAAACCGACAGCGTGCTCGCCGGCGCCGCTCCGGGCGGGGATTTCGCGCCCGCTGCAGGAGGCACAAGAGCAAACAGTGCGACGTCTTCCGGGCTGTTTACCCTGTGGTCGCTGATCGTAGGACTCCTCTACGTCCCGACACTGCTCCTGACTCTACTGTACGACGTGAATATCTTCTTCTGGGTCACACTCATCCACTTCCTGTACCGATTTCTGCTGGGGAAGCAGTACCTGCTCCGCTTCGGGTCCAAGCCCGCACTGTTCTCGCGATTAAGGACGGAATTCCCCGCGATGTTGCTGGTGTCGATGAAGATAGCAGCAGTTGGGGCTGTGCTGTCCCGGGACCTGTGGAGGTATCTATTACATTTGACTGTTGTGTCATGAAGATTCATTTCGTCTGCGAATGAGAATGACGGCGCTTGTGCTGCCACAGCACCGCATCTGCTTCTTTTCCCATGGAATCTTCAACTACTCGCTCAGGTTTATCCCAGCCGTGGTCCTGTCAGTGATTTTCGAATTGCAGGCCCTGTCCTTTCAGGAGCTAGGCGACATCGCGCGATGCTTCATTGGGCTTGAACCAACCATTGCGGGGCAGCAGCGCCTCCTCAGCGCGCTCCAAAACGGCGACGAATTCGAGGCAGAGCTGGCGTTGGTCTTTCTCTCGCAGGTTCCCCGCGTTCTGCCCGCGTGGACAGAAACCCTGTTTCGGGAACGCAGCATCCTGCAAACCTATTTTGGACACGTGCGGACGGCAGCGATTGTCGCAGCTAAGAAGGTGAGTTGGAAATATCTTGAACTTCTCTAAATGTGTTGTCACGCCGCGGCCATAGTAAGTAGAAGTACTCACAGCGCAGAGCACTGGCGAAGAATAGGCGAGGCTAACTTCTGCAGCACGATTATGACCAGATCAAAAAATCAAATTCAGGTCCATACAAATCGCGATTACGCAGGCTTGCATTCGCAGGCGTTTGTGCTTGAGCGAGGCATTCGCGGAATGGGCGAGTTTGTGGCGCTGAGCAAAACCATGGACTACAAAGGTACTACTGCCTGCTGCATGTATGAGATGATGCTGTCACAGTGGCATGATTTTCTACTGACGTTTCTACCGCATCTGAATGAAAACGAAGAGTGCCCAAAAAGAACATCCAACAACCATCAACGTAGGTGGCCTGATAAACCTTTCCGAGTGCGTTGCGAGCTGGTGCGATTTGCTGGAAGTCCTGATCAACGCAATTCAGACGTTCCCGACGTACCGGTCGCACACCTGGGATAATTCTCTCGAATTACTCTTCGTGCTGGAGAAAGTCGCGCAAGAAACGCAGCTGACTCTCACCCAGCAGATTGAGACCTACGGGGAGTCTACGGTGAGGGATCACTGGCCGCGGAAGCACGCACGGATGCTGGCGATGCTGCTCGGGGAGACAGAGTACCCGCTGTCCTTCTTCAATTTGAAGCGCGACGCCGGCAAGAACATGGTTAACCTGAGCTCTTTGCGGACAAGCAGCTACTTCCACAGCAGTGTACCAGTTGCAGCCTCACCGTTGGGCGGGGGAGCAGTTGCAGCCCAATCGCAGCCACCGCAGGCAGCACAGCAGTTTGGAAGTGGCCAACCTCTGACGGGTTTCGGGCCTGCAATGAGCAGCTCAGCGCCATTTCCAGGACCGCAGATGCCGATGAACAGCGCATCAGCAGGTCTCCAGAACAATCAACTACAGCAGCAATTATACCAGCAGGCGGGACCACAAATGAATCACATGCAGCCGTTTCCGCAGCAGAACGCGAGCTACCAACCTAGCACGCCCCTGATGCAGCGACCGTCGGCGTTCCAGCCACAGGCCGGCACGCCGTGGGATCAAGTGAAACAGGGCCTGCGTCGCGGTTTTAACGACCTCTTTGGCGTGCCGCCTTCGCCCATTCTTCGTGGTGGTGCGATACCTCCGAATGCGGGTAGGGAAATGCAGATGCAGCAGGCACAATCAAATAGTCTCTTCGGCGTGAGTACCGGGGGTGTTATGAACTATGCGGGAAGTCCGGGGCCGGCACTTCTACCTCCAGGTAGACAGCACGGCATGCCGAGCTATCGTGACGGCGGCCGAGGATCTGATGGACAACTTCCACAGCAGGGAACCGTGCGCGGGCAGCAGTATGCGGCGCCTTTTGTCCGAACAACCAATAAGGGCACAACTTCGAACAGCCCCGCCTTTCAGCACTATCAGGAGCAGAGGCAGGGTCTCAGCAACCTGCGGACACCAGTGCAGCCGGCCGTTCCCAGGGCAGCTGACACAGAGTACCGCAACATCTTCGGTTCCACAGGCGCACACCCGCAAGCGACGACGAGAATAGACGACAGCTTCATCCTCACCCCGGAACAGCGGCGACAGCAGCAGATGAGCGTTGGTGGACTGCGACAGCGCGCTGCTGCGAACAACAATGCGGGTGGGCTCTTCGGCACACGCACGATGTAGTTAGCAGCTCTCTGTGTAGAGGAAGCCGTCCTCTGCGAGCGTGCAGGAGATCTAAGCACATTCCTCTCCTCACTAAGTTCAGGCTTTCCAAGAAGAAAAAACTAACAGACGACACGCAGTCATGAGTTCAACGCAATGCAGTACAAGTAATGGAGCGCAAGAAATGACACGAAAGACAAAGATTCATAGAGCCGTCAGGCATGCGGTGCGGTGTGTGTGCATCCTCGCGCCGCTCCGTGTTGGTGCGGAAGCTTTTACTGCTAGCGAGAAAAATTTTCGTGTTGATGGAATCAAATCGGTTCGGAAGGTGTACGAAAAAGATCGAAGTGAATTGTGTTGAATTTGAAAAGTGCAGCTGCAACTTCAAGCGCATGATCTCGGTCCTCAAGAAGCTTTTGCACCGGAATCGGTTGTGAAGGTGAAGATCGAAAAGTTCGGTCGCCCCGGGAGGGCCATCCAGCCATGAAACATACATTCCCGATTACAGAAGAGGTGGATCTATGAGGATCAGTCCTTGCTCGTGGCTCTTTGATCCGGATCAGGTCCTGAGAAGATTGTCACGTGACCTATGATTGGTGCAAACCTTTCATGTAAAATTATCTGAATTTGATTCACCACGCTCACGACGGAATTTCTTCCTTCGCGATCCAAAAACGTAAGTACCCTATAGATCTTTTGACGGCAAATAAAACTGCGATGGGTGGAGGAAAGCAGGGAGGTAAGAAAGGCAAGGGGAAAGCGCTAGCCCAATCCGGGTCCAAGCGCTTACGCCCGGAAGGACAAGCGAGTCAGTTTACCTCTGCTACCAGCGGAGTTTATTCCAGCGATGATACGCCGATGACGCCGAGCATGATGGCCGCGATGCTGCGGTCGCAGCGGAGTGCTGCAATGGAGCCGGGATCCGCCCAGCCGCGGGGATCGCGAATCGGAGCCGGATCAGGGAAGGCTCGCGACTGCTGCGGTTGCTAAATTCGGGCTGTTCTTATCCCGGAGGTAGTTCCTCTATGGAGGATATCGCGCGGGAATGAAGACGAGTGAAAAATTACTTTTTAAGAATGTAAGCAAGCACATGGAGGTGGAGATGCTGTGTTTGCCAAAGTTTTTGTGTACTCACATAGGGGACAAATCAGACCAGTTTAGTTTTTGGTAGCTGGTGAATCTAAACCATCCTGTTTGTTTTAGAATTACGTTGTTTCTTCCGTCTATGTGTCTTTTAGGTCCGTTTGTCTTTGCCTTTTGCAGGACGACACCAAATCACAGAGAGTAGAATCACCGACGAGGAGCACACTTTTGCATTGAATAGCCCTGCAAAGAGCTCAATCAGTCTTCTTGTAAAGTCTCAGCTGATGCGGGGAGCGCGTCGTGCCTTCGGCCTAGACGAGACAGCAGTACAATTTTGGCAAAGCTTTTGCAGTGGATAAAGGAATGTTGAAAACATAAAACAGACTCAAACGGCTACCCGCATAGAGAGCGAAAGATCAGACAAATCAAATCTGTTCCTAAAGATATAGAACGATCTGATCTGCATGTGGACATGAATAGCGTAGAAGTGAGAATCGATCCGCCGTGCTCTGCAGTAACAAAAAAAGGTTCCTAGGGTGTTTTGATCCATCATAAGTTCCAAAAGAAATGCTTGAAACTACGGAAAGAGGTTCAAATTATAGAGAGCGATCGTGATGTAGTATGTTGTTGCAGAAATGAAATCAAGTAACGTCAGACGACACAGTGAAGATCCAAATGCTGATCTGGAAGGCGCATGATAGATCGAAAAGACTAGATCTGAGAAAATATGGAGATCTGGTATGCGAGGCTTGAAATCACTCGCACGAGTTCATATGCAAAAAGCTTCTAAATCAAATGCACTTCTTCTAAAACCTCTCTTCATACGATCTCTTACTTTACCTTACAAAACAGGGACAACTAAGGTGGCTGCTAACAAGTCAGCTCTGTTTTTCTCAACCGTAGATTTGTGAATCTCACAACAAAACCACAAGATGGCTCGTGGACCGAAGAGACACATGAAGCGCATGGCTGCGCCGTCCCACTGGATGTTGGACAAATTGACCGGCGTGTGGGCCCCGAAGCCGTCCTCCGGTCCCCACAAGCAGCGTGAGTGCTTGCCGTTGATCGTCTTGCTGCGTAACCGCCTGAAATACGCCCTGAACTACAACGAGGCTAAGATGATCCTCGTCCAGCGTCTGGTCAAGGTCGACGGAAAGATCCGCACCGACCACACCTACCCGGGTATGAATCAATTAATTTTTGATTTGATTTTCTTCTCAAACAAGAGTTGACGATTCCAGCAGCAGTAGATACACTTTTCGTTGTTTTGACATGCAATCATTCAAACTAAAAATCTAAAAAACAGCTGGCTTCATGGATGTCGTCTCTCTGGAGAAGACTAAGGAGACCTTCCGTCTGTTGTACGACACCAAGGGCCGCTTCGTGATCCACAAGATCACCCCGGAGGAGGCCAAGTACAAGTTGTGCCGCGTCAAGGCCGTCGAGAAGGGCGCCAAGGGTACTTTACTTCTAAATTGTTGAGCTCTTTTATGCTTAGAAAGTTACATTTTCGATGCGTAAGTTCTTTGAGACAGGTTTTCGTTTTTTTCATGCGCAACATTATGCATTTATTTCTGATGTAATTTCCGTTTTAAACGCAAAACCAGGTGTCAACCATGTCGTCACCCACGACGGACGCACCATCCGCTTCCCGGACCCGGATGTCAAGACCAACGACACCATCCGTCTGGACATCGAGTCCGGCAAGATCCTGGACCACTGCAAGTTCGAGCACGGTAAGAAGATCTTTCAATGTTTGTTGCCGTACTGCGTAGCTGCGGCGTTTGCATTCTTTAGGTGGTCTTGCAGTGCTTTAGGTGGCTTTAGCTTGAATCTATGGAAGTTTGCTCTTGCTTTGCACTATCCGTAATTTTTTAGCCAAAGTGTCTTCTAAAACGAAATTCCAGGTAACGTGTGCATGATCACCGGTGGAAACAGTATCGGTCGTGTTGGTGTGATCACCCACCGTGAGAAGCACCCGGGATCTTTCGAGATCGTCCACTTGAAGGATGCCCAGGACCACCATTTCGCCACCCGCCTGCAGAACGTGATGGTGATCGGAAAGGAGACCAAGCCGTGGATCTCCCTGCCGAAGGGCAACGGAATCAAGCTCAACATCTGGGATGACCGCAAGAAGCGCATGGGCAACTAAATCTCTGATCATGGGATGATCCCTTTCAAGCCGCTGGGTTTTTTAAGAACACACGGCGATGAAGGAAGAGTGATTTCACGTTCAGAACTATCGGAACACACCATCGGAACACAGAACAGAACCTTTAGAATCTACGGTAGAGGATGAAAACAAACTAGTAGCTGAGCTGCAAGTTGTTAGCAGAGTAAAAAAGACGAGAGGGGAGTTTTGCAGCAGAGCTGTAAGCCTTAAAACAGGCCCTTGTTCTAGCTGTTCATGAGGGGGCTGGATATGGGTAAAGTCGTCGTCGCATGTCGTCAAAAACGGGCCTGCATTGTCGTCATCGTCTCTCTTCGTCTGCAAATTTGCGGCAATCCCAAGGAGAGTGATAGCATTTTCTAAATGTCGATTATTCATCTGCAGCCACTGTGCTGCGAGAGTGAGAGACAAAAGTGTAAAATTGACAAGATCCGGAAATCAGCACGAGACGATTTTTCTGCCGATGGCAGGCTGTGTCGGTTCGTGGTCAAATTCGTGAGGTAACCATGAAAATGATGATCATGACAAAAGATCACAGCCCAGATCCGGATCCAAATCTAAATCCCGATTGAGATCGCCTTCCGAAGAGAGTAGATCTTTTCAAGAAATGAACCCGCTTTATGCCACAAATCTTTTTCGTCTTGAGAGAGACTTGATTATGCTGCCTACCTTCTCGGTATCCATTATTTCTAAATTCTTCAACAACAGGGAAACATAGGAGCATATAGTGCCCTGTTTACATAGACGCAAGATGCAGTTGTTTTTGCGAGGCATTGATGGCTCCTCCGCCACCCGGGTTGTCGAGGAAACGACTACCGTCGCGGAGTTGAAGCAGAGCCTGGATTTGGATACCGAATTCCACTTGTCTTACGCTGGTACGAAAATATCATGTCGTTTTTGTGTACTAGTGTGAGATTTTGCAATCACGTAGACTTGCATCACATGTGAAGCGTTTACCAGAGTGGACACACCAAATTATCACTCTTCAATTTTCAAAACAGGTAAGGACTGCCCGGAAATCGCCACCTGCGGCGCTCTCTTCTCCAACGAATGCACCATCGAAGTCAACGCTGACTTGCTCGGTATCTATACGATTGTCTTTTTTGTTTGAGTAAGCACTAGCTTCCCACGCATTGAAGATGTAGTTACTGTGTATGCCGATTTTTTTGCCTGCTGAGTCTGTAATGGATGATATCGATCACTATTTTCCTTCCGAACTAACCCCCAGGTGCCGGTAAGAAGCGCAAGAAGAAGCAGTACACCAAGCCGAAGAAGGTCGCGCACAAGCACAAGAAGGTCAAGCTTGGAGTTCTCAAGTTCTACAAGGTTGACGGATCCGATAAGATCACCCGCTTGCGTAAGGACTGCCCGAACTGCGGTCCGGGCGTCTTTATGGCCATGCACCACAACCGCTACTACTGTGGCCGCTGCACCCTCACCTACGTCTTCAAGGAGAACGAGGAGGCCTAAGGCTACCAACGATGATCTTTTCATCAGCTTCGCACAGACAAGCATAACATACTCATCTGAACATGTAACTGCATACATAGTATAGTAACAGGGACAAAAAAAGTAAAAGGGAAGTAGACGTCGTGCCGCATCGGGGAACCTATGTGGTTGAGACTTTCGATGAAAGTGTTCGTAGTCGTACAGGCATCAGCTTTCGTCAACATCGTCTGAAACGGCCAATTCGTTTGGGTTTGTTCATGTATCATCGTACAAATGACTTCGTTAACATGTTCTGCAATACCTTCTCAAACCTTCGTACACGTTCTTCGGTCCGCGTTCGTTCGCGTTTCCTCGTAACCGCGTCGTTTACGTCGTCCTGTTTCGTGCGCCACTGACTTTGTGCAGACATGCGTAAATCACAAGAGTTTGTTACGTTTGGTTTATCACACAGCAGTGATTTCCCCTGATTTGCCCATCACCCGTATCCGTAAATTTTTCTTGTACAATAGGAAAATGAACATGAAAATCCCCACTACCCCTATCTTTTCGTTCGGAAAAAAAGATAGAAACGCAAAATGCCTTGGCGCTCGTCGTTACAGTCCAGTCTGCTGAGGAGTAGAAGTCGCAACTGTAAATAGCGCTGCCGGGGGGGCATAGCCATGCCGAGAGCTAACAGTGCCTCAGAAGCCTCGGGGGAAGCGTCCTCCAGCAGCGGAACAAAGGCACCTCGACGACCAACCGATCGCCCGCGAAAGGCCAAAAAACCCCAGCCCGAGGGTGAGCAAGCGGGCGAGGAGTCGGCTTCCTCGTCTTCTTCGTACGGTGGAAAGCAGATGAAGGAAAACGCTCCTACGGCGGCAGTATTAGGCTCTGTCGCGTTTGGCACATCTTCAGTCCCGCCCGCCTCGGCGAAAGCAGACGCTAGGAATCGCCGCAGGAGCAGCGCGTTTGACGCGAGTTCTCAAGATCTCTCCGCGGCTGTGCGGGGCCGCGGATCGGTTGCCTTTGGCGGATCAACGAATCTTGGAATGTCGTCTATTCCGGTCGCACCAAGGAGCCCTCGAGGAGATGGTTTTGCAGTGCCTAGGACTGTTCAAGAGGTGAACGGCACGCAGGCGCCTAGTCAAGTACCAGCCGCCTCTAGTAGCATTTCATCATCATCTCAAAAGATCTCCACTCAGCAAGATTTTACCGTCACCTCGGTGCGGTTTTCACGAGCGCAGCGAACAAGCCAGCGGCGAGCCTCTACGTCGGACGCTTCAGCAGGGAAGGCGATCAAAAAATCGCGGTCCTCGCTGCCAGATGCGAGCGTCCTCCGGGACCTCGCACGAGAAAATTCCGCGTCAGCGTCCGATGCGGCGCGGAACAGCAGTGAGCGAGAACAGGCCGTGCAAAAACCTCCACAGCGCCGGCGCGCTTCCGTCTCGGGCGTGACAGCAACAGAAGGCGCGAAAGCGAAGCCATTGAGCGCAGCGATAGAGGAGCTGAAGGATTATGCTGTGATGAGAAAGAGCACCGCTTCCAACCTGGAACAACCGGCGCGCCCGCCGACCCGAGATAGCGCGAATATTCCACCATCTGCTGTTGTGAGTGACGCAATCGCAAGTGCGTCGTTTGACCTGGACGGCGACGGAATGAGTGACACCATGGAGCAGCCATCGCTCCTGGCAACCAAAGATGGCTTTCGCCTGGATGATTCGCAGCAAGGGGAAGTAGGCGTGTCAGCTTTGGCTCGTGGTGCTTCCGCGAATTTAGGTGACGAGTCCGAAGTGACTATGTCAGATTCAGTCAACATGGAGGGCGCACATCAAAGTGGGCGTGAGGATCAGGAGACTTCTGACAAGCCGGCTTTCGTAACTACAAGTGTGAGTTTTGGCAACACGGACGATCCAAACGGAGGCTTTTTGTTGCCAACCTCAAGTATGAATTTCGCTGCAGCTCCTCCCGAAGATGATGCAGGCGAATTACCGACAGCAAGCGTCAGCTTCGCTGCCGCGCGAGATATTAACGCAGACCTGACACCGACAGAGTCACCCGCTCCGTCGGACGTCGTTGATGTAGAAAATGCGGATATCACCCTGCCCGAAGAAGAGTCCCCGCAGCCGGACTTTCGCGAGACGCTAACAAGCGCGAAACAGAAAGTCGGAACTGTAATGGACATGGGCGAGTTCGTGCAAGACGAGTATCAACAAGACGAAAGAGAAGTCGCCGAAGCTCCCGTATTCGTGACAACTGAAAAGAGAACCGAGCAAACCCACGCGGCGTCTATGCCCGAACAGGAAGAACTTGCGGGCGGTGGAAACAGCGAGCAGCAGCAGGTTGGAATCGCGATGGATATGGGCGACTTTTTGAAAGACGAGGCTTCGGGGCCGGAGGAGGAGGAAAATGGAAACCAAAGTCCTGAGTCCAGCAGTGTGTCGTTTGCGTCGCAGTCGGTCGGTTTCGGCCAGACCACGGTTCCGTTCGGGCAAGTGTCGACTCCTCTTCCCCGGGCCCAAGGCACGTCCTTCAGACAAGCCACTGTTTCGGCCGAGGGCACCGGTTTCGCATCTCAAAGTGCCTCTTTCGGTGCTCAAAGCAGTGCCTTCGGACAGCAGTCAATCCCGCTCCCGGGTGGGCAGAGCACTTCATTCGCGGCGCAGAGTACAGCGTTCGGGCAGAAGTCCACACCCCTTTCGGGTGGACAGAGCACTTCATTCGCGGCGCAGAGTACAGCGTTCGGGCAGAAGTCCACACCTCTTTCGGGTGGACAGAGCACTTCATTCGCGGCGCAGAGTACAGCGTTCGGGCAGAAGTCCACACCTCTTTCGGGTGGACAGAGCACTTCATTCGCGGCGCAGAGTACAGCGTTCGGGCAGAAGTCCACACCTCTTCCGGGTGGACAGAGCACTTCATTCGCGGCGCAGGAGAGTACAGCGTTCGGGCAGAAGTCCACACCCCTTCCGGGTGGACAAAGCGTTTCCTTCGGAGCCCAAAGCACCGCTTTTGGACAGGCATCAACCAGCACTCTGCCGGCAAACAAGAATGCGGATGAAAGTCCTCTTCTCGCAAAGCCAGTCCCGTTCTCGGACATCGCATCAAACATGGGAGCAGTGCGGAAGAAAACACAAGAAGAGGAGAACACCTCCGCCGCCACGGAGCAACACGATAGCGAAGACACGGAGGACGTGGAAGCGACGATCAAACGAGTGGAGCAATCGCAGCCGCGGCGCGGAAGTTTCATCGTCCACGTCGAGGAAACCGCGTCCGAAACGGAGCACGACGAAGTGGCAGCAGACAATGGAGAACAACAACTATCGCATGACTCTGAAGACCAAGAACAAGAATCCTCGCCAAACGAGGCTGTAGTTGTAACCAACGAGCCTGAATTAGACCCGGAAAACGGTCGTGAAAATATTAAGCCGGCGACGCGGACAAGTTTTGTTGTGCAAGTAGAAAGCGACGCGGAGAGCAACCTGTTCGCGGAGGAGAACGCCGCGGAGGAAGAGGAAGAGCGCGCGCGCGCCGGCAAGGAAGACGATTTGGCTGGAATTGTCACCATTCCAGTGGATTCGGACGAGGAAAAGGAAAGAGAGTTGTTGCACCGCGAAAAAGAAAGAAAAGCGGCTGCTGCGGCCACACGAAAAAGCCAAATGCAGAAAGTGAAGGAGAAACAAAATCGAAAAAGTGCAGCAGCGCCGCCCCTGGAGGGCATGACCGCAGCTCCTAAATTGGAATCCTTCCAAGGAACAATCGACCTGTCCATTCCCACTGCAGACACACTACAACAGCAGGGCCTTGCGAATAGCGTGTTGACAACCGATTCTTTCGCATCGCGCGAGAAAAGGATGCAAGACAGCGGTAAAGTGATGCCAGCGAAGCAGGTGGGGGCTCTGTTCGCGGCCTCGCCCTTTGCAGAGGACCGAGGCAGCAGGCTTCTCGCGCCGAAAGAAAACGATCCCTTCGGCCTAGAGCGGTTGACCGATAAGTTGGATCCCGTGGGGGCGCCGCCCCTCTTCAGCCAGCCATCCTTGTTGGGAACTTCGAACCCTCTCGCCGACCGAGGGCCGAGTCTTTGGTCGGGCGACAGTACCGCAGTGGTGGAAGATCCGATGCGAGGAGCAAGCGCTGCTCCCTTTCCAAGTGCGAGCGTTGCACGCACGGACAGTACAGTGGACCGCGAGACCATATTGAGCCGAGCGGGCGGTCCGACCGGGCAGCTTCCCTGGGGTCAATCCGGTGTGGAGCAGGAGATTAGTCTTCTAGGGGGTAATGCGGCATCTCTTCTTCCAGAGCTGAAACTGGAACAGACAATAGAGCAGGTGACGGGCAGTAGGAGAAAGGAAAAATCGAGCAAAAGCAACAAGAAAGACCGGTCTAAGGGCGCGAGTGATGAGCTGAACGAACTGGACTTTGACGAGTTCGAGCGGCAGCAATTTCTCTTGATCGAAGAAGAGCAACGGCGCGAGGCACTGCAGCTGGAGCGGGAGGAGAAGCTGCAGTGGGATATGGATTGCAAAAATGTCTGGGTCTGGAAGATTGCCAGGTTTGTCATGCAGGTTTTCCATAACCCATGAGGTCTGGTATGTAGGACATAGCATGACAGATTCTGCGAAGCCTTTCCAATGCCTATCCTGCATGAGAAACTGCCTCTCGATTAGGTCAAAAGTGCACAACCTTTGGCAATCATGCAACACAGCTTTTTGCCTGATTCAGATTTAGCATGACAAGTTGCATTCTTCCAGACCCAGACATTTTTACATTTGATATGGGAGCGGATTGAGCAACAGTTCGGGGAACAGAGCCAGAGAATGTCCGAAGCGTTATCCTGAGTAAAAACGTCCCCACACCAGAGTTGTAATGCAAATCTGCATGCTGAGAATGTTTCTCATGCGGAGCCCCATGAGAAGCATTTTCTAGTCGTGTTTTGCAATTTGTCATGCTCCAATCAGCATGGTATTCTCGATCTGTGATGCTGCTGAGCTAGCTGAAGCAGCACTATACTACGAATCCAAATTTGTCATGCAAAACAGCCAAAACTCGTGGATTTGTCTAGCCGATTCCCCATCTTGACTCTGGTGTGGGTACGTTTTTACTCAGGATAAGCGTTTCGCGAGGAGGATGAGCGGATTACTCAAACAATTCAATCCCAGGCGGCGCAGATGCGGACGGAGTTCAAGGAGGAACTGAAACAGGAGGACGTGGTGCTGCGTCGCGACGTCCGGCAAGCCTTGACAGTGCTGGACCGCCGCGACGAGGTCGCGGCGTTGCAGCAGCAGGTGGCCGAGATGCGCGTGAAACAGGACCAGTTGTCGAAAGGAACTACCGGCGTCAGTCGCGAGTTGTCGCCGGAGAATGTGCGAAAGGCGCTGGACAGCGTGAAGGAGGGGGTCCAGGACGGATTGAATTCCATGCAGAAGCACGTCGCGAACCGCACGGAGTGGATCGCGACGGAGTTGCAGCAGGCCAAGCAGGAGCGGGAGTCGCTGTTGCAACAGGTGCACGACCTGCACGCCGCCGAATTGCAGCGGGTCGGGGACCGGCACCAGACGTCACTGGGTCAGATGAGCGGGTTTCTGAAAAAGAACCTGGACGCAAACGCGGATCGCTTCGAGCGTTTAGAGGATACGATGAGACAGGTACGTTGTCATGTATGTTCGTAGCTTCGATTTATCATGCAAGAATGCCGTCAGCGCCAATATATCCAAACCAATGTTGCTTTCGAATCCGTTTCCATTTTCAAACTCAACCTCAATTTCCGAATATTTACAGGTCGGCACGAAGCTCGGCGAGCTGGAGTCGCATTCCCGGAATCAGTACGCGCCGCTGCAAAAGTCGCTGGCGGGCACGGTGAAGCGAGACGAGCTGGTTCCCTACCTGGATAGCCGGTTGCGCAACGTGAAAAGCGAGGCAAAACAGGACGCAGATCAGCAAATGTCGGAGATAAAAAACGAGGTGGCGATCAAGATCGCGAGCTTGAAGCAGAACGAGATGCTGCCGTACGTGGAATCGAAGATGGCGACCGTGCGAGCGGAGACGAGGAACGAAACCCGCGAGTTTCTCGCCGAGGTGAAAACGGATCTGGACGAAAAGCTGTCGCACGCGATTTCGCACCGAGAACTAACTCCGATGTTGGACAACCGGCTGGAGGCGCTGCAGAGTCGATTCCGGTCGGAAACGCAGAGCCTGTTGCACAACGTGGATCTGAAAGTGGACAACCGGCTGACCGACACAGTTTCCCGGGCGGAGTTGATCCCGTTTTTGGAAACCCGGTTCGGGAACGAGCAAGACAAGATGTTCAAAACGGTCGAGTCTGTGCAGAACAAAATCGTGCAGTCGGTACAAAATCGACTGACCGAGACGGAGCAGGGTGTTTTGAACTGGGGCCTTTCGATCGAAGAGAAGCTCCGGAATTTTCAGGACAAAGAGGTGGCTCCGTATCAAAAGCACATGACGGCGATGGGGCAGAAATTGGATGCAAAATACGCCGATTTGGATGAGTATGTCTCGCAGTTGCAGCATCGCGTGAACCGCATCGACGATATCGAGCGCCAGGTGCAGAACTGCCAACAGCTTCTCGACAACTGTCTAAATGCCGTTTTGCCGGAATTGGGCTCGAAAATCGAGTTCAGGCTCGCGTCCACGGAACAAAATCTGCAGTCGCTGAACAACCAAACTTGGCAGGAGGAAAGAAATCTCGCGAACGCGATCCAAAATGTGTCCAACGATGTTTCGCAGCTCGCACAGAGAACAACCTTGATAGCGGAGAGCAACAGGCAAGCGGGCCCAACGGCTGTTCCGGCAGTCGGGCAATCTGGTATCATGTACTACGACCCAGCTGGTGCTCCCCCTGAAACATTTGTGTACAATAACCAGGGTTATTCATCTGCTGCTCCGTTGCCTCCAACGCAGCAAGGCCGGGGTCATCAAGGGCAAGAACAGCGCGGGCCGACGCCGGTCCCTGCATTTGGCGATTCCGGTATTTTCTACGACGACATAAATCTGCAGTATGCTGCTCAGGCTGGCCTATCAGAGAAACAGCAAGCACAAGTGGCGCAACAGCTTGCACAGCAAGTCAACCTCCGACAAGGCGGCGCTGCGGCGACAGTGCGGTCCCCGCCACAGACACCTGGTTTCGAGCCATTTCCGCAAATGCTCGGACAATATCAACAGCAGGGGCTACACCAGGTCCAGGAGCAGCAGGGGGTTCTTTACACTGACTTGAGTGCTGCCACTACCGCACCGAATTTGCTGGTCCGCGCACCAAACGGTGACAGTACGCGCAAGCGCCTGAAGAAGATCATGGGTCTCTTGTCCGACGACCTTCCGCCGGAGCGCCTTGCGGTGGAGGAACTGAAAGAGCTGGGGAATGCGATGTTTCTGAAGCGCGACTACGAGACGGCCGGGGAGTACTTCAGCAAGGCGATTGCGGTCGTGGAGAGCCGCTTCTACGAGAACTGTCCCCGGGACGCGACCTCCAAACAGGTACTGGCGGTGTTGTACGGCAACCGCTGTCAATGCTACCTGATGCTCGCGAAGCAGGCGCAGAAGGGATTGCCCTTCGACCCCTACTGCGTCTCGGTCGACGTGCGGTTTTTCGCGCTTCGGGCTAACCGCGACGCGGCGGTGGCGCACGGCCTGGACTCGACCAACGGAAAGCACTTCCACCGCCGCGGGCAGGCGTTGCTGTTGTTGAGTTCTTTGTCCCAGCGCACGCAATTAGCCGGGAAGTGTTTCAAGAAGGCGTTGGCGTTGGGAAACCTGCCGAAGCAGGTCGAGCGTGAAACCCGCCAGTGGCTGCAGTACGCCGAGCAGCGGTTCGTTGACGAAAAGGAAATGCCGCTGGTCCTCGCACATCAAAAAGTGGTACGCATTACAGATGAAGAAGACCAGAATTATGACCTCAGCGTTCGACAGACGCAACAACAGCTGGACCGAGATGACGCTCAGACGGCACAACAGTTGCAGCTCCATAGTGTTGCGACGAGAAGCGGTTTTATTCCCGGCGCGGCGCAGCGAAAAAAATCTTCGATGTCGGTTCGACCTAGCGGACAGAAAGTAAAACTATCTCCGGACGAGCGCAACCTCTCACCCGCATCGGACGAGGTGCGAATGATTGAAAGTGACGGAATCGTCAGTGAGCAAGCGAAGGTTGTAGAGCAACAGCACGGAGCCCGAGGACCGAGTGCACGGAAGACCGGATCGGTCCGAGGATCGGTGACCCATTTTTCGCCTCTGGCCTCGCAGCGCGCCCCTACGGCGTCGCGGCTGACTGACATGGACCGAGTAACGAAGCAGTCACACCCTATTCGGGGGTCGGTGAACTTTAAAGCCAGCGGCGCGGACCCGCCCAACAGCCATGAGGGGAATTATGGGCGGGGTAATAGCGTAGTTGCGGGGGGGCAAGTACAGTTTGGCAGTGTTCGGGTGGTTGACCAATATGAATATCCACCTGCCAGGGCCAGTAGCGTGCGGGAACCAATACCGAGCGACGAGAACAGCAACGGCTTTTTGAAGGTAAAGTCGCGGGAGATCAGCGATAGCGTGAAGCGCACAGTCCACAATGGCATAGACGAAATAGAAAATATGCGTGAATCTTCTTTCAGCGGAGCAGGGGAGAACAATGAGAATCCCAATTCAAGTACCAACCAGCTCAAAGTGAAAAAGAACAGTATGATCAGGAGGAGCACCACGGGCAGCGGCCAGATCGAGTACCCGGGAATGAATGTTCTTCTGCCGGGCAACCAAACCGGCTCCATAGAGGAAACTGCATATGTGCAGACGGCGGGAACAAGCACCAGCATGCGTGGCAGTCGCAACTCAGCCCTGAATCTCGGAGGAATTGAGGAGCTGCAGGGTCACATGTCGCTAGCCAACGTCGAGCAACATCAAGGAGTGCTAGCTGATGTTGAGGACGGTCTACGGAGTCCGGAAATGTCAAATGAGTCGAACGGTTCTGTGGTTCTGCAACCGGACAGCGACGACTTTGCAGACGATTTTGAGGAGTACAATTTGGCTCCGGAGAGGTCGGGCGGGAACAGCGAGCAGGTCGAGGCGGCCGAGCGATCGACCGGAGGGAGCATCAGCCGAAGAAGTAGAGTAGAGGAAGGGTCACATAGCTCGGTACCGGTAGAAGGCTTGCCTCAGATTTTAGACAGTAACTCAGGTAGTTCGACCGAAAGACAGAGGAGTATTAACAGGGACGCGAGAAATACTGTGGCGCCGAGGTATTCAAGAACGAACGAGTTAGCCGCAGATCACAGTAGAGCTCGTCATCTAGAAACTCGTCAATTGCAGGTCCAGGAACGAAGTCTTGGGCATACCTTAACACATCCAGTCAATCTTAGACTCTGGTAAAACGTTTTCGTCAGCGAGAGTTTCGAGAGATATTTTGCTGAGTTGATGAAATAACTCTACCTACCCAGCATCAGAATTTTTCCCCGATGACACATTTGACTTAAACAGAGCATTAGATGATGTATGGTTCTGTGAGGCACCAAAATAATCAAAATCGATGCGCACTCTCCTGTGAGAAAGTTGCAAGACCATGAATTATGAAGCGCTCTTGTTGTTCCACGTATCTGCTGTGCTGTTGCTAGTACTCTGTTTGGATTGTAATCACGCAGCACGAGTGTCGGTTTGGAAAATGTGAATTTTTTCAACCTCGTGAATTTTTTCAACCTCGTCGGTCTAATTCACCCGAATCTCGAGAAACACAAAATTCTTTTCGGTGAGATGGAATTTTGAACTCGCAAGCAAACTTTGTTTTGCGAAATCGGTTTATTCAGTATTCATTCTGACCATGTACTGAATGATTTTTGCTCGTCGATGCCGGCGTACACATCGTCGTTTTTTCATTATCGTGCATCGTCAGAACGTAACGGGCGCTCGTGCTTTCAAATAAATTCGTGCAAGGCGAGCGCCTATGCTATTCTGACTCCGTGGCCTTTATACATTATCTTGCCTTGAGGTTTTCATTTCCAGGACCTCAACCACAAATTGAAACCCACTCATCCACCCTTGAAAGCATTTAGAACTATTCTTGCTGCTCTTCTTCCTGCTCCATCGTTGTTGTGCAGCTATGACGCTCTTCTAGCAATTTTGTACCTTGAATTCATTTTGCGTAATTCACCTCTGGTACAAACAAGTTGCATCTTGCTATTGATTCGCGACAAGCGCAAGAATTAAAACCGCTTCCAGGTGATACCCTCACCAAGAGGCTGATTCTTTGTACCGGAAGTAGAGCTAAGCCTAAATAGAAAACATGGCTTCCACCATAACAGCCAAAACAAAACTTTCGTTTCCGTCCAAGAAACATCGCTTTCTTCCGCTGCTGCTTCAGCTGGGAACGAGGTGCGACTTAACTGCGGCGTGCAGCATCGGACAGACCATATGGGCGGTCGATTCCTCCTCCACATGGCAGATGGCACAGGTGCAAGCCGTGCTCGATCCAGGGGCCGCAAATGTCCTTGTTTTGAACTGGGGCAGCAACAACTTGTGTGCGGACGTGAACTCCGCCAGCACGGCGGCACAAGCGACACTGTGCCAGCGGCTACCCGCGAGCACGAACCCCTACACCAGCGCCGCGGGTCGGAATAGTCTGGTCACCTGTGCGGATCAACTGGGGCTGTCGGGGAGCGGAACGTCAACGACTGCGGACGGCTCGGACGGCGTTGTGGTAAGCGAAACGGCGATCATCATCATCGTGATCTCCATGGGCGTTCTGCTTTTTCTCGTCGGCATTGTCTGGGTTCTCCGGAACCATCCGACCGCCTCAAAGTACCTCCCCACTAGCCCTCTGCACGGCCCGGGCCAGGGCTTTAGCTGGGTGGAGTCGCCGAAAAGAGCGTGGCGGGGCATGTTTTCGCCGAAGGGAAACAAAACCATGAAGATCTCGCCCGAAGACGTGGCGGCCAACGAGAGGAACCGCTACTACCGCGACGACCCCGTGACGCTGTTGCCGGTGCGCGAGGCGACGGAGCAGAAAGGGCGGAACGGATCGAAAGGAAAGCCGCCCGCGCTGCCCCCGAGTGGGGGTGCGCCACTGGCGATTGAGGATGAACCGCAGGAGGACCAAGACGTGCGCATCAAGACGGATCCCAACCGTGACAGCGTCAACTCCTACGTGAGCGGCCAGCTCGGATCCATCGGGCGGGCGAAAGTGACACCGCGGCAAAACACGACGCCGCGGCAGGACGGTCAGCAGCTACCAGGACAGGTTTCGAACACGACACCGAGGCGGCAAAACACGACTCCAAGACAAAACGCCACGCCTCGGAGGCAGGACAGTTATCGCGAGCGCAACACCACGCCTAGACAAGGACAACAAAACGTAACGCCGCGACAGAACACAACGCCCCGTAGGGATACGACACCAAGGCGGAACACCACCCCGAGATGATTGCTAAAGATGTGCTAGTCAATTCACAAACTTATTGCTTTCTACAATACATAGACAAACAAGAGGAGCCAGCTGCTGTGTAGCTGGCTTCTCTTCTGCATGCCCATACGAAAGAATTTTTTTTTCCAGAACGGGCGTTGTCGCTTTTTCCGTAAATTATGTGGAAACGCAGCAGCTTCGTCCTTGACGTACTTGATACCAGACGAACTTTCGTCACAGTAGCTAAGCACATCCATGATTGGAACCGAATCGAAATTGATCTACAGTTGCTTTGGAGCATCTTCCGAGTAAGATGTTCAGCCCGTCCTGCCTCTGGTACTTTCTGAGCCTCCACACAGAACAAGTGTTTCTTGTGCAGAGCCTTGAAGTCATTGTCAACACATCGAGATCAAGATGGACGCAACCAATCAACTATTGAAAACCAACCTCTAGTGGCTACTACGGTTCTTCTCTCACAGGCTGTCGTGCTTTTGTGATTCTGTATCGTGACACTCACTGTCTTCTCTTGTCTTCAAGTATGCGGTACTAGGCTGTACACATAGGAGACAAAAGCACCTGTGTGGACAACTCTCATTCTCGTTGGATTGGTTTAGTTTCAGAAGTAGCGCTTTTCTAGGCCGAGAGAATAATCTCCAGCAATTTTTTGTTGTAGTAAAAGGGTTTAGGGTAGTAGTAGGGTTCATCGCAATACTTGGAGTCGAAAATTATGCCGTCGGCCACGCCCCAAGGCTCTTCCTGGCACCAGCCGAAGCTGGATCAAAATGACAGATTCGAAAACTTTATGGCGCAGTTCGGCGACCTCAATCTCGAGGAGGTGCGGCGTTACCACGCTGAGGAGAAGCGGGAACGCGATGAGAAGGCGACCAAGATTGCCGACAAGATCCGACAAGAAAACGCACTGAAAGCAAAAGCCGAAATGCACGAGAAGTTCAAAAATTTGAAGGAGGCTTCGAAGCAGAAGAAGACGTGTACTCTTTTTCTCGTTGTTTTTCTCGACTTGTTCGTGGTCAGTGGGTTTGCATTCTGTAGGAGAATTGGTGGACTTCATTCATATACAGGACATATGCACATGAGGACGTGAATGTAAAATCAATAATCTTCTCGGCAGTTCACGCGCACGCTGTGGGTTTCGCTTCGACGTTTGGACACGAAGAGGACGAGGCGCAAGCCCGAATGTGGGAGCAGGAATCCATGGCAGACGCCAGTGCGACTGGGCAGACGAGCAAGGGCACGAGTATGCAGACGAACGTTCACAAAAAGCCTGCGCAGCCGGTAATCTGGGTGAAGAACCCGGAGAACAATCTGCAAAATTTAAACAACAGCATGCAAAAATCGGTGAACGGCGTGCCCGATGTCAAGATTTTGACCAACGAAGAATGGATGCATCACGGTAAGGGATCCGGGAAGCAGTACGGCGCTGTTGGTTCTTCCTATCCCGTTTACAAATCCGTCCTCTACATCGGCCACAACATCCGGCCCTTTTTTCGCTGCCCAGTGAGCGGGCGAACGGTGACGGAGATTCACTGCAACAGACCGCAGTACGACAAGAAAACTGCGGAGGAGGAAGTCGCCCGGGACGCCGTTGAGTGGCTGCAGAAGTACGGAGCCAAGGAGGAGGAGAAGAAGGTGAAAGTGAAGGTGTCCGAATATTCCGCACCGAAGGAGACGGCGACCCTGGCTGACTTCATCACCATCAAACCCGGGAAGAAAAAAAAAGGGGCGGCAGCGGCCAGCACGAGTGCTGCGAAAAACAAACAGAAGGTCGAGGCAATGTGTGCGAGCCTTCAGGCCGGAAAAAGTTCCGCTGGACAAGGAGATGGGGCTGTGGTCCCGGACAGCGCTACTCCTACGGAGGAGCCAAATGTTGAGTATAGACGAAACTGCTACGTTCTAATTCAATCATCGGCGAATTATACAAAGAACAATCTATTTGATGTTTCAGAAATACCTGTTTCTGTTTAAAGGAACGAAAGGCGCGAAGAATAAATGGAAACCATCAGGTCGTCGTCGTCATCGTCTTTTGATCCGTCCCCCGCCGTGGGCTTGGACCCTACCCAAAACGCAAATAGTGAGGAAAGCCAGTGGTGGACGACGAACGGTGATGGTCCCCCGTTCCCGAACCTTGCCGCTGCTTACGTTCCGTTGCTCAAGTACGACACTCAAACGTGGAGCAAGGCGAGCCAGGTCGGGGCGGTACCTACCGCCACCGCGGCAGCCCCTGGAAACAAACTAGCTCCCAACGCGATTGCGGAGTTAAATTTGGCGCTGCAGAAGAAACTGCAAAACAGCAACCCCGGACTCGAATACGAAGTGCACTACGATGAAGAGACACAGTGCTTTTCTTGTCGCATGAAAATTCCGCAGCAGGCACGCTGGGCCTTCCACGGCAGCGATGCTTTCTTCGTCGATGGTATCGAATGGCGCGAGGAGGACTCTAAGGCGCAGGCGGAAAAGTATATTCGCGAGATCTTTTCTTGTTTCATCTTAGCGTTAGCGCCTGCATGCACTGAAACGGTATATTAGTTGAATTCATTTGTCCGTGTGTTGTTCGTGGGCTCTGCAATCTCAAATGCAATCGCAAAAACAACACACCAGGAGTGCCAAAAACGCGGCTGCCCAAAAAGCACTGGAGGTACTGAGAGTCGAAACCTTGGAAGGGGATCAGGAGGCGCGGAACATCGTCGCGTACCAAGATGCGATCCGCCGGACCGAGGCATTGAATCAAGGGAAGGGCAAAAAGGGAACCGGGAAGCAGGTACTTCAGGGAAAGAAGTACTGAGACGAGTACAATCTCGAGTTAGGTCTATGACACGAGTTCTTGATCACAAAATCAAAAAATATTTCGCACTTTTTTCCACTATTTTCGAATACTATGGTACTGACTTTTCGACGCATCATACATAGGGAGAAGATACTTCTACATTTGTCACGCTAAGTAGCTATTTCTTCACCCACTCTTTTTCGTAGAACAAAAAGCAAAAAAAAACAAAAAATCAATCCCACCGAATACAAGAAATGAATATTCCATTATTTGAGTTTTCAACAAAAGCTTATTCCACCAGAAATTGGTATGCGCAACGGTCAACAGGAAAGACTTCAGTATCGAATTCGAAATGGATTTACTACCTAGGATCGATTATCAATTTTTCTTTTTGTCACAGACCACAGAACTTCGCTCCCATTCTATGTATAAACTTTCAGTATCAATATCGCACCAGATGAATAAAAAAGTGGATGTTGCCAAAGGCAGCAGGCCTCTGCTACTCCCTTCAAGAAGCGAACGAGAAGCTCCACACCCATTCTGGAACAGCACAGCGCGGGTCGTTCTTCGTGGTTGGTTGCACGACAGGTAGATCAGTATTGTAGCAGGCACCTCGTGTGCGTCGGTTCCTCAAAAGGTCGTAGGCAAAGTCGTCGGGCTTTATCTCGTGGGAATTCGATCGTGACTTCTACCTCCCTCGGAAGCTACTACTAGCCGTATCAGGTCGTTCTCGTTGCCTTCATGACAGATGTATGGCGTGTTCGTCATGAAGATGTATGGCATGAAAGTATAATAACGTCTGCTCGGTCGTAGTGCTGCCATTCTCATTCTAGCTAAAGCACTTACAATAAAGCACTTACAATTGCCGTTGTGACCGGAAGTCAGCTTTTTCTTATTCTCGGTCAATTCGTGGAGGTAATATCATCGTCTTGGGGACTAGTGCCACTTTTTCAGTTTTCTTTAAACCGACATGAAGTAGAAGGGACGTTACGGAATACTCATTTTCGTTTTTTCAACTTGGACTTGCTTAGAAAAAGCAAAATGAGTATGTTTGCCGAAGCGTTAACTCGCCCGGGTCTGCTGGTTGGTGACAGCCCCGCGACCTCAACCGCACTGACGCGGCAGTCCTCGCGCGTAAAAGGAGAGAAAAAAGATGCTCTTCACCGAGCAGCGCTGGCTGCCAATTTGCCAGAATCAAGTAGCACAAGTAGTGCGGCCAAAAAGGAGGAGTCAGTAGACTATGGAGAACAAGCGAAGGAAAAGATAAAAGCGACCACTAACCTCCGGTTTTCACCCGGGACCGTAGTACATGGCCCGGGCTACGAGAATAAGCAAGCGGGGAAGCAGTTGGCACCAAAGAAGGGCACCCTGAATTACCCCAAGCGGTCGAAGCAGAGTCAGGCACCAATTCGGCTAACCGAGTGGCCGGTGAGTACGGAGAATTTGAAAACGCCACTGGTCGTGGAGCAGCTCTTGCGAGAGGCGGACACACCAAATCAGGAAGAGATATCTTCGAGGTGGTCTTTTTCTTCGTCTGTGACAGAGGACTCTCCGTTGGTTCAGCCAGTCCCGCGGGCCTCGCACCGGAAAATTATGAATACTCGGGGTCTTTCTGCTTCAGTACCAGGTTCTCTTCCTCCAGTCGTGCTAGCAGAACCGGCGAAGGACGAGCCAGAAGTAGATGCAGCACGAAAAAGTACACCGCAGACAGAAGAGGTCAAAAACAACACAACGGCGATGTTGTTTTATGAGGAAACGCCGAGCGGAAGCGCATCGAATGACGAAGGCATGAGCGGCCAAGAATACTACGATGAAGAAAACGAAGACGCTGCAGGGGAAGACGAGCCGTATGATGAAGCGCAAGATGATGAAGAACCCAAGGACGAGGCTGATGGTACTGATTTGATGTGGAGATAAGTAATCTGCTTCTCATTCCGGGTTTCATAGGTTGAGTGTAAAAATCAAAGTACTTGTTCAAATTATCGAGAAGCAAAGCCCTAAAAACACTCGCAGGTGGCTCTAGAACACAGCAAGGCCTGGTCGCAGAGGGTGAGCAGATGGCAGCGGACAATTTCTACGGAGAAGAGGAGGAGGACAGCGAGGAGGAAGAGGAGGACGATGAAAGCCTGGATAATTTCCCTGCCCCTCCTGATGGCGCTCCACGCGACAATGATCCAGGTTCGGAAGACCACGTGTATCCCGGTAGTATGAAGAGGTTGACGAGTGCTGGTGCCCCGCCGGAGATTGCCAGTGGCGTGTCGGCAGGCTCGCAGGGGTCCTTGTTGGACGATGAGCAGTTGCCTGCAGGTGATGCTAAAACGGTTCTGTCCTCGCAGCCGCACGCGCCCCCAGCGCGCGTCTTGTCGCAAGATAACATCAACAACACCCACGGCGCGGGGCTGCTGCAAAAGGGGATTGCACCGTCGAAAAACGCTGAGCGGAACTCCAGCTCGTACCGAAAGTCACGGGGTAGCATGAGGTCCCTGGCCGCGGAGGAGTTCCAGGCGGACGATCGGTTCTCGCTAGGGTCGGTGATAATTTCTAAGCCACAGATGAACAATAATGGTGCAGCAACTACAAAACCAGACCGATCTTCAATGCAGTCGCTCGATGGCGCCACCCCAGATACGCTGCGGAACAGCAATGCGGGAAACATGGATCGAGGGTCTATGATGCCTCTGGAGGCAACTGCGGAGGATTTGCGGAATAGTAATGCTGAAAAACTCGACCGCTCCTCGCTCCTGACTCCGGAAGATGACGTGAAAGTAGAACCAGGCGAGGAAAAAATGAAAACGACGTCTGTGCGTCACATCGTGGCTGCCGCCCCCGCGGGACCTGGTGTAGTGCCGGCGGCAGCGCTGCAGACCGAAACGGTCGTCGGCACCACAACAGCATCCGCAGATAAAGGAACCTCGCTTTCTGGCAGGAGTGGGACGGCGCAACGAGAGGGCTTGGAAGACAGGATCAAGCGACGTGCTGAGGCCAGAGCAAGCCAGTCATCGGTAAACGCAGTAGAGAAAACCCAAAAATCATCGAAAGCGTCTGCCATCTCGCCGATGGAAGTTCCTCCAGCAGCTCCAGCAGAGGAAGTGCAGCAACCCCAAGCTGGAGAGGCGAAATTGGGTTCCGAAGCGGCAAAGACTTCGTACGCACCCTCGTCTAGAAGCACCGGTGTGCCGCCAGCAGTTCGGCGGAACACAAACTCAACCGGTACTTCCCCCCCTGTGAGCCAGCTGCATCAAAGCGCAGGCCCAGCTACCGCCTCTGGAGGTGCAGTCTCCGCGGGTAATAGTAGTGCGATAACTGGCGCCGGCCTGGGCGGCAGCGGTGATGCAGCGGCGCAAAGCGTCAATAATATGGACGATCCCGAACGAAAAACCGTGGTTTCTGACGCTGCCACGACGTCGAACACCACACAAGTGCCGCGGTCTTCCAAGAAGAAAGTCACGATCTCGTCGGAGTGGGGGCCTGCGCCGAAGCAGAAACCACCAGGCACGTCAGGCAGCGGGGCGGCGTCTTCTTCGTCTGCTGCTTCTGAGGACAGAAAATCCCAGACGCAGCTAACAGAAGAGCTCCTCACCATGGTCCGGACCGCTATTGAAGACGCAGGTGCCACGTCCGGGGCCGGCGGAGCGGACAAGTGCTTTTCATCTCGTGATTTCGATTTTCCATAGTAATGATTTTGAGAGAAACCATTGATTTGGGCACAAACTTAAATCATAAATCTACGTTCGATGAAAACTACATTAACAGGCAGCCTGTCACTACAGCCGCGAAGATGAACGATCGCAGTTTGCCGACGCAGCAGATATGGCCAGGTCAACTGTGGACTGGGTCAATGTTTGCATGGTTTTTACATTAAGTGATTGTGTGTGTATGTGGTTGTCGTGATAATCGCACGAGCACGATTGTTTCTGCACCATCTATGGAGCCTGTCCTAGATCCAAATTATCCGAAGCCGAATTGGCAGAAAGGATTCGCGCTCTTGGATTCACCTAAGTGCTCCGAAAATGACTCTTCACCTGGGTGCTCCAAAATTGACCCCGCGCCCGGTTGACAAGGCCATACATGAATCTTGCCGCTTTTCTCGGCCTGAGAAAAAGCGATCGCCGGAAGACCACACAACAGATGTCCAGTTCTTCCAACTCCTTCCAGCCAGACTCGCGGACGACCACGTCGCCCAGCGGACCCCGCAGCACAATGTCCTTTTCCAACAGAAGCCCGGGCGATCGTGGTTTCGCGACACAACAAAATCTTCCCTCGCGCGTCCCAAGCGTGCGCGGCTCGCAGGCACAGCAAGAGAGGAGAAGCGGCTCGTCCACGAGGTTCTGGGCGTCGGACCCGTTCGTAGGTGCAGCGCCGGCAGAAGGCTTGGGACCCGAACACTACATCCCAGAACAACAACATCAAGTTTCTCCACTTCGTGCGGCTGCAGCCACGGTGGCAAACGGGTCGGTGCGCACACAAGACATCTCGTACCCCGGTCAGGCGCCGTCGCGGGCCAACACCGGGGGCACGCTAACCGCGCCACAGCCCATGATGACGACGCCGTCCGTGATGTTCCCGCTGGCGTCGCAGCAAACCTCGCCCTCGCGCATACTTCCGACCACCTCGTTTGCCGTGCCCGTCGCGGTTCCCACCGCGGCGCAGGTGCAACGAAGCATGACGCGGCAGATTCAGTCTGCGGAGATGACGGCGCTGGCACAACTGGAGCAGACGCTGGTCGCAATGCAAGAGTTCCAGCAGCGCGCGGAGCTGAGTCTGCACGAAAAGCTGGCCGACCAGGAGGAGCGATTAGCTGCCCTGCAGCAATATTGGCAGCGCGAGGCGGGTTCGGCGCTAGTGGAGCAGCTGCGGGAGCACAGTCAGCAAATGCAGCAGGATATCGAAGACCGAGTTTCCAGTAACAACACGCACCTGGAACTTCTGCTGCGGGACGTGGTGCAGTCCGTTGTAGTGCAGCAGAAGTTGTCACTGTCAACCGGATCGGGTTCGAAGTCGACCCGGGTAACCAACATCGCAGACGGCAGAAGCCTGGGTAATGACCAGGAGAGGCGGGCTGCGGGGACCCCATCATTGGTTGACGCCGCAACGAGCCCCGTGGACGATCGAGCTGCGGTGACACAGCAGCTCGAACAAGAGAGAAACGTGCGGTCAGGAGTTCCGGACAATTTTGGACGCAAACCGTCCACGCGCCAATCCGGCTCGGGGCAACTGCAGCAGCTGCTCACTCCCAAAACGGTAACGGCCTCGCCGTACCCGCCCAAGACGCTTCTCCTACAGGCCGAAGACGGCGAGACTGGTAAATTTTTACTTTTCGGTGATGTGCATATGCGCTTTTCTCTTTCTTGTTTCTGACTCTGCTTCGTATGGAGCGAGAGAAAAAATGGATGGCGTTGAGAAACCAAACAAGTGCGAAGTGCATGAAATCGTTCATTCGCTCGGACCTTTATTTATACCAGGCGCCAATCATCTTCCCGACAGCGCGATGCTGCAGGACCGATCGCGCAAGAAGTTCAAGAAGATGATGGTTCTGTTCAGCGACGATCTCCCCACGGAACGGCTTGCGATAGAGGAATTAAAGAACGTAGGGAACCGGCTGTACCTCGAACGGGAATACGAGACTTCCGCGGAATACTTCACGAAAGCCATCCTTATGTTTGAAGCCAGGTAGTCGCGCAGTACGTTCTTTAGAGACTTTTGTTAAACCCATTGCTGACGATGCGAGCGTGTTTTTTGTGGTGCTGCAGATACGAAAACACTAGATACGGGTAAGGATGATTGCAGATGTCTATGCTGATCCAGCTTATTGTGTAAATTTGAAAACAGGTTCTACGAAAATTGTCCGCGCGATTACCATTCGAAGTCCATTTTGGGCATTCTGTACGGCAATCGGTGTCAGTGCTATCTAATGCTCGCTAAAGAGGCCCAGGCGGGAAAGCCGTTGTCTGCTGATGATATCGATCCAGACGTCAGGTAAAAGATGCGCAGGCATGATTTCTTTTGGACTTTTCCAATGGGATGTGCAAGCTGATCCTGATGCAGTGTAATATTCGACGTCCATCGACGTTTAAATCGTTTCGCATTTTTCTTTCAACAGGTACTTCGCCCTCCGTGCGAACCGTGACGCAGTGGTCTCTTACAGTCTGGACCCGATGAATGCGAAGAGCTTCCATAAGCGCGGACAGGCCTTGCTCCTCCTTTCTGGAATGCAGCAGCGTTCTAAGGCGGCCATGAAGTCCTTCGAGCGAGCACTCCAACTCGGCACGCTGCCGGCGTCAACCCGGCGAGACGCGGAGCAGTGGCATGAGTTCGCGAAGAAGCGATGGGAAGAGGAGACGCCGCTACCGGGCGGAAAAAAATCTGTGCAGGAGTGTGCGGTGCAGTGAATCATGTTTCGTTCTGAGATCGCGTTTCTTTGTTGAAAGGAGTACGGTCTGTGTAGCTTTCCGATGGATGCTTGATGTACTCGAGCCAGTGTTTCTTTTTAGTCTTTCATTATTCAAACAAGAGGGAGCAGGACAAGCTCTTTTTCTGTCAATGTTTTTACCAGCATCGATCCATCTTCTAAGTGCGAACAAAACTCCAGGTAGGTTGTTTTCTTTTTCATAAATTCGTTTTGATTTGCTTTTTCGTTTAAGTCTCTCTACGAGACGATTCGCTCTCGTTCTTCTAGTTACAGCAAAAATCAGGGTGTATCAAAAGAAATCTTCATAGCGACAAATGAATCATAATCATCCAGTTATTGTCAGATAGATTACGGAAAGGAGGTGCACTCACAGCCATGAAGGCATCAGCCTGATATGCGTGGCTAAAATTTCGTCTTCGTCGTGGCATGAATGGTGACTACTTGTTGACCTGTAGCATACAAGTTGGATATTGATATATTACTTCGTCAAAATAAGTAACTCAAAAGAGCGCTTCTCGTTCTCATCGTGATTGCCCCTCCCGCTCTGGATGCGCTGGCGGTGCTACAACGGCACTGCTCTGATCTGGTCGCCTTCGTCTCATCATGATCGTTGTCCTGTCTCGAAGGCGCTTGTCTACTGAGTGAGACTTGAATTTCTGGAGCACGTCGAGCATGAGCGGTCTGCTGGTTCTTCTGTTTCGCGTTTTCGTGCCTATTTTCCTAGCAGACCGGAGGAAAAGGAATTCGAAATCGAATTAACAATTAGCACAAGAAATCAAATGAATGAAAATCTTCTCTCAACATTTGGCATGAGCATGACGTTGTCCGAACCGTCAATCGCCTGGCGCTAAGTCGAGCCGCCGCCGGAAAGAACACGTAGACCCACATCAAGAGCTGTAAGCGTAAGTGTTAGAGCCTGAACACGTGAGAACGAAAGGAGAGAGGAACCACGTCAAGGTTGAAGGTTCTGAAAGTTCTCAAATCGGTCCAATGACTGAGTTCACTGCCTAGAGTCTGTAAAGTCGTACCAAAGTGTTCAAAGGGTTCAAGTCGTGATCTTGCTCACGACGAGCTTATGAAGACGAGACACAAAGACGCGAGGATCTGGATCGGGTGGAACATCGAGCGTACTGACATTCCCCCCCCCAAGAGCAAGCCGTTTTCAAAATTTCAAGTCGCAAAAGCTTAAACAAGCAAAAATCACTACCCCCCCCGGACCTTAAATAGGTCGGGATCAGGATAGATCACAAATTATCCCCAAAGACAGGATGCGACCAGGGCTACGGCATAGAAAAGCTCAAGAGGTTTCAAAAATCCTCGAAAAGCGTCTACATTTCCCAAAGTTCTTCAGCATCGAAAAGAAGAACGGGAACGCCAACAAGAGCGAAGCAGCAGTCTGCTTCCTCTGCTTCTTCCTGCTTTGCCTGTTTCAAAAGTTTTCTCTTGTTGACCATGTTGGGATTGTGGTGAAAGACATGGTCTCTAACTTCGCGCGGAAGACTGTTCTTTGTGAGACAGTCAGCCTTCATGTGCTCAGTGGGACAGTAGTTAATGCGATCACATTGATTCATCGGCAACTTTGTGGTAGCGAAGAGCAACGTGGCGGCTGCGTGGGCGCTGTGCGTCGCCTGGCGTCTTCGCGACCTTGGTGGCGGTCTGGTTGTCGATCCAAAGGTCTTCTTCCGGCTCGCGGTTTTCGAAGAAGCCCTTGAAAGTGCAAGTCTCTGACATGATCAATCCATCAGAACCAGCGACGAACTCAGCAGCAAAAGTTGAGTCGGCGCGCACTGTTTGTCGTGCTGTTTTCCACATGATCGGAACTCCTTTGTAATACAAAATAGCGCCTGAAGTGGATTTCAAAGTGACAAAGCAAGAGGCAAAACTTGCGTCAGTGAAAAGGTTCCAATCTTTAATCTTTTTACCCTTTTCAAGCAAAGACCCAGAAATCTCCTGAAACTTTTTCTCGTTCTCTGGGGAATACTCCAGACCAACGTCAGGAGTGTGGATCAAATACCGAAGCACTTTCTTCACGCACTGGGCAACCTTCTTAGTGCATGGCTTAGACGCGACTTTGGCAATGCAGTTGACGGGCTGGGCCACGTCAGCTCTGCAAATGGTCACGCACCACTGTAAAGCACCAACACACTCCCGCAAAGGAAATTTGCATTCCGGGGAAGTTTCATCATGCAAGTCGGATTCTACAAAACACGGGCTGTCCACCTTCTTGCAACCCACCATGTTAAACTTGGGCGCAAGTTTCTTCTCGATGTAGCTTCTCATGCAAACTTTCAAAGTCCTGCGCTTTCGGTTGTAAAGGACATCCGCACCAAGCTGATCATAGAAAAGATCGCCATTCTTACGCACCTCGGGCTCGATGATTTTGCCCGGAAACGCCTTCAAAACTATATCTACTTCATGCCTAAGCTCATCCTGGTCGGGGCCGGTAGCGGTGTTGTCATCTACATAAACGCCCAACTTCAAAAATTTTCCTTCAAAAACACCTGAAAGCTTCCGCCAAAGACCTTTCTCGGATGATTGTTCCCAGCCAAGTTCGATGAGTTTCTTTTCATAGTGCTTCGCCCACAGCCTCGGGGACTGTGGCAGACCATACAAAGCGCGCACTAATTTCCTTATCCCATCATCGTTTTCTGCACGCCATAGGGGCGGAAGTCGGACAAAAATTTCCGAATCGATCAAAGACTGGACAAATGCGTTGTCAATGTCAAAAAGGCAAATGGCATCACCGTTGGAAGCGGCTTCGGTCAGCAGGTAGCGCGAGGCTCCAAAGCTGATTACGGGCGCATAAGCTTCGAGATCGGAGCCAGGCTTATACAAATTTCCGAGAACCACAGCTCGGCACTTGTATTTTCCACACCTCTTTTTGGAAAATACAAGGGCAATCGGAATAGCGCCCGTTTTCTTGGCGCGCTCCATCTCTTCGTCGGTTGGTTTCCTCCACGTTTCAAAAGCCTTCAGCTTGCAATTTTCTTGGTTTGCAGCTTCCAGCCAGTGGGGTCCTTCGGGCGAATTCAAAACAGCCTTTTGGGCAAATTGCACAAAGACATCGGAAACGATTTCGCCTTCATCAAAATCATGATACAGAGACTGGGCAAAGAAGCAATCCTCGATGCTATCAGCCATCTCGGAGAAAAATGCTTCGCCTTCTTCATCTGCTGCGATTTGGGCTTTTGTGTGGCGGACACGCTGTTTGTTGTCCTTCGACCCCTTTGGTCGTCCCCGTTTTCGCCACTGCACTGGCTCCTGCTTCTTGTTCCGACCGTACACGACGTCGGGAAGGTGCTCTTTAGCAGGTTCGGGCGGGGCAGGGGCGGGAGCAGGGTCATCATGCAAACTGTCCTCACTGGCATTTTTCATATCTACATCAACAGGTAGCTCGGGCAAAAGATCAACAGGAGAGTCAACGGCGTCGGAAATGTTCTTTTGCGAAGAACTTTTGTTTTCGACATCCAAAAGTGGTAGAGGAGCTTTGACACCCCCCCCAGATCCTGAAGCAATAGAACCACCCAGATGGGAAGGCACAGGAGCACTATCCTGCGCAGAATTGACCACCTGGCTTGTATCCTTCGGACCACTGATCGCCCGCAAGATCTGGTCGTCTGAAACGACAACACCACCGGAGTACCCTGGGCGTAGCGAGTCGATATTGTCTATCAAAACTGACTCCACAAATTTCACATTGCGAGTTTCGTACACTGCCCACCTGGTGTCTCCTTTCTTTGTGTATCTATCGTCTGCGACGTAACTGCCTACCAGGTAGCATGATGAGTTTTCACAGTATCCCAGAAAGACTCCTTTCACGTACTTCGCTACAAGTTTCTTGACCTCTTCTACTGGTTGCTTCAAGAAATACGCCAAACAGCCGAAGCGGCGCATCTTGGAGTCAAAATCAGATGTCGTTTTCATCTCGTCGGGCTCTTGAGGTTCTAAGCGAGAAACTTTTCGGTCAGCTTTCAGTGACTTTCTTGCTGCGCAAGCCTCAATGGGGGACATTCCATTGTACTGAGGTGCTCGCTTGTAGGTTTTTCTTTGAATCCTGTTCCAGGTGTAAACAAAATAACTCGCGGCATAGTCCCAAAGCCTTAAGTCAACACCTACCAAAATAGCCCTTAGACCGGGACCCAGTGTACCCATAAAGCGCTCGCACACACCATTTTGCTGTGGTGTGTATGGGACAGAGTGCTCCCAGAAAACGGCGAGGTCTTGGAGAGTTGATTCCCACTTCTGTGCCCTGAATGCGGGATCATTGTCACTGCGAATGTACCAAGCAACTTTTTCGTTAGTTGCGACACTCTCTGAAGCTCGCAGCTTCAAAATGAGATCCTTTGCGACTGCGTAGGCTTGATTTTTGTGAACCAGAGGGAATTCGAAAACACGGCCAACATTGGGGCAAATGAAAACCAAAAGCCATGCATTCCCGGCAACACTGACGGGCTTAACTGGCCCCCAAAAGTCCGCATCAAGTTGCTTCAAAGGGGCTGGATCGATATACTTCTGTGGTCGTTCTTTTCTACAACCCTTCCTGCGACCCTTTGCGAGAGCGCATTCCGGGCAGAAGATATCTTCCCCTGGCACCCAAATGTGCCCACGGCGACGATGCCGGTCAAGCTTGGACAGGTAGCATAAATGCTCAAAATCCTCTACGCGGTCGGCCAAGACGCACTCTAAATCTGAATCGTTGTCAACGCGGCGCATTTTTGTACTGTCGGAAAAGCAGTTTGTCGATCGCACTAGCGAACTGCTGACAGACCCTGATGCCTGATTTAATTCATCCCAAGAAAGACTCTCAGCGAGTTCGCGATACTTAACCTGTTCCCCTTTGCCTCCAAAAAGTATCCCATCTGGAATCCAGGGCAGTTCGGGTGGGGAATTTTGTATCGGAAAAACGACCTTTGAAAACCTCGAAGAAATCGTAGATGGCTTCCCTGGCTCATCTAGATGGACTGCCCAACCTTGGCTGTTGAGGTCAGTCGTCGGCAGCAACCTACGCACTGGAAGCGCTTTGTGAAAAATTCCAACATTGTAGCCAAAGGCATTGGAACGTAGCCGACCTACACGAGGCGGGTCTTTCGCTTTTACCTCTCCACCAACTCCGTTTATCCTAACCGGGTTGGCCCTAAAGGAGACAAAATCGGACGCGACTGCAGACACAACGTGCGTCGTGCCTGAGTCCAAAACGTCGCGCGCTAATCGCGGCTTCTTTTCAAGATCTGGCCCCTGCGCGAAAATTTCTGAAAAGATTGTAGAATTGATTTTCACGTCGAAAGTTGGCATCTTGTGATCAATTTCACATCGTGTCTTTGTGTCGTCGTTCGGAACTACTTCATTATTCGCAAAGAAGTAGTAGTTCTCGTCATCATCGAAAGATGATTCTTGGTCGTTCTTGTTCGTGCACGATGAACTTGCAAACAAGCTCGAATCGTGCTTCTCGTTTTCAACAGCAAACTTGTCGTCATACAAATTCAAAACATCCATTTGATTCAAATCAACAATCGACTCTGCTTCATCAGCATCGAAACATCGATGGCAATCCGGGTCGTGGTAAAAGCAAGATGGTGATCAGCGCTTCTTCACACCACCTTTCTTGCCGTGCTTGCCGCCGGCCTTCTGCACGCCCTTATTGTTGCCCTTGCCGTTACCACCGCCCTTCTTACCACCACCTTTGCCACCGCCCTTGCCGCCACCACCACCCTGGTGGTTGTTCTGGTGGTTGTTGTTCTGGGGGTTCTTTTTCTTGTGAAAGCAGTGGCTGGTGTCGTGGTTGGTGTTGGCGCGGCAGTTGGCACACCACATGTTTCCGGGCTTGATGGGCTTGCCATCCGCGGCGCTAAACAGCTGATGACCACCGAAAAACGCGGAAGCGTTGGCACCACCGTTATTCATGTTCTGCATTTGGTTTTGCATCTGGATACTCTGCGCCATCATGCTCATCATCACCTGCTGACCCTGGCACAACGTGCCAAAAGCCTGCTGATTGTCCATCCCCGGGAAAATGTTGTTGTGGTTGCCGTCGTAGGCATTGTTGTTGTTGTTGTTGTTCCCCAAGGCCATGTTGACACGGGCCTGGACCTCCTTCTCTTGGGATGCCTGTCCGGAGGAGATAAAGTCCAACACGCGGGGAATTCCGACATTCTCCCAGTGCAACTGGGCGTCCGGGGTGGCACGCAGTTCGGACATGATCTTGCCCATGCAGTCCGGGTCCAAAAGGTGTCGCAAGATGTGGCGCATGTGGTGTTCCAGCTGGGCACCGACCGGGATGTAGTTGGGAATTTTCAAAGCCAAACTGTACTTGTCCCAAATCCACAACGTGAAGTCCGGGGTGTCCTTACCGCCCAAAGTAAATTTTTCCGTGGTGAACTTCGCGAACATAGCAGCTTGGTCGATCTGGTTGTTCTCCTGGCCCCACTGACGCTTCAAAAAGCGGAAAACTTGCAGAGCGCCAGTTCGTTGGGCACCCTGGACCAAGAGAAGCGCGTCACCCTGGATTGCGGCGGTAAAAGCGGACTCCAAATTGTCCCAGCCTGGCTTGTTGGCGGGCGGTCAAAGCGGGCTGAAAATCCACCAAGTTGTCGTCTGCCATAAAGGCAGCCCATTGGGCGGGGACCTTGACGACGTTGATGATGTTGCTGCGCAAACGCCATTCAAAAGTCTCCCACTCGGCCTTCTTGTGGATCGGCACGAGCTCGACCTTCGCGCCCGAATTCGCCATGTTGTCAAATTTGTGCTGTTGAAGTCCCGCTCTGTGGGTGGTCGGGACGTGGTAGTTGTTTGTCTTGAGGATTGCCCGCGGCCAATCACCAACGCAAAATGGAAAAGAAGGGAAAAAAAAAATGTTTCTGCGTCAAGCTCTAGGCAGAATGTTAGAGCCTGAACACGTGAGAACGAAAGGAGAGAGGAACCACGTCAAGGTTGAAGGTTCTGAAAGTTCTCAAATCGGTCCAGTGACTGAGTTCACTGCCTCGAGTCTGTAAAGTCGTACCAAAGTGTTCAAAGGGTTCAAGTCGTGATCTTGCTCACGACGAGCTTATGAAGACGAGACACAAAGACGCGAGGATCTGGATCGGGTGGAACATCGAGCGTACTGACAGTAAGTGAGTGGACGCCGAAACAATGCCATCCGTGGCTAAGGACCATAGCTCCTCTGGGCCAGCGCCGCCCACGCAGATCCAGGTCATCCCGAAGAAGAAGGATGCCAGTGGGCACTTGCGAGCGACGCCGTGGGATCCCTGGGACCTCCGGGACTTTGACGCGACGCTGGAGCTCGTGTACCCCACGCAGATGGAAATCCCGGACGAGCCCCCCTCGGACTTGCAGATGCCGGTATCCGAAGAATACGAGTATTACCGGCTGCTCAGTCAGAAGAATTTACTGAAAATCCGGGACCTAATGTCGCGGGTGTCCGAGCACGATTTTCACAACCTGCTCGGCAGGAGGTTTCAGTTTGAGCTGGACATGCAGCTGAGCAAGTGCTTCGACGAGTGCAGTAAGTTCCTCTGCGAATACATCCTGGACGTGATCAGCCGGTACTTTCAGGGAAAAATGCTCTCCGACAAGGTGAAAAAAGAGTGCGACGCGAAATTAGCGGACAACGGGGCGCAATTGCAGGCGGCTATTGCGGATTTCGAGGCGAAGCGGAAGCATTTAGAGGAGGTGGAGATCAAGCAAAGGAAAGGGTTTCTGAAGGAAACTATGGCGTTAAGAGAGGCGTTGAAGAAAACAAAATACGACGGCGACCCCGTGGCGAACGCAAGCGAAGTGCCGATGTACTACGAAAGTCAGGAGGACCTGAATCCGGATATCAAGGAGCTTGTGAACGCACTAGTGCAGGAGCAACTGCAATTGCAAGAGGAGGCGAGCGCAAAACAAAAGGAAAAAATGAGGTACTGATTTTCATTTTTGTTGGGACAGAAACTGAATGAAAATACGTTTGGAAGTTCTGATCTTTCTGATAAAAAAGTGCATGATGGAGATGGGCGGGCGTCTTTGCAGCTGCTCGGAACACGAAAGGAAAGCCTCCTCCAGTGTACTGGAGCCATTTTTTTTGAAATAATTCCAACAGGGCCCAATTCCACGCGGAGCACGAAGAGCAAAACTTCGCCAGCCAGCAGGCCGACATCAAAGAGCTGATGCAGCAGCTGCAGAAGGCAAAGGACCAGCGGGATCAGGCCAAGGAAGTCGCGAACGATCTGCGGGAGGAGATTGATAAGATGCGAAGAGACCTGAAAGACACGCAGCAGAAGCTGCAAGTCTCCGAGGCCGAGGTCGCGGAAGGCGGCGCGCGCGGGAGAAGTAGCGCGCAGTCCGCGCGGGCGGAACAGGCGGCCGCCATGAAAGCCGAGCAGATGGCGGACGAACTGGCAATGCTCAAGCGGCAGCTCCAAGAAACGCAGGAGGAGAACGTGTCTATGAAAGCGGCCGTGGAGGCAGGCGGAAAGGCCGGTGGTGCGGCAGGCGGGAAAGCTGGCGAGCCAACCATGAACGAGATGAAGTTGGAATTGGAGAAGATGAAACGACAGCTAAACCGGGCGGAAGAGGAGAAAGCGGCGATGAAACTGCACGCGGCAGAAGAGGTAGCGGCCGCGAAGAAGTCCGCCGCGGACGCGTCAAGACAGGCCGCTGCCGCCGAGCAAGCGGCGGCCGCCGGGGGCGCGGGAAAAAGAGGCGGCGCGGGCGCGGCGGCGCAGGGTGACCTCAGTCCCAGCGCCATCACAGACCCAGTGCAGTCGCACGCGCGGATCAAAGACCTCGAGGAGCAACTGCGGCAGCGAGACGCGAAGATCGCAAAGTCGGAACAGAAGAAGGAGACGGAATCGAAAGACCTCGCTGCGAAGACGGAGGAGGTGCAGCAGCTGCAGGTGGCGCTGGAGGAACTGCGTCTCCGGGTCGTGAATTTGAAGGATCTCTTGAAGAAGGCTGGCGTCGAAACGTCCGCCATGAAGGACGCAGGCTTGGACGACGTAATCCAGGGCGGCCCCGCGGGGAAGTCAATCGGCTACGACAAGTACAAATTCTGGAAAACCTGGGACCGGCTGTACCAGGACGCGCGGGACCGGATCGTGCGGTTACAGCAGCAACAACAGGAGGCCTGGAACGAAAAGGAGAAGATCTTCCTGCAGATCTACTACAGCATCATGGGCGAGGAATACACAAAGGAAAAGGCGGAAGCACTGAAGGGAGATCCCTACCCCGCCTCGCCCCACGCGTCGCCAAGGACTTCGCCGTATGATGTTTTCTCTCGATCTTTTTGTTCGGATGCTGGTGCCCGACTAAGTGAAATGTTTTTCAACGTGTTTGTAGACGTATGCCTGGTTTGTTCGAAATTTTGGTTGAAGACCTTGCATTCATTTTATCCACAACAGTGGCGCCGTCATCAAGAGGCACAAGGCGTTTTCGAAGCTGTTGTATGGAAAGATGTCACCAAATCTGGCCCGCGCAGACTACGAAGAATGGAAGGCCGACGTGGAGTGGGCCAAGGAAAGTCCGCGCGAGGCCACGACAAGCACGGTGGAAGAAGATGTTTCCTTTGCAGGACCCGGCGACGTCATCCAGGGTGCCATTGGAAGCACGCCGATTAAGAGCCCGAACAGGACGAGGGTATTTCTAGCGATTCGCTATGCTGCACAACAAGAAAGATTGATGCGCAGAAGGTGTTCAATTATGAAATTCAAAACCAAAAGTCGAAGCTCTCTTCGACGAACCTTTCAAATGAAATTCTAACCAGGATAATTTCCAGCACCGGAAGGATGCCTCTGGTCGCTGGGTGGGTCCGCCCATACCGAACAAATTCTCGCCGAAGCCGAAGTCGGACGGAAAATCGTTCGTGATCGAATCTTCGCGCGTAGGGCAGAAATTGCACGGGAAACTCGGTGTGAAGGAGTACTCCTCCACAGGAAAGGTCGTCGACGCGAACTTTGTCGAGGAGAGCTACCAGATCACACAGAAAATCTCCCCGCGGGAAAAGGCGCGGAAGTCCGAAGGCACGCGCGCCCGGGGGTCGCCGCCGCGATTCGCGCCACACATGCACGAAGGACCCGTGGTGCAGAGCCCGAAGATGTTCGAGATCGAACTGCAGCCGCCCGGCAGCCGCCAGCAGCGCAACATGGTCACAGAAAGAGAGCAAGAGGCGGCCATGAGGTCGTCACACGGAGGAAGTGTTTCACAAACCTCGTCCCCCGCACGCACGCGGATGGACGGCTTCAACCGTAAGAAAGTGCCGCCACTCAACGTGACGTCGAGCAGCGAAGTGAAGGAAGGCGAGATTACCACATTAGACGCGCTGCGCGCCTACGTTAAAAGTCCGTCAGGGAAGAGTAGCAGCCCCATGCACACGACTTACGAAAAGAAAGCGCCGCTGGTGTACGTGAAAGGTACATTCATACGGACGAATTCTTATTCTTACGTCGGTGATTTTATCATGCGGGCAGCAGTGTTGTGAGAGAGTGAAGACCAAGACGTGCACGTTCCATCACTCAATTTTGCGATGATAATGGCGCCTGTGTCTCTTTTGAAATGAGCAAAATCACATCAAATTTGAAATTCAGGCGTGGAGCGGCGGGGACACTCGCATTCGCGATCGCCGCGAAGTGACCGACAGCGAGCCAGCGATATTGCACTGGAACAGGCAGCGTACGGAGAGAAAGTGTCGCCGATCAAGAGCTTTGAGAAAACCATGGCGAAAGCCTCGGTGACGGATCCACTAGGGTTGAAGGAGCAGGCTGTGGAACGGGCGAAGCGCGAAAGTGCTTATCAGGCCGCCGCCGTTAATCTTGCAGCAGCGGAGCAGCACCAGACCAGCGAGATGCGGGAGGCCGCTGAGCTGGTACCTTTGTTTGATGTGTGATCCTCGCTTGTTTTTTGTTGTACGTTCAAAATCTTTATCTTGTCGTGTATTTCGATCGTAAGTATGCAGACTTACTTTCAAATTCAATTTCCTCCAGGCCGCGGCGCAGCACCTAGCCCGGCAATCGCTGGCCAACTCGCTTGCGGAAGGGCTTCTCGTCCCGGTGGCCAAGGTCGGAGACCAGAACACCGTCCGCGTGCCCGGTAAAACCGTGGGCGCTGTCGCACCCTCAAGTAGCCATTTCATCGGCATTGAACGACCGCCAGGGCGGCGGGTCCGTTCCAAGGAGGGCGGCGGGCCGTCGGGGAAGAATTCCAAGCACAGCACGCAGTCGGAATTTAGCCCTCCGCGGCAAGTGCTGCAGCAGACGGAGGCCAGCGGGAAACCGCTGAAAGCGGCAGGACAATCTTCGGGCACGATAATAACTCTGAATGACCCCTTCGCTATGGGGGACCAGCAACATCAGCCGGCGAGCACGAAGAATCAAGACAAGAAAAAGGTTGGTTTGAGCGCCGCGGAGGCAGAGGAGCTACAGGAACAGCAGCTGGATATGGTCATGATGCAACGCGATGCGCCTCGGGGAGGGAAGGTTTTGCACTCCCAAAGCAACTCCCCCAGAGTGAACCTGGATGCTGCGAGCAAGTACTTACTAACTTCTATCGGTTTTGCTTTCGACAGCGTTGTTGGCTTTCCCGACGTCCGAAGTAAGTTAGTGTGAAATAAAACTTTGTGCAAACTAAAGTTTAGCATGACATCCAAAATCAAAGGTGGATCCGTCTGGAGCCGCCTGCTTACGTATCTCCGCATGAGTCCAGGGATCCATCGAAGTCACCGCGTCGGGACGGCACGGGTCACCTGCAGCCACTGAATCTACACGAGGTGCCGGCTCCGCCAAACTCCATCCGCGTGGAGGGCCACAGTCCCCGACCCGGCCAAGCAAAGAAGCCGAAACCCCCCGAAGATCAGACAGGAAAGGAGTTTCCGTAATAGTCACATCTTGTGTGATGACAATGACTCAATTCGGGTTTGCGGTGGTTCTGCTTTTGCATAAAATGTATGATCTTCCCACAACTGATTATCTGAATCAGTGACTGTGACAGAAAGTTCTTTTTGCAGGAATGTAATTGAAGCCATTGTAATTGAGGTAAACCAAAGGACGCTTGCGTTTCAATAAAAGTTTCAAGTATCAGCAGACTCCCTAAGAACAGAGCCCCTGCAAGATCACTCACAGGAATATCCCCATTCCTGCGGCAATATTTTACCCGTTGTTTGTACCAGACGAGCCACCTCCCAGAAAATTCAAATTTTGCATCGGACGAAATAAAATACTTGCGGAAGCCAAGACAAGCTTTCCGTGTTCTGTGAATCTAGCATGTACTGAAGAATTAAGTATTGCTTCAAAGAGAGATCGCAACGAAAACCGGCAGCATGAGAGAGAATCGAGGGCGACGTAGCTCCAGCTACAACGTAGCTCCAACTACAACCAGTTCGGTGTGTGTTCTTGTATCCATAACGACCTTCCTTGTCGGTGTGCCTGTGCCACAGGTTGTACAGACAGTAGAACTGAGCTGTACGTCAAACCAAAGTAAGAAGTACTACTGCGCAAAGATTCAGTGACGTACGTCGAATTTCGGGGCGGGAAATCGATGTAGAGAATCGCTCCGTAAGTGAGAGACAGGACGAAATAACATCGCAACGATTTCGTGGGGGGCGGTGCCATACATAACACGTGTTTAAACTGACACGTCCTTCATCGTTGCAGAAACCACAACGAACTCATTGTAAAATCACCCTTGTTTAGGTACTCTTTTTTCTCGTTTCAAAGGGAGAAACAGAAGCTCAGTTTTGTTAAGATGACGTCCACGTTGTTGGCTGCGCTGCGGGCGCAGAACAGCGCTGGAGCCCTTGCAGCTGCAAAAAACTTCTCCCCCCTCACTGAGGCCGTTTTTACGGGAGATGTCGAGCGTGTTCAGAAAGTGTACAAGGATGAGAAGATAAAGGTAAGCGTGATATCGAAAGGACTTTTTTGAAGTGTTTTGATTCGTTGTTGCTGAAAATAAGTATATGATTTACGTGCTCCGATGGCAATGGCAAAGCGCAGGAATTGAAAAATTGAAACAATCCCGAAAATCCAGGTTGACCAGAAGGATGCTGACGGTTGCTCACCCCTGATGCACGCGGCAGAGCAAGGCTACCTCGACATATGTGAATACCTCGTTTCGCAAGGCGCACGAATAAACGGAAAGGACGACATAGGAGAAAACGCACTCATGAAAGCAGCAAAGGTACCGATAGCACGATGAATGTGATCCCTGAGGTTTGCAAAGAATACTTATTCGCGAGTGACGATGAATAGCAGCACCAGGAGGCTCCTTAATCTCCTCGAACTGCAAGCGAAATCACGGGAAAAAAACCAAAACAGGAAGGGAACATTGACATCATGCAGTTTTTGATAACTGCAGCACTTGCCAGTTTGCCAAAAAAGCTGGGAAGCTCCGGAGAGGTGGGACAAAGGGAAAGATCGCGAGTGGTCGATGCCAAGGACGACGAGGGAATCACCGCATTAATGAAAGGTAGAGAATGAAAGTAAAACAAGTAGCGCTGTTTCTCATGCAAATCAATTTGAAGCAAAAGCAATTCACTTCCTATGTTTCTCCTATTCGATTCTCAAATAAAACACATTGTTGTGCGCGATCGGGATTCAAAAACTTATCAGCATCCGAATGCGGGGAGTACGACACTGTGCGATTTCTCTTGGAGCAGGGGGCCAGCGTAGAAGCAAAAGACGATGAACAGTGGAACGTCGTCATGTGGGCCGCGGTCGCTGGCCAATATGAAATCTGCGAGCTTTTGGTATAGTTTTGTTACCAGGCCTCGTTTATTTTTTTACTGCGTTGTATTGTAGTTAGCTGAAGAAGATTTCGAATCAGCATTTGTTCGTGCTTTTGCAAGCTGCATCAAAATCGTACATAAGTAAAAAACTAAATTTCGGCTCAACAGATCAAGCAGTACTCCGTCCCAGGGAACTATGTTACAGAGGGTGGTGAAAGTGCACTGTCAAAAGCGGCTGCCAACGGTCACACGGAGGTGTGCGAATTGCTCTTGGCGGAAGGCGCAAAAGTCAATCAGACCGACTCAAAGTAACGGCTTTCTTTTCTTTTTCTTTGCTTCTTCATCTTGGTTTTAAATGTATAATGAAGACGAAATAAAGCTTACTCTGCCTGGCATGCTGATTCATCCTGAGGGACAGGAAAAATAATTATGCGATGATGTATCACCGAATCTGAATGTGATTGTGAGCTCAACTCTATCAGTTACCAAACCGCGCTGATGTGGGCCGCATCGGAGGGACACAGGGAAACCGTGGAGGCTCTCATCAAGAACGACGCGAAGGTAGACCCGGCGACCAGGACGGGGAAGACTGCCCTGCACCTTGCCTGCCGAACAGGGAGAACAGACGTACTGTCACTGTGTTTTTAGTCTCTTGTCTTCAATTTTTCCATGCATAAGCAGTACCATAATAGATGAAACAAAGCCACAAAGTCAGCGGCTCTACTGCGCTCTCTACCATGCAGCGAGCCATAAACTGCACTCACAGGTCGTCGAATACCTGCTTACAAAGATGGACAAGATCGACCAAGTGGACGAGGACGGTCGAACCTGCCTCTTCGACGCCGTGTCACTTTCGGACGAAACGCTCTGCTCCATGCTCCTGGATAAGGGACTGGATATCAAGTACTGCTTTTTTTTGAGAATTTCTGGTATCATCAAGTTTTTTCGTGTCTGCACTACGACAATTTAATTTTTGCAAATCGATGCGTTTGTGTAAGTGTATGTGTAGTGTATGCTGTGCCTACTCCCTCGGAAACGGAAGAAGTATTGGTACAAGCACGCAGTACCATCAGCCCCAACAAAAACTACAGCAAAACGAACAAGCGTGGTGAGACGTGCTTGATCGCTGCAGCGACGGAGTGCCCCGCGTTTTTCATCAAGTTTTTGATGGAACGCAAAGCCAATTTGAACAAGCAGGACGAGAGTTCCAGGACCGCGCTGGATCATGCAGAAGGTGCCTTGAACTCCGCTGTGGTCACACTGCTGCGTGAATCTGGTGCGTCCCGCGCGGCAACCGTCATCTTTCGGGACGACGTGGATGATGATTGAGCGGTTGCGGTCGGATGACTACAAGAGCAACGTCAAATTGTATTTTTTCTGCAAGGCGGAGCACACACTATCTCTTACTCTTGCGCTTGAAATGCATAGCTTTCTAGCTTGCCTTTCCGAGCACAGTGCTCTTTGCCTGGTAATTGCAGTTAAACGAATCCAAGATTTATTTTCGATATCACACAGCAGCTGCTTGCATGCAGCTCCAGACAAGATTGTGATACACTCTTTGCTAGCATCAAACCTTATCAAATAGACTTATCAGACTACACCAGACCAGAATCAATCCAAGATTACGAAAAGTTTTATCAGACAGCAGACTTTGAGTTTCAATCGGTTAAAGCTTTAGCAGACTTTGACTAGAGAGAAGGCTCGCGGTATATCCCAGTGAGCTCAGCAGGGAGTGGGTGTCCTCAAGATTGTCACAACCTGATTTCCTCTGATCTTGAGGTCACCTATTCCGAATTCTACCCTCTTTTTCCTCGCCTTTGTTCCAAACTCTCCGCCCCAGGTTAGCACCCACAGACTCTATGCAGGAGGAGCTCGTTACGAGTCAACTCACTTCCAGTACCTTACACCGAACTTTCAATATCCTTGTCAAAAATTTTACGCAATTGTGATTACAACAATCTCAAGGTAATTTTATCCTTATACCAACTATCCTGAAACGCACTTGAAACAGATTTGTTATATGCGAAGAACTGCTTGATGTCGCTACGAAGATCGTCTTCGTCGTTTTCAAACGATTATTGCCTAGCAAACAGAAACCAGCAGCTCAGGACAACATTCCGATCTTCCTTGTCGCGGTGGAGGAGGAGCGAGGAGCTGATTCCGATTAGCGGCGGTATGCAGGCGGAGTGAATGTCGTGTACATTATTTGATTGAGCTACAATGCAAATGTCCTCAACTTTTTTCCGCTCGTGGTTTCAATTTTCATTTTCAGCAGTGCAAAAAAAAAATAAGTACACACACGATTGCACTTGCTACTCACTGGGTAGTCTTGGAAGTTCCACGTTTGTTCTTTTTCCCGGGAGTATTCGATTTTGTGTCGTTCTGCTTCGTCGTTTGAGGGAGTTTTCGCAGTTGATTGTTCTGAGAAGTTTTTCGGGTTCGACTGTGAACGTGAATCCACGATAGAATGAATGGGTAGCAGTGAGAGTTGTCGTTGTCGAGACGAGAGCGGGACAGCGCTCGGACAATCGTCTTCTTGAGCGAGCTTTTCGTGTCGCCCCTTTCGTTTTGCCTTGTTGATTCCAATTATGCTCGCAAGAGAAAATAAGCCAGAGTCAGCCGTGATCTAGTAGGAAATGGGCTGGTTGTGACACGGCGGACAGAGGATGGCTGGGCAGGACAAGGCGTGAATCTTCAAAGGATCTCGTTTGAAGGAGGTCCAGGGTAAACAAACATGGTGGGCCCTGCGAATATTCCGGGCCGAAGCGGGGTGCCAGCACCTCCGGCGGACCTGGCACCATCCGGGCACAGTATCGAGGACCAGATACGCTTCCACTACTTCAGCCCCGCGCCAAACACCTACAATCCAAACGTACTGATACTCGATGTTTTTGCTTCTCTAGTAAAGAACTCTAACACTGTTGGTCCTCTCTGTCTTAATGCGAGAACGCTCATCTGCAGCATGGAGATGGACATCGGTTTCCTTGAAGCTTATTTTTGTCTAAAGAAACGCAAACGCACAAACAGCTCCCGCCAAAGAAGCAACAGCTGGATAACGGGCTCATAAAGGATGGGAAGCATCCAAGCTTCACGGATCTATCGGGGGCGGATATACCCGGACCCGGACAATACTCGGCTTTCGTCTACGAACCAGGTGACATGCCAATGCCACAGGGAGGCCGGGTTTACCAAAAAGATAGGACAAAGGTATGATACTTTGTTTAGAGTGTTGCAGCAGCGATCGCGATTGACGACTACAGTGAATGCATGGTTGCATAACTTTCGACTTCGATTTTGAATGAAACACGAAGAAGGAGACGAAATTTTGTTTACAATCTTCAATCAGGTGATGCAAGGCAAGGGTCTGATCGGTCCGAAGCATGCGGCGCGCATGCTGAAAGAGTATGCGGGGGCAAAGTTTCCTGATCCAGGAACCTACTTCCCAGACGTGACCAACGTACGGCCGCGATTGGCAAAACTCGACAAGTTCGGCAAGCAGCCAAAGTTTCCGAGGCCATTCCGGTCCACGATGGACGGTCCAGGGGTAGGGAAGTACGACGTCATGTCTGCACAGGAATTTCTTGACCCCTTCGTACCAGAGGGCGGAAAAAACTGGCTCAACCAGCACAAGCCACAGCACGGCTATTTTGACGAGGCGACTTTCGTAACGCAAGCAAATCCGGGCCCGGGGGCATACACACCACAGATGCTACCAGGTTAGATGTTTTCGAAAAAGAGAGCAATTGTTCGCATCTTTTGTAGTTTCTCATCCGCATAATTTCAACAGTACAATGCTGACATTGGAAAAAAAAGCAGATTGATGGAAATTTTTGCTTTCAGCCCGCCGCGATTTCGCCCAGGAGGCATTCCACCATACTACGGAGACTATGGAGGAGTCAAAAGCGTTAGTGAAGAAGCACACGTCTTCTGACGCACCCGGTCCCGGACAGTATTCCCTCCCCGAGCTACCGTCGTTAAGCCAAGCTCCGAAAATTGTCGGTAGGACGCTGCCCTACGCCGTGCCAAAGCCGTTCAGCTACAATGCTCAGCCCGACATGGCGAGGAAATTTCAACCGCTGCGAAGCAGCAACAGTGGAGATTTGATCTATGGTAGGAGCTTCAAGTCAGGTATAAAAGTGTATTGCTGGATGAAGAATTTTGTCGCGTTACACTTGTGGACTCGGATAACAATTCAAGAAAGGGTAAGAGTACAACGTCAATGGAAATTGCAAATCAACTGTGATATGGTCTCATCCCCAGGTCAGCAAATGTTGCAGAACTATCCCTCACACTCGTCGAGCACGCGAAATGGGGCTCCAGACGGACCGCCGGCGATTGGCACGTATAGTCAGCGGCAACTGGCCGACCAAGCGAAAAAGAAGCAGAAGGATATGGAGAACGAGCAGATTGCGATGGACGAACATAGGATCGCACGGAAGGAGAAAGAATTGTCCGAGAAACCGGGGCAGAACAAGTGGGTCGAGGGCGGATTCGAAATGTTCGACCTGGAACCGATGTTCGACACGAATGGGCAACCAATTAAGAAAAAAGCAGAGCCCTCGCACGTATTGAGAATTTTTGTGTGTAGTGGTCGTTTTTTCATCGCTGTTCTTCAGCTTTGCATAGATAGTGAGTTTGTTTTGAGAAGAGGTTTAGCGTCACTGGCGTGTCGGTGTCGGAGGATAAAAAACTTCCCCCAATAAAACAGTCGCCAACAGCCAAGAGTCCAAACCGAGTAGACTTTTTGACCGCAAAGCCAGCAGACATCGCGGATGAGCATCCTGCGGTTCTGCGGGCAGCTCAGAACTATCAGCAGATGGCAGGAAAGATCTACAAACCTATTAAGGGCTTCCTTCCCGGTGCGGCGAAGCGGTATTGGTTATGTTTGGTTTTGCAAATCTCACACTATACTCTCTCATCCTTTTTTATGATTTCGCTTCACTGATCCGTAGCAATTTTTTTACTGAATAAATTCAAAATAACAGGCCGGTCGCGATTGATCCGTCGGACGACTCCAACATGACATTGAGCTTCGATGTCGGCCGCAAAGAGTACATCGGCATCACAAAGGCTTTGAGAGACGCAACAGAAGATCTTATCCAACACATGAAGGCGGAATTGCCCATGGAACACTTGCTGCATCATTCCGAAAACTCACTCAGAAATAAAGCGCTGCGAAAAATGAACCTCGACGGCATTAGGCCTGCGGTAATAATGAAGATTTTTTTTTTGTGAAATTTGCGGCAAATAATAATGAAATGATTGCGAACAACTTATCATGAAAATGAAATTGCGCAGCTGGAAAAGTTTGAGTTGCAACATTTTAAAGATTGCTTTTTCCCTCAACATAAGGTTTCACGCAAAGTGCTGGCTGAGATGCCCAGGCTTTTTGAGAAGCCAACAGATACACGAGCGCGCCTGGAGGCAGAGGCACACGAACTGCAGGCTCTTGCGAACGCCCCGGTCGTCGTCGAGATACCGGGAATGAACGCTCCAGAAAGACCGGATTCGTCAGAGTACTTTCGTCGTATCTTTTGGCTTTTTGCGTACGATGGAGTCAGCTTGGGTCAAAACGGAATTAGGTATGTGAGATCGAGTACTTATCTGTATGATTGTCACCATTCACAGGCGTCCTGCGGACTCCCCACAAGCGGAAGATGCACAGCCGCATGAGCCAGCGGCGGCGGACGCTTTAGCCTCGACGGACCAGGTCGAAGCCAGTGTGCGGGAGGGTGCGCACGAACAGCTTGGGCAGACCACTTCGCTCACCGTTTCCCAGCGGCCCGAGGGATCCAGCATGGTGCTAAACGCCGACTCTATCGAGGCCGGCGCCGCGGTGGCCGGACCAACAGAGCACATCGATATTTTCCCCACCCAGGAAGGCTCGCTTGACGGGCCTTCGCTGCAGAGTACGATGAGGGAGGAAACGCAGTCTGCCATGCAGTCAACAGTGCTGGAAGGGGCGCAACCCTCGACACTACTCGAGACGCTACCGGAGGAGCAGGAGGTAGCGGCCGGTGAGCAAGCCACCCCTGCGGCAGAGGGCGGGGAGGCCGCAGCTCCGGGCGCCGAAGCAGAAGCACCTGCGGGAGAGCAGGAGGAGGCTGCTGCGGCTGGCGAAGCTGCAGCGGAACAAACCGAGGGTGTGCATGAAGGCGAAGATACGGCCGGCGGTGCTGCGGAGGGCGAAGCTGACCCGGCCGCTCCAGCCACAGAAGAGGCTGCGCCTCCAGCAGAGGAACCAGAATCTGCAGCGCCGGTGGACGCGGAAGAGAAAGCGGGCGGCGCTGGTGACGCGGAGCAGACTGAAGGTGACCATGCGTCCATAGAGCGGGACAACACGGCGGAAGCCACCCCTGCACCCGATGAGACAGCAGCTCCGGCGCCTGGGGACGAAAACAGGCCCGACACGGCGCAAACGGAGAATGCGGAGGGTGCGGCACCAACGGGGGAAGATGAACCCGCAGCGGAAGCGGAAGTATCTCCACCACCAGAAGAACAACCTGCCGAGGAAAGCAAGGAAGCAGCTGCAGCACCACGACCTGCAGTCGATGTGGACGCGGAGGCCGAGATCGCCGCGGAACCCTCGCCGGGCGGGACCGAACTGTCCTTGGCGGAGGCTGACGACCATGTCGGGCCCCTCGCGTCAGAGGTCGCTACGGGTCAGTCGCTCTTGGACCAGTCCGTCTTAGACGCGGAATTGCCAAAACCGCCAGAATATCAAATGTAAAAATGTCTGGGTCTGGAAGAATTCATGTTTGTCATGCTTGTCTGGCATGACTCTTAAATCTGTCATGCACGTTACCCAAGAGCTCCGCTTTTCTGTGATGCAGAAGCGCAGTTTGTCATGCAGAATAGGCAACACCTAGGAGCTCAGAAACTTGTCATGCTGAGCCAGCATTTGTAGCCTCATCATGAGACGCCACCCAGCACTACAAGTTTCCAGACCCAGACATTTTTACATTTGATACAGAACCGGCTCCCGACATGGAAGCGGAGCACACGATCGCGCCCATGGCAGGCGTATCAAATGTAAACGTGTCTGGGTCTGGAAGAATGCGCGATTTGTCATGCAGCTTTTCCATGACCCATGAGGTCTGGAATGCAGGACCTAGCATGACAGATTCTGTGCGATCTCTCTCATGCCTATCCTGCATGAGAAACCCCCTCCCGATTTGGTCAAAACTCGACGACTTTTGGTAATCATGCAACACAGATTTTTGCATGCTTCAGATCTAGCATGACAAGTTCCAATTCTTCCAGACCCAGACATTTTTACATTTGATAAGGCGCCGACGGCGAAGATTTTGACGTCGACTAGCCGGTCTTCGACTTTCTCCAAATGAACCGAGTTTTTCGCTCGCTAAAAACGAACTTCGATGCGAGAAAAAAGTTTGTCAACCAGTGTCTATAATACAGAAAACCAATCGTCTCTTCTTCTAATAGGCCGAATGAACAAAACAAAAACTGACCTTTAACTTGAAATGCAAAATCAGAAGCCTGACCTAGTACTAGAAGGTCAGTAAGGGCTCCTTCTCTCGATTCGTATTTATGTTGCAGTTTCTTACATCAACAACTTTGCTTTTTGTCAAATATGCTTCTAGTATACTCAAATCTTCATTTGAGTCAATTAGGATTTGTTAATCAAGCAGAAATGCACATCGCTTTGTCGAATAGGATTACAAGAACACGGGCGGCAGATGTTGCGGACAGCCCGAATAACTGGACATGTACGATAGAACATAAACTTGGATGGCGCACTCGTCAGAAAACAGCGAAACAAAAAAGGGAGCTCGCCTCTATTCCGAAGGAGCAATGAATCAGCTGGTGTTCTGACAGTTGATTGTGTTGCTGATCTCTTTGATTCTTTTTCGTCTTGCTGATTGTTTTGAATTTTTCAGGGTCTCGAAGATTGGTTTTAGTACGTTCTGACGAGGTTTCCCGCGCTCAAGAGTCAGTGAGAAAAAATGTTGTCGTGTTTCAATTTTGTTCGTTTCCTGTTTTGGTTCTTTCCAGTTTCGCTCACGTTCCTAGAACTACTGGGAACTACCACGCATCAGACCTGTCCGACGGCATTGATTCTCGCATCAGCGACGCCACCGTCGCTGCGCGTCGGGACCACCTTCGGCCGGGAGCATCCTCTGCCTTACTTACGACGGGCTACAACTTTTTCGTTTGGCGAGGAGCATCTGGCACGAGTTTCCGCTGCTCTGGAGCGACCAGCACCGCAGTGCGAACCGGCAGGCTGCAGCATAGCATCTTTGCTGCCCGTGCGGCAAGTCGTAGCGGAAAAGGAAATTGAGCTCACGCACATGCCTCGTGTCGACATCCGCTTTCATTTGGTTTCGGGAGAGGAGCTCTACCGCACCGTAGTACTGGCCAAGGCGCTCGTAGGGCCCCTGCGAAAACAGACACAGGACAAGTTCGTTGCCCACAGAGGATGGTCTGGCCGCCCACTATTCGTTCATTTAGCGACGGCCGACGGGAGGACTTTGCGAAGCGCTGATACAATCGCGGCCTGTCTAGTAAACAAGGAGAACAAGGAGCAGGCACGTGCGACGAAAAGTGCTACAACCGTCGAAGACGTAGAGGAGGAAGCACAGAGTATCGGAGACGAGAAGAGCGGCACTGCAGGGGAAGAGGTTATTGTACCTCAGATGCAAATACAGCCCCGATTTCTTCAAAACCGCGGAGCGGTCGAACAAAGCGGGTCAGGAACAACGGTTCCCCACACGACAACACCAAGGACACTCTCAGACACTTCCTTCGACCGAGAAGTTGTTTCCAAATCTGCGTTTTTGACCGACCGAAACCACAAGACGCCGAGTGTTGACACCTGCTACATTACCGTCGTGCCGGTAGATGCATTGGAGCATTTTGGGAGCCTGCAAGAGCAGCAGAACAATCTTGAGCGGAGGTCGAGGGCAGCGCCACCGGAAATCGAGCTTCCGGAGGAGGATGACTACATGCAGGACTATTGGAACGGGCGCATACCACAGTTCTACGACTGTTGGGTACCGTATGACCTGAGTCCGTTTTTTCCGGGAATGGATATTTCGCCGCCGGCGGGGTACATGTCGGCGTACTACTGCTCGCCGTGGGTACATACGTAGTGAAGCAGGGCAGCTAGATTTTCGCTGTGATAGAGTGAGTAGCTCGAGAATAAAGAGTCTAAATGTCAATGCGTAATGTTAATGTATACTGTCGCTGCTACTGAACTGTTTGCCAAAGAAACTCGATGATTTCGGTTTGCTGCTTCAAAATTCAAGGTGGAGATGACCGCAACTCCCTTTCCCGTGCGGACGGTCTTGGTGTCACTAAGTTAGTACCTAGCTAAGAAACACGTTGCCACTCGTGCAAACTTTTTGCACCACGACCACCGCCACGTGCAGATGTACTTATGTTAGCGTGAACGTGTTCCGCCAATCATTTGGCCCCTGCATATTACTGATTAGTCGCTGCGTTCAGAGGACCCACAGGCTTCCTCTGTTGACGAAGAACACTGCCAACGCCTAAGATGGCCAAACTTTCCCGCCGAGAAATTCGCAGCGCGTTGCGCAGGGTTGAAGCGCGTGCCTTGCGTGTGGAGCGCGCTGCGGGCCGCCTTCGTTTGAAGGTGAGCGACTTGGTTCAGGGCCGCGCCGGGTCCGACTCCGAGGAGACGAGCGCGGACCTTGAGCATTTGCGTGCAGGGCCATGCGTATGTGTATGCTCTCCGTCAGCGTCCTCGCGTTTTCTCGGTCAGTGTTTTTAATGGCCACGGCCTAAAAAAGTCCTCGCAAACGGATGACCGCGGCCAGCTCATACGACTGCACGAGCCCCCTCGGTCGGTGGGTTGGTAGGTTGGGGCGAATGTCCTGAACTTGCATGGGTAGGCTTGTTTTGAGTTTCTAGACAGCGAGGAAGGCGCGGCTTTCCGTCGGGCCTGCTTTGGAATAGTCTACAAAAGCCGGGGCCGGGGAGGATCTCGATGAATAACTTGCGGGGGGGGGTTTCGCGCAGCATTCTGCTGAAAGTTTTAAATGTGGCGACCGTCGGGCGCGTCGGCCGGTTGCTTTGAGGGGCGCAGCTTCTGTCGCCTTCCTAGGGCGGGCGTAGGGGCCCCGCCAAGTAGTTGGGCGGAGGAACGATTGGCCGCGGAAGGCCTGGCGGCTACGTATGGGGCGGGGCCCTTTCGCTGGGTGGCTTGGCCACCGCCGCCCTTTTTGCCACTAAGATAAATAGAAGGCCCGCCCCCCTTGCCCCTTGCGCCTGTTTTGCCATTTGCCCAGGCCCGGGGGAATGAGGGCCCATGGTTACCCGAAGGCTTTGGGCACATTGGCGCGCCCAGATGCTTGGAGGAGGCCGGGCGCGGTCTGGTGCTCCTGTTGGCGTCTTGGATGTGGAGAACCTTGGGGCGCCGAGCGAGGGAAGCCAGCGCCTTGCAGCGTGGACCGAGGCCGTGCGGTATGGAAGGCGCCAGCCTGTTGTGGCTGAATGGCGGCTGCCCGACTGTGGCGACCGCCTGGCCGCAGCCAGGCGAAGTATTAGCGACGAAACGGAAGACGTCTCTTTGGGGCTGATGGCTCCGCATGCAAGAAGTCCGCGCCCGGGGGCCAAGTCGGTCCGCCGCCCGAAGCCTTCGGGCGAAGGAAGGCAAAGGCCCGGCGTTTGGGCGGTGTGTGGGCACGCGAAGCTTTGGCGAGAGAAGGCCTGGGCCTTCGGGAGGCATGGCATGCAAAGCCGCGAAGCCCGGCGTGCGGGCGCGCGTGCCTTTTGGGGCATTGGCGCGCGGGCGCCGGGGGAATTGCTGCCTACCGGCGCCGGCCGCCCGCAGAATCAGTTGCCGCGGAAATTGCCATGAGCTGTGACTTCTGGGCGCCTTTCATTTGTGTGTTGTAGCACGATAGCCATATAGCCTGCGCTCTTGGTTTAGATTGGTGCGGCGCCTCATCAGCACTGGTCGGGACCGTGGGATTGCTTCGACTCGACCGTATGCGCAGGCGCGCTATTACTACTTTGACTGTTGTGTGTTGTTCAGGAATTTCAATTTTGTTCACCACAGAGATCGGCGTTGAGAAAAATCAAACGCTCGGATCTAGTAGGATGTAGCTTGCGCACTTTACAGCTTAGATCATCTCGGTTGTAGTCACTGTGCATATGTACATGTAGTTGCCATGTCAGTTGTCATTGTGCCTCTTTCGTCATCGTCGGTCGCATGCAGTTGCCCATCACTCAGAATTCGGTAGAATCGGAGATCGGACGTGTAGCTAAATTCAATCGGTGGACTTGCATATGATAAAAGCTGATACATCATAAAACATGACTGATGCTCACGCGAATTATGTCGGTCAAGGTTTTTGTATTCGCCATATTCCATAACCATATCCATTGCTCTTGCTTCGTCGATGCCCGGCCATACCATAGTCATTTTGTCATTTATCCAGCTTGCGGACTAATAAAATAATTTGCCTTTTGCCCTGTTTCTTTTCAACGGAAAGATATGTACTTCATCAGTCGCTCTCTAATGTTCATTATTTCCAATTTCAATTGTGTTTGACCATGATGTAGTACCGTTCACCTCCCTGTACTAGCAGTTTTTACCTCAACGCCACCTATAAAAGTACATTTTCGTTTTCAACTCGCGAGCATAATGTCCTCCTGGGCGGAGATTCTCCTGCAGAACATGGTGGAGCCCGACGACAGCATAGCTTCGTGGACGGGGAACTTCAAAAATTGCGTTACGTGTGCCGCCATCGGGGCCAAGGACTTCAGCCTTGGGACGAAGGTGGAGGGTGGCAAACATTCTGGGTTTTGGGGCGCGGCGTGCACTACTGCGGAAGGCGATTTGGGGGTGGACACGGAACTGGCTTGGTCCAAGGTCTGGGCGGAAGACCAGGATCGCGAAATCATGCAGGACGATGGCTCGGAAGTTCCGGTATAGAATCGCTCATAAGTAGGTAAATTCATTTTCTTGTTTTTCCTCATGACCATGGGCAGCGACAGAAAAAACTTGAAGAGTCAGTTTGAAAACACAAAATAAAAAGGACGAGAACAATCAAAACTTTCAAAATAAAAAGGTGAAAATCGTTGAGTACCAAACAATTTTGAACGCGATCACGCACGACTTGGCCAAGGGCCCGCTGCCGAACGGCTTGTGGATCGGGAGCAACAAGCACACTATTCCCAGCAAACAGCAGGAGGAGGGCGATAACAAGGAAATCAACTACCTGGTCATGAACGCCGCGCGGAAGGGGAAGCAGGGCTTCGCCATCGTGGTCAGCGACTACCATCTGGCGGGGAAAGCTTTGCTTGTCGTCGGCGGCTACTCGGAAAACGACGGGGTGCCCTTCTCCATGGCCGTCCGCGTCTGCATCGACATGTGCAAGTGGGCTCAGAGCGAGGGAATGGACCAAAGTCCGGAAATCCAATAGGAACTGGGGTGTTGAGCGGTTAGTTCACTGAGGGAATTTGAATTATCATCTCGAGACTGAAAAATAATCGATCCCTTAATCGAACATGTGGACGATACAGTGGGTCCCAACATTCCGACGTCACACACAAAATCAAAATTTGGGTATCGCAAAAGGAAAGAGGAACTTGGTGCTTTTTTTCAGCATGATTTTTGACGTTTTTGTCTCTGCAGCCAGGCGCTGTGAGTAGGCTCGAAGAAGAAAAAGAAGGATCAACAGTAGAGCGTAATGCGTCTACATTTCATTACGCGACTGTAGCAAAATCAGCATCAGATACAGTTGGGTGTTCCTTGTTGATAGATTGGGCATATGCATATCCCTTCAGCACATCGGTCGAATATAAAAGTGAAATTGCTATGCCAGATAGACTGAGATCGTCCGAATATGATTCAAGTTAAGTTCAGAGAAAACGCCTACGCGAAACAGATCAACAGATCCCGACATTGTTTAAGTACTTCCTCTTACAAGTGAAGATCCTCAAAGAAACACAGAAGGAAATCGATCCCGATCGGCTCACACTGAGGAAAGATCAGATCTGATTGCAGGTCAAACGAACTTTTTGGTTTTGTTGACGCGTTTGTGTTTCACGAAATTCGACTCCACAGGACCTCCTTGAAAAATAATCGATTTTCCTAGGGACAGCGAAGAAAAATCACTAATAAGTACAACAAGATAGGCCATGTAATAGTTCAAATTTCAAACCCCCTACCGTGCAACGAGGAACTGATTAGTTCGTTTTGAATCCTCCAGAGTTAATTCGATTTTACCAAAAATGGCGACCGATCAGCGAACCAAGATCGACGCCGTGAGCTCCGTGGAATCGGAGGCGGCGAAGGTCGGCCGCGTCAACATGATCCGACCGGAAGACATCGCGTGCACGACAGAGGCGCAGGCGAAGCACTTAGCTGCGTTTCAGGCCGGTTCCAAGGATTGGCTGTCGTACCAGCACGAGGCGGAGGATCCCGCGGAGATCCGGGCGGCGGAGGAATTCTTGCGGCACGTGCTCTGTCTGCTGGTCGAGCAGGTGCTGACACAGAGATTGAGTAATGAGTCCGATGAGGCGCGCCACGAGCTGGAACAGAAGGCGAAACAAGCGATCGCTTTCCTGCAGCAAGTGTCAACAGGCACCAGTGGTGCTGCGACAACGGCGACGCACACTCCGGCCTCCAGTCGGGGGGAATCGCCACTGAACTCGCCATCTGGGGAAGAAATAGAGGTAGAGGACCATCAAAGCTGCAACAGTACCGAGGAGAAGGTGGTGTCTGGTGACGACGTCCTCGTGATTGACGTTGTTCATCCGGCTGCAAATGACAGTACCTCAGATGGTCATGCAAATAGCGCCACCAGTGTCGAAATTGTCGCGGATTTCCTGAATGCCGTTACCGAGAAGCACTGGGATGACGCGGTGAGAAACGCGAGGCGGCATTTCCAGTGCGCGCCGCCCAAGTCTCGCCTGGTGAAAACCCTCTCCCAGCTCGTCTTTGAATCCGTCCTCCCTCGTGGCACGGCGGTGGAAAGGATCCTGAAGAAGAAGTCCGTGCGCAGCAACAGCGGAGTGGTCGTCATCACAGTCGTCACAGCGCCCGGAAAGTTCTCCTGCCCGCATGATTGCTACTACTGCCCGGATGAACCCGGGCAACCGCGGTCCTACCTCTCCACCGAGCCTGCCGTGCAGCGCGCAAACCAGAACAACTTCGACCCGGTCAAGCAGTTTTACGATCGCGCGGCCACACTGGCAAAGCAAGGGCACGAGGTGGACAAGGTAGAAATTATCGTGCTGGGCGGTACGTGGTCGGCCTACAGCAAAGAGTACCAAGACCAATTCTGCCGAGATTTGTTCTACGCGGCCAACACGTTCCTGAATGAAGACGATCTCCGCCGGGGGAAGTCGAGTGTCTGGGACTTGCAGGGGCGGGAGAGAATGAGTCTACCGGAAGAACAGCGGCTGAACGAACTCAGTGAGTGCAAAATCATCGGGCTGACGCTGGAAACCAGACCAGACCACATCACGAAAGCCGAGGTAACAATAATGCCGATTTTGTTCGTGTTTGACCGTAATTTCATTCAAATAAATATATGTAATTTTGCATTTGCTGCACTGGTACTACGCGCTTTTTCATCACATTGACATCCATACCCGGAAGTAACTTTTCGACCTTTTCGATACAAAAACAGGTCCGTCGTCTGCGTCTTCTGGGCTGCACGCGCGTGCAGATCGGAGTTCAGCATACGGATGATGAAATTCTGAAAAAAGTGAACCGCGGACATTCCGTCAACCGTGCGGTGAAAGCGGTGTCGCTGCTGAAAACCGCCGGCTTCAAGGTCGACATTCACCTGATGCCGGACCTCCCCGGCGCCACACCGGACGCCGATTGGGAGATGTTCAAGTACGTGCTGAATTCCGACGCGCTTCAGGCGGACCACTGGAAGATTTACCCGTGTGAGGTGACGCCCTTTACCCAAATCGAGAAGTGGCACAGTGAGGGCAGCTACACCCCCTACACGGACACGGACCCCGATACCATGATCCGGTTGCTGTGCAACGTGAAGGTGAACGTGCACCCCTGGATCCGGCTGAACCGCGTGATTCGAGACATCCCGGAGGTCAGCATCATCGCGGGCAACCAGAACACCAATCTGCGCCAGGTTCTGTTCGACCAGCTGAGCAAGTGCGGCGAGAGCTGCAAGTGCACGCGGTGCCGGGAAGTGCGCAGGTACGGGGAGCCGCTGGACCAGTTGGTCGTGCGCGTCCGGAAATACCGGTCCTCCAACGGCTGGGAGTTTTTCTGCAGTGTGGAGGGGTCTGACCGAGGGTTAGGCGGGGGCGCGGAAAAGCGGGCGACCGACGGGAAAATGAGTCGGAAGCAGAAGAAACAAGCAAACAAGCAGGCGAGAAATGCGGAAAACAAGGGCAAAGGGAAAAAGGGAACAAGTAGGGAGACGGCGACAAGGGTAGGACAGGTCGTTGGAACGGTCGACGTGCCGACGTTGCCAGAAGAGCAAGAAATGATGTCGTTTGATCTATTCGATATCGACGAGGCATCAAACACGACCGCTGGGAACGGCCTGTCGTCTGACAACCTCCAAGTCGAAGCTGGCAGACAGGAGACACACCAACAGCCTTCTGCATCAAAAGCAGAAAATAAGCCCACCTTGCTGGCAAACTTGAAGGGAACTTTCAATAGCGCGCTTGGAAGCGTCTATTCGACATCAGAAGATTTGGTGGCTTCCACACGAGACGCATTGTTTCGGTTCTCCGGCTTGGACCAACACATCCCAGTTCCTAGCGCCGATGCAGGAGCTACGGGTTCTTCTTCGAGTTCCTCTTCTGCTAAAGTAGAGAAGAGAAATACCTTGAAGAAAAGCGCGATCCAAGTTCACAAGGAGCGGAATCTTGACACTCGACGACAGGACGCCCCCTTCACGCTGCTGACTGCCACAGATTCCGAGGGACCGCAGTTTTCCAGTGTCGGGTCACCCGATTCCATAGCAAGTTATCGTCATTTGAAAAACACGACTTCCAGCGACACGTACCTGTACAAGGGTAAGAAATACGATTTCCACTGCTACCAGGACGCTAGGAAGTACGTCAACAGCGCCAACGTGTGCACGGAGGTGGTAGAAGATGCGGCTGGTGACGGAAGCAGTGGAACAACACCAGAAGAGGTGATCGTCGAGAAAAACCGCGACAACGGGGCACTGTACGGCCTACTGCGTCTCCGCCTGAACGACGATCCCTCCGCGGTGCGGGAAATGTTCCCTGAGCTGGAAAATTCCGCTCTGATCCGCGAGTTGCACGTGTACGGGGAAGTCCGGCCGGTGTACCGTGCTGACGATAAGAACAAAACCGCGGGCGTGACGCTCAACGACGATCCAACGCTGGAAGTTGAACAGGAAGTAGTAGTAGGATCGACGAGCGGCACTTGTGCTGATGCAGCAGCTTCTGCCCCCGCAATTGCAGTCTCGCCGAATGATGTTCTTGAAGGTGGAGCCTCCTCATCTTCTTTTCGTGAACCGCGGTCGTACTACCGCAGGAAGCACGCGGACCAGGGGAAGCAGGGTTCCGCGCAGCACGGCGGGATCGGAAAGTTATTGATGTGCGTTGCGGAGACGATTGCGCAGCGACACGGCAGCAAAAAGATTGCGGTGATCTCCGGTGTGGGTGTGCGCAACTACTACCGCAAGCTTGGTTACGAGCAGCTCGGAGTTGGGCGATATCTGATCAAGCCGCTGGAAGAAGATGCGCTCCCAGCAGACGCAGGGTCTGCTGGTCTTTCCGGAGGTGTGATTTCTGGAACCTCATCCAGAAATCACCTCCGCAACGATGACGTCCCCTTGGAATTTCTCGATGAGCTCGAGATTCCTTTCGCCGCCTGGCAAGACCACGGGCCGGATGCCCTACCGCAGCCCTGTGTGGAAGTAGAGAATACCAATACAGGAGTAGATGCGGAACCTGCATCATCCGTTGTTGCCTCTTTCCTTTACGACAACCGCAAGGCAATTTGGGCAGCGACAGTGGGAATCACCGCTTTGACAGCCGGGGCGATCGCACTGCGAAGCACGACACGATCGAGAGTCGGGAGCACTGCCAATCGGAGATGACATATATCAGACTTCTGCTCAAGATCAACAACTTCCCAAAAACGACTTACGCAATCGCTAGTGCGTAGTACCCGCGTAGACTCGTGCATTGGATGTTGAATGCCGCTTGATTGAGGACACGACATAGCATTACGATACTTGAAGTTCTTTTTGATCGGCACTGCAAAAACTAAAATCCGCAGCTGGTTGCCGGTCACGTCTTGTAGGGACTGCATTGATTATTCTGCTACACTGTAACTGTATGTTCCTCGACCACTTGACGTTGTGTTGACAAGCTTAAGTTTCATTGAGGTCGTACTAGCTTGCTCACAGCAAGAAAGGAACCACACCAAACAATGTTGTCGTTCTCCTTTTCGTTTTTGAACCGGTGTCGTGTAGGTCTTGGTATTTCTACTTAATGTAATAAGTGCATTGTTTCGTCGACCACTCGCACTTTGTCGTTCAAATTTCACTTCGTAAAGTTCGATGTAGCAGTTGGAGCAACTTTTTACTCGGTTATACTTCGTACCTCGTCCGTCCTCCACGTTTCATCGGTGTTTTGCTTCGTTCCAAACGGCCACGCAAATTTGCATCGTCCATTGCTTCGTTCCGCTTCTCTTCAGTGTGCATGATTAGCTCCGCTATCGTACTCTTGCCTGTACGTATAGGTGATATTTCGAAAATTTTGATCTTGAGCCAGTGCCTCTACTTCCATACAAGTCGAAGCATTTCTACACCATTTGAAAATTTCCTTTTAAGTACAATCATCTATCCCCACAACGTTCAGCAATTAAATCAAGTTTAAGTTACTTTTCGTTCGTCCTCATATCTCTGAAATTGAATCTTCGCTTCTCAGCAGCACAAAGAAAGTAAGCAGACAAACCAAATTCAATTATGGCGGAGTCTTCTCAAGAAATTCTGACCTCGTCCGAGGAGCCCCTGAGCGACGAGCCTCAGCAAGCGCCGGCTGTGATTCCGAGCCCGCCTCGAGGGCCGAGTCAGAGTCAGCAGGATGCAGTCGCCCCGCGGGGACCTTCGCAAAGCGCTGCTCGCGGACCGTCGCAGAGCGCCGCCCGAGGGCCATCGCAAAGCGGTGTGCAACGACCGCCCTCGCAGGCCGCGAGCTTAATTCCAAGTTCCGCCGACCAATCGCGCAAGCCCTCGCAGCTGCAACTGGACCTGGCGGCCGCGCGCGCACCATCCCAAGCTGCTGCGAGTCGTGGACCGTCCCAACGTCCACCGTCTACACAAGTACAACAAGAGCAAGTGGCCCCCCGTGGCCCCTCGCAAAGCGGCGCGGCCCGCGCGTCTGCGCGGAAGCCGGAGGGCGGGTCGCAGTACGGGCAGCAGGCAGCATCGAGTCCTGGCGAGGGGGCGCAAGAGGTTGATCTAGATGTCGACCAATTCCAACGTTTCGAGAACATTGCGGACCAGCTGACCGCTCAGGAGAAGGCACGGCAGGCGCAGGAGTACGCCGCTGCTTCGTCCCAGCTGCAGCGAGCCTCGGCATTGCGGGCAGGCCAACAAAACCGAAAACAGCCTCAACCGCAGTTTACCGCGTTCGCGCTCCCGGGTAGCGGCCTCCCCGCACAGCAGCCGGGCGCCTCCCCCGCGCAAACTCCGCGCGGAAAGGCCGCCGCCCGAAATCAGGCCGGCGGACGTGCCCGCGTCTCTCCGCGGGCCGCACGACAGCCGACTCCGCAGAGCAGCCTGCCGCTCATGCTATTCTGCTGTGGCACTGTTATCATGGTCTGCGTTGTATTCTACGCGTGCTGCTTGTCGAGCCGGAGCCCAAGTGAGTACCGCAGCAAGCATGGGCACGCACGGGGTAACACTAAAACAAGCAGTGACGAGGTGTGCAACGAAATGGACCCCGTTAACTTCGCGCACGGGAAGGATATGGAGGCTGTGGACGACTACCGGGCCGTTTTCACTGTGTCCACTTCAGCGGAGTGCCAGACCAAGTTGGACGCATTTCAGGTACAGTCGTGATGAAAAACAAAGCTACTATCTTGTCAGTCGGTAGCGGTAGGCAGTGGTACAGCGCTGATATGAAAAAGTGAGAAAGTGTAGTCCAGCAGCACAACACGACCGCATTATAGCTTTGTGTTGAGCTCAAGATGTTGATGTAGTTTTGCTGATTCTGCTTTGCGTTCTTGATGTGTTGCTTTACAGAGGAAGAAATTAATGTCGTTTATTTCTTTGTCGTGGTCTTTTTTTCTTTCTGTTTCTCTGTTGTTGTCACGGCCATTTAGTGAACAAGTTCTGGATTTGAAACTTCCTACAGTTGAATGGCGAGGATGCTGCGGTGTTTCAAACTGGGTTAAAAACGGCGGCTGACGTGAACACCACGGAATTGGCCCAGGTCATGGCTGAGGGGGTATACGGGGATCAGCAAAAAGTGACGTATCCTTACGTGCCATTTGCGGTGTTCTACCCCAAGACTGCCTCCAAAAACTGTCGTCTTTTTACGAAGTGCGTCCGAGTCAGTTGCGAGGCTGCCATCATGATCAACGAAGCGGACTGCAGCGAAACGAAACTTCTCCAGAACCGCAAGCGGGCTGGGCTTGGACGCTCACTTCTCGATGCCGTCAACCTAGTCAATCAAACTACCTCCACGACCGGGGGCAACAACCACGGACCCGACGCTAGGGCAGCACAAGGAGAGCAGAATGTGGCGGATGCGGACAGTGCTGCGGACGGTGCGTCGTCGTCTGGCGAGGGAGGACACAAGAGCGTGGACCAAGGGGAAAATGGGGCAACATCGGGAGGGCATCACGCTGGAGGACCTGGTCACGGCGCGGCTCCCAGCCCGGCAAATGCTACCGGACCCGGAACAAAGCCGGGCGACGCAATCAGTGGCGGAAGTCATGAAGGAGGGAAAGGTGATGATGCTACTGCTAACGGTACTACCCCTGGTGTCCACGCGCAGAACGGTCCCCCCAGCGGTAAATCCGAGGCACCTCAGCCCAGTGCTGGCAAGAACGCAACTGGCGCCACTGCAGGATCTCCACCGCTGGCAACGCAATCGGCGCCTCTTCCCCCGACCCCGCAGATTTCTTACATGCCGAGGAACCCCTACACTCATCACCAAGAATCGGACACTGCTTCCAGTTTTGCCGCTGGTACTTCATCTATGGGCGCCAAAGTGAACACGGACGTGTCGAATTTGCAGTCGTTTTTGGCGCTGAGCCGCCGAGTTTTTCCGGTCCTGGACTCCATCGTGGCCTCCGGCGCAGCAAAAAAGCGGGAGGATGGCAAGAAAGCCAAGAAGAAAACCAAAAAGAAGCTTCTTCACCAAGAGGAGGTCTTTTTGGAGGTGTAACATCTTCGATCAGGTGCTGTCGAGTCCGAAATTTAAACCTTTTCTCAAGACGAAGCACATTCTCTTTCCGGCGAAACTCAATCCCCCCTGAAGATGAGCCCTGACGAGTTAGTGGAATGCGTCCCCGCATCGTGCGAGGTGTAGTTCTTCTTGTCATTATTTTGGTTTTGTATTTGTTTTCACAGCCCTCAGAAAACAAATTAGAAGAAGCAGGCGCGTAAATTACGTTCCTGCTAACCTTATTTTCGCTGAGTCGACATAATCTTTGTCGGTAACCACATTCTTTCATGCAAAATTAAGAGAAATAGCACTATCCACAAACGCCATTCATTCGTTTGTCCTTCTCCTTCCTGTATAACAAGTTACTTTTCCGCCACTTCACAAAGACAGTACTGTACTCGTGCTGGACGGTATTCATGCTGCGTGGTTGACATTATCGCCATGCACGAACGGAATTTGAATAATGTTCAGGTTTAAGCAAGTGGCTTTAGCATTTACGGCATCGAGAAGAAATGCCCCACGCTGACCAGCATGACTTCAGCACGAGCAGTGCCGGTATGGTTAGTCAACTGCACGGCAGGGATACATAATACAGATTACATTAACTAGCAATATGACACATAGTGCTCCAATATGACATATGGGCGCGACGACATGAAAATCCTGCAAAAACCCCACTTCTCATATTGTCATTTTGTTATATTGCCATATTGCATATTGCTCGTGACCGGCTGACGATTGAAAATTGGCCCCACCCGAGCGCTGTCTCTCGGGTGTTGCGGCCATGAGGTTAGGGCGCGTATGCTCTTGCGCCGACTTTGGGGCGATCGAGCAGGCGCCTGCTGTGCACCTCTTTCGCGCCTGTGGGTTGACAAGGCGTCTCGCCACCCCCGCTGTTAGCGAGGGCGGCGCTAGTGCGCCGGGGCTCCCAGCAGTCTATTTCTTCAATTTGTGTCGCAGCTGCGCCATGTAGTGCGCCGCTGCATGCGTCTTTTCGCAGCATCTGGGCCGGACAGCTGGCCTCGCAACGCAAGTAGCGGCGGGCGCCGCCAGGTCGGCTTCCAGGTCCTGACGTTGCGCAAGGTCATATTGCTCAAACTCTAGCAGTCATATTGTCATTTTGTCATATTGCCATATTGCATATTGCTCAAAGTGTCGAAATTTTGCTAGTTAATGTAATGTGATAATAGTATTTTTTGTAACTTTTTTTCTTCTCGTTCTCCTCCTCTTCTTCTAGAAATTAACCCCAGAAAAAACTTTCATCATCCAAATGAGCACGGTCGCTTGTCGTGCGTGACTCTGTCGCCCCCCCGGGCAAGGTCTAGCGTTGCATCTGCTCTCCGTTTTCATATTTTTGCTTTCCAGGCAAGACAAGAGTACGAGTATCCCCCGTGCCATAGCTGTATTTTGCCGTTTCGCAATTTTAGCAGCATACTTTTCATCTGAATTTTTAGAAAATTCCGACCCTACGAAAACTTTTCTGAATTCAATCCAAGTTTTCGGCTATCTTGACGTTCCGCATGTCGCACTTATCGCACTTGTTCTTCCTCTTGCAATTTGGCTTTGTATCGAAAATAAGAAATCGGTGACACATGGATAGATAGTTTTTATTTACGACGAATGTTCTTGTCGCACTGCTTATGTCTTCGTTTTCGTCCCCGGTCTTCGTCTTTTTACTAGGCTTTGCTCTCCTCGTGGTCGTGACAACTCCTCGTGCGTAAGTACCGGAAAGTTCAGTATCTACTGTACATGACCTCTTCTATGCATGATCGGTAGTTCTGGGTTTGCAAAAGCGCGTCTTCAACGTACTCATCGATGGAATTGCAGCAAGGATCGGTTTTTCGTCCGTCTTCAGTTATTTGCAAACAAAAACAGTTCCATGTTCGTACTTGTTTCGGTCCTGTTGATGTTTCGTTCGAAGGCAATGGAGACATTCCATGGCAGCTCTCATGAATCGTAATCGTACAGTCCTTATTTTGTCGTTCTCGTTCGGCTTCCTTTTTTGGACAAAGCATACAGTTATTCAGCAATACATCATCACGATCTCTGGCGACTCTCACTCTTCTGAACACCAGGCCACGACCCAAGGTTTTCTTACAATTTGCTTATGCGAAAAATCAACCCCTAACCCTATCACTATCTACAAAATGCACTCCCCAATGAATGCCCCTAAGAAGAGTCTACGAGAAGGAGAAGCAAGAAGAGGAACTTCTGCCAATCACGTCGACTCTTCTACGTGACGAAGCGTGGTTGACGCTAATCATATTCCTAACGGTAACTTTCTGCACCTCGAGCTTTCTCTTGGACGTTTTCATGCATACCATGTACAAGTAGTAGCCGGAGGATAGAAGATGTAAATTGTTCTTTGTAGTCTACTCTCCCACGATCTGGGAAATAAGACCATGGGGAACGCGCAACTTGGCGGGGAAGTTGTGACTGAAGACGAGCTGTACCAGGATGCGGCCGCCGGGGCGGGATTTTCGAAAGTCAAGCTGCTCGCGCGCAGGGAGGGAAGTGCGGGGGAGCAGCATGTCCTTCACCACAACATCGCGGTGGAAGCGACGGCGTTGCACCAGCACAGGGAACGCAACGCCGGCCCGACGGCTGCTATGATCTCGAACCCCAATCCTAACTTAGCCACAGCGGATGCCGCAATCTCGTCTGTGCCCTTCCCGTATCCCTTGGGAAATGAAATTTGTCTCGGTCTGGGTGGCTGTCGTGAAATTGTTATGCGCCACTCGTGTCTGCCTCTGGAACTGTCTGCTAGTAAATTCGAAACTATTTTATCGCTTCGTCTCCTTGCTAATTCATTAGGAAGGAGATGTTTGCGCTTTTCTGAAACTTGAACATCAAGAGATGAACAATCCGTCTATATTTGTTTCTTGTGCTTGGCCCAAAAAGAACCAAGGACTAACAGACGGAACTAACTACATGCATTCTTACCTTACCAGTTTGATGACCCGGACAATTTTATTTCTTGGTTGCATATCGAGGAAAATCCGCCTTCTGGGGGCGGGCTAATGTCGGCAGAGCCGGTCAGTGAGACGCACATAACCGGACAACTGGTTGCAAAAAAACAACTCACGGCTGGAGCAGCTTCTGCCTTAGGTGTTGAGCAGCAGGGGAGTACTTCTGGACAACCTCCGGCATCGACGGAAATTCGTGCCGGTTCCAAAACCGCCAGTGCCAAAAATATGGAAGCAGCGACGACGACTACTACCACACCGCTTTTGAGCGGTCCATCCTCTGTGGCGCCGAAGAAAGTACCCCTTAAACAGGGCTCAAAGGAAGGTATCATGACCGCGCGGCAGACCCCCCGATATCCGGAATTTTTAAGAAGCGAGGAGGAAAAAAAGATAGACGACGTTGATCGAGAGCACAGGCAGGGCCGCCTGATTTGTTGGCGGATTTTCACTCTTCTGCTCCTCGTTGTCGGTGTCAGTTACGGTGTGTGGCACTGTTGTTTCAAGCCCGCCCTCAAGGAGGACACGGAGCGGAAATGGGACACAAGAGCAACAAGCGCCAAGATGAACACAACAAAAACCGCCAGCGCGGCGGCGTCGTCTTTTTTGCTCAGCACGCAGGCGGCCTCCGTCAAAGGAGTCGATGCGCGAATGAAGCTACTTCTTCTCGAGGAACTGGGAAGAAAAGCGCGACGGAGTGTTGGCGGGGAAAAGCCGTCGAAGATTTTTGTTGACACCCAGAATGGCGTTCTTGGTGAAGACGCAGCTACTGCGGCCACGACAAATCTGGAGCTGGACGACCTGGCCTCGCTCGCGATTTAGAAAAAGCCTCCAATGAAAAAGAACACTTCATCATCATCTCCTTCTTGTAATTGTACAAAAACAAAAGTATGCAAGAATAATTTCAGATTCACAATCGGCACATCAGCATCATCCAATAATTAAAGAATCAAGAACACGCAGTGGCTTCAACATTTTTCGATGTCCAATAGCAAAGAACGAGCTACTTTGTAGCCTCTTCACCCACAGAAGATAGCGATCTTCTTTTAGAAATTTGAGCATTCGTAATATTTATTTTCTACAATTAGAATTAGTTTTCCAGTCATTTCTGCCCCTCCATAGCTGATAAGGCGGTTGCTTTGGCTGGCTCCATTTGTGAGTTCCAGACAACAGGATCTCGCTCACCCAGAAGCGAGCACAAGCCATATGTGTGGTTCTCTCCCCATTTGCCACGCGGCTACAATCACAGATGAAAGTGAGCACGACCCCATTCAGACATAACTTTAAACCGCAAAAAATCTCCTCGTCTTTACCAGAGTTTTTTAGCAGACGTAAAACTCACCTTGTACTATGCAGGAGCAGGCACCGAGGAAAGCAAGTTGCAAAGTCACCTGCATCGATGCTCGTATTAGTGTCTATCAGGCCAATATATCACACGAATGGGTAATAATGATATGCATGCGTGTAGGATTCGTTTGCGATGATCGTCCTCTTGACTCGGTGCTACGCATTTCTACGCATCGGTCAACATCGTGCCCGTTTTATTGATTTCTTAAAATGTACGAAAGTTAGGGTCGGTCTTCCCAGGAAGATTGTCTTCTTGTCACTGGATCGGTCAGTCGATGCCAGCCCCATTCGTTCTCGTGCGGTCTTGGCCTCGTAGATCATCGGTGAAAATCGTGCACTGTTAATGCTAAATTCGGTTACTGTTCTTGCTTGTCGTACACGTGGCAAAGGAGAACCGCGAAAGCGTTATTTGCAGCTCCGTATCGTACGAGCATCGGACAAAGGCATTCCTTATCGGTGCATTTTTATGCCAACTGTAGTTGAGACTTATTTAACAAAAAAATTCAATTTCTTTCTTCCAGTGTCCTTCCCTTGCGCTCGTGGTTGATGTTACTTGTTATTCATTTTTTCCAAACGTAGAGTACGATAGCGAGTCTGACTGCTTCTACATGGGAACTGTGAAAATAAATTGCGAACACTTGTTACACATTTGGCAATAATATCCGAAAGATTGCTTTTGCAAACAACGACACGACGAGAACCAAGAGAACACTGACCCCTTCTGACCCTTTCTCCTCGATTTAAAAGATTCTTTCTTCCCATTATTAAAATCATGGCCCAAAACAATCAACAATTATTCAGCAGCAAGGCGCGCCAGAAGACGCTGGGGTTTTTCAGTTTTTGCGTGGTTATTTTTCTTCTCCACTTTCCGATTTTTCTGCTGGGAATTTTGTCTCGTTTGATGATGCGTGAAGAGGCCAGAATCGTGATGCAGAACAACCCGGACATGATGAAACACACCACCCATGTCAGCGCCCCGAACCGGAAGTATCGTCCGCCCCGCTACACCCTCCCCGCGTAAAAACATCATTGTTGGAGTAACGTCGAAAAGAGGTCAAAAGAAAAAACGATCTAACCAAATCCAAAAGTAAAACAAACGACAACCCCAACAAGAGTATCCCTCGCGAACAAGCGACAAGAAAGCAGCGCCGGAGTCCGAACGACCCTCAAGAACTTACTGGAGAACCTCTGGTCAACGCGACACTCCATCTTCAGCACCAAAGGAGCGGAGTGAAACAGCGTGAAGATGCCGCGGGAACAAGGTCCTACCGAGGGCGAGGACTTTGTGCACAGTCCACTGCACTCTTTGTTGGTGCAGGAGCTGGAATGCACGACTCTGCTCCCAGCTTTCGAGGAGGACTGTTGGACTCGGGAAGAGGAAAGCTTTATGAGTTCCTCTTGCTGCGTCGACGTATTATCCTCCTCTACGGCGCCGGCACCAGCGCCGGTGAGCGACGAGCGAAAGACTTCGACGAAGGATGAAGTCGATCGAACGATCAGTTTGTCAAGCAACAATGCTATCAAAGTACGACCGACACAGACGGTTCTGTTTGAGGATGCCGAGGTTTACCTGCAAATCCTGGCTTCCGGAGGTCCGCACGATGCGGAAAAATTTTCCGAACCAACAACTTCCGTCCAACTTCCTGTGGAGCAGGAATCCGCCGTGAAGTCGACCACACAATTGGTCGCGGAAGCGCTCGCGGACAAAGCTTGTCGCTCATTGAGCTATCTCAAAGGCGCCGCTGTCGGCCTCGACAGTTCGACGTCCTCTGCGCACAACAAAACCAAGAAAATCGAGAAGGATAAGAAGAACAAAGAAGGCTCTTCTTGCAGACACAAGCTGCCCTCGAAAAATCATTTTCAGAACGACGAGGTTGTAGTTGCGCCCCTCGAGAGTGATCACGCGGAGATCGCCATGACCGACAACTACAACACGTCGTCGCCCGCACAACAGCATCATGGAGCAGACAGTAAAGATCCGCAAATAAATTTTGCCCCCCCGGAGGCCGACGCGGAAACCATTGCGTCGGTTCGGGCGGTAATCGAGAAGCTGGAAAAGTACAAAGCGTCGCTCCCGGTTGTGAACACGCGGGACGGCAAATACGCGACAACCGACGCGGAAACCGAGTGCCCCGGGCCCTCCTCCGGGTCGAGCGGTTCGGACACGGACCACATCTACCGGACCAAGAGCTGCTGCTCCACGCGGCGGTCCGCGCTAGACGATCCGTTCCACGCCGACGACGAGAACCACGCGATGGTTCCGAAGCAGACCGCCGCGGGCCGCGGCGGGTTGAAGCTGGACGAGTTTTTGACCTCCGACGAGGACCACTTCCAGCAGCATTTGCTCCGGACTCGGCAGCCGGGAGGAGGAACGTCGACCTCGGGAGGAGGTGCTACGGGCGGTGGTGGTTCCTCTTCTTCATCCCAGGAGCAGCTGGGCGAAGAATTGAATTCCTCCACCACCTCTCCCCGCCCGCCCAGCTACAACTACCACTACAGTGACGGGAACAACAAGTCACGGTACGTGACGGGTTTTTCGCTCACCGACCCCGCCAGCTGGTCGCGGCAGCTCTTGTGGATGGTCTTTGGCTTCCGCTCAGTGTCCGGCGACCATCTCATACGGGGGCACCAGGATCAGGGGTCGACGCACTCGCACCACGCCGGGGGACGGTACGACACGGGTGTTGACGGGGCGCGCTGTTCCGGGGCGCGGGTATAGTCATTTCTTTTTTGATGTTACTTCTTCTGATGTTATTTAGCAGTGATTCCAATTTCCACATGAATCCGGGACCGGGAGTCAATGGCAAAACAAGGGAAACCGCGTTGCGCGCGCAGTTTTAGCACTTCTAATCCGACTGCAATCATCCTCGTTAGATCACATTTAGAGAGAAAGTGGTCACACATAAATTAACATCCACCAGGTCGCAAACAACGGCGCTTCCGTCTCGAGCGATAGCAATCGGCGGGGCAGCCGGTCTCGCTCCCCTCGGCTCGAGAATTCCAAAGGGGAGCTGGAAGGCGGCGGGCTGTCCAGTCTTTGCGGCAAGCGCATGCAGGTGTCGCTACCGCGAACTTATGAGCAGTGGTGCCAGCTGTTGATCGTCCTGCTGTCTCTCGTCGCGTTGGCCAACCTGGTTCGGTGGTCGGTTTCCTTCTGCGCCAGTGCGACGGATACGGTGACCGGCCAGGACGAGCACCTGGGTCTGGTGCAAACGGCGCCTGGTGCCGGAGGCGCGGTGGTGCCACCCTCAGGAAGATTTTTGGCGTCGAAAAAGGCTAAAAACGTCAGTATTTGAGAAGAAGGTGGTCTAAAGTCTCCCATTACTAAAGCTAGTATGCTATCGGAGATTTAGCAGAAGCTACGAAGTTGTGTGTAATTCGGTAGCAATCACAATTTTATGGGAGCGATTTTATCGTTTACAAGTACAAGTGGTTGTACACAGTGAGTGTAGCAAAAGCATTTTAACAAGCAAGTAGAAGCAGGAGTCACTTTATTGTACTTTTGCTCAGCTGTTGTTGTTGACTGAAGATCCTTTTCCCCCCGAGACTAACGAGAATATAGACCACGAAGCGCAACATTGACACTGAATTAACGAATAGCGAATTCGTAATCGTATTTCTATTCTCTTTCTCGCCTTCCCGGCGCTCTCATATTTTCAAACTATCTCGTCTATTTGCTCGCCCCCTTTTTTCATTCATCTTACAGACTAAGCTTTATAATTCCTCGATGAGGTGGTGTCTTTTCCATTTGTCTTTGTTGTCCCCCGATATCCAAAAGAAAAAGATTTATCTCGAACAGCATTACAAACCCCATAATTACTTATTGTTTTGCGGCATCATCTGTGGCGCTCTCAGCGTTGCGATGGGTGGCGTTTTACTTTTCGATTGTCCTCCTTCTATTTCGACCTCTGACAGAACAAAGAAAAAGATGCATTTATTTCAGTCTCTATCTCATATGTGGTATCCTGTCTTGCGGTCAAGCATGTTCCAAAAAAGATTGCAGTTACTCGAACAGAATTATGAGCCCGTATTATTACAGAGACCACAAACGCAAAAAGAATAAGAAAGGTGACGGCTACCGGGTTGCAGCGCCCGCTGGTGAAAGAGGCCATTGCGAATATGCTCGTGGCGCTTTTTCTGTTCGGCCTTTTCCGCCTGTTTTGCCATGGTCGCGCAGCAATTCAATGCTTTTTGATTTATTTTCATCAGTACTTACAATTCTGAATCTGATCCAAATATTACAGGAAGGCGCCGATATTTTTTTTGCCCAGGACTGCGGCAGGTTTCGAGGTCGAGAGAGACAGTGAGTGGGGAGGCTTGGCCTGCACGAGAGATCGGGTTTTTTTCTTTTCGTTTGCGGTCCGTGTTCTGAAAAAGAAAGCAGACTAACATGTTTAGATCTCCTCAGAGGATCTTTTTGGAGGGTGTGTTTCTTGACGCCGAAATACAAGCAGCTGCAAAAGCTGGCGCACTTACGTACTTACTTGCTGATCGTATTTCTTTGAAAAGTATACATACGCTGCTCAGTCTCGACATCAGCACTAAGCAACAACTCGCAGCACAGCGCGCGCAATGGTGCGGTGGTACTATTAGGTGCTCAACAGCGCTGGGGGCTTATGCGGGACAAGGTGGTGGGAGTTGGTTGGCGTTGGACCTGTGCCTGCTTGCAATAAATCGCGACCGTCCACCTCCACCACGCGCACGCGTGTACTATCCTTCGCGTCGTTCGGAGTTAGCTGCTGCGCTGGTGGAACAGAATGACGACAATATCGTCTCCCCAAGAGGCGCAGACCAGCGGTGGAAGGCTTTCCTCAAAGGATCGACGGCCCAGTCTGCACGCGGACGCACTGCAGGCCGGGGACGGGGCGTCAATAAACGACAAGAAATATCTGGCGGTAATGTTGAAAACTACGGGTTGGCTTTGACTGTTTCGTCATTATTTGCACATGGAAGTGCGTGTGATACTAGAAGATGAAGTGCCTAATCGCGCCTGAGGACGAGAGAGGCCACCTCGTTTTGCCCACCACCGGCCCAATCTCCGTCCGCCGCCCAGTCGGTCTTACTGCATGCCAGGTCATGCGCCCGCGCTTTTTCGGCATGCTGCAAACGCAGCCACTGCGATTTTACAACTTGACGGTTTGATGACAAGAGCAGAAGACAAGAAACGCGCGCCCCGAACCGGCTAGTTTGCTTGGTGGACCACCTTCGTAGAAGACACTCTTTGCCTAAGCCTCTAGAGCTAGCAACCTATTAGATCATCAACACACAGGGGGAACGACGGCTGAGCGTCACAAGCCTGAGGTTACGAAGCGAAGTCGAAATGTGGCTCATGGAGGAGGTACGGAAGAATATTTAAAGTACGTTTAGTTATTAAAAACAAAATATTGTATGTTGCCCATGCCCCTCCTGATCGCGACTACGGGTCAATGTTCTTTTTCGACACATGATGTTGATATCCTGCGCAACACCAGGTTCCAAAACTCTTTGGCGTTGACGACAGTGGCTCATTAGACGCAGCATTGCAGGAGGATGGACAGATATCCAAGATAGAAAACGGTGAATCACTGTGAAGTTGCTTTCAGATTCAGAATTCCTTCCTTCCTAGGCATGGCAGTTTCTCTCGTCCTCGGTATCCGGTATTGACCGACGCTGAGGATGTGTCGATGCCACGCGGCTCTGCATGCGAGATAAACGAGGAAAGAGCGATACAGTGATACAGCTTTTGTGCAATAGCAGAGCAGTTTTCTCAACGCGATATTATTCAGTACGAGGTAACAGCACATATTCAAAGCTAGTTTTTTGTTTCTTGTTTTCAGTGATACTGATAGTGATACTTTCGTTTGGGTGCAAATGGACATGGAGCTCTTTGTCTACTAGACGTCCTCTGACTGCAGAGTATTGGTCCTGTGCAAATAATGAACGTTCAGCTCCACAAGCGAGGCCACCATCGATGAGAAAATTCGAACCACGTTTGCGCCGGCTGCAGAGAAGCCGAATTTCGCGGCGTTCCGCACAGAGCTTGCGGCGAAAATTTTGGTTGTGCGGGAGGCCTTTGCGAAAGCGCGGAAAGAGTCCAAGGAAGTGCCGAAAGAGTCCGTCGTGCCTTCAGGTTCCAGCAAAAGCACCACCGACGCCGAGAGTACTATTTCCAGCTAATCGAAGAAGGCTGCTGCAGCAACATCATCTCCTAGAGCGGTTCACGCAGCGTGCTTGCTCGATTCCGGAAGGTCTAGTTGTAAGTACCCACTCACTGTCGTGCACTTGCTTCTTTGATCAGTTTGAGTTTCCATACATCTGCATGACTGAGTCTCCTGCATCGTACTTTTTAAAGCAAAGTTTCGTGCCGTCGTCCCATAATATGATCAATCCATCACGACTACTTGTCGACATAGAACAAATGGATATAATTGAAGCAGAAAGAGAAACTGCAAAGTCAACTCTCGCAACTTCTAGTACGTCGTGACATTCGCCGCTGTAATTACGGGGCGTCGCTCGTTCGTTTGTGATTATGTGTTGCGTCGATTTGCACCATCGTCTGAGCAAGATGGCCGGACGGAGAGAGTGTGTGTTTCGTCTGGGAGAAAACCTAAAAAAGTCCTCGATGTTAGTGTTTCATTTTCCTTCGCCTAATTAATGCACTAAACAACGCACATCTTCCCTGTTCTTCCTGCTGACATGTCTGAATCTAGGATTTCGGTCGAGAGGTGAGAAAGTAGACCAAGATGAAGATCCCTATTGCAAGTTTCAGAGAACAAGCCTTGTTGATCTGTAGTTGTTCTCTTCAACCACGGAAATAACGTATTTGCATTATCTACCGCAATTGCACTGAGTCACGTGGTAGCCGCGTCACCACCTCCCCGCACCATTGGTGTTCTCAGTTTGCATCTTCTGAGCAGCCTGTAGATCCAAGGAATCATTCCAATATGCCTTCTTCCCCGAGCCTCGGGCGCAGCTCGGCAGAAGTCGACGAGAATGACCTGCCACAGCGCGGCCACTTTCGGCAAAAATTGGAGCAGTACCAGCGTGCCGCGAGCGCGTCGCAAGTCGGGAGCAGCGCAAAATTGTCCGGTTCGCAATCCAGCAGTGCCAGCAGTTCGGCCAGTCGCAACACCGGATCCATGTCCGCCTCGCGGGTCTCCAGCGCGGTACCAAAACACAAGCCGGCGTCCGCTGCGAAAAGTAGTAAGTACCCGAAAAAGATCGATCTGGTGGGGGATGAAGAGAACGATGATGACTACAACTACCCGTCCAGTTCGCGGAAGAAGCAGTTTTGGCGCATGGCACACTCGTTTTCGAACGAAAAAAACGCGAACAAGGCCTCTCCGGTGGCGACGAGCAGTGGCGCGAATTACGCTCCTTCGTCGCGGAAAAAGGATCATAAGGAACAACCCAGCATGATACACGACCACGTGGACGAGGCCGAGAGCAGCAGGAGCGTGAGCCACATCAAGTCCTCCGCTCGGACGAGTCGCGAGAGCAGAGCGACGCCGGTGAAAGAGCCGGCCCAGGACTACAGCAGCGAGGAGGAAGAATCTAAGTCCGTGAAACCGGTACTGAAGGTCACGCCAGTGAAGATCCAAAAGCCTAAATCCAGAATACCCTCCTCCTCCGCGAAAAAGCGGGAAAAACAGGAAGACGAATGCCGCGTGGAGGACATCAAAAGCTTGCTCAGCAAAATGGACAAGAAGCAGCCGGCAGCACGGAAAAACGTCAACCGTGCTGGTGGTGCAACTACAACATCATCGTCTTACCAGCCGAAAAATGGTGTTGTTTCCTCCTTTGATCCCTCAGCGGGAACGTTGGTCAACGTGGGGCAAAATCTTCCCTCGAGCTCGTCGAGCAGTAGCGCAATACCGAAAGACTGGAAGAAGAAGGTGGAAGCATTCGACCGGGAAGAGAAGAATTTCTACCAGAGACGCCACAACTCGCTTACCAAGTCCAACAACCTCCTGCAACGGGACGACGATTCTGAGTCAGATTCCCTCGACGACAGCCCCTCCGCGTCGAAGAGTGTGGAGGGGGCGGACAAGTTTGAGGTAACAAGTTGTACCTGTGTGAGCGGCATATTAGATTTTTTTGTAAAAAGAAAGATTCATCAACATCGACGTACTGTTGACCTCATTTTTCTCCTCGTCAGCGAATATCAAAACAATATCAGGTTGAGCTGACGGACAACATATTCGAAAATAGTTATCAAGAGTAAAGCCGGGGGTCTAGTCAGAATTTTGCACACAGCAAAAGTAGCAATCGAGCTGAAGTTTGCATTTGCTCGAGCTTGGCATTGATTTTCAATAGCTTTCCTGACTTGGCTTCGGATTTTGCGCCCATACTAGTCGGAAATACCAGGAGGAACACAAGCGGATAGTAGCCAAGATACACCGACAGTGGGCGAGGAAGTTCAAGGAGCTTCATAAAGAAAGTACTTATTCATATTCGCATCATGTTGATGTTTTTATACAGTTTTTTTTGTCGCGTTCCTTAGCACTCGTGCACGAATTCAAATAGCCACTAGCTTGTTCTTTTTGCTGCAGGACGTAAATTGATGCTCATGTTGAACAAACCAAACGAAAACCCTATCCAGCGGACGTGAGGCACGGCGCGTTGCTGAACCAAATCGGCGAGCTCGAAATGCTGATTGAAAGCACAGAGGAGTACCGTCAGCGCAGAGCCGAGCTCCTAACTTTCAAGGAGGGCGAGGTATGTAAGTACAACTTTCATGTGCGGCTGTTTGTCAATGTGCAGAATCTACTTCTATGAAAAGGCCCCGAGTGTGCTGGATGAACGCATTCATCAAGTTGAATCTATCATACATAAAAATCAAAAACAGCAAGTGAAGTTGGAGGGGGCTTACGAGGAGGCTTTGGAAAAGCTTGACGAGCAGAAGTCCATCACGAAGAACTTGAAATCCGAGGTGGAGCGGTTCCGTTTGCAAGCGCAGCAGGCGGAGCAGGCTTTTCAATACATCCAGAAGGAGATGAAGGCGGACCACTCCACCGCAAAAAAGCGCATGGAAACGAAGTGTGATCACCTAAAAAAGCAGGTGCGTGACCTCACGGAACAGGTAGCGCGCACGGAAGAGCGGTTGCGGGCAAGTGAAGACGAGGTACTACAACGAGGTGGTTTTGTCCACTGTTTGTTTGTGTTGGTGTAGCTTGCGGAAGTTATCGTCGTACAAGGCTCATGCTCAAAACAAAAGGGCTCCCATGAAGGGCTAATAAATATTGCCAAAAAAAAAAAATCAAACTGCGCTCGTTCTCAGCTCAAGGACGTGAAGCAAGCGGAGAAATCGTTGCTGAAGGAGGCAAAGACGCTGCAAGACGAGCGGGAAAACGTTGAGAAAGCGGCACGGTCAATTGTCCAGGAGTGCGAAGCCAAGTTCGGGCAGGAAATACAAAGTGGCAAGGTAATATTCTTGGAAATACGAACCTGTTGCGTATTTAGAAAGAAGCATCTCTAGTCCATGCTTCACATTACACATGACGCACTGGCACTCCGCAAGCCGGAAGTAGGGCAGGCACTACCTATAGCAAAGCAAGAGCAGTGGTCAGCGAACGATTTTCAATACAAAAACAACGTCAGACCGAGCTGGAAGTTTTGCGGTCCGACAACTCGGAGAAGAACAAAGAGCTTACCGAGCTACGGTTCCAGGTGCAAAAGCAGGAGCAGCAAATCGAGCACATGCGGCGCGAGTACGAGCTGCAATTGGAAAATCTGCGAATCAAGGGAGCCGTCGACAGCGTCAAGTTGCATCTGCACGTCAACAAAGAGGCGGCCGATGATTACGAAGTCCAGGTACTAGGATAAAGTGATGGTGTGGAGGCTCCTCTGGGAGCGGCGTGGTCTCTCTCTTCCTTGATCGTTTGACGCTTTGCCGAGGATGAAAATCAAAATTGCAAAGCACATCAAAATCCCATTTTAGGTGAAAGAAATCTCGGACGATGAGGATGGACAGAAGACCCCGAGGTCCAGCATCTCCTCCGCCAAAAGTGAGGAAACCGTCAAATTTAACGAGCAGATTCATCGTACTATTGATTCTTGATGCCGGTGTCTGATTTTGCCTGCGCGTTTTTGTTGTTTTTGCACTCCCGGTGTGTCCCCGTCCTTTCCAGTGATCTTCAAACGTCGCACTGTCTGACTCTCCGTTTCTGTTGCAATACTCACAAACTACATCAACTAAAACTTTCTTCAGGCACACTCCCCCAGCCACCCGCGATTCCCGTTGTTGTGTCGAACCGGTTCGCCCCGAAGCAACAGAATCCAGAATCCGCAAAGAAGAAGAAAACGCGTAGTGCCTTTGCCGAAATGTACTCCATGCAAAATTACTCCGCATTCTAGCAGCTGTAAAAATCATGTAAGTATGTCAGCACCGTATCTGTTTCATTTGTTGTAAAAGGAGTTTCGGAATGAGAATGTGTAGTAGTTCTATTTCGCGCAGATGTATACAATCTACCAAATCCAATGGAGTTTTACGGTGTTTTTTATCACGATTTACCATTACCTGAGATTTTGATGAGAAGCACGAAATATCTTTCAGTTTGCTAACGCCTACCCGATTCAGCCGCTACACCATCTTGATACGTATCTGCCGATTACTCGACCCACCTGCATCTGTAATTTCAAGTGATATTTTTATGAATTGAAACAGACACGGACTACATGAAATTGGAAGCGCAATAAAATTAGACGTGGGCCTGGATCAACGCAAAAGAAGGAAGAAGAAGATTCTTTTCCTTCCTAAACCAACTCAGACCGCGCTGTTTCCATCATCACTATCAACCGTGACCCAACAATAAGTAGCCATACGTAAAAACATTGAAAATCTTTTGTCGCAACGAAAAAACTTTGAGAATCCCACTTTCTGTTGTAGTCGCAACAAGAGGAAAACCATAAAGCAAAGAAAAAAGCAAGAGCTGACATGTGCAAGCCTCTGTGTCCATAGAGCCGACATTCTGTTTGTTTGTTGCAGGTACCCGAAATCAAACTCAAACGCAAGAAGAAAGAGAGGGTCTGTCATGCTGAACCGCAAGAGCAAACTTGAGACTTCGCAGACGCAGAAAGAGCCTTCCTCCGTCAATATTTGCAACTCCGCCTCAGCATCACAAGATGGCTTCCGTTCTTTCCCCGGACGGAAAAAGCAAAGTTCCAGCAACTACTGCCCCTTTCGGTACGGCGCCACCGACAAACGCAGACGATGCGACTTCTTTCGGGTTTGCGGCACGGCTGAGGCAAATCTTCGGTCAGAAGAAGACCACGTGCTTACTCGCAAAGACGCTGCTGGAAAGCTTGGCGATTGCGCTCGTTTGCATAGGCCCCATTGTCCTGTTTCTCTTCACGGACCACGTGGAGGACTTCTTGGGATCGGTTCCCGGCATTCTACGCCAGCGCCACCTTTGGGATGCGGATAGCAACTCTGGTTCAACAGAAGACGCTGGGTTCGCTTCTTGGTGGACACTGCCGACCTGCGTAGTGGTTTTCGTCGTGTACAGTGCGTATTTAAGATCTGGCAGGGCCGACTTTGTCGCGAAAGTCAACGAAGGCGTTAAGCTCGATTGATTTGTAACATCTTCCTCGTCGCGAATCAAGAAAAGGAAGCGCGAGCGGTTCCTAGGCTGCAAAACGGGACGGCAGTGCTTGTTCGGACGGAAAACGAAACAAACACTGTCGTTCAATTCTAGACTTGCTTCCGTATAATTTTCTGCAAACCCAAAATCGTTGCCTGTGCCTGTGGTGTCAGCTATTCGTTTACGCCATACGAGTTTGGTTGGAGTGTCGAAGTGAATAGCTGTAGAGAGTGAGAGTCAAATTGGGCCGCGACGCGCTGATTCGTCGAAATTCATCGTGAGCGAACGCAGGAGGAAAAAAAAGTACCGGAAAATATGTCCATGAGAGCAAGAGCCGACACTGGGGGCATGACAAAAAACTGCGGATTGGCATTTCGATGCACTTGTCTCGGATTGACGCGATGCAGATATCGTGACTCATCGCTAATGTGCCGACAACATGTTGTCGACACCAGAACTTCTGGAACTTCTGCAAGAGGTAAAGTAGCTTACGAAGTGTATGCACGTAGAACAAGCTGCGAAGCTGCACCTGTTCTTGAAATTCTGAATCCACGAAAATATCATAAGTAATTCATTTTCATATTCATGGGCTGGATGCCGCAGGACTGGCCATAGTGTGATTTGTTCGAGAACAACTTTCCGAGCAAAGAACTGAAGCTAGTATGATAGCGGCCGAGCGGCGGGACGGCGAGCGAACGCCCTCCGATGCGGGGAGCAAGGAGGGCCTGTTTGACGAGGACGACGATAAGAATCGCCCCGACACCGCGACTACAGATGCGGGAGAGGACAGTCGACCGCAAACGGCAGAGGAGGAGGTGGAAGGGGGCCAGCCAGGAGTGGAGCTGCCAACGATTACCGAAGAAGCACTGCAGGGCAGGTAGAACAGTAAAAAATACGAAAGTTCAGTTTCTGATGCATCGAAATAAACGCAATCTAATTCTAATGCCGGAATCCTTACTCCTCCTTCTAGTATGGCTCCTGAAATAAGATATTTCGTTCACCAGGTTCCTCTACAGCACGGACGACGCGGAAGCCAGCGCTGGTGCTGCCGACGAAGCTACGCCATCCTCCTCATCCACAGCTCCGCCGCAGCACGGCGGAAAATTTATCACACGAAACGTTCTCAGGGTCAGGATTGTGTGACTTTCTTGCATTATCAGAGAGAGCTAGAGCAATGTCAGTTTACATACATGTTTGACAAGGCAATGTTGAAATAGCTAGCGTTGGTCTACTCTGACTGCGTCGAACTCAATCAATGTCGTCACACGTTCTTACTTCTTTTTTTGTTCGATGAAGTCGAAAGAAGATCTGTTGCGGGAACTGATGGCGCTAGAGGAGGAGGCCGAGAAAAAACGTATTGATGGTTTCTTTGCGTTTGATTGCTTTCGTTCTGTTTCTCTTACACAAGGTCAAAATAAGGACTCGCTCGTACGTTGTCGCTTTAAGTTTGAAATAATGAGTCTTGCGGACAAATGAAATTAAAACCTTTCTCTCAGACGCTGAAGCGCTGGGTAAGGCCGAGCAGGGCGCTCTCGTGGACCTCGGGCCGCGACAAGACAGGCCGGGGAACCAAACTGAATCTGCATCCGGCTCCGGCGACGCGGAGGAGCGTTCTCGAGCAAAGTCCAGGAGCTCGACGGACGACGAGGGCAGACAAGAGATAAGGGAGCTCGAGACCAGTGTTGCGACGCTGAAAGAACGGCTGAAAGAGCGCAACGCACAGAAGCGAGATCTGCTGAACGAGCTAATGGAAGCCCGGAAACTCGTTTGGGAATACAAGCAGGAGGCGACAAAGGCAAAACTCGGGATCAAACATTTACTGCAAGACTGTGGGAAGAGCTGTGCCGACGTAAGAGGACCAATGGATTTTTCTCTGATTGTGATAGGATGCGATAAGCAAAATTTATTCCGCATTCATTCATCCATCCCGATGGCGCTGATTATGATGCACGATTTCCACACTGGCACCGCATTTGCTAGTGTCTGAGCCTCACGGGAAGAGCAGTTGCAGTAGCAAGCCAGTTAGAGACACACCTTTCATCGCCTTTACTTTTGCAGGTCGGCCTGAGCATCGAGATTCCGGACATGGACGCTCCACCGGAGCAGCCGCAGGAAGAACCCCCTGCCCGGGAGAGCCGAACCCTGAGTCCACGAGGAAGTAGTGGCAAGTCGGGGCCTAGCAACTCTGGCCCGTCCGGAGGTATGACAAAAAGCAAAAGCACTTCGGAGCTGGCTTCGATGACGGTACAGAGATGAAATTATTAGTGTTTTATTCGCAAAAAATACCACTGCGAGCACAACGCGAAAGTCGATTGATGATCCCGATGGGACAGTGTATCATCATGTTTACTTCGCATGATCCGATACAGGAGAGAAGTATCATACACATGCATTTCTTAGGACGCTTTTACTTTTTTGTCAAAACAGATCCAGCAGTACGTGCAGACGCAGGACTCGGAGCTACGCAAGTCCATTTCCAAGCTCGCCGAGGCGCGCATGGTCGCGCACGCCTACATTCGGATGATTGAGGAGCGGACCGACGTGATTCGTCAGCTGGAAGGCGAACTGGAAAAGACGCGCATGAAGTCCGCACTGTCAAACCATCCCTGTGGCGAAATTTTCCTTTCCGAGCGTATGGAGATGATGCGAAACATGATGGCGGCAAGGTCTTTTCTGCTTTTTTCGATTCATTTTCCTCGTTTTCACTTTTTTTTTCCGTGCTTCTATATCCATGGTGAATTAGTGGCACTCAACACTACTTTTGAAATGGACATCGAATTTGAACTGCAGATCTGGTGGCGGAGAAGAGGGCGGCACGATGCGCGGGAGCAAATCTGGGCCCTTGAGCATGCCCTCGTTGCGGGAGGATCCCGAGCAAGAAAGCGAGGAGCCCATGGAGTTGACTCCAAAGAATCCGGCTCCTGGTCCGTCAAGCAGTATGGGTTCGTCGAGCTCCTCGTCCTCGAGTAGCAGCTCTGCAGCTCACGACAGCACACCGGAACAGGCAGCCTCGTCGTCCTCCGGCGCGACTCGCAGAAGTGGCACCAGCAAGTTCACGTTCCAGCAGCTCAGTATCTTGACCCACACGCTGGAAAGTGTTGTCTGTGCCTACGCGTTTCGCAATATTTCCAACTATGCAGATATACAGGCCGCAGCAATCAAGTACACTTTGAATTCGTTTTTCGTAAGATTGCGAATGCGATAGCGATTGTAGGGTTCATACGTGGATTTTTCCGTTAGATCAGATAATTTTGTTGCGTCGCAAGTGCAAGTTGAAACAATATCTAAACGTAGTTTAATAACTTCTTGACTCATCAGACTCCAAGCCGCTGGGCGGGGCCGCGCGTCGCGGAAAGCGGTGGATGAGCGAAGGAAGTGGAAACAAAAAGAGGACGCGGTAGGTGTGATCGTGAGCAAACTCGAAAAAATGGTGCAGTTTGCCAATTCGTCCAGCTTTACGACCGCAGTGGCCCAGGACCCGGAGCGTTGCCTGCACGCCGTGGTGCGGCACCTGAAGGGGTACGTCGGCATCCACTTTGCTACGGAACTACTGCAGTCGCAAATGAAGGTTCACTTGGCGCGGAAAGTTACAACCAGCGCAGCCTTGACGGACAGCGTCAACAGGAGCAGAACTGGCGTGGAACGTATATTCAATTTGCTACTATTAACTTGGTTTGTCAAAACGTCATTGCACGTAACACTAGCTGCAGCATTAACATTATCAGACAGCTCAAAAAAAGCAAATTCGGTTCTTTCAGATAGTTGTTCCTGAAGCGCAGGAGCATATGCATAAGAACTAGCTAACGTCCAATAAATCGGTCTGAACCTGCAGCGTTTACCTTTTGTTTTGATCGGTAGTGCACGAATCAACACCAATGCCACGAACTTCGGTACACGGTGCTGCAGAGCTGAACACCACCATTTGACTCTTTCATGTACTTCCATCATTTGTCACCGTCGCTTTCCATGTTCCGCATTCGCAGGGATGAGTAGGTGCGTAGCCTCCCCTTTTTGTTCGCACATTTTTGTATCATACTAGGACTTGTTAACTCCAAGTCGAAAGCCCCTGGTGTGTACCACTTAACCCCTTATAATTCCCACCGCGACAATGAGTACCTTTACGCGTATTCTCCCCGACTATTTTGATGAATGCGCTTACCAGCGCCGGGAGCGGGAGCGGATCCAGACGGAGCCCATCAACATAAGTCTAGAAATGCTAGACGATGAGGGCATTGCTCCGCAGCCCCCACGGTTGCTGTTGACTCGGGGAATGAGCCAGGGCGGTAGCTCTTCCAGCATGCTGACGCGGAGCCCCAGCGGCTCCTCGCCCGGTGGCTCCCGATCACCTATGTCGATAGGTTTTTTTTTTGATCAGATTTGTTTACCGAGGAATCGAATGCTTTAGCTAGTTTCTAACGCTGAGGAATCGATGACTTCCTACCTTCTTCAAAATCGCAGAACAATCACCAGACCAGCACGAAAGGAAAGCACTATGAATGTACTAAAACCAAACCAAACAGGTGGTCGTCCAGCTACGGTGCCAGCTCTCCCACTGAAGCAGCAGCTCCAGCACATGGCTTCGATACCGGCCGCAACGGAAAACCACCCACCGATCGGGCAGAGCTACAGCCTGGAGGACAAGGGCAACGAGATGCGCACGGTGAGCAGCGAGCAAGTGGAGAGGACGCCGCCCATGAACCAGGCCTTTGACGCGAAGAACACCGTGCACTTCTTCAAGACCATGCAGAACAAGGCGGGACGGCAGAACCCCGACCGCATCAAGCGGCCACCGTCGCAGCCACCGCCCGCGGGGACGAGTCAAACAGGTAAACCTAGAATTGAGCTAGAGATCCCGGTGTGGCCCTACCCATGTTCCGAAAAGATGCCTATTTCTGACGAACTCGCAGCAAAGACGAGTGAGTTGCGTGTGGTTCTGCATGACAAAGATCCTGACCTGACAGCTGCGCAGCGGAGCGAGCTCGTCGCCGAAGTGTACACCGGGCTGCGCACCAACCCGCTGCTGAATCGTTCCGGTGGCCAGAAGCGGTTGAACCCGAGGACCAGCAACAATCCGCTTTCTGCCAGTACCAGCTTAAACCGCACGCGACCGCAGACCGAGGGCGCAAACCACCCGCGGCGCGGTGCCCCGATGCAGACTATCTCCACCGACTCGGCGGACCCCCCGTCTGAATGGCAGCAGTGGGCCGGTTCCTTTCACCAACTCAGCAGCGAACAGAACTACCTGGAGGGAGACGACAGAATGGCGGTCACGACGGGACCAGGCGGGCAGCAACTTTTTTACCCCGCATCGAACCCAAACAGTCGGCAGAGCATCAGCGAGCAGTGGGGAGAGGCGGGTCTGGACCCTTTGAATGGGAGTATCGTTTCCAACCCCCAACAGCAGATGATGCGAAACAGTATGAATGCGTCGACGACGAGCACGACCTCTGTGTCCGTTCGACCGCTGAAGGGCCTTCCGGGCGGCCCGCCCTCCAGCGGACCGTCGTCGCGCAGCGGGCGGGCGTCGAGTACGACGAACCGGGGAACGAAGAAGAAAGCAAGAGGACCACCCCAGCACAACACGTCAACAACGAGCATGAGATCGCGGTCAAAAGAGTCCACCGCATCCAACTCTAGCACAACTGACCCGCAGCATAAGCACCTGCACCGGCATTTCCACGTATTTCTTCCGAGAGCGACGCCGAACCACAGTGAGTCGCTGGGAAAAGTGCCCAACTTGGAGCCCCGGCCCCTGCGGCCCCACTACAACGACCTGATGCAGGGTCCGATTGGAATTCAGTGAGCGACCGAGTACAAGAACATCGTAGGCTCCAAATTTTCTTCCGTAATATTCTAGACGACGAGAGCAAACAGTTGTAGGCTTTTAATACAACATCAGTGTATGTAATACGAACAAACAATGCACATCTTCATGATGTGTGCTTGAACAAAACACTTCTAAATGAATGCGATTCAAGAAGAACGACAAGGTTGCTACAACTGTACTTACTGAAGGCTTTATTTCAGTGAGGCAGAAAGTAAACGCCTAACGCAAGGAAAAATGCTACAGTGGCTTGATAATTGAGGACTTTTTGTTTACGCTTACCGGATCGCATAAGTCAATTTTAGAGAATAAAGCCAGATGCACGTAAGGGCGTCGATAGACGCGGCGCCATTGAGCCTGTAGCGGTGGTAGCAGGATTGAAAGCTCTTCGAACTCTCCTTTGCTTGAATGAACTTGCTTTTATGATGTGAACTTTTTCTAATTCTAACTGGTTCTGGGTTCTGGGAGTGTGATGAACTCCAATTACTCTTTCTGATTTCTATTACCCTATGAAACAGCTGCTTCTGCAGCTGCTGTTGCCATTTATGTGGTGGCAAGTAGAAACCGATACTAGCTGGCGTGTTTCGCTGAGCAGGACTAGATTTTATGATGTGGTCGTGACCTACACCTACTAACTTCAGCGCAACGCAAATGAGAAGTAAAAACGCAACGTAGCATTAAGCGATACAACAATCACATCAGGCGCGACAGCGCAGCCTCGTCGCCCAACAAAACAACAGGACGTGGCAAATCCATCATATCATTATTCGCGTTCAACACATACTAGATTGATCCGGTTGGCAATGGGTTGACGTTTTGAGCCAGCAAGCTCCTGTTGCAAGAACACAAATTCCTATCAGCCGTCACTTTCGGTGAATGAAGAGGAGTGCTCGAACACACGGAAGATCTTCGGACGATCATCGTGGTGCCTCGATCAGTGTCGTCAATCGTTTCGTGGTTTCAATGTCGCGCGCAGTCGGTATTACTAACTCGCTTCGATCGATGAGGATCAACTTTTTTTTCTGCCAAATAGATCACTTCGTGACTCGCAAAGCTCCAAGGGATTGCCATTTTGAGTCTGTTAACCATGCTGAATCTTGACATTGGCCTCGCCCCAAAATGTTGCTAGAAGTTTCTGAGTTGATGCAAGTGAACGTGCACCTGCAGGAAAAGCTGTAGTTTTCAATTGCACCGAGAAGCTGATACACGACAAGGAAACTGACACTATCTAACAACACATTTTTGATACATAATTTTGTCATTCGTATTTGACTATCTTTTTTATCTCTACCGGCGACCGACAACGACATAATCTATCACAATAAAAAATATTTCAAATGGGTGATCCCGCTGCACTTTCTCCAGACGCGCTGAAGCGGCTTGGAGAGGAGCTTATCCGAGCCGCTGGGGCGGCTTCATCTGGACGGGAGCAGGACGGAGAGCTGCTGAATATTCTCGGACTTAACCGTGAAAAAGTACAAGAAGCGAGCGAGTATGTCAAACGAAAAAGAGCTGCAAAGTCCGTCGATATCAATTCGACGCACGGAAGCAAATCTGCCGGAGAACCGGAAAGCAAGCGAGTGCATGTCGGAGGCGGAAGTGGACAAGCATCTGAACAATTTATCCAACGTCAGGAGGTTTTCACTGCATCTGCTCATGTGGTGATTTCGTCGGCCTCTTCCAGCAGTAGCAGCAGCAGTAGTAAATTGCCAGCACCAGCACCACCAGTGCTCTTCGTACCGCATCCGCAAGCAGATGCAGGAGATCGCTACCCTGCGTCGGCATCCTCCGCGCAAGCTCGAGAATTTCCGATTGGCGGAAGCGTTGATAGCGGGAAAAACAGCAAGATTTCACTCGACGCTGGACTAGCAGGGGATGCGGTGTCTGCAAACGTCGCACACCAGCAGTCTCTTTTGCAGCCGGGGTGGTTGCTGAACAGAAACGCAGTAGACGATGACGACGACGGGGCCAGCTCGGACAATGAAGAGCCAGAAGACCTAGAGGCGATAGACGGTGTCCTGAGACCCTTTAGCCCGAGTGGCATCAATGCGTTAGCACCGGAGATTTTTGACGCGCCCGAGGAAGACGGAGACGACCGGGATAGTTGGGATGGCGAGGGGGGCGCCGCCGACCGGGACCAGAACTTGCCTGACAGCCCAAACGAAGTGGTGGACAGTGTTGGTGAGCAAGAGCTACTCAATTTTTTCCGCGGCAGTGCCGACACGCACTACTGGGAGAAGAAGCGCAACAAAGACACCGTGAAGACGGTGCTGCAGGGCAAGGAAAACGCAAACGAAGTCATTCAAGACCTGTTGCGCTACCAGGGTGCGTTTGAGGTCGGAGGCGGTGCGAATGCCGCGTTGGAACCTCACCAGCGCGTCGCCGCAAAAATCTTCGAGAAAGTCGATATGGATCAGCTACTCGCTGCGAACGGCGGCGCACAGCATTCACTACAAGGAGGAGTGCCTCCTGCGCCGAATGTTGTGCCAGGTGGAAGGCAAGGGAAAAAAACCGTTGGCAAACGGGTGTTGCTTTACCACCGTACTGGTTCCGGAAAGTCGAAATCGATGCTGCAGCTCGTGAATGAGAACTTTCACGCGGAGAAAAGCACGTGCGCCAAAATCCTCATTTTGAAAAATCGGACCCAGAAGGTGAACTTACTCCGCGAATTTCTCAAATGGCCCAGCAAGCTGCGTGACTTCGCGATGTGCGAGATTCAGCGAACGGAGAAGCAGACCCTGAAAAAGATTGTGGGCGAGAACGTGGACTGGAAAGAAAAACGCGGGGAAACGTGGGACACTGCTATGACGGTTGACAAGGAGACGCTCGCGACGTTTGAAAAAATTATCGAGCTGCGGGGTCACGTCATCCAGGGAAAAATCAAGCCTGCGCAGAAAGAGGTGTTCGAGAAGAACATGCGGAAAATCTTATTTTCGCACCTCGACCGGAACAACAGGGACGTCGAGCGGTTCCTCCCCGGAGCCCCCATCCGTCTCTTCACGTATTCGGAATTGGCCCGGTCGCTCAAAACCGAAGCCGACGCTAGTGTTGACGCTGCGCTAAAATTTCCTGTGACTTCGCCGAATCCACTATCGCAGAAGACGATTATAGTAGACGAGGCGCACAATTTGTGTATCAATAGCGAGGTGCTCGCGAAAAACCCACGGAGTGCGAACGCGGTAAAGAAGGTAGTAGCGGCCTTGACTACGGCGAGCGCGGCGACGTCGATCCTATTTCTAACGGCGACGCCGGTCGTGAAAAATCTCGCGGGGCAGTACGATTCGAAATTTCTCCTGAACGTGCTGAAGGGGGACGCCTTCAAGGCGGAGGGAAACGAGGGGTTTGTGAGCTTTTACAACGGAAGGAAAGGCTTTCCGCAGGTAAGTGTCTTTAGCGAGTTTTTGTTTTGTATTGCGACGTCGTCGTCAGGTTCACCCCGTGTTTTGATGATGCACTGACTCCGTGTGCAGTTTTATGCTCTTGCAAATCCCATGGCTACTTACCACGTTCTCACTCTGTTTCAGGTCAAGACCGATCTCGAAGAAGACTACACGCTGTTTGGAAAGCCGGGCTGTCAGTCACATGTAGTTGAATCGACTCTCCAAGGGCGGGCGCTTGCGAAATACGGCCAGATGTGCCGAAAGCTGCAGCGGGAGCATGGGAAAAAGCAACTCGACACTGAACGGCTGTTAAGGTGGTGTGCTGCTGATAAACAACTTACAAAGTTGACACGGCGCGACGAGCTCGAGAGGTGCAATCAAGCCAACTTGCTGGCAGACCGTTTTCCGAAGCTCCTAACGGTCTGCAACATGGTGACGGGGCAGGTGAAAAAGGGCAAGGCCGCCATTCTGGTATCGCTACGGGGCGGACTGGAGAACTTAGTGCAGCTGCTGCGGCTGAAACTTCCCTACGAGCATCGGGTCTTAGTGATGCGGGACGCGCAGGACAAGGATGAGGCACTGAGTAAATTCAACAAGTACGTGCACAACGACGCCGGCGGCGACGACGACTTGAGCTACCCCGTGCTCGTTGCGAACAACAAATACTGTGGGGAGTCCGTGACGATGCTAGAGGTTAACCACCTTCATTTGCTGGACGTTCCGCCGACGTGGTTGGAATACCAACAACTCGTGGGACGAAGTTGCCGCTTCAAATCTCACGCGCACCTGCCAGCGGAGAAGCAGTATTGCCACTATTTCCTCCATACGGCAGTTTTGCCCTTTGGGAACAGTTCCGAATGGAAACGGGTGCTGTATTCGACGGTCTTGACGCTCAAGGAGCCTGGGTTCCATTGTCACACCACCAGCAAGATCGAGGAGGCGCGGGGAAAGTATCTGCAGATAGCGCAGGAATGGGAAAAGATTTTGCAGGACGAGGAGAACATTACATCGCGGGCACAGCTGGCGAAGAAGTCTCTTGCGGAGAAGCGCCGGATTCTACAGGCCGCGGACACACTGTTCGACTCCGAAGACCTCGCACGCTTCGAAACGCACATGGTTCCGGACACGAGGGCTATCGAGATAACACTGAGCAAGGAGGACCCGAGCCTGTTGAAGTTGTTGCAGAAAAGCGCGAAGAAAAAGGCGTTTGCCAGTCAGATTTTCAAGGAGCTGAAGAGTGTCAAGGTGGAGCGGGACGCTGGGCGCGCGCGAGCAGTGTCCGGGGACGGTATTCGTGTGAATCAAAATGCAGCCGACGCATCAGGAGGCGCCGTGAAGGAGCCGATTGATGAAATGACCACTCAGCTGCGCCGTGGCCTTGCGAAGACGGGGAGAGCGCCGTTTAGACTCGTCCGGCATACGCACAAGATCACGGCTTCCGGTCAGGAACACACTCTCAAATTCCAGAAAAAGACGATCCCCTTTCCAGCAAAAGGAAACGACTTGCTGCAGAACTTGAGTGCCGACAAGAGGCGCCTCAAGAATCTTGGCGAAAACATGGGCGAGGTCGAGACGAAAATGGAGCAACTGAGGTGGCTGGCGGTTGACCGGGGGCAGTATGCGGATCTGTAGCGGTTTCGGCTTCGGGTGTTTTTCTTGAGATGGGGCGGCGCCAGCGCAAAAGCAGGAGGAAAAGCACCACAGCACAAACAAGCAAAGTGCGACACTTACTTACACAGGAACGCGCTACCAGCGAATCTGTGCGCGTCTGGAAAGACCGATGAGCTATGAGGAATGTAATTTGTATTTGAAAGACCAGTAACCCTTATCTGTATCGGAATCTGTTACGAGAGCTGCCACGTATGTGTCTGGAACTGCGTGGCGATCGTGTGTCGCTGGTTATGAGTACTTATTTCGGGTGCGAATTGTTCTACTCACTATTGACGCTCTTTGCGAATCTATCGAGGAACGTGGGTGACACCAGGCGCATTATGAGATTGGTATAACGAGATTGCGAGGAGTTGTCCTTTTTTTGAGAGTGAACATCGCTAAGTGCGTTTCAGATTTTTTTCTTCTTCTGGGTTTTTTCCTGGAGTGTTATGCTTATGGTTGTCTGCGAAGGCGACCCCGTGAGCAATTAATGTCTTCCGTTCGCAAACGAGGGAATGCACCGTCTAGAACCTGTGCGAGTGGCAACTGCGGTGGTGCAATACCTGCAGCAGGTTCTTGTACGGGATTGAGTCACCTTTGTTGTCCATCGGCCTCAGAAGTCACGTCGTGTTGGAGTAGACTTGCGTTTCCTGCTTCGTGATGATAGTCTTCCTTAGCTTCAATATGTTGAAGTCGTAATATCAGGAGCGGTAAGAACACGCACGATGACGTCGAATTTGTTGGCCGCGTTGCGGTCCAACCAAGCAAAAAACAGCTTGAGTACTGTTTCTCCCCTCATTGACGCAGCCAAGAACGGATTGATCGAGGGCGTGGAAAGATGGCTGGAGGAGCCCAAAGCCAAGCCAGACCAGCGCGACCCCGACGGACAAACCGCGTTGATGCACTCATCGTCGCAAGGGTAGTGTGTGCATTTTGCTTACGTTGCTTCTGGTCTTTTGGCTTTATTCGCATACTTACTGAAATGAAGGACGACAGGCACCACTTGCTCTTAATATTGCGGCAAAAAAAGTGCTTTCCTTCCCTACATAAAACAGCTACCTCGACATAGTGAAGTACCTGCTTGCGAAGGGTGCAAGAGTGAACGCAAAGGATGACATAGGGGAGACGGCACTCATGAAAGCATGCAAGGAGGGGCAGATACATATCGTCCAATATTTCGTCGACTACATCATGGCCACACAGAAGAAAAAAGTCGCAGGTACCGCTGTAATTGCATGGAAGAGTTTCGTTTAGCGTTCGTTTATATCGAATGCGAACTCCCACACAGAGAATTGTGCACGGCCCAAAGGAAACGGCACATTGCACCAACCAGATTTCCTTCCAAGCAGTAACGCGGGCTCCAAAGCAAGACAAAGCTCTACGGAAAGACAGGGCTCAAAAATGGCTAGGACGCTCGACCAAGCAGAGAGGCGGAGATTACTAGACGCAAAGGACGATGAAGGTACGAGAAGGAAGTAAAGTAGTCTTTACCAGCACTGTCGTCTTTTGGAAGTCGTTCCTGCGCTGCTTGAAGTGCAGAAGAAAGGCCAAATCTCGGTTGTTTCTAGTGCCCCACGATACAACTTGCCACGACTAATACATGACATCAGGTATAACTGGGCTGATGAAGGCTGCAGAGCAAGGGGAGATGGAAATCGTAGACTATCTGCTGCAGCAGGGCGCCACTTTGGACGTACAGGATGACGAGGGGTGGACGTGCCTCATGTGGGGCTGCCTCGCCGGGCAGCTCGAAGTAGTGGAGCTGCTGATCCAGGAGTGGAACATGGCAGCCGAGTATAGATTATCAAGTGCAAAAATGTCTGGGTCTGGAAGAATTCATGTTTGTCATGCTTGTCTGGCATGACTCTTAAATCTGTCATGCACGTTACCCAAGATCTCCGTTTTTCTGTGCTGCAGAAGCGCAGTTTGTCATGCAGAATAGGCAACACCTAGGAGCTCAGAAACTTGTCACGCTGAGCCAGCATTTGTAGCCTCATCATGAGACGCAACCCAGCATCACAAGTTTCCAGACCCAGACATTTTTACTTTTGATATAGATGTGTTTAGTTTGTGTATGGCCTGTGGCTTCGATTTCAATAGGTTTTTGTGGTGGAGTTGAAATTTGGTATCATCGCTTTGCGTTATTTGGATGCTTCTTCACAGATCAAGATTGTCACTTGCATGAAAAATAGGTACGCAACCGACAAATCCGAGACGCCATTGATGAAGGCTGCCTGCAACGGGCATTGGGAAGTCTGCAAATTTCTGCTAGAGGAGGGTGCGAAAGTGAATCACCACGACATCCAGTATTAGTTTGTTTGACATTTTTAGAGCAGATTTCTCGTGCAAGCGATCAGAGCTTATTTCGCCTAAGGATGGCGATCATGATGTTGCTTCGCTATTCTCAACAAAATCCAAAATAATTCCTTCTACAAGATCACTACATTCAAACAGCTACCAAACAGCCCTGATGTGGGCGTGCGCGCAGGGGCACGTCGACACCATCGAGGGGTTACTCTCCCACGACGCGAAGATCGATGTCACGACGAAGAACGGGGAAAACGCCTTGTTCTTCGCGTGCATGTTCGGTAAGTTGGAAGCGGCAAAGGTGATGCTGAAAAAGGGCGCCAACGTCCTGGAAAAGAACAAGGAGGGGCAAAACGCGTTGTTCGCAGCGGTGAGGTGTGGCCACCGAGAATTGGTCGAAACCCTGTTGGATCACGGGGCACCAGTGGAGTATAGTTCTACCTTCTACTTTAGGTTTTTCCCCACATGATCCCGATAGAAATTCGATCAAGATGAAGTACTGAGATCAGATACAGATGATCTCTTCAACACTGGGTGGACAAAATGGATAAAAATTTGGCTTAAAAAAAAAAAAACTCAGGTCCATCACGCAGCGCGGGCAAACGCCATTGGCATGGGCGGCGATGTTTCAGCAGTACGAGTGCGTGCGACTTCTCGTCGCGAGAAAGGCCGATCTCTACAAACAGGACGAAAACGGTCAGAACCCGTTAGATCACGCAGAGTCGACGCTCAACTCGCACATTGTCGAGGAGCTGCGCGAGGCCATGCGGGCGAATCCGAAAAAGGAAGACGATTAAACGCTGTCAGCTCGTCTTTTCTGTTGGAAGCGCTTATGCCAATATATCTTTTTTCCCAATTATGCAAGATGTGTTTGAATACGACTTTGATGCTTTATGTGATGTTAACCATAACAACAAGATGCTAGAAGATCAAGATAACAAAGACATCAAACATAATGATAGATAGTGAACGTTCGAGTGCATTTGAGTGACTAGTAGCTGTACATAGATAAAAGTAGTACGAACCAATTTAGAGAAAAAATGACACCATTAATCGGTAGACGACTGCCATTAGAACCTTGTCAAATTCCCGGGTTGATATCTTTTACGTTAGTGAGAATCTTCAATTGGACAAGAATTTATGCAGGAGAATAACAAAATCAAAAAAATCACCATCCTACCTTTTTAGCAGTCGATTCTCAATTGAGAACCGACGGCGTTGCGTCGGTCACAGAAGCGGGCTTTAGTTTTGTTGTTCAATTTGCGTCGATCCCTTTAGTACGCTTGCCATGCAATCAACCACAACGCACGAATTTTTGAAAAATATTGAGTTCCGCGTCAACTCCTCTTTGCGTTTTTGGTTCCTGCGTACGGTGTAGTTGCGAAAGCATCATCTTGTCTCACCGAATAAGCAGCTGAGTGACTGGGTTGTCCACTCTCGTCAGCACGCAGCGTAGTAGAACAACCACGACGAATGAGTACAGTAGAAGCTATCGCTATTCGACTAAAAGAACCGGCACCTCACCGAAAAATCACAGTAGCCACCAACGACTTTTTGAAAACGAAATCGCTAAGTATATTGAAACGCGATACGTTTCCGAGCGATGTGTGTCTCGGTAGTCCTCACAGCAGCTCCAGATAATGTCCGCGGTACTAACTCGCGCGTGACTTAGGAGCGCTCGAGCCGCAGCTGATGAAAACCAGTATGTCTCCGTTGCACCAGCGAGGGGATGGATTGCCTTCTATGTTCGACCACCAGCCAGGTACAACTACTACGCAAAAAACCGCAACAGCTCCGTATGCAATTGCACAACCTGCACCACCTCCCATGACGGGTATTAACGGAAACAGTGTGTCGTCTAGTGCGGTGCACTACGACGGGGGAATGCAGCCTGGAGAGCAGTGGTCTACGAGTAATCCCCCTGGCGATTACTACAACCAGTACAACTACACTAATGGAAATGCAAGTAGCAATGCCTACCCAAATCCAAGTGCAGCCCCAGCACAGAATTACAACCAGCAGCAGCCATTCGCCCCGACGCAGCAGGCTTCGCCCCAGAACAGAACTGCACCGGGTATGAACATGTACAACCAGCCCCATTACCCCGGCGGCGCGTACCCGCAACCTAGTCCCGCAGGCAGCCAGCAGCACCCGAGCGGCGTGCTTACCGGCACTAGCAGTCCGACTTCCAGTCGCGCGACGCCGACGAGCTACAACCAGGCGCAGCAGTACATGCCGCCTGCCAGGACCATGCCACAAACACAATCGCAACCCGTACCCCCGCCCGGAAATACAGCATACCAGGCTTTTGCACCACCACAAAGTACCGGAGGTCTCCCATACAATCCTTCCCCTGGTGTAGCGGGATTAGCAACTGCTGCCAGCGGTGGAGCTCTGGTGCCTAACAGCAGCCCCTATTTGAAATCCGATAGCACGACCACCACCGCCGCGACTTCGGTTGGCACTTTTCCACACCAGTCCTCCTACCCGGGCACGCCGGTCATGTCTACCTCTGGCAGTGCAGCTACACAGCAAGCCACAACAGCGGCCAGCGCTTGGTCGGGAGGCACGGCATCTGCTGGTGCGAACACAGCTTCCACAGGACTACAACCTCCCGCCCAACAGCAGCCCAGCGAGCCTCCTGGCAGTGCAGCAATGGGTGGATTGTGGGATAAACCAACTGCACCGACGAGGTCCAAACCATCGAGCGGTTCCGGCACACCTGTGCACAGCCAAGCCAACGGCAGTAGAACAGGTTTTGCTGCGCCAGTGCAGCCCCAGCAGACGCTTAGTTCTCAGCAACTGCAACAGCAGCACCCAGCATCGGTTCCCGCCACGCCGTCTGGGTACACGTTGCCGTCTTCTAGCCAAAACCAGCCGCAGGTGGACCCTAGCAGCCACGGAGCTTACAGTGGAGGGCAGTATCAGCAGCAGCAATATGACAACCCACAGCCGGACTATCCACACCAGCAAGCCGGGGCACCACCTCCCGCTTCTTCTTCTTCACAAAGTCTTTACCCCCCTTCGTCTTCTACCTCCTCTTCGTATCCGGTGCCAACACCATCTGGACCCTACGGTGTGGCTGCAAATGGCTACAACAGTGATGCTGGTTACGGGACATCAAACGGGACAACGATGTCCGTAGCTCCTGCCGCTGCGCCGCCCTACAGTTCGCAACAGCTGCAGGCCCCGACGCAACCGCAATCGCCTGTGGCAGCTGGTCGGCAGGCGGGTTCGAGCTCCTCCTATCCAGAGCAAGCCTACAGAAGCAACGCCTACCCTTCGCAGCAGTCCTTCACGCAGACGACGGCCGCTGACTCCACCAGTAAATCTGCATCACCGCTCCAGACGGTGGAAGCTTTTGTGCAGGGAACCACGCCCTCACCGCCACTGAATCGGCCCGCCAGGAACAACGATAATCAAAGAGGAGGTGGCGGCACGTCATCAACCGCAAACTCAAATAACCCGGGGCGAGGGCCGCCAGAGGAATACTCTACACGCGACTACGAAAATGCATATCGCGAACACATGATGGGCAACGCTGGTTCGCAAAATCAGCAAGCGCAGCAAAAACAAGAGGAGGGGCGAGAAGAGACGGCGGAGGAAGCTTACCGGCGTAAAATGCGCGAACGCGCAAACAAGGCAGCGCAGCAGCAGCAGCCGCAGGTGTTTTAGCTTTTTCTCTTACTTCAGGAGGTCTGGTCGCTTTATTGGTCAATGCCAAGGTAGTTGTTCACAAAGCTTATGCTATCGGTATCAATCTTTTCCACGGAACAACAAGTTTCTAAACCTAAATTATCACAGTCACAGACGACCGACGATCGGCAGCAGAATTCCGGAACTTCTGGTAGCCGGCGGAACAGCACGCGCCAGAGCAAGGACACCAGCCACAGCGAGCCCACGAGCTCTAGTTCACAGCAAGAATCGCAGTCCTATGACGAATCTGAGGACACGGGCGACATGTCTGGGTCCGTGCAGATGCCGACGGTGATTCCGAACGCGGCCTGTGCCTACCCCGTATTCGAGCCGATCACGGACTTCGAGCCCGCGCCGCTGCCTATAGGGGCCGGTCCATCGGCGCAAAGTTTTCCGTCTTCCGCCTCGAGTCAGCCCTCTCTGATGCGGGCGGGGAGCAGCGAGCCGCCGCCGCTACCCGGCGGTAGTGCTACTGGATATAGCGACCCTTCGCTTCCGCCGCCCCCGCCCCCGCCCGGCGGTCAGCAGTACGGAGCTGTTCCACCATACGGCGGGGCGACCGGCTCGACCGCACCTCCACCGCCCCCTGCGAGCCATTCTGATCCCTACAGTACATACCCGCAGACCAACGCGCCGCCATATAGCGGGGCACCAGCTGCAGATCCCTATAGTCAGCAGCCAGTATCGCAAAACTCGGTCTACAACAATGCGAACAATCCGAACTTTCAGCAGGGCGGCGCAAGCGCAAGCAGCTCGAACAGTCCGTCGAAATCGCCAACGAAATTGCCACCGGGCGCCACCGGTTTGGGCATGGGCGCGAATCCCATGTACAAAGCCGGCGCACAGACCCGGCAGAAACAGATGAATACGTCGAAAATAGACCCGTTGCAGATACCGCGGCCGACAAACGTCGGGGTGCTGACCAGCAGCGGGAAGCAGTCCAAAACATTCGCGACGGACAAGTACTCACTTACTGTTTTACCTTTTTCTTGATAATTTCATTTTGTTGGCGATGTTGCAAGTGAAGTCTTCACCGTGCAGTCCCCCTCCTGCGCCTAGAATCTTTGCCATTCGCAGATTATCGAAGAAAGATTAAGATGCTGATGCATGGCGTGGAAAAAGTTTAACTTTAAACTATTTCCAGATACGTAACGCCGCCAAACATAACGATTTCCTCTCGCTGCGTGTTCGTCGACAAAGGCAGTTGCAGTGCGCGGTTCATCCGCATGACCTGCAACCAGATCCCGACCTACCACCAAACCGCTGACTGCACGCACGTCCCGATTGCCGCCGTGGTCCAGCCGTTTGCTGCGTTGGCGGAGCAAGAGGCCCCTATCCCGCTTCTCGACAATGGGGACGAGGGACCGCTGCGGTGCCCGCGATGCAAAGCCTACGTGAACGCCTTCTACAACTGGGCGGCACAGGGAAAGGAGGCAAACTGCAACTTCTGCGGGCATTACTTCGAGGTGCCGAAGCCGTTTGTCTGCAGCTTAGATTTCGCCGGAAACCGGAGGGACCGGAACGAGCGAGCAGAGCTCTGCACAGGCACGGTGGATTACGTGGCGCCCATAGAGTACAAAGCGTCGTGGAAATTTCATTCATTGACCCTTCGTTGCGGCTCGTGATGATTCATTTGGTCCTGGCCATCCCCATCAAAGGGAAAGAATCACTTTTTCTACTTCCTCTTCAACCCATACAGGTATTACAGCATGAAGGACGTCACCCCGCAAGTTCCCTACTACCTTTTCGTGCTGGAGGTCACCCGGGCCGCCATGGACACGGGGTACGTGCACCAGGTGCTGCAAACCATCCGCTCGATGATTCCGCATTTTCCCGGCGATTCCTCGCGCGTCGCCATCATGACGTTCGACAGCAGCATACACTGCTACCACTTCGGCACCACCAGCGGTGAACCAGCAGTGATTTTGCAGACGGACGTGGATGAGCCAGACTTTGCACCGGCCAGCCCGGACACGCTCTTCGTGGACCCGAGGGTATGGAAGTTTTGCTGGTTTTCGTTTTGTTTAAGCAAACAAAAGCTACTGCTGCTGCGCCTGCGGCTGCTTTACGAGGGGGCCTTTGATTGCTGACGAGTGTTATGACCTCCTTCGAGCGGTACAAATATGAAAAAATTGATCCCATTACAGGAGGGCGGATCTTCTCTGGAGCTACTTCTGGACTTGATCCCAGGCTTGTACCGCGAATCGACGGACTTCACCTCCTGTAGCGGAGCGGCGCTTACGAGTGCCGTGTCTCTATTCAAAGCCCGCGGCGGGACGGGGCAAATCATGCTGTTCATGCGATCGTTGCCGACTAGAGGCGTGGGGTTGCAGGTGAATCGGGATGATGTGCGGGTGTACTCCCAAGATGACGAATGGAAAGACAAAATTGGCGAGCTGTATAAATTTGCTTTCCCTTATTTCGCTTTTCATGATCGGCAGGAAAAATCTAGCCCCGATTCCGCGAAAAAACGGTGCTTCAAACTTGTTGAACCCTTTACCCATACCAGGTTCCTTCCGCAAAACCCTACCTTTCACAAAGACCTGCTGGAGAAGTGTCTGGATATGGATGTGTGCGTGGATTGCTTTCTCCTTCCCGCCGAAAACCAATACATCGACGTTGCCACGCAGAGCTTTGTATTGCTGTTCTTTCGCTACACAATAGATACTTGACCTTGAAGTTTGACCTGGTATCATGCAGGCGAACATGAATGACATTCTCCGGTCAGTATTTGAAATTATCGATGCAAAAAACTCCACCAGCTCCCTGCCAAATCGGGTGGCGATACGTTCTTCTATCCCAATTTCAATCTTCCGGAGCACGGCGAGCAGCTGCATTACGATGTGTCGCGCCACATTTTGAGACGGCAGGCCTTCGGGTGCAGCTTGAAGATCCGGACGAGCAGAGGGTTAACTGTAAATAAAATGTACGCTGCGTTCGATCCGGTCTCGAGGCACGAGTGCAGTCAGTTTGAGGTACTTACTGGAGTTCTTGTGAAGATTTGGTGTCGTGACCGTGAGGACAAAATTATGTATTGACGCTGCGTGCCCTCATCTGTCCTGATTTGAATGTTGAAATCAATTCGCCAAGAGCAAGGACGATAAAGCACTTCATTTGGAACCACGAATACGTCCATAATCTATCGTGTTGTCTGCCTCTTTTTTAGGTCTCCCGCCTGAGTTCCGATTCCACGATTTGCTTCGTGCTGAAGCACGAGGACCTGGTTGAATCCGCCAAGCATGCCTACGTGCAAGTGGCGTGTCTGTACACAAATTTGAGTGGGGTGAAGTGTATTCGCGTACACACGCTCGCCCTAGCGGCGACCAACGCACTGTCGTCCACATTCCGCTACACCTGCGTGGTATCAAATGCAAAAGTGTCTGGGTCCGGAAGAATGCAAGATTTATCATGCATATTTCTCATGACCCATGATCATGATGCCTGTAATGCATGGTGTAGCATCGCAGACTTTTAGAGCGCTTCCTGATGCACCTTCCGCATGAGAAATGCCCTGTCCGTGTAGCACAAATTGCGCCCCTCTTGCTGGTCATGCAATACAAATTTTTTTAGAGTCGAAAAACAGCATGACAAGTTGCAATCTTCCAGACCCAGACACTTTTGCATTTGATACGTGGACGCGTTGACCAATGTGCTGCTGAAAGAGACCCTGCAAAAGGAACTCCAGCAACCAAACAGCCCGCAACCAAAGGCGCAGATCGTAAATACTTAAGCTGATTTGATGTTATTTGTTCACTCCGGTCGGTGCCCTTACACTTATTTGCAATTTTTAGAATGCTCGTAGCTTGGTTCATCTTGCCATGATTGAATGACATATAAAACAGGTGGACCAACTCGTAAACATTCTACACGCGTACCGGGTAAATTGCGCTTCCACAAGCAGCTACGGGCAGTTGATCCTACCAGAGAGCCTCAAACTGCTGCCGATGTACCTGAGCTCTATGTTCAAGCAGATGTGCTTCCGGCGGCGGAACCTCAATTGCCGCGTAGACCACCGGTATGCCGAAATCGTCCAGCTGCTCAACTCCTGTGTCATGCGCTCGAACGCGCTGCTCTACCCGAGGCTGTATGTTTGCTGCTTGCGCGGATGATTTGCAATGCATGTTTCTGTGCATGTTTTCCCTTCCTTGTTTGGTTCAGAATGATATTATGATGAACATAAACTTCTTTTGCTTCCGACACAATAAAACAGCATCCCCTTGCACCGCCTGCAAGAGAAGCACGGGCTCCCTGCGGACGCGGAAAACGTGCACATGCCGAGCAACATTCAGTGCTCCATGGACCGCGTGTCCCTCCAAGGCCTCTACCTGTACGAAAACGGCGACAAGATCGTTATTTACGTTGGCCCGGACGCCACACCGGAGCTGCTGCAGGACTCGTTTGGTGTGGATGACATTGCGCACGTGCGAGGTTTAAACCTGGAAAAGCCACTCGGCGCCCGGATCTTTGCGGTCTTGCAGCAGATACGGAAGGATAAAGGCTTGAGCTACCGCTGGATGCGAATGCAGTACACGAACGAGGATACGCGCATGCTGCTGGTGGAGGACGCACTGCGGCAGGAACTGTCCTACGTCGATTTCCTTTGCATGGTGCATCGCAAAGTGCAGGCCAAGCTGGACACGTACTAGGGAACATTGCGCCGGGCGTTGTGTGCCACGCCACAAAAAAAAGGCATATCCATGCTCTACTTGTTCCCTCGCAATTCTTTCTACTTTTTAAGGCTAATTACTTCGATACCGCATCCGTAAAGCATGCGCGATTCTGACATCAAAGAAACTCTACTAAACTTGTCATTTGCTATTGGCATGATCTTCAGGAAAATTAGGTATTCGGCTTACGCCTGTATCAATCAGTATCTCTTGTACAAGGAACAAGAACTACGAAGAAGTAAAGGCCGCACCAGCGACGTAACAATTACGCTCTGCGTTCGTGGGCGGTGACTTCATCATCATACCTTTGAACAATTTGCATATCGGGGCGCTACCCTGAACCCGAAGCATCAATAATCCAGGAACACACACAGAAATTTTGCGAGCAACCGCTTCATCAGACAGGAGCTGCTTCTGTCTCTTACTTTTTGGACGATTCAGAACACAGTCGCAACAAAATGTCAGCGGTGGGAAGGTGCAATAATTGCACAAGTAGGCATATGCACACGACTTTTGCAGCCTGTGACTTCCTTATCCTTTTTCTTAGCCTTGGAATTTTCATCGCCGAGACGATTTTATTCTAAGTAGCCAATTTCGCGCTCCAGCCAATGCCAATCGCATCGCGCAAATGTCGAACAAATTCTGCAAACTCTTTCATAAAGAAATCCATCGGTGTAGCTCTCAAAAATCTTGTCTGGTTCTTTGCAGAAACACATCGCACCTAGAAGTGCAGCTTGTTACCGTTTCCAGAAAAAACGAAATTACTCTTCGGTGTAGGAGCATTCCGTGCTGCTAGCGTCGTAGCCTCGGTTTCGTCGACGTGCTTGTGTTAATTCCAGTTCGGTGACCCGTTTGTATACTTTTCGTTCGGTTTCTCTTCCTTCTTTGATTACGTCCAGCGCAAAGAAAGAAGAGTACTCGTGCTGATGTGAATTTCGTGCTTGAGGCTCGCTGAATCCTTGAAAATCCGTACACGTACAACGAACTACCACACAGCTGGTCGCGCAGTCGCCTGATGCAAGTCAAAAATGAACTTCTGTCATGAAACGAAACTCCGAATGTGGCAACAGGTGCAGTACTTTTCTTCCCCACCCAGAAGTGCGAAGATACTTAAAAATCCAAGAAGACATTACTAAAACTAAACAAAGATTTCAATCCACCGCTAGTAGCACTCGATCACGGCCTTTGCAACTGATGCATCAAAACAAAAAAACTTAAACTGAGTATTGAGGTGAAGAAGCCTGGCAAGAAGCTCGACAAAAGCGGATGTCAACATTGGCTTCGCAGGGTCCGCCGTCGCACTTCGGCGACGGGGAGGCGGGTTTTACCTCCGAGGTGGGCCTGCCCTCGGGGTTCCGGGATGAGGAGGAGGTGGGTCTCCCGTCGGGCGCAATCGCAGCGAATAAGCGCGACGAGCGACGCGCCGCCCGGGCGGAACGCCACCACCAAATGATGGGCCGTAGCAACTCCAGACAGGCTAGCGGTAGACAAACCGGCGGCGGAGTTGGTGGCAGTACCCAGGATCTGCTGCTAAAGAAGCCGTCCGCGCTGGAAACCTCCAGCAGTTCGCTCGCGCGCACGCTGAGTCAGATCCACAGTCAAAACCCGACCAGCATGCGCTCGCAGGGACCGATGGGTTTGGGGTCCATGGTGGACACGGGCGGTTCGTCGGCCCCTAACGGGGCGGGCTCCCGCAGGCAGCGGCAACGGCCCGTGCGGGATCGCTCTCGCGGCGGAGGAGTGGACTCAGAGGTCGGGGGAGGTGGGTCCTTTCGGATGCAGCAATCTGCACCAAACCGAGGCGGAAGCCCGGGCGGTGGTTCTGGACCTCCCGGAGGTGGGCCTAAAGGGACCGGGAAAATGAAGGGTACGAGCCTATCGAAGGGAAAGCGGTCCGATTACGAGCTGATGACGCAGAGCACGACCGGGGGCGAGGAGGAGGACTGGGAGCAGCAGACCGCGCAGGGGATCCAGAAGATTTTGCGGCAAAACGACGCCATGCAAATGTTCTTCCACGTGGAGTCGAAGAAGTGGTTTTTCGTGCCGCGCGTGCTGAAGTTCAAGTACCAGAACCTCGTCCGGTTGACCACCGCGGAACAGAACAACATGATGCTTTTGTCCAGTATCGAGGAGATCAAGCAGCTCCGCAGCGACGACATGGTCTACATGGGCTCCAGCCTGCACAAAATCGATGCCCACCCGCGGCCGGCGGAGACGAAGCTGCCGGACGAGAAGTCCGTGCTTCTGATCGGGGAATCGAAGATTTTCCAGCTGAAAAAGCAGCCCGAGCAGCTGATGCCGTGCCCGGAGATGTACAACGAGGTGAACGACTACAACGGCTCCAACGCCGTCGTGCAGCCGGTATCAAATGTAAAAATGTCTGGGTCTGGAAAATTGCCAGGTTTGTCATGCACATTTTGCATGACTCCTGATGTCTGTGATGCATGCCCTAGCATCACAGTTTTTGTGAGGGCTTCCTGATGCCTATACCGCATGACAAATGCTCTTTCCGTGTAGCAAAACTTGGTCTCTCTTTGCTGCTCATGCAATCCAGATTTTTTTAGAATCCAAAATCAGCATGACAAGTTGGATTCTTCCAGACCCAGACACTTTTACAGTTGATAGCCGGAACTGACGTGCGATTTGTGGTGCGACCACGGGTTGGAGCACTGCAACTTGACTTTGTACACCAACTGGCGCGACGTGTCCAGCAACGAGCAGACCCCGATCACGAAGATGACGCTGTCCCACGACAGCGACTTCCTGTTCGACACCTCGCAATTTCTCACCTTACACGCGCGGATGCCCGAGGAACGGGTCGTCGGCAAGGAGACCGCGGAGATCGTCACGTGGGTGTTTGCGGTGTTGTGCGGGGTGTGCGTTTTCGGCCTCTTCATTTCCTGCTGTTTCCAATGCGCCGACTGCGACGCCGAGCTGGAGGACCACATGACGGGCGAAGCGGGACACCACCACGACGACGACGAGGACGACCCGAACCACAGCAGTTCCTCTTTTCTCACCTTAACTCGCGGGCTGTACTTTTTAACCGGAACTGTGCACAAAATGTTGCGGCTGCCCTCTAGTACAACTTCTTCCACCTCCAACTCCGGACTGGCGAAGCGCTTCGGAAATTTCGCTGACAAGATCTACGGAAGTACCGGCGGAAACAGCCTGTCATCCGAATCTACTACTCCCGAAAAAGCGGAAATCAGAACCTTGATCTCATCTTCTTCCCCTACGGGACGACGACGAGAAGAAGAAGCTGCGAATCATGTTGGAGATGTTCTTGCCCACGGGCATGCCTCCTTTCTCGAAGAGCAGACAACCTCCACTGTGGCGGGAGCTACAGTTCCGAGAACGGAGGTCCGAACTGGCCTCGCAACATCTTCTTCCGAACAAGAAAATCACGGGGAGGTGGACGAGGTGGAGAACTATCACCGCAAGGAAAATCCTCGCGACCAGGGCCAAGTTGACAGCAACAGCGAATTTGAGGAGGTGGACGACGAGGAATACGACTACGACACGGTGAAGAAAACCAAGTTCCTCGCGGTGCGCGAGAAGAGGGTGAAGAAGAAAGTGTCGAAAGTGACTACGACGAAGATGAAAACCACACTGCAGCAAACCCAACTGGAGCACCAACACGAGACGAAAACAAAAAGAACCCGGAGGACCCGCGCGGCCGGCATTGATCTGCACAACGCGGCCTATGACATGGAGAACCAAAAAGAGCGAGACGAAAGGCAGAGCGCTGCGGCGGGATTTTCCGGCATCTTCGGTGTGGCGTTTGCCTTCTGCCTCGTCGGGCTCGGGTTGACGCTCACCTACGTCACGTCCTGCTTTTCGCTGGATCTGCAGCGGGTGTTTTTTGCGGAGGAACACAACAGTTCCTACATCAAGCACGCGGCCGCGCGGTCCACGGACTCGGAACTGCTCCAGGAGAAGTATGGCGTTCTCAAACGTTACATTCTCAACTGTTACATGAATTTGTCATGCAAAAACACCTTAATCCGGCAGATGATCGAGCTGCTTCGCATGACAAATTTCGGAAGGGCTAGACAGCGTCGAAATCTGCGCCAAACTTGTAATGCAAGAGGCGCAATCTTCCTCCTTTCACTTTTACCAGTCTTGCATTACAAATTTATGTATACAGTTGAGAATGTAACATTTGAGAACTCCATAAGAAGGACCCCCGAGTGCGGTTGCTGTGTCTGCTGCAGAAGGCGATGAGCGAAAACGAGTCGGAGCCCTACGACGCACTGCACAAGCCGCTCCCTGTGCTCTTCGAACCGCGGCTGTTGTACGTTGCGCTGAAGGAAACACCCTTCAACGAGGCGCAGTGTGAGTACTTGATGTTGCGCGGCGAGTTGAAGCAGTGCAAGGACATGAAGATGCTGAAGTATTGCGCCGCCGCGGCGACCTACGCGCAGGAAAACCACAAAAAGGGTCTGTACTGGCAGCACGATGAGGGGAGTGCGAATCCCTCGAGCGCCACTTCTCCCGCGGAATCCACGCTGTTCACAAGCTCCGGAACTTCGGAGGAGGAATTCATCCTTGCTACCGCTTGATTTTTTTGATACTCCTCCAAACTTGAGAAAAGCCACGCTCGAAGAACCGCTCCTGAAGAAACTAGCTGTTGATCCTCGGTGCAGGTAGTCTCGCCTCGACCTGCATTTGTGGCCGAAGTACGCTTTCTAGCTCAATTACAATTTCTTAAAAAAATTAGGTCTTGTGTATGACACCACGCACGTCGTCTTCTAAAGAATTTAAGATCGTTGTAATTTCCATTTCCTAGTACGGCTTGTTTTTATCTTTTTCATGGACACTATCATTCCCCTTTTTGTTTTGCACATACAAAGAAGCTTCATCAGTGATCGTTGCATATTCTTACGGCACGAATTTCAAAGTTGATTCGCATTCAAAGTAAATTATCATTGCAGTTGCAGTATCTTTCCCGATGTTGCTTCTGCCAGTAGTAGCCCAACAAAGATGTTTTTGTCTAAACCCTCCAAAAAATAGCAACTATCACCCAATTACCGAGACCAGCCAGCACACGTGCGATACACACATGTCATCTTCACCGGACAACTACGTCCTCATCTGGTGGCTGAACCAATCCTCGCAGGCGCGCGAAAAATCTGCTTTTTGTTCACACTCCGTGCTACCGCTACAAGACTATTGGTATTGTGTTGTAGCTCCAGCACCGGCTACAACGAGTACGATGAAGAATGAACTAGAAGATCCAAAGATCCCACGACTCTGAATATCGAAGCTCAACATTTCAGTTATTACCCAGCGACCGTACTAGTACTACGTTCTTAGACAGTATTTTTCAAAACTCAAAACGTTTTAACGGGATGTAAGCTAAGTAGTTCATTGACGAAGTGAAACTTGATTTACTTACGCATTAGCAAAGGAAGGCGACATCTTCAAAAAAGACATCAAGATGGAGGTAGACCAAACAGCGCTGGATGAGGCCACCGCCTTGGAGAGCGTGGGGGATGGCGAGAAGGCAATCAAAGCCTACTATCAAAAGGAAAAATCCCCCCTCCCCATATCGAAAAGGCATGTTTCCGAAAATTTGTGTTGCTGATTTGAGGTCACAAATCACATTTGTCTTGCAAGGAGACAAGGGCAGAAGCTTGCGCCCCACTATGGAAGCGATTTGTCATGCTGTTGGGCCTAAAGGGGAGCCGTTTGCCATGCTAAACAACTAGACCCATAGGCCCCTATCTAGCTGAGCATCTGGCCGCAGTGCTTCTCTGCAATACAAACCTGATTTGTGTACTCAAATACAGCAACACAAATTTCGTTTTCGATATGGGGAGGGGGGATTTTTCCTTCTGATACCTACCGAAAGCTGATTTTTGACAGTCCGCTCCCGGAATCAGAGCAGGAAGTGAAAGACCTGGAGCTCTCTATAACCCGCTCAGGAATTAAATTCAGCGATATTTTGAAAAAAAGCGAGCCGCTATTTCTCAAATCGTCGCCATTTAAAGTCGCTACTTCAAAGCCCAGCTCTTAAGCTAGCTGGTCCGAAGGTCTTCCAGTTCTCTTGTTGATGTGTCCCTAAACGGTAAGTCCGCCGGTGGTATGGCGAAGGTGCCGGCGCGGTTTCGATCTTTGGAAAGGCAACACTTTATACAAGAGAAGAGCAAGCTTTTTCTGCAAGAAAACCTGGATGAGGAAGCACCCCCCCTCCAGGGGGGGCGTTAACATCTGAAATCAATCGACCTCATACCGCCGTGGGAAGGGTCCAAGAATGGACCCAAAAACCCGGCCCGTTTCTGCCGGATCCGGAAAAGTAGTTTTTTCACAGGTCCGAAAGGAAAAAGAGACCCCGCACCGTCGTGGTTAGCTTTTCAAAATCTCCAAAAGTGCGCTTTTTTTGTTATATTTTAGGTTTTTTCACAGGTCCGAGAGCTCCGAGGACCAGCATAGCACGCGGATCAACTTTCCAATTTGATCAAAATTGGCGATGGTTGTTTTTTTCGGTTTCAAAGACGAAAAAGGAAAGCAGTTGCTTTTTTTTCAAACTCGTGCTGAATTTAATACCTGAGCGGGTTATACTCTCGATCTACAGGCTCGCGAACTTCTACGCAAAAAAGGAGCAGGTAAAGGACTCATGAGTTTCTATTTCGTGCGATTTGATGAATTCTGACTATAATTTTTTCATCACCTTTGGTACGCTTCGACTTCTTCACGTCTTCCATTGATTTGTTTCATGCAGGTAAAAAACCTCGTGGCACTTTGCAAGGAGATCCGGCCGCTTTTCATTCACTTTCCGAAAGTGAAAACCGCGAAAATAGTCAGGACGCTCATCGATCTCGTCTCACGAATTCAAGGAGACAAACCAACTCAGGTATACTTTTTGTAGCGTTCTCAAAGTCTTATGTTTTCGTGCCTCTCCTATTTAGGTCTGCAACGTCACTATCTAAGCCTAAGAGTCATGAAACGCGTCCGCAATGCAATACTTACTTTCTCAATCGAAAACTGAACCAGCTTATTGCCGACCTGTGTCTGGATTGCATAAATTGGGCCAAAGCGGAACAGCGAACGTTTTTGAAGCACCGAGTGGAAACGAGGCTATGCAGCATTTACGTGGATATGAAAAAGTACGAGAGCGCACTGCAGCTGCTGCAGCTCGTACTGAAGGAGGTCAAACAGCTGGACGACAAAATGCTTCTTGTCGAAATCCACCTCATCGAGACGCGGGCGAACTTCAACTGCGACAACCTACCAAAAGCCCGAGCATCCCTCACGGCAGCAAAAACCAACGCGAATGCCATCCACTGCCCACCACTGCTTCAAGCAGAAATCGATCTGTGGAGCGGTATAGACACATCACAGAAATATGTGTATGAGGTGTATCAGGATCTTTGGTCGACGCATTTACTACAACATGCTTGCATAATATGGTCGACGGCACTTCATAACAAAAACACAGAAGATATTTATGATTTCCCTTGTACGTGTACCACTCTTTTTTCCACACAAAACAGGCATTGTGAGCATGCGGGAAAAGGACCCACGGACCGCCTTTTCCTACCTTTACGAGGCTTTCGAGGCCTTTCATGCTAACAAAGACGAGAGCACGCATACCAGCAAGGACTACTGCTACGTGAGAGCGCTGTCTGCCTTACGGTGCCAACTTTTGTGCCGCATCATGCAGGACGAGCCTGCGGGCGTGAAAACCATCGCGCAGCAAAAGAACATGCTAAACTATCAGGGACACGACTCCGTGCAAGCAATTTTGAAAATTGCTGCCGCGTATGAGGACAGATCACTGAAGAAGCTTGAGAAGGTATTGACTCACTTGTTACTCGGGTTGTATTTCCTAGCACACAGCATTTTGAGTTTTTCCGTTTTCAGGAACGCTGACACCGCCTTCATCAAAAATAGATATTTACCTACAAAATGTCGTGGCTTGTGCATCATGAAGACGAGAGCTAATATTACTAAAGAACATTGTAGGTCCTCGCGGATCACCCGGTAGAGGACCCAGTGATCCAGTACCACTTGCGGGATTTGTACGACACTTTTCTCGAGAAGAACTTGCTGAAGATCCTCGAGCCCTTTTCTGCGGTGGAGTTGTCCCGCGTGGCGGAGCTGATCGAGCTCGGAGTCGACAAAACCACGATGAAGCTCTCGCAGCTCATCTTGGACCAGAAGCTCGCCGGCACGTTAGACGAGGGCCAGGGCAACTTGATACTCTTCCCGGAACGAAAACTGCGACCAACCTGCAAGCACATCCTGGAAACCATCAAGCATGAGTCCGACTGCATCGACAGTTTGGCACTGCTGTCGAAGAAAATCTTCGACTGAAGTGCTGGACAACAGCGGATTAAAGTGATTTTGTTGAATTGCTTGATCCGGTTGACGACATCTATCAAGGAAGTGACTTCTTTGCGTCATCATTCACCCCTTACGACTTTTTAGAATCATGGACATGTGGTCTTTTTCAAAGCCTGCGTGCGACATCTTCTTGCGTATCCCGCAGGTTGCCGAGGCCCGCCCCGGTTCTCGCAGAACCGCGAGTACTACGACATGTTTGATGCTCTGTGAAGCGCACGTAATATGAAACAAGACAGCTATCTACAAGGCGAACATCATTCACGTGCAAGCAGTTGTCGCATAAAATTTGGTCTCGCGGAGGCAAAAGCGTGTTCTTGGTCTGCACAGATAGATGAAAAGTGTCACTTTTTCTGTTCACTCGTCTAGGAAAGAATGGTGTGGTTTTGGTTGACGAGAGCCCACGGTGATAAAAAAGTCCATGTTTTCCGTTTGGTGACACTAATCACTTCTGCTTCTATGTCGAATTATTTACTGGGTAATCAAATGCCCGTGCAAGAAGTCTGACTCAGTGATTTTCAGGGGACATTTTTTTAACGAGCCGCTGTCCTCGCACGTGTGTCTCCCGGCGGAAGAGGTCGATGGAGCTCATATTGCGATAGGACGAGAATCCTTTTTAAAAAGCCACCAGAGATGTACAACCGCTAGACTCTACTCAACACATCGATCACAAGACCTTCAGACAATCGACCGATCTCAATTTGCAACAATGGTGCTCGTCGCCGGCGGGGGTGTTCCAGCCGTACTGTTTGCGGGGGCCGCACTGGGTTACCACTATGGGTACGGCGACTCCTACATGTACTTTTTTCTGATGTCGAGTCTCTGTTACGGCCTCCTGCAAGACGTTTCCTCTAACGTGAGTGCGAGCGCGTCGAACAATCGCTACTTCCTGGAGTCTATCAAATGTAAAAGTGTCTGGGTCTGGAAGATTACGAGATTTGTCATGCATGTTTCGGATCACGCATATGGCGTCTGATGCAGGCAAAAGCATCACAGGTTTTCAGCACGCCTTATGATGCCTGTCCCGCATGAGAAACTTCCTACTTGCGGACCAAGAAATGGACAGCTTTTGGCGCTCATGCAAGACAAGTTTCTGCGGATTCCAGAGTTTGCATCACAAGTTCCAACTCTTCCAGACCCAGACATTTTTGCATTTGATAGAGTCGCTCGTGGGAATCGTTCAGCAGAACCGGATATCAAATGTAAAAATGTCTGGGTCTGGAAGAATGCATGTTTGTCATGCTTGCCTGGCATGACTATTAAATCTGTCATGTACGTTGCCCAAGAAACGCATTTTTCTGTCATGCGGAGACGCAATTTGTCATGCAGAATAGGCAACACCTACAAGCTCAGAAATTTGTCATGCTGAGCCAGCACTTCTGGCCTCTTCATGAGACGCCACCCAGCATCACAAGTTTCCAGACCCAGACATTTTTACATTTGATACCGGATGGCGGACCACGGCGACGAGCGCACGGCGAACATGGCGCTCGTGCGACTGCTACGCAAGCAGAACGTGTTGCGCGCCCCGTGCGAGGAGGAGACGCGCCACACGCAGCAAACGCCGAATCCCACCGGCATGCTGTATTTCACGCTGCGCTGGTGCAGCGTGCTGCATTTTCTGGGCTTCCAGTGGCACACGGTGGAAATCCGGAAGGGCGGAAATGTGCTCATTTTCCGCAGCTTCCGGGCGGTGATCGATGTGATCGGAGACCGGTTTTCGCGCGCCGGCGTCGTCGTTCCCGTCGGCACGAAGCACAGCAAGTACTCCACGGGCGGAAATGGTGGTGCCGGAAAGGCGAAACTTTCCGCGCTACTCAATCCGGAGGAACTGGCGGCACTGGACAACTTCACATTCATTTCCTTTTCCTTCGTCTCCCTGTTATGTTCTCTCGTCATTGCGATGATTGTGCAGTTTGTCCAGTGGAGATCCGCGTCCATCACATATGATGACGATGACGGGGGTGATGACGCTGGCGGTGATAGTACAAGCGGGAACACGCTGCTCACTTTCTTGTTTTCGATGAAGTGTGTTTTGGCCCTCACCGTCCTAGCCGCTTTCTGCGGCGTCGCGTTTGTACGCTGTTGGCGAAATTATCGCCTTGCGTTTCCGGCAACGTTGCGCGGAAGCAGAAACACAGCTGCTCTTTGTAGTCCCGACGAGCTAGTAGCACATCAAAACGCTACTTCTGGCCCTTCTGCTGCCATTGGCGGAAACAAACATGAAAATGCGCCGCTTGCCTACCCGATGGTCCTCGCTGGTCAACTGCGGAAGAACACCACTCCGCTCTTGGAACAGCGGGCTACCAGTACTAGCTGCGAGAAATCTACTTGGCGGAAAGAAGAGTGCACCGAAGGAGCGCACAACGGTGCAGAGCTGTGCGATTTCATCGCAACAGAGAAAGAAGCGCCGAATCATCTGTTAGTACCCTCAACGACCACAGGAGTAGCAAAGACGTTCTCGGGCACAGTCACAGAAGATAACGCCCACGAGCATCTTTCCTCGGCCTCGACCTCCACTCCGGGTAGCGACCGCGGCGGTTCCTTGTTGCTGGATGAGGAATTGCGCACTGTGGATGTTGTTTCCGATGAACAAGAACATCAGGACGCGCATCTCGACCTGGACATTTTCCTACCAACCGCCGAGTACAAGTGGACAGTCGCAGACCACCGCATGGAGGGCCGTCCGACCGACAACCTCCGGCCCGAAGCCATCGCGCGCTTCGGCGCCCAGCTGCACCTCGACCAGTTCGCGTTCGAATCGTTGGAGAACCTGCACCGCCGCGTGGTGTTGATCCGCGTGGAGAAGCCGCTGCGACTCGAAGAGCGCCTGGAGATTGTCAGCGCCGCGCTCGCGAAGTGCCTGCCGCAACTGGACGTGGAGTTTTTCACCTGGGAGCCGCTGCGGTTCGCGTGGCTGAGCATGTACGCCACCAGTTGGGCGCAGAAACAGGCGGTGAACAGTCCGGAGCGGCTGTTCGTGCCCTTTCTCTCGGTCGGGCGGAAGTTCACGGATCAGCTGGCGGCCCTGGACGGGGGAGACGCCAACAGCGGGCCGCTCTTTCTGCCAATCCACCAGATCGGCGGCGGGACGCCCCTGCAGCCGGAGGCGCGCAACAAAACGGATCTGCAGACCTGCGTGGGAATTCTGCTCTCAAAAAGTAAGGTGCCACAGGGCGCAAGCCTCTTCGTCTTCGTGGAAGAAGATGCGGAAGATATTAACGGAGCGACACAGGTCGGTGCGATCACAACTGGTGCGCGGAGTAGCTCCTCGTGCACGTCGCTGAACACCACCTGCAAGAAACAGACCCGATCCGTGACGGAAACCTGGCGGCAAATACTGAAGAACTTCAATCCCTGCGTGTTGGCTATGGACGACATGCGAGTAGTTTCCGGCGCCGCGCCGGTTGACGCACAAATGTAGGAGATAAGGGAAGGGTGGTCCTCTATCAAGATTCCAAAATCAAACTTTCATGTATGCAGCCCCAAAAATGATATGAATATCCTTAGCATTTCCCCGCGGCTCCTTAGGCTCGAGGTTTGCTCCAAGGGAAATTAACAATACAGTGTGCCTAGCTAATACACACAAAGTCCTGTTTTGCCTACACTGACACATAATGACGAGACATGGTTTACGAACATAAGAGTTGATGTTCGCTAGTCCTTCCTCCACTTTCAAAGTACCTCTCTTCATACATGTGTCTCCATTTGCTTTTTCTAATCGGAAGCAAATCACTATCAACACGGGAGACAAAAGTACTAGGATGATGATGACGGGCCAGTAATCACTGTGCTCGTGCGTTTCGATAGATTCCAAGAAGAACTGCATATGATATAGAAAAAACAAATGGCACAACTGTAAGCGAAGTAGAACACAATAAAACTTCACTCAGCCACGATGGCTGCAGTGACGATAATCGCCAGCAAAAAAGAGCGGACGTCTCCGCTACGGCAGCGCCAAGGAAGAAACAGTGGTCACTGACATTTTCGGGCGGCGCAGCTTAGCGAGTAGCAAAGAACAAACAAAATATAAAAACAACCATGATGTTGATGATCGCGCAGAAAATTGAAAGCTGCAAGACTCTTACTTCGTTCATAAACTTCTTGAATAACTGCCTCCATACACACTTTACATATTGTTCCGCGCCTCTTTGTACCAGAGGACTTCCTTCAGACGCCTAGCAGGAAAGAGGGAGCTAGTAGTCGCTCACTATCAATAGATGTATTTCACCATGAGAAGCTGAAGCACACGCTATTGGCACAACTTAGGAGGAGCTCAAAGAAAGGTGAAAATAAAGCTAAACTTTCCGTTCTAGTACCGCAGCCCGCGCTCCTACTCCAACTGTTAGTGCCTGTCAGATCTGAAATATTAACGCTTCAAACACATCTACCAGAAGCATGGGCCGCCTCCGGGACGACAACACCAACACGTACACTACGACAACAGTTGATCTACTTGTGGCAGCGTCGAGACCTATTCCCCAACCTGGACGCGACTTCGGGAACAAAAAGATGACGAGCATTCGTGACTTCACGGAGGACGAGGGAAGAGCCTGGAAACGGGCGGTTGCGTACAACACCGCGCGCTGTAGTCGGGAGGCGATTTTGCTCCTCGGTCCTGCCGGCGGCGGGAAATCTGCGTATCGGAAGGAGTTTCTGGAGAGTGACCAGGGTTCGCAGTTCGTGGACTTCGACGGCGATTTGATGCGCGACGTCCACGGCCAGTGGCAGGAGGAAATAGCAGCAAAGCGGGGTGATCATGGCGAAGATCCAACGCGTCTTTTCGAAGCTATGAAACCGGTCGCGGCCAAGTTCAAGGAACAGATGCTCGCACAAGCGGTGGCGGAGGGACGGTCGGTCATGTTGCCGTTCACTTTTTCCACGGCCGACAGTTTCGAACGGTTGCAGTGCATCGCGGACGCGGGCTACAGCGTCGCTCGCGTGATCGTTTTTCTGGCTGATTTTTCCTGTGTTAGAGAACGCATCGTTCAGCGCGGCAGGCAAACGGGGCGGCAGCAGACGATGGGTGTTGAGAAGTACAAAGCCTGCTTGAAGAACATCGAAACAGTGGTGTCATCGCTAGTAGGGAAGAGAAGAGGTTCAAGCTCAAGGTCCACGGAGAACTCAACTGCGTCGCTGGTCTGCCGCGATGGCGCGCAGATCATGGTCCGAGACACGACAGATAGGGTGGTCTCGAATGCAGAACATCATGATGTTTTGCTCAACGTGTCACTGTCGTGTCAATACAGCCCTGAGAGAGAGGCCGACGCTATTTTGGCAGAAATTCGCAGAATATTTGGGAGGTTTCAGAAGTCAGCAAGTGATATCGAGGGAAAGGATGATCCTTTCTAAACGAAAAAACGCAAGACACAATCATTGAAACGAGTGTCGATCTTACATCCGCACTGTTTGATCAAAGTGAAGAGGACACTTCGTTTATTTTCCAGACCACATGTGTTGGTGTTGGTGTTCCCAGTTCAAGTTCTTTTTTTTTTATAGTGCTAGTAGATCTGCCTCAACTTCTTAATCTTATGCCGAGCAATCGCGAAGCCGAAGCGAGCAGAGAAAGACGCGCGCGCTCGAGGAGGAGCGAACTGCGGAAGCTTCGGGGAGTGCGCGAGCGTTTACAGGCAGCGACCCTGCTTGCGTGGGAAGCAGGGGAGGCAGAAGCGGGGCAGCAATCTCGACGCGTGGCCTGATGGGGGAGCCGGGCATCAGAGCGCTTCCCTGACTGCAAACAAGAACAGCCCCAAGGTGACGCCTGCTGCCGCGACGAGTTCCAGCGCAGGCGGTAGAATTTCTGTGGATGACCCTGTCAAAGATCGCGCAGCGCCTCCAGGCCTGTTTCGCGGTCCGCCGGGGACGGCGCCGCGCTGCGAATGGCGCAGCGGTGCAACAGGGGCCGCGCCTCTGTCTTCTTTTTTTATGGCCTGGGCGTGCTCGCGCCCGCTTCTTCCCGCTGCGCCAGCGATCTGCCCCGAATGCCCAGCAAGCGGCTTCCCATTGGGCGCGCCCTTCCGGCCCCAGTCGACCCCCAATATCCGCAGCGCAACTACTCCCGAGACACTCTGCGGCTCGGGGGTATCCAAGACGCAGCCCGCAGCGGGGGCACTCTCTGCTTTACCGCGCCCCCTCTCCCCCACGCCGTCACCCAGGGGCGAGGGAGAGGTGCGCCGGCTCGCCTCGGTGGCTTTGCTTTCGTTCTTTCGATCGTCGCCGGGCGGCCAGGGCTTCCCTGGCAGGGACAGCAGCCGGCCCAAAGAAAGAGAGAGGGGCGCGGGCGTGGCCAAAACCAACGGCCGGCGGGGGCCTCGAGAAGGACCTGAAGCGTGGATCGACCAGCGCGCCGGAGATAGATTTCGACAAGGCGAACGCTGGCGCGGTTCTCGTGTATTGGGCCCAGGCCGTCGATCCCTGCCTCGCTTTACCGGCCCGCCTCGCTTGGCGACGAGCCGGCGCGCGCGCTTACGATTCCCGCGCCCCCGGGCGGGGCGCCGGTGTCTTGCGGAGGGGCGCCCGTGATTGGCCCCCCCCCCGAATTAGGCCGGCGGGTTGTACGCGCTCCGCGCGCCACGCGGCTGCGATTTTGGCGAGGCCCCTGCCCCCAGGGAAGTAAGTAGCCCGCCCAGGGAGCAGGGGCTTGGGGGTGCTCGCTTACGAAACAGGGGGCGCGCGCACGAAGGGCCCTGCAGTGGCCCGCGCGCGTCGTTATTGATGGAACCGCGGACGCCTCGGGTGATCGATGTCGCCGGTTATGAGTGCCACTGCGTGCAGTTTCCATCCATCCGCGCCGTGTTGCCGTCGGGGAAGCTGTATTTTCGCGCGGCACACGGGAAGCCCGAGCCGGGGCTCGCCGCGATTGCTTGGTTGCGAAAAGGGCCAAATCTTGCTCGGAGACGGCACGGCTTACGTTTTCGCATCCAAAGAAGTTTGGGCGTCCTCCGGATGTGTTTTTGCATTACTCCGCGGCATGTTTTTTTGAGTTACAAGTGTTCTGGTTCCGTCATCAGTATCTATCAGCAAAGGAAGGCTTCAACAAATTCGGCTTGTCGAACTTGGTGCAATAAAATGGCGACGCGTTTCCGTTTTAAGCTGATTTGTCAACAATAATTTTCACAATAGGACGAGTAGAAGCCTAAATTCACGAGTCAGCAGCAAATTAGTTTTTTTGCACAGACTCAGCGTTCTTGAGCGAATCCGGAGAAGACTCATTCTTGTCTCCGCCAGAGGAGTAGATGTAGCAGTAGATGTAAATCAAAATGATTTCCGCGCCGGTGGAGATGGAGAAGGCTGACGTAGCTGCAGCACAGCTTGTCAAGACAACACCAGACACTGACGTCATTACGGACGAACTTGCAGCTGAGCAGGAGCGATTGTGTCGCTACTGCTTCGAAGATGACCAGAACGGAGAACGGCCTCTCATTTCTCCCTGCGATTGTGCAGGTGGGCAGAAGTATGTCCACCTAGACTGCTTGCGGCGGTGGCAGCGGGCCGTGCTGGTGACCCAGCCTACACACCCATCGCTCTACGATCGCGATGTTCGCCACCATACCTGCAACGTGTGCAAGGCCCGGTTTACCTGCCCCCCGCCCACCCGGCACGAACTGATGCAAAGTTTCACTGGCGGGGAGATCGCGGCGCTCATTCAAGAAAACTCCATAATCGCCAGTCACGAAAGCTACAATCTACGGCTGCGGCAGCAGATGGAGCGCGATCTACGGCAGACGCTCTCAAACAGCTTTCTGCTCGCGGCAAACGAGCCAGCTGATTATAGTCCACCTGCGAGGACCGGGCCCGGAGCTGTGCGAACGGGCGACGCAGCTGCAGCAGCGTCCGCAGAAGCAGCTGAAGATGAAGTTGAAACCGCAGCTGCCTCCTCTTCCAGACGAGGACGATCCCATGACGCAGGGCGGCCCGCGCTGGAAGTACAAGGCGATTTATCCGAAGATACCGCCACCTCTTCACGTATACGCGATCCGGTCGACGTCGCTGAAGTCGCACGAGAATTGCAATCTGGAAATAGTCTGCCGCGCGTTATCGAGGATGCGTTCGTGCAAAGTCTCCGGCAGACCGGTCCGCCGCCACACCCAAATCGGGATCGCATCAACGCTGTTTACCTGATTTCCAAGGTCGAAGAGCCGGAGAAGAGTTCTGAGCGCGTATTTCGCAACGCAGGCGAGCTCTTGCATTTTATGTTGCTGCTGGAAGACGAGCACGGCGAGCCCGCAGTTGCTTTCGGCGACAAGTATGGCGCTTTGGCGCTCGACAACCTGCGGTACATGCAGCGAATACAGGACGATCCAGCCACGTTTCTTGCAGGTCCAGACGCTGCCTCGGATGAAGCACCGGCATCGTGGTCGCCCCCGCCTACCGCGAGTACTAAGAGATCATGATATCGATGCATCATACATTCAGTTTCAGGATCGTTACAAGTCTTTTGTGTTTTCTTTTCGGGGGCACTTGCGACGGATTTGCATATACAAAGGTAAAGGAAAGAAGATGACTCAGGAAGAGAAACTCAAACTTACATTGCAGATGCGATGCCCCACGAACTGTTCGATGCACACAAAAATTTCAGGCCGTTCCACGCCAACCGACGGCGATGTTGACATGACGGCGAACCACGTTGCGGTTCCACCAATGGCGATGTCCCCCGATGCGCGAACAGCCACTACGGCACCAGGAGACAGCACCCCGCTGGACTCGCCCAGCTCACCTGCGGCTTCTTCTGAGCAGCCGGATAATTCTAGCCCCGCATCCTCTTCGGAACAGCACCACCTGTTGACGGTTCGCGAAGTGGTCTCTGCCGCGACCACTGGGCGAGCACCAGCCTCCGTTGGCCGCGGGAGAACAGCTACTAGAGGAGGTGAAGTACTAGGCGAGAATCGTGGTGTTGCTGGAAGTGCTCCCTCTGAACAAGTAAGCCGCTCAACAACCACAACAACATCGACCGCCGCTCTTCCGCCCACTATTGCCCATATCGTCGAACAGGCGTCGATTGGAGCGGATACGGCGGTCTTGCGGTATGACGGAAAGGCGTCATACATTCGAAACGCTGTGGCGAATATTATGGGCGGCCTGCAACGGTCCGCCGACCCGAAGCACCCCTTCCACAAAATCCCGTGTCTGACCAAAGAGGAGCTGGAGGAGGCGAACTTGAGAGAGACAAAAGCAAAGAGGACGGAAAGGGAAAAGAAGAACGCGAAAACGAGCAGCGGTGGTGATAAAAAGACCAACGAAGAAGGGGAATTCCGGAAGGAACAACCACGTGAGATTTTCGTGAAACGGCATCAGAACAAGTTGCGCAAGAAGCTCGTGAAAATTGGCGGAATGGAAGCCGCGTGGATTGACTGGGCAGCCTGGTTCGTTTTGATGCTGGAGCAGGTCAACAACGAGCTCATGGCGAATCTACGCGCTTCGGGCATCGCCGCAGCACCCGCAGTCGAGAAGGATGAGGACCAGAAAATACAGCAGGAGGTGGAGGAAGTTGACGGGATCGAGACCCCGACGACCGCGGACGTGGCGCAAGACAATACTCAGCACGACAAAAATGCACTGTTCGTGGAGAGCACTCTGATGTGGTCGCCTGGGGACAGGCGTGGTATTCTCACGGGGGACGTCCTGAATGCAGCTACAAGCGGCCAGAGCTGCGCGAGTAGAAGCAGAGCGGCCATGATCCACCCACTGGTTCCCCTGCACGCCTTTAATCCCGACGAGAGCAAGTCGGGAAAAAGTAAATGTAAAAATGTGAAGAAGCGTCCGAAAGAGGAATGGTTTGACCTGCAGATGACACAAGTGGAAAAGACCATTTGGCCATCCTACACATTTCCGGTCACTGCCAAGTTCTCTCTGGCCGACGACTCTGTCACGTGCGGCGAAGACCGGGTCACGGCAATCAACCTGGCGAGGAGACACGAACCACTGATGCAGGCGACGACCACACGAGGCACTGATGCACATAGAAAGGATAGTACAGCCAGGAATTATTGTACAACGACGCCCCCACCAGCATCAGCTGGTACAACAGAAGTCCGCGGCACGCCAGCCTCACTGACGACCCCAGGGACAAATCCCGCTGCAAATCGCCTCTTGACACTGCTGCGCGAGTGCGCCCTGGGTGAATCTGCTGAAGCCGATGCAGCGATGCACATGGGGCCGGAAACCCAGGAAAAGTGCGAGCCACTGTTGATGGAGGTCAAGCAGCAATTGAGAGACGTGAAGTACCAAAGGGCTACCGATCTCGTCCACATTGAACACCTGATCGGCGGCCCGAAAAAGTCGGAAGCCATCACGGCGTGCGTGGTTTTAGGCGGCGTCCACGAAGGCTGGACGATCACCACAGGTAAGGACTGCCTCACGAAAGCGGTGGAACTAAGTTACACGCGTGCGCTGAAGCGGGAACCGGACCTGGAGGGAACGCACGTTTTTGCGGGCCAGGTATTTGTGATTTTGTTCATTATATATAAAGATACAACAAAAGCTACATACAGATTGAGATACAAAGTTAAAGTCATCATGAAGATCCACAAGACGTGCCGAGTCACACGATCGTCTTTTTCAGGTTGTTTCAATCCACGGACTGAAGGGCGCTCCGCATCTCAACGGGGAGCTAGGTGTGGCATTACTTTTCAATATCGCTACTGGCCGCTGGCTGGTCCGCCTCGCTAACGGTGATGGGAAGCAGCTGAAGCCGGATAATCTCCAGCCCGCATCTGGGTCCTCGACCCCCCTCGAGCACCTTTTTCAGCACCCGAAGCAACCGTCATTGACGAAAAATGGGACTGAGGACATCGCTGTGCAGAATGAAGAACAAGCTACTGTAGTTCCTCCAAGTACTAGTTGTAGGAAAGAAACAGATAAGGTGACAAAAGCAATACAGGAAGAGTCGGCCTTTGATTTGTCTGCCGGCGGTTTTGTGAATTACGCCCCTGAGCACATGAAACAGGTAGCTGTCGTGTCTGCTGCTACGACTTCTACACAAAAAGTCTCTAGTAAGGGAGCACCCGCCGAAGCCGTGCAAACGCAAACCGAGTCATCTCACATTGTTCCGGCGTACACAAACCAGACGAGGGCCGACCTAGCAGCCGAGCGAAAAAAACGGAAAGATCTTGCTGCCTCCTTCGGAGCGGCACTCGTCTCGGGCAAGAAAAAGAAACCGAAAGCGGCTCCTGCCTCATCTAATGCCGACGAAGATAAAACAAAGACGATAACAAGAAACGACCACTCGACCCCCGAGGAGGTAAGGCCGATGTACTCGTTCATACCACTTGCACTTCCAAGTCGATTGTTGAAGAAGAACTTCCGATTTGATTGAAACTGAAAATTTCAACAAGAGTCTGACTTTTTTGATCTTCAGGTGCAGAAACATGTAGACGGGGCCAGTACCATCGGGGCTCTACTGCCGCAAGCGCAATCCAAGTTCGCACCGCTCCCAAGAGCACCTGCGACGAACCGTAACGACAGCCCGTTTCTACCCATTTTTCCGACCGTGCTTTGCGTTTGGGGAGAGGAACGGTGGACGCGCACCCAACTGTTGGGAGAGATTGCGAAGGGCAACTGGGGACTCTGTCACGCCAACGTAACCGACTTCGCAACGGCGCCTGCAAAAAAGTGGGCAAACACCAAGGGGCGGCTCGTCTACGCGCCAATCTCCGAAATGTCGGCAAATTACATTCGAGACGCGGAACGAGATATGGCCATTGCAAGGGCCCGTCAGCGAGCTGCAAACAGCAGTCCGACTCCGAGCCCGACGGCAGGACAAACGCCCGCGCCGGGAGGTGGACAGACGGCGCCGCGACCTGCGCCGCAGACCTTCGTGTCTCCGGGTTCCGGTTAGGACGCGCGAGATACCAGCAGAGCTCGCTTTCCAGTTTTTCAGCAGTCCGTGACGTGGCGAGCGCGCATGGTCAAAATTGTCTTACTTTGTACTTTGAAATGTTGAATTTTGTGTACGAGGTTTTTTATCTGGCTCAAAAATGAAAAGTGTTGTATGTACATGTGGAAATTTATCATCCAGCATTGTTTAGTTTTTCTCATGTGCAGGCCTAAAGCGGCTCTCACAAAAAGGATTTTTCTTCAAATAGCGCTAAGACCACACGAGAGAAGCTAAAAACTTCGCCCGGATTCCGTGTATCCAATATGAACAAACAAACAATCATCCAGCATCTACGTTTTTAATGAAAGCCTCACTTTCCATAGCACAGAATCCTCATTCGATTATGTCATGTTTCTGTAGTTGAAATTTTACGCGGCTGTGCGCATTGATTCGCTTTTGCCTCACGACAGAATGCACGGGCACCGCGACCGCATTTGAGATTGTCTCACACACTGTGTACCTTGACAGGTTAATGATGTCATGCATGGAAACATCATTGAAATTCAATTGAATGATTTAGATTTTGAACGGAATTGGAATCACGCACGAAGAAGTTGATGCATGATGATGATGTTGAGCATGAGCCCGGTCGCTGTAGTTTATTGCAAGTGTTGTGATGTTGTGGTTGGTTGTTCGTGTCCGTGTCTCCCATGTTGCTGGTGTTCACCAGCAACATGCAGCGGCTTATTCGATCCTCTTACCTGCAGAAAGACGCATTGCAGCTTGTTCCGATTTTGTGAAACCAGCAAAATGAGAGTGCTCCCGAGTTGATAAAACTAAAGGTATATTAAGGCTCGTGGTTCCTGCTCAAGAACTGCAGCAAAGACGATCAAGAAAGTTTCCTCCGACCACGTATTTTCTCGCACACGTCGATCCCGCGACATCTTCGATATTTATGACACCAAGGTGGGCAAGCAGATGCAGCCTATAGATCCTTTAAAGTACTACTAAATTCCCGTGCTGCTCATCTTTCACTCTACGCAAAGTAAGAAAACAAAACCATGGCAAGCAGTGGCTCTTCGCATTCCGCCCCCTACTCCATCATCACGCTGAACGCGTGGAATACGGAGCAGTGGGCCACTCGGCGCGCAATTGTCGTGGATTTCTTCAAGACCTTTCGCCCCGACATCCTTTGTCTGCAGGAGGTGCGCCCGGAAGTTTTGGACGCCGTGCGCGAAGCGCTGGTCGGCTTCGAGTATCTGCAAGACGCCAGCGTCCCGGGGTATTTGGTGGAAGGCAACATTTTGTGGAACGCCAGCAAGTTTGACAAACTTGCAATCGGCGCAGAGGACGTGGGGATTGAGGAAACCGAGCGCCGGTTGTTCTGGGTTTTACTGCGGGAACGGGAAAAGTCCCCCACCGAAGCGAGTGATCCTCAAGGTGGAAGTTCTATGCTCAATACCGCCGGAGTAAGTCGCAGCAGTACTACGCCTTCTCGGAAGACAAGTTCTGGAATCACTGGAAGTGCTGGCATGAATATCGTACCTGGTGGAGCTGGAGCTGGGACACACGGGACTACATCGGGGAACAATAATTTCTCGCTCGAGCACGGTTGCAACACGTTGCTTGTGTGTACGGCGCATCTGACGTGGCAGGGCTCCTACCCCTATCTCACCTCCAACACTGATCCGCGAAAAAAGCAGATGCGGCGAATCTGCGAGTGGCTTGAGGTGCAAGCAATGATGGATGCACTGCTGCTTGGGCACCACGGGGACCCAACCGGGCGACGAGGTGGAACATCGGAGCAGCAGGCGGACGGGGCCATTAGTACCAACAGACAGCTTGTGGACAATGATATCGAGAGCCACTTGACGAGTCCCCGTCTTGCGGGCGACTTGTCCAGCAGCGCGGAGTTGGTGGGACCCACAAGCAAGCAATCTTCGAGTCGCACGCCCTCCGTGTCGCCAGTACTGCTGCAACAAACTGTCGCGCACCAGACAGCGGGAAATGCTGGCTCCTCGTCCTCGTCCGCTGGACCGTTTTCCACCACCCCGCTCGCCCCCCCGGCGCTGATTTTCTGTGGCGATCTGAACTGCGCGTTCGGACCCAAACAGGTGCTGCGACAGGCGCTTCCCTTCATGCAGGACTGTTTCAGTGGTCTGCAGCTGCGCATTCCAAGCACCCACCCCGCGCGGCCCTCGGACCCCTGTGAGGAGCAGCTGCCGGACCAGACGCTGGATTGGATCTTTTACGACCAGCGGAACCTGGCGCCCGTGATGGCGACCAAACTCGAGAAGCTGTACGAGGGCTCGGTCCGCCATGTGTCCGACCATTTCCCGCTGTGGTTCAGTTTCCGGTTCGTCCCCGGCCTGGACAAGCCCGCAAACTACGAAGAAAACAAGGACTGGGTGGGAGGCGACCCGTTTTTCTCAACCTTGACCAAGTACGCACCGCCGGAATTGATGGTGTAGTAATTTGTCACACTACTTTATTCAAATGACGGAGATGGTCAAACTAACAGTTAACGGATGTTGCAACTTTATCTTCTTTCCTCGGCCTGAGGAGGGGGGCGGGGAGTCAGATGATAAAGCTGTATTTGATGCATTTTTGTCCGGTTGGATCTGCTGGATGTAGAAGTCTGCGGTAGGAAAACTAGAACAGAGCCCTTGTCCCATCAATGAAATCAAATGATGAGATTAGAGCGACACGAAATTGAAGCCGTTGCGCATAATTACGTCGAAGCAAGAGCAAGTCTTGTGAGTATGCTCGCGGTTTGTTGTGGCCTTCCTGCTCTCCAGAGGCTGGCAAGACCAGTATTTTCATGAATGGTGAATTGGCAAAAGAGGGAGTCGTTGAGAAGTCGAGGCTTGTTGAGAAGTCGAGGCTTGTTTACTGTGAGAGCACGCTTCTGTGATTGTGTTGTAGATCATAAAGTCACGACAAAGTCTAGAGTGTTGATGAATGTGAGAGAAGAGATTCCGTATGCGAGTGAAGGTCGGGAGTTGAAGCAAGACTAGCTAGAGTCTTTTCCTTTTGTTACTGTACTGCGGTTCCAACAGGCCGAGGTCTTTATCTGTGACATCTGTGCTGCAGCACCATAGTGGGCTCCATTTATTCGCAGTTGCGTTGTCTGACAGGTGGTCGTGGTCAAATTCGTGCGCAATCTAGTCCAACCACAATAGTCTGACTTCATCAAACTCACAGACCCAAGAGCAAGAGCCATGCCCATGCCGTTTCCAGCCACGAGCAGCAGTTCTTCCCTTGTTGACGTGAGTTCCCGCCTGAGCTCGTCAACTGCAACGGGAACGAATGGTGCTCCGACTGCTCACCTATCTCCGCCCCAGCTTTCTTCCGTTGAAGAAATAAGATCGCCACATGCGCGGCTGCCCTTTGACAGTGTCGACGCCGAAGTAGATGACCTGGTAAATTACGAATGGCTGAGGCTGCTCTCCACATCGTCGTTTTCATCATCGTCTTGCGATAACAGTACTTCAAACAGCACGAACGCAACAAATTCCTCTTCTACAAACTGCACCTCGGCGGTAGTAGTAGCGACTACAAGTACAACCACAACAACTTCTACGACGCCAGTGCCTGCAGGGACCTCCACCGCCGGGGGTTCGGATAAAGACGAGTTCGGTTTGTACTTTTACCTGTTCTTCGGCTTACTAGGCTTTCTCGCTTTGATTTGCTGTGTCTGCGTCGTCTACAGCTGTTGCACGGGCTACTGCAGCGAATTGCACAAGTGGCACGTGCGCTGGTTTTCGCGGACACCGGGGAGCAAGGTGGCGGCCGGCGATCTGGACCACGGGCTCGGTACGGGAAACACGAATGCAGAGAATTTGAGGACGAGCCTACCGGTGGAGCAGCAGAGTATCAAGAGCGGGGAAGATTTCAACTTTGATGCCTTTTTCTTCGCAGGTGCAGATGATGAGGGAACCACCTTTGGAGGGAAAAAAGAGAGCCGCGGCCGTGGCGTGGCCGGGAAAAATAGAAGAGAAGATGCAGGTGACCCGGACCAAGCATCAAATAGTGGCTCAGACAACCTTCAAGGATACTACGACACCTGAGGACTCCGTACCTCTCTTTGAATGAATTCATAGGAAAAGAGCGCCGCAGCACCTCGAAAGTTGCCGCTTTTATACCATCTAATTCGTGATATTTAAGATCAAGAACACCAATACACTGTGGTTGCTTGTGGACGAACACTTGTATTACTACACTACGGAAAGTTAAAACTTCGAAGTTCTTAAATGCCCTTTTCTGCAGCAATATCTGGAAGATGTGGCGCTTTTCACGCAGGTCAATCGATCTTTGGGACGTCATCTTTGTCTTCGGTACAAAAGCGAAGGAAATCTCTCGTCAAGATTCACACGATGAGCTTCGTCTGGGTCCTCGTCAGTCATTCGCCTCGGCGTCGGGTGTTCGTGTTCCAAGAAGTGCACATATTAAGCATAGAAATTCTTGTCGCTTCATATGCACACTACCACATCCAGGTCCATGCATCTCTTTTGTTTCAATCGCTCGTCTTCAAAATAGCCGCATATGCCCGCGGACGCGGTCCTCGTCACTCTTTCGTAGCAAAGTCTTGCTTCTTGGCTTTCGTGCAAAAAGAAACTACAGCTATTGGAATTTTCGCATATTCCGACCAAGATCGGAAGTGCCTGAGGAACTTTAAATGCGCAAGAAATATTTCAGCCATAGAAAATAAATCACTCGTTGCAGCGACGTCCGGAAACAAATACCACGGAATTAATATGGAGATCACCTTCGTGGTACATTTTGAAATTTTACGTACAGGAGGGCTCCACGCTCGCGCTGGTAATGGTGCCATTAATCAATATCCAAGAACATGATCATCTGGTTTTGCATCCTCTAGTCTTGTTCTCATCAAATCTGCGAAGGAACTAACGCAAGGAAGCAATCAATTCCAGTATTCGTTTTTTTTTTGACGAAGTGCGGGACGAGCAGCGACATATATTTTCATTGTAGTACTTCTAGTAGCTGTAGAAATGCGGTAATATGACCAACGACAAGATGAGTACACGATTAGGTTAATGTGTTTAGCGTTGCAACTTTTCGTTCTTTTGGTACAGATATGATGCGACGCTGCTAGAAGATAAGGTGTCGGCTTTCGGAAAGCCGGTAGAGATCATCACCGGATGAATGCGCCAGCGAGCCGCCGTGCTAACCACCACCGCAGCAGGGATTTGTGGCACGGGCTATTGGCGAGTCCGACGTCGCAATTCCTAGCGTCTTTTTTTTCTTCCGTCTTGCGTGCAAAGGCGAGAACAACGAGGCAGGCCTCCGCTGTGTGGTGATGTCATCACAGAGATGACTCCGATGGCAGCACAGCATCGCGTTCCTTAATTAATTGGCGACAAATCATTTTGAAAATATCTTCTTTTGCCACAAGACGACCGACGTACTGCTGCTGGTACTCTTGTAGTAGCACTTCTACCTCGAAGTCGAACTACTCATTGCGTACATCGATCCAGTTAGTAGCGGCTGCGAACCATAACCAACACGACGAACTACGTCGCGTTGCCACGACTGAACCGCGATCCCTTTTTTCTCTGTTGCAACGTTGAGTGAAGACTCATCATCAACGGCCATGTCAGCTGTGCAGTTCACCGCGAACACCTCGAGCAGCCGATCCTCTCGCCACCCAATACGGAATCGGAACGGATCAGAGGAGCACTTGATTCTAAAGACAGGGACCGGCCGGGTTCCGGACAATTATCATCCAGAGCGACGATCTGCCAGAAGCAATCCCAGTGTTTCTAACGATGTTGTTGACCCGCGAGAAACGGGTCCACGTCGGGACACCGGGACAACGCAACAACTCGAGTGCACTCCCTGTGAAGAAGACGGCAATTCGAATAGCCGAAGTGGTGCCTACCTGTATCAGGTACAGAATAATGTATGACAATGAAGACTTCATTTGCGCCTCTGGGAAATGAGATGTCGTTTACTGTGATGTTCCTGCCCTCCACATACGCTAGTAGTACATCAAGTAGATGAGGACCGCAGATCACGTTGTCAAGGGAAGAGAACATCATTTTTGCGGCGTACGTTCGTTTCAAAAAAGCCAGAAATCTTCCAAAACAATTGCAGGTGTGGCCCTCGAACAGTAGGTATTGTTGCGGCGGCGCCTGCATGATTGGCGGCGAGAAAGATTGTCCTTCGATTGGCCACTTTGCGCTTCCGCACGTGTTGATCCTCTCTCTCGCCGTCGTACTGCCCTCGGTCGTGGGACTTCTTTCCTCGTCTAGCATCGTCAACGCCTACCGGGCACACACCGCGGGCGACGGGCAGCAGGATCCCTACCCGGATGCTCCCCAGCAGCACAGCACGAACCTTATCACGATGGGCCTTTTCTGGCTGGCGTTCCTCGCGTCGCTGCTGCTGCTTTACCTGGTTTCGTATACCGACCCCGGAATCCTGCCGCGACGAGGGATCATCCTGGAGACCGGGTTGCAGAAGGGGCTGGAGCACTTACTAGGATACAACCTCTTGGGCGAAGGCGACCCGACCGGCGACTTCCGCACTGACGCCGTCGCAATGGTGCCCGAGCGGCTCCGCGTGAAAGGGTAGAGACTTTTTGGCACTTTTGTCTAGAATAGCTTCGGTTCCGGTTGTCCATGTCCTGATGATGATCGTGGCAAGCAAAATGCTGAAAGCCAAAACATACGAAAGCGGCCATAGGAGCAAAGATCTTGACACCAATCTATGTATAAATAAATCATCAAAAACAAAATATATGACAGCTACCGGTGGTGCCGGACGTGCATGATCATTCGGCCTCCCCGCTCGGCGCACTGCCCGGATTGCGACAACTGCGTTCTGAAGTTCGACCACCACTGTCCTTTTTTGAACAATTGCATTGGGCAGCGGAACTACGCATTTTTCTACACCTACATCTCCAGCATGATCGTCGTCGCGCTTCTCACCATCATCCTCGGCGCGCGTGCCATGCAGACACAGCACTCCCTGCAGACTCTGTTTGGGCAGGCCGGTATTTCTCCGAAGTCCAGCAGAAGTTACAGCCACGGAAGTAGTAATAGAAGCGGTCGCGCCCCGCCCCCTGGAACAGCGGGCCGCCCTGGTGGTGGAGCAGCTCCACCCGCGTCTAGCGCAGTAGTCGCTGGCGACCCACAGCACCAGCCAAATTTTGGCCAACAACCAGCTGCAGGGCAGAACCAAGCTCCAACGAACAGTAGTTTCTTTCTGAGCACGTTTCAGTTTGAAACGCCGACGGACTGGGTCTTCTTCTTCACGTGTGTGGTCATTACCTGCGGTCTTCTTGCAGTGGTGGCACTCTGGTGCTACCATCTCTTTTTGCTGTGTCAAGGGAAGACGACCAAGGAACACCTGAAGGAAATTGCGGTGGATGTTGACGATACCGAGGGCTGCTGGGCAGGAAGAGGTACAAGAACTTCTGGAAGGAACTGTTTCACTTGATTCTGCGACTAAAGTATCTCTATCTGTGCTGACATTTTGTCTTTGCCCGCGACCGTATCCTTCATGGTCATGAAACTGTTGCAGGTTTTTTCGCTCTTTTACTCTCAGTTGCGTTTCTCAGAACGACCGCAGGAAAAATTTTTCAAAGAAACTCCTTTCATCCGCAGGCGCTAAGCTGGTAGACCCGCGTGCCTGGATAGCCCGGCCGCAGGTTGTGTTTAATCCTCCGCTCGCGGACAAGAGGACGACGCAGGAAAGCGAGCAAGAATACGTACGCGGACTGCCGGACAGCAAGACCTCAACTTCGACGTCCACCTATAGTCGCTCGAGTAGGACATCGAACAAAGGAGGCGGCGCCATGCCTCTGGTAGGCGGCGGCAGGAGCACATACCAACGTGGCCAGCAGACCGGAGGACGCGGACGACAACAGGAGGACCAACAAAGGAATCAACAACATAGGACAACATCAAGCGACCACGACCAGAAGCAGAAGAGAGGAGGTGGTACAACCACTTCTAGTAGCCATCTTCACTACAAAAGCGCCCGTAACAGAACCAGCGATCATATCACTTACGAAGATTTGTACCCCGCCAATGAGTCACCAGCGCCGTCAAGCTCGAGAAATACATGCGAAAGCAGCGCCCATGCTCGTGCTCGCATCAGCGAGGGAAGCACGACGAGCAGCTACGCTCGCCGCGCTGCTGCTGGTCAAAGCAATCTTCATGTCCAGCTGAATGCCGACCATGTCGATGGTGCTGAACGGTACTTGTACTACCGTGAACAAGAAGCTGATGACGGAACAAGCAGTACCACTACCGGCACACAGTTTTTTGGGAGGGGAAAGAACAAGGCAGGGAAGACAACAAACTCGATGTGCTATGCGCGACAGCAGACCAGGGACAGTGCAACAAGAAGTGAAGATGTTGAACTAGGGGGACCACGAAAGATGAACCAAGTGGTAGTCTTCCCGAGCAGATGTCGTCCTCACGGGAGCCATATGAGCGGGTCGACAGGCGGTCATGCGCCTAATACAATGCCGGAGCTTCCTGAAATCATAGCGGAGGAGGGTGAAGAAGACGATGTTGTTCAACAAGATTATTGTTCCGTTTCGGACCACCGCACCGTAGTAAGAACCCAAGAATTATTTTCGCGGAATGGATTCGTTCTCCAACAGGGACAGCACTCCGCGAGGCAATCTTCCTCGCCCCAGTTGCGCCAGGAGCGGCAGAGCAGTCCTCCATTTGACCATTGCGTTGCGAAAGCGGCGGCTAAGAGTTGGCACGCTCCTTTGGTGCGAACAGAATCACAAACTACAGCGGATTCCGCATTGTCGAGCGACTTGTATCACGACATAACCGTTCTTCCGGTTTGCCCACCCCATTCTTCTGCATCACACGCGCAACTACAGCGAGGGCCGCGACTCAGTGAGCAGTCGAGTTCGCAGCAGCACAACTTTCTAGAGACCGTTTTTGAACAGGACTACAGCCCCACCTCACAGAATCACTTCTGCACCGGTAGCAGTAGTACTACGCAGCACTCGCGGGGCTGTGCAGCAAATAACGGAAAGACACGAAGAAGTAGCACTGGGCCAGCACCGGCCAACAAGCTTGACTTCGCGGACAGTGTGCGAAGCGAAACCCTTCGTCAAGCGAGATCCTTCCAAGGCCCGCTGTCTCAGTCTCACTGTGCGACTGCTGCTTCCGCTTCCTCCGCTGTGGGTTTTTCGAGCACTGCCCCCGCTGCAACGAAGAGGGACGAGGAGCGCGAGAGCACCGACAAAATTCATCGTACTTCCACGTCATCCACACGACCGCATTCTTTATTTCCCGATTCCGGAGATAGTAACGCGCATAGCCTGGAGAACGCGAATGCTTTCGTGGCGCAGCAAAGTAATAAAGCCGCACGCCCCGCTAATGCGTCTTCTTCTTCTTCTCCGTTACCACGATCTTCCACTGCGCATCTGTTGGCAGCCGGGGGGGATGGACAACTAGAGGCGCCGCCAGTTTTGCGTTGTGGAGCAGCTTTCTCTTCCAGGATGCCCGCGGCCGCAGGAGCACTAGAAGAACTAGGTGATGACGCTTTTCCGCGGAGACTGGTCCTCGATACCACACGCGATCGCTTCGGGGGTGGTCTACAGCTCGATTCTGACGACGAACCTGACGCTGAGCCCAGGCACGAGGAAGAACTGCTGCAGCATCGAAAAATAAATGAATATGACGGCATTAACAGGTGTGCCATAGAGGATCAAGCCACGACGCTCCCCAATGATCGTGTGAACTCGGCTTTGCTACCATCACCGTCGGCGTCCCAAGAAGAACTGACTTCTGATGACGACCCGCTTGCTCTAGAGCCGGCCTGTGGTCGCAGTTCGCCACTGTTGACGGCTTACAAGACGTCGTCTTCTGTACTGCTGCCAGGCACATCTCCCCATAGGACTGCTTCATCTACGTCGCACAGGTTACAACCACCTGCCGCACCTGCTGCAGGAGCAAGAAAAGCGGGCGCTAATTCTTTTTCTTGGGCGGTACGCAGGGCTGCAGCTCTACAGCATCAACAGACGGACCCAGACAGGGACATCACCGAGCGACACGCATTCATCGACCTCGAACTTGCAGAGACGGAGAATTCTCTACTTGCCAGAAGAAGCATGCTCTGCAACGGAGGACGGGACCCCAGGCTCTGAATTATTTCTCGAGAAAATAAAGCCGCTGCGCTCGTGAATCAAAATAGCGACGTCTACGATCCTCCCTGACAGACCAGCGACCACCTGGCGTCACTACACCAGCAAGCGACACCCGGCCACGTAGAGCCGAGCGGCAGCGGCCGGCCCAGTGCCATGTTTTTTTTGAAATCTTCTTCGTCAGCGACAATGACAGTTGATTCATTCTTACACGACTCCTGAGTGAAAACCTTGCTTTATGCTTTCACACCTTCACGACTGCACGATGAAGTGGGCCACAAGCACGACTTCTCAATAATTCTGCCGTTGCACCACAACACGCAACTTTCGCTTCCATACGAGGCGTTTTTCACGAAATCACTCCTCATCTTTTTGGTTGTGTAGATGTCGATGTGTTTACGCGTTTTATAGCTTATCTGCTTGTGCTGGTTCTTCTGGTTGTGTTTTTCTGTAGCTTCAGCAAAGACGAAGCACTCAAGAACTTGCGCGAATGATGGGACGACGAGGCCTGTCTTCAATTTACAAATAGACAAATCAAGAATGAACATCATCTCTACGACTACTTACGAGTAAGTGTACGTGCTGTATTGCTATTGGGCTCAGTTTCCTGATATATCATGACCCGGAATATCGGTAAAGGTAGACCCTCAAGCAGGTCATGCACATGCTTCTTCCAATTTTTGTTTTTTGCAATCCAATCTCACGCTTACTTTTTGTGGATACTATGACTATGGTCCGTTTCGCATGCGAAAAATAGCGAGAAGTTTTTTAGAGACATAATCACCCAACCTAGACCGTGTCGGTTCATGTTGACGGCAGCGTTTCATCTGGCTGAAGTTTCGGTTTTTATGAAATACCAATCGCGGTATCTACAGGCAGAGGGTAAGGGTTGTCGGATACATGCAGACATTAATCGAAGTCAAGATATCAGTTTACTGCTGCTAGTTCTCTAGTAATACAAGTTAGTATGTGGTAGTTGTAGTTTATCCAACTGCAATTTGCTTTTACTGCTTGCACCTGGAGAGTTGAAATTCTTTTTCCTGCACTTCGCAACTTTATTCAAAGTGAGAAAAAACTACGTGTCGGATTTGTTTGTATCATAATTTTTGGCCAGCCGTCTGTTGAGGAGTTTCCAGTTTGGGTCTGTTGTATCTTCAATACACCTCCAGTGGTGCTCGTATCTGTTTCCGGAGCAACGAAAAAATCTGTCTCTTTCCACCTGTCGCTCGGAAAATGTCCGTTTGTTGTAGACTCGGAGATTATGATTGTACTTATTTGCGGCAGCACTCAACGACGATCTACGTGATGAAGAATTTTTTATTACGTAGACAAAATTTAGAAGTGTATCTGAACTCTGAAACTTTCGTCTATTCTCATACAGAATCGGCAGCGTTTGCTCGTGCAGCGGACGCACCGAATCTGGCGATTCAACAGAACTAGAGTTTCGGGAGGAGGAACGAACTTCTAAATTTTTTTTGGTTCAGGCTCAGCATCGAACTTCTGCATGCCTTTTACGCGACCACCACTTAGCCAGTGGACCAGTAACGGATTTTTTATGAAGACGAAAGAAAAATTACATTCTGTCGTGGTTGTGCAAGAAAAGCCAAGGCGTAGTGCAGATGGTAGCACTGTGCGGCCTTTATATGGTGCGATTTAGAAAAATGAACGACTCTGCAACATTTGCATTTCCTCACGTCACGATTCCGTCTCCATCATTTCATTAACACAGTACAACTAACTTCCAATTAAAACCCCTAAGTATACAAACGTCTATTTTGGCGGTAGTTACAACCGAAACTGTTACTGACTACCCGACACTTCTTGCCCACACGATACAGCCCGGTGAAGCTAAACCAGTAGTTCAAGGCATTGCTAAACACCAGAATGCAGTCGAATGAAAATTTCATCCTTCACTAGTGCGAAAGAATCATCTCCACACAGCGGAGGGCGTTCCTCCTGCAGCTCTTCCATCATTCACAAGAAAATTCCTGCTAGATCTACATACTTACTTAAGTACATTCTAACTCTTTTTTTTTCCACGCGACGGCATCGTTCTTGCGTCATCGTGTGCTAGCGGTGCGTGCAATGAATTTTCGGCATCGGTCTAGACGCTGTTTCCTATCGGAGAATATTCGAAGTGCCTGCTCGTGGAACACGAACTCAAATCAACGCTCATCAAATCCAAACAACAATCTTCACTAAATTGGGATCGTCTATAAGTGGGAAAAATTTTATTCCACCGACGGCACATTGATATCTCTAAAGCCCCCAAAGTAACCCAAATCATAGTGATTCAAAATGAGGTCTAGGAAGATAAATCGTTTTTTCTCCTTGAGGTAGTTCATTACCCCCTGGTGGTGGTGTGTGCTCGAAATAAAGCGGAATTTTCCGTCGCTCCGTCCTGCATAAATGATTGAGACGGGGCAGCGGTAGAGCTAGCGGTCCCCCCTGCCCAATCTTCGCGCCAGCTTGCTTTTTATATGGACGACATCATCTAACCCCTAAATCAATTCCCTTCTACCTAATTCAGCAAGCGCAGCTGCAGATCCGGACTTTGAAACAAATACTCAGGAGGGGTGGGACATAAAATGTTGTTGACCTCCTCTTGAAAAATTCACTAAGACTCTAACAAACGAGGGGAGTGAGGATTGTAAAGCCTGGCTCTTTTCGATTCCGCGTATCTTTTGCACCTGTCATTGCTTGTCGATAAAACGTTGCAGGCGCTGAACGTACGCATACATTCATAAGTTTTAGTTGTTTTCAAATTTCTTGATAATTTTTGATAGGTATGGTACCCAAATCGACATCGAATATATCCCACTAGAGAATGGGTGGCTTCCGAAATCAAAGACAAGACGACAACGTGTAATATCAGCTTGATCTCAAAAATTGGCGCCGGTGCAAGAAAAACAGGGTAGTTTTTTTCTTGGGCCTGGGGCTACGGAATTAGATTTACGAAACACAAATCGAATAGAAAACGAAATGACATCGCTACTCGACGGCTTTCTCTTCGGACCAGCAGGAGTTGGGGCGGAGCCAGCCGCGGCGCCGTCCGGGTGGTCCTCCTACGAGGTGCATCAGATTCACTGGAACCCTCTGGTTTTCTGGGGCGGATTTTTCGAAGATTTCGTCGCGTTTTGGCAGGGAGCCCCCCTGCTGATCGATTTTGGCGACAACATTCTCACCGTTCTGCTCAACCGGCTGTACGTGCTGTCCCTGGCACCCTACGTGATTTTGGTCCTCGTCGTCCTCGTCGTCGCCAGCGCGACCGCAGCCCAGTTTGCTGTCAAAACCGCACTGCGACACATCAACTGCTGGATCCGCTCCTCGTCTTTTTCAACATGGAGAAATTTCCTGCGGCTCGGCGGACAATCCGGTAGTGGCGCGGGTACCGAGGAACTGCGACAAACAGCAAATCCAGGTACCTCTACTTTTCACTTCTATTGTTTGCGCTTTTATTTTGGCTGTACAGTACTGCTACTGAAGGAATAGGAGAAGCACGAGTCCGTTTGATTTTCTTGCGATGTTCTGGGTGAGAAACGAAAGAGTCATTATCTTGCCATGCAACGATAAACGAAACTGCAACTCCAGGTGTGGCAACGCTGTCCGAAACAGAGTTGCGAAAACTTCCGGCAATCAGCCCTACGACGCCTCTTAAAGGGGCAGCCATTTCCAGCAATTCTTTGCACGCCCCGGCGGCATCAAGCAATAGTGTTTCGCCGCCAAACTCGGGAGCGATAGATGCGGCTCTTGCCGCCGTCAAAGATTTCGTCGACCGCATCCGCTTGGGATGCCAGCGCCGACTTTTCCCGCGCGTCGACTCCGTCAAGAGCATTGCAAGCACCGTGTCCACCGCCGCGCCGGCTGGTGTTGATGAGGATCTCGACGACGGGGCGGACGCTAGTGTCTCCGAGGTCGACGTGGATGACGACATAGTCGATGTGGAAGTCCCCGGATCTTCATCCGCACGAGTAGTCGCCGGCACAACATCGAAGGCATGTTCTTCGAGTTCGCCAATCACGACGACGACCTCTTCATCGGTACGCACGAAGACGCACAGCAAGAAGAATCTGAAAAATCGAGGCCACACAACAATACATGGCACCAGAACAGCTACCACCGCGGCGGTCGACAGCACTACAGCCTCCTCGGATGACAAAGATACGACAACCACCTCCTCCAACGACGCCAAGTCGGACGACGTGTCCAGCACGGCCTCCTCCATCAAGGCAGATCGGGAAGAAGTCGTTGAGGAAATCAGTCGCGCAGAAAAGGTGCGCACCTTCCGCCCGGAATACGTTGCGCCACCGGTGTTTGTGGAACATCAAATGCAGGCTCTCGCGGCTACAGCAGGCGGGGAGAAGCCGCTCACAGGTTCTGGGCAAGCCTCCTCGTCTAGTAGCAGCAGCCGAATCCCGGAGGAGAAGCCGACCTGGACGATTTACGGAAAGCAGTACGATTTGACGAAGTTTATGGCCTCGCACCCCGGCGGTAGCTGGCCACTGATTCTGACGAAAAACTCGGACTGCACCATCCTGTTCGAATCCTACCACACCTTCATCTCTCGGGACAAGCTCGACAAGATGATGGGTCCGTACGAAATCAAAACCCCCGAAGTCGAGCGCGAAATCGCCGCCGGGGTGAAGCGCAGGCGCCTTCCCCCGGCGGACCCGCTTCAGGAAGACCTGCGCCAGTTCGCGCGAGACTTCTTCAAGGATCGGGCGGCCAAGCCGAATGGTAGTAGTTCCACGGGACCACGGGGGGGCGAGCTGGGGACAAAACTCAGTTTTCAAACCGTGGGCAAGCCACATAATCTCACCTTCGGGGTCTGTACCTTCATGATTTGCGTCTACCTGCTATGCTGGGTCTGCGTCTACTTCATGTTCACCCGGGGCTCGCTGGTCGCGACGCTGATGCTTCCGGTACCGAAATTTTTATTGCTGATGCTGCTTAACGAGAAGCTTATAACACATCAAGGAAGTAGACGAGAAAGACGTCGACTATTGCAAGAAAATGATCATGCATTTGCATATGACTAGGTCTAGGAGACCAGAACCAAATTCTTTCTTTCCAAACCACAAAACAGTTGCTACAATGGCTATACGGTGCCTCCATCTCCCACGACGCGTCGCATTTTGCAGCTTTCCCGAACGACACCGTGAATCGTAAAAAAACTACTTTTGCTTCGTTTATTTTGAAAAGGATAGCTAGATAGTCCTTAACCTGATTGGATGACAACCTGAAAAAATAAACTGCACAGTCGTGCTTCATGTGCACGCTGGCTGGTCGTCTCTACTCCGCATCATCTTTTTTTTTGCTATGAATGGAGAACAAATTCATTGACCCAAGTTGAGAATCAATTGGCACGATTTTTGCAACTGGAAACTGACTTCCTTATCAATAAAACAGGCTTCGCATCGCTGATCGGCGGATTCCCCTTGATGTTTAACCACGCCGCCTGGACGATCCAGCACGTGATTCAGCATCATCAGTTCACAAACCTGATCGACGACGTGGACCTTTTTCACTTCCGCCCGCTCGTCCGAGCCAGTAGGCTGTTCAACAAAGCGGAGTGGCACACCAAGTATGAAACAATAGATACCTTGCTTGCATTTTGGACATCTTTTGCCGTTTTCTGTCCACCGAACGCCTCCTAGTAGTATCCCTTCGCAGGGATTTCGGATAGAATTAAATGTAGATGACGAAAAATGAAGAATAATCATGAAAGAACTTCATGAAGGACTTCATGCAAGAAGATAGAATGAAGAAAATGAAAATCCACTATCGAAAAATCACTGCCAGGTGGCAACTTGCCCTGATCATCGCGGTGCTTCCGACGACGAGCCTACACCTAAACGTGATGGTTCCGCTGGACCTCCTGCTGGAAGTGCCGGTGTTCGTGGGCCCCTTTGACGACACGGTGCCGGAGGCGCAGAAGTTCCAATTTCGCTACGAACAGTGCCGGCACCTCAAGTCCTTGATGAAGGACCTGTGGAAGCCGATGGCCATGGAACTCGCTTGCGTCGCACTGTGGTGGGTCGTCGGCGTGTATTGCCTCGGGCCCTTCCAGTACTTTCTGCTCTTCTGCCCGATGATCTTCGTCGCCAGCTGGGTCTTCCTCCTCTTCACGCAGGGCGCGCACATCAACGAGCCCTGCGAATCGCACGTCGAAGCGAACGCGAGAAAGTACGTTTTTTAGAGAAAAGTCATACGATGCTCGTGCTTCTACATTTTTGTTGACGAAGATTTTTAGTATGCATTCTTCGTACAAATTCTGCAACCGGGGGGCATCAAAAAAAAGTTTTTTTCAAAAAAAAACTCAGGCGTCTCGAAAAGGGCACAGATAACGTCCACCCTTACGAAATCGTTGGCTACCAGGGCTCCACGCAGGACATACTAAAGCTTAGCGACGAAGACCTAGCACGCGAGCCGCACCCGAACCCGATGATGGGTCGGTGGGTGCGAGAGCAGATCGCCTACACAGCGGACTTCTGCCCGGACTCCTACTTCTGGTACATAATATCGGGAGGCCTCAACATGCAGAGCATACACCACTGTATGCCGGGGATCAGTCACTCGCACTACACGGCCATGTACCCAGGGTACGTTGAAGTCCTCAAGAAGCACGGAGTTGTGGTATTGTTTTTTTATGGTTGCACTACATGTACATTGTTTTTTTATTCTATTCATTCTTCCAGATCCAGAAGCAGAACGAGAACCACATCACTAGTTGTAGAAGAACTTGGATTGGCTAAGTAGGGCATCGAATCTATCTAGTCGGACCCACCGCACGTGTCGTGTTGCATCTATTCCTCCAAGAACGTCAGACCAGTGACCATGAAGATCCCGTTAAAGTCGCGCCAGAACCGCAGTCGGAACTACATCTATTGCAATTATGCTTTGTGAAAAAATAAACTCAACAGCCGCGGATTGTGCCGACTTTCCCGAAGTTCGCGATGGGTTTCTTTTCCTGGATCAACGAACTCGGAAATGTCGACGAAAAGGAAGAGCTAGACTGGGCTGCAGTTCAGCAGCTGCCGCTTCCAAATAGCAGCACCGCGGCGGTAGACGAATGGTCAGAATCTGCGAAGCTGAAGCAGCAGTGAGAAGTAGGACTTCTTCGGATTCCAATACTCGTGTAAAGGATGCTCCGAACATATAGCTGTACACAGCATAACATAATCATAGAATTGTACCTTTCCCGGTGACCACACTAAGCCCTACAGTATTAAATTAGTTCTTCTCGTCCCCTCAATACTATCGACGTACAATTTTCCTCGCTTAGGCACAACTCTCGAAGTGCGCTTTTTTCCGGGGCCAACTTCCGAAAGTTTCACCGAAGCACCTTCATTAGTTACGCCCTGCTTACGAACCCGTTTTCATGTTGTCGCTATAATCTGAATGCATCAGCATGAGTAGGGAGGAAGTCCAACCTCGTCGAAACTGAAAATTGGTGAAAGAACTAACTACAACCCTACAACCGGACTGCGGTGGTTCCGTGCGTAAGTATTTATGCCGACACTGGAGCCGAAGCCGATACAGTCTGTAGTTACACCCGTAGCCGATTTCTGTTGTTCGCTCCACAAGCTGAGAGCTACGACGGGGCAGCTGCAAGCACGGTCGCGATCGTACGGCGAGTGTCTGCCGTTGGGGGAAAGACTGCGAAATATTGCAGGTTCCTTCAATGACGTGCACGTGTTGAGGAACGGGGCAAAAATAAATCTGCAGTATACTGGTTCGAGTCACGGCACTGGCTCTGCTCTGTCTACCAAAGAACGCTCGACCTACAGGTGAGCTCCTAGTTCGTCTTGTAGACGTCCTTTTATCGAAAGCTAAGACAACAAATCAAAACTTCAGCATAGTACAGGGAGGGTCTCAAAAAAGCAAAACAAGAAAGTGGCATCAAATTGACGACCAGGAACATACACATAGTACAAAGCCTATCTTGGAGATCCTGCTAGTGCTAGATTTAACTGAGTACAACTAGCGAGCCCCACTGCAACAGCGACAAGCATAGGCTTTGAGTTCCGCAGGACGAAAGGCATCACTCCACCATGAGTCTGCTCTGCTGGTGCACTTCTACTAGTGCTCAGCATGTTGCTGCTCTCCCGTTTTGGGGAACCAAAAAACACAAAGGTGAAGAAGATCATCGTCCCTATGACCCCAACAGCACAACAAAGACCTGCTGGTATGACTATTGCAAGTAGATGGAACAAGAGCAACAGGCATTTTCCGAGCTTTTTTCCACGCCACCGGACTTTTGTGAAGAAGAAGATGTCTACTCTTTTCCTTGCGTCTGTATTACAGGTTCAATGTTGTAGAAGCGCATGTCTACTAACTTCTACACGAGGGCGAGACCACTTCTCACGTTGATTGCCAGAGACACGTGTCAACAGCACCGCAGACAGGCCGTTGCGACCACGCCTCGACGACTTGTCGCAAGTAAACTCATGTAGTAAAGAACCAAACGAGTATGATCATCGAGCAGCGGCTTCGCCGGACATTAATAACTCTCTACGAGTCGTGTTCAGGTTATAAAATTCGACGGCGCGACTGCGTGGCTCTAAGTTCAGGGAGATGTTAAAATATGTGCTTAAACAGAACCAAATCCAAATCTGATTGCAATGGTCGTCTGTTTGGTTTTATAGCGTTTGCTTCCTCTTTAGTCTTATGAACGTTGGTTTAACCTTTTTACCGTAGTTGGCTTCTAATTGATCTTTTCGTGGTCTGCTTCGAAGCTTTTTTTTCTTATTTAACTAGGTAGCGAGGATCGGCAACACCTTTATGTTTATCCTTTTTCATGTCCAGCCTCGTTTTGCTTTCGATTACGTAATGTGGACCGCTAGAGGATACAAATACGGCGGTGACAGACGGTAGTGGTGCTGAGAATGACCCTCGGGATGGTTCGGGATAGGGATGAAGATACCATTCTTACGAAATTGTATGCAGAGTTAGACTTCCCAATTTTCCTTTGGGTCTTATTCCTTCACCCTCAGCGATGAATGTACTGCACTTCAGGTTCCTGTTGCGAACGAAAATTGCATGTGCAGGGATCGCCAAAAATATCGCCATCGATAGAATTTTTGCCGAAAATGATTTGTCAAAGCAGAGGACGAGGACACAAGAGCCCTACACTCCTTATCCGCTTTTCTCTGTGCAGTGCGAGCTGGACACAACTACTGCGCGTTTGAATATAATATACTAGACTTGAAAAATGCGAATATGGATGTTGAGCTTGTTTGAGATGGTTATTAGCATTAGCAAGCATGGATCTGATTTAACTTCAAGTCACGCTCCTCCAGAACAAAGTAATGGTCTTGTCTAGGTCTCTCCGGGAACAATTACTAATCAATCGGGGAATGTTTTTTGGAATTTGGAGCAGAGGAGTCAAAGAGAAATTCCCGGTGGCGGTCCTGTTTCGTGGTTTTACTTTTTAGCAATTAAGTTTTTTGATGTGTCTGGGTTGTAGTTTTTTAGTGCTTGTAACATACAGTTTGCAGCAGGGACGAACCAGTACGAAAGCCAAAGCAACTACTACCCGACGCATATTTCCTCAGTACTATGGTCAAGAATGATTTATACTGCATCTGGAGCTTGTGTTTGTACACCTGAAGACGTTCAATTCACGAAAATAATCCCGATGGGGCCTATATCAAAGCAGCTAGACCAACATTTCTTTCTCATTGGCGAAACTCACAAAGCTCATCGGCAGAGCGAGACCAGATCTGTTGTTCGATGGATTTTGGATGCATTGAAATTTCTCCTGGAACAAAACAGGACTTTGTCTCGCTCTCATTTTGTGAGTCCTGCGATTCGTAATCATGGATAAGTACTACGTCGCATGATCGGTGCCTGTTTTCTGTCTGGGTCCTCATTGTCGGTGCGAGTTTAACTGCGTCGGAACATAAACCGCGCGTGCTGGGGCAGAAATGGTTCGTGGCTGTAATTAGATTTTTCGTCAGTCGTGATGTGCTGGATACCAGATTTTTTTCACACGTGATTTGTGTATTCAAGTACTAGGTCGTGGTGTCAATAGTCATTCGTCTGCTTTCCCTTCCTGTTTCACGAAGATCAAGATTTTCGAGGTCCCAGGAGAGTTGTGCAGTCGTATGATTTTATCGCCGATCCGATGTGATATTTTCATTTTGCTTTATCCGCCTTTCGTAGTATTTTTTTTGAAACACGAAATTAAAATAAATAGAAGAGGTCTCCGGTTGCAAAGTAGGGGTGTAGTGCGCTGAGCTGCAGCCATTTCTGGCTTCAGCTTCTTGCGAAGTACATAGATACGTAGATAAGTGGATGTTGTTTATCTTTTTTGTTGAAGAGCAATCGTAATCGTCTTGTTCGTGCGCAACGCGGTCGTGTTTTTCCCTCCGGTCACAAGTACCGGCCGGTCTGCGTCTGTAGCTGTATTTCAGTCTGACATTGATGTCACTTATAGCCACTACATCTTCTACATCGCATTTTTGTCTTGTTTGTCAATGAAGATATTATAATACCATTTCTTGATTGTGATTCAATTTCAAAGGCACGTACAAGGAAAAATGACGTCCGGCGGTTCTCGACTGGAGATGAGCCAGGTCTCTATTCCAGAGGCGGCTTCATTTGTCGAGCGCACGCCCCTAGAGCTCGCTGTGCTGCGTAGTAACCCTAAAGTATACGATGGGTGCGACCACTGTCCCGCATGCTTGTCATTGCTGAAGGTAAAAAGATGAAGTGAAAAAAAATCGTATTGTTTTGCTTTATTGTCCACCAGAATAAGTAGGGCAAGGGCAAGGCTTATGTGAGAGTTTAGATGAACAACAAGATTTTTTCTCCAAAAATTTCTTGTGCAACTTAAATTTAGGTTTCGCTCGGGAAGAACCCGGTGACGAGCCTGTACTCTGCGACCTCTCGTGACGCCACGCTGCAGTCCGTGATTTCGGAGCTGTTGCAGTTTCGCATCTCCAGTGAGCAGGGTCGCGTGAACATGTGCAAACGCGGTTTGTGCCGTTTCCACGCGCTGCACTACAAGCTGTACGTGCACCGCTTCAACATTGACACCATGATCGCGATCAAACACTTCGACGACACTGGTAAGGTGCTGGACGACGCGACTATCGAGCAGGTTTTCGCGAATTTGGAGTCCAACGTGGAGGCCTGCTTCGAGTCCTGCTACAAAAAGTGGATCAAGGACTTGCAGCAGCACATTCTGGAGAAATTTTCCGAGAACGTGGAGAAGGAATTCGTTTGTCTCAAAGCGGAACTCCGAAACAAACTGCACGAAAAGGAGAGGCAGCTGGAAAAAAGAATAAAGATGATCCAGGAAGTATCCCACGGAAAAAGTGTTACAGTTACACATTTGTTGTCAATTTCGCATCACAAATTTTCTCTGCATGAGAGAGAAAACTTGCAATGCAGAAAACACAAGGGAAAACAGGAAGGAAATGAGCATCCAAAGCATTTCCTGCATGAGAAAGGCTGTCTGTGTTTTCGGTCTTGCAACACAATGTGTAACTGTAACACTTTTTCCTTCCCATAGGAAGAGCAAGATGACGCATTAGACGCCGCGGAAGCGAGGCTACAGGTCCAGATGCAAACCGAAAAGTTCAAAAAAGTCAAAACCATGCTGGATGATTACGGTACGTTGGGGTTCTTCTGCCTTGATCGATGCCACCACACAAGAAAAGAGAATTCTAATTAGTTTTTTTGATTTCTATGGTTTTGTATACTTTCTTAAGTAAGTTGACGGTCTACAAAATGAATGTCGTTGTTTCTTGTTCTGGAAGAACATCAAGGATACAAAAAGTGATATATTGATTTCAGGCCGCGTCTACCACACCGCTTGCAGCTCCACGAAGGGCAACATTCTCCACGTGATGTATCAAATGTATAAAATGTCTGGGTCTGGAAACTTGTGATGCTGGGTGGCGTCTCATGATGAGGCCACAAATGCTGGCTCAGCATGGCAAGTTTCTGAGATTCTAGGTGTTGCCTATTCTGCATGACAAACTGCGTTTCTGCATCACAGAAAAATGGAGCTCTTGGGTAACGTGCATGACAGATTTAAGAGTTATGCTAGACACGCATGACAAATATGCATTCTTCCAGACCCAGACATTTTTGCACGTGATATGATGAAGAAGTATGCCAAGCACGAGAAGGAGGGCGGCCGAAAGGTCGACGACGAGCTGCGAGTGCAGTATCTGCGCAAGGTCGACAAAGCCCGGGAGCGCCAGGACCGCGAGTTGGCCATTTGGCGCGGAAAACTGGATGCCCATAGGAAACAGCAGTACGCAATGGTCCGCGATACCACCAACAAATTTAACCGCGGAAAGCACAATCGCTTGCAGCGGTTGCGCGACGTGCAGGCGAGCGAAGCGAAGAAGATCTTCGAGGACTTCCGAAAGCACGCAGTGCACATGCGCTCTTTGGCGATGCGACGCGGGGTCAGCGTACAGACGACCACCCTGCGCCCGATTACACCAACCATTTGTGGGTAAGATTTCTGCAGCTCAGTAGATCATGTTCATTTATTTTCGAAAACAATTGTCAAACGGAACAGTAGACATGATTGAAAAAAAATAAATTGATCGACGTGTGATACGTAGAAATTTCACTGAGTAAATAGATACAAATAGTGCCATACCCGTACCTCCCTTACCCACACCGAGAGGCTCAGGCGCCGACAACACCATCAGTAGTTTTTGTTACATGATCAACCGCAGGTACCTCCTTCTTCTCCTGAAGCGCGCACTTCCGCCGAATATGCAGTCACGAACGATTATGCGAGACGGCGAGCCGCTTCACGACAGCAAAGCAGGCACCGTACTGGCGCAGTTCGCTGCCTGGTTATACGAAAGCCCGGAACTGGTCGGGCTCTCCGGCCGAGACGTCTTTCGGCTGCTGGACACGCGAAAAGCCGGCCGTGTCACGAGCACGGACCTGCAGCAATTCGTTCATAGGTGCGTACTAGAGTCCATACAGAATTCTCCAGCTTAGCTTTAGCCACGTTAACTAGTAATGCACATGGCTTCCCTTTGCCCAGCCCTTCTTTTGCGGGTTGTAATTGTATCCTTTGTGTTTCTCTCTTGCATCAAGAGCGATCAAGTACGACTTCTCTTATTAAGCACAGGACGCACATGCTCCTTCGCGAAGATATCAACAACGATCACTGACAGGCACAATATTCTGTTGCAGCCGTCCATTCTGTTTAACACGTTGCCGAAGGAGGAGCCCGGGGTGATTCAGCTGGACGACTTTCTGATGGCCATGCGCCCGGTGGAATTCGAGCACGAAATTTGTGTGACCGAGTTGCTCTACACCTGGCAGAAGCGGCAGCCGGGGTCCGACTTTGACCGCGACGAACAAGAGCAGCTCCTCGGCCAGCTACGCCAGGTGGCCGTCCGGGTGCTCGAATTTTTGGACGTGCGAGAGCCGCCTTACGACCCGGATGACGACGTGATGTTCTACCGCGTGCACAACTTTTCGCAGCAGAAAACGAAACTCACCCACGAAGTGCGCAACTGGGACGCCGCTGCCTCCATCTACCGCTTGGGAGGACAGGCCGCGCTGAACGTTTCCAAGCAAAGTTCCATCGCGATGAACAGATCCAAGTCCCCGGGGGGAGCAGGAGCTCCGGGCGGCCCACCGGCGACAATCAGTCCAGTAGAACAAAGAACCGGCTTCATGCACACGGGGCGCTACGAATTCTCCGTACCACGGTTAACCATTGCCCCTCCGGACCACTCGCCGAACCACAGAGGAGCAGTTTCGGATACGCACGGGCAGAGGTACTACCGAGCTAATCTGGAATCCAGTGCATTGGACTTTGACAGGCGAGTAGTGCTGGATGCGACGGAGGAAAGAGGATGGTACAACTTTTTTTGGCATTTATTCTTGTGTGGATCGATATCGAATGACCGCTGCATTTTTTTACGGAAGTGGAGCCGCATACTATTTTCACAATAGGCAACTTTTACATTCATTCATCGATTTTCATTTCTTGAAATACAAAACAAAACTCAAAGGGATATCGCCCCTGCAAAATCGGGATTGGCCGCGCGAACTGGCTTTCTGCACTTTGGTAGTTCTCCGAGCACGGCACGACCGCCGGCCGCGAGCAATCTGTTCATGGCGAAGCCGCAGCTGATCGACTCCAGTGTCATTGACACACACGAGAGCTACGGGCAGGACGGCTCGGTGAGTGACCGGCGCGTGCTGCGACGCAGCACTTCGGCGACCGGCAAGGATCTTACGGCTGCTGGGGAACAAAATCCGACGGCCGCGGGAGCAACTCCGAGCAGCGCAAGTGGCACCACCACGACCGGTCCAAGCCACTTGATCCGAAAGGCGCAGGCTTACCACGACGTGGCCACCAAGCAGGTGTTTGGAAACCGCGGAAGCAGCAAGCAGCTCGGCGAGATTGGCACGGTTCCGAGCGGGCCGAACTTGCACCCGCACAAGTCCACCTTCAACTTTGAGTACCACAGTCGACCGATCTTTGCCGTACAGAAGATCGGGAAGGTGAACACCAACCAGGGCTCGTTTCTCTGGGACCCGATCTCCAAAACCCGCGAGGAGTTGGCGAAAGCAGCCCCGGCCAGGACCAGAACCAGTAGTCCGACGGTGACCCGAGAATTGCTGAAGTTCGCCCAGGACCGATCTCGCTCGCCCTCACGGCTTGGCTCCCCGGCGCGCGGACGCGAGGGGTCGCATCTGGTGCGCAGCGGCAGTACGGTGGAAACGCACGCGCTGGAAACGCGGGACGGTATTGACAATCAGACACTAGAGACGGACGTGAACCACGAAGTGCTGTCCACGGACAAAGCAGGAAACAAGAAGCGACGTAGCAAGTCGCCCCACCAGGTGATGCGCGAACGGCAGCAGAGCCAGGACTTCAACCGGCGCCTGGACCGAAACGAGATGTCGCTGCGACGGAAGCAGTCCCGGGACCGAAGAGTGGTGAATAAGAAGAAGCATGTGGACAAGTTTCACGAGCAACAGGAAGAGGCGCACTCCTCGGTTGCCAGCAGCCGGATCCAGTCCAAGGCGGGCACCGAATCCCCGCGCTCCCCGCGGTCCGTCGGCGGGGGCGGCAACGGGGGCAGCAACGGTGCAACGGCGTCGCAGCGGCTTTCCAGGATGAGCGTGAACGCGCCGATGGAGAAGGGCATTGAGTTTAGCAGCTCCCAAACAAGGACGAAAGGGTTGCTGAACCGGTCAGAGACCCTGTTAGTCAGGTTCAACGAGAAGGATAAAAAACAGGCTTCGAAAATGGAGGAATTTTCGCCGGAAATGACACCCACAACCGAGGAGCAGAACAACAGCGAGACGGCGGCAGCGAAAAAGGCGACGTTCAGCTTCTACCCCGGGGAAAGAACAAGCAGCGCGTCAACTTCCACACAAAAAATGATGGTCGCGGCGGGAAATTACACGCTCAGCGGTGCGGGGACCATGAGCACGCGCGCCACAACGATGAATTCGAGGACGAGTCGTCCGAGTTTCGTCTTTCGCAGCACCGCAAGCATGAGTGAGTCAGAGGAACAGGAAGCGAGCCAAAGAACAGCATCACCTGCAACGCCGACGGAGCCCGTTCATTTTCAACAATTGGAAACCAGGAAAAGCGGCTCTTCGACGCAGCATCAAACTCGTCGGTCCACCGCTTCTGCGGCCTTCACCCCGACGGCAAGCGCGAGCAACCCCAATAGTTACCTGAACCGCCGAGCCGGATCTACAGTGAACTCCGCCACAACAAGATCTGCGTCGCTCCGACGAAGCAGCAGTGTAACGAGCACCTCTTCGCGCCAGCAGCCGACTTCAATGGCAGAGCTTCTGAACAAAAACTCAGAAGCCATGCATAGGAGAAATCAGAGCGCAACGACGCAGCGGGGGGTGGCAACGAGCAGCGGGCGGCCCCCACGTGCTCCGCCGTCGATGTCGACCCAGGGCAGGACGTCTTCGGTGCAAACGGTGGACGAGACCGATGGGAGTGTGAACGCGCTGGAAAGGTTATACTGCAACAATAGTGCGAGTGCGACGGTGAGCCACAAGATGAACAACGCTTCGGCGAGCTACTCCTACTCGGGGGAAGAGCAAGTCGATCAGCGTTCGGAACGGATCGAGATGGAAAGAAGAACTGTCACGGCACAATCCCCGGCGTTCGTGCGAAAATCCGCAGCCAGCACTTCTTCTCCAGTGGTCAGTGTCGGTCTGGGAGCGGCGCCGACGCTGAAGGTCCCGTCTCTGTTTCAGATGCGGAAAAACTAAGGTGCAGCATCGATATGAAGGAGCCAAGCACCTGCCTGTTGGGTACGACCGAGCAACTTGCTTTCATCATTTCAGTGTGTCGAGTCGATGCAGGTACTTGAGCTCATTTTCCTGGAAGGCGTGGAAGGGGCGATATGAAGTAGGAAATTCATTGCAGTCTTCTTCGTTTTGCATTTTTCAATTCATCGGTTTAAACAACTATGCATTTTTCGTTTTCCATTTTCGATTCTTTCATGCTGCCAAAAAGAACGCTACAAGAGATTTAAAGTACTGTTGGACAAGCGGAATCCGGTACTTCAAGTGATTTTTTGTATGATAATGGTAGATCGTGATCGGTAAAAAAAAGTGTCCATGTCGTCTTTTTCGACACAGACGACTTCGATTCGTTTTTGTTGGTTTTCACTTGCTTATCAGAGAAAAGTATGACAATTGGCGGCCATGTTGAGGTTTTCCTTTTTGTTTGTATGTACGATTTGCGGTTGTAGGTAGTACATCTTTTTCACATGATTTCATTCCACTTTTACTTAGAAACGCGAATTCACGACGACGCTTTACTTTTCTGTTTGTGCAACGGTATCAGCAAGATTGCGGCGGTGGTTTTATTTGTAGAATTCTTTGTGGCTTGTAAATGACCTGTTTGAATTTGACATCACCTTTAACTGTATTTTGATTTTGTCCCATCCTTTGCGATATTGGTATTTTATCCACCATTGAATCAAATACGAAGATCTTCTTGTGTGCTTGCATGATCACAAATCTGATCCGAGGTCTTTGGAGATGTTCGCCCGGTAAGATCGCCATGCAAAGTGAGACATGACAATGACAATCGATATTGTTTTAGACGCATTCTTGGTCGTTCTCGTTGTCATGATACATCGATGACATGGCCATGCATTGTCCTCATAAAAGTGAAATTATCAGTTGCTCACGACCTCCCGCTTCTCCCAGCAGACCAAAAACCTCTCAGTACAGACAAGACAAACATGCTTACACTAATAGTTGCATCGGTGTCCTCCCGTCGAATCAATCTGTAATCCTCAAGCCTTCTTCTTTAGTGAATTTTCTGTTTATTTGTGTATCTTTTTTGACATCATATGGATCCATCTGCATCTACAACTCGCACAAGAACGGCAACGGTTTAATCATGGCCTTCGAGGCTTCCGGCTGTCGCGTGATTGCCAAACCTGGCGGTCCCGATGTGAGTCCGCGCGGCGCAGACGGTATGCAAGGCATTCACCCTCTACTGCCGCACCATTCCCTCCTGTTTCAAAACTCCCGCATGCGTGTGTCGCGGTTGGTTTTGCCGCCGCCGGGCGGGGAGCCAGGTGAGGATGTTGTTGTTTGCTCGAGAACAGCGCAGCCGCTTGTTTTACTCGTGGGTGATGATGCATCCATACTTACTCATGTCAACATGGTACAATAAAAGTCAAAAACAATAAAAACAGCTTCTGCTCCCACGGCATTCTCGGCTACAACTGGATCTGCTGAGTATGAAATGTTCCATCCCTACCCGACCGTTAGATGGCAATCCGAAGTGCTCGAGCGGCCTGTGCCTGGTGTCAGGATTTCATACAAAATTGCCGACATGGTGGAACAAGAAGAACCCTGGCGCGGTTTAGGCGAGCGAGACCTGCAGGACATGGCAGATTGGACCAAAGCAGTAGAAATCGGCGGAGAAAAAAGTGGATACAACAAATCCTCGCTAGAAGATGACTTTGACTCCTGTCGTCCCAGTGGACAAGAAGGTGCCCCTAGAAGTGTTGGTCCTCCTGCAATGGAAATTCCCGATAGGAAGGCTTTCTTTGTGCATCAAAGCGTAACGATGAAAGTTTCGCTGAACAATGCAACACGGTCTGCGAACACGAACACGGGCGAGGAGTGCAACGACGCCGGGACAACTCCTCCCGCCCATTTCCGCCAATTCGCTTTCGAATTTCTGGAGTCGAAGCCCCGCTACACCAGGGAAAAGGTCCAAGAGCTGCTCCACTCTTGCCCGAAGCGATTTGTGAGAAGTAGGGAAACAGGGGCAAAGGTCCCTTACTGCTCGACTGATGTGGGCACCAAACTACTTTTCGAAAACGATATCTGTCGGGTTTGGGATTTCTATCTCGAACCCGACGAGGGTGGAACGGCGAGCACAGTGCACCACCACACGCTGCCCTATGTCTTCGTGAACACTGAGGCGTCACGTCTGCTTGGCTACAGTGCCAAATTACAAGACTTGGAAAGCGCGAGGCAAGCGGATGAGGCCCTTCGAACTGGAAATATCACGGGAGAAGCCGTCGCCTTTCCGACGGCTGAGGAGCTGAAATCCTTGCAGATTTTTGACTCCGTCAGTGCCGGTAGCCAAGTTACGTGGACGGACATTCCAGAGCATGCGTGCTTCGATCATGACACGTACTCCCACGGGGGGAAGAATGGGTGGTCCGAGAAACCCATGCGCGAGTATTTGGTAGAACTCAAATAGAGAGTAGAGTTAGGCGAGACATATATTGCTGCAGAAAGAGACCCGAGCATCGAAAAAGAAACCCTTCTATCTTGTCTTATCATTTGAAAAACTTCATTTTGGTTCGAGTTTAGACACTGCGACTAAACCACTTGCATTGTTCGAAAGTGTATGAGTTTTCGAACTAGAAGACGCACTTGGTGCGTTTTCCTCAAGGCGGTGCCCTTGGCTTATTGTTCTCGTCGCACAATACTAGACAACATACAAGGTCGACAGCCGCTTCCTCCATAGCGTAAAAACGCACTGTTTTTTCGTTGTTGCTCGTCCAGTGCCGCGTGACGGATCAAGACTCGCATCGTGAGTGAGCGAGAGCGGCAAAGTTAGTTCGAAAAAGCAAATATTGTCAGTGGGTTTTCACATTCGGCACAGACAGAAGAGAGAATTTGAGTCAAGACATAAAAATGATCTCTCGTCCTGTCTCTGTTCGAAGAAAAGTAAAAGTCAATCACAATCAATGAGAGGACGTTCACTGGCTGGTCACTTACAGATTCCAAACATATCGAATCCCGCCGTTCTGTTTTTCTAGAATCTGAAATTACACCTGCGGAATCGAAATCAAGATCAAGAACCGCCACTGGTGTGTGTTGCTGTTGATTGTTGAAAATTCTTCATGACGGCATCCACGAATCGCGACGAGATGTCTTCCTCCTCCTGCTCCTCTGCCTCATCCTGCACCGACACGGCTTCTCTGGCTTCCGTCGCGACGAGCACGAAGGTGCAGGGTCTGAGCGACGACCTGGTGACGTATTTGATGAACCGAGGATCGCTCAACGAATCCGTCAGCCGGCCCAAAGTCAGCAAGAAGCAGCAGCTTCACCAGGGATCGCACGCGAAGCAGCTGGTATTTTTGTGGTTGACAGTGGTTTTTCTTTCATTTCTTTGACTACTGGATCCGGATCTGCATGCGGTTTTTGAATTGTGTCGTGGTTTTGTTCTTGCGTGGTCAAAGCATGATCAGCTATTTGCGTGTGAGTTTCGAAGCGTCTTTCGTTTCCACGCATGCGATTAGTACCTTATGATCCATTCCAAACTTCCAAGATACTGGAGAAGAAGCAGAAGGGCGCGATCATTCGCTCCGTAGAAAACCCGATCGGAAACGCGCGTCGGGATCCGCAAAGCTTCGATGCAGGTACAACTTAAAGAGCTCCTGAGGATGAGAAGCATCAACATTAACGAATGAATAAAAGAATACATTCCTTTGCGAGGACATCATGCGCGATCTCTTCAGAACAATACGTAGCGCAGCCACTAATCTCAAACGCTATCCTCACAGACACGGCGTTACGCGACAAGGCATTCCAGGACGCGTTTAATGCTATGGAAAAGGTGAAAGAGCACCACCTGGCCGAAACGTCGGTGCAAGGCAATCCCACAGACGGCATTGATGTCACAACCTTGCGCATGCAGCAGAAAAAGCGTGACGCCATGGACCCGAGAATGGCTGCGGCCGGACACATATCAAATGTAAAAATGTCTGGGTCTGGAAGAATGCAACTTGTCATGCTAAATCTGAAGCGTGCAAAAATCTGTGTTGCATGATCACCAAAAGTCGTCCAGTTTTGACCAAGTCGGGAGGCATCTCATGCAGGATACGCATTGGAAAGGTTTCGCAGAATCTGTCATGCTATGTCCTACATTCCAGACCTCATGGGTTATGGAAAACCTGCATGACAAATCTGGCAATCTTCCAGACCCAGACATTTTTACAGTTGATAACACATACCGCCGCTCTGGTGGGGAGATGGGCTGAACTGAGTATACGTTGAGGACATGATTATAACGTGGCGAATTTACTGTTTCTTTCTGCTGCCCGCGTGCTAAAACGTGGAGGCGGCCAAAGAAAAAATATGCAGAGCACGACGACGCACAGAGCTGAGCTGAGCTGATCGATCGAATCGAAATAGATTCAAATTGCCTTTAATGATGTTGATGTTTCAAAAATGGATTTTGTTTTGAAGGACTGAAGAAGAAGAACCCACCGGAATTCTGTTTTTTGCGGCGACCTTATCATGAATGTGATGGTAAAAATCATCTCAATTACAGAGGTCAAGCAACAAAAGATGAGCGCAGCGCAGAAACTACAAAATCAAGCTGTGTATGATAGAACTTTCGTTTAATTTCAAGGAATTTCAGGTCGTTGGAACGTTTATTTTTCGGCATCCGCTGATAATCGTGTTGCCGCGTAGGACACTCCGGCACACGTGCACAGCAACAAACCTTGCGCCACTTGTTTAGCGTTGCGAATCACTGCCAGTTCGAATGACGCTTGCTTCTCACTCTACTCGTATGTTTCGCGTCTAAGTTGTGTCTCGACTCGATTTGGTTCCATTTGCTTGTCGAGGTCGACACCGTTTGACAGTAGCGCTCAGAGTTGAAGTTGATCGACTGAGGACTCGTGAAATTTGTTTTCTGCAGCTCGACAACCTGATAAAAAAATTACATGCGAGGCGGAATGAGTTGTCGGCCCTGGGCTCGGCTTCGGTTCGATCTGGTGGCAAATTTTAAGCAGGATTTTTCATGAAAGAAAATCGCATTTGAAATAAAGTCCTCGCTAAGGTCGTTTCGAAAAGATCAAAAATGATGGGTGCATCACATGAGAGACACAGACCCTTGGAAATAGAATACGATCATACCGAATGCAAATTCTAGGTAGGAGCAGGAGGTGTTTTTTTTCTCGTCGCAATTGGGCCCTTTTTATAACACTGCTTATGGTGGCCTTTTGTTTGGGACGATGATCTTGATCTGCACTTGCTAGTCTCCATGTGATCACCAATCCAAGAAATCGATCCTGATAAAGAAAGCGATCTTCAGTACGAGATCGTCTTCATCTGGATCATCGGAAATATACCGTCGAATGGAATAAAGGTAAAGTCAATTGGTAGTGACGTAACTGAGTGATTGCGATTCTATTGGTGTCCTTTCAAATTCCATTGCATCTTTTACTTTTTCAAAACTGCCAGAGGACGGACATTTCTTTGTAGATTGTCGTAGTAGAAGAGCTCAGCCAGCAGGTCACATCGTGCCGCCAGCTCGTCTATTATAGCGCAGCGCCGGCCAATGGGCGATTTTTTATGATGTTTTGGAAACAACTCTGTTGATTCCAGCGGAATTTTCCGACAACTTCAGTTGTATAGCTACACCTGGAGTTTTCAAGAACTTTGACTTTCCTTGTAGACCATTTCCCGTTTCTTGACAGCACACAATTGGGAGATTTTATTCTAGATATTCTTCTTCCATACTATAGAATACGCTTGGAGGTTTTTGACCTATTCCGACAGGACAGCGTGTAAACAACTGGACTAGTCCACTTATGATAGGCACAAGTTCACGCTAAGATAATGATTATGATTTTATGTTGGCTACATCATTGGATTGACGGGTAGTCGCAGCCCGATGCACCACCGTTGAAGATTTCTTCAATCGCGTAAGGTGGAGCAGAGGAGACACATCTTGGTCTCTCCCGCGCAGGGTCTTCGTTGTCCAAGGCCTTCGTTGACAGATGATGTCAGGGGACGCTAGCGAACAACAAACCGGGAAGGGAGCTGCGTCTTCTACTGACGTGTCCAAACAAGCCACAGTAGCTCAAGGCAGTACTTGCAGAGGATCAAGCAGCTCGACGTCCAATGGTGCTGCGGCTCCTGCGTTGACCGGAGGTCCAGGGAAGAACGGAACGGCAACTTCAAGTAGCTCCAGCTCATCAAAAGCAGCTACCGGAGCTGCCGCTACTTCGCCGAGCAGCGGAAGTTCTGTTGTATCTTCGTCCTCCGCCCCGGGGCTGCACCAGGGTGGAAAAGCAAGTGCAGGCAAGGAAGGCAGTATGTCATCAACTAATGGGCAGCTCGCGGCCCCCGCGCCGCCGTCGCAACCAGGAGCGGCTAGTACAACTAGTTCGGTCTCAAAAAGTAGTGACGGCGCACCCGCCTTTTCGTGGGCAGACCGCCTGAAGAAGTCAGTCGCTGCAGTTCCGGGCGGGCCGCACACGGCTGATGGAGGTGTGGGTCCGTCAGCCCTTCTGGCAGGGCTGAAGATCCCGAGCAAAACAATGGCTCATGGTACTGCAGTTTTGAGTTGCATGAGATGAATCATTCTTGATGTATATATCTGCTTTTAATACTTGTACTTCCTCTTCCTCTACTTTCAGACACACAGGAGGGTATAGTTAGGTGTAGAAATCGTAATGCGAAATAAACGAATGCGAGTCTTCCTCTTCATGCTCTCTCGCCGACAGGAACCGGCCAACGACTTTGTCATTTGAGTTTTCATTTTCTCTCAGGGCTTCCCCCATCGCCATCAGGCTCTTCTGGAAGCGATGATGCGAACAAGGAAAAGCGAAGTAAGGGTTCCCCAATTACAACATCCGCAGTAAGCCCGAACCCCAAAGGCCCAGGGATGAATATTGTATCCAGCGGCCAAAAAGGCGCAGCTTCCGCCCTCGCTGAAAGCGACAGAACGACCGAGACCGCGCAAGCCGCGAAAGAGCCCATGCAACAAAACGTGCCTTCCTCTGCACCGAGCTCCGGCGGTAGCGGTACGAGCATACCAGTAGCAGCATTGGGATCAACTACATCTGCAAGGAGTAACTTGAACAACACCGAGCAGTCCAGGCCCAAGGTAAAGCTGTCCTCTCCCGAGACACGGCTGAAGGCGCGGGAGCTTCTTGCGGCTGCTTCTGCGTCTTCCTCTGGGACGGAGGACGATGTTGGCGTAGACGAGAAACCCGCTTCGGTCAGCACGGGAGGACCGAGTGGGAAGCAGAAAGAAGCTGCAAGCCCGCCAAGATGGTGCGATATAGTAGCTTCCTCGTCCGCCAGCGCCACGCCTTCGGTGGCAAGTGTAAGTAAAGGTAGCTGTCCCGCAGGCATTGCTAGTACCTCGGCTGCAGTCGCACCACCTCTCCCAGCTGTCCCCAGCAGTTTGCCATTAACATCGCAGACACAGCACCGCGACACCAATGGCATTGCATCCCAATCTTCTACGCAGTTGTCAGGTGCTGGTGGTGCAACCGCTTCCAATTGGTCTAACAAAGAGGCACCTGGTGCGCCGTCTGCGAAAGCAACGTCAGCATCGAAAGCGGTACTAGAAACAGTGCCAGTGACAGCAAAGCAGACCCCGCCAGTGTCTGCTAAACCGGAAGGAGAAGGTACGAGTAATGTCGACACAGGTGAGGCGTCCGCGTCGGCTCCGGCTTCTTCAGCGAACAAAGGAGACAGGAAAAATTCATCGACGTCGCCGACGAGAAAAAAGAAGAAGGGCAGGGGAAGTATCGATAAAACGGACAGCACGACAACATCGGGTGAAAATAAAGAAGCTAGTAGCGGCCCGCCCATGAATAAGGGAACAACAGCACAGCGCAAAGCGTCAGGATCTTCAGGCACTGCTGGCACAACTACTTTGCAGGACTTGGAAGTGGTCAATGTGGGTTCGATTGAAGCCAACAAAAAAAGCGTCGGGAAGACGAGCGCAGCACCGTCGATTCCTCTCCCAAATAGCAGCAAGGCGTCGACGCTTTCTGGCGGCGAGAAGACGCCGGCACAGGAGATGAAGGAAAAGGTGCAGGAGCTGTTACTCGCAGACAAGAACCTGAGCAAAACGGCTGGAGGTGGCGTTGCAGGAGCTGGTGCAGCAGGAGCGTCAACATCATCTGCGACGCCTAGTTCACTGGCAGGGGGCAAGAACAATAAAAACGACAATTACAACAGGCCGCACGCGTCTTCGGCGGACAAGAAGGTGAGCGAATTGATAACACTCACCCATCAGCAGGCACAGCTCCTGGCTGGACAGCAATTTTACCAAAACCAACATTTGGCATATGAAATGCAGCGCCAGCAGAACAATAAAGACAATTTCCACCCTGGACCTCGCAATATGGGTACGGGCGGGGCGAACAACTTCCATAACACAGCAGTTGCTCCTCAGCACGATCATACGACAGCTAGTAGCACGGCGGCCTACAGCTGGGAGCAACAGCAGCAGATGCAACAACAGAAAGGAGTAGGACCTGTCAACAGCAATGTCGCTAGCTTCCAAGCGCTACAGCAGCAAGCCCAAGAGCTGATCAACATAGGCAACGCAGTGGGTAGCCTAAGTGGCAGCGGCACGCCGTCGCCGGACTTTCTTCAAGGCGCCACCTACGGCGCCGATGCGCATCATGGTACCGCGGCCGCCTATCAGCGGACACCGCGAGCGCAATACCAGGGCGAAACGCATACGAAGGGAGGAGGGAAACACAACTATCAGGAGCATGTCCAGTTCCAACAACAGGCGCAAACCTCGAACAAAGGAATGCATAAGTCTGCAGCTTCATCAACGTCGGGTAATAAAGAGTTTTCCAAACAAGGCAATGCGAAGGGCGCAGCAGACAAGAACCATTCTGGAGCAGGAGGTGGTGCTTTGAGTACTTATGGAAATAACGCGTCCTCTGATGGTGCTTCCTACAACAAGGGCAAGTGGGGCGATGGAGGAGGTAGCTGGTACAGCAACAATCAGTACAATAACCCGCACTACAGCGAACAGCAACAGTACAGTCAGTACAGTCAGCACAACTACAACCAGCAGAGCAATTACAACCTCCAACAGAAGGGCGGGGGCAAGGACCACCAGCAGCACATTCAGCAGAAGGGCCATGTTGTGAACAATAAAGACCAGAGCGGCGGCGCCGGTGGTCATCACAACAAAGAACAGCAGCACAGTGCCGGTAAGGACTACCAATACAACAGCTATAGTCGCGGCGTCAAGGGTGGAAAAACTGGATCAGAAACTATAATTAGTCAGGGGGAGTACCACCCGCCGCCAACGAAGCAGGTGTGGAATACTTGGGGAGGTACGAAAGGAGCGACATCTTCAAAAGGAGGACAGACTGGCGAGTATAACCAGACTCACGGCGGATCCCACGTGTCTGCAAAACGGGGCGTCAACCCCGATGGCACCACGCACACCCGAATCAACCTGAAAGACGGAGACTCAGGGCGTACTTCAATGTTTTTCACCTTAGAAGGAATGTAAATCTGTTATTGCTTTTTCAGTTGTGCTTGTTTCCATTTGCTTGCATGAGGCATACAGAAAAAGAACGAGATCGAGATGAAAACGGCTTGTGTACTATGATCGCGTCCCTTGCGGCATAGACAACAACTGCGAAAAGAAATCTCAGTCTTCATCTTGAAGAACGTGAACGAAAACGAATCTCAGGCGTCGGCGTGCTGGACGATGACATTGTGGAGGCCCTGCATAAACCGGAGATGCGGAGCTTCTTGCTGCGGTTCGAACGCAACATGCTGCTGGCATTGGTGAATCCCAACGTAGAGCGTGTGAAGTTTACGACTCCGTTCAAATCGTACCAGCGCCGTCTTGTGCACAGGTTGGCGGACTACTACGGTTATGAGCGCGAGGTGACTGGCAGGAGCGCGGAGGAGAAAAGCATCACGCCCAGCGGGGTGGAACAGAAAGCGTACCTGACGCTTTTGAAGACCAAGCAGACGCAAATGTCCAAGCCAAACCTGTTGGAAATCTGCCAGTCGCAAAAGTTGGAGCTGCCTGAAAAGTTCGCCAATGGCTACCAGTTCTCCACCACATTACAATTACCGAAGAAAGACATAAAAGCAGGTACTTTACTTAGAAATGAAAGTGGGTTGGGGTTCATCTTTCTTTCTTTTTCGTTTGTTTTTTTTGCTTTATGATGTCATCCACACAAAATCATGCCTGTTGCTGGTACTGTGCGATCATACTTTGCCATTCACACAAGCAACATCACAACTTTTTCACTTCCTCTGATACGCAGGCGGCAAGGACAACAAGCCTCGAAGTGGTGCGGAACTGACGAGCATTCTCGAGGAGGGAAACGAGAGTGAAGAGGAGGAATTCATTCGACAGGAGCAACACTTTTCCTCGCCAGTACGCGGAGCGCCGGGCGGCGGGCCCGACGCATCAAACCAGGAAAATAATTCTGACGAGGCCACGCCGGCAGAACAAGAACCGTCCTCGAAGGAAGCAGCTCCCACGGCCAGCAGCTCCTGCGCCGGGAGTGCCACCGCCAGTGCGGCGTCGTCGACGCCCGGAACAGCGACCCAGAGCAAGGCCACGCTGGAGCAAAATCCTGCAGGACCGGCCGCGACCAGCAGAAGTCCGAAGCGGTCGTCTGGGAGGCGGACGCTCACCGGGGAAGCATCAAACTCTGCGAGCAGCAGCAAAAACAGCACGACGGCCGCCCTCGCTGCCGCCACGCCCGACCTGCAACACAACTCGTCAACCGCTGCCACGGGCGGCGCTGTGACGACGGACGACGAGCAACCCGGCCCCTTTGACCGCACGGCTTCGGACGCCAGTCTGAGCAGCAGTAGAACCGGCACGGAGAAGAAGATTCAGCGGCCCATGATCGTGCGCCGCCGGACCGAGGACCAGAGCGATACGAATAAATCCTCCAAGGGTGCCGCGAACAAGGACAAGGAGGCGAAAGATATCACGGAGCTCACCTACGAGGAGCGTGAGAGGCTGTACCAGGAAGCGCGGGCCGCCGTCCTGGGGGAGGACTTCGACAAGGAGCAGCAGAAAGCGCAAGAGCAAGAACAGTTGCAGCAAAGCGCGGCTGGTTCTGCGGCAAAGAGCGGCGCTGGTGCACAACTTTCATCTGCAGCTCCTTATCCTGTGCAAAAGTATCGTACTCGTATAAATCCAACCTTTTCTTTTTGCATGAAATAGTATAGAAGTTGGTGAGAAGCTGTTGCGATGTTGGTGCGGAAGTTGGTGCGAAGTGGGTGGAGAAGTTGGTGGGGAAGTTGGCGCGGAAGCCGTTCAGAAGTGGCGGAACGTGCTGGCATCGTCAGCACGTTCTCTGGTGTCAGGCGTGGCGCGTGACTCTGCCGCGACGAGTTCTAGCGCCTTGGCCGCTTGCAGTTGCAGCTGTATGGGCTGGAAAGAATTGCCCGGCAGATAAATAGAAAGACGGCCACACTCATTCTTTCCATTTATCTGCAGCGCAGTTCGGCACGTCCGCACGACGGCACCATGCGCGCAACGTATAGAAAAGGCGGCAAAGGTTGCGCCTGTGATGGCTGCACGCAAAGACGCAAACACCGGGAAAAAAATGAAGCTGCGCGCGCCGTTGTGGAGCCGGAGCTGCACGCCGCAGGAGCTAGCTTCTCGCCAACTTCTCAACAACTTCTCGGCCAATATATTAATCAAATTCATTCATTTCGCAAACGCCTTTGCTTTTCTTGTGCCAAAAAACGCAGCTTTGCGTGCAACCTACACAATATGCCGCGTTTTTTGCTCCACAGCTTCTAAACAGCTTCTCAACAACTTCTCAACAACTTCTCGGCCAACATATCTGACAGATTTGGCGAGAAGTTGTTGAGAAGTTGTCGCGCAATTCATGATCTAGAGGATGCTCTGCTTTTGCCAACAGACCACTTTTCAAAGCCCAAAACCTTCCTGCAAAAGCAGGTTTTGGAGCTCCCGCAGCGCTCACATTTGCGCAGAGGCGCGACCGCAGTATGCACGGCCAAACTGATTCGTGACGGCACACGCGGCCACGAATCGAGATCCGGGAAACTCGTGAGACAGCAGCCAAATGCATGGCGGTACAGAAATTGGAACGCCTACAGTTCAAATCCGCACCAAGCCCCCGAACAAACCCACCCGCTGACTCCCGCCAATTTCTCAACAGCTGGGAAGTTGGTGAAAAGGTTAGGAGGAAGCTGGTGAGAAGTTGGGGGAAAGTTGCCTAAAAGTACGTGAGAAGTTGTAGAAAGGTTTCATGCAAGAAAAGGTCGGATTTATACGAGTGCGATACTTTTGCACAGGATACTCCTCCTGCAGGTGCAATTACCAGCGACACGAGCACGAAAACAACACCAACGCTAGCTCCGGTGCCTCCCCAGCCGAAGATGAGCGGTGGTGCGCCACACCAAAAGGGGGCCAAAACGAAGATCGGGTGGAACGGTAGGGCCGTAGCTGCATCCTCGACGAGCGACGGCACAGGTGGAAAGATGGCGGCAGCAAATCAGGACAGCAGCAAAATGGCACCAAATAACTCGCAGGCGACCAATAATAATTTTTCCCTCCAGAGTTCCCCCCACGACACGCACGCGCAACACCAATACAAGTCTAGCAATCCCCAAAACAAGAACCTCGACCGGTCAGACCCCGAATTCCAGACGGACAGAAGTACACCGAACCGACGCAGTTTCAACATGCATCAACATCTGCCACCGGGTAATATGCATCCACCCGAAGGAGGTAGTGGACCACCTATTAGTGCGGGGGGTCCGAGTACCATTCCTGTTGCCGCGGCTGGAGGTCTTAATAACATGAACGGGGCTCAAGCTCAACATCTTCACCATCCGCATATGATATCGACAACCGCAGCGCAAGCAGCGATGTACAACAAAACCTTTCCTGCTGCAGCTGGCACGCACCAGATGGCGGCTTCCAATCTTACCACTCCAATACATCCAGCGGCAAATAACACGACGGCACCCCCCGCGCAGTTCGGTGTTGTGAACCCTCCACCCGCTCCCGCGGCGTACAGCAGTTTTTTTCCCCAAGTAAACCCGAATAGCATTATGGTGAATCCGTTGGCGCTGCGCATGATTGGCGCACCAGGAAGTTCGGGAGTCGTGACCGCTACCGGCCAACATCACGTCGGTGGTGCTCATCCTCTCGCAGTTGCGAATATGGTTCAACACCCTGGAGGCGCTGGCAACACGATGAACAATGTAATCATGATGAATGCCCAGCAACAGCAACTGCAACTGCATCACATGGGCACACCAGGCGGGGTGTCTGCTGGTCATCCTCATCTGCCACCTCCACAACACCACCAGGGCCATCTTCCCCTTCTCTTCTCTGCGGACAACTTCAATCAGCATTTGCAAAGCTGGCAGCACAACTTGCAGCAGCTCAATCCGTGCAGCGGCGCCCAGGAGCCAGGGAGTGATTACACGGTACAATAAACAGGATATTGTTAGTACTGTTGACATAGAACAAAAAGAAATAGAAAATCGCCTGTCACATTGATTTCTCGTGTCCGGCCGCGTTTGCGCCTTCTAACGGAACTATACTTCTCGTTTTGGTTCCTGGGCCACATCGATTCTTTACAATTTTTTTTAAATGTTGAAATCTTGTTCAGGCGCAGAACACTCAACCACCTAGCCCGGAGAACCGCCGAGCGCCTGGATAAAGCCCCGGATTGTCAACCTCGAATGTATCCAAACGATGAGGACACCTATCGTGGAGAACTCGGAGTAGCCCAGAGCTATGAAGTCAACTTTCACAATGAACAAGCGTTTTTCATCCAACTTGACAAAAATAGAACCGATCGAAGATCCTACAGATCGCGAAATGAAACATCCAAGAGCTATCAAGCTATCAACGCAAGAAACGAAAAAAATTTTGGCCTAGCACACAACGCGAAAATAAGAATAATAACTTGAGCTATACAGGTGTCGCTCCGAATTGTCCTTAATAGTTCCTCGGAGCTAGTGACTCTTTGAAAGTAGAGATTTATCATGTTGTTCCGAGGCCAACCTTCTGGTCGGTGAACCACCCCCCGGTTGTTCAACAACCGGGGTCGATCCACCAAGATCTTCTCGTACAACTGATAGTCTAATTTGAAATCGATACGTGCAAGCGAAGATCTTGTGGAACCTCTCCCTCGAGTAAGTCCTTGTTGGCAGCACCAGTGCTAGGAAGACGTCGAGTGGACGACGATCGTACCAAGAAGCTCAAGATCCCTCTGGAAGATACTAAAAAAAGGGACCACTCACACTCCCTCGGTTTGCGGTCGTCACATTGATTCAGCATGATCTTGGTAATTTATTTGAAAGTCGATCCCCAATTCTATCTCGTGTGTGAGTACAGGGATACGCCATGTCCATCATGCCATAATTCTGGAGGGTGGAGATGGAGGATCAGGCTCGCACCACCACCAAAAAGATCATCCGATCTTGAAGGAGGTTCTGGTTGTGCGCCATCGAGTTGCGGCTGGAAATCAGGCTCAGACGCCTGGTCACTGAAGTGCTCACTACTCGTTGGTGGAAATCGGCTACAACTGGGCCTTACTTTCGCTGTTTATGTTCATACAGAAGATCCGGCTCGAGACTTAGAACAACTTGAACTGCGGAGGTTCCCCTTGTAGTTCTTAATAGTTCTTCCTGTGGGAGATCCGATGTTGTTTCGATTCATGTGATTGGGATTGCGAAATACAGGTAGGGAAGGAAACGGTCGGGAAAGGCCGATGTAGCTTGGGTGCGGCCTCAGTAAGGCTGCTGTAAAAGAGGATCAATATCAAGCGGATGAAGCTTGAGATGCAACTCACGTATTTACATTGCACGAGCAGTAAGTAATATTTAAGTTTTGCGAAATAATTTAGAGAGGACCAACAACCAAGTCAAGTCTGTCTGGAATGCGTGAAGCCGTATCTATTGTAGTCCTCCTGCCTTTACCACGGACTTAGATACAGTTAGACATAGAAGTTAGTACTAGAATTACGAAATCGCTATCGCATAAAAAAAAGAAACTTTTCTCAGACACCTAGCCACTCCTCTAAGTATCTCTATCTTCCTGCTGGGGAATCAATTGGTTCGTCGACTTCGAAGCAGCAGAATAAGAATGACTATCGGAACGGCGCACCAGATGGGACAACCGCTTCCCGCCCTATTTACCAATCAAAAGACCTCATGGCAACTGAGCACTCACTGCAATCAAAACTGACGGCATTCTTATCACTGATTTTCGGGAAACTTTCTTTTTGCTTTCTGTCGGGGCTACTTTTATCCTTTACTATACTATACGATTTCTTCCAGTAGAGATAACGAAGACATTCATCATGCCGGCTCTGAATTTGCTGCATAAGTCTGCTGCACGGGACTCGTGGAGGACGGATTTCGCAACCGCGCGACACTATGGAGAGCTGCAGATTCCCGGAAATCCGCACTGCTGGCAAAGATTGGAATCGAAGCAAGTAAGAAGGCTCGTTGCAGCAGGATCTTCTGGTTCTGCCATGGAACAAGGAAGAACGGAACAAGGTCCGATTGGAGTAGCAGTGGCATCCATGGCCGCTGGTGAGGGAGACACAGAAAGCACGACTTTGCAATGCTACGTTGCCAGAAGTGGTACTCCTGCACGCGGTCTCGCCGATGGTGCAGAGCATCGTCCCCCAACATTTGGCGACAGCAACAAAGAGCATCAAAATGCCGGTCCACTTGTTGATGTTGGCCGCTCCCACTGCGAGCCCTCAACGCAGCAGACGCAGGAGTTGAACCAGCAGCCGAATGTGCCGCGCTTTTCGCGCATCCTCGGAACCAAGCGCGCACCGTACCGACGGAGAAAGGACGAAGTCAAATCTGCGCTGCATTGGGGGCAGCGCAAACTGTTTTTGTCCGAGCTCGAATTTTTGTTGGACGTTTGTTTTCCGAAGAGCATGGGGTTTGTTGGCAAGACCGAAAATGTTGCATCACGGCCCTCGTGGTCAACACCCAGTGAAGATGACGGGAGCTGCTTTTCGCTGTCCGAAGCACTTTTGGCGCAGCTGCAGGAACGGCTGCTGGAAAATGTGGAAGCTGCTGGATGCGAAAATCAAGGATCCGCCCCGGAGGGAGCAGATGGAACGCCACAAAAGAACAACTCAGCTTGTTCTGCTGTGGCGCTGGCTACACTGGCAGACCTACCTCTGGTCGGACCTGAGCCAAGTACACGTGCTTATCCGAATACTAGAGACAGACACAGTTCTTGCGCTGACGTCGATGCAGCTACATCAACTGCAGCAGACCTACTCGATATTAGTTCCCTGAAGCAGAATTTTGACTCCGTCGGCGAGATCCTCCCCCGGTCCCCCTTGCTGGCCCACGACGACAAGGCTTTTTTCCTGGTGTACTACATCGGCGCTGCCCCCGGGGAGCACATTGCCCTGCTGGCGAAGTGGTTTGCGGCGAATGTGTTTTTCGTTCTGTACGACCCCAGGCCCTTTAACGTTGTGTCGTCTTTGAAGAATGAAGCTTCTTCTCGCAATAGAGGTACTAGCACGACAGCGCTAGTAGTGGACTGCGAATACAACGAAGACGAGGACCCACATGGTTCCGATTGTCCGACCACGACATCCACCACCTCTCACCCCGACCTGCTCGAGTTCTTACGCACCAACCACGCCGAGCGGAAGCTGCCCTATGTGGGTGCGGACGAGCACAAGCATGTCCGATTTCTGCAGGGCTCGACAGCGACGGTCTACGGCGGGGAAATGGTTCTACCGAACGTGGAGTGCCGACAGCGCAAATTCGACCTGGACACGGAGTTTTTTGTGCTCCAAAGCGACAGAGAACGGTGGCCCAACGCAAAAGTGTTGCTGATTTCCGACATTCGGTCCGCGGATCCACGCGATTTCCCCAATGGTGGAGTCAGTGGGAGTGGCAGTAGCAACATTGGAGGAGGACAACCGGCGGCCGATGGGGGCGGGCCATCGAAGGGGAGAGGGAGTAGTGCAGGGATACGCAGAGGAAAAGGAAATCTGAAGCACCAAACGGATAATCAGACGAATTCTACTCCTGCAGCTGTGTCTGCCTCGGAAGTCAACACGACAACATCAAGAAGGGAAGGCCTTGTTGATTCTCTTGGGGACACGAACAAACACAGGAAGCACACAAGCTTCACCGAAGACTCTACGACCGCGGAGTCAGCTGCTGGGATGAACAAGAAAAAGCAGAAGTTCGTCGAGAGGAACAAATCGAGAGCGGAAAGTAGGACGGGCAACAGCACTGGTCGGGGGGGAGGCGATGCATGTGTGTCCGGCAGTAGATCGGGGCAACAAAACACGACATCCAATTTCGAAGACTTTCTCTTCGAGGATTTGTATGCCCAGCAAGACTGGGTGGAAAAACTGGACCCGGTCTTGGCGATGCTGAAATTTCGCCTCCCCTACCATGACGGCAGCATGTCGTATACACATTTTTATAGCTTAGTGGTGCTTTTCCTCTTTGTCTTTCGGGTTTCTTGAGCACTTTCGCCATTCCTTGTCGTTGTCCTCGAAGTGCGCCGTCATGCTCATGACTCTACAATGCAAAGAGAAAGAACTCATCTTCAAGCACACAAAAGCTCAAGCAAGATCGGAATTTGAAAGCAGTCGTCCCTTTTCACTGCATATCGACAGGTACCTGGATGGCGAGATGCGGTTGCCGATGTTTGCGCCGCAGACGTCCACAGAATGTCGGCTCGTGACGTATGCAAAGGCTGGGAAAAAGCTGTACGACTTTACCGAACACGGTGAGCAAATGTTTCACTTCAACACGGAACAGCGGGTGCACTGTTACGCGTTTACGTTTAGTAGTTTGACTGACCACGACCACGACGACATGGTTTTTGGGAAGTGTAACAACGCTCCGTCGTGCCGCGAGACCACAAGGTCCCGGGGAACCCACGACGAGCAAGTCGCGTTCCGCACCGAGGCGCTCGACCACGGGCTGGATAATTGCTACGATTGCACCGCGGAAAAGTCTCTGCTAGCTCGGCTGGTGGCGATCTACCAGGCTGCAGCTCGAAACAGGCGGAAGTTGCTACGCCAAGATGAGGACGAAGACCTAGAAGACGACCGCTCAGCGATGGATCTGTTCGACAGCTGCCCTCGTTCGCCCGACGACGACGACCAAGCAGGGGACACGGATAACTGCGACCAGCAATTACAACCACAACAGCTGCTCCGCCTTCCGGACGCAAAAACCCTGTTTTGGCTACTGCACAAAAAGATCACCCAAACCTGTGGGGCCGCGCGGGGGCGTACGATGTTCTCGACCCTGGTCTCCCCCGCAGACGCTTACGCATCGTGGCACAGTAAAAGCGCAAGGACCCACTACAATTACAGCAGTAACATCAGCAAAAACCAAAGTATTGGTGCCGATTCATTTTCGGGTCCCGATGCCCGAACAGGGCGGCAGGGAAAAAAGCGGCGCGCACTGACGGTTACGTCCTCAACTTCCACCACCGCAACATTGAATGACGCGACTTCTGAGCAGGAGAACCTGCACCAAAGTAAGCGGCATAGAGCGCAGCACCGGGAGGGAGAAGCGAAACACGAATTATCTACTGTAGTAGCGTGACCGACAGGCTGCATTTGACTAGCATTCGCAAGCGTAGTTATACAACTGGGCTCCAGAATACGATTTTTCCTTTTCGGTATTGACAATTAAAACCTACACCACCATTACAAGAAAAGGAGAACGACACACACAGGGCCAGTACAACTTTAAACTAGAATACACTTTTTTACCTGCAAATACAGTATTTTTTTAACCTCGTCCAGCTTGCACGTTTTACGTCCGTCTATAATTTCGGATCTCCGCCCCCTTCGCTGAAAAGAGAAAGACGCGGTCATGCATCCAGACACCGAGAATAAAAGTATCAGTGGAAAAATATTGTAGTCGAGCAGCAGCTTCTGTTTCGAAAATTTATGCGAGAATGCAGTCCCATTAGTTTAGCAAAAGATTAAGATGCGGCTTAAGTGTGAGAATCTGGTATCAGCAGGCCGTTAAAACCACTCGGTCGCAATTATTGTCAGATGAGCAATCAGCACATTCATTGCATCTCAGCTTCTGATATTAAACATGTTTTTCTTGTGCGATGCCAACGTCGACGACCACTCCAAGAAGCGACCTGGCGACTCCTCGTCCCTGCCACACGCAGTAATTGGCCAACGCAATGCCAGCAGCAGCAACCGTTGGTTGCAGCGGTTTTGGCGGGGGAGGACTAGACAGCATCGCATACGCGGCTGTTGCGCCCAGATTTATTGAAGGCGACACGAAGACCACGAACCTACAAGGTCAACAACGGCCTGACGGTTCAGTTTCACTATGTATCCTTCTCTTTGACGCCACCTGTGAAATTGTGTGTAAGTACAACGACTGCAACGCCTCCTTTTCCACCGGGTGATAGGCACTAGAAACGGTGATGAAAACGGAACTTATGACATACGACCATCTATACGACATTTTCGAACATGCACGCACACGGACTCAATCGCAACAAGTACATAATCATAAGCAACAGAATCGCGAACTACCAAACGAAAGCGGAAACATGGAAAAACCTTGCTAAACATCTCTCCAGGACGTGTGCCAGCTTGTGCTTGTTTGAAGTTCGCAGTTTCCTATTTCTAGATGTTAAGTGAATTACAAGCGAGGAGAAGAAGATGAGGAGATGAGAAGGCAGAACGAGTTCTGTAATGGTGATGTAATGACGAAGTATATTCGTAGTACTTTGACGGCAGTATTTCACGACGTTGACCTTGAGCTCTAGTCCCAGTGTAATTCCTTGAACTGTTCAACGTGTGTTGTCCATTGCCCTCTTTTGTCCCTCTGTTGTGCTTTTAGTGAGTTCAAGCCCTCACAACTCTTATGGCGTTGATCATGATGTGCGGCAGTCGAGGCCGGCGCCAACAAGCAATGATTCATCAGGAGCACTTCATTGAAGTATCTTCCGATGAACGCCGTCGCAATCGAATACGGGGCTGATACTTCGAAGCCTGTTTTTTAGAAGTTCCATGGAACCGTTCGCCTGTGGCAGTGACTTTTTGGAGGTGGAAGAGCGGACCACACGATGCCTCCAAAAGATACTGATACTCCCTCTGAAGAGCGCGATGAAGAACAAGAAGAGCACGCCCCTAGTCCTGGTGCAGCTGCCTCATCCGCGTCCCTCGAAGCGCACCTGCAGCACCACTTCGACGCATTGCGGCAGGCTGCGGACGAGCGCGCCGTCAGTTGGAACGAGGAGATTCCCGCGGCAAAGTACGTACAGCTCGCGGTTACCCTGGAGAACGCGGTGCAGGTGCACTTTGCCGAAGGCTTCCATGAAGATACGTTTGTCAAGGCCCTGCAGTATCTGCAGCTGTTCAAACTCCTGAAGGAACACGTCGACGGCGCGGGGCGAAAGTTACTGCCAAATGCGACCCGCATCCTCGATCTCGCGGAGTCCGCGAAAAGCCAAATCTCGCAGCGATTCGAAGCCATAGAAAGTTGGTGTGTGGGCGGAGGTGGTGTCGAAGTAGAGAACAACGTGGAAAACAAAGATCAAGATGAGAGCACCGCGTGCACTGAAACCGAGGAGCTAGAAGCGAATAAATCAAAAGACGCCGGTGTGGTCGGCGCAGAAAAAGAACCAGATGATGCAGTTGCAGATAAGAAGGAACCTGAGAGCAAAGACAAACCGGAACCGTCGAGAGGGCAAACTGCTGCCAACGGGGAGGAGAAGGACGAAACCCCCGAAAATGAATGCACGAAATCCACAGAAGTAGTAGATGACGCTCCGATGCGTCTGGAAGACCTCTTTCTTCTAGCTGATGACGAAAATTTTGAGGACGAGGAAGCGCCAACAAATACTTCTCCGACTACTGAGGGGGCGACCGAGAATGAAAGTTTAGTGCTTCCTTCAAAAACAAACAACGTTGCTCCCGATGCTGCTGCTGACAAAGACACCGGGAAGGAAAGCAATGCCAAAGCTGCTTCGGATCATCTTTTGCGAACCGAAAGTGCAGCGCTGGACGCAGCCGATGACCCTCTAAGTGAAAACAAAGTTCTTGAAGTAGAGGAAGCAAGTCCACAAATGCGTGTCGAGCTCGAGCCGGCCGCCTCGTCCCCCGATCTCTCCGTAGAAGACGTGACTGTGTCTCGTGTGCCAGAGGACTTTGATGCGACCGGGCTCTCCTTTTTCTGTCCGACGATTGAAGAAGACAACCGCTTTCAGTCCATTGACCCCCGCCGACCGGGTTTCTGCGATTGCTACTTTGCGGGTCCTTTTCTCATACCCCAGGGGAAAAATGCAGCTTGCGAGAATGAAGAAGAAGACGAGCCTGAGGTTGTGCCGTCTATTGTTCCTGCCAGCGGGGCGATGGGAGACCAAGAAGATGAAAATCAAGCTCGTTTTCAGCTGGGCGGCTATGATGGGGATAGTTTGAAGATCAGTGCCGGCTGCTCGCCTGGCGTAGGCGACAAGCCTGAGGAGTTTAGCTCCTTGGATACTACGGCGGACTTCGATGAAGATGTCCCTTTGGTAGAAGTTCCAGCATTGGACAAAGATACTCAAAAGCAGACTACATCAGACGCTGCAGCGTCCTCCGCACCATGTGCTCCCTTCTACAACTTCGCAGTAGCGGCTCTGCCGAAAGACGAAGAAGCTCCTGCGCCTCCGCTGCAAGAAATAGAGGATGTCGCATTCCCAGCCGCATCCTTTCCGTCCACAGGATCCGTTTACGCTTCTCTTCTCGATGGGCTTCGGGCTGGAAATGGCCGAGGCCTAGACGGGTTTTCATCGTCAATCGCCTCCGGCGCTTTTTCAGCTCAGGATGGGCTGGAGGGGTTAGAAGGGCCTGACAATGTTGCGCCAGACAGAGATCCTTTTTCACAGCAATGCAGTGTTGTTGGAACGTTGAGCGCGTACGCAGCTTTCGATCAGGAGGACAAAACCTTGTTTCCCAGCCTCGAGGTTTCGTCTGCCAAACCATTTGCTCAAGGAGGAACAGGTGCGCATTCGTTCTCGACGGAGATTCCAATGGACGCCGAGTGCGAATCAAGCGTGGCATTTCCTAGCATGGAAAAGGACCCCTGCCGATCTTTTTCACAAGACGATGCGACGGGCGACCGGCGACAATGGAGACCCGCCGCTACTACACGACAATGTGGGTCTGACATTTACCCGGCTTTCGAGGCCGTAAGTCTGGTGGAACAAACTTTCCTTCCACCAAGAGGGAGACTGGAGACTACTTCGGGGAATAGAACTTACCAGAACGACTTTCAACACGATGCAGTCAAAGTCCCCAGCAAGAACACCGGAGGGAGTGGTCCGGAAGGAACCACCAGAAACTTAGACCTGCCGACGACATGTGTGAAGACCACTATCATCTCCACACATCAAGAACGTACCGATGAAGATCAACTTCACGACTCGGCTTCTACGATGGCCTCAAGTTCGGCAAGCGCGTCTTTGAGCTCAAGCACACAGACGACGGACGGAGAGGACACCATTACCGCCGAAGAAGGGGACCACACCGCAAAAATCGAGTTGGAAACAAGTGAGACCTCATCTGCGAGCCGGGGGAGAACGTTTGCAGATGCGAGGACACGAGCGAAGCAGGTGACGTTCAGCACGAAGCCGCCGGATGTCCGCGAGTTTTCGCCTGAAGGAGTGATGCGGAAGTTGGTCGAGGTTCGGGCCCCGCCCGCTTCTCGTGCAGCAACCTCAGCTTGTTCCACGAAAAATGCGCAAGAGGAGCAGACTGACGGCGATAGAGACACAAGGCAAACAACTGCAGGTCGTGGTACGAAAAGCGTGGTGACGCTCCAGCGCAAGACGTTTGAGTGTAACCAGCGGTCGTTGCAGGTGGACTTGCCGTTCGACCTGGTCGAGGCTTTTGTGAAAATTGCGAAGGCCAATACCACGCGCAACGTGGAGACGTGCGGCTGGCTGTGCGGGCGCAAGCTACTGAACGAGAAAAAGATCATGCTGGATTACGTGCTGCTACCCCCGCAGAAAGGCGACGACGTGAGCTGTGAGGCAGTGGACGAACTCCCCGTGGTGCAGTGGCAACTGCAGCAGAAGAACTGTCTCACGTTCGGCTGGATTCACACGCACCCGCGGCACAATTGTTTCCTCTCCGCCGTCGACCTGCACCAGCAGTGCTCCTTCCAGCTGCAGGAGCCGCTGAGCATCGCGATCGTTTTCTCCCCGATCGACAGCAAACAGAAGGCGTTGCAGGGCGCGGGCGTGTTTCGCTTGACGGAGTACGGAGTCAAGTTTATCCAGAAATGCCCCCTCCGCGGCTTCCATCCGCACGACGGAGCAAAACACCCGCTCTACGAAGCGGCGCGGAACGTCACGGTGAACCGGGGAAGACGCGTCAAGCTGATCGATTTTCGCACGAAGCCCGAGGGCACCATGTTTTGTCTAGGAAGTCGTGGCGCAGCGAACTCGACGCAAAGCAAGAGAAAAAATGGTCGGACCTCGTGACTCGCTGCTCGAAGGCGAACTTCGCTGAGTCGAATCGTTCGTCGGCTTTAATCTCTTGTTTCCGCGATTCGATTTCGAGGATGTGGACGTGTCGGTTATCGCAGAAAAGGACCAGGCATGGTAGGCGTTGGCGTACGCGAACGTGCAAACCATTTATAAGTCGCTTTGCCCTTCACTCAGAAGCACCACAGTGCGACTCGTTTCATCATCGACATTAGAGAATTAAGATCGCCTTTGAAGCAAAAATGCCGCTGCTTGGTGCGGACGCGGACCTCAACGCGTTCTACAGTTCCCAGGTGCAGCGTTCGGGCGCGAACGACCCGGAAAACGCGATTTTCGCACAGATGCTGAACGCGCAGGAACCTGCATCCGTCGACTCGGCCGAGCACAGTCTGCCGGACGACGCCGGACCCCCGGCGACACTGAAGGCACCGTACACGAAGGTCCCGGACGAGCAGAAAGAGAACGGCTACAAGTGGGCCCACGAAGCGCCCAAACCGACGACCCGGATAAATGTGAAAAAACAGCCTCCGTACAACTCCTGGCGGTACCGGGAGGCGATGTTGAACGCACAGAAACTGCTGAAAGAGGCCCAGCGACGGCAGAAGGCGTTTGGCGTATCGGCGGAGGAAGCGAAGGAGATGGTCGTGAACGGGCCGATCAATCAAATCTGGCGTAAGGTGATTCCCGCGGACGAGGCCGCCGGCATAGACCTGGCAAAGAACGCGACCAAGGCGAAACCGCGCGCGGTGCCGCCGAGCAAACGGGCGGACGGGTCCATGTCGTTTGAAGACTTAAGGGAGGAGTACCCCCGAGGAAATGTCCTCGAAGCGGACCTGGTGCACCCGATAACGGACGAAGCGGATTGGATGCTCAGCGCGGGAAAGTACGGCGACCACTACTTTGACTTTTTGAAAACGCAACACGCGCAAATTCTGTAGATTGGTCAGGGGACAAAATGCAGATCTGCAGAATGCATCATGTACCCTTGATGCTTCGCATCTTGGATTTGGAGTCCATGTTGAATAGCGCTTGCGGTAATATGTTCTTGTGTTCGTTTATTTATGTATGCCCGAAGGCGACCCTGATCTGGAAGCACAAAAGCGTGCAGATGCAAGAGTCGACAAAAATGCAATGGTGGAGCGCAAAATACCGAACTTGAGTGTAACGCTTGCAGCGCGCATGTACTTCGCAAATTAAGTATTGGGCTTGTTGCTTTTCGTGGCAATCAAAATGTAACCGACGGTCGTGTTGGAAATGGGCACGAAACGAAGAAAGCTCTTTTTGTTTCTACATTCTACGTCGTGGTGTCAAGTTATGTCCGAGACATTTTTGATTTTGTCGCACCTTCAACTCCTGTGAGTCCTCGTGTTTATTTATTGAGTTCACCACAATGCCAGCGCCAAGCGCAGCACCAGCTGCAAATACGAAGTCCGCGGCGGCCGCCACGGCAGATGCAGCAGGGACCGGGCGTACCGCACCGCTTGCGAGCAACCTCGATGTGCGGGAAGTTGGGCGCACCATACGTGCGGAGCTTTTGAACAATGAGGATGTGCAGAGTATTTTCGATAAGCACCGGGGCGATACCACTGCCACTCTGCGGGAGCTGGAGGAGCGGGGTCTGGTTGGCACACTGTACTCCACGATCCAACGCGCGATCGCGGAGCAGAAGCCCTTCGGCTCGTACTTCAAGCCCAACGCGAAGCCGACCGATTCCACCGAGATGATTCAGGCTGCAGGCGTACAGAGCATGACCGAAGACGGCGGAGGCGCGACGCCCGCCGCGCAAATCCAGGCGCAGGCTGAGGCACTGAAAGCCATGAAGACCAGCAATACAGCTCCGGCCTCGTCCGCAGACAGAATTGCCAGCGCTGCTCCCCTCACGGGGACCGGTGCCGCACGGTCTTCTACTAGCGCTTCGCAACAGCGAGGTCACCAGCGAGGGCGCAGCTTGGCGCCGACGCTCGGTGGACCGACCATTACTCAAGACCTGACGTTTTTGAAGCAGATGAAGCAGAAAGACGCTCTGCACCACGCCCGCCGGTACCCGGTGTTTGCGTTGCACCTGAAACGTGGGAAGGCGTTTCTGGACCACCTGAGCCCGGAAGAGTTTGCCGGTTGTCACCTCTGTGTGCAGTTCGCCGTAGGGTCCCGCGAACGCAAGACGGCCAAGCCGATATTTATCCGCGGACCGGACTGTGTCTGGAATCAAGTGCTGCAGTGGGAGATGAGCCACGACGAGGTAAGGAGCAAGGAAGTGATTCGACGGTTGCTTCACTCGAAGAAGATCAAGATGAAGCAGAGACTGCACTTTAAAGCCTGGCGGAAGCGTTTCCGATTGCGCAGATAATTTCTGACTTGTGATAGTTTTTTATACCAAATCAAACATCATGATCTTCAACAGGTTGCCGAGCGCGCGAATTTAGAATCTTTCCACATTGTCGTCTACCGGCATTGGCCGGACCAGAAGGTCGAAATGATAAGCAGTCAGGAGCTGGCGCTGCGGGAGGGAAATTTCGTCTACGAACTGACCGGGACGGAGAAGAAGCACAAGCTGGTCCAAGGCCTCATCGAGCTCGAAGTGCAATACCTCGGCGGCGATTGGCCGCTCCGGCCACGCGTTCTGGTATAAAGTCAGACGCTTTGATGTTCCAAGAGTTTGAGTTAAAGATTAGACAGCCACGAGTGAAGATCATGATAGATGCAACAATTCTGTACTGTGAACCCGGAAATAAGTATATATAAAATCTGTACAAAATTGTCTTCACAGCCTGACGGGGGTATTGAGGACAGGTGCTCCATCAAGTTTCGGAATGCCCGCCTGCGGAAGTGCTTCGACGACCTCGACGCTTTCGCGGACAACATCCACCGGCATTTCCGCAAGCGCATCGACTTTTACGCCGAAACGGAGAACGGCGAGACGCACCCGCTCTGCAGCTTTGTCCGCCCGATCGACGGTGCGCGCGCCCTGGAGACTCCGCTTCACGCGTTGCGGTTCTGCAGCCTGTTCCCCAGTAAGCGAGACGTCTTGTTCGAGAAGCGCGACCACATCTGCTGGCACAGCACCGAGCATATCTTCGCGCAAAACGAGGCATCCTCCGTCGAAAAATGCCTGCTGCTGTGTGGTCTGCTGGTCGGCGGCTGGTGTATGGAGGCCTACGTGTGTCTGGGAACACGCTCCTCGCCCTTGGCAGCGGGTACCAGTCAGTCTTGCACAACTAGTCTTTCCCATTCATCCGTCTTCGCGTCTGATATGTCGTTTTATGAAAACAAAAAAGGGTTGAGCTGGGTCTTTCTGACGTCATCTGAGCAAGTTACTGAAACCTAAACATCAGCGAGCAAGCTGGCCGCTCTCGCGGGCATCGAAACTGGCGAGCAGGAACAGTGCTGTTTCGTACTTACCCGCGGCCCGGAGGAGCCGACAATTTGGGACCCTCTTCGGGCCGAGCGCTACAAGGTGAGCGATCCGTGTTCCCGCGTGACAAGCGTGGAGGTGGCTTTCAACAACGAATTTATTTACGTTAACCCGAACGATCGATTTCCGAATCTGGACACCGACACAACCTCCGCAGCGCTTGAAAACGGATTGGCTACCGCTGGGAATCATGCAGCAAGTACTAACGAACTGGTTTCTGCTGGTGGTGTTACCACCGCCAATTCTGCAATGGTTCTTGCGGCCCAGGACTCTTCCGCAAGCGCGGGTGGCGGTGGCGCGTCGAGCAGCGGCAAGAGCAAGGCACCGCCTGGTGGAGCCGCAGCTGCTAGCGCAAAAAATGGCAAGCAGGCAGGAGGCACCACCGCGAGCAAGAGCGGCGGCGCGAACGCAGTAGGCGCGGGGAGTAAAGCACCTCCTGCCCAGGCCTTGGTGAAAGCAGCGACACCAGTACAAACCTCTTCTTCCTCCACGAATAAAGCCGCAACGTATTCGCGACCCGAGCGGCGAAAGCGGATGCTGGGATTTTTCAACATTCGCTCTTCGTGGGTCGAGTTCAAGAACCCGCTGCCGAAGCGCCCTACGCTGGATTTGAAATGGGGCGACCGTTACTTCTCCACCTGGAACGTGATAAACGACTTCACGAAGCCAGAAAATGCAACCGGCGCGACAAGCAAAAAAGTGGGCAAAGAGGACGGTGCCGTGGCACCGGATTCCGCCATGGTGGTGGAACAGACGTCTTCCTTTCCGGAAGACGACACAACCTCGCCACCCACCACGCCGCACGACATTGTCACCGCGATCGACGATCTGGTTAAGCCACCACCCGGTCAGGACGACGATGAAGAGATGATGGTTGACGTGCCGAAAACAGCGATTGACGACGATACGCTCGAAAAACTTCGCGTTGAGAATTATGCCCAGAATAAACCGGCACCCAACAGCCACCAACAGACCCTGCTGCCCGCGCCCGCAATGATTCCAGGACCGTTACAACGGAGCACTCTGGGTAGCGGGAATTTCGCGAACCAACAGGCTTTCGTGGAAAGTAGGATCGAGGACGTGTTGCGCTCGCAGTTCGAAAAAGCCTGTGGGAGATCGCTACCCTGGGAGAAGACGCTAGAGCCTCTACTCGGTAGTCTTTTACTTATAAAATTTACAGGCCTTTTGGCTGTCTCGTTCTCTGAATTCGGGTATCAAAGTGATTGCAGTCGTGATCCTCAGAGTGAAGAAAAATACGTATACAGTTGAACAACGATGAGACGCAGCAGTATTGAAAACAAAACAAAGGCTTGGCGCTTCACAACTGCGAGACCGAGCGGGTGCAGCTACAGTCGTCGGCTGCCGTCCAGGTCTTCGAGGAGATGGCGCGGTTGCACTTTTGCACGGACGAGCGGGACGAAATGGTCGCTTTTCCCATTCAGTTCAACGACATCCGCTATGAGCGGTTCTTTTCCGTGATGCTCGAGTCGAGCACGGTACAGAAAATGGTCACCAGCACCAGCAGCTCCTTCGGAACCAAAGGTCCCCTAAAGAACATGGGCTTCGCGGTGCGCTGCAGGATTTTTCTCTACCCAGAAAACGTCCTGGCCTGCTGGATCATACTCGCACAGCGAACCCGGTTGCCAGGACGGATGTAAAGGTCAAGTCAAGCTCCACATGTTGTTGCCAGGGAGTTGTTGGAACGAAAGGAGTGTGGCGAAAACGAGTTGGTGAGCGACCTCATCACTTTGCATTGCTTAATCTACCTAGTACCATCACTTCATGTGGTTTTTGTCGTGCTTGAAAAGTTCTTGCTCTAAGCAGTCGCGAATCTTGTTCAGCGCTTCTACATTAACTACTCTTTTTCTGCTCAACAATCACAAATGTCAGTAGGAGAAAATTTCCCGCGGCTGCTTCGTAGGTGCGACTGCTATGTGGAGTTCTTGTTCCAAGTGTGGGAATGAGAATGGCCCGCCAGCTCCTGTTTTTTGTTCAAACTGACCACCACGGATTGTGTCCCCACGTCCCACGTCGAACAAATGTTGAACGCGGATCCATCATGTTGCATGTTTTTGAGAAGATCTGGAAGTTGGTACTTAGTTCTGCGGACGAGTGCCGTCGGATCCTTCCACCATCTGCGTGTGCTCTCAGAGGATAAATTCGCAGCGGAGGTCGTGCCGTACCATCATGGTGATTCATTGTGATACCTTCATTGAAGATCTTTTTGCTATAGTTAACTTGCAGCGGTTGGTTCTTGTTGCGGTTGGCAACTACCTTGAAACCATTTCTGTGTCATCACGATCACCAGATTTTTTCTTGCACCGTTTTCTAGCGAGGGCGAGGTTGTTGAGGATCCCCTTTATCATATCGAGCGTTTGTAGTTCTGCGGCGTTCTATGTATCTGTCAAAAGTCGTGATCATGTTCATGGGCGATCACAATACACACGATCACTAGCCAGGACATTCTGGAGTTCGAGTTTTCTATGTCAGCCTTAGTAGCACATAGATAACCAGCACTCACAGAAGTTCACAACATTAATCTTGTGCCAGCAAGAGCGATCCTTTTTTGAGGTCAGTGTTGGTCCGTCCTGCTTCTGGATAACAATTAGTGGTTGCGTGGTAGAAGATCAAGATTTTCGCGTATGGACTTGCGCGTCTGATTCGCTTTTACTTTAGAAGTGTTGACACTCACGTATTTTATTTTTGTCGCTTGAGCAGCACTTCATTGGACAGGACGCACCGTGACGGCGTAAAGCCTCAATGTCGACTTACCAGTAAATCGACTTAAACGCTGGGACTCGTAGTTCTTTTTGAAGTACTTAAAAAGAACTTAGAACTAGAAATACAAATACAAGGAAGTTAGCACTTTGTTGTTGTCGTGGTTTTCGTTGCTACAACCTTTCGTTCCTACAAAACTCAGAGCAGAGTCTAACGACTTGCGGACTTTTTGCTTTGGATTTCCTTTGTTTTGCTTTTCACTAAAACATACGAAGAATTTTTTCACAAAATGGAGTACAACGTCTGTGCCACGCCGCGCAACAGCAAGATTGCGCCCCTGCTGAAGAAGCACGGACTCAAGCGTATCATCGGAAAATGCAGAGTAAATCCGAACAACTTCAATTTGTCATGAATCACGAAGAAAACCAGATGAAAAAGAAGATGTTGAACCACAAGAACCAAGTCAGACGTTTTCGCCGAAAGAGATTTTTATATATACTGCTTACGCTCGACCCGATTTTATAGCCGGCCCCGGTGGTTCTGGTTGTTGCTCTCCGCACCAGTGCCGATCTTATATGCTGAAATTTCTTCGTAGAAGTGATGTTTGAGAGTTGATAAATGTGCATGTTGGTTTTATGCAGGAGCAGAATCACGCCAAAGTTTGCATTTCGGTGTGTGACTCTACGTTTTTACTTGACGACAAAAGGACGCGATGGACTCATTGTGTCTGCCTCGGCGGTTCCGCTCGACATTCAGTTGAACAAAATGATGTCCGACCGTGCCGGCAAAGGAAAAGGTATCTTAATCGAATCTTCATCGAAACCAAAGTGAAAATTGGATAAAAAATTTCGATTTTAGAAATGAGTTGTGAAAGAAGTGGATCGATCGCATTCCTAACGCAATTAAGACCCAGAAGACTGAAATAAAACACGACAGATCCGGATAACGATGAGCCCGGCAGCACTGCGGCCCGGAACAGCCAGAAGAAATTTTTGAAGGCGTGCGCGGAGGCGAGCAAGATGTGGGCCGCGGTGGCGTTGTTGACCGTGGGCTTTGTCGTGTTGTGGGAGCTCGGGTGGGAGAACGCGTTCAACGGGAGCGGGAGCAACATGTGCAACTACGCCATTATGTCCGTCATGTTTTTGTCCGGCGTGGGGGCGCGCTACGAGCAAATCATCGCCAACACGGTCACGAACCTGGTGGGTACGGTGATCGCCTGCGTGCTGGGTCTCTTTTGGGCCACGTTTCTGCTGCAGTGCATCCCCAAGGACCCGAAAAACCACCAGCCCGACCTGGTCCACTTTGCGATCGACGACCACTGGTCCGCTGTGGAGCGCGAGGACGGGCGGCCCCGACTGATCCAAACCATCCAGTTGCCCAATTACCAGCTGCACCTGTGGCTCTTCGTGACCATGTTCCTCGGGTCTCTGTTTCTGTTGGAACTCGCGAAGGAATTCCGGTTCGGACGCCGGTACCGCAAGCCCATCGCGGTGGTTATCAGTGCCTGGACCATGATCCTGTTCGGTACCGTGCAGCGGCACTACGCGGACGATCACGCCTTGCTCCACGGACACGAGAAGAACCGGAAGTTGCGGCAGCTGTATGAGCACACGAAAAAACTGAAAATCAGCAAACCAGCAAACCCTGCCGAGGAAAATAACACTGGTACTAATAATTCCCCGCCCCGCACTCTCCGGGGTTTGCGTCCGCAAGCCGTTGGGGGAGCAGCTCCTGGTGCAGCTAATCAGAATATTGGTTCAACATCCTCGCCGTTGGCGCAGCCGACATCCTCGCCCGGTGGAGGTTCATCTTCTGGCACCAGCATGAGCTACCGGGACTACCTGAAAGAACATGAGAGCCTGGATTTGAAGGCCCTGATTATTGACGTCCAGACGAATTTGGACAAAGTGGGGCAGGAGCACGCTTCCTCCATGTACGTGTCCGTGCTCCGCCGGTCGGCCGGAGTGGCGCTGGGGGTGCTGGCGGGGGTGCTGTTTTCCCTCTTGCTGCCCTACGTGTTCCCGAGGCACCTCAAGCTGCGCAAAGTCCGCGAGGACATGCTGCAAAACACGCGCGACGCGGTCCGGGAGAGTTTCCTTCTCTTGTTGCAGGGCTTCCGCAAGTACCGAAAGGAACAGGAATACCGACAAAAGTTGCTGGACGGGATCTATCTTGGAAGACCGGCAGCGCCAGCAATTGCAATTGCCGATGGAGATTTGAAAAGCAAAACGTCAAAAAATAACGGCGAGGCTGGTTGTGACACGAGGGAAAAGATGAGTGAGGAACAAGAGCAACAACCTCGAGGCGCTAGTGGCAAGATCACGCCGTTTTCACTGGAGACGATGATTGAAGACGGAGCCAACGATGAAACTGTCCACATCAAAATGAATGAAGAAGAGCAGGGACAGGACCTCCGGGTAAGAACGTTGTTTCCGAATACAACAGAGGTAAGCGCTAGTACCACTCGCGCTGGTGAAGTGACGTCTGCAGCACCTGTCGGTCGCGATGAAGATCTCAGTGTGGAGGACATTCTTTCGCCCCCCTGCAATGTTGACATCAACGCGGGATCAGGTGGACAGGATGAGGAAAAAAATGCGAATGCCACGGCAGATGACCGCACACTTTCTTCGGGTCTTCCGGTGGACCTTCAAAGTCAGCAGCGTGTGGCCAGCGTGGCGTTTTACGAACACTTTGAGAGTGAGAAGCCAGAGCACGCTCCACTCCTCGGGACCCCGCAGCGCCCCACCACCGCGGCGGCGTCTCCAGGCTATTTGAACAGCACAGACGATATCGTCAACGGTGCAAATGACGGACCTGGCAGCGCGCAGCGGTCTCATCGTCTGCAGTTTGTCTCCGCCACCAACAAGGATCAGAGGCTTTCACTTCTTGGGCAAGGTCAAGATGAAGGTGATGAAGGACAGGCGAGAGAAGAACCATTACCCTCGACTATGAATGTGCAGCATGCAGCAGGAGCGCAATTCACAGTGGCCGCGCGTAAGTCTAAGTCCTCGTTCGATGAGCACCAATACCCACACCCCGACATCAAGCTGCTGGACAACGGTACTAGTACGGGCGTCCATCCAGAAGAAGATGCCGGCCGGCTGACATTGATCCCAGCGTTGGATGACTTTCAGACCCGCCGGAAGCGCACGTCGAAGGCGTACCGGGGGCGCCCGCGGGCGGAGTTGCGGCGGGTGTTCCAGCGCGCGGTGCGCCACGTGGTACTGCAGCGGCGGGCGTTGCGCGGCCTCGAGACGCTGGCGGCGATCGACGGCACGCAGGCTGAGCAGCAGGCGGAAATCGCGCGGAAATTCTACGAAACCAACAACATGTGGCAGGACCAGCAGATTCTGCAGGAGTTGGTGAATGGGGGCACGTGTCTCGGCGGCCTTTTACGGTGGATCCCCGGCATGCACCAAGCGGGCAAGGGACGCGTCACCTGCCTCAGCAAGCTGCACCACTGGATCAAGCTGCTGGGCTACTGGCGGTGCCGCTTCAACCGCACAGCAACGAACTTGTCTCCCAAGGAAAACCTGTACATTCCCATGGAGGACCTGACGGGCATTGTGTCCCGGATGGCGGACGCGTTCGCCTCGCTCATGGACTTCCAGATCCAGAACCTGCTCGACGCCGGGGCGAAGAAAGAGGTGGAGCTCTTGATTTTTGAGCGGGACGGCGGGATGAAGGCAACGGAAGTGCGCGTCGACCCCAATGCCACCGTGGAAAGGCAAGTACGGCAGGACGTCAAGAAGTTCTGTCAGACCCAAAGGAACAAAAAGAGGCAAAGAGCGCTAGAGGAGGAAGAGGAGCAAAAACATCAGCAGGATCATGTAGTCGAACAAGGTGACGCACGACTTTCTCAGCCGGAGAGGAACGATGAAGAGTTTATTGCTCAGGGCGAGTTCCGGAAGAACAAAACGCTGGCGTTGAAGATGTCATCTACAACTCACCAGCAACTCCCTCGAGGTCGAGAGGAAATAGTAGATGTAGACGAAGGTGGTCCTTCTAGAAGGTTGACCACGTTGAACAGCGACGACCAAGCGAACAAGAACGTCTCCCTCCTGATGCTAAAAAAGACTGATATGTTCGAAAACGTCCTCGACGATTATTACGCGGAAAGCGGATCCAAAGACATGGAGGGCGGCGAGAAAGAAGATCTGGTCGACGAAACCACACTGCTCATTGAAGGACAGAACGGACGATTTCGAAACGCACAGAAAACCGCCATCGTAGAAACCGTGCCCTCGAAGGGCGACCTGCAAGAATTCATCGACTTGCGAAGGGAACGTTCCGAACAATATCGAAGAGAACATGGAACTACAGCGAACATGGAACTAGAGGTGGACCGCGAGAACCAAAACTACCTCGCCTACAGCCCCGCGGGGCGAGTCAGCATGTACGACATTTCGGGCAGAAATTCTTTCGCTTCGAAGGACGGGACTTCTCTGGAGGACCCGTCCAGCAAACAGAGCTTTTCTTATGGGTGGAGAAGACACCGTCACTGGTCGCATCCTGTGTCGCTTTCGTTATCTCTTGCATATTTTTTCTTTTTGCAGTCACCAGTGTCAAAAGAGTGAAAGTTCAATTAAGGTTCTGCGCAATTTCTACAGCATACAACAAGGGCCGGCCGACTCGGCAGCTTGCGTGTCATCTTCATAGGTACCGATTCGACAAGAAGTAAACCCGAAAACAAGCGTCGCTTTGTCAAGGAGTTGAAAGCATCAACCTTCCGATATCACAGGGTTTAGACTGAGCCTTCTTCCATTTCATACGGCAAGGTCCAGCAAAGAAACCGTTGTGGACCTCCCAGGCGCGAATTCCCCGAATACGGTTGCTGTTCACGCTCCTTTCAACAAAGAGGAAGAGCCCAGCAAAGACGCAAATACGATGTTCCACAGTTCGAAGGACCACAAGGACGGGGAGAATAGTAAAGCGGCACCGGAACAACAGCAGCTACAAGACGAAAACATAGCTGATGCTGCTTTTGCTGGCTCTGGCGGAGAACAACTACATGCCACCAAATCGAAGTCGAAAAAGAAGAAAGACCACAAAAACCCGCCCGCGGCGAAGACCAAGGAGCAGGACGAAGAAGCGGAGCGCATTAAGAAGGAACATTTGCTGGCGCGGTTGCGGGAGCGACTGAAGGAGATAACGGAAAGGGACGCCATTTCCGGGAAGAAGCGCGAGGTTGACCTGTTGAACCGATTAGAGGACCTGCACTACGAGGGCGAGCTTGCCATGGAGGAAAACGAGGAACTACTGATGTACATCTGTGCGACTTTGCAGAACTTTGACACCCTCTGCACGGCGTTCGAAGACCTGGAACGGCTACTGGCGAATTGGCGCGAAGACATTTTGCCAAAAATTCTCGCTCGGGACCGCTTCATGGCGATCACGAGAGCGCGTCGGGCGAAAAACGAAGAGCAACGGTTGCTGCACTTCAATCACGGAGGTCAAGACCTTCTACCAGGAGGTGATCACGCTGGGAACAAAAACGATCGTCGTGGCGGCCGCGGTCAAGAAAATATCTTCGAGGGAGGTCCTCAACATTCAGGCGATCTGACCGCGAAGAACGGAAAAATTTTTGATTACAACCGAGCGGGGCGGCAGCGCGACAGTTGCGTGTGTACGGGACCACTGGATTTTCACGATCCCAGGGACGTCCACTTGCTAAACCCGAACCGGCGCTCCATTTCCAACGCGAGCACGTACGGTGACGACCGCGCGGAAGACCGCCGGTCGGAGGTCTCTGTGTTTCTTCCGGAACAAGCACGAGCTGATGATATAACTGCGAACAATCTTCAAGAAGATGGCGGAGGACCATCGAACCCAAATACAAGGAACTACACCGAGGTCCAACTGAAAGCGCTGGACGTTACCGGCGGACTGCCGCCGTTGTCGGCTGAGACCCCCCCGACAAGCACTGACATCCCCTGCGGGAGTAATTCGCTGATTCTACGGGAGTTGGAGTCCATGCGCAAGGAGCACGGCCTGGAGCACGTGGATTTGTACGAGGACGAGGTGCGTCGAGCAGGAGCAAATGCCGGCAGCAGACCCTCCAGACACGGCCAGATTGTTGGCCGCCTTGACCATCAGCGTAGAGGTGGACCAACGAGAGGCACTTCTGCTGCCCGCCCGACCCGCTTTGGGCAGCTGCACGTAGATCAAAATCACTGCGTGACGCTGCCGGCTAGTTCGCAATTAATGGAGGACGATCCGCGCACCCGTCACGCCTTTGGGCTGCTCCCAACGCTACTTTCCGTCGCTGCGAAGCAGAAAGAAGAGGCGGAACTGGACCGATTGATGTTGAGCACGAACGGTGGGGCTGGGCGAGGTGATGGGGCAGCAGCACAGGAAAACTACATGGTAGATCCACTGCAAGTTGTTGAAGACAATGACAAATCGAATTACGCCACCAATGCAGGAAAAATTGTTTCTCCGATTCGAAAATTGTTCCGTCTGGAGTCAAATCAGCAGTCCCCGGACCGGTTAAATGGCGGACGGGCAGTCGCAGCACATGGTCCCCCTCACGACCGGGGACAAACCCCCTGTGCCATCTTCAAAAAGCAGGTGGATGCTACTACATCAAACGTGGATCGTTCTTGCATCAACACAACCCGCCCTACCGACGACGAATTTGGTGCCATGCCACCGGCGCTAGTGCAGGGTAATTACGAACAGACTACTGACCCGGACATCTTGATGAATGACGACACACAGTCCATTGACTGTCAGGTAACCTACTCCTGGCGGTTCACGCACTTTCTGGGTTCTCTGTCCTACTTACTGGAAGACTGGAGTGGGTTGGCCGAGCAATTGCTCCGCTTGTCTCTTCCGCAAGATTGGAACACGGTGCACCAATTCAAGAAGCGCCTGATTCAATGCCGCTTGCACTCTCTGGAATGGAAGTGAATCGCGTTAGGGAGGTACAGGTTGTGGTGGAACGATTGATCATCATGCCTCGGCTCCGCGTGCGGCATGATGAAGTTGGGGAGGAGCATAGCTAAATAGGCACGATAGAGGGCTCATCGTTTAGCTGTGACCCTGTATTTCTTGCTGTTTATGTAGTTTTACTTGAAGTTGAATGAAAATCAAAATCCCTCTGGGAGGACGGGGGGTTCTCGGGTTTTTCCAAATGTAAATATAAAGATAACGACGCTGCGCTGTCAGTGCCTTACAGTACTACTACCACGACGTAATATGAATATGGATAGATAGGATGTGAATGTACAACAGCTTCTCCGAAGGAGAACTGGAAAATCAGAGGAGTGATCTAAATTTTCGGTAAAAACCGATCGTCTTGACCGATCAACAATTTTTCGTTCTTTATGCGCAACGGAACGTTTTTCACGACAGTTTTTCTTTTTATGCAGCTGGCGCACAGTAGGAACCCCGACGGAAAATGAACGAAATAAAGGACGAACGACATCTTTTTTATCTGGTGTTGGAAGCAGTTGCGATTAATTATTTACTTCTTGAAGTTGAAAATAAGACGCATGGATATCAATGCGAACGAAAAAAGTGCAGTTGCTTTATGGTTTTCATTCCCTTGTTCCTCCGTTCTCTGACCTGCAGTTTTGAAATTTTCACTTAGTGTGCTGCTTTTCCGGCCGTGCTGCCGTCCGGTAGGGACAATCGTTTTTTCGCCGTTCGTTTCATTTTAGTTTCGTTTGTGTTGGTTTCCTCTCGTAATTTCAAGTCGTGAAGAGGAAAATATACGTAGAAGTCAGTCAACACCAAAGGACTTCCGTTCCCGTCACCACCGTCATGCGGCCACTTTTGTCAAGGAGCCCGGTGGTGGTCGTTTTCACATTGCTATCATGTTGGTTCCGCTCCGTGTCCTGTCTGGCTCCAACAAGTGCCACCACTTTGGTTTTATTCCTCCCATTGTTCTCCCGATTATCCGTTCCCGCCGCGCACGCCAAGCGGACTAGACTTCGATTTCTTTTGAATAAAGTGAAGACCCGAAGAACAAGAACCAAGGCCCCGCGATCGTGCTGTTGTTGCAGCAAGGAGAAGAAACAGGCGGCGTTGGAACGGGCGGAAGATGTGATGCACAACTTTGAGAGCGACGCCCAGGTGGTCGCTAATTTGATTCACAACGCGAAAGGTTACCTCTCCGGCTTGACCCACTGGGCCGATTTGTGGGAGCACGGCGACATGGATCCGGACATGCTCTTCACCAACGACCGGGTGGCGCAGACGAAAATCCGCGAAATCAACTTCACCCTGACCAGCGCGAAGCGCTCGCTCCAGTGGCTGACGACTAAATACGCACTAAACAACGCAAAATACGACTGGAAGGCAAGCAAGTTCGGGGAAGAGGACTGGTCCCTGATTCACGAGGAGCTCATGCCGCGAGTGAAGGAAAAACAGCTCATTGAAACGGAGGCGCGCAAAAAAGCGGAGGCCCAGTACGCCGAAGTGCCGGTGCCATCCTGGGAAACGCGGGCCGCCTTCGAAAGCAAATAGTACACGTGTGACATCGATTATATGTTGATTTCGTCGCGATTACATCAATGCATGCTGTGTGAGTACATCTTCCATTGTCGCAAGGTACTTAATCAGTCTCGAACACGTTCAAGTTTCAGTTTCTGCAAAAACACACAGCACTCCGAACCTGAAGGGGGAGCTATTGACTCAGGCGCGCTTTCAGAGCCTGGAGCTGACGCAGCTCTTTTCTGATTTCGACGAGGCGCAGCGGACTTGGGAAATCGCAAAACTCGCCTCAGCCTGGCAGGACAAGCCGGTGACCGCAGGAGAAGAGGCTACCAAAGAGCTGGAGGAAAACGATAGATCACTGCGAAACATCGTGTGTGGTGCAGGAAAGAACAAATTCCTCGGATCCGCCGGCCTTTGCGGCGATGGTCACAATGGAAAGGAACAAGATATACTCGGGATAGAGTTTATCGACACCAGACAGAATGCCAGTGATGAAGTCGTTTTTCCGCGCAGGGAGAGCACCAATCACACGTCTACCGCCGCACTCGACGGGGGGGCTGTTCCCGTCGCCGGCCCTTTGATGTCTGCTGTGGGTCCGGAGATGATCGGGCGAAGTCTTCGTTCCGGTATCAGCAGCCACAACCGGCAGGACCGGTTTCCGACGATCAGCGAACAGGACGAGATCATGGTGGACAAGGTGTTTCAATCCACCAAATTGCGGCAAACCAGCGACTTTAACGCGGACTTTCGCAAGGATGCGCTCGAGACCAAGCAGGTGTTGCAGCTGCAGGCGGCCGCGATTCACGCGGCAAAGGACGAAATGCGGCAGATGATCCTGCAGTGCAACGCGGAGCAGACCAAATCACTGGTGAAACTGCTCCTCCAGCAACACGCGCAGCAGATGGAAGCGCTCCGCAAGTCGAAGCTGGAGGCCGATCAGGCGCGCGCCAAGGAGTCGCAGCTCTTCGAGCGCCTGCAGGAAAGTCTTCGGGCGATCGACGTCAAACTGGCACAGATCGACGGGAAAGTGGCTCTGGTGGCGGAGAGCGTCGACGCCGTCAGCGGGAAGGTGGACCAGGTGCAAATCAAGTTGGAGGAAATGGACGCAAAATTGCTGAACATGAGCAACCAACTGGAAAAGCTCTCCTGGCTGCAGCGCATGCACAACCGCTGTGGCACCGCCATGTTCGTGGCTATTCTGGTTCTTGGCGTCCTTGTGCTGCTGTAGCAAGGGGGTACTTCCGTCTGCGACGGCCGGCTTTCCAGCAGCCGGGGGGTTTCGACGTATGATGGTGCACGACCCAGTTCTCGAGCTCTATTTTCGTTTGCGAAATGAAATCAGCTTCAGCATAAGGTGTTAAGTGAAGTTAGTTCTCCCCATGAGTTTTCTCCAAATGCACGCGTCGAGCACGACGAGTGGAGCCTGTCTCAGTCTCTGCATTTAGTTTTCAATACCAACAAACTCAAGAATAAGGTTATCTCGCTTGTTGCATTACTAGGTGTAGCTGAAGATCTACTCCTAGACCTAGTGCGCTACCTCCGCTGCCGCTTCAGTTTCCGATCGGAAAGCGTTTGCAAAATTATATTCCAACACAACATTTCCCTTTCGTTGAAAATGAAATCGCTTCTATACAAGAGAAATTCCCCCAACGCCAAAGTCAATTAAAGTTTCAAACCAAACTCGGCGAAAATGAATTTTCTGTATTGATGACTGACTTTGTGCAGACAAAAAAAGGACGGCGCCGATGGCTCATGGTGATCTGATATGTGGTGCGCGTGCGCAGTTTGTGTTGATCTGTCAGTCCCCTGAGTTCACCTTAGTACAAAACGCGATAGCAGGCTGCTCTTCCTCTAGCTCTCTTCAAGAAGCTGCGCATATTTTTGGATCCTTTGCGTGGCAGTTTGGAGGTGAACAAGATCGTTTTCGTTTTGTTCCGAGAAGTACAAGTAGTGCTCGCCTCTTTTGTTACAGCTACAGGTCAAGATCAAGACAAATTTTGGGCCCGCGGGAGAGCAATAGAACCTCCTTGGACCGCGTCCGCATCTGCAAAGAGTATGAGTCTTGCGCGAGCATGTCGCTTCTCCACTGCTGTACCGCGGACCCCGTCTACGTTCGCACCTGCTCTTGTTTCAGCGTCAGCATGGAGATCGATTCCGGGTCCCGGTCATCAACAGGAGCAGGCGCCGCTGCTGGTGCCATCCTCCTCGTCTTACTACCGTAAAAAGGCACCACAAGAAATCTCGCGGACGTCTTCAACATCGTGTAGGAGCTCGATGGACCCCTGTGTGCCCTCCTCGTCTTCTATCGCGATGATCGCTACCGGGCGCGATTATACATTTACATCAGGCGGCCCTACTTCGAGGATCTCCCCTACCAGCACTCCTTACCCAGTTCCCGACGTCCCTCATTATCCGCAGCACGGATCATTAGAGTTTCTGATGCCTTTTCTTCCGCCCGCAGCAATCACGAGAGTTGGTCCTGCTGTTTCCGGCGAGGGCTACCAGCTTTCACCGCAGGAGGTAGTACCTCGCCCTGAAGCCATGATAGGGGATCAGCGTCCTGCTCTAGAGCAGCTGCAGCAACTCCCCAGTTGCAAAGACAAATATCTCGACTTACCGCCGCATAACGAGGAGGAGATTGCGGACATCGAATGCGCGCAGCACTACTACCGGAAATGGACCGCGCAGCGGGCTGCGCTGATTGGGTTGACGAAACTTCGAAAAATCGACTGCGGCCCGAAGAAAATACATTGGGCCTGGTGGAGAGATAAGCAAATTGCGAAGAAAAAGAAGAAGAAATGCATTTGACGATGTTGACATAGACAGTCTTTACATGGTTTTGTTTTCACTTCCTTGTTGCCCCCACAGCCAGGTTTGAAGACTGTTGAAGTCTTTCTTTACAGTGTCCTGTGTCTGGGTTCTTCGAAATTAACGACTTTAGCAAAGTGCTTGGCAGACCGCGTCGCACAGACAGTCTGTGGTGCTGCGGACGAGACAGATCGCTATTGAATCGCCAGATCGAGTAGATCTTCCAGCATGTTGTCAGGATCGTCGGACATGTTTATAATGTGAAATTCGTTATCTGAAATAACTCATTTGACGTAACGGGGTATTGCGTAATCTTTGTGAAAGCATCTTCGTCGGGAATCGTTGTCGTTGACCAAGCGAATTCGTCGAACTCGATAACTTAGCTAGGTCCTCAGCATAGAGTCCGCACGTGATGAGTGTTTCCGTTCCTGGTCGGTTGGCTCAAGCCTCCGCACCTAGAATAATAGAGAACTTGGAGAACACTTTTCTTCTGACACGGAAAATAATAAAGAAACACCACGAGAACACGCGCGCCGCCATGACACTGTTCACCTGATGACTCGAGTTGCGTTTGAAATCACACGAGCCCTGAGAGCATGTATTAAAAAAAAAAAGAAGTTGTTTCTGTTTTCTAAAAAAAAAACTGTTTGTGCACATGCTCTTAGCACGGTATGGCGAAGATCTAGTGTGATGTTTTGAGGTTTGTCTTTTGCACTACCACCGGATTTTGCGTCTCCTTCCCGAAAAAAGCCCTACAAGAACGTTCGAACTTGTGACATTTTCAAAATAGATGTGTACAGGGGTTTGAAGTACATATTGCGAGACGGAAACACACACACACACACCACGACACGTGTCTCGTGCTGAAGAACTGTGTTCGGAATAGATTGTAGTTCTAGTTTTTTCTTTTTTCTCTTGCATACGATGGATGGACGATCCGCAAAGACTGTTCCTTGGAGTCTCGTCCTTGGACCTGCCCTCTACCTCTTATTTTCTGTTTCCCGTTACCGCTAGCATTGACGCCTGTTTTTCAATACCCGTCATTTGAAAATAGGCGTGGAGTTGTGTTACGACTCCTGAGTGAGTAGAACGTGGACAGAGAGAAAGACTCACGAATATTATGCGGTTAATCTCTGCGCGTGCACGAGCTCTGTGCGCGGCCAGCGCTGGTCTGACCGCCCTGGCGGATGAGGTGACGCTGGCGGGCGTCGGCACCAGCGCGGACATCGAGATTGAGCACGAACGGGGGGCGGGCGACACGTTCAGCCCGGTGCCGCCGCACGCCTTCCGAAATACAAAGGTGAACGACGCAGCGGTATGCCTTGCAAGGAAGACGCCGCTGCTCCAAATTTTCGACAAGATGATCGAGCCAGACCTGGCTTCTTCCAGTCAACTTGACGCCATGGAGTGCTCCATCGTGGAGCAACGGATCAAGCGTGCCGGTGGGGACACGGACAGTAAGAATTATTTTTCTTTATATAGTATAATCAGCCCGCTAAAGGGCACACTGCCAGCATCATCATCATCATCATCATGTAATCAGTGGTCTACTCAGACTTCAAGTTTGGTTTTGCGTTGCAATATGAGTATAATCAAGAACTGTTGGCTGTGAGGCTCCTGGCTGGTTATAATTGGTTTATGTCCGTACAAGATTGAACACGAAATGTCGTCGTGCTTCAGCTGCCTTCGAAGCGGATCTATATTCTTCGAAACGATCTTTGTCAGATGATGGCAAAATTAGCCAGGACGAGGAGAAGGCGTTCTGCTCGAGAGCAACAGCGACAGCGTTAGAAGCTGGCGGCAGCGCTGGGGACGTCCCGGGATCGTTTCTCGAGATTGAGCAGAAGGAGCAGATGACGAGCTTTCTCAAGCGTTTGTGTGACGGTTTTTCAAGCGTTTGTGGGAGCTGCGACGAAGTTGCCGATGAGGGGGCTGGTGAGGTGAGGGTTGATGCAACCCAAGGGAAAAAAGAAGGTATAGATACATAGATAATGTGCTAATTTTCCAATTTCCGTACGCCGCATCACCCCATCGCCATCCGGCCAAACCATAGGCACGCACGGCCATACCACAGGCGTGCAGGAGTGACACCGGCTACGATGTGGGTGTCCGTACGGTGGTGCCGAACTCATACAGCACGCGCCTCACACAAATGCCACACCACAAGAAGAAGCAAGCCCACCCCCTACAGGCGCGCAGCGGAGCAAGGGCCGGCGCCCTACCGCAAGGAGCCGAGACGACCTGGGAAGCCGCCGGCAATTGCAGCACGAGGGGGCGGGCGCCGGTCCTGTTGTGCCTGGTTGCCATCCCCCTGCAACGGCGGCTCGCCCGAAAGCCATAGCACTGCGGCCCCGCCTGAGAGGGTCCAAGATAGAAGCCCGCTCGCCGTCCATTTCTCAAGCCCCCCCCTGTTCCACGGCCGGACCGGGATGGGGCCCGCGGGGAATCGAGAAAAGCACCCGGGCTCGCCCAAGGGTTGGGGTACTTGGTCGTTGGGGCGTAGAGTATGTTGTTGTGTTGCAAGGGGGGCGAGCGCAACAGGCAGCGCCGGTGGGCATTAAGGGTCAAGGAAGGACGTCAGCAACGCTGCCAAGTGCGAGGCCGTTATCAAACGCGCCGGGGTGGCAAGCCCCGTCGCCTGCTTGGTTGCTAGGTAGCGGCACGCCATAGCCAGGCCACAGCCCTAGCCCTAGCCCTAGCCGCCGCGCCAAGGTGGTGATGTAACGGAAGAGAGCTGCGCCCCGGCAAAACAGGAGCCGGGACAACCACGGCCCATCCAAACTCCAGGTCGCTGGTTACAACACAGGGCCACAACACCGGGCCCACCGACGAGCCACAACACCGGGCCCCACTGCCAACCCAGCCCCGCCACGAGCTGGCCGCCCAGCGCAGCGCCTCTCCATGGGTGTGGGGGGTCTTCACTACTTAGTCACGCAGTACACAGTGCGGAGGTTCCGGCAAATAAGGCCACGGCGGCCGGATAGGATGCAGCATTGCAGTGCCGCCCTGCGTCCCCCTGTTTATGCAGGCCCCATGTGTGGCGACCCTGGTGCGGCGACTAGGGAAACGCCTAAGGGATGTTGGTTGTGCGTTCGCTCTGAAAGGCCGCAGGCGTAAGGCCGGCCACCGCCAAAACAGGCGGCGCCTCGCCACAGTTGCAAGAAAGCTAATTTGGCTCTGCGGCTTGGGCAGATGCTCAGCCAACGGCCTCCAGAAAGCTTGACGGCCCCCGGGCTGGCAATGTCTCGCTCACCTAGAAAGACGCGAGCATAGGATAGGCGCCCGGGCAATATCTCGGCCACCTAGAAGCGAACCCGCCCTCTGCCCCGCCCCTCCCGGGCCGACCGACTGCCCGGCAAGCCCCCTCAAGTTTGTCTCCGGACCCCCCGCCCGCTTTGGCAGGCTAATTGCAGGCGCGCGGCTGCCCCGGCCGCCCCGGGCCCCGTTGCCTATTGCTGTGGCGCCAGCCTTTCGCCGGGCGGCGTCTGCGCTCCTTCTGGCGCTTTATCGGGCCACATTCCCTGGAAGGGGCGGCAGAGGCACGAACCCGCGGCCGGCGGCTTTCGGCCGCCCAACAGTAAGGGCAACGCAAGGTGGACAAAAGCGCCCCGCTCCGTGTCGAAGATGGACACCGGTCCTCCCGGGACTATGTCTAGGCAAACGGCACGGAAGCGGCTCCCCCTGAGCACCGTGGGTGCGCGGATTCCTCTGCCCCTTCGCCCGTGTGTGCCTGACCTAAGTATTTAAGTAAACAAGATACTGAGGCGGGCCCAGGCCGTCAGGGACTCCGCCCCAAGTCCCCCGGGGGAGCCCAGGGGGGGGGGTCGTGGACCCCCCCCCCGCCATGGGCCCCCCTTGTCACGGGCGGATCCCCTTCGTTTTGTCCTGCCCCGATTCCCGGATTCCTTTTCGGCGCAGTACTATTGTGTTGGGTATTTTTTTGTTTGTATCCCTCTGCGCAATAGAATACTCCGCGCAGGATAGACGATAAGGATGATGCGCTGGCAATTCGTGTCCCGCTTGCGGTTTCCTACAACTCTGCGTCATTCATACCAGGTGGCTCGCGGAAGGAATGGAAAAAGCCGGACGTACGGGCTGATTTTACGGCGGGGAAACTTTTTTTAAATGACGAAGACGTCGTGGGCGAAGTTTGGGCGGCCCGGAAGCGCACGTGCCCGGAGATTAGCAAACCTGTCGCATTCAAGTGGGATGAAGATTTTTTCCAACGGAAACAGGATGAGCCCATGAAGTGCAACTGGACTTGGGCGGGGGACTTTTCGGACGAGAAGCTTGACGAGTGGATTGGCAACCTCCAGAAGGTGATAGACGCGTCGGAGGTACTCGAGTGGGGAAAGCCAGCCGAAAACCGCCGGCAGTTGACCGATAAAGCAAGGAAGTGGGTAAAGAGAGCGATGGGGCTCAAATTTGAAATAGAAATCTACAAGCAGTACAAGAACAAGCAAGGGCTCTTCCGAGAACTAGCACGAGAAGAGTCCGAGAGCTAGAAAAGTTTGGGTTTGGTGTTTTTTCGCTCTACCACTTAAGACGAAGTGCTGCCTTTCTTCTTAAGACAAGAAGCGTGTTTACTTAGGAGCTTTCCTTGTTTCGTGTTTTATCATTCCGTCTGCGAAAATAAAAAAAGACTTAAGTTTTCAAGCGCGTCAAAAGATTTAGCCGGTAGATCGTGTATTTCTAAAAGTGCTAGTTTTTCTAGCTTTTGGTCTAGTATGATTCTTTTCTTTTTCAGATCTAATTTTACGCATGAAGCCACTACGTCTACTATGTGTACGTAGGTTTAACATCTTCTGCAGAACAGTGGATATCCTTACCTCCCGCCACCTCGAAAACAAGTGGCTGGAAAGTGTTGCCCTTCGCCGTGTCCTTCTAACCTTCTGTATGCAAGTGCTGCTGGAATACGATTTGCAATACCTGGCTGCCGAATAACTACCCGCGCCTACAGTACTCGCATCCAGCATGATGTCGAGACGAGACAGGTCGCTATTGTCATTGATCCGCCAGATCTATTTCCGGAATGTCGGGATCACCGGACATGCTCACATAGTTTTTCTTTTTCTCTGGTATACGATTACGATCCACAAAGGCAGATCAGTGAAGTTTCATAGTACATGCTCACTCTCTTCTTTGCTTTCATCTTCCCCGCGCCCGCTCACGTTGATAATTCATAAGCATAAACATATGAAGATTTGAGAGTGCGACCGTTTCATCTTTCATCAATCCAGGCATGGACTACATGGTTTACGCGACATTCTGATCATTTTCTATCGAGTACTAGATTTGAAAGCCCACTCCGTTCGCTCCTCCACAGAGAGTGGATCCTACGCATGCGCATGGCGTTCTTAGTTCCCATTACGATAACATTATAATGGTAGTGTTGGCGTACAAGAACGCGGACACTCTCCTGCAAACAGCCTTAGGACGCTCCTTCTATCTTTATTATACGATGTATCTCTATTATTTCTTTTTCCCTATTAGTGCCCCAGTTCATCCTTTGCTAGTACAGTACTAGATTATCCAGTAGGTACCTGTAGCTGTACTCATTTCCCTAACCGGTGACAGATAATAAAATCATGCACCTGGGTCCGCGAACGAGGGCGTCGAACAGAGACCACAGGCACCAAGACTCTGACCGGGATGGACCTGACTACGAGCGGCGACGGCCCCGACATGGTGAAGATGAGCGCGACCAGCGGCGTCCGGACCACCACCGCTCGCGACGGGATCACGATTCTCGACGACGCGGAGGTTCTCGTCGGGTAGTAGAGAATTATCGAGAAGATGAACCAGAAGAAGACCATGTAGTTCATCAAGATCGATACCACGATCGCGAACGATCGGAACGCGCGGGGGAGAGATCATACAACAGACGCAGCTACAATGACCACGATGCGGAAGAACAAAAGCGGCGCCGCGAACGTGATGCCCATTGGTTCCAGGATCAGGAAGATGATGATCCGCGTGCTCTTGCCAAGTATCGCAGCAGGGATCAACATCTACAGCGAGATCCGCAGCGGTCGGGTGAAGAAGATGGTGATGAAAGAAAACGAGGAAGGTCACCAGCAACGTCACCGCTCGCACCACCCCGCCAAGCTCAGACAAGTCTTTTTCAACAACAAGGTAGCACAAAATCAGGCGTCGGTGGAGGTTCTACGTCCAGTACGAGCAAGTTACCTCCGCAGTTCGTTGCACAACAAGACGAGGCTGGCAGCGCTGCTTCGCGAGAAGTTACCGTCAGCTACCTCGATGGCGATAGAACTTCCCGAATAGGAGAAGACGACCCAAACGTGGACAATCTGCGCATGCTGGCCGAGGTGGAACGCAACATCTTTGAGCAGAACAAAAAGGACCTTGGGGAGGAGGAGGAGGAAGAGGAGGTGGTGGACGACAAAATCCCCTGCATCCTCCAGCGAACCCTGCAGGGGCACAAGGGGGCGGTGTACGCCCTGGAGTGGAACAAGACCAAAACCTACCTCCTGTCCGGGGCCGCGGACCGCACCGTGCGACTGTGGAACCCGGCCTCCGGGATTGCGATCGCCAAGTACGACGAACTGCAGCGCGAGGAGGTGGTGTCCGTTGCCGTGACCGACGACAGCTCGACATTCTACGCGGCGGGGTCCGACAAGCACGCCGTGGCCGTGGACGTGACGGAAAAGAAAGTGATCCGGAAGTTCCAGGGGCACGACAAGCGCCTCACCGTCTGCAAGCTGCTCGGGCGCGAGTCGCAGCTTTTACTGACCGGGAGTCAGGACGGGTGCGTGAAGCTGTGGGACGCGCGGGCCGGCCGCGGGGCCATCCAGACCCTGGCGGACGCCAAGGACACCATCACGGACCTCGCGGTGCCGCCCGTCTACGCGAGTTCCAACGTCGAGCTGGGCGCGGAGTTCGTGTCCGCCTCGCTGGACGGCCGCCTCCGCCGCTACGAGCTGCGGGCGGGACTGGTCCATGTGGACCCGGTGGGCGACCCGTTGTCCCGGGTCAGCTACAGTGGCGACGCGCAGTGCATCCTGACGTCCAGTCTGTACCACCGCATCTACCTGTTCGAGAAGGACACCGGGGAGGAGTTGCAACGGTACGAGGGCCATAGAAACAACGAGTTCCAGATCCAGAGCATTCTCGACCCAAATGATGCGTACGTGTACAGCGGCAGCGAGGACGGAAAGATCTTTGTCTGGGAGTTGGTGGACGGGGAGTGCCAGCTGCGGATCGTGCCGGACGACGACATCATGTGGAAGAACAACATGCTGTCCCTGGCCTTCCAAAACGAGAACTCCCTCGTTTGCGGCGGGAGCGACGGAAAAATTCGCGTGTTTGGAACGCCCGCGACGGTGCGCATGGATGCCGGGTGAAGCTAGCAGGAGACCTTTTGTTTGCCACGCAAGATCATCGTAACGTACGACTCGAGAACCACAGTAAACAAGGGACTGTCTGAATTCATGTAGAACGACCCCAAAACCAAATAAATGACACAGAGCGACCTTTCCTCAATGACTTGTTACTGAAATAACAGCTGCTCGAAGGAGAGGCTGGCAACGCGAAACAGAAAAAACATAATGTAAGAAGACCAGCTCGACGGACGGCCCTCGCGCCTGCGTGCCGTTCTACTGATCTCACATGTCAAGAGCTGACCGGTGTAGACATCTGGTGAGGCAGTATTGGCGGTTTGCTGGTGCTGCACCATCAGGAGAAGTGCGGAACTTGCGAACGGGCGAGCCCTTTCCAAAACTTCCAAAAATTCTGAGCAATCTCAGTAGATCTAAATCACTAGGAGAAACCTTGCACCTGCCTGCTGGCTTCGTGTACGAAAATTCATGGCACGTTCAAGTCCCCCTCGCGAAGAAAGATTGAAGTTATGAGTTGGATCCTGACGTCGACGTCCAGAAACAAAGAGAAACGATAAATCATGGATTTCACCGGGATCATCTTCAATCATCAACCAATAAACTTGAAAAGCCACGGCGGTCTTTCTCTCTACCGCATCGCCAACCTTGAGGAGATGCTTCACGCCAAGACAACAAGCGCTCAGGTTGGCCTGGAGCCGCAGGAGTATAGAGATTCAATTGATAATGAGAAGCGTACTAAGAGTAGTAGCTGCGCTACGCTGAGGTGCTAGGCAAGTACAACTGACCGAATACATCTGAAAATACACCAGGAACTCGTAGAATACGACGTGTGACATTCGTACCGGCAGCACTTTATTGAACGTGAAGATGACAAGAACGAAAGAGAAATAGAAATGGTTCTTCAGATGATCTTCATTTTCACTTCGCCCGCTAGAACTCCGTGACGTAACAAGTAGCCAAGAATCTATCGCGCGACAGCACGCAGATTGTTCAATACTGTTTCGCGTAGTGCCAACACCAATCTTGAAAGCAAAACGAATACCGATATTTCGCCATGGCCCCCGCAGCAACAACCGCAATGGAGCCGACTGCGGCCGCCCCTCCGGTGACCCAGGAGGAGCTGACGAGCGGCGAGTTTCACCGGTCAATGCCGGAGGCGAAATTTCTGGATAACGTCGAGCAGTTCGTCGGAGACCGCGAAGACAAGGACGTCGTGGGCTCGTTGCAGGACCTGCACGCGAAGTACAAGTACTCCGAATCCGGGCTGCTGAGTCAAAAGCAGTCGCTGAAGGGAAAAATTCCGGACATCGAGGCGAGTTTGGATCTGGTGCAGTTTCTGCAAGACAAGAAGCGGCAAGCGAGCGACCCCATGGAGGTCAAGTACCAACTCGCGGAAAACATCTGGGTAAACGCCGACGTACCGGTGCACAAGGGCAACATCTTGCTATGGATCGGTACCAACAGCAACACTATGTTTTTTTCGAGGTTTTGCTTTGTGGTGTTTCTGTTTCAACACGATAGATAGATTGGTTCACTCCGCCTCCTGTTCCTCTGACTTGACTTAGAGAAAAATTTTCCTTTATCTCTTACCCCAGGCGCAAACTGCATGTTGGAGTATACTTTGGACGAGGCGGAGGAGATGCTGACGAAAAACCTGAAGAGTGCGAAGGAGCAGCAGGAAATCGTCATTGAGGATGCGCGGTTTGTGCGGGACCAGATCGTCACTACCGAGGTGAATATCGCCAGGTGTCACAACTACGGCGTCCTCAGAAGGCAGCGACAGCGGGAGGCCGCAAAGGAGCTCGAAGAAAAGCAGGCCAACGACAACGACGCATGAGGACTTCGATCGGATGTGAAAAAAGACGAAGGAACTGAAGAAGAGGGGGAAGGCACGACCACTATGTAGTAGTAGTTTAACAGCAGGAGCGCCTGCTATGGCGCGCTTCTTCTTCCCATCCACCGATCATTTGCGAGTTCTTTGTTGTATGTTTTCGTGTACAAGAGCAATTATTTCACGACCGCGTGGTACTTCTACTTCTACGCGGTGTCATCTGGCGACAACTTGTGCGAAGAGATCCACCAGAGATGGTACGGATCGCAACTACGGTTTTTTTGTTGAAAAACGACTCACGCTTTCACCCAAAACAACAAGCGACGGCGAGGCTGTCCGAGATGATCAATCTCCGCCGAGTTCGCAATCTAGTTCCCCACGATCATGTTCGACGAACGATTGTTGTAGTGCAAAGAGGCGGCCGCGTTCCTGAGCCTGACAGGGTGAGAAAGGGGAAGTACCCAGAGTTTTTTCCACATGAGACCCATATGCGAAGTGTTTCGTTTGCGTTCACGAGAGACGAGGTAGGTTTTACTTGTAAAGATTCCAACACTCTAGCACTACGTCTACGACTAGTGCAGTACAGTAGCAGGCGAGGTACGTCCATGTATGTTGGTGCAATAAACTTTCATATTCATTTTCAAAGTAGATGTCGGGTCCGGTGTCTTCGCGGCCGGGTCCGCCTGATGGATGCCTGACACGAATGGTCGAGGAGGACATGTGGAGTTCTTCTTCTTCTGCATTTGAATCCCCCGAAAGAAGCGAAACGTGCCTCGCCTGCTCCCAAGTACACTCCCCGTGCCCGATATTCCTACTAACTCGTTAGTGTGTCCGGGAGCACGCAATCCCTGTCGCCGGATACAAAACGCAGTCCCGTTCTAGTACAGTTCCAAGAGCAGTCCCAAAAATCTTCTTTGGACGGTAGCGGTCATCATCTTGCCGGGTGAACTATCAATCTCAACAGACATTGAAAAGATGAACGCTACTATTTCCATCCAGCAGGTGAAGCTTCGCTGCTACACCAGCGACCCCACCAGCACGTACCAAATTCGTTTGATTCGCCCCGAGCCGGACTGGATGCTAAAACTGGAAACAACCACCCGACCGCCGGGCGATACCGCCATGGATGTGACCTGGGGATCTCTGGCTGGCGAGCCCCTCGACAGCTTTACCTACGTGTCGCTGCGGCGCCTGCTGGAGGCCGGTCTCGACGTCGAAATGTGGAAAACTGGCGTGGGATCGCCGAAAAAACGGCGATCGTCGTCTAACTTTTCAGACGGGGGTGGTGGGAAAGACAGAGGCCGCAGCAGCAGCAGTGGGGCCTCCGCCGGGGCGTCAAAGGCCGTTTCTTTCGCAGCTACACCTGGGAAGAAAAGTGAAAAACTCTCCGCGACCGCACTTAGGCCGCCGAGAGCGGTACCTGTACCGCCAGGAGGTATCGCTGCTAAAAATTATCCGGAAGGTGCAGAACATGCGGCCCCAGCTCCTTCATCACGCGCAACCATTTTGAAGGTTCCAGGGAACAACACGAACCTGATCAGCGGAGGGACGCGCGCTGAAGATGCCAGCAGTTCTAGCGCTTTCGCTGCTGCTCCAAAAAACAGCAAGACGCACCTGTTCCCCGCGGTTGCAGGTTCCAATGTAGCTGCTGGATATGAGGTGGAAGTGGATGACCCAGCAATGGATGACCTGGACGAACAAGAGCAGAACGTCGATGTTCCGAAATCTTCGCCGTTCACGCTGCAACACCAGAAAATCCTCACCGACCGCTGGGAGTTCAGCAAACTCGCTCTGCTCAAGGTACAACAGTCGTTCCGTGCCCAGATGAAGTAGTAGCGAAGAAGAAATAAACGGAGAAATAAAAACGCATGAAGATCTTATTTCTTGGAGAATTGAGTGCTTTCATTTGTGCTTGAACAACAACAGGCGTTCGAGTTGACGCGCTTTATCATCCGCATTGAGATGGACGAGTTTGTGGGCCAGCTCATTGTGAAGCTCTGTTGGCACTGGCTGCAGATTGAGCTCCCTCAATCAAAACTTCACGAGGAGAAGAAGAAACAGAAGATTCCGCCTCGCGTGCGCGCACAGATCCGCGAGCAAGAGGTACGGGACAAGGTCGAAAGTCTCGGCATGAATTCCTCTTCGACCGTGGCGGCAGGTGCTGGAGATGCAGCCCGTGAGCAAAGCACAGAAGAAGGCCTGAAAGAAGCGAGGACTTGCATAGGAGCACTAGGCGGCACAGGGCGAAATTACCTGTCTGCCGCAGTCGGGCAGGAACGAAGCGAAGTGAAGAAGATCATGCCGAGTAGTGTGCAGCCTCTTCTCGGCGGAGCTTTCTCAAATGACGCTTCGGCGTCCACGGGCCAACAAGGGCGTGAAAGGGCGAAAACTGCGGCCGGCGGTTCCTCTTCGAGTGCTGACGGCTTTGGGAGGAGCTCGAAACAGTACGCGGAACGTGTAGACCCGAGGCAGCTGCCGCCGAAAGTTCGTGCAGCTGCCATGCGCAGGAACGCTCGCCCGGATTATGTCGGGAAAATCTTGAGATGTCAGCAGGAAATTATTATAGTCCAAGCGATAAATTTGAATTATAGAACAGTGGTATAAGTGCAAGTAGAAGTACTAGTGTAAGTCGTTCTAGACATGATCTCGGATAATTGTCAGGTCGCGGTGATTGCAAACACGGGCCACGCAGGACACTGTCCCCAGAGGACGACGTGGGCGCTTGTCCTGAAATGGTCCATGCGCGTTTGAACATTTGGACGATGATCAAAAAATCTATGATTTTCTCGGTCCTCCAAGATTTTCCATCTATGAAAACCCACCACCGAAACAGCCGTTAAATATGGCACACGAGTGGAGGCGAGAATTCGTCACTCGAAACGAAGCGCAGAACTTTACGAATCGCGGAGGTGCGGCCACGGTCTTCGACCAACCGCTATCACCAAGGAGCCGAATGCACCGCGAGGCCGGCTTTGAACCATTTGACTCCTCCGCATCCTCGGGCCCTGTGGTTGGCGGGGACGTGGAGGGTCACGCTGCAACGAAACACCGCAACGCTTTCACTGCGACGCAGCCCTTGAGCATGCGGAACAAAGCGAAGGTGGGAAATCAGTCGAAGATGGGCACAACTCGATCTGTTTCTGTGAAGAGTAAAAACGAACAGCGGCGCTTAAACGAAGAGCGGGAGGTGAAGTTGCGGAGAGAAGAACAGAAAGAAGTCTTGCTGCGCCAGCTGCGCAAAGGCGTGATCCAGATGCGCCTGGACTTGGACAAAATGCAGCCGACCATTTTGCGCACGACAACTTTCTTCCCTGAAGAACCCCAGACACCGACCGATGACGGCTGAAATCCATCGGGGAAAAACCCTCGCGGTTCGTGTCTTTTTGCAGACTCTCGATCATCCCTCGGGAGTCGGAATTTAAAGGCCTGAATATAAAATTATCTTATGGTTTCGCAAATATCAAGGTTTAGATCAAGATAGCCATCATGTTTCGCGTAATTTAGAACAGCATCTTCATGCAGGAATTTAAAAACAGAGGAAATTGACATTGAGTCGAGTTTGTTATTGTGGCGAGTTGCGCTGCATGTGTGTGTTCGCGTACCCGTTTGCGAGGCTTGTTCTACTAGCACAGGCAGAAATAAAGACGAGTGGGCAGTGGAAGTGTGACAAAATGCGACGGAGAACTTATTACGTATGGAAAGTTGTGGCGCAATTGTGTCTAAGTCTGAGTTGTCTGTGGCGTTTGCGTCAGTTTCTGTTAGCGAGGTGCATACCCAAATCCATTGCCATTCCCGTCCCTTGTTGTGCTGAGATGAACGTATAGAAATGGTAGAACTTTTGAGTCTGCGGGTTCTAAAATAATCGAGGAATCTAAATCATCTTCACGAATTTCTATACTTTTTAGGCCACAGCTTCTTCATAAGTTGAACTTGTTCGCTCACAACCAGCAGAATGTCCGCCGGAATTCCGCAGATGATGATGCCCCCGCAGTCCTTGACTGCCGGTATGCCGGACCCGGTATACTATGGCCTCATCTTCGGATTTTTTTGCAAAATAATAATAAAAATGTAAAACTAAAGAACAAGAAGTACACACTAGAAAACAAGAAGTGAAGGGAAACAAAAACAAGCGCGGCCTCATTTGTCGTGTTTATCCGTTTATTATGGCTTTGTTAAATCCAAGACCAAAGTAAGAGGACAGACCTCCTGTGCGTGTGCCTTTGCTTGCCGTTCTATACTCGTTCCGAAATAAAACGACATTTTTTTAGAAATGTGTCACTGAGTGGGGCTTTTTTCAAGAAGCGTTGGTTTAAATTTCCAAAACAGAGCACCATCTCCAAGCAGAAGGACGCGTACATGAAGATGTTGGACGAGCAGGTGAAGCAGGGCACTCAGGTTTTGGAAGCCCAGGTGAAGCACCAGAAGGAATACCTGTTGGGCCAGGCCGACCAGCAGAAGAAGCAGTTTATCATGCAGATCGACATGGAAGTGAAGCAGCAGGAGATGGCCCTGGACCAGCAGCGCATGGAGCAGCTGATGGCTCTGCAGCAGCAGGCCGCGCAGCAGAAGGCTGCGTTGGAGCAGCAGGCCATGCAGCTGTCCATGGAGTACCAGCAGAAGAAGGCTGAAGAAGAAATGCAAAAGCAGCAGTTTGAGATGGAGAAGAAGCAGCAGGAGATGCAGGTACACGATTGCAACGTAAAACTTTTCCAAACGGTGTGCTCTGCAGATGTAGATGATGGGGAAATTTTTACAGCTATCTTTGGCAGCGATAAGAATTTAAATTGAGAAATCAAATCCTTCAGGCAAAGATGCAGCAGGAGATGGCCAAGTTCCAGGGCGGAGCTGGTGGCGCTCTGTTCCAGGGTATCGGCATGCCGGGTGCGCAGTAAGCGGCTCGAGTTGTGATTTCTAGGACGGAGAACGAGAAGGTGAGCAACTACGACCGCAGATCACATAAAGGCCCCGACCGCTGACACGCTGCACAGTTTCTAGAATGTTTACGATTTTTGCTATAGAATCATGATTCATTTTTATTTAGCGAAGATTGTGCTTATACAATACTCTTGACCATACGTGCGGTTCTTTGGGGCCTGCAAAGAAGAAGCGCTTCTCGTATCCTGTTGGTTCTGTACTGGTGTCGTAAGACCTGAGGTTTTAGCAGAGCAGAAGCTGTTCTAATTCACTAGGATTCTGCTCGGCTGTAAATAAGGGCAGCGCCACTGCTTTCGTCGAGTGCGTTTGTAAAACAACTGTTTCGTAGACGATGGAAAAGTCCGTATTGTTCTATTGATGATACTAAAGCTTTTACTTTTTTCATCTAATGTCCTACTCTAAGACCACTTAATGATGATTCCTTTCTAAAAAGTTTCCTTTTTTGGTGGCAATGTGGGACACTAGCGATCACAGTGCTACGGGTTGGATGAAAAATTATGATTTCTAACACATGAACATCTAGCATCTACTGCGTTTACTACGAGGAGAGCCATAGCAATCGCGGTGATTCCATAACGAATGAAAATGAATGCTTTGCCTCCTGTACTTACATACGATATCAGGGAAGACGATAAGTTTGAACTTTGCGCCTTGCGCCAATGCACGCCGCGTTTGATTCATCGCTTCTTCCCGCATGTCTTCGTGTATTTGTGTCGTTATTTTGGGTGTTGGGACTCGACTCGGGGGTGCAGTATCGGTTCCAGTTCCGTCCTCTTTCTCTGCGCCATGTTTAGTTCCCGGATCAAGCGTGGTTGTTGTCTAAATCGAGTCGCGCATGAGATGTTTTCGGTCGTGAGGTTTCGAGTTTTGATCGTTGCACCTTGCAGAAGTCGGTCGGCGCGTGATGTCTGGTGGCCACTTCTTGTCTCGATTTCGGTGAGGATCTCTTGTGAAGCGCGATAAACTTGTGATCGATGCTGGAGCATAATATGGTATGCACAAGCTTATGAGATTCACATGCGTTTTTCTCAAACTCAATGTCCAATCGGTCGAATTCAGTAGCACCACCAGACGAAGACCCTGGTATGGCAAGTAGCAACATAGTCGAGCACGAGCGAAAACTTGGCGGCTTGTCGAGAGATGTCACAGGAGCGTTTCATTAAATCTTCTAGTACAGAATCGCAGGTGAGTGACAATGTAAGGAGAGAACTGGAGCAAGAAAAGATCTAGATCATAATGTACCTGCTTCAGGACCCCACGCATGAGGATTAGTTATTTTTTGTGGCCATTTTAGTAACGGAATCGGAAAAGGAGCGTCTTCTCGTCCTTTCCACTACTAGAAGGAGAAGGGAGCCGCGCCTCTGGTGTTCTGTGTCAGTTCTGACTTGGACGAATAGGTTCACAGGTATGGCGGACGACGACGTGGCACCTGACATGCGCGCAATCGATGAGCCAAGCCCACGCTCGAGCCCTCGTCGGGTGTTTTGGACAGGAGGGCAACAAAGTCGTTTGAAGCACAAGCTCGCCCGATCAGGCCAACGAGTTTCTCGTCGTGAGCATGCATCAACCGCGCGACCGTCTTCAGCGCCGGTAACCCGGACGACTTCTTCGATCAACGTCAGACCAATATCTGGTTCCGGTCGCCGATCCTCAGGCTGCGTTACAGCGCGCAATCGAGCTAGGAACAGTAACCCGCTGTTGGAGGCTGTGGATGAGGAAAACAGCTTCATTGAGGAAATACGTCCGGCGACCGCAACCACTGACGCCCCCTCGGTTTCGGAGTCATACAGTCGCCCCTCGTCGGCAGCCACACACGCATTTTTCGGAGGAGGCTCCGCCGGAACAAGGCCGGGTAGCGCGACGTCGACAGCAGCGAGCTGGGTTTACAGTGCGAGCAGCCCGGCAAATGGTGACTCTGATTCCATCGCGACTCCGGCACGCAACTTGCGCCTGCCACTCGACTTTGCGGGTAGCAGTCCGGAGTGCAGTCAGGACGTGTTGGAAGATTTTTCTTCCATAGAGGACGCATCTTTAGGATCCACGTTTGCCGCGAAAAATGGGTTCGTCAGCTCCTGCACCTACTCGTCGGACGGTTTCGCCTTCGCCGGACAGTTTCTCTTCTACAACAAAAGTAGCGACGAAGAGGAGTGCAGCCCAGTCGATAGTCTTCACGGAAATTACCGACAGGGTAATGCGGCTACGATCGAGGAGGAGGGGGAAGAGAAAAAGAAGAAAACTTCCGCCTTCGACCCCGCCTCGTTGCTCCCCGAGTCCATCGTGGAAAGAACCAAGTTCTGCCCAAGCCGAAAGCAACACCTGTGGCCGGCTTCAGTCTACAGTACCATATCCCGCCCGCGGCCGAAATCCGCGGCCGCCAGTATGTGCGCCGCGCGGCGCGAGCGGCGAGAGACCGTGAGGAATTACCGTGCCGGTCTGAATGAGAAGACGCGGTATCGGGTACGGGAGCATGTGTTCTATTCCGATATCCAGAACGCTGCGTGGGACATGCCCCCAAAATGGTCGTTGGGGAGTCGGCGCGACGTGAATGCTGGCAAAGCACCCGACACCTACCGCGACAGCTGTGACCGACCAGCAACCCCGGTTCGGTACGGCTACTCCAGAAAACACGGCGGGCACCAGAAGAAGCCGTCGCAATTTTCCGTCGGGTAACATCATGGATTGCAAGCTTGTAGTGAACAAAGTTACTGAGTGTGAGTACTAGTTCTACTTAGTTGAATTTGTCAGCACATGAGGCTGGATGCAGAAAAAAATATGGGTAAATTAATTTTTAAAAAAATGCAAAAATATCAGGGCTCTTCGTCCGGACCCAGATCCGCCGTCCGAGGGCGAACCCGGTCCGGGTCATTACTACAAGAATCGCCTGCGTTGGCCGTCGGAGCCGGCCATCATCTCGCCTAGCTTCGAAGCCAGCGACCGCTTCCCGGAGTTCGTGGAGCAGCCGTGGAACAAGAAGCCGCCCCCCGGCTACTACGGCTACCCGGACGTGAAGCCGAATCCTGTGCACCCGCGATTTCCCGGATTTTTGCTGAAATCCCGGACCGAGCTACCCAAGGGATCGGCCAGCGATTGGCTCAACCCCGCCCCCGGTCACTACGACCTTCCGGTGCGGCGGGCCGATCCAACCAAGCCGCGCCAGCCGGAGTTCAATATTTCGGCAACGTTGGACAACGAATACCAAAAGTTCCTCGCCGACAACGCCGCGGCGCCCGGGCCCGGATCCTACGAGATTCCGTTCGCACTTGGCCTGACGCACCCGACGATACCGTTAACGAGTCGCGCAAAGGTCTTGTGCCCGGTCCACACGCCGCGGGTGCGAGACTAGTTTTGAAGCACACAACGAACGCCCCATGCTACCCACCTGCTGTACTACACTTGAGAACTACTCACATGATAGAGAATTGCCTTCTTACGTGTACCAGTAGATGAATGTAAATGTTGTCGATGGTCGAAGATAACGCTCTTACCTGAGTTGTAACTAAGAAATCCTATCCAAAATAAATGTGCATACCCGTGTAGTTGCCCATGTAAGAATTTTCAGACTTGAGCCCTCACTAGTTTCTCGTTTGTCTGTACTAGATCTCGTGGCTGGTGCATAATGAATACCCGTGCTTTTGAAGAACTGAGAACTTTTCATCTGTTTCGTGCGACGAGCAGCTTTTCTAGCATAAGCACTGCGCTTGGTTTCTTTTCGAAAAAAAGTTTCGTCCGTGGGCGCGAAGTGGTGGAAAACCGCCAACAAACCGATCGGGAGCAAACGTTTCTGTTCAAGAATACCTCCTTAAGGGGTATCGGGTTGAATGTCAAAAACACGTCGCTGTGTTTAAGAGAAGATCCATTCCATCAAATTGAGCCGTCGTAGATTGATATTAGTGACGATGATCTTCACCGCAGTTGATGACGGTCGCGCTCCACGAACAGATCTGTCTAGCGGTCCTCCAGCGCCTAGTCTCATCTGAGGTCTGCTTTCATCTCGATCCGTGTCTTGGTTCACACAAAAGCAAAAGAGTAAGAGGCCTTCGCCTTGTGGTGCCCGCGTCTTGTGTTGCGTGTCGTTCGTCTGAACTTGTTGTTTCGTGTCTTTCGTTTTTCGGGCCCCGACCGGTTGGCTAAGTATTCGATAATAGCTAAGAGCCCGTCCTCGTGCGCAAGGGCATCAGTGTAAGGAAAAGGAGTTATTTAGATCATTGCTCTGTGCTTCCTACGCCTTCTTCCAGTTCCATTCTGTTCTTCTTCGTTTGTCTCAGCGGCGAACAAGAAGATGCCGACGATAGAGACGGAAACAAAACTGGACTTCAAGGACGTGCTGATCCGTCCGAAGCGCAGCTTTCTCAGCTCCCGAAGCGAGGTCTCCGTCGAACGGGAGTTTACCTTCAAGAATGCAAAGACCACGTGGTCGGGGATACCCATCATGGCCGCCAATATGGACACGGTGGGGACCTTCGAAATGGCAGGGGTGCTAGCGCCCAGGAAAATCGTCACTGCTGTACACAAGCACTACTCCGTGGAACAGTGGTAGAAGACGCTCGAGCACCGCTCTTCGCATTTTTTCTCACTGTAGTTGTACTCTACTTTTCTGGCACCACCACCGCGACAACCTGCTGGTGTTGTGAAGTCGTTTGTACCGTCGTAGTCGCAGCTCCGAGAAAAGCAAAAAAAAAAAACAAATCTCCTTCTTCGATCACAGGAAATCCTTCGCCAAAGGGAAGGCGCCCGAGTTTCTCGCGCATATCGCTGCCTCCACTGGTATAGGAGCCAAGGACATGGAAAAGCTGGACTCGATTCTCAAGGCGGTCCCGCAGATTTCCTTTGTGTGCATCGATGTTGCGAACGGGTACGCGGAGCCGTTCGTGAACTTCATCCGGACAACGAGAAAAAAGTATAGAGCCGAACGAAGATGATGATAATGACGAGTTATGATGTTTCACGTGAACAGTTGATGCTGATGCTCACTGATATTTGCCTACACATTTCTACATACTACGAAACCAAGAACATTACGCTGTTGTATGATGAAACCGACACTGTGGATCGAGTAGTTGGTTCTTTTCAGTAGTTCAACTTGTAGCGGTTTATTTCCCACTGCCAAGCTGCACCGCAAACGAGAAAGCAGAAAACATTTCCCAAGTAATATTCATGAGGTACCCGAAGCACGTGATTATTGCGGGCAACGTGGTGACACAGGAGATGACTGAAGAATTGATCCTGTCTGGGGCCGACATCGTGAAGGTGGGCATCGGCCCGGGCTCGGTGTGCACAACCCGCAAGCAGACCGGTGTGGGCTACCCCCAGCTGTCCGCCGTGATTGAGTGCGCGGACGCCGCGCACGGACTGGGCGGCCGCATCGTCAGCGACGGCGGTTGCACGTGCCCGGGGGATCTGTCTAAGGCGTTTGGGGCTGGCGCGGACTTTGTGATGCTGGGGGGCATGCTGGCGGGCCACGACGAGAGTGGCGGGGAGATGGTGGAGAGCAGTCCGGGCAAGTTCGAAAAGATTTTCTACGGCATGAGCTCGGACACCGCGATGCAGAAGCACGCCGGCGGCGTGGCGGAGTACCGGTCCTCGGAGGGGAAAACGGTGCGGGTGCCCTACCGAGGACCCGTGGCAGAAACCATCAAGGACATCCTGGGTGGCATTCGGTCCAGCTGCACCTACGTGGGCGCACGGGAACTGCGGGAACTGGCCCGCCGCACCACGTTTATCCGCGTGACGCAGCAGCTGAACCCCGTGTTCACGGAGGCACAGAAGGTCGACACGGTCGGCGAAAAGAATGTCGCCGCAGCAAAGAAACGAAAAACTAGCACCGCAACGGAGTAAGGGCTAGAAGCAGCATCAAGCGATGACAGTTCTCGAAAGAGCAAGCTGTAGCTGTAGTATCGCGCAACGAACACAAAAACGAAGAGGAGCAGGAGCCTCCTCCTGTAAGGATTCCTCGAGTGTGGCCTCGCCGCGGAGGCCTCGAAGAGAAAGACTTGTTTAGAGATAAAGGTGCAATAATGTTGCGTAGAGAAAATAAAAAAAAGAAAAACATTTACACTCGTCGTCGTGGAGGTGGGACGCACAAGTCTTTGTCTTTGCTAACTTAGACTAGCTGTGCGTGATCATGAATCCACCGCATAGTAAATCCCAGAAGCCCAACATCGCCGACATGCACGTGTAATCAAAGTTTCATTTTGCAGGAAAGTCTCCCTTTTGATTGGAAAACAACACTTTGACTTCTAGTATGGCTGTGGCGAAGTCTTGTCACGGGAACGTATCTTTGTGGCCTGGAGGAGGTCATGCGAGCAGTCGTTCCTCCTCTGCTGCATCATGCATTCTCACATTTTTCTCAGGTGGAAAGATCATGGCGTTTGTTGAGATCTCTATACTGTTTTTGAAGATCACAACGCAGTTGATACATAGTTGCGGCTGCACCAATTTTTGACGTGGTCAGAGGTCCAGTTCGGACCTGTTCCAGTCGCTTTGTCAGCTTCTCGTGATATGAAAAATTGCTTTGGCTGGTGAACGAGATGATAGTAAAAATACAACGATCTTCAGGTCTGATTTCGCAACCAAAGCGACCCGCTGCAGTAGTCCTAGCATGCGTTTTGCGAACAAGCAGTTTCTCTAGCTTTCTGCCTTAGAAATCCAAAAAAATTACAGCCTCTAGAAAGAAGCAGACTGACATCATGATGGCCACCTCGAGCAGTTCCTCTGCTTCGAGTTCTACTGCCTCGATGAACACGATTTGGCTTGAGAAGCACCGGCCGCAGACCCTCGACGACATTGTGGGAAATCAAGATTTCATCCACCAACTCGACGTGATCCGGCGCGACCCGTCGCGGATGACAAATTTTATGCTGTGCGGGCCGCCGGGTGTGGGCAAGACGACCTGCATCCACGCGCTCGCGAAGCAGACGCTCGGGGAGGAAATGTACAAAACCGCAGTGCTGGAAATGAATGCGAGTGACGAGCGAGGCATCGACGTCGTGCGAGACACCATCCACAGTTTTGCACGCACGAAATACAACAACCTGCCGCCCGGCTGCTCCAAGATCGTGATCCTAGACGAGGTCGACAGTATGACGACGTCGGCACAGCAGGCGCTGCGCGTCATCATGGAGGAGTACGGCATGCACACCAAGTTTGCGCTCGCCTGCAACATCAGCAGCAAGGTACTTTATTGGGATCAGGCCGGCTGTTGAGAAATGCGTTCTGAAAATAGGACTGAGTCGTGGTCACTCCAGTGATCTACCCGAAAAATGTGCCGGTTGACGTAATAAGTAACAAGTGCAGCATCTAGTTTTTATGATAACGATATGCATACGCATAGAATTTCAGAAAAATGTTCGACGATGCTATCATTATCCTGACCGCAGGTGATAGAAGCCTTGCAGTCTCGTTGCGCGATCTTGCGGTTTGGCAAGGTAAAAGAGAGCGAGGTGGAGGCGCGGCTGAGAAAGATCATCGCCTTGGAGAAGGTGGAATGCACCGACGATGGTGTAAAGGCCTTGAGCTTCATAGCCAACGGGGATTTGCGGATCGGCATCAACGGGCTGCAGTCTGCGCACGCGGGTTTCGGGCTTGTGAACCGCGAGAACGTCTACAGAGTGTGCGATGTGCCAAACCCGGTCGTGGTGAACCAGAGCCTGCAGTGCGTCATCAAGCAGCGGCCCGACATAGCCTTCTCGAAACTGGTATTGTTCTGAATAGAACTTCTACTGCAAGAACCACATCCCAGTTGGTGATGGTGTGGTCGCTGTTGCTGCGCGTTCTTCATTAATTCATTTCTTGCAGCCACGATGTGCGAATTTGAATACGTATTAAAGCGCAGCTGCTATTGACTAATGGTAATGTTTCAATTTTCACGACAGAACACCCTGGTGGAGAAGGGCTACGCGATCGAACACGTGTTGCAAGTGTTGGGGAGGTGTATCAAAAGCTACGACTGCCCGGAATTCCAGAAATTGGAGTTCCTCCGCCTCCTCGCGGACGCAAATTGCAACGCGGTCCTGGGCTGCAGAAGCGCCATTCAATTGGATTGCCTCGTCACCCGAATGTCCATGGTCACGGACCAAGGCCTGGCAGGTGGTTAGTCATTTTTGAGATAATGTAGATGCCATAAACAGCTTGAGCACAAAGAAAGCCAGTCATTACAAGAGCGACACTTTTTTATGCCCTCATGAGAGTTCAGTGCGTGTCGCGTCTTGATGGGGCCGCGCCCGCCCACCTAGTAGTGCGCCATCATCTATACGGCGTGAGTCAATGGTGACAAGTGGGATAAGGTGAACGAGAAAACCATGAAACTGCATCAAATATGTTCGCTCGAGCCTTTTTAAGTAATTTCTTTGTTCGCTATCGCTCGACGTCGAACTTCTTGGTTGCAGTTTTTTCGCCTTTTTGTTGTTTACATCGCTGTCGCTCTTTGCAGGGTTCATCTTCATTTGCAGTCGTAGGAACAGAAGTCGCTTGGTCTACATCAATTGGCAAGTCTCCGGAAGACTTTGGCATGTCTCCGGAAGAATTCGGTTGCTCTTTCTCGTGCTTGTCAGGGATCTGGTCGGAAGATGTCGTGCCGAAATCGGTGCTCCTCGGCCTGCGCATGCAATCGGAATCGGAATGCACAAAAGATTCATGTATGTATGCCCACGTCGAAGCTCAAGAAGTGGGTGTGACAAGATCATTCAGCATATTGTCGTTTCGTATTTTCAGGGCGAATTCGCGGAAGTCGAAGCTATGTCGCTTTTGATCAGTTTCAGCTTGACTTCGTTGGACGATCGTTATCTTTTTCGCTTTGAGTTTTCAGCAGGCGTAATTTGCGACCGTGATCAGATCAAATAAAAAACCCAAATAAAGGATTGTTGTAGCTGTAGCACTGTGTTTTTTTTTCACAATGTGCGTCCAACTTTAGTTAGAACTAGTAAGTTTTCACTACTAGCTGTTTAAGTAGGTCTAGCGGGGATTTTTTAAATAAACGTCGTCGATTATGACGCTATTTCGCTCGCAGGTTCTGCTTCACCTTCAGCGGAATTTTTTTTCATCGAATGTTGCGAGCAAGAAGGATGCTGAGCAACACCGAATTGTGTTTGGTAGCTGCATCGGCCTAAAGCAACAAACAAGTTTTACAAAGCTGGTCATACCGATAATTCCACGTTTTTAAAGGGAGCTGCTGCAGGCACAAATTAAAATTGTCGTTTTTTTTTTCGATGACTCGCATCCGCGGCGATGGTGGGAAGGCTTCGGGAGGAAAACTGATTTTCTGCGAGGTTTGCACGGAGTACGAAAATCAAGCAGATGCGTTGGCTTTGCTCGACAGGCTAAAGTCGTTCGTGCTGGCTCTGCCGCGCGTGTCCGCCCGTCCGAGTGTTCTAGAGGAACTGCCCCACGACAGTGAGAATCTCGGGTATTGTGTGCACGCATCGCTGGACACGTCGAAAAGCGGAGTTCGGGGGAAAAATGGCAACAAGCGGACGAACAAGCGGAGCGGCCAGCAGCGCAGCAGCAGCGCGCTCATCGAGGACGAGGAGGAGAAGCGGTACCATGCCGCAACAACCCACGGGGCCGTAATCTCCATCAAGCTGCGCCGCTCGGGCTCTGGACCCACGGACTACCTCCGCTTCCTCCCTTTTCCCGAGCTCCTGGCCACCTTCTGTCACGAGCTGGCGCATCTGGAGACCAACCGGAATGAGCACGATGAAGCCTTTTACCAGAGCGTCGCGTCCACCTGCGAGTGCGTGGATCCCAGCGGTAAGCAGTACCACCTGGTGCGCCGCCTGCGGCAAGAGATCTTCAACGCCATTGTGGAGAAGGACGTCGCGCGGGTCGAAGCCATTCTCGCCCATCTCTTCCCCGCGGACACGAAAAAATCCCCCGCCAGCCTGTGGCTGCATCCGGAGTCGCGAGAGCTCTCGGCCAAGCTGGCCGCGGGGGGAGCTGCATCTTCTACTGCTTCGGTCGGAGGTCTGCTTTCATCCAAGGACAATAATCACGCTGGAGGGACGACTAAGAACGCACCGTCTCTGAGAAGCCCGTCGAGTCCACGGGTCCGGGAGCAGGAGCAGCAGGAGATCTACCCGCCACCGCACGACGATTACGATCCCTATCCGGAGCAGCAGTCCGTCTTGGACTACTGCGTGTCCTACCCGGACGTGAACATTTGTTCCCTGCTCGCGAAAAAGATTTACTCCCGGGCATTGGTCCAGCGGGCCATCGACCGCGGGGAAGGGAGAATCGCGGTCGTGCAGCCCGACGCAGAAGGCGAGGAAGCGGGCGAGAATGAAGTAGACATGGTTCGTACTTCTTCTGTTAAAAAAACTGAGGTAACAAGTAGGGAGGAGGGTGCTTCTACAACTGCAACAACCACGCTCACGGAGGCGGAGGAGTCCTCGGTGAAAGCCTGCGTGTCGGTGTTGCGCAAGCGCTTGGTGTACCTGAACAAGATATCCTCCAAGCGGGCGGCAAAGTCTCACCAGGACAAAATTCGCTTAGTAGTGGACGAAGGAGCTGAGGGAGAGGAGGACGCCCTCCCCTTCACAAGCGCTGTAAGCGCTGGTGTCGGAGGTCCAGAAGAAGCTGCGCAGGTGTTTCCCACAGGTGCAGGTCATGATGAAACTACTCCGCAGCATGGATTTGTCCCCTCAAATCCAAGAGCGGCGGGGGACAGTGTCGCAGCCGCAAGTGGAGATGCGTCAAGTTTCCCGGCCTCGTCCCCTTTTTCCGCGTTGTCTCCCTCGGGTAAAAAAAGCAAGCGAAGTCGACCACGGGCGGGGGACGTGAGTTTCTCGCCGTACGCAGATCACACCACCGGTTTTTGCAGTCCGCATTTCTCAGGTATTCTTTTATTACGTTATTTTTCAATTTTTACCAAGGCTGTGTCGCCCACATGGCTCACAAGATATGTTTATTGAAATGTGTTTGACTTTGAGAGTGGGAGAAGATGATTTATCGCCGCTTCTGATGAAGTTGCATACACCAAAAACTAGTACAGGTTCCTCGCCCTACTTCGCCACTGGTTCCAGCATCCAGCAATCTTTGAGCGCGAACGCATTGACTTCGGTGCCACACACATGGCTGGGGGCCTCCATTCCGCACGCCACGCTGCGCTGGCAAGCAAGCTTTTCGCCGACACACCGAAATGGCGGGACGGCAACGGGCGGAGATTACAACGAGATCGGGGAGGAGTTTGCGATTGCGCACACTTCTTTTGTGGACACGAAAAAACAGGAACAGGAGCTGTCCAAGGCACGGCTGGCACGCGAGAGGCTGTGGCGAAAGCGAAGAAAGCGGCGCGTACTGACGACTCCACCTTCCAAAGAACATCAGTGGAAAAGCGAACAAGCACTAAGCCTGTCTTCTGATCCAATAAAATACCAAGGGCCGAACAGCAGCGGCCGCGCTGCTGCCGCGGTTGGAGGAAATACAAGTAGCAGCAAAGTCGGCCCTCCAGGTGGACCTCCCTCTAAGCCTGTTAGTACGTCCGTGGGACCGAGCTACCTAGACCCTTCATTTTCCTCCTACATTGACGTAGATGCGGCCGCGTCTCGTCTCGCACCGCCGCCGCTCTCGGAAATCGCAAGGAATTTAGCCGGCGCGAAGAGCATGAAGGATTACCAGGCGGCGCTGTCTCCAAGAGCGAAAGACAAAGGGAAGGATAAAGAGAAAGCAGAGAAGAAAACAAGCTCCAAATCCGGGTCGACTGCTGCGAGTAACAAGCAAAGTAAGAACAAATCATCCTCAGCTTCTAGCGCTGCACCAACTGGACTAAATGCCAGCACCGCCACCGCAGGGGAGCACAGCAAAAGCAATACTCTACCGGAACAGCAGCTCCAGCCGTCGAAGAGTAAGACCAAATCGAAGTCTGGCGGATCAATCACGACCGGCGCTACGACGCTCAGTTTTTTCGGCGGAAAGTTTCACCTTGACAGCATGAAAGAGGCAGAGCGAAAGAAAGCGGCGTCGAAATCCAAAGTGGCTAACGACAGACACGGCATCGAATTGCCGATTCTTGCAGAGGACGAGACCACAACCGTAGAAGACCTGATTGCGATATCTGCGAAGAAACGACGCTCTTCGCGGGCCAAGGCGCTCGCCGCAGCGGCGCAGAAGGAGGCTGTGAGGCGGGCGGCAGCGCGCGGCGGCTCTGATAGTGTTAGCCGACCGCCGCAGAACAAAAGCAGCTCCCAGGACGATTCCGTGTCTACATCAGTCGGAGCAGGTGGCGGGCTATCCGGCTCTTCTGCATCTTCATCTTTTCGCGAAGTAGAGGACGGCACGTTGGACGAACGGCAGAACGATAGCGGGATCGCAAACTATAATCACCAGACCGAGCGACTGCGGTTAGGTCCTCCGCCTGCACCACCATTTGCCTTGGCACGGGAAAAAAAAGCAGGAAGACGCGGCGCGGCTGTAGAACTACAGGAAGAGGAGGATCACGGAGACGGGCGAGGCGACGAGCAAGGTACTGGCTCGCAGGCACGGAGACGGAACAACTTGACGCGACACCATCTTCGGGAGCCCGATAACTTGGAGCGGGTGATTGCAAGTAAGTACCGGCTCTTGTGAATTTATAAAGAAAATTTTGACGTCCTCGCAGTAGATGAGATCTAGATCTAGATCCTGAAAAAGAAAAGCATATTACCGACTTTTCCGGATCTGGAATCGATGGTGTCTCTGGCTGAAGAAAAGACAAAAGTAAAAATCAATACCGACAACTCGATAACATCAACAGAGCATTGGAGCGCTGACCGCCTGGAAACGCTAGCGGATCAACAAACAATTTTGGCGGCGGCGTCCGGATTCTCAGAGCGTGAGGTGGCTTCGCAAAAAACCGGCTTCCTTCGCACTGCGGCGCGCACGGTTTCGAATCTCAATGCCGTGCACATGCTGCGGAAAGATGTACGAAGGAAATACAGCTCCAGCGACAATGTTTTGTTCGGGCGTCCCCTGTAGGTCCCGCAGGGGAAAATATCTCCAGCAAGAATGAACGTCGAGCAGTATCGACGTGCCTGAGAGCCAGGCGCCTCGCACTTCTACGTCGCCTATTCCTTTGTTCCTCCACCTGTAGCAACCTGCTCAAATTATAGCACGAAGTTTTTGAATTTAGTGCCAAGATGTGAACTGTAACTTTGATGGACGTGGAGCGTGAAACGTCACCCTCAGTGATTGTTTTACAACTTTCCTGTTTCTCTCTTTCAAGTTATCTTGTACGAATCAATTGCTTTCATCATCTTGTTTCCTGTCTATTCAGCCACAACGTTGGGGGTGAAATGTCCCCATGTAGCTCCTTGTAGTACTGAAGTAACTTTAGAACGACCACATGTACGCTGGCTGTGATTGTGAGTTCGTGAGCTCTAATATGCTGTATGGAGCTTGGCACTGGCAGAAGCAGAACCACTCTAATTTACTGCTGAAAGAACTTGTCATTCACCAGGTTCATACATCGTTCTCTCTTTCGTTCCAGCACTTCGTATGACTGATAATTTCGTGTTTAAGACAATCTGTTGTACTTCTTTTGATTTCGGTCGTACTTATTTCACATGATAGATCGCCATCGCATTTTGTTTTTGAAGGATGGGTGAAAGTCATCGGGGCCAGGTGTTGCTCCACCTGCGGCGCGTGTTTAGAGCTTTTTTTCGTCGTGATCGTAGTTTTTCGTCTTCGGGTGCATCGATATTGGGTTGCATAAAACTTTTTGCCTCTATTTTTGGGTACTGATGGGAATCAATTTTTGTACAAGGCAAAGACGCCAATGTCATCAATATTGTTTGGAAGTAAAAAGCCCGAGGCCGATAAAAGTCAGTGTTGCTTTTTATCCAGAAAGGTACAGATAGCATTTCCAGCTTCTTGTCGGTCACGTTGTTAGGACCACATGGCGGACTGATTAGTTCACAGAAATAGCGAAGATGTCCTCTAGTTCTTCTGGTGGCCCCGGAGGTGGGACGCCATCGTCCGCCCGAACAAAAGCCGGTTTGCCTTCGGACCGCCGCCCTCTGGTCACCAACATGTCGTCCGCCACATCACCAGGGGGCTTGATACAGCAATCTCTCCTCGTCCAGCAGCCGCAACGGACGACGCACAAACCTTTTGGCGAGCTGTCCCTGAAAAATTGCGAAGATTTAATGGGTGTGAGTGCGCCCATGGGAAGCTTATTCAACAACATGTCTCACAATCTCCATGCGTCGAGCACGTTTGCTGGCGACGCATCCGAAGCAGCACAGCACCACGCGCTTCTCGAGAAAACGGAAACGACCAGTAGCAGTGCGGACCTGCTGATGGGGCACGTGTGGGCACGGATTGCCCTCTGGCTGGACGTTAGGTCTCTCGGCCGGTTTTTACAAATAGTCAAACTCGCGAAGGAGGAGGAGCACCAGGTGTGGCAACACTGCGCCTACACGCTGCACTTGTGCGTTCCGGTGCCTGGCAATTCGTGTAACTCCTCCCATGTGAATGCCAACATCCACTGGAAGCAGCTGGTGAAGAACTTCGTGGAGCACCACGCAACGCCTACCAACATTCTGCGGGCGAACGGGCTGGACCTGTACGTGTGCGGGGATCCGGAGAGCATCGTCGACCGGCCCATCCGCCCGGGCACGACACTGTTCGGCTTGCCGTTCTCTGGCCAGTGTCTTTCCACGCGCTTGAGCTCCCTGCCGCCCAGGATGGTTTTGGACCACCCAAAGTGGCCACGGATCCGGCCGGGGGAGGGACTGGTTCTGCTGAATTTTCGAACGGTATCTTCTACCGCGAAGAGTGGCGAGTTCTTGAAGAGTAGTTCTTACGCAGCGACGATATCTACAACCGCCGCCGACGAAGAAAAACAGTTCTGTTTTGCGATCGGGTATCACCGGAGTTTTGCCACACTGATCCACAAAATCAGCGAGTTGTGCGGCGTGTCGGAAGTGCGCGGCTTTCACGACGACCTAACCGCCCCTTTGCGTTCCCTTTTTTGGTGCGCGGTGGAGGAGCTCACGCTGACGCAATTCCAAAGCGATACACATGCAACAAGTTGTGCGGGTGCTGTGGAGCGTCAGAAGACGGGACAGAGTAGTGTTTCTGTCGCCGCAGAGCAGTCTTCATCATCTTCCTCCGAAAATTGCGCTTCTACTTCGGGATCAAATATTAACGCGAAAATGCCTGGAAGAAGTGGGAAAAGCAGCAGTCGAAACCAGAATAAACACAATCGTGGCACCAGCACAAGTAGCCGCCCTGCTGAGTTAACGCGCGCGCCCCGACCGCGCGTCACTGGTGACCTTGCGCCACGACGTCGCTCAGTGCTGGAATCGGCCTTCTGGTGGGATCCCGAAACTGACACCGGTTGTTTTTGGACCGCCGACCTCCTCTACTCCCCGAAAAGTTGTGCCAGCGGGAACGGCCATGCGACTTTCGACTCCGATAGGGAGAAAACTTCTGCTGCAGGCGAAGGCGAGCCATTTTTTATGGTAGACCAGGAAATCGAAGGTGCCGAAGCCGAAGACGCCAAGGCTAATTTTTTTGATGAAACTGCGGTCGGGGAACAACATAGGGAGGACCAACTTGGTGGCTCAGTTCGGGTGGCGGGCGCTTTGCAATTTTCGCCGGAAGCGCGCCGAGATCATAGTGGCGCCAACATTGATGCAGCTACGAGGGCAGCAAAGACACCAGTCACTCCGACACAACAAAATAACAGTTTCGATTTTCGCACCGCGGTCTCGAGCGACTGTAAGCCGCAGCAAAGAGGAGCAATAGAGTCAGACAACGATGCCGGCACTCCGTCGTCGTCTTCTTCTTGTGGTTCAAGCTGCGTCGCTCAGGAGGACGATTTTTACGCGTCAGCAACTAGCAGCAGTCTGGAATTATTCCAGGATGCGACACACGAGAAGAAGAATACGCTGGAAAACGCAAGAACAGGGTCTGACTTGTTACACAACAAGCCGCTGGCTGCTTCACAAAAGTTTTCCGAGAAACAGTACGTGGAGGTTCCGGCTACCTCCCCAGAGAGGGTCTTGGGAACTACAACAGCGCCAGGCGTTTTTCTGCCCGACCCTCGACCCATGTTCTCCGCCGGTTCGCCGGCCCCGAATGTCAGCGCAACTGCTGGTGACCACCACGTAAACAACGACTCCGCGTCGCATAATTTTCTCGCTTTTTCACCAGATAACGGAAGCATTTCTTCTGCAATATCATCCATTGCACGCGTAAGCCCGATGGAACAGCTGAATTCGAATAGCGATTCGCTCGCGGCAATGGATGCGCTTGTCAACGCTAGTTTGCTTGCGCAGGGTAATGAGGAACCACCTGTGAGGACCAGCAAGGTGCGCACAAACGACAGGAGAGATGAGGCTTCTTCGGAAGGGTTACTCGCTGTTCCAAAAGAGACGGGAGTTGAAGAAGATGAACAGCAAAGGGAGACAAAGGCAGGAGCCGAACTAGCTGAAGCAGGAGAAAAATCCGATTCACCTCTGTTTTTCGACTCCGAGAACCCTGCAACCTTTGCAACCTACAGTGGACGGGATCCGACAACCGCTCCCAGTCGCAGCCGTTCGCAGTCATTGGTGACGGAGGAGGTATTGATCGTGCCAGCTTCCGGATCCAGTGATGGAATTGCACCTACCTCGTCACAGATCACAGGTACTAACGAATTAGCGCAGCGGCCTGGGGATCCTGCTGTGCAGGAACAAGCGCCAGCAAGTGCGACTTCCGCAGCAAGCTCTTCTACTAACGTTGTAGGAGTTCCTGAAGACGAGCCGTTCGTCAACACCAACACCACTAGAAATGATCGTGAGCAGTCTCCGAGGACATCAACAACAGCAGATCCGTACTACGAGGCGCAGCTACGCCGGCTAACCAGAACCCGGAATGCGGCGACGCTGTCCGTTCTTCTGCGCGAAGCGCCGGAGCTTGCGGAACACCTACACTCCATCAGCGACGAGGATTTGACGCGATTGCTCGACATGATTCACGCGACCACTGCTTCCCCGAGTAGGAGAAGCCGGCCGGACCTGTCGCCCCGCGCGGGTTCTACCTCACCGCAGGAAACGGCGTCCTCCACAAACTCCAACCGATTCGTGTCTAGCTCTTCCCGTCGGGGCGAGCGAGGTGGGGAGGCGACTGCTTCTCGGTCTGCCGCCACGGGACGACGGGGGAATGATGACGGCGAGGAGGTCTTCCCCGCATCCTCGTCCTCCGCTCGCGACGGCGAGGGCGAACCCAGAACGCGTGGGCGGGCCGGACCGTCGCAAGAAGCACTGGACCAGATGTTGACCGGCAGTGTTGATAGTCCTTTGTCGGAATCTCTCGAGGAGCCTGATGCCATTGACAGCGATCCCTACGGCAGGGGGCGCAATCCCTTCGGCGCGGCCGGGTCCAATTCCATATCTGAATCTTCGGTGGAAGAAGAATTCGTGCAGAAAACAGTCACCTACTGCGGAACTGGAACATCCTCGAGCGCAGCGTCCGGAACAAACAAGAGCAATAGCAGCAGCAGCTCGAGTAGTTCTAGCTGTTCGAGTTCCTCCAGCAGCAGCAGTGCAGTTCTGACCGATTCTACGCACGGGCACGGACCGCCAGTAGATGAGACTACTGCAGGGCTCCCCGAAAAGGCTTCTGTGACAGCGACCAGTAAAAATGCACATGGGGTGGAAAACAGCAAAAAAGCTGTCGCGAACTACAGTACGGAAGAACAACAGGAGGTCCACGGGGGGCTGGGTCCGACTTCCAGTACCGCTACATCAGGCACGACGAGATGCGGCACGACCACCCTGACATCTGCCGCATCTTCGTCAATCCTGGCCTCCGAAGGGGCCGACTTTTCCCACGCCAGTAGTACGGCCCTAGCGGTTTCTGACGAAAATGATCGAGGAAATGTAAATGAGATTTTTCCAATAACTCCTCCAGGACCTCCACGGGTGGGATGTGCTTCTAGCAGTTCTAGTCCAATTGATCGGAAAATGAGCAAAAAAGATTCGGTACGGCCGTGCTCGTCCAGTGCGACGACGTCTGCAGCTGCTGTACCAGTGCGACGTCGATGCGAGGGAAGCTCCAGCTCGCTCATTATTGATGAGATTGCGAACACAGCCTCCTCGCCTGTGAAGCGGTTCTCGACGTCCATTCCGATCACCTACTCGTGGACACCAAAAAACGTCGAGAGCATTGCGAGTCGCGGAGCGCATCAGCCGCACTCGGTGTACCACTACGCGTCCCCGGTCGCGGAGCGCGCCACGACCGGGGGCAGTTTGTTTGACGACCGGTTTTCGCCTGCTCGGTCGCAAGTCCCAGTGCTGAGCAGCCGAGAACGTGAGGGAGATCAGCAGCCGCAGCTGGTCCTGGAGGGTCTTCCACTTGAAGCACAACAGGAGGTGGGAAGGCAGGAAGTAGATCTTGGCGCGCGTGATGAAGCTACGCTATTACAGGAGACGAGGAGAACACGCCAGCGACTTATATTACCTTTACCGTCGGACGCAGCAACATCTTCTTCATCACATACTACCCCTGCGGCTCCTGCCGATAATGTTCACGCAGTGCCGGCGGAGCACGAGAGTCCACCGCCAAGTCCCGTGCAGCGCAGTCGAACGCGGCTGACAGCGGCCGCAAAGTCGAAGAAAATCTTCATTGACACGCGCGATCAGCCCGACCGCGACCACACGGACGACGCGCGGTTTCTAGCCTCACCCATCGCGCTGCCGCCCCCGGTGCCGGTTCGGGTCCTGGAAGCGACGAAGCAAGCGAGGCAATTCGAGTTCGCGCCCTTCGCGCCGGACCGACTGATGCTGGTGGGCGACAAGCACGGGCACGCGAGCGTCGTGGACATTGTGAAGGATAAGAAGGTGGGAACTTCCGTTTTCATCGACGCAAATCCGCTGCTCGGCCTCTCCTGGCTCCCGCTGTTTCCCAACCGCGCGCTCATCGGGGCGGCGCACAGTGGCTCGGTCTGCATGATTCAGCGCGACGTGGAAACCAACAACCTGCAGAAACTCCACCTGTACCAGCCCTTCATGCAGCTCTCCTCTCTTTCCGCGAACGCCACCAACGACTACTTCGTGGCCTCGGGCTTCGCGCACGAGCTTGGCGTGTTCGATGTGAACCGCAACTTCCCGATCAAGATCATCAACGGCGCGCACGAGCACTTCATCAACATCAGCCGGTTCGCGCACACGCACCCGCACCTGGTGGCCACCGCCAGTTTCGACAGCACCTGCAAGTTGTGGGACCTGCGGCAGCAGAGATCGAACCGGCCCTGCTGCACCTGGCACACGGGGGGACTGAACGTGATGTGCGCCTTTTCGCCGGACGACCGGTACCTGCTGGCATCCGGGGTCGACACCCGGGTGCTGCAGTACGAGATCGCGCAGCCCGACCGCACGCCCAACCGCTTTGCCGGGATCCTGCGCAAGCCCTCCTACGCGACCCGGTACCGCCGGTCGGTCTACTTCGCGAACAGCAAGTGCTTCGTCACCGGGGCCACGGACGAGGGCCACGTGCACGTGCTGGGCGTGATGGGGGAAAACTACGGGAAGATCCGCGTTACCAACGACGCGATCGCGGCGCAGTACTTTCCGAAGCCAACCGCGGCGAATGTGCGCGGAGGCGGCGCGGGCTCCTCTTTATCCGTCGTCCCACAGTCGCCCGCGGCCCGGCGGGCAGGGCAGAGCCCGGTTTTCAGTCCAGCCCTGAACGTGCTGCCCCTGCGGCGGCACGACGACGAACGGCTCGAGGACGCGGAAAGCAACGAGGAGGACAGGCATCTCGATGTCTTGGACGAAGATGCAGATGAAAATGCGAGAAGTGCGGATGTTGTGCGCACTGAAAACTATTACGAGACCACAGACACTTACCCGTTGCTGGAGGAAGATGAAGGGCCAAGTAGCTATGCGACAAGACGAGAGCAGGGCGTTATTAGCTCAGCGTCGCAACCGTCCCCGATGATGCCAACAGAAAGCGCGGATCCGCGGATGCGGTCCCGGGCGGCAGAAGTGTTGCTGCAGACGCCAACGTATTTGGCTGCGACGCGCAGAACACGCTCCAACTGGACAACCTCGTCCAGCGAAGGCGATCCCATGGCCAATTTGCAGACCGGAGTGCTGCAGCAGGAAGAGCAACTGCATTCCGGAGGAGCTGCAAGAATATATTCCAGAAGTAGAGCTGCAGCGCTTGCGCGTCAACAAAGTTCAGGTGGGGCGAGCTACAACGAGGATGACGATGCTATTGGACCACCAGCGCCCGCGCTGGGGAGCGCGGTCATAGGGCAACCGACATCGGCAGAGGACGACGAGTCGAGTCCAGGGGGTAGATATGCTGAAACCGGGCGGGCGATTCCCCGACGCGGGGGAGGTGCGACGCGGACAGGTTTTGACACGTCTGCCTACGGAAGGCCATTTTCAGGTCGACGAACCAACAGTAACAATTCATCTCCTGGGGCAGTGTCGAGCAGGAGCTTAACTCGCCCATTGCACGACTACGCGTCCAGACGAGCCTCTCCAGCAACGCTGCATCAGCAAAATGAGTCGCGGTTGTACAGTGACCGTGGTGAGCGTGACGCACAAACGCGGCAGCAAGATACTCCCGCGAACGCGCCGGCGGATCCGTACGTGCAATCCGTCCGCACGCATCCGGTGCGGTCTAACATCTTTGCGGTGTTGCTCGCCGGCCACCCCCCGCGAGCAGATTCCTACATCGCGCTTTGCGAGCGGCCGGTCCACAGTAGAAATTCGCTTGCAAGAAGGCGGTCGCAAGAACTTCTCTTGGGAAGCTGCGTTTCATCATCATCTTTTGGAGCAAGAAGCCCTGCTTCCAGGCACGTTGTCTTGAATCTCGACGACATCCCAGAGGACAAGTAAGCAGAAGGTGCTTATATTTGTTTTGCTGTACTCTTCTGGGCACTTTCGCGAGTACCACGTCGTGCTCTCAAGAGAAATCACGTAAAACTACTCTATGTCTATTCCTATTGACGTTAATAACGACGAAAATGAATATCATAGGCCGGAATGGCATTTATGTTTTTTGTTTCACTGTGTTTTCCTTTTCAATTTTTCACTCAGATACAGTCTCACTCGTTTTCGTGCTGTCTTGATATGCTTAGTTCCTTGTTTCAACTTTTGGAATCGGGGATAGGGAGCTTTTTTTGAGCCACAAGTTATCTGTGTAGCTGAATTGTAGATGAGGTGGGCTCTACCAGCACCGACACGGAGGCTCGACGCACTTTTACACTGTAACTCAACGATTGCTGGTGGATGAAAATATCCAAAATTGTAAAAATCTTACATAACGTTAACGTAATGTTATCTGTAGACATCTTTTGTTGGACCGCATCAACATCATAAAAATTGGATTCGTTTTCGCTTTGTACAATGGTTGCCTTTGCAAATGTTGTTTTGATGGTGCAGCAGGACCTCTTCCCCTCATGAACCACTTCCCTGTATAATGAAGGCATATTTGTTTGATATGTTTTGAAACACAGTCAAAGTGTCATTTATTCAACAAGCACGCTGAATAGAAGTTTACTTACTTGAATTTCCTTGTTGGGACCCCGTTCCTGGTATCGTTCCGCGCTGTTCTGCAAAGTCTGTTCTATTATTGAATTCGATGCGTTTACCTTTACTCCTCTGTAGCAGTTGCCAGGCCGCTTTCGAACAGGATCACCTGCCATTGTCGTTTGGTGGACGCCGGTCGTACTCGTTGCAGCTCCCTCGTATCTTCAGCTAGCTCAGCTTTCTTTGCCTGTACACACACGATGAGGCCTATGTGATCGTGCACAGCGTCGATGCTACCCACCCCTGGTCCTTGATCTGGAAGTTTAGGAACAGGATCAAGGTCGGTCGTTTATGACGCGGATAAACATAAAAAAGGTAAAGCTAAAAAATACACGCATATCGACTTGAATCAAAAGCGACCCGCTTTTTTTGTTTGCTCATGTACATCAAACCACGCCAAGAACATGCAGATGCACTGTGCTCTACTACCTTTTTTATTCGTCCTCAAATTTCGTTCTTGCTCCTGGGTACTCGGTTCCAGTATTACTTAAGTAAGTACAAAAAACTGAAATGATTTAAGTCAAGAGTACAACACAACGAGTGCGAATGATTTTGCGCTGCCTCAACTTGTGTCATAACCACCACCTTGAGCAACAAGCGCAGCACGGCAACCAACATGCTCGAGAAGGAGCTGCAGCGTCGGTGCATTTTGTACCGCAACGGACTAGCCACCCGCCCGGACCCGGATATGCTCCAACTTTTTGGAGAATGTCGCACCTTCCTGCAGGAGGAGCAGACCGGCGAGGTTTCAATGGCCTTTGCCAAGTCGCTGCTGGTCCTGCTGCGAAAGTACCAGGAGCATTTCGTTGCAAATCGACTGCCGGTAGTAGAACAAGGAAGAGTGGGCCCGCCCGCAGGGGCTGCCACTGGTGGTCCAAAGAACCTTCGCGGCGCAACGCAAGAAAACGACGAGGATGGTCGCCCTAACAATGAGCAGCACCTGGTGGTCACCCTCTTCGTAGAGGCGGGTCTGGTGCTGCAGAATTTGGTGAGCCAGAACACGGCCTGGCGCACGGAGTTCTTCCATGTGTTTCTGACGCAGGGGCATTTCTCCAGCTGGCTCCACCTGGTGCTCCCGCTGTTGCAGGCTCTCGCTGCGAACCGACCAGGAGCCCTGAAACTCGTGCGGAGCATCATGGCGACGTGCCGCGTTGTCGTGGCGGAGTGTGCGCACTTCGCGAAAAGCCAATCGAGGACTGTTGAAGGCGGGGCAAATGCAGGGGTTTTTGGTGGCGCGGCAGGAGGTGTCGGGACGAGTCCAGATTCATCCGAGTCGAAGCGTTATCTGGAATTGCTCGACGTCACGCTGACGGAGTTTTCCAAGCACTGCTCTTCCGGACTGCTCGACGTCGCACACCGAGCGAAAGAGGTCAGCATCAGCGAACTGAAAAATTTGGTCGCGCAATCCAGTGAAGTCCTCAGCTGCCGGTTCGCAAATGCCCAGGTGCTGCAGCTGCAGCAGGTGTGTCAGCTCAATCTTGCCGCAGCGCGTTTGCACGTGGATTTCGAACAACGCGGTTTTAGAAATAACGACGGCCAACAAGAGTATAGCGGAACCGCACAGCAGCTTGATGCTGCAACAAGAATTCCCTGCCCGGGAGAAGCTTTGGACTGGTGCTTGAACCTGGTAAAGCAAACGAGACAAGAGGGCGCCAAAAATATGCAATTGCTGCAGGATTGGTACGTCGAGCAGTTTCTAGACCAGGTCGTTTTGCACTCGTCCACAGAGACGCAGCGCCGAATGGGCGAGATGCTGGCACTTTTTTGGGAAATCACGATTTTGAGGGGTAGCACAGTTTCCGAACGTCGAGAGTTGGAAGAGGTGACGGATCCTCGCGAACACGCAGAAGCAGTTTCTAATTTTTTCGAAACCTTCCTATCGTCGAACTTCATACGCGCCCTAACACATGGCACCTACGCATCGCATGCGCCGTCCTCCTCTCCGAGCGAGGATAATGTCCTCGTCGGGCAAGATCATCTACCACGGCAAAAGGATGACGACGAGGAGATCACGTTTCCCCGTGGCACAACGCGAGTTGCGGCTGCCACCCGTGTGGGTTTAAGCGAGGCCGTGTGTGCGTTCATTCCAAATCTTCCGGAGGAGTGCCAAGAGCAGCTCTTGCAGAAGCTCTTTCGTGATGTCGACAGCAGCGGCTTCTTCGTTGACGCCGCGTCGTTGGAGCTTCTGAAGGCGTTTCCTGTAAATTACGGATACCCGGTTTTGATACGCCTCTACTTGAAGAATAAATGCGGTGAAGGTGGAGATCCGCAAGCAGTACGGCACCAGCGGAAAAACCACTTGCTTCTGGAGCACGCGGTGATCTCTGCGTCGTATGATTCCGACTTGTATGGCTTCCAAACTTTCAACGCCTACTGGTACACACTGAAAGAAATCCTTCGTGACAACCCGTTGTCCGACAGCACGGAAGAAGAGAAAGAGAGCGAAAACGAAAAGCACCAGCGCGGGTCCTCGTCCTCGAGGAAGGGAAGACAAAAAGAGGTTCCAGATGTGCCGCAGCAACAGCACGAAGATGCGCACCAGGCCTCTATCTCTTTGTACGGGGAGAGCAATTCAGGTCTGGAAGTTAAGTCGGAAGACAGGTCCGCGTCGTTGAGAACGATCCGACGGAAAAAGATCGAAAAAAAGTTGGCGACCTTCGCTGCGAGGGTCGCGAAGCACGCACCCGCACTGCGGCACTTGGCGCCCTTGGTACGGGCCAGTGCGGGGAACAAAGGAGGCGAGGAGGTGCGCTCTTCCGTCGTGCAACTGCTGACCTTTTTGGTCAGTGAGCGACTGTTGGCAGAGGCGGGCATGGAACCCGATGAGGAGGCGCTTGTGGCAAAGGTAAACCACTTTATCTTGGATCAGGTCGGTTGCTTCGCCGAGCTGCTGGACAACGAGCACCTGGGTTTTCTGTACGAAAAGATTGTTTTGCCCGCGGTCAATTTGAGGACTCGAGAAACAAAAGGAATAAACAAAACGCCCAAGAAAGAGGAACGCAACTACTCGTGCTCGAGTTTTGCTCTGCTTTGCCGCATCTGCTTCCGGTGTCGTCTTTCCGTGCGCCTCGAGTTCCAGTCCAGGTTTTGTCAGGACGCTCCTGGAATGTTGACCTTCGCGAACGACCCGGATCGCAACCAGAGTGAAAAATGTTCATCAGAGCAGGCTTGGAGCGATTTTGAAAAAACTTTTCAACCGAGTTCTTTGGGAACACGTCGCGTCCCCGTCCCTGATCAGAAGGCACGAACAGAAGATGATGCTACATCATTCTACTTTCCAACAAACGGCATTTTCGCGGAAATGGATCTGGCACCTTGGTCAGCAGTAGAAGTGGAGTCGGGCGACAGCAGAGGAAGGACCACACGGAGTAGCGTCACCTTCTTGGCAGAAAGGCCGCAAGATTCAGAGGAAAAAATTAAGGCGGAAAAGAGTATGGTCGTACGGCCATCTCGGGGCGTTGGCATGTCTCTCGAGGTAGAGACTGACACTGATAGTAAACCTAAGCGCGGGCGCATTGCAGTAGATGACAGCAACAAGAGCGTTGATTTCGAAATCGCGACGACTTGGCTCGCAATCCAATCCGCGCAACGTGCGACAGGTCGGGACGATACGACGAGGATGAATACGAACATCACATCAGCGCGACAAGAATTCCTCCACGAGAAACTTCAATCTCTACTGCCGACCGCACAAGACCGAGCTGCATTCGCTCAACGACTTTTGCGTTCTTTGGAGCCGCGAACTGGGCGCGAATTTTCCTCAGTAGAGAAGAAGAAAGAGACGAACGAATTTTTGATCGACTTCTCCACGGAGCACATACTAAGGTTGGCGAACACGGTTTTGGAGCGGGATTTCGTGGGTATTACCACCGTTTCGACATCGTCTGCACTCGGAGCGGCGCCGCGTTCACAGAGCGACGAAGAAGGACGAGGCGCAGCTGACAGCGGTTCTCCTGCTGAAATAAAATCGTCCAAATTTGCTGACGAATTCCAGTGGCTAACCGCAACCAGCAGAACCTCCGGGAAGCGCGTAAAAATAAAACGGTATACGCAAGGCGACCGCGACGCTTTCCTGAACGAGCTGCTGCTTCTCTCCCGTCTCGGTGCGCATCCGCATGTTCTAGCTGCGGACGGGTACTTCGTTGAGGAGGTTGAAGAAGTAGAAGCCGGCGCCAGTCAGGTAGAAGAACAAGGAACGAAAGCAATTTCATCTGCATTGCGACCACGTTTCTTTTACAACCTCCAGTTTCCGTCGTTTGGGTGTCCTCAGGATGATTCGTCTGTCGGGCTGCGCAGGTTCTTCTTTGCGGGAAGCTACGAAACGCGTGTCTCATCTGCACCAACGAATATTCTAGGCATCAGCTGCTGCTTCTCGCACCAAATTGCATGCGCACTTTGCTTCGTGCACGAGCGCCGGATCGTGCATGGAAACATCACTGCTGAAGCGATAGTGGTTGCAGATGCTGCGAGCGGAAATCCTCGGGCCTTGCTGTCCGACTTCGCGACCGCGGTAGACTTATCCGGTGAGACAGCGGTATTTTTGAAGAAACGGAAGGCTCCCTTGATGGATTTGCTGAATGGTGACGGAGGAAACCGAGATGATTATCGTGCGCCGGAAGTGTTTCCAATACTGGGAAAAAACGCCGAAAACCTCCCACCGACCGTGGAATCGTCCGAAGGTCATGGTCCCACGCCGCTATCAGATTGGTACAGCTATTCAGTACTGGTAACGAAAATGCTGGTGTTCCCTCGGGACTTCGATTTCCAGATTTCCTCGTTACCGCGCCATGGGGTGACCGGTTTGGTAACGATACCAACCCAGATTGCCCTTCCAGTAGGGGGAGATGTTGACAGCGGGGGTCGTTTTGAAGAAAGCGAGGACCTCTGGCTGCACGCCGTTGATTTTGTGCAGACGCTGCTACTCGAAAGCCCGGCAGCGCGGCTGGGACGGATGCCAGGTGGTGAGGTTTTGCTGCATCCTTTGTTCGCGTTTGGGAGAGCAATGTCTGGTGCGGGAGGGCCTGGGCCGCTCATGCTTTCCTCGGAAACAAGTAGAAAAAGCCGCAATACCTCTGCAGCCGGCGATGCGCATCCACCTTCTCCGCGGCTCGCCTGGAATCACGAGCCCAGCAGCTGCAGCGAGGCTGGAAGTTCGGATGAGAAGAAGCAGACTGCTGAACCAGGTGGACAACAACTCTCCGGCTCAGCGGACGAACCGAAGCTCGAGGTTTTCGAGCACCTGTCCTTTCTGCGCGAGCAATACCGATACGTATGTAGCAAAGAGCCGCTGGTCTTCCAGCGGGCGAAGGTGTTCCAACAGATTTTGCGGTCCAACCTCCCGGACTGGCGGGCCGACATTATTCTAGGCGAGTGGCGCACGCAACTGGAGGGCGAAAGTGGCGTGGACGGTGGCGGGCTGCGCAGGGAAATTTTTCATTTGTTTTTCGAGCAAATGTTCTCCGATGCTAGCTTCGTGCAAGGTGACGGTGATGGAATCCTTGACGGCGCACCAACATGCGTGTTTTTCCATCTCCCGAAAAATCCGAAAAACTACTACACTAGTACGACGTCAAGGCCGCAGAGCGGAAAGAGTGAGCAGATGCAACATCGCACACGCCACGATTGGCGGCGCGCCTGGCGATGCATCGGGCTGATGAGCCTGCGGTGTCTGATTCACTGTCATCAGTTGCCGTGTCCTTTGTCGCCTCTCGTGTGGTCAGCTGTGCTGGGGCAGTGCGGCCGATTGCCGCCGGATACTAGCATCTCAACGTACTATGCTGGCGCGGAGTTTTCTGCAGAAGAACAGGACGTGCCCCACTCTGCAGTTGTGCGACAGATGCACACGCTACGTGCCAACCGGGGCGACACCTGGGCGCGCGAGCTGTTGAACTATTTCCTGCACTGTCTTTCACTGTTTGACCCAAATCGCGAGCGGTCGTACCGGTGGATGCTGAGTTGTGTAGTTTTCGAACACAAGATCAAGACTGCAGCACCAGTTCTTGGCGCTTTACTCCCGGTAGAGGTCGTAGCAGATCTTTTTGATGATCTGTTGGACGAGCGAGCGCTTGCCTGGTTAAAGTACGACAGCCACGAGATACTGCTGGTGGAAACGATAACAGCAGGGAAAATAGCACCAGGAGTAGATACAGAAATCACATCAAAGTCAGAACATCAGCAACAGGAGCAGGACGACCACGACGAGGCGAAGCCTGTTCGCCAAAGGTTTCACCATCTCGGCCGCAGTAGTGGTCTTCTCGAGTGGGTGATCTTGTGGGACATTTACCTGCACTTTATCGGGGATTCAACCGAGCGGTGGGATGCGTACAGCAGCTTTTCGGAGGGGCTCACCATGTGTGGCCGGTTCGCCCGGCTCTTTACGCCAGCTGTGCTCGTCCGCAGTACGACGAGCGCTGCGGGGGCCCCGTTGTCATCTTCGAGCTGTGTTTCTGTTGACAACAGATCGCCGGCCCTCGGGCTCCAATTTCTCCGGGTTTTCATCAACGGGAAGAATCTCTCGGGCAAGGCTGTGTTGGAAAACGTGGAGTTTCAGCCGGAAATTGGCTACGAGAAACAACAAACGTTTTTCAAATCAATCCTCACGGACGACTTCACCCGGGCGGAACTGCAGAAGTTCCTGTCTTTCGCGATCAGTGTGACCCAACTTCCCATTTCTGGAAAATTCCCGGGAAACCAGAAATTGCTCATCCGATTTCTGGGGGATGGGGAGGAAGACGTGCAGCGGCTCCCGGCTGCACACACTTGCACCTGGACCGTGGATATGCCCGTGTACGACACGAAGGCCGTGATGCTTGCGAAACTGCGCCAAGCCATTGAACTTGGGCCGCTACCCTTTGCAATTTCCTAAATTAGGAGCAGTCCAAAGGGGGTTTACAAACTCGGGGCGGTTCGCTCTTTGGCACTAGATGTTGTGCAAAACACACGGTAGCGCGAGTGAAAGCGGGGGCGGCAGCTCCCTTGTCAGATGAAAACGAGGCAAATGCGTTCTTGAATCTACAAAAGTGGCAACAAAGACAAATGTCGCGTGTTCGTTACTGTTAGTTCAGGAGTTTTGGGAAAGTAGTTCAGTAAGCGAGGAGCACTAGCAGTCTATCGAGTGCGGGCGTTTCGAGTGCATCCCCTTCAAGGAGGATTTCTTGCGATATCCATGGGCAAGAACTACTCCTACATCAACATCTACACCCCATGGTTGCGACGGGTGAGGTGAGTGATATATTGATCTTCCCTGGCTATTCAAAAAGATTAAGTGAACATGAGTTGATGTCAGCTTGACCCAACCTTAACGATGATGTAAGATAATGCGAAGAAGGAACACGCCAACGCCTGTCGTGCTTAATATGAGTCTGACAGCGTAGGACCCGCTCCACCAGCATTTTTATTGATACGACGGGACTCGCAGAACTCACTCGTCGAGCTGTCGCTGCAGACGGCGCCGCGCGATGGCGCACCGGGGCTGCAGCTTTTTCGACGCCCAAAAAACACTCCCAGCGACTACTAGAGCGGGTAAATGCGACGGACTACACGGACTGCAACTACTGATGCCGCCGAGAGTTTTTCTGCTGCTGGTGGCTGCCAGCAATCTGTTTTCCGCCGCCAGTGCGTCATTCCTGCAAGAAAATGCTGACAGCCTGCACAGTGAAACAGCAGCTGCCGAACTGAAGCGACGTGCTCGTGCAAATGAACAACAGGAAGGTGGCATAACGATCAAGGACGCGTCAACGCTGAGCGTGAAGAAGCGCAATCATAACAAGGTGGAGAGAGTAAACGCCAGCACGCTGAGGCAGAAGAAAATACTACCGGGATGTATAGAAGAAGTTGAGTAGTTGTTGTAGTTCAACCATTTTTTTCGAGCGATGATTCCCACATTTGATCCTGAAGTGATGTATCTTGGTTGTGGTCTGCTCGTGCTGCTTGTCTTCCATGGTTTGAAATTTCACCCTTTCGAACCAACCCAACAGCGCTACTCCGAACCGGTTTCTGTATCGCGTCAAAAACGATGTGAGGACTCATGTTGGCAAGTCGAAGGATAAAAGTTTATCATTAGCCGACGCTTTTGTGAAGCTCAAGCTTTTGCCTTGTGGTTGTGCAGCTGCAACGACGAGAACGAGAGTCGTAGTCTTGCCAACACTAAGCACTTCTCAGGTTGCTCTACAAAATTCGATAATTTGACTTGATGCACATGACTTCGCATTATTTTAACTGCATACCACCTACGGAAAGATCCCTGGCAGATAATGAATTGACGAAAGCAGCGTCCGATTTGGGGAGCAAATACGGTACCTTGTTTCGACCTTCACTTTCGTGATATCGATAGAGGTTTTCGCGCAGTATTGCCAGGAGAGTCAAGAGTCTTAAGGAGCTCGCGCTCGTGAATATACAAAGATATGCGATCAAAAAATTGATGAAAAAACAACAACACGAAGCGCAACATGAAGAATTCAAGGTACGATCGACACCAGCTACACAGAGCGCACCTTCCAGCTGTGCCCTATGCCACGCAAGTGATCGTACAGGATAGTGCCTGTGGTTACCATCCCCGCTCGATTGAGCTACTACTTGCAAAAATGTTCCTACAGACAACATCCATATAGCGGGTTCTGATTGGAAGGTTGTATGGAACAACAGGCCTATTTTCTTCCCATACACTTTGCGGAAGATTTGGATATACAGGTCAACCTGGGTGACGGACTAGCGAAAATCCCCCTTTTCCTCAAGTGCGCCGACCTTTGCAGAAGCCACCCGGCTTGTGGAGGCTGGCTCTGGCAGCTATGTACTGCAATTTGTGCGAAAGTCAAAGTAGCGCAGTAGCAGTAGCACACGGATCCTGTTTAAACGGCATGAGCATGCACATCATTGGTACACTCAGAAAGTGTGACGCTGAACATGTAAATGACAATGTCATCTTCAGCATCAATATGCATATGGTTATGGTGGATGAATAAAGACCAACATCATGTAGAACGTTCACGGTTCGCAAGAAGATCGGAATCATGACAGCGAGCCAGTAGCTACAAGTAGGTACGTTCGTAACTGTGATGTAGTGTGACAAGGAGAACGAGAAGAAAAATTAATCTGCAGTTGCTTGCAATTGTGCACTTTTGCGCACCATAGCAGCAGGGCGAGAATGACAGCTTTTCCTGCACACTGAAGAAGTCCTTCCAAACCGCGCGACCGATGTGGGTCAGCTGTACACCCCATGCTGGCACGACTATCCAATGCAAATAGTCTGTCTGAGTCCGGATGGAACAAAATCAAAAGAGCACTGTGTAGTTTGTCAGCAGGGTCATCCTATGCATGATCAAGCAGAGGATGAGGAAGGGCCTGGATTTGGCTTCGGGAGCTAAAAGACTTCCCTCAGAGTCAGAGGCCTATGGTGCATGAAAGGTTTTTGGGGTAGTTGACAGACATTAACAAATGGCAACTTTTATTCGTCATCATACAAACTACATAGAATCCAACATCAACATGTTTGTTAGACCAAATGAAATCTTCTAGCATCGCCATCGGCTTTGGCGCGCAGCAGTAAATATGACAAGGTAGTACTGGCTCAGACCCGGTTGATGTTTGCGATGGATAGCAGCCACCTACGTGCGAAATGTCGAATACGAGCCCGAAGTCGATACGAAGCTTTGGAGAAGGACTACTGATGTTATCCCGTTGAAAATGGCTCACAGATGTATGACCAACAACATATCCACAGGGAGGACCTTGAAGATGGTTTGTTTCTTTGCGTTTCAACTAACAAGAAAACACGATACAGACAGATTCAGATCATCGGGTTTTACGTAAATGCAGAATGTCTAAACGTAAACCTAAACCCACAACCACATGTGCATGTCCTCGTGGTTGAATACGGCTACCTAGGGGCGTATGTCATCAAGCGATGATATCCTGAGTAAAAACGTCCCCACCCAAGAGTTGTCATGCAGATTTGCGATTGCAGGAACATTTGTAATGCGCATCTCCATGAGAGGCATTTCCAATCGTGTTTTGGAATCTGTAATGCTGTAAACAGGATGAGATAGTGGCTTCCTCATGCGGCTTTCCTTGCTAAGCAGCCCTACGCTGCAGATGGAAACTTGTCATGCACAACTCCCAAACCTTGGAGATTTGTGTTGCAGATTTTCCAATTTGACTATGGGGTGGGGACGTTTTTACCCAGGATAGATGAGCTGTTTATTTTCATCACGTGGATGCTCGAAGATGTGATCAAGTATGTGCCTGCGCCATACATTGCCAATGGCGTGGCGTCGCGATCTGCTGAGATCACGACGCTGGCGACAGTTTTGCGCGGGGCTTGCAGGCACTTAACAAAAGCGCCCCGGAGCGCCTTGGCTCTGTCTGTGCTCTTTCCCTTTGCTTCGTCGCCCTCGATAAAAGTGCCGCCCGCGCGGCGCCGCTCCGGCGGCCACGCCCCTCCACCCCGCCCGCGCGTCAGTTGGCTCAGCGAGAAGCGTGCGCGCCGCGCCTTGCTCTTGAATTCGCCTCCTCGCCCTCGCGCGCCAGGCGCCCGCGCCGCGCTGCAGCCTTGTACACCGAAGCCCGCAGGGGGCCCAATGGGGCAAATTGCCCCAGGCGTCGCGATCTGAAGGGATCACGACGCCCACGGCGGTTTTGCGCGGGGCGGGCACTTAACAAAAGCGCCACGGGACGCTTTGGCTCTGCGCTCTTGCACCGGCGGAGCTTTTGTTTCCCATGGTGCGAAAGCTCTTTGTCTCTCGAGCAATACCAACAGCACTCGCGCGCGGGGTTGATATAGCGTTTAAGCATTCGAGTGTTTAAATTGGCGGCAGCGCAGATTTGAAATCTGCGTGAGCAGATTCGAATCTGCTCACTCTGAGCAAATTCAAATTTGCTCACGCAGCTTCACAGACAAACAATCAGCTTAGCCATTCGAGTGCTTAATTGCTTAAAAATAGAGAGAGAGCTTTTCTGAGAGAGCCGATCATCGTTCCCCGAGAGAGCTTTTCTGAGAGCTGTTCTGCTTGCTTTTTTCTTCCTCCTTTGCATCTGTTTTCTTTCCTTCAAGCACGTTGTTATCGTGGTTTTGTGGTCGGTGAACCGGTACCCCTGTCCGCCATAAAAATCTATGACACGCATAACAAGCGAGCACTCCCGCACACTTTCTCTTTCCTCTGCTTCATAGGGCAGTGAGATTGTGTTCGGTGAGACGGCAGGGGCTGAAGTGCTTTCTTTCCTCTCTCGGTCCCCGAGTGATTTCGGTGTGATTTTGTTATGCCCGAGCGAATCCGAGCTGCCAAATATTCCTGTCTCTGTTCTCATGCGCGCCTTTTGTATGAAAGTTCAAAATGAAAATTGCTTAAAAATAAACAGTCACTTTAAGCATTCGAATGGCTAACTGACTGGTTATTTTTGAAGCTGCGCGAGCAAATTTGAATTTGCTCTGAGCAAATTTCAAATTTGTTCACGCAGATTTCAAATCTGCTCGTTTCCGCCAATTTAAGCATTCGAATGCTTAAACCTTGTGAGCGCGATTTCTTAGATGAGGCACTCGAATGCTTAAACCTTATGAACGCGAGTTCTTAGATTAGGCATTCGAATGCTTAAACACAGAATCTGCTGCGCGATTAAAAGTTTCACAGAGGTTGCGGGCCTTACCCAAGTAACATGTGCATGCCCTCGTGGTTGTATGTCATCAAGCGAGGAGCTGTTTTCATCACGTGGATGCTCGAAGATGTGATCATGGGCTTGTCTACTAAGTGGAAATTTCCCGGAAGCCGGAAAATTGAAAAACGTCCTGCCCTTTTGAAGACGGCGCTGCGAGTACGACGTCGAGACAAGGTGGCTGCTCGGCGGGTTGCTGCGCGGATGTTCCTGCTTCTGCTCAAAGAAACCAGTCCAATTGATCCATTCAAAAATCCTCACTCACAGGTACTCACTATACGAAAATATCAAAGCATAAGCACTCTACAGGTCGAAATCCTTACCCTGTCACGCCGATCCGCCGCCAGCAGGAGATAAACACACACACGCCACAACTACTTCATTCGCAAATCATAGTAGACTCTCCTCATCATAAATCTCTACGCATCAGAAATTCAAATAAAAAACTCAGATCATACAGGCTACCGCTACCCTACATGTGTGGCCCTACAGAACCGAGGTGCTCAGTTCGGAGTGGTCGTTGTCGAGCAAGGTGCCGAAGAGCAGGTGAATCACCAAGAGGGCGTGTTGCACCGCCAGGTGGTGCAGCATCACATGTCCTCAAGCTGGTGAGACAATACGGCGCCAGCAGTTCCTGGGATCTCGGTCCAGACGTGGCGGTGGTTCTGGTTAATTTTTTAAGCTGTAAACCTGATGTGAGAATTTCAATTTGATTTTTGATGTCGGGATGCGGATGAGCCTGTCTATTTGAGACCTTTTTGAAATGATCTGAATTTATGTGATGTTGTGGCGTGTGTGTGTGTGGATGGTCGATCTTTCCGTCGGCAACCGCGGGCACCTGGTAAGATATTGATGCTTCTGTTTCATATCATGATGAGAATGTGACGCGAGCCTGGACGCTGATCTTCCCGGACCGGAGAGCGAGACGTAGGCGGAGGATTTTTAGCACGTTTGGAGGCGGAGGACTTCGAGGACACCAACAGGGCTGCTTCCGCAATGGGACTGCTGCGAAAGGAAGGGACTTTTTTCAATTTTCCAGTTTCCGGGAAATTTCCGCTGAGTATTGTCAGTGGCCTCCTCACTGCCGGCGCCCGGTACGGTCCAATAAACCTGACGGACCGATTAGAAGCCAATCTATCGATGAGCTGTTTTCATCACGTGGATGCTCGAAGATGTGATCATGGGCTTGTCGGTGGCCTCCTCACTGCCGGCGCCCGGAACGGTACAGACGTGAAGCACTTTTGGAACAGGAATCCGAATCTGACGGACCGATTAGAAGCCAATCTATTCTTTTTTTTACACAATAGAAGGTCACCAGCGAGCACCAGGCTTTCGCACATAGTTGAAAAAGTGATAGCCAACTGCACCACTAAGCTAGTCTACTTGCGGATATACATTATGTAAAATTCAAATTAGTAGCGAGGACGTTAGCATGTTGCAGTTGTTCCAAGAAGTAGAGGACAGCGAGAATCAATCGCCTATGATTTTACGAATAATGAACAAGAGCTCGCTATCGCTTTGCTTTGTCATCCCTAGCAAGCGGATCCCAGCAGTTTGAGAATAGAGAAAGCACAAATGACCGCACCAAAGAACAATCTTCGCAACTTGAAAGCGCGCAAAATAGTGCCACGAGACCACAAAGTGGGAAAAGGAAGGCATTTTGAAAAAATTGAAATGATGTGACCGCGGGGGGCAAGTGGCTGCATCGTATGATGCCAATTACGTTTATGGTCTAATATGTATTGTTCTTCAAACGCAGAATGGGTAGGGATATGCAAGTAAAGTTGCATTGGAGACGCAAGTAAAGTTGCATTGGAGTTGTACTTACGCAATTTGTACTTGACGGTCTTTTAGTGCGAAGTGAATATCCTAACCAGTACGAAAGGTAAAGGAAAAACTAAGATTATATGTAGAGTAAGAATCAGAGTGAGCAGGGGTGTGTCGAACCGGAGTTCGGGTCTGCCGACTATTTTCACACGTGAAGGGCGTGTTTCGTAAAAGGATCTCGCGAAGAGAGACAAGCGGTTACGACGTCCTGGCGGGCTCTCGTCTTTTCCAAAACTTTGTTTTGGCAAGCGTAAAAGGTATCATTGAAGGTGATGAAGGCATGGACCGTGCTAGCTTCATTCCATGATATAGATATGTTTAAGATGGAAGGGCACGAGCGAGTCGTGCTGAAAGAAGATAGATACAATCGCAAATATGAGAAACGGTAAGCGCTAACGCTCGCTTCGAGCGGACAGCCAGGGCAATACGTTGCCGTCTCGAGGAGCGCCCGGCGACGAACGGAACCGGTGCCCATTTTTAGGTCGCACTTCGGAGTAGCAGATCGCTCGGCCACCGCCGAACGAGGGGATTTACGAGCGACAGCTTGTTCCCATACGTTTTCAAGATGGTATGGCTGCAAACGAGGAAGCGCAAGAGTCTCCCATCACCGGGAAGAACGGCAGTGAGACTTCTTTCTCTGTCATCAACGTGCGCCGAGCTCTTTTCCGACGCGACAGGAAACTACAACCGGCTGCTACTAGTATCTGCAAGTCGTCTGCGAACGGGAGCAGATAGCGCCGCTGGAAAGCAAAGTCGAGAGTTTCTCGGCCGTTTGGAGGGAAAACCAATCACCCACTCCGGGAGAGCGAAGAGCAGCGCAGCGGAAAACACGAGGAAAATAAGGATATCTGACCAAGAAGATGAAAATGATGTCGTCGAAGGGGATACAGAGCGAGAGGCTGAGGAGTTGCCGGAACTTACCGACCAAGTGGAACAGGACCGCACTGGTGCAGAACGAAGTAGAAGACATCTCCAACATGAAGGCCTAGAGCTAGGTGAGAAAAGTGTCGGGTCTCTCTGTTGCTGTAGCAGTACCGAAACTTGCTATTCATGCATGTTGATAATGTCTTTTCACATTCGAACGCGAACGCAGCCACAGGGCCACTTTGCTTGGAGTGTTAGTGGCAATGAGTTGTACAACTAGCTAAGTTCCACGACGAAGCGGCTGCTGCATTCTGCTGTCGTGGTATTGTGATAAAGCGTAATTAAAGGAAAAAAACAAAATTACACCCCAGTTGAGACCGGCCACAGTGCAATCGAAGCAGCGGACCATGCGGAGACTGAAAGCAACGATAACAAGGAAGCTGAAGAAGCAGAAGACGAAACAAGTACAAGCACAAGCTCAAAAAGCCGGACCACGATTTCAACAGAGGAAAGCGGGAGTAAGCTTGACAACAGAAAGAACAGTAGGAAAACAAAACAGAACGAAGCGGAACAAGTGTCAGAGGAAGAAGATGCCGAATCAGAAAAAGAGAATGCAGCAGAAGATGCTGACGCAGAGGCAGATGCTACCGACGAGCAGGAGGAGAATGCAGAGGCAGAGGGGGCGGAGGACGGTGAGAAAGAGGATGAAACCGACACTGCATCAATATCATCATCGCGGAAGCCGACGCCACAGGATGACAAAGAAGGAGGAGAAGTCAGTGGCATCAAGAAAACAGGCCTGCTAGAAACGGAAAGGTCGGTTACTTCACAAGACGAGAAGAAGAAAAACTCAGGCGAGAAAGGTGCAAGTGCCTCTACGGAGGACGAGAATATGGCCGAGGAGGAGGAGGCCGGTGAGAAAGAAGTGGCAGAAGTTGACGACGTCAGCAACTCTCCAGATGAGAAAAAAGTGGTGAAAAAGGAAGACAGCAACAAGCCAGGTGACGGAGCTCAGGCATCCGCCGCGGAAAAGTCAAAAAAGGAGGAGAAAACCACCAATGCAGAAGCAGACACAGAGCCTGCGCCTGCGCTTGCGAATAAGGCAACGAAGCAAACAACTCACTCCGACGCCACAGGGGATCAGAAAGCTGTGTCCGGTGACCACGAGAAGAAAGAAGGCGGTACCAGTACAAAAAGTAAGCAGAGCGAAGGACTTGCGCTTGCGGCCAAACTGTATGAGATGGGGCAGATGTTGCTAAATCGAAATCGGAGTCGACTCAAATGAAGATCATGCTCTTCGCAATGGATATGGATATGGATGCGACTAGTGTTTTAGCTGCGAATGTTGGCGCTCTTGCTTTGAAGATGCAGCTCTTGAGGTAGTCGTTTCAGTTATGATAGGGCATGTCGTGGTTTTGAACTTAGTTATGCACCTCGACATCCACGAGCTCGAGCAGCTGCGTAAAAAAAAGTCGATGTACTAGCACCGATTTTGGTTTCGCGGCAATAGGAGCAGAGAGGAACAGGCGGAGCATCAGAAGAGGGCGGCGGCAGGAGCAGTGACGACGGTAACAGAGACAACAACTGAAGGTATTCCTACAAACGCACATTGTAGTATGTAGTTCGTTGTGGCGAGAATGACTAAAAATGCTATTGAGAGATGAAAGTCGTGCTGAGTCCAAAAAATGGGTCACCGTCGCAGATCTTCTTCCTTGATCAATTTTCTGACTGCTTTTTCTGCTTTTTACATGTCTTTGTACTTCATCTACGACGTGTAACTCTTATTTACTACTTTCAGATCCCATCACTGCCACCATCTCTGTCAAGTACCAAGAGCTCGCCTTTAAGTCGTGTGCAGCGGAGGACTTGACTACCAGCACGCTCGAGGGGGACCTCGGACCAAATTACCCCCACAAGGACATGGACCTGTTTTACGCCTGCTCGGAAATCTGCAAGAAGGACATTTTCTGTGGCGGCTTCTTGTGGGAAGACTTGTCTGGCGAGTACCTCTGCAAATTGAAAAAATCGTTTTTCGGACCCCATTATGGATTGGGAATATGTCTGGGTCTACTAGAAAGTTGCAACGCAATGTGTACATGAAGTGGTCAGCACCAGCTGCGCTACAAGCATGATCTCAACATTGCAAGTCTCGCAACGTCCCAGGAGGTTCAGACATGTTTGCATTTGATATCCAGCCCATTTGGGCAATGTGTGGCCCATCCTCTTATTAAGAAGTGCAAGCATGATGTTGCCCCACCCACCCCCAAAATGTTGCTGGAACGCATAATCAGAGCATTGACGGATGCATCTTCGGGAAGGCCTTGAAAAAGCAGGATTTTATGACGCCTCCTCAGTCTGACACTGCCTGCGTGTTAGCTTCCATGGCATTTACACCTGCAATTTGGGAGGATATTTACATCAAGCGGTACACTCAGCTCACATGATAAATTGGGAGCGGGTGCAAAGTGTGTGTTTGCGCTGCATACTACCGTTACGACGTACGTGAAGGTGGTTACCTGGACGATGCAGGGGGATCGAAAAGCCATGTATTTTTTTTGCGTAATTATTATTATGTATTTCTGTGCTAGTGCTGTAGCTGTTTTTCTTTTTTTGCTCGATGTAGTTCAAGTTGTTGTTCAGCATGTACATGTGCGCAACTGACTCATTAGCTTTTTCTTGTGCTCGCCCACATCACAGTTACGAGAACACGGACGAAGTGATTTATCTCAGGAAAAAATTGGGTCAAGTCGATGTGTTTAATATGGAGCAGTCGCGGGCGTGAGACTCTGTTACGACTACGTATGACTAGAAAAAGGAATAGGAACAACTTATGCCTCCACTCGAAATAATTAGAACGTTGCGCTGGCCTCGGCCAGCATTTTTTGTGGATACTGAAGCTCGACGTGAGTGTGACAGCGCGAGCGCCATATTATGAGACTTGCCTCGACGCGTTTCCCTCGCATACGATCGCGCTGTCGCTTACTGGGACTACAACTGCAGCACCTGTACAACGGTAGTTTCGCGCCGCTCCAGCTCTGCTGAGGAGATCAAACCCGGCTACGTACCGCCAAAATACCACCGCTCTTGCCCTGACACAGCAACCTTGATTCAACTCAACCTCAACTTCAGGGAGTACCAGAACGCAACCGAAACTCCACTTCCTGCAAGTGCAAGGCCATATGCAGAAGCTATACCAGATGCAGCACTTCCAGTGGGCTTGTCATTGTTGTGCAAAATGTAGATGTACAATTTGAGCAATTTCAATTTCTATAATCCTATGCCAATTATACCAGCACCTTGACCCTTGCGCGACGCGCTGTCCCCAGTGTTGCTTCCGGCCTTCACTTGTAGGCAGGGTGCTATCTCATATTTGATTGAGACAGCGAGGAAGCGCCGCAATCAAAAACTCAATTATCGTTCACAATACTACAAACAGTTGCAACAACAGTCAATCAAATTCAGAGAATACAGTTACAGATGGGAGAAAAGATCCATATACTCTACGCTGATGCATTGAGGTCTGATCTTAGCGAGATGGTGCAACGCATAGTACATATTTCGAAACCTAACGAGCAGAAGCAATGATTGCAACGCCAATGCCAATTTCTATTTAAGGGAAATAATCATGACGTGGTCAGATGATACGAAATGAGTTTCGGCTTGCCGAATCTGCTACAGAGTATCTTTTTACACTTTTACCAACGTTTCAACTTTTATGCGAAATTTGCCGCACGGGCACGTTTTTTCATACGCTTGCTCCAAAGGTAGCAATCCAATCATCAAAACAAAAAATGAACAAACTGTAGAATATTGTGTTAAAAGTTTCAAGGACGCTATCACGGCAAAAACCAACATGAGTACTAGAATATGTTGTGGGGGACGACGGAAGCTAGTCCTATCGTTGTTCCTTTCTCACTACGATAGTCACCTCAAGATCACAATTTCTACTGGAGTGAAAACAAGAAAGCAAAGACGATCTACAATAAAGTTGGACAACTATCCGTCATGCCACAGATGCACTGAATTTTTGTCAAAGTGGATCTCTAGATGGACAAACACTTCTGAAGGTGCACCCGCATGCAGACTTGTCGGTCATTGTCCTATTTGTTTGCCACTGTTAGGAGGACGCGAAGTCAGCGCGTGATGATCAGCTTTTCTCGAAAACCATATGCGGGTTCTGCGGTCTTGTATTTATTTTCTCCTACTGTTGTACTTACATTTGACGAATTGGAATTGAAATTTTGGTTTTTGCGCTGCTGATTTTTTGCACAGGATCCCCCCTTTCATGTTCTATCCCGTTCGCAAAAAGTTTTTACTTTTTCAAAGGTTTCGTGGTTGCGATTTTCAATTCCATCCTTTACAAGCACGTATTTTTGTTGTACAAGTACATCATACTGCATATTGCCTAGGATAATATTCAACTTGAAATTTCAAAAGGATTTTATGAATAGAGTATGCAACGCATTAGCGTGGTTTCTTTCTGAAGCGCAGTATGACCTGGCTTCCATGTTGAATGTTCCCATCCCCCGTTTGATTCAAAGTACACTCCGCGGCAACAACTCCCATCGGCGGTCCCTTTCCAGCGCGCGGAGAAGTGTTACCGCTGCCAGTCGGTTGCTGAAGACCTACTGCAGTCAAGAAGGTTCATCAGCTTCAACGCTCGCTCCGTCCGCGGCTAGCACACGACGAGTTGTATCGGGAATAGTATCGTCCGGCACGACAGCACCGTCCTCACCTCTACTTTCATCAGTAGAAGCAAGCAAGAAAAGGCTATTGTCCACCATGGCCCCCGCCGCTGCAGGGACCCACATAGCCGCGGCCCGTCCGCCGGCCGGTGCGGTGATAGAGGATTTGGAGAAGCCGGTGGAGGACCACCGCCTCTACCGGTACTTCACACTGCCCAACGGCATGCAGGCGTGCGCCGTGTCCGACCACAAATGCGACAAGGCCAGCGCGTGCCTCTCCGTCCGCGTAGGGTCGCTGTTTGAGCCGAAGAAGATCCCCGGGCTCGCGCACTTCTGCGAGCACATGCTGTTCCTGGGCACGAAGAAGTACCCGCGCGAGGACGACTACAACGAGTTTCTGGCGAAGAACGGCGGGCACAGCAACGCCTTCACCGCCGGCACGCAAACGGTGTACTACTTCGACGTCGCCAAGGAGCACCTGGAGGGCGCCCTGGACCGGTTTGCGCAGTTTTTCCTAGAGCCTTTGTTCACGGAAACCGCCACGGAGCGGGAGCTGAAGGCGGTGCACAGCGAGCACACGAAGAACATGCAGTCCGATCGGTGGCGGCGGAACCAGCTGATGAAGAACATGTTCAATCCGGACCACGTGCTGAACCAGTTCGCCACGGGCAACATGGAGACGCTGCACGAGACGCCGACGAAAGAAAACATCGACCTGCGGCAGAACTTGCTGGATTTCCACGCCAAGTACTACAGCAGTAACGTGATGACGGTGTCCATCCTCGGGCACCAGTCCCTTGACGAACTGCAGGCCCTAATCACGGAGAAATTCGCCAACGTGACAGATAACAACGTGGATATTCCCCGGGGGGAGGCCATCGGCAAGGGCGTCGCGCCGATGGTACCGGGCTCTTTGCAAACGGAACAGTACATCGTACCCGTGAAGGACGAGAAATCGGTTTCCTTCCAGTTCCTTCTGCCCGAGCAGTACTACCTGTGGAAAACAAAGCCGACAAAGTAAGCGGTTTACTGATTGTTCTTGACGTTCTCTGGACTAGATGGCCTTTTCTTGGTGCTGCCGTGCTGGAAGCATAAAGATAAAGTCAGAGAGCACTACTTACAGAAATCAACGTATGGCTCCACAAAAGTTCTTGAGTAGAAGATCGCCATAATGATCTGGATCTCTTTCCGCCCGTTATTGCTTCTACAGGTATCTCTCCCACATGCTCGGCCACGAAGGCAAGGGCAGCCTCTTCGCCAAGCTGAAAGAGCAGGGGCTGGCCACCGACCTCTGCGCGGGGCAGGCCTTCGACGAAGCGGGAGTTTGCTTTTTCGCCGTTGACATCCAACTGACGGAAAAGGGCGAGAATGAGGTGCCGCTGGTCGGGGAAATGTTGTTTTCCTACATCGACTTGCTGCGGTCCGAAACCAGCAAAGTCGACACTGGGGCGGTGAAACCAGAGGACAGCGTGCTGCATAAGGTACATGACTGGAAGACGTAGCGGAATGTGTTGCTGAGTGTTTATTTGTAGAGTAGGCTTCGGTAGTTTTGTTTACTTCTAGATGAGAAGCCCTCAAATTAACATCGACTTGCTCAGGTTTTCCGCGAGATGCAGTGCGTGGACGAGATGAGTTTTAAGTTTCGGTCCCTGTCCAACCCCACCAGCGCGGTTTCGAATCTTGCGCAGGGTCTGCAGGAAATCGAGGTGCCTCCCGAGAAAGTGCTGTCCGCACATGCGAAGATTTGGGAGTACGATCCCAAGTTGGTGCACTCCACGCTGTCGCATTTTACGCTGGACAAGCTGCAGGTCACCAAAGTGGGGGCGAAGTACGAGGACATGTGCACGGAGCAGGAACACTGGTACGGCACGAAGCACTCGAAGCTCCTCCCTCTAGACCGCGACTGCACGCTGAAATGGAGCAAACCCCAAGATTTCGGGCTGGAGCTCTTCCACCCGAACCCATTCATCGCAGAGAAACTGGACTTCAAGGCCTATAGTGGCGCGCAGAAGCCGGAGGCGCCGCCGCAGCGCTACGTCATCCAAGTGCCGCAGTCGGAATCTTCTACTCAGGGGAAAGAGTCCTCGTCGCAGGCGATCAACCAGCGCGGGCTGCATCTGTACCACAAACAGGACCAGCTGTTTCGGTTGCCCAAGGCCTACGTTGTGTTGAACCTGTATTCGCCTTATACGTCGGCGAGTCCGGAAAACATGCTGAAAACGGAGTTGTGGAGCCAAAGTCTCGCGGAGGAGCTCAACGAATACAGCTACGACGCGGAACTGGCTGGTCTCATGTACAAAATGGGCGCCGATACAAGAGGGATTTATTTGCAGGTATTAAGGCCGCTTTTGCTTTTCATATTCATTTTCACGCCATGCGGACGATTTGAACTTATTCTACTAGCCTTATCCCGCTTCCCGTGTCCAGTTGTAACCTGCTGACTTAATAGTATTCCGCTAGATGAATAGTAGCACTTCTCATCGTCTCTCTGTGGAGAATCGTTGTCGGCGCTTCAGCACAGGTAGGCCCATCTGCCGGCGATTTTCAAAGCGGGAGAACGGCTTTGGCACGATCCGGCACCGGCCGGCGCGGAGGGCAGGTTGGCCTTTGCCGTCATCTTGCATGCTGGCACCGGCGGGGCCGCGATCTGGCGGCGGGGGGCGGGCATGGTCGGGCACCGGCTCGGCGAGGGCCCGACACCGGCGTGGCTAGGGTCCGGCACCGGCTTGGGCATGATCGGGGGGGCACCGGCACGGCCATGACCTGGCACCGGCGTGGCCACGACCTGGCACCGCCTTGGCCATGATTTGGCACCGACTTGGCCGCGGCCGGGCACTTGCAGGCATGGCCATGATCCCGCACCGGTTTGGCTATGCTCGGGCACAGGCAGGCAGGCTTGGCCATGATTCACCTGGCACCGGCTTGGCCACGACCTGGCACCGCACCGGCTTGGCCATGATCTGGCACCGGCTTGGCTTTGTTACTTATGAGATGATCTGGCCCCGGCTTGGCCATGATTGATTTGGCGCCGGCTTCGGCTTGGCCACGACGGACCCGGGGCCGGCTTGGCTTTGCCATGATCTGGAACCGGCTTGGCAGTGGCCTGAGCGAGCGCCGGCCTTGCCGTGATCTGGCACCGACCGGCCTGGCCACGACCTGGCACCGGCCTGCTTCGAGGCTTCGCTGCTTCGGGGCTTCGCTGCTTCGAGGTTGCGCCGCTTCGGGGCTTCGCTGCTTCGGGGCCTCGAGGCTTCGCTGCTTCGAGGCTTCGAGGCTCTGCTGCTTCGAGGCTCTCCTGCTTCGAGGCTTCGCTGCGTCGAGGCTTCGCTGCTTCGAGGCTTCGCTGCTTCGAGGCTTCGCTGCTTCGAGGCTTTGCTGCTTCGAGGCTTCGCCGCTTCGATGGTTCGCTGCTTCGAGGGTTCGCTGCTTCGAGGGTTCGCTGCTTCGGGGCTTCGCTGCTTCCTTCGGGGCTTCGGGGCTTCGTTGCTTGTTCGAGGCTTCGTTGCTTGTTCTTCGAGGCTTCGCTGCTTGTTCGCGGCTTCGCTGCTCGTTCGAGGTTTCGCTGCTTGTTCGAGGCTTCGCTGCTTGTTCGAGGCTTCGCTGCTCGTTTGAGGCTTGGCTGCTTGTTCGAGCCCTCGTTGCTTGTTCGCGGCTTTGCTGCTTGTTCGAGCGAGGCTTCGCTGCTTGTTCGGTGCTTCGAGGCTTCGCTGCTTCGAGGCTTCGCGGCTTCGAGGCTGCGCTGCTCCGAGGCTGCGCTGCTTCGAGGCTGAGCGGCTTCGAAGCTTCGCTGCTTCGAGGCTTTGCTGCTTCGAGGCTTTGCGGCTTCGAGGCTTTGCGGCTTCGAGGCTTCGCTGCTTCGAGGGTTCGCTGCTTCGAGGGCTCGCTGCTTCGGGGCTTCGCTGCTTCGGGGCTTCGCTGTTTCGGGGCTTCGTTGCTTCGGGGCTCCGCTGCTTCGAGGCTTCGCTGCTTCGAGGCTTCGCTGTTTCGAGGCTTCGCTGCTTCGAGGCTTCGCTGCTTCCTTCGGCGTTTCGAGGCCTCATCGTTTCGAGGCGTCGCCGCTTAGAAGCTTGGGCGCTTTGTCTGCATTCCATTGTTGTTGTTTTTCGTTTCTTTGTTTTCGTTTTTTGTTTTCATTCTTTGTTTTCGTTTTTCGTTTCCATTCTTTGTTTTCGTTTTTCGTTTCCATTCTTTGTTTTCGTTTTTCGTTTCCATTCTTTGTTTTCGTTTTTCGTTTTCATTGTTCGTTTTCGTTTTTCGTTTCTATTGTTCGTTTTTATTGCGGGATACTATTAAATAATGGGTTTTCTGACTTATAACTAGTCATGGTAGAGATTGAGCTGTGCTTGGATGCGGGCGCTCGCCGCCACCAGCGCAGCGTCGGTCTAATATGACCCTCTTTTTGATAATTGATGTTGATGCAAGTGAAACAAAATATATGAAAATGATTTTACTAGGTCGCTGGCTACGATGACAAGTTGAATGTGCTCCTGGCCGCGGTCTCTGATCGCATCGCCCAGGGCGGCGAGGTGAACCAGAAAACCTTCGACTTGGTTTACGAGCGCTTCCACCGGGATCTGCTGAACGCGAGTCTGAAACGCCAGCCCTACGAGCAGGCGCTTTCCTGGAGAAATCGCGTGATGACCAAGAACCACCGGACGTTCGGTGAGAAGCTTGCGATATTGGTGAAGCTGAAGCGCGAGGACCTGACCGACATCCAGGAAAAAGTTTTTGACGACGTGCACGTCGAAGGTCTTGCGATGGGAAACCTGTCAAAGCCAGAGGTGAAGGACGCATTAGTGAAGGATTTTCTGAATCGCACTCTAACGCCATCTGCACCATCGAGTAGCAGTTCAAAAAGTAACGGGACAGCAAAAAGTAACGGGACGTTCTCGCCCAAGAGCCGCACGACGCCCGTGTCGGACCACATTGCTCCGATGTCGACGTTTTTCCTGAAACCGGGCAAGGCCGTGGGCATGCGCCTCGTTGGGACCAACCCGGACGAGACGAACGGAAGTTCGATTTTGTCCCTCCAGGTGGGAAAGACCAGTGTTGAAACCTGGATGAAGACCAGTCTCTACGCCCAGATCGTTTCCCAGAAATTCTTCGACGAGCTGCGCACCAAGCAGCAGCTCGGCTACATCGTCGCTAGCCAAGCGGTAAAAAACGCGCAGAAAACCGAAGTCCTTTACCTCGTCCAATCCGAGGTCGCTCCGAGTGTCTGCACGCAGAGAATACTCGACTTCTGCAAGTTGATGCAAACGGAGTACTTTGTCCCGGCTTCTAGTGCAGAGAGCAATAAAGATACAACTCCGGCACCGGCCGGCGAGGAAGAGAAGGCAAGTCACATCACCGAGGCGCTGTTCGACGAGTACAGGCAAGCTCTCGTGGTGCAGTTGGAGGAGAAACCCAAGAAACTCTCCGACGAGTTTGCCGAGCACTGGAACGAGGTGCGGGAACGAACGAACGACTTCGACCGGCGGGAGAGGTCAATCGCGTTCCTGAAGCAGCTGAAGTACGAAGATTTTCTCACCTTCGCCCAGTCTATCTCCCCGGAAGTCAATCCGAGCGTGTCGGTGGAACTGGTGCCAGAGAACCTGAAAGACCAGGAGATGGCACTCCCACCGATAAAGGTGGCAAACATGGACACGGTGAACTTCAAGTCAACCGCGGAAATCGACGCATTCTTCGAGAAGGACATTTTTGCGGGTACCGGGGAATGGCTGCACAGTAACACCAAAATCGACAAACCGGAAACCATGTCAAAGCTGTGATGAAGTTTTTCGTGATTTTGGTAGGACAGACGTCGAGCAGGCTGACGACACCATGTTGAAGCAGTGTTTTTACTCATGAATGGAACCGTGCCTTTCGCTGTATCACCCCCGGAAAGTAGCCCTTTTACATCATGTTTATTTTTTTCCTGACCCAGTACTACCCTCGAGAGTGGCCCACGTGAAGATAAAAGCATATGGCAAACAGCCAAAGAACCTCCTTCATGACCCTCCTTATGCCAGTCGTCGTTCAACATCTTGAACGTGAGCCCCAACGTGCTGGCGATGTGCAGTAGGACCCGATGATGTGTGATAACTACATGTGAAAATAAGGAACACCAGCAGAGGGCGCGCATTACCACGTTGCGCCGTTCTAAGCTGTCAAAAAGCCATGGAGCCACGACAGGCCCAGCACAACTGTTGATACAACATTTGACTGGCGCCAGACCTTTTTTCTCTCAGCTCGAGAAACTTCAGTTTGTTTTCAGTCACGATGGTGCACCAGAAGATCACGGGCCGCGTTTTTGGAGAGCTATGTATGGCAGCACTGACGAGCCAGATCGATTTTTTTGAGGTTTGAGAGCAGAAGTTTTTTCTTGCAAGAGAAGCCATTTCCACATCCATTGCGAAGGCCGTGGCCACTCCCTGACTCAAAAATGACGATCACAAGTATTGCGCAGGCTCATCGCGGAAGTACAAGTAGAACTTCTACTACGAGAAATTCAATTTGCTCAGCTGATGAACAAGGTGGATCACGGCCGGGGCCGGAAGATGAGTGCGAAGGAGAGAAATAAAGTGACACCTAAGGTCTAACTACAGTTGTGCAGAGGAGCAATCCAGAAACTAGTAAATAACTACAAGGACGACCAAGTTCAATCACGAACAAAACCAATCGACGAGATTTATTGTTTGGCATGGACGACACACGTAAACGTAAAGGAACCACGAGCGAAATACTTGCTGAAACACTAGGGAATCGTCTCAGGGGAGCGGCTTTTTATGGCAGTGTGAAAGAGTTTTGATTAGGTAAGTTTCATCGTGTGTTTCGTGTGTAGTACCGCCAGAACCACGAGTCGAAAGTTACTCTTCATCAGGGTAATATGGATGAATCAGCATGTTCAGTATGACGAGTGCGATTGACAGCCGACAAGAGCCTTTGCTCTCGGCGCCTTCGACCGGCACCGGACAAGCACAAGAGCAAGCCCGAGGAACCGGCAGCAAGTTCGCCCAGGACCTATACGAGAGATTTTGGCCATTATACGAGAAGGCGGGATCCATTGCGGTAGCCTGTTTTCTACCCGTTGGGGTTCACTATTCGCAGCAGCTAGACGGGTTGAAGCCGTTCTTTTCTGCCGACGAAAGATGGAGCCCGCGGATAGATGGTACCTACTGGGGCCTCCTGCAGACCACGTATACCAGTCCGAACCTGATTATTCCGCTCTTTGCTGGGGTTTTGGTGGACAATTTGTACCGCCCGGCTTCGGTTTGTCTGCTGTTTCTCTGCATCACCTTCTCTGGGCAGCTCATCTTTGCCTGTGCGACCTTCTGGAATTGCTTTCCGCTGCTCTTCGTCGGGCGGTTTGTCAGTGGATCTGGCGAGGGCTGCATCGCGCTTATGTCCTCCGCGATTCTGGCCAACGCGTTTTTCCAACAAACCGGCAAAGACAAGGTACCAACGGCAAGTGCTGACACTTCCTGGTCGACACAACAAAATGCCGAGGAAGATCCCGAGTCTGCGGCTGCCTTGGAGAGAAAAACCATCGCGAGCAACGCCGCTGCGCGGCGGCGCTGTCTCGCCCTCGCGCTGGGAATCAGCGAGCTGGTTCACGCAGTGTCAAATACGATGGCGACGTCGCTCGCGGTTCCGGTGACAGACTATTTTCACGGCGAGTACTGCGCCGCACTGTTCGTCGCCTGGGCTGCTTGCGGATTTTCGCTGGTCGTCGGCCTGTTGGCATACCGATACCAGGAGGAACTCGGCATGGACCGCGCGTTCGCGCCCGCAGGCGCCGAGGCTGGTGGATTGAGCGGCATGGGAAGGCACAGCTTACACCAACAATTGTCGCCAAAACTCATGTACTATCGAGAAGTGAGTCAGGAAGCAGACGCGGGAGTCGGCACCACTGCCCTTCGGCTTGCTGCGACTGGAAGCAGTGGAGAAGTTGTAGAGACAGGAGCCCCCGGGGGCGCAATAAAGAGAGAAGATGGCAGCGGAGAAGATGTAGAAATGAGTCGCAACAAGGGGCCAACACCGACGACCGCGCTCCCGCCGATTCCGCCGTCGTTTACGTTTTCGCGGCAGACAAGCTCGAATAGTGCTGACGCTACCAGCAACAGAATCGATCGGTCGACGGGATCGATACGAGACGTGTTGAAACGACCACTGCTAACACCTAAATCTTGTTGCTCCGCTGGCTCCGCGGCGTCAGCAACCTCGTCACCCTCTCTCGCTGGCGCAACGATCTCCAATCACCCCACAAACTTGGTGGCGCGAACGGTATACGCAGGTTTACATTTATATTTATTAACCAAGCAAGAGCAAGATGAAAATTTGATTTACATGCTGCAGGAAGTTTAAACAATTTTTCTATATGTTTTTGCGACGGCGCAGTTTTTATTTTTTTGAGTATGCTGGTGCATTCCCGTCTCGAGAGGTTTCGTTTCAGCACGACTACAGGAAATAAAAATAAACTCTTTACCACGGAAACTCACTATGAAATTTCAGCTCCAACGCCGAGAAAGCGAGGATATGCACACTGTTCCCGTTTTGTTCTACCCAGCAGAACCGGCTGGAGGCAGACCGAAAACGGACTCAAGAAGACCGAGCTCCGATAGACTAGACGCCAAAGTGTCCGTATCAGGAGCAGGTAAGCCACCCGAGGGCCCGGTTTCTGGTCGTCAGATTTCAGATTCAGCGGAGTCCTCATCATCTTCGTCCACAGCGCGGGGAGGTCGTGCAAATGAGCGAATTGCCGGGACTGGCATTAGCATGCCACCACCAGCCAGCGCATCTCAATCCGCACCTGGACCAAACCAGGAGCAGAAGTTTTATCAGACTACGGCAGCTGGAGCAACTCTCTCAACGCACGATGAGTCGGCCGAAATTAATCCAGCAGTTTTCGAAATTGGAAGCGGTATGATCAGTAGTTACCCGCCCGACAGTGCTGGCCCATCCGATAACAATCCGGAAAATACACAGAGCCAAATCGAGTGGTGGCGACAGTTTTATGCGGGTTCCGACGGCTTCTGGTGTGTGCTGATCTTCCACGGCGCTTTCTCGGCGAGCCGCCGACTGTTCGGACATGTGGACGTGGATTTCTTCGCGACGCAGTACAATTTGTCGCTTCTCGACGCCGGTTACCTGGCGGGACTGCAATCGAGCGGTGGCGTAGCGATTCCCATCCTGGTCGGCATTTTCTTTTTGCGACTCCAAGAAAACGATACAGAAGCGACATCATCATCAACCGCAACTTCAAGCACGGATGAGACCAAAGCAGGGTCGTTTTCATCACGGCTGCGCGCTGGTGCGCTTTCCCGGAAACTGAAAATCGTATCCCTCTCTCTGCTGATTTTCTGTGCGTTTTTGATGGCGTTTTCCTACCTTTGGTTCGCGTTCGCCTGGAACCCGGTGGAGTTACCGATCTTCGCGTTGATGCTCGTGTCCGGGATCGAGCCGACGGTGTTGAAGTCGCTAGTTCCCCTCACGACTCTCCACCTCGCCACGGCGTTCGGCTGTTTCGAGACCGTGGAGTGCCTGGTGAAGACTTTTGGCGGCCCGACGGTCGGCGCCTTGCGCGACGAGTTTGGGAACTACTCGGTGGACCTTCTCATTTTCGCATTTGTTCTGCTTTCGGCCGCGCTTTTCGGCTGCATCTACCTGTACCGGTTCGTCGTGCGGATTAATAGGAGGTCAAAGGAAAGTGGAGAAGGTGAAGGAGCTGTGACGACAACATAATGACAAAACGAACCGATCCTCCCGTGTGGCGCTTTGTGGCAGCTGCAGCTTACTTGGATCTGATTCCTCGCTGGCGCCACGGTGGAGAGCACAGGACGGCCCACAAATGTATCCCAGGTGGATAAACGCTGACGATTACACGCGAGCTTCGCATCGTATGATCGCTACGCGACTTCTGAAGTTGTCAATCTTCAGGGAGCTGCAGCGCTGCGTCGTGGTTGTTATGTGCTAGCTAGTACGTCTACTTCTACAGCACAATGACGGCGACGTGCTCTGCGAATGAGCTCGGAACGCCGGGCTGTACATCTCGGCCAGCGTAGAAGCAGATCATGGACCATTGAAAAAATGAACTCGGACAGAAAAGCGCGTTTACTGCATGTGCGGCAGGACGAGGAAAAGGAAAACTCTCCAGCCCCACTAGGAGTGCGAAAGCGGATGCAACAGTAATGAACGACACCAAGGACTTCTTGTTCTTGGAGAGACGATTTATTAGCGGCGGCCAGCTTATGTCACCTGCCGGGTTAGGGTTCTACGGAAGTGAATGAAAGAAGAAGATCTGAATGAAAATTATTTCGATGAAAGCAGACGACAAAATAAAGCGAAGGAATCGAAGCAGCAGCTGACTTCAAAACATCCTGGCACTGGAGCTAGAGAGCTGTCTCATGATCAGGCTCCGTTGTTGAGTCCTTGCACTCGCACCGCGAAGTGTTTTGATGTAGTTTCCGTGTTCGACGCGGAGATACCATTCGTGATTTTTTCCTTTCTCTTTGCGTGGTGCATTTTTGAGTTGTGTTTTCGTCTTTTCTTGTTGTTCTTCTGCTTACGCATCGATTTGCAAACCATCCAAACAACATACAATTTCTTCCTATTCCTGCTGTCGAACCTCAATCGTTTAGCTTTCGCTCGACGGCACCGTTCGCAAAATGCAAAGACTAGGAAATAGTAAGTTCTTCAAAGAATGCACAGCTTTGAATAAGTATGATGTATACTCGTCACAGCTGCGTAAGCTGTGAGTTGCACCGTTTCTGCACGTTTCTTTCAGCCACCACCTGAACAATCGCATTGGGCACCTTTACACCTTTTATCACACTGAGAAGAATGGCGATCAAAGTGCACAGAGGTGCCTGCTCCTGCCGCGTCCAGGCGATTTCGGCTGTTCTGCAGGTCTTGGTCTTCTTTGCATGTCATCGTCTTGGATGTGCTTTAGGCTTTACCGTCGGATCCAGGAGCCGTTCGCCAACTTCTTCGGATATTGTCTGGGCGGCCCCCCCGTCCTCTAGCCAAAGTGGTGGAACGGAGGAACTGACTCAACATCGCACGAGCGACATCCGGCGCAGGAACACTTTCGACAGTGCCCATCGTCAGTCTCAGTCGTTTTCGGCCCGCTTTCACGAAGTTCGCGATCAGCGGAAACGCGAACAGAGCGCGACGGAAAAGCGCAGGACGGCGAACAGACACCTGGAAGAAAATCTGGAGTCGCTGATCAGTTTTCTGACGCTTGACCAAAGGCAGGACGGCAGCGGCGGGAACCAGCCTGCCGCTGACAGTAGCAGTGGAGGAAGCGGACAGTTTATTGCAGACGGAGTCGAATCCGGAGTTGCCTCGCAACTGCATGCATCTGCGTCAGGAGACCCATCTTCATCGTCATCGATGCCACCATCCTCGAGCACTGGTGTCGTCGTTTATGTACCCCCGTCATCTAAAGTTCCGCCTGACACGCGCTGCCGCCCTGGCGAGATCGCGACGACTCCAGAGGAGATTGAACTAATGGTTGATGATCGACATCCGGAGCAACAGCAACAGCAACAGCTTGCTCAATTACAGCAATCGGAGGCACCGGCACGAGCCTCACATGGTGCGGCCACTTCTGCCACAGGATCATTATCGCCAAGTACCACGCCAGCACAAAGAAGCACCAGACTTAGCTCCAAGGAAGCCGTTTTGCCGTGCTTGAGATCCCGCCTAGGGTCGCATGGCAGTGCATCCGTGACTAGCGGCTCTCGATCTCCCTGTACGACGCCGGGAAACAGTTCCTCCTGCAACAGGAACCAGGTCAGGGTTGGGCCCCCTCCCGGCACGCCTGCTAGGAGAATGACGGTTGCCGGCGTTGTGTCGGAGAGCGGCACTGGCCCCATCTCAAACGCACAGCAAGCAGAACAGGCGGGTGCAGCTCCGGATTACACAGCCGATAATTACACTGCTCATGGTCAAAGTCAGTCACTGGCCGCGCTATGGGCGGCGAGCAAAGCAGCTGCCGCAGGCGCAGGGCGACGGAAAACGCTGGGGAGTGCTGTTGGAGAGCCTACAGCTTCAGCATTCAGCCGTAAAACTGGAACAGGTGCGCAGTCTATGATTTCTCGCTCAACAAGCCTGGGTGGTACGTCGCAAAGTAGCAACAGCCGCTCACCGAGTGCGTTCTTTGCCTATCCGAGCACCCCGCAACAGCGGAGTAGACGGATAGAATCTGCTGGTTCTGAAATAAACTCGTTTCAGCCGAGTGCAACGACAGCACCGCAATCCAATAGAAATGCGGGGTCTACAGCTACAGTGCCGGCATCCTTGAACGGGAAGTTTTACGGGCAGCCAGTGGATAGCCGCACTGGAATGTTGTCGCAGGAGCTGAACGAAGACGAGCAGATCGTCGCTGAAAACTACTTGCCAGCGCATTTGCGTCGCGAGAGCGTTACTTTTTTTGGCGACCAGAATGAACCAACACAAAGATTCGCGGCTAGAAGCGATGATTCTAGTCGACCGGTGCTTCGTGCAACTGCATCGAACACTCCTGCCGTGACGGAGGACGAAGTTGGCCGCGATCTGCGTGATGCTGATGTTGAGCAAAAAAATGAAAATACTCCACTTTCGCCGGGAACGCGAACTAGCGGTATTCACGTCAACCCGGCGGAGCAGGAGCTGCACATGTCCGCTGTGAGTGGGCCACGACCGCACCAGTTATTGTTCTCGTCTCAGAATAACGATGAAACTCACGGAGGCAGCACTACAACGGTTTTGGCGGCCGCTCGGGGCGAGACAAAAAGCAAGGCTATTGCTGGAACAACAAGGCGGGCATCGCGAAAATCCTCGCGACCCATGGTCGCGCGAAGGTCGTCCGCCGTGTTGACTAGTACAAGCACAGCATCTACTTCTACCCCGATGTCACCCCACGTGGCATCATCTTCTTCTGTTCCCGACGAGTCGACACGGGCAGCATCGGCGGCAACTGGCGGAACAAATCCAAATCATGATGCTTCGTCGACAGGGGCGAGAGTAGCTAATGCCCGTCCTTCGCTAGAAACAGACTCGGACAAGAAAGCAAGGGACGAAGCCCGGAAGCAGCGTATCGCGGAGATCATGCGCGGCCGCCGGCTGGAGCGAGCGAGGACGGGAGGCTTAAATTTGCAGAATGTCAGACGCAACGGCGATGACTCCTCAGCACCCGGGCAGATAGTAACAGCTAGGGTGTAGACCTGCCATTCCGACGGTGTAAGTAGTAGTTTCTCTTCATTTTGAATGATGTTCACAATTTTGAAAAATTACCTTTTGATTCGTTCCCAATCAAGGCCGATAATCATACTATGGAAACCACAAAAAGCTCCCCGTTTCACCGATCAAGAACCAAAATGACCGAAAAATGTTGTAGATTGTGTTTGTGTACGAACAAGAATATGAAAAATCAAAGGGAAGGAACTATTACACGGAGTTGTAGAAAAGAATAAGAAATGACTGTGGTTTTGTATGTACCTTTGAGTTGTACTTGATCTCGACCTACCGTGGAAGATGAGCAAAGCTCCATCTCGGTCCTAGAAGCGCTACACACAGTGACTCCTTGATTCGGTTCCGAAACAACAAAGAAAGGTTCGTCTGACACGGCCTTGAGTTTTCGGTCCATTGTTTATCTACTTCGAGCCTAAGGCCGCTCATCCTTCTCGGTTTGTTTCTCCTTGTGATCGCTTGTGTCTCGGTGGATGAACAAAATGATTGATACATCTTGGAGGTCCTCATCGGTTGTGCTTGTCGGCGAAAATGTTGACATAGATGAAAAGCGCATCGGATCTGGTAGATTTGCTCTAGTTTGGATGCCAATTATGCCGGAACCGGATCTAGATCGTCTATGACGCACTCATTTTGTTGCGGTGCTACATCGAGTAGCGCGTCGGACGAATTGAATTATCTTCACTAGTAGGTACTTGAAAGTCATGTCGATGTTGCCGATGCTTGAGCTTAGGCTTGGCATATCGGCCAAGCATCAGCAAGTTGAAATATTTTTTCTCGACCACAGCAAGTGTGAAGGTTCGCAGTTGCATGCAGTAAATCAAAATGAAAATTCTTCCGACAACAACGATCAACATGCAAGCGAAAAAGCTAAAGCAGCATGACAATGCGAATGAATGGTTTTTATCGAGCAGCACAGGATCTCCCGCATAGTTTTGACATTGCAATAGGTTGGTCTAGTTGTCGTGCTTTTTCACATTTCTATTTCAGATGATTTTTGTTTCACGACTCGTGCATGAACACGAGTAGAATCGTGGCTATCTCACTTTAATGTCCTCACGGTAGTTGTTGGTTTATATATATATTAGCAGGGTACTCTTTACGATATTGTCTAGCAACATGGTGAAACTTGGGATATTAGAAGCCGCGTAACACTCGACAAGAACGAGTACCAGAGCGGCGGAGCTCGCTGTCGCGCGCGCAGGCCGATGTCCTCGTCCAGGAGTTACAATGCTACTGGGCAGCAGCTGCACTACCGGGCCCGCCGCAGTTCCGCACAGCAAGCGTCGGAGCGATCACGGTCTCTCCTCGGTGCTCCCATTTACGCAACGGCGGTAGGCGCCGGAGCGGACGATGACCACAACGCGCCACCGGCAGTGGAGCCAGGTCCGGAGGAGAGGGCACTGGAGTATGGAGGAAAATTGAGGAGGTGTTTTCCGCGCATCATCGTCTGGCTGCAGGCATGCAACCTGCTTACTCTGTGCTTGGTGTGGTTTTTACCACCCAGAATACCGATCATCATCGACGAATACGATGTATGGAAATCGAAAACGGACCCAGCCACTGGCCAGCAGAGCCTTGACCGCGACTTGAATGGAAATGTCACAGTGGCGACAATATTCGACGGAGTCCCGTGGACGCCGGGAATCATCTACTTTTTCAAAGGCTGCGCGACAGCGGGAGGGAATTACGGTATCGTGGCGATCCTCGTGGACTTCATCGGGTGGATTTTTATCTCGGTCTGGATGATACGGTTTTTCTGGAACCGAACGGAAGACGAGGCGGCCGCTAACGCAGCTTCCAGCCTAATCAACTGCTGTGCGGCCAATTGCAACTACGTTATTCATTGGATTCAGGTGCCGGCGATATGCTTCAGCTGCCTCTTCTGGACGATCTTCACGAGTGGTGGCATAATGTCCATGTGCACCAATCCTTTGAAATTGCCCTTCCTCGGCATGGTGAAGCACGCCTTCGCGATTTCGCTTTCCCTAGCGTCGGTGCTCGTGCACAAGCGGTGGAAACTGCTGGTGTCCGAGCAGGACGACGTCCGCGAGCAGTTTCGCGCAGCCTACTACCGGTATTTCGGGGCCGGAAAGGAGGGCGAGCCGACCATGCTGGATAACGCGGCCGCCACCGTCGCGGAGCGTTGGGAGGCCTTGAAGCAATGGGCGTACTACACGGAGGAGGCGGAGGGGCGAAAATTAGAGGACGAAACCCTGTCAACCGATAACGCCGACGAGGGCTATCTGAACGCGCTCTGGGACCTGTGGCAGCGGGACCCGGAGGTGGCCAAGGCCGAGGCGGAGCACGTGTCGCAGGACACCACAGTCGACGGTACTCCGCTGTGGGAGTGGTTCGCGGCCTGGGAGCAGGGCGAGGAGAGACCCAACCTCGAGCAGAGGAGAAAGAAGAGGCAGTTGAAGGAAATCGGGTGGATGGCAGCGGAAGACCGCGATGCGTCAGACTTCCGGGAGGAATTGATGCGAATGGACCCTGGGTACTTAATTTTCGCTGTAGAGGTTTTCGAGCGTGCTGCTGAGGGGGCAACGACAAATAAGAATAACCATGCGCACTGTTTAAGTTTTTATTCAAATACAAATTCAATTTTTCGAGTACATGATCAGAGGAGAAGTGTGAGTATACAGTACAAACGGTGATATGAAAAAAAGACAAAAACGAATCATGTCGAAACTTCACAGGGACCGCCCCGACCTTGTCCGGCGCGACCAGGTCGTTTTTTACCGGGGCCGGTTTTTGGAGTCCCCGAAACGGCGAAAGAACCCGGAGGCGGACCAGCGGCTTGTGGACATGAAAGAGGAGCTCCGAGAGAACGACAGCATGAAGGTAAACGACAAGGACGTCGGCGACGATTGGGTGGAGGAGCACGAGCGCGAGCATCGGTTTCGTCCCCGGACGGACCGCTGCATCTACAAGAAAGGACAGTATTTGGACAAAAAGTTCGATCCGAGCCACGTGGAAGCCGAACTGGGGGCCATGGACTATTTCTGGCAATTTTTCGGCTACGACGTCGGAGAAGTAGAGGGTGCGCAGGAAAAGGAAGAGAATTACGACGGGGAGCAGCAGGAGGCACGAAGAGAAGGCGGGCCTAATAATCAAATCGAAAACCTAACCGAGAGCACGCCTTTATTGCTGGCCCCCGGTCCTCGGGACGACGATGGAAGTTCGCCGCGGAGCCGGACAGCGTCCCCTGCGAATAAAGGCGGCGGTCCAACAAGAGTAAAAAAATCATCTTCATCGTCGAAGAAAGTGCCAACGCGCAACGACAGAGGGGAACCGGTGCTCACGCTCAAAGACTTTTCGCGGCTAAACCAAGATCGGTACGTGCTGGACGAGCTGGTGCCGCGTGCCCCGCGACAAGCTCCAAAATCGCGGCCGGCGCTGGGATTGATGATGCACGAGCGAGACCTATCCGCGCAGGCGACGCAGCACATGCGGCGCGCCACGGAAACTACCAACGCGGTAGCAACGCGTCCCCGGCCTGGAGATGAGAACAATCTTCCGGCAGTCGATAGCGCCGAGTTCGACGGCACGGAAAGCTTCGATTCGCGCGGAGTAGGCACGGGAAATCGCAGTGACGCGTCGGAGCGACAACGCGCCATCGTGCCGAAAAAGAAAAAACCCGGTGAACGGACCTCCCAACCCCAGATACCCACTACCGTTCGAGAAACAAGTACAAGCAAGTGAGAATAGTGATTTGAGGAAACTTAAATCTTCCTGAAATGTGAAAATGTTACGCAAGGACTAAGATCGACCTATGTAGTATTATTTCCTGTATGATCGTGGGAGTTTTTTCACACAGTAATGAGTCAAATACAACATCCTCGCAGTCTCTGCCTCTCTTAGTGACTGAAGTTACCTTGAATGAAATTTGACCACGATGCATCATATTATGGCATGATGTTTTTTAACGGCCGTAGCCGTACGCACACATTGCTGATGACTTCAGAAGTACACAACACTGATGAGTTTACTCATGTCATGTTGACACTTCTGCGAAGGCAAATTTTACCGGGGCGGTGGGATCTATTCTATTTGTATAGAGTCTGTCTGCCGCTTCGGGAGAAGATGAGTCAGGAGGTTATTGCGAAAAATGTGTCATCGCAGCCACTGTTGAATTTACAACCGCTGTGAAGAACTGCATGTGACCAATACCCGGACTCGTTGCCGTAGCAATAAGTATTGTCGCAGATGGAACATAAGATCGAGGACGATTTTCGTTTTCATGCCTCCACCATGATGAAGAGACAAACAAAACCTTGATGGTACTGCAGTGTCAAGCTCAAGAACAGGTTCGCCTTCGCCTCACAATAAGTACCCAGTTCGTAAATCGTCTACTTAGATGCTATTTGCGTGTCATCTTTCCGTTCCATCTCCAGCCTGTGGCTACGTCGATCTGGAGTCAAGATAGCAGGAATGAAGTGGAAGAATTTGCTGATGAACCACATAAAGATGAGAAATCGGTTGAAACGCTGCATCGTGGTCAGAACTCAACTACATTGTCGTCGAACTGTCGTCTTTTCATCAGATCTCTATAATAATCTCGTGTCCTCCTCCTCGTGAAACCACGCCATAAGTTTACGTAGCACGTCCGCATGTAGAAGTGCTCTTCGTCATGATGCGCAAGTGGTTCGGTGCCAGGGTTCGTGGACGGTTATGCGAAGGCGCAGCCGAAGGAAAGTTGAGTAAATCAGAATCACGTTTTTCATTTTAGTACTATACCAGGTGGCAGGCTTTTTCTTTTTGCGATTGCGTTCTTTTTTTTCTTGATTTTATTTGTCTGGGGGCGTAGAGGGTAGCGGTATTTTCTGACGCGGATAGAGATATGCGCATTCGCACAACAGTTGTGTTTTTTGTTTAGCTACAGTAGCTCCTGCGCCTTAATATACGCAGTCCACTGGATCTACGCGAGTAATTTACTCGCCTTTGTTTATGTTTTATTGGGTTATCGCTCCTATTGCTATTCTCGTTGAGGATAAGCTTGTTGAACACGAGCTGAAGATTTTTGTGTCACGGCTTTAACCCGACGATTGAGCTTCATTTTCACCTCGTTGCGCTCAACATATGAGCTCGAGCCAACTTCAACTTCACAGTAGATCATTGGCGGTAGGAGCTGAAAGATTCAAAAAGTTATGAGCTGCGAAGGCATACCGCCGCCATTACTCCTGCAGGAACGAATACAAAGCCCAAGCAGACCATCGCGGGTAAGACTCTTCAATATTTCACTATGTCATTTTGATTCCTTCTATCAGGGACGAGTTGTCGACAACGTAAAAAGTAACTGCACCTAGTCAGAAGATCTGTGCTGTCCTTGTGTTGAAACACAACTGAAAAATACACCAGGCCGAGCAGTGCAGCGACGCAGCGAATCCCGGGCGGGAGACGACATCAGAGAACACATCAAAACTTGAAGCATCAGCAGGAACTAATCAGCATGGCGCCGTAGAAGCGGTTCCCGGACGCCTTTCCGAAAAGGTGGAAGACACGGACGAAAATTTGGACCCGTTTAGCGCCGCAGACCGCCAGCCCCCCGCGATGCCGTTGACTTCCAGCGAGGAAAATAACTTTCTACGAGGCGGTGCCGTTGAACAAAGAAGACCGAATACAACAGACGAGCGTCAGGTTATTCATCTCGGTCTTTTGCCACCGCGCGAACAGGTCCAAGACCTTCTGGTTGCGGCAGTTGGCTACAACGCTGCCGAGCAGGAGGCGCTGGATTCTATCCTGAGCGCACAGGACTACGAGCACCTGACTTGCTCTGCAGGCACGACGGAATCCTACGCAACCTGCGCTGAGAATGCGCCTGAAGTGGATGCTCTTGACTCCGCAGCTGTGACGAGTAGTGCAGCGCTCTTGCAGCTTCCGTTTCGGTCTGCTGCTGCAGCTGGTAGCAGTTCTGGTTCTGGAGGTGAAGTAAAACACGCAGATGATCATGATCAAGAAGACAGCCCTTCCCGCGCCAAACCGGCGTGGGTTGCGAAAGCCACGATGAGGACAAATTCCAACCCGTCCCCGTCTGTGGTTGATGACAACGTCGTTCAAGCGGAACAGGTGGAAGTAGACGCGAGCGGACTTAGCAGGGCGGAACAGGACGAGTTCGAGTTCGAGTTGCAAGTCGAAGCTGACCCGAAAAATGCAAGCTGCACATCATTGCAGGGAGCACGGCGCGCGGAGGTCGCAGTTGCAAGAGTCGGCGCCGCCAGGAGCGAAGATGAGGACATGACTCCCCCGGGAAGCTGCACAGTGCAAAACACCGATCTACCAACAACGCTGCTTGCAGAAGTCGCTGCCGCGGAGAGAAAAATGCACGAGAACCTTCTGCTTGAGGCGGGAAATGGTAATGAAACAAATGACGTGGAATTGATTCCGCTGCTCACTGAAGCGGACTTGTTGATGCATTCTTCAGATGAGGCGCCGGCGTCTAGGTCTAGCGCACCCGTTCCAGCGGAGATGCAGAACGTAAGTAGAAACTATGCCGCTGTGCCTTTGCGCTTTCGCTTTTATTTATTGTTTTTTTGGTTCCTCGACTCCCATGCAGCCATTTGCATTGCAATTCCTGCTGATCCTGATGAAGATGTGGATGATCCCGTTTAACTGTATCGACAACAAGCAGATGAATTAATAGAGGAGCTGCTAGTACAAGTTGTATTAATTTGCAACACCATATAAAACTAACAGCAAGGAGCTTCCTGCTCGTCCGACGAGTGTCTCGACGAGAATGACAAAAGACGGGTACGGTTCGTAATGGAACCGGAGATGTGTTCCCCGGCCTCGTCGCAACTGCAGTCCAAGTCCTCAACTGGTGACGCAGCAGCGACACAAGAACAAGAAGGGGCGGTTGCTCCAGTCGCACCTGCTCCCATTTCTGAAAATGAGCCAGCCCCAGCGTCGCGAGGCGAGGCACTCGATGATAACGTTCCAGTTGCAGTCGACGAGCAGCCTGACGTAGATGATACCCCTAGCGTTACCGTCACCATTACTACGGAAGCTGGAAAAGGAGGCAGGCGGTTTGCTTCTTCATCATCGTCTTCGCAGCTGCAGCCTGTCAAAGCGCGCGGGAAGGGAGGCGCGAAGGGCCGGAAGGGAGCCGGACCGTCGTCCTCTGCGACCGTTAGGCAAGTCGGGAAGAATATGTCGACATCAGTGGTCACCACCGCCAGCTCCAGCAGCGCAGCTTCGAAGCGTGGTGCTTCGACAAGAAGCTCCTCGCGCCCCGCGTCGACAACTTCCAGGTCGCCACAAGCCTCGCCGGCCGTTGCCTCGCCAACGAATAAGCGCGGTGGCAGTTCTTTGGTCTCAAGTGTTACGGCTGCTTCGAGATCGCCTCCACCCAAAAGGGGCCACCATCCATCAAACACGAATGGTGCAGCACCAGGAAGTGGTACTCCTTCAGGGAAAAAGGCTTCATCGGTACGGCCGTCAGGTCGACCCACTTCTGTTAGTAGAGCAGAGTCCTCCAGCAGATCGCCCGGAAAGCAAGGAGTGAACAAGCGCTCTCCGTCGCCCGCAAAAGCGCCAAACTCCAATCACGCAGCCGAGCGCGAAGGTGGGCAACTGAAGAAGTCCGCAGAGCATCTCGGCGGCCTTCTCGCCTCCTATCAGCCCGTTGTTTCGAAACTTCGACAAGCAGACATGGAGTACCTACAAACGCTCACTGGAGTGTCACCAACAGCGGATGCTACGTCGAAGAACGTCACTCATCCAGCATTATCTCGCGATGCGGCGTCCGGCTCCCGACGGACAAGCACGGCAGATCTGTATGAGCTGACCCGCAACGGCAAACCTTCGCCGCAGACACTGAAAGCGAAGAAACCCGCTGCGAACAAAGCTCGCGCAAGAGTGGGTCCCGCGGTGGCGGTGACGCGTCAGACGCCGGTTCTGCTCGCTCAGCAGGGCGCGAGCAAGTCGAAGACTGACTCTCCTTTAAAGACGGAAGATCAAACCACGAATACCCCCCATCAAGATGGTAACTTGTTTGATGAGGCGGTGGCGGTCGACGAGGACGGCGAGCCGGATGCACCGGAAGCTTGTGGTGAGCGGCAAGATCTTGCGAGCCCGGCAACAGGAAAGGTCGCAGTTTTTGCCGAAGATGCAGCTGGTGAGCAAGATGTGTCCCACGATGTTGTCGTCGGAGAATTGAGTTGCACCGCAGATATTAACGAGCAACTAGAACAGCCGCACCTTCAGATTGTAGTGGACCAATCGGAGTCATTTGCGGAACAAGACGAAGCCGCTGAATCTGCTGCCGACGAACACGCGGCTACAGCAGTTTTTGCCACAGTAGAGACGACGAGAAAGTACCAGCAGGAGTTCGTGCGCGCCGAGCCCAAGAGCTCGTACACCACAATCGATGAGAACGACTACGGAACCATTTTCGGCCTTGACACTATCGACAACTCCCGCCCGGTGTCTAGCACAGCATCGAGATATCGTGTTGCTGGAGATCGCGTCCCGGTGCTGCCTGCGCCGCAGGAGCACGAGGAGGTGGATCCTGCGTCTTCAATAAATGGAAATGCAGCAGCTGCAAATAACGATCCAGAAGCATCACCTACGGGAACGGTGACGCAGGAATTCGACGGCGTAGTGATCACCGATCTCTTGCGAACCAAGGAGCGAGCCGAGCACTACTACATTGGAAGCAGCTCGCACTCTCCTGCCGACAACGGTTCGACGAGCGAAACGCAGCAATTTGCGGTGCCATGTGACGCTCTTGCGGCTGGCGCAGGTGAAGTGTCTGGGGGAACGTCAGCTGAGAATCGGATTAGCGCGCAGGAGGTCCCAGTTCCTCCGCAAACAATTTTGACGCCATTGGACACCTGCGAAAATAACGCACGGCACTTTCAGTACGAGAACAAAACCGGGGAGCGACCCACAAGCCTTCGGGTGCCGAGGTTGGATTTGAGTCCCGTTACTTTGGCGGTCAATACCTCCTTCAGCCGGAGTACCAGCCCAGCACCGCTAAAGCAGCTGGTGTCGCCCTCGTTCGAGCTCTCAAAGCACTTCGAGCTGAAGCCGTTCAAAATAGCTGCGGCGGTAGGGTGCGAGCAGGGGCAGCGCATGGTCGCGGGAGTAAATGAGATTCAGATTGGAAATTCAATCCTAGCGTCGAGAACTAGTTGTACCCAGAATCACGACAACTGGAGCTGCAGTCCAGCTAACGCTAACGACAAGGTTCGGGAAGGAGAGCCAAGCAAAAGCCTCAGCAGCTCTTGGTGCTCGCCCACACCAGGTGTAGGTTCTTCCGCCCGCGTTCTTCTTGGGGAAGAGGGCGACGAAAGTTGCGGTCATGGAGGAGCATTTTTAGAAAATGGTCATGACTATGGAGAACCCGTGCATGATGATCGACATGCTGGCGAGGAACAAGATCAAGGGGAGCAGTCCCAGGTCGTGGAGCAGATTCGCCGAAACAGCAGAGAGATCAATGCTGAGGCGCCGGAAACGTTGAGCAGCAACGTGCTCTTTCACGTGTCCTCGCAGTCGCAGGTCCTCGCATGTTCGTCGAGTAGTACCTCGCCCAGCAATCCCGTTATGGACGTCAGCATGAAGCTGGCAGACGAACAATTGACAACGTCGACAAAGAAGTTCAAGCAGAACACCTCAACTTCGCCTGTTGCTGCCCGCCAGCACGACCATGGAACTAGCAATAACTTATCACCGGCACGGTCAAGGAAGATGGGTACGCGGAGTCCAGCCGCGGGGCGACAACATGGCGGTGCGCTGATGAAAAGTCAGTCGCCGAAACGCGCGCCGTCGCCCTGCTCACCAGTTTTAGCAACGCAAGCTGGCAAAACTAACAGGAATAAGGTCCTTGCGGACGGAGAAAACGCAAGGAAACACGACCAACATCATCATGCATCCACACTCGCTGCGAAGGGAAGTTCAGGTAGCGGAGTGAAGCCGACGTATCTCGCCCCAGCGAATGCCTTACGTGGGACTGACGCCAGCAGCGCCTTTCTGTTTGTAGAAGATCCGTACTCTGCCGTGGCGAGCGGGCGACGCGGAGACTTCACGCCGCCAGTTCGAGGCAGTGCGCCGTTTGATAACAATTTCAACAACAAACTACGCCCTTCCAGCGTTGTGACCACCGCGAAGAAATTGCAACCGGCTCTTGCGGAGCCCGTTCGCGTTTGGCAGATGAACCACAATTCAGCAGAACAACGAGCAGGGGCTTGGCCGCGGTACAGTTTGGGCAGTGCTTCTGTTCTCAAGCCGGCTGTTCTTCCGACAGCAGCCGCAGTGCAACCTCGCAGCATGACGCAGGCTCCAGCCCTTCTGTCGCGAAACACGATCGGAATCACCCGCCCGACGGCGGCTGGGTTGACGCGGGCAGTGAGCGTGCCAAGCTTTCTGCTCCAACCATTTCCTGCACCCGGGGTTGCGGTCGCAGTCACGTCAACATCGAAACAGTTTGTGGCAAATAACGCTGCAAATATTAAGGTGCCCACGACAAATCAACCACCACCAGCAATGAGCACGCCTCGTACACCTGAGCAGAAGACCCGTGCAAGCACGGCTGCTCTGGCCGTCACGCCAGGCAGTGCCTTCGAGACTGCACCAGCCACAGATGTCGCGGAGGCAAATGTGGGCGTCGCTGCTGCAACCGAGAATAAACTGAAGAAGTGCGTCGATCACGTTGTGAAAAGTTCGGAAACTCCAATCGGAAATCGAAGCGCGTCTTCTGGTGCGGTCGGCTTTTCTTCGCGCCTTCCAACATTTGCCAACACCGTGGGTCGACTCTTGTCGGCCGTAAGCGGAAGCGTGACCGTTTCGAAGACCACGACCTCTGCGCCTTCTACCGGCCGCTGCCAAACGCCTCCACTGCCCGCGGCAACGACCCGACACACGGCCGGGAGCAGGTTGAAAGGACAACTTCCCGTGACCACGTCGGTGATGACGCCGCCGCTGCCCGTGCACGTCGCGATTGAAAATTGGTCTAACGGGCTACGCTCCTCAGGAACAATGGGCACGACGAGCGAAGGAGTTCTGCCAAGCGCTGTTGCAAAAAGCTCCGCTGCTTCAACCTTAGTCAAGAATAAAGGTGCGCTGTCAACGACAGTTAGTGTCGTCAGGGTGAAGAACAAACAAGCTCCAGCAAGTAGAAGTGTATCACCCGCAGCACGACGCAGTGCCAGCCCGAAACCGAAAGGCAAGAAGGTGGGCGGCGCTTCTCCAGCGAACAAGCAGATTGTCGTAGAAAAATCGGGGCCTGAAACCACGACACAGCAAGAACAGCCACAGCCCGCGGTGATCCGGAGTGCGTCCTCACCTAACTACAACCAGCAAGGTAGCTCGTTGAAGGGCTTGCTTCGGGGTAAGAAGACTGCGTTTCCGCACCTTCAGATCAGAGATACCTCGCTCACTCGGCTTACGCGCATGAATTTCAGAGATTACCGCGACGTTTCCCCGGTGCTTGGTTTGAAAAGTCGGATTGCTGGTAAGAACGGTGGTCTCGAAGAAGAAAGTGAAGTGCCAGTAGGAAAGGACGAAGGCCACGGCATGCCATCTAGTAACCTTCATCTGCGGCCGCAGGGCATGCAACTGAAGGAGAAGGAACAAGATGAAAAGCCTGCATCTGTTGAGAAACCACGGGAAATCTCGTTACCCCGATCGGCCTCGAGGACGGAACCAGAGGTTGAAAAGGCTGAACAAGGCGCCAGCCTCACGCAGTACTCGCATGCGCTTAAGCCGTTCAAGCTGTCGGCAACGATTCGGCACAAGTCTAAAAATCTGATGACCACCGGGTCACTGTCGACAAAAGTCGCGTTGCCGGCGGTAACGCTGTCAAAAATCCCGCCACTGCACCTGGCAACAAGCGGAAGCGCGAGGCTGCGTTCCTCTTCCTCACCAGCGAAGCAGGAAGACGAAAAAACTGCAGCCCCCGCGATTGTAGTTGACGGCAGCACAGCATGCGTAGACGCAGCAACAGGAGATAAGGATGAACGTGGTTGCACATCTACTACTTCTTCACGACAACCACTCAATTCCTCAGCTCGCAACTCTGAGCAGGGTGCATCTGCAACTGCATCCAAGTCGGAAAATGCGAATGACGAAGCGAGCGTGAGTCTAGGCGCGATGAGCCCTGGGAGCTTCTTCGGAAAATACAATCGGCAATTTAAGGAAATGAATCAGGATTGGAAGAACAAGCTCGAGGAGATGGAGGTGAACTGCCAGAAAACCGAGGAAAAAGCCGCTGCTGTCGCCACACCGACAAAAGCAGAAGATGGAACTGCTGGAGTCCACTACAGCGCTGAAGACCCAAAATTGCAAGGACTGCAGCAACAGCAGCAACCTCCTCTCATGTACTACGCAGAAGCTCCCACCAGTGCCGTTGTTCCGACCTCCAGCGCTGTGCCGATCATCGAAAGTGATGAGGCTGCTCACGAGGACCACCACATCGTCGAGAAGAAGACCGCGGCCGGATCATCGAAGCAGGGGTTTTTGGCAACTGCGATGTCTTCCTTTTTTGGAGGCGGAAGCCAAGGGAAGGACGAAAAGGATCAAATAAGCCAAAGCGGCGGGGACGACGCGAAAACGAATCAAAAACCGGTACCCGTTGTAGTTGCGCCGGGAGCTGCGGTTTGCGCACATGGCACCGGAGTATCATCCGTTGCCGACGAAGGGGATGAAAGCAACACTTTTCATCCGCTTTTGAGAACGGTCGAAACCAAGACCAGTGCAATTACCAGTGCTGCTACCTCGCCGGTTTTGTTCACCGCCCAGACTGCTTTACCGACCTCATCAACCACGGTTGTTGCGTCTTCTGCACCGTCTTCTCGGGCTGGTCAGCAGCAAGCACCAACAACCACCGCGGAGACGAAGAAGAACGCAAGTGGGCTGAAAGCGCCGGCATCTCTGGCGCAGGCAAGTTCCATTACACTCCCCCGGGCCTCCAGCGCCGCGCTCGCAGCGGTCGGTAGCAGGGTCAAGGAAACACTGAATAACGCTACCATTGGTCGTGGCGTTGTCAAGGGCAGCGGCGTGGTTGCCGCAGCACCAGCAGGAGAGAAAGAAGTTCCTTCCTTGCCATCGGCACCAGATGTCCGCGAGGAGGATGAAGTTGCGACCACCGAAACTGCTGCCACCCATCAGAAGACCGGCAACACTGTTCGTTTTCAGTTGCCGGCCCCCGGAATAGCGACGGCCTCTGCACCCGCGTTCGCGAGTCATCAAGTCAAGGGCAGCACAGCTGTCGCGCCTCTCAGTTTTCAGAGTAGACTAGCTACAACCTCTGTGTCATCTACTTCTTCGTCCTTGAAACTGACTCCATCTGCCTCCCGACTTGGTCCGGTGCAGCAGCAGCTGATCCGTCCGGAGTTGGCGAACTATTTGTTCAATTTGTGGCAGACGGGAATCCCGCTGACAAACACGCAACAACAGCAGTTAAAACTCTACCTGGAAACCAACTACAAATCTGACGAACCAGCAGCGGCCGCGTCTCCTCTCGGCCCCCCGTCCGTTTCGGAATTGAACGGGGCAAGCAGTCCCGTGGTGGCGCCGGCTCTGTCCATGTTTCGGCCAGACGAGAGCGACGATCCCGTGGACCATGCCATTTACGACTGCATTTTGGGTTGTCGCGAAAAAAATCCCGGCGTGGAGCTGCACGTGCAGAAGCTGAGCCAGGGCATGTACCGGTTTGGGCTGCGCGAAACGCTCTGCGACATCGACCCCACGGTCCAGCTGCGCAGTCGGGGAAAGAACACGTTGGTGCGCGTCGGTGGCGGTTGGGAACCCTTGCGCAACTACTTAGCGAAGAAATTTGGGATCGACATGGAGACGTGAAAAATTTATAAGGTTTTTTGCAACGAGCTGCATTTTCTTGCACGGTGATAGATTCATCAACAGTCGGAGTCGATTCACGGTCTGCAGTACGTACAGCTAGTTGTTTGTCTGTAACTGTTTTGTCCGCACAGAGAAATCCTGTAGCACTGGTTGTGGTTGCATTTTTACAAACTGCGTGTCGTACTCGCAGCAGGAAGTGGTTCTCCGCATGACAAAGACAAAGTAAGGAGCTGTGCTTTTTGTTGAAACTGAGAGGCATCATGACGAATGGTTGACGTTGATACCCATGCTTCATTTTCGAGTTTTCAATTTCTGCTTTTCCTTGTACTTTTCGTTTGTGCTCTGACTCTAAACGCAAACTAGTACGAAACTTAGTCTACTAACTTTGTCACTTTCTTGAATATTAGAAATAGAACTGAACCTTTCGCAGAGTCGTGGCCATGACTACATCGCTGGCTTTAGAGAAGATATTTTTACCAAGAAGAAGAATACAAACAATGAGCGACTTGTGTATCAAACGTTATAGAACACCAACTGCATTCTTCTACTAGTCCTGGCCTCCGTGTAACGAACTTAACACTAGGAACTCGCATCACGTAGCTAACTCTTCCAGGTGTAACAAGACCGCCCCACCACAAAAGCCCCTAGCTAGAGAGCGGGGCGGGGGAAGGTTGGGGGGCGGGCGGGGCACCCCAGTGTTACCGCAGGGGCTTGGTGGGGCGGGCCCTCTGTTTAACCACGGAGAGGGGCGGGGGCCCCCTGCGTTCGTGGCCTGCGCCCGCAAGGGCGGGTGGTGGTGGCCCCCTGCTTTCCCTCTAGCGGGTGGGCGGGTGCGAAGCAAAGGCTCCCTGCCTTCCCAAGCGAGCGACCGACCGAACGGGGCGGGGCCCCCCGGCGGGTGGAGGAGAAGGGCCGGCGGGAGGAAGTTGGCTGGGGGGCGGGGGCCCCCTGTGTTCCTTGGCGCGGCTGAGAGGGTGCGAAGCTGGGGCCCCCTGCGCTACCACGGGGATTGGCGGGGGCCGCCCGCCTCGCCATTGAGAGGGGCGGGGGCGGGGCGGGGGGGCCCCCTGTGTTCGCGGCCTTTTGCGGCAAAGCTTCCTTGGGGATGGGGCCGTCTGTGTTTCCCCTAGCTAGCGGGCGGAAGGGCGTGAAGCGGGGGCCCCCTGCCTTCCCTAGTGGGCGACGCACGGACCGGCCCGCCGGGCTTGGGGCGCCATGCGCGCGGGCGGGGGGGGATGGAAGTGGTCAGGGTCTCCTTTGGCAACAAACGAACCAAAGGCGGGGGGTGGAGGCCAGTGGTGGGCCAGATATCGACCGGGCGGCGGGCCGGGTCCGAAGGAAGGAACGAAGGCGGGGGGCCCGAGTTGGTTCGCTAGCCCCCCGCCCCCAGACGGCGCGGCGCATACGAAAGCCCCAATCCCCCCCCTGCCGCCGTGGTTTAAAGCTAGCGCCGCTCGGCCCTTTTTTTATTTTCGCGGCGGGCTTCGGTGGCGCCCCCCTTCTTCGCACCCCAGTCAGGGCCGGATGGGCCCGGGCGTCGGTCCGTGGTTTGTCTGGCGCCAGCCTGTTTCTTTGGATCGCACGCGCGCCGACCCATGCTGGCCATCTAATGAGGTGAGCCCAAGCAACAAAGTGGGCCCGGCCCGCCCGCCTTGCCGGGGCGGGGGGCGCCAAGCTTACTAATCCGCAAGCGCGCCGCCTTCGCCCGGGCAACCACCCTCGCACAGCGGAAATACCCGGGGGCCCATCCCTTTGGCCGCGGGGAAAGCGCGTAGCCGCCGCATCTCGGTACTTTGCCGCGCACGGGCCTAGGTTGGCACGCAGGCAAGCGGGCGCCCATCGGCCCCTTCTCTTTTTGCCGCGCACCCACCCCAAGGAAGGAAGGGGCCCCGGCCTTCTGGTATTTGACAACGGACAAAGGCAAACGAATCCGCGCAGCTTGGTAAGGTTTTTGCTTCTTTGCGTGGATGCTGCAAAAGGCCGCGGAAGGACGGGCGCCCGGGCATGCCGCCCCTTCCCTCTTCTGCATTGCCCGCCGCGCCATCTCTTCCTGTCTGATGTTCCCGCCCCCTTTGCCTGGGCATCCGATTGGGCGCGCGCCGCCCCCGGGCGCCATTGTCGAAGCGGCCGCGCGGCAACTTGTTCCGCCTTTCCTATCACCTCGCGCGCCCCTTGCATGCCCCACGCGCACGCCCAAGGCCTTTCGTTCCTGCTTGGACCAATGCAAGGGCGGGCGCGCGGGGCCCCGCGATTTCGGCTCGATCGGGCGGCAATTGGCCACCCGAAGTGCAGGCGGGCGCGCCCGCGGCCCGCCGGGCGGTCCCGGAGGCCCTGCCCTAGAGCGGCCCGCCGCCCTTTCTTTATATTTATTGACTATTTTCTTTTGCCGCGCCTGTTTTTCGTTGTGCGCAGATCTCACTCCTTGTTTTCCGGTGCGGCAGTGAAGTTCTTTCTTCTTTCACAATCGACGGGAAGAACAAATACAATGCTTGCCCCACGACGCAGTCGTGGGGAGTGGTTCTTATTGACTATTTTCTTTTGCCGCGCCTGTTTTTTTCCGCAGCGCGGTTTTTAGCAGAGGTATTCTGGCGACCCTACCTCGGGGCGGGCGTATTGGGGGAGGGGGGCAGTTGGGGGCAGGAAATTATGGGGCAGGATGATTGCAGGATGCGAAGTTGCAGGATGCGAAGTTGCAGGATGCGAAGTTGCAGGATGCGAAGTTGCAGGATGCGAAGTTGCAGGATGCGAAGTTGCAGGATGCGAAGTTGCAGGATGCGAAGTTGCAGGATGCGAAGCTGCAGGATGCGAAGCTGCAGGATGCGAAGTTGCAGGATTTCCGCCAGAGGTCGCGGCCCCGGAGTTGGTTGAGGTCGCGGAGTTGGTTGAGGTCGCGGAGTTGGTTGAGGTCACGGAGTTGGTTGGGGTCGCGGAGTTGGTTGGGGTCGTGGAGTTGGTTGGGGTCGTGGAGTTGGTTGGGGTCGGGTAGTTGGTTGGGGTCGGGTAGTTGGTTGGGTGTTGCGAGTTGGTTGAAGTGTTTTGTTTTTTTTTGGCCTTATTAACATTTTTCACCGTACAACTACAAGTTTTTTGTTTCAGTTGCAAAGATTTTTTAGTCTGTCTCTGTACTTCTAAAGCCAACGGTGACGGTACTCAATGGTGTCGCTTCAAAAGTTATGAAATTTGGTCGTTTTGGATACATATTGTTTGAAGATGGGGTATGCGTATGACGGTTTCAGATGCTTGGCAACTACATGATATTTTCAATAATTTACGTTTTCACATTGTATCAATTTTTGACGGAATCTAGTTTCATCTTAGATTGGGTTGCGAGTAAAAACATGACATCTGTTATTTGCAGCCCTGAGTTTCTCTTTTTCTACTTCATCATGTCTATAAATTTGATGCTGGTATTTGGTGAAACTGAAGCGAGGAGGACGACTACAATACAATAAATTTGACGCAAAAGTGAAACCAAAAAACTCTGAGAACAAACAAGAAAATGAGAGCTTTCTCATAGCCAAAGCATTCTGCGAGTTAGCTCACACGGTAGCTTCATTATCATTGCAGCCAGTGTCGAAGCCTTTCGAAAGAGCAAAGCTATCCTTCTAAAAGAGACGAGGCTCTTTTTTGCTTCTAGGGAGGGCGACGAGTGAAAGTGAGTGCACGGCGGAGGACGCCGGACGGTTATGACGATTGTGACGCTGGTGAGGCCGCCGGCCCCAGGTGGAGCGCAGAATGTAACGAGATGACGTCGTCTTTGCAACTTAATTGAGAACTTATTTGTCGAAGGCGAGAAAGACGCTCACTCACGCGTAACGTCATAGGGCCTATGACGTTACGCGTGAGTGAGCGTATAGGCGGTCACAGCCGGGTATTTTCACTTAATTAAATACTCCAACCATATTATGAAGTGGTTTAAACAAGGAGGCCGGCTTGAAGTCTCGTTTTGAACCGAGGTTAGCGCAAGATGGGCATCCGTCGGCCTTTCACGAGCGCAACTTCCGGCCGCCGAACCGTCAGTGTGGGAGCTGGCGCGAGGCTCGCACACAATCGGGAAGATCCTGGCGAAATATCGCAGCGCGGCCACCAATCAGGTTCAGGCCAGGCAAGCCCGCGCAACCGGGCCGGGGCCGGCAAGGTGCAGGATCCGCCTTGCGTCCAAGGAGGATCCGGACCGGGCCGGGGCCGGCAAGTGCGTCCAAGTCAAAGACGATCAGCAGGAACAGGCGCGACATCCCGGCGCGTGTCGCTCGTCGTGTAGATGATGAAGATGTGCTGGCTACTGCCAAACAAATCACAGGCTGTCCCTCTCAGCAGTGACTTCCTCGACATGCTGACGCTGAGCAGCGAGGAAAATACCGACGAGACGGAGGATTTCCATTTCGACGCGAAAGCCTGCCATCGCCTGTTGCGCAAACGACCTAAGGCAACAGTAGCAGTGGCTCAATGATGACATGGAAGAAATACAAGGAAACGGCGACCGCCCGGATCTTCTGACTGCGGAGCGTCTGCGGGCCTTGGGGCATAAATCTCGCGCCACCTATTTGAGGGCGCGGCCGCCGCTCGATGTCGCGCCTCGCCTTGTCCTGCTGAGGCGGAGGCGGCCGCCGCAAGGCAACTGGCGTTGCACGGCGCGCGGGGCGCCTTCCGGGCTTTCGCTATCTGGTGCTTCGCGCCGGCCGCCTGCAAAGCCCCTCCCGCTTGGGTCGTGTCGTGTCGTTCCCGGCGGCATTTATTGCCGTTGCGACGGCGCGCCGCGTCGAAGACAAGACTGTTGATTGATGCTGCGCGTGGCAGCGATTTGGCGCGCGGGGGCTCCGGCGCCGGTGCCGTCGGCTCAACATGGTCTGCTTTTCCCCTCTAGCATGATCCTGCGTTTTGATGGAGCTGGAACACGATGATAAAACTGGAACAGACGAGACCGAGACTCCGAACGAAGTAGCTTAGTTTCGAGTTTATTTTTCTTGGACTGGAGCGAGTGCCAGAGCCAGTGCGTGTTTGTCTTCGACTTTTTCACTGTCGTGTGTCCGCTACTAGGTTGCTATGAAAGGAGGCACGCTACTCGTTTTACGCTCTGGTTATTTATTGATCCCGAAAACACCCACACTAACAAAAGATAAAGATAAAGATCTGGTGCCGTCGTGATAGCCCTCGATCTTTATCTTCGTCGCGAAGATTGATTTCGTTTGCATTTTTTACTATGTCGTCCGGTTGCGATTATGCTGCGAAAATCGATCCCAGATTTGATTTGCGAAGATCCAAGAGGCCCATGGTTGTGTTGATCTTCTCTTGCCTCAAATAACGTCGATGTGTCTCTCTGTGTCTCTGAAGTGGTCTCGATCTGCTAAAGTGCAAAGGGACGCAGTTTTTCTGTTTTCCCTCGTCATCGCACGGATATGACCGGCTCACCCAATTATGTAGTTTTTCATTCACTCATTGATTGATGAGGTGCTGGTAGCAGTGATGACCGCGCTGTCCCCGGTTCTGGCGATAACACTTTATTCCGGGTTGTTCCCGGTTCTGGGGCTCGCCAAATACGTAAAGCAACATTTGGGGCACCGGAGTTCGGGACCACCCGGTCGGTTGGTCCGTAACTCCGGTGGGGAGTTAACGAATGAGTTTGTGACCCCGCTCTAGGTATAGAACAGAAAACTCTAATTCTTTTTCTTGGTATAGAATGTCAATGTTGTGCTTGTAAGGTGCAAGTATCTTTAGGTTTAGCACCACTTGTGAGATCACATTGAGAGCTGGAATCAAATGCCGTGCTTCGACCTCCCCACTTTGAAACACAGTGGAAAAGGGCGTACTTCTTTCGAGGCTGCTACTCGTACTTGCGATCAGGAGAGTCAAGAGATAGTCTGATCGAGATCTTCTATCATAACGACAAGAAGGAGAGATGAGTGAGTTTTCCGCATGTAGTCGTGCATCGACTTCGTCGGAATCGTGCGCAAAAAGGCGACTAGTATGGAAATTGTCTCCACATCACGGCGTTCCGCTTCGGGCGCTTTTCACACTCAGAAGTAGAAGGGCACAGTTTTTATTCATGTAGCGTCAGACGAGGTCGAGGATCTACGTCAACTTCATCTTGGAAGATTGAGACTCCAAGTACAACGTCATCAAATATATAGATACATAGAGTTCAAATGTCGAGCCCAGGAGCCGCACGACGGCAGGTCGATGAATTCGCACAGACAATGCGCACAATCAAAGTGCAAAACCTGTCCGCGCTGCGTATTGAAAAACGTATCGACACGACGAAGGTGCGCAAGGTCCAACACCTGTCGACGCTGGGGATCATCGGAGATTTTTTTGACAGCAGTCAAAAGCTTCCGCCACTGCACAGGGTCAAATGGCTGGTGGTCGACGATGCAGCCGCATTGAGCGATGACGAGCCAGCTTTTCTCGAGCCGGAGAGTGAAATTCCTGATGTTGATCGTTTTGTGTTTCAGTTTGTAATTACCGCGGAAGTCGGTGGGATAACGCATGAGGATGTGCAGCGTCGACCCAACGAGAACTACTACAAGTATCTGTGCCGCCTAGTTTTTGGGCGCCCGAGGTACTACGGCGGCGAGACCGAGACACAAGGAGAAGGACGAGGTACTGATGAGAGAGCGTTTTTCGATCATGTGGACATGGACTTTGATGCTCGCCAACATACTGCAACCGCTTTGGTTTTGTTGCTCCTTATGTTTTTTGATCATAGATTATGACTTCGTCTTTGTTTTCATAAATTGCAATTGTTTTTCGATGAATATGTACACCCTGACCCTTTATTTTGCGGCCACGAAGACGAGGGGGAGGGTGATAAGTAATTAAAATATGAGTTCTTGTCTGGTCAGACGACACAGATGTAGACCCATAGCATACGTCGACCAGAGGTTTTGTTGTGTACCATCTCCGCCACCAAAAAATTGAAAGTGATACTATCACTTTATTAAAGAAAAATATATGTGTTGCATTTGCAGGTGGTAACGGTGAATCCTTGCCCTTGCGATCTCTGACACTCCAGCAATCACGGAGTTTGTTGTACGACGGTGTCTTCATCGCGCTGCCCGACGAGATCAAGGGACTATGTGTGCCCTGTGATAGTAATCCTTCGCAAGGAGACAAGCGGGACTCGCTGCTTTCTCAGGGTTCTACTTTGCGCCGGACGGGAAAGAAGTATTGTTTGGACGTGTTTGGTTACGGCGAACCCGTAGAGCGCTGGGATTGCTTCTGGAGCCTGATTCACGCCGTTTGGGAACTACCTGCATCGGAGTGGCTCAAGTACGAACGCGAAAGCGGGGGCACGTGCTTCAGTATTCACCGCCATCGCGAACCCTTCGCCAGGGAGCTGTTTGACGACCTCATGTACTTCAAGCCGGATTTATTCGACATGGCGCTCCCGGGAGACACCGAGCAACGCGTTCCAAGCGTGGAGCAGGACGACCGCATGTGCGTCGCTGTCGTGGAAGCGGCAAATCTGACCATTCCAGAATACGGCGCCTGGGTGAAAAGCCGCGTTTTTCTCGAGGATGAGCCGGTTGGGTGCTTCGGACTTTTTAGTGTATGGAAGGAAGGATTCGATCTTCCGCGAGATACCCTCATGCCGCACCACAAAGGTAAGTAGCAAGTGACTACCTAGTATAGAGGGTTCTTGCTTTTCCTCTTTGTAGCCTCACGCCAATTTAACTGATGTTGTAAAATCAAACACGTGGCTCTTGTGAGCGCCAATTTTCTTAAGTGTCGTGTCTGTGAGTGTTACTGCTACTGATGACACCACGGGGCACAACTTGGACCTCAAGAATTATTGTAGTGGAATAGTAACAAGAACAACATACAAATAAAAGAATCAAAAAATTCAAATCGACGCAATCTAATAGTAATATCAATGACTGCCAACACGACATACACAACGCTCACCACAGGTCATGTCAAGGTGATCGTCGCGGACATTCTGCGGAAGCGGGATGTACTGAACGAAAACGCGGAACAAGGGGGAGCTGCAGCTGGTGACAGCGCGCTCCACAACTTCTGCGACACCATTACGCACAAACTTTTCCGTGTGAAGGACATGGCAACCACACTGCAACTCAAAACGCGTTTTGTGCAGCCAAGGGTCACGGAGGAGTTTGGGCTGATCGACGGTTTTCTCATTCGCGGCACGACGAACGAAACCAAGGACGTTCTGCAAGAGGTGGCCCGCATCATCCGGGGAATAAAAACACGACTGCAGCGCGATTTTCGTCATATTGCGGACGATCTCCAGCTTTTTCGGGACGAATTTGTGAAGCGCGATTTCGATTGCACTGCCTTGTTCGCAGAAACCATCGATTCTCTCCGAAACTTGGCGAAACGCATCGGCTTGGATCACGACGTCGACGCGCTAGACGAACTCTGCATTCGTCAGGATTTTGAAGATGAGCTGAAGAAGTGGATCAGCTCGAAGCGTCCGAGAATGGCCTGGGAACTGAACCTGTCCGACATCAAGGAGATGTGGAAGGTGCACGACTTGGCGGACGGCGACACACCCGAAAAGGACGCGGAGCAATTTATCGGCCCGGACGGCAGGTTTATCCAGCCGAGTTCCAACCGCAGCTCGTTGAAGTCCTATGCCTCGGCCAAGTCGGAGCGCAGTAAAAGCAACTCGCCGAGAAAGCGGCTTTCCATGAGCAGCGAGCGCTACGAGTGGGTGCACGGGAGGAAGAAACCGAAGCCCGACCTCCACCGTGCTACCAGACGTGATAGTCAGGAGCCATCCGATGCCCTGTTCCGGACACCTGATTCGCAGGAGGGGAGATGAGCGCAGCCGTGAAGAAGAACGCTGTGCATGAGTCTCATACGTCAAACTTCTAATTACTTGGTAGACGCAGTACTTACAACTAGAACAACTTCTGCTGGAAATTGAGAACGATAGCTGTATTTGAGTTGTTGCTTATCTGCCACAAAGTATGCGCCTACCTCCTACAGGCATAAGAGATAGATAGGCGCAGGTGGCTCGGAGAAGATCTACGTGTCACTCAGCTGGGTGGGCCTCAGGTGCAGTGACGCAAGAACGAGTATTAACATTGGTATGCTAGCTCGACCGTTTATTCTTTCGAAAGCAAACCTTTGTGTCGAGTATCGCCACGCCGAGCAAGAATTCGCTGTCAGTGATTGTTGTTTCCGTTTCGCTCGTCAACTTTAACAAACTTGTAACTAAGAAAATTGATATGAGAGTGTCAGCGCCGTTGGTTCTGGATTTATAATGTATCCCTGGGATCCGGACTGTTTGGCCTTGAGATAAAAAGTATAACCCTTTATGCCAGTAGGTTTTTGTATAATGTAGAACCAGAGAGGTGTTGCTTCGCCACGGAACATCGAACAACGCGGAGATGTCATCGCACAATAGATACTAATCTATCAACTGAGAAACCGACCCCAGTACCAAAGTCGAACGGGCTCCAAAATCGAACAGAATAACAATACGGACGAGCGCCTCCAGTCAATATATGTGAATTGAAATAACACGTGAAACAAAAAAAAATGCGCTAGTAACACCAGATGAATCGACGCATCTTGTAATGTATGTATGGCGTCTGCTTGGGTTGGAGTGTCGTTGTGGCTCTATCGTGTTCTGCTTCTGAGAAGTATGTTGCCGACCGACAAGAGTGAAAAATGTATGAATGTGGTGTACGGTTCGGTGTTGAAGCGCATGAAAAAAAGCAGGCCGATGAAACTTGGCAACACCTTTGTTGTTCCGCAGAGGGCCAGGGCAAAAAAGTTGCTGGGAAGAGCTCTCTTGTCATGATAGTAGTAGTAAGTACTCAATCATTACAGCGTCTACAAAAGGTTTTGAAACACTGTGAGAACGGTTCTGCTTTTGAGCGTGGTGCTCGTACGCGTGATCAGGAAAGGCAGGAGATAGAGATCTACCATAGTGATTATGTTGAGAGAACAAAATTCCCTTCTGCTGTGCATCGGCTCTGGATCCGTGGGAATTGTGAGCGAAAAGAAAACTACGTGGTACGGTGGACAAGAATTCAACAAGCGAAATACCAGGCCCAGGGAAGAGCTTGAGCATGCAAGGGAAAAAATTGCGACACAAAAAGGACCCAAAAACCGAAATACCGTGGGGCCTGTGCAGACCGCCAGCAAGCAACTTGTGAGTCTTTCGCTCAAAAGAGTGAAGATTCAGGTCGGGGGGGAAAGTTTCTTGAGGCGAACAAATGCGAAGAAGAAAAGGGCCAAAAACCGAAATACCGTCGGGCCTGTGCAGGCCGGCGGAACATAACTTCTGAAGGATTCTGTCGGAAGCATGCAGATTCAGAGCGGGGGAAGAACTTGAGCAAGGTATCAAATTGCGACAAAAAAATGACCCAAAAACCGAAATACCGGCGGGCCTATGCCAACCGCCAGCAAGCAAGTTGTAGGTCTTTTGCTCAAAAGAGTGAAGATTCAGGTCGGGGGGGAAAGTTGCTTGAGGCGAACAAATGCGAAGAAGAACAGGCCCAAAAACCGAAATACCTTCGGGCCTGTGCTGCGACCGACGTGTTGTTCGTTTTGTCAAATTCAAATACTCGTCAACACATAGATACATAGACTGATATTCCCCGGCATTCACATTGAGGTGAACTTAGCGCAAGATGACCGCCGACCTTTCAGGATGGCAATTTTCGCCCGCCGGACCATTCGCGAAGGAGCTGGCATAAGGGTTGCGTGCAATATGGGAGATCTTGGCGAGGAAGGGCCGCAATTGATCGCCAGCTTCGTCCGTGCGTGGGGCCCCTCTCCCGATCAGGCAGGGACGAGCGGCCCGACGCGAAAACTCGGAAAGTAATCCTCTGCAAGCTCCTAGACCAAGAGGACGCGCGCAAAACCTCCGCGACCACGGCCACAGGGGCGGCGCCTTCAACAGAACTCATTGGACTACTTATTTTTCTCGGCGCCACCTGCACCTGATTCGTCTACTTTCGTCGAAGGCCCCGCCGCGGAACGCAAATGCTCCTGCGCGCCGCCAGGCGCCGGCATTGCGGGAGCGGGCAGGACTAGGAGTATTGGTGGCCACTACTAGCAAACGCGCGCCCGACTTGCTAGGTGTTCGGAGGACTTTGCGCGACAGGCATGAGATACAGGCGGCGGGCATCAGCCTGGCAATAATTCGCGCGCCGCAAACAAAGAGCGCGCCGCAGCGGGCCCCCTTGTCTGTGGAGCGCTGCCGGGCCCGCGTAGGTTTGGCGCTATGCCGGGGCGTATCCGGCGCCTGCCTGGTGGCCCTCGCGCCCCGGCTTCCGGCAAGACCGCCGGGGCCTTTGCTGGGCGACTGGTTGGCTTGTTGTTGCGCTTCCCGCCTCGTGTCGCGGGCGCCTGGCGATTTGCCGGGCGTTGCGTTGCGCCTGCCGCCTGCGTTGCTTGCCCGTTTTGGGCGGCGCGCTCTGTGTTCTTTGCCGTCGGCCAGTAGTAGCGCCATTGGCTAGGCCGGGGCCCGAAGCGCGAAGATCGCACGGAGGCGCTTTTGCAGGGCCGCAGAAACTTTTTGGCGGTCGGGGGCCCCTTCGTCATTGTGGCCACCCCGGGTGGCGCGCCTTCCTGCCATGCTGCCCGGCGCGTGGGTGCGGCCCACGTTTGTACCTAGTCGCGTTGCTGATTTCTGTCCAGCCGAGCGCGAGCGGAATATGAACAAAAAACAAAACCCGTTTCCTTTTCTTAACGTTGCATATGATACGGAGATGGACAAGCTCAGGGGCGCGTAGCGAGCGACTTTGTGTCGTAGTCACCCTCGTCGACTTCGATGGACGGAGCTTGAGCTTAGAAGAGCGGCAGAGTGAGGCTGAGCGGATTGATGGTGAGCGCTGATCATTTATTATGTAAGTGCAGATAGTTGTGGTTGTCAAAGATTTTTGTGAGCCGATGAAACAAAGTTACTTACAGGTCGCAAGCCGCTGCACGCTCATCAGGAGTCCAGGCCGTGCCTGCTCCTGATGAATGCGCAGTGACTTGCGAAACTTTGGTTTTCTTCATGCTTCAGGGCACGATTTTCTTCATGCTCTCCAAACTATTCGTGTGAGCTTCGATGTCGCAGATACAATTACAGCTACAAGATGAGTTTCCTGGTGTTAGTTTGGCGCCGGCCACCTGCAAAGCCCGTCCCGCTTGGCCCGTGTTGTGTCATCTCCGGCGGCATTTATTGCCGTTGCGAAGGCGCGCTGCGACGGCAAGATTGCTGAGTGTTGTTGTGCGTGGCAGCAATTATTTGGCGCGGGGGGCTCCGGTTCCTGTGCCGTCGGCTCATGGTCTGCATTTCCCGTCTAGCATGATCCTGCGTTTTGATGGAGCTGGAGCACGACGTTGAAGGACGATGATAAAATTGGAACAGACGAGACAGAGACCACTCCGAACGAAGTATCTTCGTTTCGGGTTTATTCTTCTGGGACTGGAGCGAGTGCCAGTGCGTGTTTGTCTTCGACTTTGTCTTTGTCGTGTGTCCGGTACTAGGTTGCTATGTATTAGGAAGGAGGCACGCTACTCGTTTTACGCTCGGGTTATTTATTGATCCGTCCCGAAGGCAAGTAAGTTTCCCGGCGTGTGGGCCGTGGGCAAATTAATCGAGGGAGGGGCGCGCAGCGATGAGAAGTGAAATCTCTACTTCGCCGCGTTCTGGAGATCTAAGTCTCTAGCTCTACTTTGTCAAGGCACGCTTGTCGACTTCGAGGGAGCTCGAGCTCAGAAGAGCGGAAGAGCAACGCTGAGTGGGTTGGTGTGATGAATTGAATTAAGTACTTTATATACGATTTCCACTTCGATGTCGACGCAGAAGATACAAGTACATTACAACTACGAGATGAGCACGCAGAAGAGCGCCATGGTGTTTCATCACCCGATTAGAGACTCTAGAAAACGTCGCAAGCATGCAGTCGCTATGTATCGTTTACGTCATGAAGTTTGGCAAGCAGTCTGAGAAAAGGAAAAATGGGAAACCGTAGTACCAGAGCAGCTAAGTAGTAGAAAGAGAAACGATGCCGTCTCCAAAGAAGCCGGCTTGCCCGACGTTGCCTGCAACAAGCAGTGCGCCCGCGACCGCCTGTGTAACGCACGAGCGAAAGATTCGCATTTTCAACTTAGCGGGGCACAGCGTGATGAAGTGCATCGACAGCACCAGGATTTTTCGGGTCAAGCACCTCAATGCGCTGGAGTTCATCTCGTGCTTCTTTGATGAATCGCAGAAACTTCCGCCGCTTCACCGGGTAAAGTGGCTGGCTGTAAAGGATGGAGCTGCTGCGACACCAAGTGCTAGTGAAGAAGAGGCTGTGGAGGTGGAAGAGGGCATGGAATTCGAAGGGTTTCACACGACCGGTGGCGATCGTGCGTCGAAGGCATCCAGCTCGTCGAATCCGGATGTTGGTTTCCTAGATCCAGACGATGACATTCCACCTGGTGAGGGTTGCGCCCTCCGCTTTGTGATTGTGCCGGAAAGCGGTGGGTTGACACCGGAAAAACTCCAGTGCCCCGCCGGTGTGATCGCTGAAGAGTGGATAGACCGCAATCTTCTGGTGAATTATGGCGAAGATCGTCATGGTGATCATGGTACTTTAACTTTTTTGTTGAAGGGCACCATATCCCTTTTTTTTAAAGATGATATTGTTTCACGAAGATAACAAGAGTCTGAATTTTAATGCAGCCGCTCTCAAACTCAGACACGTACACGAAAACCTTGCAGGGACCCTCTACGACTTGACCCTGGAACAAGCGCGGAGCTTTCTCTACGACGGGCTGTATGCGTTCTTACCGAATGTAGTTGCTGGTGGATGTGTACCGTGCGACGAAAATATGTTCTTTCGTTTGAGTCTGGAGAACACCACCAAAGAGCAGAACTGCGAGAGAACGATGAGCATGCGCATGTACCGCACCAGGAACTGCATGGGGTACAGCGAGCCCTTTGAGCGCTGGGAGAACTACTGGAACATCGTTCGTGCCGTATTCGAGCTGCCGCAGTCCGAGTGGATAAAACACGAGGCTGAGACCGGCGGTAAGTGTTTCCGCTTCACACACCACAGAAAGCAATTCGCTCGGGAGCTTTTGAAAGACCTCCTGTGCTTTAATCCTGCTTTTGCCCCACAGCACCATCAAGAAGGTGAGCGCGAGGGCATCTACGAAGCGATAATCGCTGCTGCAGAAATGAACGCGCAGGAATACGCGGAGTGGCTGACCGAGACCCTTTTGAAGGACGAATGGGGAAATTTCGGGCTCGTGACTGGTTGGCGGACCCGGGGTCAGGATGGCCGGCTGACTCTGTCCAGTGGCCGAGACCCATTCCCAGAGGGTATCTTTCGTTTATTGATGTTGATGAGTTGTGTGCTGCTTGTGATGGCGCTGCGTCGTGGTCTTCTCGCAGATTCAGAAGCATTTTGCGTCAATAGTCGATACATTTTATGGTTGACAAATATCCGGGCGTTTTGTCTTTGTTCTTCGTCAGCACCTGCAACAGTTTATGATTATACGACACCAACATAGGAAAAGGAATAGGAAACTCAATGCTGTGGTGCTGCGTGGACGTGCAAAATATGATTTATATTTATTGACAATTTAGCATTTTCGCGATCACGTTCTTGGGTCAATTATTTTGCGACCAACTTCAACACAACAGCAAGAGCCATCTTGAAGCTTGTGGTGCGCGATGTCATGCGGACGTGCGATCAGCTGGAGCAGGACCAGAAGTTTGAGGATGGCGACACTTTTGGAGCAGCTGCTGACGACAAGAACCTTATTCGTGATTTTTGCGAGACCATCACAAACCCGTTCCGAGTTGAGAACCTGAGTGCCATGGCGGAAATCAGGGCTACTTTCGTTCCCGTGCTAGGGCGACAGATTGGAATTTCCGCGCGATTTTTTCACCTCGGGTCCAGCGTCACGACCAATGACCTCCTCCAGGAAATTGCTTGCGTGATAGGACGTGTGAAACAACGGCTGCAGAACGACCTGCGGAGTGTTGCGGACGACCTGCAGTTCTTTCAGGACGAGTTTACGAAGTTGGGATTCCAGTGCAACCATTTCCCGGAGACGATTGCTCCCCTGCGCGAGCTGGTCCGCAGTATTGGTACCGATCACGATGTCCAGGCTCTGGACAAGTTCGGCAACATTCGAAAAGAGTTTGAAACATACTGGAAGAACTGGATCCGAGACAAGAAACCGAGAACGCCGTGGAACGTGAACTGGGACGATGTAGCCGAAATGTGGAAGGTGCACGATTTACCGTTCGGGGACACATCGGATGAGGGTTACGAAAGTGAGGAGCTTCACCACTACGAGCGACGCAGGGGGCGGCCATCTTACAGTAGTCTGAAGTCGTACCATTCGGCTTTCTCCACGAGGAAGAAGCAAAAGGCTGCTTCCGCTGCGCAAAGACAAGCCTGGCGGACAGCCCACGGTTACGATGGTTGGTACCCGCGGTCGTCAGAGTCCGAAGATGGCGTCAACGATGAAAATCGGAATGCAGCTAGCCGCGCCGTCGAGAATGAGCAGGAGGACAGCCTTTCTTTCCGGACGCCGCAATCGCACGCAAGCAGAAGGAGCTGATACAGTCGACAGGATGAAGACAAACAAGAGCAAGAGGTGGCTTATTCGTCCCGTCTACATTGTTTCGCATCTTCCTCGTTACCGAAATATTTTCATTGTCATCGCGAGACCCTACAGGAACACACCGAATGAAGTATGACGAGACAAGGAAGGTGAACTGTATCTAGTGCTAGATGTATCGGTCGTATCCTTTCTTTTTCCTTCGGAATCTTCTCAAAAAAGGTCTCCACGTCGTCGAACACACCTCCCTGCAGTAGATGATGATGATCAGATAATCAGTGCAAAGAAATAAATGTAAATATCGCGATAAAATGTTTATCCGTTTTTTGTATCCAGTGACTACGTACTCTCTAATATGTCTGTATCTTCTCCGTCTTCGCGTTCGCTTTCCCTTTCGCTTTCGTTGTAATTCCGAAGCGCGGAAAAATTCACTTAGAGTTAGTGCCTCTGATCGCGTGCGTTGTAAATCATGAGCGAAAATCAAAACAAGCACAAGCAGAAAGCTGTCTCTAAATTGAAAAGCACAGCTTTTTTTGTTCGAATTTGCTGTTGGAAAATGTACTAGAATTTACAGCTTGTGATGCTACAGAAACAGAGGGTCCACGCCCGCTGCCAAGATAAAGATAGATCCGCGGGAGGAGACCCGAGTCGCGTAAAATGTCAGACTTGAGTTTCTGTTTCAAACGACAAGCAATACCAGGATTAGGATGTAAAATTCGGACTCGCTGAGTTGAGGGCCCAACGCAATACCGCTTAGGTTTGAGCGGAATAGGCTGTCTTTCGGCTTTGTCTTTCGAGGGTCCGGGCGCGTTCACGTACTTTATTCTGCTTGCCAATTGCAATTACAAACATAAAGTACAGGAAACCCGACGTGCCTCGTTCACTGCACAGACACGCAGACCACCAAACACAAATAGGTTCGTTTAGCGACGGATGTAGAACATCAAGAGCAAATTTTAATTCTTGGTATATGCTGCTATGAGGAGCAAGTATCCTACTTAGCACCACTCGTCGTGAGAGCACGTTGAGAGCTGGAATCAAATGCCGTGTTTCGACTTCTAGATTTTTAATTACAGTTAATAAGGCGCTATTTTCCAGCGTGCTGCTCGTACTTTCGATCCAAAAAGTCATCAAGAGATACATAATCCGGACGAGATCTATCATGACAAGAAGAATGAGAGGTGATTGCGTTTTCCCCATGTCGTGCATCGACTTCGTCGGAATCGAGCGCAAAAAGGCGACTAGTATGGAAATCGAGCGAAAAGTAGCGCAAGTTGTCTCTACATCATGGCGTTCGCGTTATTCAGTCAAAGTTGTTGGCCGGCGCAGAATTTTAATTCAAGTCGGGCAAGACCTTCTGCTCCGATGCAGACAGGTCAAAAACATCACTAGAAAATGGCCTACGTACAGAGCGAAACAATGTTGGGCCTACGTGCAGAGCAAGAATAGATACACTCCCGCCCGAGCCCGAGGCCCTTCGCCTGCCTATCCCGGTTCGGCTTTGCCTCAGTTGGAGTTTCAGGGAAGCGCCGCGGCTCGCTGTCGGATTCGCAGCCGCCCTGCCCTATGTATTGGCTCTGCGGCCCCCGAGGACACACAGAGGCGCGGGAGCAGGTTCGTCGTGGCGGCCGGTATTGAGGGGGGAACTCGCGAAAGATTGATCTGCAAGAAGAGTTCCGGCTGCTTCAGGAAGAGCGGCCCGCGCGCCACCTTGGCGCGCTGACTTCGGAGATCTTCCCCGAGCGCCGGCGCCTCTCCCCCCCCACGCACAGAAGTGAAGCGGCAGGGCCGGCAGGCCCTGCGCCCTCCGACCGGGGCGCCAAATCAGGGCCCACCGGCAGCAGGGGCCGCGTGGCTTGGTGCGTTCGTTGGGAGAACGCGCCCGGTCCGTCCGCTCAGGCCCTGCGCCGTCGTTCGGCGTTTCGCCCCCCCCGGGACCAGGTTGCCGCCGGATGCAGTGCGCGGCCACCCCATTTTGTGGGATTGGCAGCTTCAGTGAAGAGTGAGAGTCCGAGCGAGCCGGCCGGTCCGGAAGCTTGCCACGCGTCGGGTTGGGCAACGCTGGTCGCGCCCTCGCGGCCGCGCCGCCGCAGACTGATTAAATATGGCTGCTGGAGTGTATGCAGCATGTGGGAATGCACTTTTTCTCTTGGTCAGCCTCAGCGTCAGCACCGCGATGCGGGTGTTGCACTGATAAAAGCCCCCGCGAGGGCGACTGTTTTCTGGTTTGTCCTTGCGTGTTAGTGTTTGCAAATGCAACCTCATGACCGCAAAGTCAAAGATAAATAGTATTGAGACATTTTTAATATTGGTACGTAGTTTGATCTTGCACTTGCTGAGGGGATCGTACAATCGTTGTGGCGCGCGCACTCAAATTCATAGCAGCAATTGCAAAAATCGTTCTATATTAATCGCTGAGCATCAATATTAGATAATTGGATACTAAGACTAACGTGGAATTGCAATTGCATCAGCGTTTTCTTGTTCGATCGAATTCGGAGAGGGTTGTTGTTTCTAAGTTGACACTCGTAGACTTTCTTCGTCCGGGTCACGCGATATGTTATTTCCTTCGTTTCGTATTTTGGGTCGTTTGCAGGAGATCGCTCGATGCAGCCGAGAGCCCACCTGGGTGTCAGAGCAATTATACTAGAAGCTTGAGTCACGTCGTAGCCATGTTGATGCGTTTCTTTAACATGAGATAAGTAATTGATAGTGCATTGTTGCAGTTCCAGTTCGTAGCTAAAATCGTACGAAAATTACTGTTTGGCTTTTCGCAAAAAATCGAAAAAAAAATATAAAATCATGGCCTGGCCCATTTTGATGGCAGGAGCGCTGCTTCTGCAGGCGAACGAGGACTGCCAGAAGCACTTCGGAATTAGCCTACCTGAAGCGGCGACGGCGGCCGTGAACGCATTGGCGGAGGTAGTCCAATCCGTATGGGACGAGCCTTGGAGCGAGGAGTTCACTACTGGCATGCCTAGTTCTCTCCTCGGGGGCGGCTCTGTGGCAGACGACGCGGGGACGGCTCTGGGGCACTGGCAATGGTCAGAAGAGGCGCGCGGTGACCGCGCGCCCACCGGTGACAAAGCATTTCCATTTGAGTTCGGTCAAGCTCGAGATGATGAAGTCAACAAGAGTGTTGATGAAGATGGACGAGCTTTGGTCCTGCACGTGAACTACAACCACAACCAGCAGCAGCAGCAGCAGCTGGTACCTGGCCTTAGCGCCGATCTTGCGTGGTACCCATTGCTCTGGCGCACTGCGAGCACGCAGGACTACCATCAAGTGCACCATCACAATCAAGGAGTCGGCAAACGCCGTCGTAAGGCCGCCCGCCGGTCCACACTGGTGTACAGTGACCCCTTCGTCCAGGTGCACGAGCACGTATGTCGTCCCTGCGCGTTATGGACTGCAGCCACAGCCACACCCCGACCGAGTTCATCAAATAACGCAATTGGAGCTGGACAAGCACGTGAAACAGACACTCGCGTCTGCTTTTTCCACCAACACTACAGCTCTATCGACGTGGTTGAGCGAGATGCTCCTCGCAACCTGTGTAAGCTGCCATGCGTCGTCCGGCTCCATGCTGCAACTTGTCCCTTTGCGACACCAGAGCCACTTCTTCTTACGAATTCCTCAAATGATAAGCAGTTGCAGGAGAGCAGTGCGCGTGCGGGGGGTAGAAGTGCTTACGCAAAGCAGAACAACTATGCGGGGGACCGTGGTTATCCGGCTAGTAACAGTTGTAGTGCTGCTGCTCGGCCGTCAGCGGACTCGGTGAGGGGGCCGGAAGATCTTCCTAGGAACCATGAAGGAGAAGAAACCGTGCTTGTAGTTCACCACGACTTGTTTTTTTGTTCGGGTCTGCAGCTGCACGAAAACGGGGTCTGGCCTGCTGGACACGGACTTTCGCAAACTGCTGGACTCTCGTTCTCGTCGCGGTTCCTGTTAGAAGCTACTACACCAGTTGTAGAGGCAGGCGGGCAAAGTGGTTTTGGTTTTTCAGTAGATGTAGAAGACGACAGCGTCGAGGTGCAGGTGCCTGAACTCCACCGGCTGCATCAAACAGGAACACCAATACGAGTTGCGCTTGAGCTCATCGCCGACCCCAAGATATTGTTTCTGGATGGTACAGTGTGATTTTTGTAATATAACTATAGTACTTAGAAGATGTTGATGTTGCAAAGAATCCTATCCTTAATTCATTGCGCGAAATCTTTTCCCTTTTCGCTCACCCTGAATGACTGTGACTGAGGCGCTAGTATAATCCGAGACATACACGACGTCGACGACTACATCCTCAACACACGACAGAACCAACTTCCGGCCTGGACTCCTTTTCGCCCCTGCAAATGCTCATCAATCCGAACGCGATCCGCGAAGACGCAGCAGCAGCAGACCGTGAAAACCGCATAAGAAAACGCCGAATTGAAGGAGAAGCTGGGTCCGACGATCCGATCTTCGGAATGGGTGTTGGTAGTAAAGTAGCGGCGAACTACGGCAGTGATTCTCCTTCTAGATCTCGTGGTTGTGCTGGAATAAATAAGCGAAATGAAGAAACAACAGCAGGAGCTGCGATCGTTCCACCTGCGCATCCTTCTGGTGCAGATTTCGCTACATCGACCTCCTCCAACAGTGTTAACTACACCAGCGTTCTGAATTCGACCAACCAGCACAGCAGCCAAAACGATCTGGACTTCGCCCTTGCGGTGCAAAACGCGAGTGCTTTTGACGTGAATTTTACAACGCATAACGAAAGAACGCCGTCGCCATCTACTCGGAGAAAGAACACTAACCCAAAGAGGATTCCACAAAATTACGATGCGATAATCAGTCCGGAGGGCCAAGCTGCAGGACCACTTGGAGGTGAAGTAGAAGCTGTTCCTGCTGGTACAAATAAAAGTTCTGGTGCGGCAACACCTAGACCAGAAATTCTGAGCAGGAACCGCCCTGTTGTTCCCCAACTCCTAGGGCCAGATGCAGATGAGGAATTTCTGAAGCGAACTACCTCCACTACCACCTCCAGTCCGGGTGACATCTCCCGCGCCGGGCAAAGAATGCCACGAATCGCAAGGGGCCACGAATCCCAAGGTGAAGATGCACGAGCACAACGTATATTGGAGCAAGCTCGGTTCGGTGTCCATGTTGCAGGAATTATTGAGGATCGTGTGGTCGAGTATATCATATCCGTGGCCGTGCCCGTCGGTTCTGCGCTGGCAAGCGCCTTTTTGATGTTCTGGCTCCTGCACTTGCTCCTCTTGCGGTGCAGCAGTTGGCTCCAAGACCGGCGACGGCTTCAGTGCGAGCGAAACTTGAGTCTCCAGATCGCCATGAGAAAATGGGTTGGGGCTCTACGACGAGACCGAGCTTTACGGCTACTTGACGCTTTCGTTCGGGTTGCGCAGTTGAAGCTGAAAATCTCGTCGCTATTGAAAAGCGTTCGGATCAAGCGAGCAACTACGCTTCGTGAGCTGCGTTATCGGCGATGGCTGCAGCGAACAATGCTGTACATGCACCTCGTGCGGTTTGCTCATAGTCGCAGAGTGACCGCGTTGCAAATGAGAAGCGTGGTCTTCAGGCAACGGCAACTCCGCATCAAGAACATTGCCGCATTTACGGGCGTGATGATGGCCAAAGTAGTTCTTTCTCGCCAGCTACGGAACATTCGGGCGAAGAGATACAGAAGCGCTCGGATTGCGGTTGCCTTTCGTCGCGTCGTGCTCACATACCTCTTCAAGAACTACTTGAGCGGACTCAGGATGCGAGTCGCGGAAAAAACAAGGAGAACCACTATTGAGGAGGGGCACACTGCATGGCGGACGAAGGAATTGATGTTGTGTGTGATTTATTGCCGACTAAGTCTTCTGAGGATTCACCTGCTCCTGGTCCGTGGTCGACGCCGTCGCATGAGAAAGCAGCTTGGAGACATCTGGCGTGCTTGGAAACTCCAACTCCTTGTCCTTGCCAGGTACGCGGTTCTGTCCGGACGCCTTCCCTCATACAACTTGCACCAATTGAAATTCCATTTCATCTGCAAGGGGCTTTACCTCGGTCAAGAACAAGATCAAATCGGAAAACCGCGGTCGCGACTAGAACTTGTTCACCTTGGCGCGCTCTATCGAGCTAGGGTGCTTTCCGTACACCTCCGCCGGCTTGCGCGGCAGAAAAGGAAAGCCAGAGTCCTGTCTGCGTTCCGAAACTGGCAGTTTTTGCAGCAAAGGCGAAAACAACTAAAGCAGTTGCTTCATTCTTGCTTCGACCAAATGAACCGCCACCTTCCCCTCCCGCAGAGCGGTGCGACGAAAGAGAGGAAAGGCAGCAGCTACACCAAGGTTGAACGAATAGCAGCAGCTTTAGTAGACCGGCACCTGCGACGCGTGGCACTGTCCCCACCCGTGAACTGTCGTCCGTCAGGCCGTCGGGTTTTCGTCGTATTCGGGGCTCCAGCGTCAGGCAGACCGTAATACTAATAAATAGATACATTATTTTTTTATTTTGAAAGTGTTGAAATTGATTCAATTTTTTGTCCTCGCGAGATTAAAAATGGCGACACCGACGCGGACAGTTGATCAAGATTGATCAAAGATCCTGATGCCCACGCCCGCAGTTGTTACGCTGATGATACATAAGTTGCCGATGGGGGAAAATAATCTTTTCGCATTCATCACTCGCAGGGCGGCGATTCGGGTGTTGACGCAAAGTCTACGCATTCCGGTGGTAATTACTGGGGACTGCGTGTATCGTGAGCATAACCCCCCTGATGCCGTATTTAGTGATCTGCGCTTGCTCATGGATGCATATTACCTTCCTGGCTAATATAATGATATTGAATCGGATGTCGATAAATATTACTAAACAAATGGGAGTGCGTCCCCGGACCCCTTGTTGAATCCGAAAAATGCTGTGGGTCGTGCTAATAATTCCTCAACTTTCTCGCGCCCGCTCTTTTTCTCTTGAGAAGAATGTCCGGCGCGCCCTTCGTTTTTTTTGAGAAGATTCAAAGGGGGCGCGGGGGTCCGAAAGTTCAAGAATGTTTATCAATATCCGATAGAACTTCTGTTTCTGTAGGTGTTTATGTTTTTCTTTGCCTCTACTCGGGGGCGAGACTTCTCTTAGCTGAAAGTTCGTTGCCGGGATCGCGATTGCAATCGATTTGGAAAGTAGAAAGAGAAGCTAAGCTGCGAGTCAGTATGTTAGCGTCCTCAGGCCTATGTATTGGTGATGCATATAATCATGTTGGCTGGAGGACTCTAATAAGTACTAATATCATGATCCCGTGTCGGTTTTGTGTATCACAGTCACAAAATGACTGTAATTCAGGGAGTGTCAGCTTTCCGCTTCCTTCTCCTCCCTAGCATGGGGTAGGGTCACCGTTTCCGCGTACTTAGCGAGGAGGCAGGACGAAAATGGGACGCCACCGGGCGATGGATTTTCCTTCCTCGCTCCGAGTAGATAATCATAGTTCATCGCCCTCGTCCTCTGCGTTTCGGGTTGTTGCGCTTATGTATGGATAACACACAACGCAAGGCTGGCGTGGGCGGCGGATCCCAGGCTCAGGCTGTTCTCCTGTCCTGCGCGCAGATCGTATCTCCAACGCTTTCCATGTTGGTGAGCCGGCGGATCATCTACTAGAGCCTTCAACCCATTTGTGGCGGAGTTGCCGGACGCCGCAAGAAGGGGCTGTACCGGAGACCCTTCAGATGGGTGTCGCAGATTTACCAGAGGGCTTACCACCGCAAACTCCTTTTCCGCATTAGTGTCCGTTGGTTACTTGGTGAGTCATTTGGTAAGTCATGTGGTTGGTCATTGGGTGGGTGACTTGGTCGGTCGCTGGTGGGTTGCTCATGGGTTGACAATGGGTCGGCGATGCGAAATCTAAAGCAAAAAACTATGTTTTTACAGCACGTTGAAAAAATGAGGACCTCCTGCTTCTTTTGCTTTTCTCTACTCTTTCGGCTATGGCGCTGAAGCTCGGGTCAGGGCGCCTCGTTCCAGGGCCCCTGGTTTGATAAGAGTTTACCATTTGTTTTTGTTCATTCATCATCGCTCCGCATGATGCTATTTGGCGTACGCCGCGCACTCTCTTTCCTTTCTAGATGATGTAGATTGATAGTTGTGCTACTTAGTTTTTTTTATCCTTTTATTCCTTGTCCAGATCCAGATGAAGTTACAGTTAGTAGTTTAGCACGCGTGGGCCCGTCTTTTCGGACTTGGCCTTGAGAACTGGTTTGCATGCTGCCGGAAAATCGCTTCTGCTGCGCAGCTGTTCAGGTGGGTACTTGAATTTTTTTGGCGCGCTTACATATCAACCTGTGGGGCGCAGGGCCACTCCCGATCACAAGTACTAGTCGAGAGAAAATGGCGATGGGGATGGCGCCTTGTTGTCCGCCTGACCTACCTTCTCTTCGTGACAGCCATCTGTGGCCTGCTGCACAGGGGGAGGCGATGAAGCGTGCCGCGGTTCTTGTTAGCATGTCAATTTTGTTTGTTTTTTCTTCTTCGTCTTCCTCTTCTTACCTTTCTCTTCTAGGATCAGTCAGCAGGATGCGAGAGGAGTCTTCCCGCTCACCTTCGATCGTTTTGGAACAACACAATCACAAGAGCGAGTAGATTGTAGCTACCCCTTCAGCATGTCAGTGTCCGAAGCTCTACTTTACTTCTTCCTTATCCCTTCCTTGATTTGTTTCTTGCGCTCTGCTTGTTCATGCGAAGCTGTGACTGACTATTTGTTCTCACTTCGTGTTCGTGCGTTCCTTGCCCTTCCATTCACATGCTTTCCCGACTTGCACAAATTGTGCTTCTTGATGATGATGATGAGGATTGTAATGCAAATCTTCATAATCAGGGAGGCCGGATGCGGAGGAATGATTCACATTCATTTATACATTTACATATAAAATAATCGCTTTATTCCCATAGTAAGCATGTTTTGTTAATTGTGTTGTATTTGAGCCTCCGTCTGTGGTTGTGTGGGTGTGCAAAGAAATGCAAGCGCGAGTGCAAAAGCAGGATTATCTTGTGTGGCTAAGGGGGTTTTGCACACGATGCTCTCCGACAAGCCGTTAAAGCAAAGACCCCTGCTGGAAAGCGGTATTCTTATTTGTTTAAACGGCAGAATGAATTTTTATTGTATTGGTATTTCTTTGAAAAGTGCAAACGCAAAGGAAAGGCGTTATGGTTATTTTCGCATGGCCGAAGTTACTGGCCTCAGTCGTCATCTTGAGGTTGATTTATAGCAGGGGCTGGGCTGCATGATCGCGGGCAAGCTCATTTCCGGCCGTAAGTAATTTCACTGCAGCACTTCTGAAACAGAACAGGTGCTCGTACGTTGCCGGCGTCATCTGGCTGGTCGCTCCTATTATTTTGCGGCTAGGCAATGGATTAATTAATTTCAAAACAGGAACTATTTTAATATTTCTTAGCATAGTGCTTTCTTTTTTTAGTTGTCTTAGGTAGTTTACTTCAAATGCTTTTATTGTTGTAACTCTCTTATCCATGAGCTGCATTTGATTTGTATTGCTTCTTGATCTTTTTCTAGCTCTTCTGAGCACATTGATTTTCAACCAAAAACAAGCATTAAATTTCACCAGGGCCAAACAACAAGTGGACGAAGGAGGCTTAGTTTCCGACATTGTGGCGTCGCACATAATAGAAGACGCCACGTCGCAACTACACACGGGATTTGTACTAGATGGGTTCCCGCGCTCAATCGGGCAAGCGCGGGCTCTTGGCGCAGTCTTGGACAAGAACGGAGATAGTCTCACGGTGATAAATCTCGTGGCAGCCAACGAGGTAGATGCCGCCTAGGTTTTCGTCTTTCTCTTTCGTGAGTGTTGCACTTGGAAGATTGATTTTGTTTGAACATGAAGAGGTTTAAGGTGGTGCCTGAACGGACTAGAAAACGCCAAGAATGCAAAAACTCCATGTGCATCTGCATGCAAATAGTGCGAATGTGTAACATTCTCACTGCCGAGTCAGAAACGATGGTACCTTTTGCCAGGTTCTCGCGGCGAGGATGCAGGGCACGTGGATACACCTGGGTTCCGGCAGGCTGTACCACAAAAACGCGGCGCCTAGGCCAGTGAAGAGGAGTCGCGTAGTAGTTTGCAACGTAGCCCTTTTCTGAGGCTCGTCCTTTCATGTCATCTACTTATTGTTCATTTCTCTGAATTTTCATGCCGAAACACTTAAGCCAGTGCCAGACATAGATAAGCAGAAACGATGAAGAGATTGCGTTTCAGAAAGTGGCACATAGCTTGCTCTTTTTTCGTAAGGTGCATGTGGTCGTGATCGCGTCGGGCATTATAGAGGCATTTGGGACGATGAGTGCGTTCTCGTCTTCCATTTTTTTTTGTATGTCTTCTCGGCTCTGGTATGATCATGAGTCAATCTATAGTATAGCCCAAGGGCCTTATTTTCGCCATACTATGCGAGCCGTTTTGCTCTGTGATACTGTCGCCAAAATCGCTTACCGCGGGACCAGAGTACATGCGCGACGACGTCACCGGTACCTTCATGATGAAATGCATTCGACATATTCTGTGAAGTGCAGTTGCAGTTCTCAATCTTCCTGAGACATGACAAAGTAGAAGCTGCGAAGTGTTTTTCTGTTTATCTCGCTAAAAACGGTTGCGCATGATAGATCATCTCCCTGCTGCGAGACCTGCAGCCACGACCGCGCTTCTATAGTGCGCAACGAACAATGAACGTAGTAATAAAAAAAGAAAATAGTATACTGGACTTAAAATTTTCTTTTAGGTGAGGCGCTTGTGCAAAGGCCCGGCGACACGGCACACGAGATTCAGGCAAGACTCGTCGCATACAACAAGGAGGTCACGCCATTGTTAGAGTACTACAGGGCACGACAACTAGGTGGAGGCATGGAGGAATTCCATTGCCATTCTCATTTTGCGCTGTGTACGAAAATCCAACACTGGATTGCGAAAGGGAAGATGCAGAATGGACGTACAATTTATCACTGATGTGCAACTAGTGAGTTGAAAAGCTACAATATCAACAGCGAGCTCAGGAGCTATTCCAGCTTCAAGAAAAGTGTAATTCTAATTCCTATTCCAGCAACAGACGATAAGTCCGCGGAAGCTCCTACTTATTCCACTGTGTATACGAATGTAATGTTGCAGCTACTTCTGCCTACTCAACGTCAACTCGACTCATCACAAACTCGATTAAGTAATTGTCTCAGTGTCTGTTTTCTTCTTAATATTGTTGCTGATAGATAGATTTCCTGTATATGTAGCTGAAGTCCCTCAAGAACGTATTAACAATCTGGAGCGTCAGACTTGAAGACGGCCGTGTTGTTTGTTTAGTTTACAGTGTGAGATTGACTGTGGAGCGTCACAAAGATAAAGCTAAAAACAGGCACGACGCGTCAAGAATACCCAACAAAGACCAGGAACGTCCGAATGAGTTTAACAAAGAATAAAAGATAGATATATGGCGAATCACGTCGCGCAAAAAGAGAAAGGCAGTTGTGCCTCTGCTCGTTGCGTCCATGATGTATGTGCAAATCGATGCAATTCCAAGCAGGAGGAGTGGGTCTCTCCGACGAAACTTCGATTCGTTTAATAGGGTTCAGGCGTTGTAGTTTATTTTATTTGTATGACCAACGCGGCGCAAGCATCGATCGATGCTCTAGTCGTGTCGACCAATTGATGCACACGTGCGCAACCCGCGGCGAAACACGATCGGAGAGCGCTCGCTCCTGAAACTGAAACGCTCGGGGTCGTGTCTCTTTGCAAAAAAAAGAAACTATATCCTGCTCAATGATGACAGTTGTAAGTAGACTCCTGACGAAAGACAATTCCTGTCCCGAAGATATTATTTCTCGATTCGATATCCAGCCATCAAGAGGAATAAAGAACGGGCGCAGCTTCGCTCGTGGTCGCACGAGTCGCGGAGTAAGTAAGTGGGAACTATTGTATTATTGCCTCGCCGACTACTTTGTATCGGGAGGGTCGTGAGTCGTTGTCGTGGACTTGACAGACTCATCGAGATCGTTCGTATTTTGCCCAGCAGAAAGTCGCGCCATGGTAACCGTCGGCTGTAGCATTTCGACACATGCATACTAGTTGTAGTAAGTAGTTTGCCAATAACTCCTTGATCGTAGACTTTGACCTCCTCATCTACCATCTATCACTTTTCACATGGTGAAAAAGCAAGAAAACCCGACTTCGGCAGCTGGTTTTTTTTTGCACTCTTAGAATTATAACTGGAAGTTCGCCACAACCACGGAGCCAGTGACACTGGGGCAGTGGGGCAATGTGAAACAAGGTTATCGCCGGGCTCGCATCAATATTACAGATATATAGAACGCTCCTGCGAAGCTCGTAATTAACTAACTCGCTCTGCTCAGATATGGACGTCGTTGCTTGTGCTTCTCGCAGCCAGGTCAAAGTGTGTGGGTCGTAGTTTGTGCCGAAAGGTGGATAACTAGACGAAGCAGTGAGGAGAAACAGCAGCAACAAGCAATGGCGGGGACGTTACTTGGAGGCTTGAACGCAGTAGCGATCCGCAACACAAAATATGAGACCTGCGTATGCACCTGCCCCTCCTCGCAATCAGCGCGTCGGATTATTCATATTTTACCTGCGCCCCAATGAATTTTCAATTTTTACTTTATTGTTCTTACCGCTTGGCGCAGCAGCAAGTATTTTCTGACTTTCAAATGCTGCGTCGGACGAGCACTGCATCATGTGCTGCCCGCGTGCGGCGTGCCACCATCAAGCCAGCTCGTAGCTCCCCCCATAGAGCAAAAAGCGTAGCCTCACGCCAGAGCTAGTCGTATTTAGTTTCCTCATTGCTAACATGTGCGTGAGCAAGCCGGTGAGAAAAGATGAAAAAGAACAACCCAGACGAGCAAGCCGCTGCTCGAATCCATGGGGTTTGAGCGCGCACTGTTGTGATGAATAAAAAAAAGTGGTCCTACTTTGTCAGAAGCATAGCGAAAGAAAAGAATGGCACTATGCGCGCTGCTTAGCGAAAGAAAGGAGCACTTCCATGCACACTCTGGCAAAGTAAGAGGGTTTGCCCCTTAAGCATTGGCATTGCCCTCTTAAGCATTGCGGAAGAAGCAAACCGCGAGGAGAGGCGCAAAAGCAACTCAAGTTGAGATTAGGTTTTCACTCTGCGCGCACAAATAACAGCCACCCCGTTTCTGGGGTACCCGGGAGCCGCCTTCCTCGCTGGGTATAAGCGAGTTCGCCCTTGGGGTTCCCGTCTAGGCGGACTGAAAAAATTCACTCTGCTGTTAAAAATGATTTTGCTTATGCTTGTAATCAGCAAAATTGCAAATAAAATGGAAATGCTCGTGAGGTCGCGTCGTCTCTTCAGCGTCCTCGCGAAGTCGCCGATTTTAGAAACGAGGCCAAACAAAGATGGGTAGGCTGTGTGTAGAGGCCAACCGCCATACCGTGGACGCACTCCCCTTCACGAGAGGGATTGCAGTCTTGGGCGCAGGCGAGCCCACAGGTCGTGGAAATTTGCCAGAAAGTGCAACTCCCCCTACTAAATTCTAGAAGCGCGACTGCTTCTGGCGAATTGTTCAAATTTGTTCGAATCCCAAAATAAAAGAACGACCAAAATAGGCCACATATTGGGGCGAAATAAATCAGAATCACAGTGGCAGAAGGCAGCTCGCAACTAAACCCACTCATCATGAGGGGATTTGCCCTGCTCCGTGTTTTCGTTGCGGCTCTCTGGTGCATTCGTTTTCCTGCGCCAAGGCTTCCTGCAGTCGCGTCGCTTGAACTGCCTGCAGCAGAGATGATCTGCGCTGATGTCACTATGTGCGGATGTGTGACCAAGATCAAAAAGAAAAATCCGATGGGATTGATCCAAATAAAGCGCCCGATGTGCTGACTTTGAAGGGGAGGGGCGGGAATTCGGCACTTGCATATACGCAACGATGTTGCGCGTCTACGCGACGACATCGACGAGGAAGTGGGCGAAATGCGGGATCGCATGGAAGACGTGGAAAGGGTGCAAGGCGAGACGACCACGGAGCTGGTGGAACTCCGTGCGGAGGTGGCATCTCTACGTGAAAAAAAACAATTATGCAAATGCAACACTCAAACTCAAAAGCAACACGAGTTGATACTCAATCCTCTATATAGAAAAATCGAAAAGCCGCTGCGTTCGACAAGCAAACGACACGTAGAAACAGATAATCGAGATGATGAAGAGCATGGCTGGTGTCGGCAAGCGGTTCGTAGTATGATACTACAGCGACGCCGGGCCTGGACCTGGACGATGAAAAAATAAAGAATATCACCCATGGAGGTCGAAGTCAAAAAAAAAAAATATTCATACCGACGTTTCTTTGTAGTTTTAATATCAGATGTGACAATACAATCTTCAGTGTCTGATTATGGCGATCACGACTTTGTTGAGAACTAAAGAGAAAGCGATCGGCGGGGGCGACAGACGTTGCTTGAACGTCGAACCCTCTATGTATAGTACCTTTGTTTTGTATAAAATCAAAAAAGCTCAAGCTTCGTCCTGTCAGGCTGTGACGGCGTCATGATATCTAGTCGAACGCAGCAAGAGCAACAATTGACGGCGCATAATTCACGTGACTAAATTTACACAACAGAAGATCCAGATGAGCATAAGCCCCCACGTTCATACTTTTTTCACCTCGAATAAGAACGCAGCACGAAGTATCGCAAGAAAGAAGTGTTACAGTTACACAGAGGACATTGCTTTTCAGGCTAACAAGCAGGACAAACAAGCTCTGTCATGCCCATGCCGGATATGCATTATTTTCTAGCAGCCTTCTTCGTACGTGATTCTGATTCCCGTAGGATTTCTGCGTTGCAAGGTTTCTCTCTCATGCAGACAAATTTGTGGCGCTGAATTGGCTGTAAATGTGTAACTGTAAACACTTTGTTTTTTCGTAGGATACCGATACGCAAGCGTCAGCAAGAATAGTGTATCCGTACAGCTAGTACAGTGTCAGTGTTGTCGTGTGTTTTTGGGTGCATATGTTCTCCAAGACGCCGTCATCGTGGCACTAGAGGGGCGCCTATCGGCGCTGGAAAACAGGCAAGAACGCCACGAGGGGCGTTTTGATGACCTCCGTGCTGACCACGGGCAAGAGCTCCGCTTACTGCGAAGAGACTTCAACGTGTTGAAATCCAGAGTTCAGACTCTCTCCGCACTCCGACACGTATTCTTGTCTTATGTTTTTGCTTCACACGGATTTTTTCTGATTCTCTAATATCTCACCGCTCGTTCCATGATCTTGGAACGTACTATGTCCAGCAAAGATGTAGCACCTTTGACGCACGGTCACAGCCATGGGCTCCTTCTCTCATGAAAAATACCACTTCCGGAAACGCCCAGCGTTGTATTATGTTGTTGCTCGTCTTCCTCTTGCATCATCGAGGTCGAGGAGCGTTTGCCTTATCGTTACTTAGCGACCGCGTGCGTGTGCAAATGATGAAAATGCGCAGTCGTGTATAAGATTCATAGCATTGACGAAACGTTCGTGGGGTGAGTTGTTGATGCGACGAACTAAGTACTTTTAATCAATGATACAACAACTTCACAGCAACGTGATATGGCAGAAAAACGGTTAAATCTTGGTGGTACCACAGAGGCGTGGAGAGCGACATTCGGCGACCGTGCCAGGTCATACATGGAGGAGCAATTTTCCATGGCTTTCACGAAGAACAAAATTTCAACTGAACTCGAGAACGTACTTCAATTTTTTGCTTCATTATGTGCTCATTGATCAAGTGCAATCAGATAGCGACAGCGCACCGCAGGAACACTGATAATTTTTAATTACAGTATAGACCCCGCAGCTGGGTACATCATCATCATCATGTTTATGATTTGATTTTCGCGATTTCAAGTCGAAAGTTTGGAGTAGGAGAAGCAGACTCGGTTGAGATTCAGTTCTACCAACTACAGACGAAGAAGAAGATAATATAGTGGTTCCCCAAAAGGAGCTGGAGCGAATACCAAGAACAGTGGCAAACAACATTCGTACGATTGTATTACAGATCAAGGACAAACCCCGGTTGTGGCGAATCGCGAAAGAAGTCACCCCAGGCAGGAACATCGCCGCGGAGTACGAAAAAACTAATTGTAAGATGATACGAGACCACATCCGCAAGCAGATTGGCTTCAGGGGGATGGATCACGTGAACCAAGCCCCGTAGAAGTTTCAATTTTTTTCTACGCTTTATTTGCCTATCACTTCACTAGAGGTGGCAGAAAAAGTAGCTGCGGACCCACCTGCTTGTCATTTTCTCTGTGGATGTGCTGGTTTCAAATGTACATATCTTGTTTCTCGCCGACTGATAATATATTTTTTTATCATTAATATCTCTAAAATTGTCAATGAATGTACACGACGTTTGCGGCACGGATTTTCATCTTCGCAGCCTGTCACAATTTCAGCTGCGTCCTGTTGCTACTGGAGTGCTGTCAACCGGCTCACCGACATCACATGAACGAATGTTGGAAGCGAAATTCTACCCCAGGAGCGGAGATGAATATGCTCCAAGAAACGACAGCTTTTGTAATCGAACAAGTGGACCTTGCCTACTTACTGTCGCTACAGCATCAATTTTGAAAAAAGTACGCACTTACAACTGTGGTAGAGATAAATAAGCAAGAAGAAGAAGACTAGAGATATCGAAAATAGCAATGGTTTTGTTTCAGCATAATTAAGAAAGTTATTCTTATTTGCTTCCGTTTCTCTATACAATGTCTATGATTAACTGTACCAAATTCAAACCTGAGAAGATTGTGTTATTTCACTAAAACAAGACGAGCAAGAGGAGGCACTTTTCGTTTTCTGCAAGCACTTGCAGTTGTTTGATCGAGGAATGAATTATCACACTAGAAGTAGAGAGCTCTCAACTAAACTCAACAAAAGAAAAAGCGCGACGGGGAGCTGCAGAGCCAGAGCTAATATCGATTGCCAAGGGGAGGGGGGCGGGAACGTAGGCTAGGAGACATGGCCTTCGTTTTTATTGATGCATTGCAATGCTGCTGGCACCTCCATTGGTGCCGCGAGTGCACAGACGTATTTGCACAGATGAGAGATTATATTCGCTCCTGCGTTTCGTCTAGGTCTACAAGAGAGAGAGAGAGTCAGATGTCGTGTGCAGTGCTGTTTTCGTTATTTGTTGTCGACAGGATGACGATTCCGCGAGCGCATGCCCAGCTGATGCTGGGGAATGACTTTTTTCAGTCTCTGAGGTCGTCGATAGACTCACAAATGACATGAAGATCTATGGCTCTTCTCTTGCGAATGAAAGACGACGCTAGTAGCGAGCGCGCTCTCTCTCCTCCTTAAGCGTGCTCTTCTTTGGATTTTAACCTCGAGCAAGACCCTAAACCTCTTGCACGCCCTCCCAGTGCAGGATAGACCACGACGATGCTCATGATGTCGTCTTCTTATTTTCTGACTTGCGCCTGTACTTTTTCCTATATATCTCTAAAGACGCAGTGAATTCATCTGCCTTGCATACAAATCCCAAATAAACATAAAGACTTTGCGTTTATTGTGATGCTGTGTCGTCTTGCCAAACGATGCCAGAACCTGGGTTGTTTGCTCTCTGACAGTATATTTTGGCACTTCGACTTCCCAACGTGGCACATTAAGCAAAGGAGTCCGCATTTGGCTTGCAGATCAGTCACTGACCGGCACGACCTATTGCAGCTTGGATAATTCTGCTACTCGCTCGCCTGAAGAAGCGACCACCCGACTCAATTCTTTTGCTACGAACGTAAGTAGCTACGTGTAGTCCTTTGATATGCATGCAAATGACGCACACGCCACTCATTGTAAACATTGAAGAAAGGATTCTATTTGTGCTTCTCGGACAAATAAATATAAACTAGACACCGTCGTCTTATTGATCAGTTTATCTTTCTTGATGAGGAATGCGAATAGAAATGGCTATCGTGGACTAATTACAAACAACAACTTTGTCGCGTTGTCGTGTCGTAATATAATCTGTCGCAGCCACCCCCAACGCAAACTGACTTCGCCGTTGGATGATATACAGATAATTAGAGGACTCTCCTACTAGGTGGAGAGGCAGTTCGTTAGCGGGAAGAGGACGAAGGAATATGGGTCGTGATTGTTTCTGTGTACTCCAGTGGGATGAGTCGTCGGTCCTTGCCCATCAGATATAACTTTACTAGCTCGGGCGCTGCCCCAAATTACCGTGCCAAGCATTATATGATATTGAACACCCAGCCTCGTGGGTGAGGCAGCCATGGTGACTCAGCCACCCTGGTGATTCAGTCACTCTTGAAGATCAAGCGCATTAGCAATTCGAGGTCGTTCGCACTCGTCATCGTCATGATCGTCATGCTCGTGCTCGTCGTGTCTGAGTTTTTGTATGTAATTGCATACGCTCCCTCTCGCTAGCTTATAATTTTTTGACGCCTTCATGTTTTTCATTCTTTTTTTTGATACCGATCCGACTTTGCTGCTCTTCCTCTTGTTCTGGGACTTTGCAAGCACATGGGATGATCCTCGCCTCAAGTTCAAGAGCGTGACTGTGATATGCTTAGATGTTGTGTAGAAGTTTTTTCCTTCGAAAAAATGCTTACTAAGGAAAGAAAAAGTGCAAGCAAGTAGCAGCTAATAAATAAGCAAGAGTATGAAGCTCAAGCTGTAGAGCGCAGCTTGTCGGCGCTGAAGACAAGTCAGCGTAAAGTGTTTTAGCTCTGGAAGTCTACTCTTTAGAACCACAAGCACTTGGCACATATTTTTGACATTAAGCGGAGTAGAAATATAATGGCAGGGCTCGCGGTCGGTTTGGCTAATGCCTATGCATTAAACGACGCACAAAAAAAACTCCAAGAAGCCAAGGCGGAAATCGAAAAATTGGGTGGTCTGCTCGAACTCGCGGAAAGAAACGGTGCTCTATCCACCAATGTACCTTGAAGCAAAAACAAACATGAGCTGCATCAACTGCGTGAGCATGATCCCGCAACAATAATAATGCGAAGTGTAAACAAAAACATATGCCCAGGAAAGTCGGACTTCAATTTACATTTGCATTTATCTACTTTATGGATGTTTGATTTTGATAGTTGAAAATGAGAAGGCGTCCACATCAGACCGGCTTGCTTCGCCGTGCGCATACGTACCGGCTTGCTTGGGCGTGCGCATACGTACGTAGCTCTCTTGCTGCTTGCGCCTTGAGGTGTAGGGTCGGAACGTTCCCAGCACCGCTGGAAGCACTGAGCCTGAAAAAAGTACACTCCTGGAAGGGTCCGAGCTAGCGCTTTTTTTACGTTTACCTTCGTCCTTCATTTGGTTCCTGCTGTCTTTCTTTTCGCGGGCCCTACTGGCACCAAGCAATTTTTTCTAGCGGGTTGGTTTCCACCCCCTCCGCCTGTCTGTTTAGTTTTAGTTCAGTTTCTCATAATGACATTATGAGAAACTGAACTAAAACTAAACAGACCCTATGATAGTGGGATGAGTATGCATGAGTATGCGTTTCGCCCCTCTCCATCTCCGCTGCGGGCTTCCCTCCACCGCCACCTCTTTCCCTCCACGTCTCCGTCACTCGCGGCATCCATCCCGGTCCAGAAGCCGACGCAGCAGAGAAGTTTTAGGGTTTAGATATCTTAGGGCCCTCCCCCAACCCCTCCTGTTGTTGCGTAGTTCGTCTTCCCGTTCTTCCGTCTCTGCGCCTAAGATTACAGCAAAACCAATTTACGTAGGCTCGTTGGCGGTAGTATAGTTACGTTCTGAAACCAGGGACGATAGTGAGTCTCGGCTTGCTCCTGTTCCTCTGGTAACTCACCGCGTCTAGGTCTACTGTTGGTTCATAGCGGAAACGGGCGGCGTTGCGTCAGTTCACGGCGGCGACCGCTTGCGACACTGGACGCCAACTACTTCATTACGTTCAGGAACATAGACAGCATGGTAAACAGTTACTCGCTCGCCTGAAAAAGCGAGCACGCAATTAATTTTATTTACTCACGTTTTTTACACGACCGACCTGCCTCACTGCTATAGAGCGGGGTAACAAATTCTGACGAGTTCTTGTGGCCGTCCCACTTCTCACCCGCCCGGCCGGGTGGGTGACTAGTGGGACGGAACCAGGATCCTGACCACGAGAACGGTGAAAAGTAAGATCCGGCGCTAGCATTTAAGATAATTAAAATGCTAAGCACGTAGGCAACACGACTATGGAGGTTTTCGAGTATGAGTAGGGTGAAGACGAGGGAACCTCTGCTATAGACGCGCTCCTTGATTGAAAGCCTCTCAGCATAAGAAGGCAAAAAAGAGGCAAGCATGCGCTTGCATTGATGCTGCAGCTCATAGGTAAACTAAAGGTCACCTTTGCTCCTCCATACACAACTCAAGCACAAACGATCACCAGTCTCGAGAATCGCATCGGGCAATTGGAGGCTCTGGCAGAACGGCTGATAGAAACGACAAAACAAAACACAGAAGAGATCCGGTCCGTGAAAAAAGCGGTCAAGGGACTGAAGGGGAGGATCGCAAATCTCGAGACCACGCAAAACGTAAAAGTGCTTACTTTTTGAAGAGAGCAGCAAGTAATTTGATCTTGATGTACTTCCGTGTACTATCACTATCTGCGATTGAATCAACGTGCCAACTATGGTTTTGATTTTGTAAGTATCGGAAATCGAAATAGAGAAGGGCGCGCCCTTTTTCTTTGCGTAGGTCAGATTGGTTGGTTGTCCTCACCAGAGCCGACGTTTCTTTCAGCAACAGCTTCAACAAAATTAAACATCTCATTGCGACTTTCGCCTCAAGCTCAAGCAAAAATAAGATTAAAATTCAATAGACTGCGAACCAAGCGCGCAGGCGGTTCCAGATGGGTGGCGGGACCGAGGAGTGGAAGGAAACGTTCAAGCCGAGAGCCCGGGACCACCTGATCGCAGTGTTCGGAATAAATTTCAGCAAGATGAAAATCAGTGCAGAGATAGAGCAGGTAGGTCTACAGCGTGCGTTGTAGCAGTGCCGCACTCGTCCTTCTTGATATTTCGTGACAGATGAGTAGAGTCTCTTATTGAAAGGGATGTAGATGTAGTCTGCGACTTCTATTAATGTGTTGTAGTGGGGTGGTCACAGACACAGACAATCACGAAGGCTCTCACTTGGCGACTTTTTATTTTTTGACACCTGCCGCGAAAAGAGGCCGGCAGTTTGCAATCTGCCGGCGATGTTTGTGCAGCAAGCCGTTTGTTGTCAAACCAGCCGGACGGCTGCAAAATTTCGCAGGGGAGCCTGCAAAACTTGCGAGGGAGCCCGCGCGGTTTGGATGGGGGTGGCGACCTTGATTGCTCTCAGCAAGACAAAAGAACTGCGGCGACCCCACTAGCTATCGGCGTGGACGCGGCTACATTTGGCGTGTAGTTTTGATCCGTTCTCGTGCGGAGCTGGCCGAGGGCCCTTCGGCATGTCTGCCAGCCACCCGCATGGCAGGTAGTTCTTCGGGTCGCCGGCGCTTCGGCCTGTGGCGGGGACTTAGAGACACCCCGGTGGGCTCTTTTTATTGTGCGGAACCCTCAGGCCGCCCTTGCCACTCTCCCCATCGCGCCAATTAGTGCCTGAGCCCGGCGCATTATTTTGATTCGCCGTTCACCACTAGAGCGGGTGGCGTTTCGTCGAGCTCTGCTGGTGGCGACTAGTTGATGCCGCGTCGGGGGGTTGTTTCATTCTAATGGACCACCAGGAACAAGCCCTCGGTCGGTCTCAACATCGTGCCAGCCAGAGCGCGTAGTATGTGTGTGCGTTGAGTAGCATGGTGAGCCACGTATGATTTTCTGTCTTTTATATATTTATTGAGTACCCCTACCCCTAGACTTGTTGCAATTCAACAACAAAACAAATAACTCAGATCAACTCGAAGCCGTCATTGGAGCGCATTGCGAAGGAAGTTTCCGTGGGACGCAACTTCCAGATGAATAAGAACACTAAGTGCGCCGAAATTCGGCAGTACATCAGATACGCCATTGGCTTCCAAGGCCTGGACAACTAGACACGTGATTTTATGTTTTTTTTGTGGTTGAGGTTGTCATAGCTGTAGTAGATACTACCGAGTTCCCGTTCCCCTCTTATTACAGGAACGCACTGTAGCCGAAAACTTTCTGATTGTTGCACTCCTAAAGTTCTGGAGCGCAACCCTCGCAGCTTGAAGCATGTGAAGCGAAAGCTTCAACTTCACGAGCACGACCCGTTATTGTTACATCATCGTTTGGTTCTAAAAAATCTTACATCATCCTTGTCGTAAATCTTTCAATCTTTCTATTTAATATTGTCGATTAGAGTTGTCTTTGTCTTTCCATCGTAGAAGCGCCTACAATACCGAATACGCTTGCTCTATATTGTCTTCCTGCCGTCTAGAAACCGTTCGTAGAAACCGCACAAGTTTTAACGTGGTGTATACCTATACTCCATGACCGTGAAGTTCAGGCATCGAGTTTTGCGCGCCGATGATTTGCCTGATAGCGTAGCGCGCACATCGTCTGCGCACCTACAGATCGAGCCGCCGTCCGTGGAGCAGGCGGCTCAGCAGTTTGCGTTCTTCTATTGATGGTGATTTGCGTTCCTGTTGTGTCTGGTTGCTTGTTTTTTATGGATTATTTCCATGTTCTAGATCTACCTGTCGAAATGAATGGTCGTACTGGTGCTAGCAACTTGCAAGGAAGTGGTCAGTTAGTAAGTCAATTGTGTAGTTCACGCACGCAACAAAAGCGGATCCCCGTCGTTGATATCAAAGACAAAGAAGCTCGCTCGACATGAAGTTGAAGGTTGGGTCGCAAATTATATGTTGCGTCTTGAGAAGAAGCAAGAACAAGGATGAAGAAGAAGTGTATCCGATGTGTGATTGGCGCTTTTGATTTTTTTTTGATGTTGATAAATATAGTATGTATGTCAGAAAGCATGTTGGAGTAGCTGCGCAGTGCTTCCTTTACAAGTACAAAAAAAGCGGCTGCGGCATCCGCCCGTGATCCTGGTCGGGAATCTCTTCGGCTCGACGGTGGTGCTGACGAAATTCGGGCACTTTTTTGCAAACCGCTATTAATTTGCTTTATTTATGTATGGCGTGGAAAGTTGGCCACCTTTTGTTGAGCAGACAGCCCATCTGGAAACACGAAGTTCGTCAGAGTTCCGAACTCGAAATAAACGATCGGAAGCGGCGCGCCCAACGACATAAGTACGTCGCAAGCCATCGAGGAGTAAATCAGGCACGAATAGAAGAGCAAATACAGGGCTAGCGTATCAAAAACGCGCAGCCCCCGAAGGAAGCGGCTCAAAGGCAGAGCTATGAAGCAGGCTCGGGATTCTCCGTATTCTTGGCTTGGTCGGTGTTCAGGATGGGAGATTCTTTGCCCCCCACCGGCCGACTATGGCGAGGACAGAGATGCTCGCGCGCTAGGGGGCCTCATTACTTAGCGAGATCGCTTGACCGAATTTGCTATAATGCGAGTGAGGGACTCTTGCAACTCCAGGAGAGGGATAGCAAGCGGGGCGGGAGGTCTCAGTACCGGGCTGGAGGTCGGCTTCGGGCTCTGGCGTTTTTTGCCCTTCTGGTCGACCACGGCCAGGACAGAGGTACTCGCGCGCTGGGGGGCCCGACTAGCGAAAAAAAGTTTTCATGATCTGGCCTTTTCGACTTTTCTCCCCTGGTCGAACGTGGCCAGAACGGAGGCACCACTGAGCTGGGGGATGAGTGTCCTTGCTCCTTATTCCGTAGTCGAGCGGCATTTGGGTTTTTGCGCCTTTTTCTCCCCCAGCCGTTCCGAAGATGCCCAGGACAGAGATACCAATGCGCTCTGCGGGGTGTCCTTTTGCTTTTCCGGTCGAACGGCCTTCGGGCTTTTGCACCTTTTTCTCCCCTAGTCGAAGGCGGCCAGGAGAGAGATGCCGGGCAATGCGCTGGGAAGCTTCCTTATCCATCTGGTTATGCTTCGGGTCTTTCCGTCTTCTGCTTCCCTGTCCGAACGTGGCCAAGACAGAGATACCAATGCGCTGGCGGGTCAGTCTCCTTGAGTACCCAGCCACCCGGGCCTTTCTTGGTTGGGTTTTTTCGTCGTTTCCTCCCCGGGTCGAGCAGGAGCATGGCCAAGACAGAGATACTTTCGGCGGGGGGGGGGCCACGCTACCGAAGCCTTTTCATGATCTAGCTTCCTGGATTGCGGCCAAGGAACTGTAAAAAAAATCTAGGACTACAGAGATTCTGTAGCGGGCTGGGGGTGGTCCGTACTGGATAGGCCGACTTTCATTCTTCAGGTTTCGGGGTTTGTCTTTCCTCTGGCCGACCACGGCCAGGACAGAGATACTCGCGCGCCGGAGGGCGACATCGCGATCTAGCATTTTAGATTGCGGCCAAAGACATGAAACTCCAGGACAGATATTTATACATACTAAGCGGGCTGGGGCGGGTGGGCCGTAGTGTTGGATTGGTCGGCTTCCAGGTTTCGAGTTTGGTCTTCCCTCTGGCCGACCACGGCCAGGACAGAGATTCGCGCGCGCCCGCTGGGGGGTGTTATTAGCGAGCCCTCTTCGTTTAGTTTGATACGAGATTCGAATAGCTTCGCCCGCTGGGTGTGACATCGCAAACTTGCGCTAGAAGGAACATTTTTCACAGAGTTCACCTGCCGCGACGGCGCGCGGGCGTTTTCGGTATCAACTGAGAAAGACACTGCTTCTGCTGGCGTGCCGCAGTGCGTTTCCAGCTGCAAGGAAGCCCAGCCGGAAGCACATTGAAAACGCATCCGCAGCGCATCCCAGCCGGAAATGCCTCGCCAGGGCATTTCTACCGAGCTGGTGGAGATCGATCTAGAGACGCCCTCTCAGACAGAGCATTTGCGTCCCTAGCTGGAAATCCAGCCAGAGAGGCCCCCTCCGTGCATTTCCAGCTGGAAGGAAATCTAGCCGGGAACGCATTGGAAATGCACGCGCGACGCTTTTCCAGCTGGGAGCTCGGCTGGAGATGCCTGCTCAGTTCGTGTCTTCTAGCTGAAAGTAAATCCAGCCGGAGACGCAGCGAAAATGCATCCGCGGCCTAATGGTTGCCTTTTCACCGCATGCCGAGCTGGAAACTCGGCTAGAGGCGCCTTCGCAGTGCGTTTCTGCTTGGGAATCTAGCTAGCGACGCCGTCTCAGTGCATTTCTAGCTGGAAACCCACCTAGGGACGCCGTCTCAGTGCGTTTCTAGCTAGAAATCCAGCCAGCGACGCCGCCCCGGTGTGTGTCCAGCAGGGAATCCAGCTAGCAATGCCGTCTCAGTGCCTTTCTAGCTGGAAGGAAATACAGCCGGAAAGGCAGCGGCAGCGTGTTTCCGGCTAGAGACCCAGGCGGAAAGGCATCGCCAGCGCGTTCCCAGAACGAAATCCAGCCGGAGAGGCATCGC